TTAAATAATAAACACGCCAAATAAGTCAGCGTTGCTACCATGGGGGTGATAACAAAACTTAAAAATTGAAACGCGCATCGAAGAAAAGCAAATATAAAGTGAATAAACAACAAAATTATAATATTTCGTTTGTTGCTTTAATTGCGCGCGCCCAACCACTTTACAAATATATAAAAAAATCTCTCACCAACGGTTCAACTTTCTTTCCGTTTTCTTTATTCCCGGAGTGTCATCGCCAAGGAGAAAACAAACCAAAGCTTATCCACCACGCACGCAGAACCTAACGCAAACATCTCAAAGTATGCGAGATATTAGCTCTTCGTTCTTTGTCACTTGATTAATATTTCGAAGATATTCAATCCTTTTGTGTTGACATACTCAGAGGAAACGTTCCAGAACACTTACACTTTATCCAATCTAAAAATAGAACGAGTTTTGCGACGGCAATCAAATGTTTTTTTGTCGACCTCAGAGAACACACATATCCATGCTGTACACTAGATGATCCTTAAATAACAGATGATCCTTACTGGACCACTAGGAAGAACAGTTTAGAACTGATAGAGCTATCCAGTTTAAATAAAGTTAGTTTTAATAGTTTAGGTTTCCTCCTGTAGTAACACTGGATCAATAAGAGATGATCTTTACTGGACCTCTAGGAAGAACACTTTCGAACTGATAGAGCTATCCAGTATAAATAAAGTTAGTTTAGGTTTCCTTCTGTAGTAACACTGGATCAATAAGAGATGATCCTTACTGGACCTCTAGGAATAAGTATTATCAAACATTTTATAATCTAAAAGGAAAAAATTTGATTCTTTAACTTATACTGATATGTTCGTTCATTCTATTAAAGAGGCCCTGCTGTGTAAGAATCAAAAACTTCCTTTAGTTTAGGTTTCTTTCTTAGGTCTTCATTTATTAGATCTCTGGTAAAGTTCATATCTTATATTGATCTCGTGTTATTACAGGAGGAAACATAAACGAAACTAGCTTTTCGACAGTTTCAGTATGGAAAGGACAGAGTCGTACGTAAGACACTGCTGATATTTATTCAGTAAAGGAAGTGTAATTTTTGTATCAAGTCAGTTGAGACGCGGAGATATGATTAGGCATATCATTATTGTGCATAATTGCTCTGTACATATTACGGTTGAGAAAAACCGGAAACTCAAAAGTTTAAAAATTCACAAGTCGGGATCAGCGATAACGACGACGCAGGATACGAATATACGTTTGGAGCGAAGATTTTTTTCTTTATTCTCTGCCAAATACTTATCTCGATAATGGCCTCGTCCTGTAACACAACGGCTCATGAATGGCCATCTTTGGAATTTTAATTTACACAGTTGTTGGGTAATCTGCATCGCCTAAACAATTATTCAGCTGAAGACGTCAATCACACGACGCACTTTCAAAAGATTTCGGATGTATATATTTGCCAAGCTGCGAAGTCGTAGGTAGAAGCGACAAATACTCGACCCACATTGAATATACTACAGCCTACAACGGGGTGTGTATATATATATTTATATATTTATATATATTGACCCAATTTATCCATCATATATGATATATAGCCTTGACACCAAACGAAAGTACAAATAATATCCATCTTAAATCCGACCTGGTTTTCCTGTCACAACCAACTCGAAATCATAAGGTAAGTCTGTCAACTTGTGTCCTAAATGATTAACTTTTTGAAGGAGTTCTATTTGAATTGAATAAGGTATACAAATTGTTGTGGCAATTCATATTGTATAAACTATTCTACGTATTCGGCATGTTTTAAAAGAAGCAAGTAGTCTGCCGGCGTGAACTAGAAAATATAGAAAAATAGAAATATATTGATTGTATATATACAGGTTAAACTTAAGCAAACTTTTTTCTTAAACTGTGAAATTGGCGAAAATTTCGCCTTCAAAGAGTATACAATATTACAATTCTGCTTCTCACAGACACTGGAACATAATGTGCTTTCTGTTCGACTATTACGTTTAGGCACAAACCGTAACAGCCCATATGGCATATAGATTATAGAATACTACCCACACAAGACTACGTATACGTTTGATCTTTTTCAGACAGTTCAGAGACAAACCACGAGCTGCGTTTATTAATTGTAGAGTACTAAATACAATGGGCGATACAGTAGCTACGTGTGAGATATTTATTTCAAGGTGTAGTTCAGGCACAAACCACAACAGGTTTTGTAGCTGGATATTATTCTACTCGAGATTCTATCATTCTACGACCACTCACAATAAGTCAAAATTGTAAAACTGTCCAGGTACAATCAGTGCTGAAGCTGTGAGTGTTTTGAAGAGGTCACGAGAGAGAGCGGCAACGCTTATAAGTTATAATCAGTGTGTTGGCATTTTTAGCATTTCTGGTAGCTAGCCACTTTTATATCGCATGCACGGATCAATACATAATATAAATTCAGCGGCGAAATTCGTAAAAGATAAAATGCGACAATGTTATAGTTAATTTGTAAATAAGGATGGTAAATATCAAGGACAAAAGCGTACATGTTCATAGCACATTTTGCCTACAACAAATTGCTTCAAAAACGATTTCGAAAAGCGTTTAGACGTAAATTCGTTATCTGTTTTGAATGAATTTTATTGAAAAAAGGTTGCTATACACAAAACCAAGCATGCATGCCCGTTGACGTTGTTTAATGATAACTATTCCTTGAATGTAAATCACTAAATGTTACGATATATATATATACAAGACTGGCTAAATGGATGAATCTTTTAAGAGTGAAAGATGTCAAGAGTGACATTATGTCAAAACAAAAGCGAAAATTGATATTTTTCATTTAAAGTAATTGTGAAATTTTAAATCAAATGCATACAGGCAGAATCTCTGTATTTTAAATATTGATAATGATACGTCTGAGTTCATAAGTGGCCTTTATGCCGTTTATTTTTTGTGTCAATAAAAGTTGACGCCAATAATCTTTGGGAACGCCAACAGTTTGGACCCGACAGAATTATTCATGTCATATGCACCTGCATTTAATATCGCCTGAACATGTAAACCTTAAGTTCATCACAAAAGATACAACAAACTCTTGAATAATATATAAATATGAAAAAATATTTCCGTGTCATGCAGATGAGACTGTAATTAATGTTGATTAAACTTATCTATTTCTTCAATCACAAAACAAGCACTTACAGGTCTGAATATTATCTGTTCTGCATGCAGGTGTGCAGTATGTTTATACGTTATGGGTTCATGTGTTTGTAAGAAGTCAGTACATGCAGTCGTGGTTTGTGTCTGAACTACCTGAGAAAGATATCTCAAACGTGGTGGTCTAGTGTAGGTAGTATTCTACAATAAGCTGTCGTGGTTTGTGTCTAAACTACCTGAAAAAAATATCTCAAACGTGGTGGTCCAGTGTAGGTAGTATTCTACAGTAAGCTGTCGTGGTTTGTGTCTGAACTACCTGAAAAATATATATCACGCAAATGTGGTTCAAGTATGTTGCATCATGCAAGAAGTCGTTATGACGTGGTCCATGTCTGTAGCTATATGCATTCTATTTTAGATGCGACCAGCTCTAGTTCTCTACGCTATTTTGATCCTGTTGTCTGTCTTGGTGATGAATGAAAGTAAATCAGACGCCTCTGTCCGTGAGGAATTCAGGGAGTACATGACAGGCGAGACGACTCCTCCTCCAAAACCTGCAGAAGAAGAAGCTCAAGTCAATCCACCGAAAGTCTGGAGACGAAAAAGAGAAATTGACCCGAGTAAGTTCAATAAGAATGATATTTCAAACGCTTGCTTGAGCATAGCTTTACATTTAGAACTGATAGAACTATCCAGTATAAATAAAGTTAGTTTAGTTTAGGTTTCCTTCTGTAGTAACACTGGATCAATAAGATATGATCCTTACTGAACCTCTAGGAAGAACAGTTTAGAACTGATAGAGCTATCCAGTATAAATAAAGTTAGTTTAGTTTAGGTTTCCTCCTGTAGTAACACTGGATCAATAAGAGATGATCCTTACTGAACGTCTAGGAAGAACAGTTTAGAACTGATAGAGCTATCCAGTATAAATAAAGTTAGTTTAGTTTAGGTTTTCTCCTGTAGTAACACTGGATCAATAAGATATGATCCTTACTGGACCTCTAGGAAGAACAGTTTAGAACTGATAGAGCTATCCAGTATAAATAAAGTTAGTTTAGTTAAATTAGGTTTCCTTCTGTAGTAACACTGGATCAATAAGAGATGATCCTTACTGGACCTCTAGGAAGAACAGTTTAGAACTGATAGAGCTATCGAGCATGAATAAAGTTAGTTTAGTTTAGGTTATTATCATTATTACCTGACTTTTAGGGACAGTAGTTTCGAACTTACAGCTAAAGCTGTATGACATTTTCAATCCGTTTTATAGATCCAAACTCAGTAGAGAACCTGGTCTTGGACGCTGATGATGCCAAAGATTTTGCAGGCAGGATAGATGGCGATGTTCAGGAGAAACTTTAGTTTATCGTAGCTGTAACAATGCATCAGCTGTATTAATAGAAAATAATTAATTTATTCGCATTCTGTTAAAAACGACATGAAATTTTTATGTACACAGCCAATGCCTAGTCAACGTATCATCATAAAGATTAATATTCCTCATTTGATAGTTAGTAATGCAATAATATAGTTTGCTCAATCAATCAATCACAGCCACAAGTCATCAGAAGGGAGCCGTGTCTTCACGTCGCCCCCAGTCATCATTGACGTGTCTTTCCAGCGCGGTTTCTTGATATTTACTTCCACATGTAGACGTTTATGGAATAATATATATTATACTTCGGGGTTCTGCCATTTCCTACTAAATATTGCTTCATAAAGGCCAACAAACAGCCTGCAAATGTTCTGAAATTTTAACCCAGGAAGCTAGTGTTTGCAGTCTATCCTCACTCTGCTTCGTGACGTGCCCACAACGCCGGGAACCTAGGCCCTAGATCTCATTACTAACTGTTTTCACTTTCCACTGGCCGCTTATTCGTACCAGAATAATGAATTCTTTTTGGCGCAAAAACTCTGAACTGCCGCTAAAAATGAGTTATCGAAAAAGACCACATCATATCGTTTATTTCCATAAGGAATCATTCAAGACTTGTTTCATAACTATTATTGTAATTTGCTTATACAAATGATAGTTACTATAAACTGTCTATTCCTTTTGCTGCACCAGTGATCGCAAAAGGTTCATTCGACCTCATCCAGGGCTCATATTTATTTACCTCGGTAGCCCTTTCTGGTCGAATAATAAACTACTTTAAATTACTATATCAAGTCAACTTTCGTATGCTGCTTTCTAATGTCAGAAAATAGTGAAGTCACTCAATTCATTGTTATAAATATCAAAGCTCAGATGCACGGAATGACCTAATGCATATTTATGCCCCATTGCAGTCAATTCTCTTGTATGAGCTTTCATTGTTTACATCAACTGGATTCATCGAGATGGTATCCAAAAATATGACTTTGTTATCTTTATTATTCCAAGCTGACATTATCAGAACGCTAGGCATGTGAATTATCACGCTAGGCATGTGAATTATCACGCTAGGCATGTGAATTATCACGCTAGGCATGTGAATTATCACGCTAGGCATGTGAAAAAATACAACTTGCCCTCAAATATCCTCTGCAAATTTCCATCGTCCAGAGGTTGCTGGAAAAGTGAATTGAGAGACAATGGACAAAAAACACATTATTTCATGCCCGTGAAATGCTAAAAGAAGCAGACTCAACCTAGTCCAGTTTGAGAGACCAGTGACACCAGAGGAACCATTCGTACGCACAGATGGTTTTAAACCTGCTTAAATTAAATAAAAAACTTTTTGGACGCAAGTTTAGTTACGAATGCGAGAAGACGAATCTCATCTTTTACTTCATAGTCTTCGCCTAGGTACCAGGGTCCCACCTGAAAACCGCTTGTAACGGAAATATTTCAAGTCTTGACGCCACAACTAAGCAGGCTGAAGCAGCCAATCAAAAGGCTCAATACACGCGGAAGGAATGGATTTAAAAGCGACCACTACGGGCCCCGAATTGAAGAGGATTGCCAACACGATAATTCTGAGCTCTGTAGTTCACTGAGTCTCTGATGGCGTTTTGTTTAACTTTTTTCATATCTGCAGAGAAAGAAAGTAACTTGCAATATATATCACCACATAAATCATGACCGAGCACACACAGGTGACAATACTTTCCTTTCCTTTCCGGCCTAAAAGTTACACTATTTGAAGAAAATTGTAGTATAAACTCATGCACAGAGTTGAATTACACGCTGTTGGTTCTCTACAAGTCTATTTCACACTGAAATAATGTAAATACGTATATCAAACCTTCAATGGCGTTTTCTATTCGTTTCCTTAATCCAAGAGGTTCAAACCCAGCTTCCTTTAAATCATCCTTTGTTAACGATATGAATACATCCAAGCTATTTATCTAAAATTTAGAATAGTTCTCAGGTTTACAACAGTTAAGAAATCTTTAACTGAAATTTAGTTTCTATCCACCTCTAAACGCTTGAAACGGTCAGCCAAATCCTCCAAACGATACACACTAAGCACTTCTTCAAGACCTGCAAGATGATTAAAACAGAACATCTCTACAACGAGATAAAGATATCTTTAAGTAGGAAATATTCTACAGTAAACTGTCGTGGTTTGTGCGTAAAAAAGATGTCTCAAACGTGGTGGTCCAGTGTAGGTAGTATTCTAAAATAAGCTGTCGTGGTTTGAGCTGAACTACCTGAGAAAGATATCTCAAACGTGGTGGTCCAGTGTAGGTAGTATTCTAAAATAAGCTGTCGTGGTTTGAGCTGAACTACCTGAGAAAGATATCTTAAACGTGGTAGTCCAGTGTAGGTAGTATTCTACAATAAGCTGTCGTGGTTTGTGTCTGAACTACCTGAGATAGATATCTCAAACGTGGTGGTCTGGTGTAGGTAGTATTCTACAATAATCTGTCGTGGTTTGTGTCTAAACTACCTGAGAAAGATTTTACAATAAGCTATATGTATACACTGAGTCATGTGTTTCAAAAACTCAAATTACCTGATGACGTTACGACGCTTGCACTGGCCTTTGAACTGACTGAAAAGTAGATTGCATTAAACTATTATTTATTTTTTGCTGTCATCAAAAACTCGGGTATAACAAATTGCAAAGAAACAGTGAAGTATTATTTATCACATAACTACATCTGTACTCAATCAAGATTCACTTACAAGGACTTTCAATATTTTTCCTTTCCCTGGAAACCTGTTGAAGAAAGGCTTTTATAAATGCAAAATAAAACATCTATGAAAATTGAAAAATTAACATCTTGTCTAGAGATTGTGTTTATAATCGCTAAATTTGCGGTGCTACGACTATATAAAGCCTGACAAAACAGTTGTATTCAATCCTCATGAGGTTGCTGGAATCGTTAGTGAAAAGTTGGATCAAGACCAACAAACGACATGCAACTTGTGCGGCGTTTCAGTATCACGACAGAGTGTTGTATTGAAAGAAACTATCGAAAATTTTTAAGTCACCTGCATTGAAGCGCTTGGGTTTCGACGTACAGCTCGCTCAAGCTCTGGTTTTGCACTGTTCTGTTATGTAGCAAAACAAAACATTTAGAAACTCTTGAAATAGCACAAAGGATTGAGACTCAGTGATGGATTACCTCATGTGTCGGCGATTTTCTTTCCATCGCCTCTTTTTCGACCTAAAAACGATAAGTCAAATTATCAAGTTAATCATTCAGGAACAAATCTTTTAGATTAAGGTAACAAGGATTTGATTCTGGACGGGAAGAGAAGCAACACACAGATATCATTATCTCACCTCGGATTTCTTTATCGCTTGAAAATCGGTTGATTTGGAGAGATGCAATCCACTCCACATATCAGTTGGTACTCGGATTTGATTGTGAGCTATCTTCCCCTTCATCACTACGAAATTACAAGAAAACAGGTATTTTAGAGCGTCTGCAAAGATTTCACAAGCTTCTGGTTTCTTATTGCTTGTTTGCTTACCTTCAGTGGATAAATCCTTCTTCTTTTCGTAGTCAACAAACTGGAAAATAAAAACTTGTGTTGTTATGGGGTCTATAAACTGTTCTATTAACTCTCAGAGATAGTTTTACTATATCTCCTGATGCGACTAACAGTTATGAGTGTCTTCAGGTTACAAAGCGTTTCATCTACAATTGCACGTTTTTATGGAGTCTAAAAAGTAAAACGTACAATGGATTTTAAACATTTGTACCTTGTTTTGTGGGGCTGAATCCATCATTCGATCCAAGTTCAGCGAACTAAAGGAAATAAATTGCAGTGTTTAATATCACTTCGAGATAAACCAGTTTTAAAAAAGTCAACATTGACTCACGTGGAGGCGACAGAATCAAAAGAGCTAGAGGGATTTGAACCATGGGAATCCAGAAGCCGGTGGGATCTGAAAAATCCAATTATCGTTCAGTTCAGTTTATTTGTTGAGTTCAGTTTGTCCAATCCAGTCATTATTCAGTTCAGGCTTTAGTTTGTCCCAGCCTGGTTGAACATGCGATGTTCATTGAGTGTCTTACCCAGCATTCTTTATCCCATCAAGAATGGCGTACCGTTGTTTAGGAGCGGAAGCCACAAGCGATGGAGGACTGGTACGAGTGCCTGGGGCCTTGCTTTGGCTTGAATTAGGTGACGTATTCCACACGTCAGCATATGGCGTTGGCTCAGAATTTCTTCGAGCATGCGTGAAGTCGAACGACTGAGTTGGGGATCCTTAATATGGAAGACAAAAATGTGTCGGTACAGTGTCATTAATTTAGCAAAACCAGTAAGGATCATCTCTTATTGATCCAGTGTTACTACAGGAAAAAACCTAAACTAAACTAACTTTATTTATACTGGATAACTCTATCAGTTCTAAACTGTTCTTCCTAGAGGTCCAGTAAGGATCATCTCTTATTGATCCAGTGTTACTACAGGAGGAAACCTAAACTAAACTAACTTTATTTATACTGGATAGCTCTATCAGTTCTAAACTGTACTTCCTAGAGGTCCAGTGAGGATCATCTCTTATTGATCCAGTGTTACTACAGGAGGAAACCTAAACTAAACTAACTTTATTTATACCGGATAGCTCTATCAGTTCTAAACTGTTCTTCCTAGAAGTCCAGTAAGGATCATCTCTTATTGATCCAGTGTTACTACAAGAGGAAACCTAAGCTAAACTAACTTTATTTATACTGGATAATTCCATCAGTTATTTTTTCCCGCTATACCTACAGAAACCTGCAGTGTTTTCTCAGAGAACGAGCTTAGTTACCAACCTCCTTCTGAAGCAGCAGTGCGAACAATTTTTGAGAGTTCCGTATCAGCTGAGTTTGATCGTCTGTGATAATCCCCGTTGTTGAAACTTTCAGAGCGATGATGATGACGCCAAATATCAAATCCGGGGGGAGGGCGACTCTGACCATTAGGTGGGGACAGCCGACGTGTGAAAGGAACCGGTGAGTTTGACCTTATTGAATGTGGAGTGGGGGATGCAAGGGGTGAGACGTAGGGACTAGTCTGGATATTAGCATACCAAGGTGTGCCATGATGGGCGAAGGGCAAAGAGATGGGAGGTGGGTGTTGCATAATGTGAGGGTTCATGGGGTTACCCAAGATCTCAAGTCGAGTTAGATACATATTCTGAGCATTTTCCTCTTTGCTCTTTATTGTAACAGACTAGACGAAAAACACACACAGAGAGTTACGTTTCCAGTTGTGAAAACCATCAAGCTGCTCCTTATAAAGAAATCATTTACCTTGCTTGATTGCTTTGGCTTCGGTTTTATCGTTATCGACACGCAAAATTTCGTTTCAATCTGCTTCACTTTATCTAAAAAAAAATGATGAAAACATGACAATCATTTGGTCAAAGAAACGAGCGCCCTGCCATCAACAAAAAGAAACCTGGTTGATCTTGAAGGAACTTTGATTCTTCTTCCTTTAGATCAAACATTAACAGCAACGGCAGACAGTTCTGAAAAAGAGATTTCACCAGAAAAATATATCAGTTTTCTAACATAATTTTAAATGGGAATCTTTCGCAGATCTTTATCGACAATCATAGCTCTCGAAGTAAACACAACTTACAACAAGTGAGGATCTAGCTTGAATCACAGAGTGTATTGGTCCAGTTACAGTGATCATTCCATTTCGTGCGTTACTCCTAGTAGTGTCCGGGAGCTCAATCTTTGCCCCTGTTTGCTCCATAATATCCCTGATATTGCACGCTGAACGGCCGACCAGGAATATGTGATGTTGTGGTGCTACATCAAGATGTAACTGAACAACATTTGGAATCTAGAGAGGAAATAATTGACACGTATTGGTCATACAGTACGCACGTGTGGCGCTCATGATTGGTCAATCTCAGATTGACGCATTGATTTGATTCGTTTATAATCTCTGGGCCGTTTTATTTCAGGAAAAGACAAGTTACTAAGCTGCTTGAATGATATATTCGCCAAAAAATGGCAAATACGACCATGGTCATATATTCGCCAGAAAATGGCAAATACGACCATGGTCATATTCGCCGGAAAATGACAAATATACGACCATGGTCATATATTCGCCGGAAAATGGCAAATACACGACCATGGTCATATATTCGCCGGAAAATGGCAAATATACGACCATGGTCATATATTCGCCGGAAAATGGCAAATCATGGTCATAAATTCGCCAGAAAATGGCAAATATACGACCATGGTCATATATTCGCCAGAAAATGGCAAATATACGACCATGGTCATATTTGCCCACTGGTATCTGTGTTTAAAGCTTGGTTTCCTGGTTGTGAAAGCTATATGGAAACCAGACTTAAAACACCCAGCACGATCAATTCAGGTAAACTTTTGAGCAAATAGAATATGTTTATCAGTACGTGTTGCATATGTTTCTGTCGTTCTGAGAAGTAGTTATAAGGGCTGGTCTCCGCTGTCGCGTTTTTTGCAGGTACGTACACGCACGTGAAGGCTTAAAACCTTGTAAGTTGTTGTATAATGAATTTAATGCCGGAAAAAAACACCAATTCATCAACAGATTCCAACCCTGTGCATCTATTCAATCATTGATTTCCTAAGTGCAAAAAACGCGACAGTGGACCTATATCAGCTCCACAACACATTATCAGTGGAAAGATTCAGTTACCTCTGAGGATCCGGTGAGCTGTTTGGAAAGACATGCCATGGCTTCCTAAAAATAATTCAAAATCGTCACAAAGTCCAAAATATCGAGTGACACAATCCTATTAGACAAAGAAAAAAAAAGACTTGTTAAAAGTACCTGCATATACGCCACTCTGTCCTGACTGCCCCGAACTGCGACCACAAGACACCCTACTTGAGTTCTCTATGGGAAGAATAAAAAATATTCGATGATAAGTGTAAGTCGTCCCTATTTAAAACTCTGGATATGATTCAATCTATTCACGGGGAGAGGTGACAATTTTATCTGCATATTTTGTAACCGCAACGTGAGAAGTCTCCGAGCTTAATCTTTCGTGTCTTATTAGCCAGAGTTAATTTTAGCAGAGGAAGAAAATCGTGGCAATGAACTTCGACGAACGGAATTAAAAGGAAGCCACTAATCAGCCTCAAGTTGATGATATTAAACTGGGACGTCTGCAGACTTGTCGAGACTGTATTTTGTGGTGGATCGTTATCCAACCGCACAGGATATCACCAGCTTAAGCAGCATCATCTCAGACATCGGAGCAGTAAGCTAACCGCGTCTGTATTTACCAGAGCTTACTCACCCCCTTTGGCGTGAATGTGACATCATATTGTTGAGCGATGTTCTGGATTGACGGAATCATGGGATCAAGGGGTAGGAACATATTGTCATAATCGGGTATTTCAAAACACAGCACCAGTGGAAGCATTTCCTATGAAAATATAAATAAGTCATGGATTGCACCCGTAGCTAATTACCGCCATTATTCCGAACACACGACTTCTGCCTGAGCGGATTTAAATGCGTGTTAACAAGCAAAGAGCAGCCACTAGGATGATCTGTGGGCTCCTTTGTCAGGGGACCTTTTAAATACCATACGGTGAGATTCGTGGCTAGTTATTGAGCCAGTGAGAGTATGGAAACAGCAAATCACAAAGTCACATGGAGATACAATCCTTTAGAATCATGTAAACGGGGCTAGTCGCCTTTGTAGTCGACGAATTGTTAACTAAACTGGCTTAAAATATAACAAGATCAAATCAATGCGTTGTAATCTGGCTGGAAACAAGTGTTAGATAAACTTGTCCATGTCATCTTCGCAGTCGGGTACTATAATCGTTTTAATACTTACTCTTATTCTTAATCTGGCTTTTTCGACCCCCTCTGGTTGACCGGTAATGGAAACCTGTGAAGCCATTAATTAGATAAATTACATATCGAGGCGTTGACCGCTGTGAAACGTGTCAGGGAAGTGTGTGGGAGGGAGGTGATTAACGAGCAAACGGTCTCGAACCTGATTACTTTTCTCAACGCTGATTGAACCTCGATTTGAGTCAGGAAAGTGGATATGACAATTCGTCTCGTCCATAACTAGAAAATATATTATTTTTAGAAAAATTAACAGAAGAAACTGCGTAGTTACACAAAGCCAGCTTGAACAGTTCAACTGAAGGATACGAAAGCTAAAGAAACGATACGTTAACTCCGTGAAAGTTATATAAACGAGTTGTTAGATGCTAAGGCAATCGAGTTTCGTATCACTGGTCGCTAAAGTTCAAGAGAACAACAGTAAAAAGTGTAATTCCTAATGTCTCATTTTGCATTGCTTCTATCAGCTCTGCCTCATATCTTTACCTTTATTAATGCTCTGACCACGGCGTCCAATAATATGAGAATGGTCTGTGTGGGAAACGTCCATTTTTAGTGTAACACGATTCGCCTAAAAAATTAAAAAACAAACATTATCTTCATCATATCTAATTTTAGTGCAAAAAACCAACCAAACTTGACACGAGGCACTCTTCCAAAATGTTCTTCCTCCTAGAGGTCCAGTAAGGATCATCTCTTATTGGTCCAGTGTTACTACAGGAGGAAACCTAAACTAAACTAACTTTATTTATACTGGATAGCTCTATCAGTTCTAAACTGTTCTTCCTAGAGGTCCAGTAAGGATCATCTCTTATTGATCCAGTGTTACTACAGGAGGAAACCTAAACTAAACCAACTTTATTTATACTGGATAGCTCTATCAGTTCTACACTGTTCTTCCTAGAGGTCCGGTAAGGATAATCTCTTATTGATCCAGTGTTACTACTGGAGGAAACCTAAACTAAACTAACTTTATTTATACTAGATAGCTCTATCACTTCTAAACTGTTCTTCCTAGAGGTCCAGTAAGGATCATCTCTTATTGATCCATTGCTTTAACTTTGTTTACAATTGATAGTTCAGGCAGTTCTAAACTGTTCAAGAAATGATGCCAACTCTTTGCATGAATTACCTTTGACTCGAGTTTAGCGCCGACCATATCTTTCGCTTTCTTGACATTTTCAGGTAGACCAGCTATCTTAATGTGTGGATCTAAATAGAGAGGGTATGTTACTGGATTGAAGTTAGTGGTGAGAAACAAGTTTTTTCTTGCAACTAAACTAATAGCCCGGCACACAGCCACAATTCCAGATCAGTTGATAACAAAATGTCTGAATGTTCCTTATGGGCGTTCCCTCTTCTACTACCGTACGTAACACAATTTTTTGTTGAGTAGTTTCACCTGGAAGCCCGCTGGCTTTCAGGCGTGTGGTCCCGCTTTCTTCGTCACGTGGTGTCGGGTCCCAATGGCCAGCGGCAAGATTATAGCATTGCTTCAGGCATACTATGCTTCAGGAAATGCCGATAAAATCGCCAGAAATGAAGAATGGCATTTAATTTTTAAAGCATGTTTACCAGGAAAGCAAAGGAAAACTATGCCAAAAAAAAATCAGGAAATTTCGGGAGAATTTATATTTCGTGGCAACAGCAAAAGCATGCAAAACTTTTCAAATAGAAGATTTTGCCGTGGGCAAAAACAAAGTTTTCCGTTAAACGGCAGACATGCACAACAATTTCTTGGGTTGAAATTTAAGCTCAAAACGTTAATTTCTCTTACCAATTTGTCCAAAATTGCCTCAGGCAAGTTAGCGCTTAATATTATAATTCAAAATTCAGTCGAAATGGGCATTTGAACTTGCCATAAACCTTAATTTTAACATGACGACGAGGGACGGGGTACACGGTGGTCAAAACAGGAAGACGAAACGACGACAATGGCATTCGTTTGTTATTGCCTAATGACGTAATCGTAGTAATTTCCTGAAAGCATTAAATTGGTGTGAACAGTTGAGATTGCATGCCACGCAAACAACGCCAGAATAGCAACTTAGACAAACAATGTGTGCTTTCAACAGATAGTGAACTGAAAGACATGCTCGAATGAGAGTAAACAAAACAATGAAACAGTAAAGGGTAGAAGAAGGCAAAAAAATATCGCATTCATGCTATTTTATATAGTTTCTTTTGTAGCTGCAAATTCATTGAAGAATGTTATCGATATGGTGATATGAATATAGAACGGGTGTTCTGAAATCTATTTACAGATTATTATTCTTATTACTCATGCGAAGGAAATGGCTTTATTGACAAGAAAATATACGAGAAACGTCTGGACGTTTCGACCTAAAGGGATTTTGCATTCATTATCATTATACGAGCTAATAATGTTAGTCATGATAGCAAAAACATGCATGACATCAGGTTAAGGCGAGAAACGTCGCGACGCAAAAAAAAAGATGGAAGCACGATAATATTTATACTTGGTTGCATGCGGGTGACGTAAAGCTCCCATTTTTTTACAAAAACGAAAAATCATTTGGATTAACAACGCGCGTGAAGCTGCCCGCAGGCGAGCATTATGGAATGCAGATTCGATCATTTCTGATTTAGAACTCTCACTCACGGGCACCCTGAGCTTCTGACACTGACTGAGCACTGATAGAACCCACACTCACGGGCACCCTGAATCTCTGACACTGACTGAGCACTGGCTGAAATACGATAGGTCATGTAAGATGTCAACCTTATCTTTTAAAACTCTCTTTCAAAGATCCAAACACAGAATATTGGCTGAGGCGAGAGATTCTTAAAATCCATCCACCTCTACTAACGCTCAAATTAAAGTAGCCCTTCAAGTCGACAAAGTGAATCCTAAATCCTATATTTAAACTCGCCACTTTTGTACTTTGTAAACGCTGAAAGCCTGAAATAACTCGCTACGAACAATTCTGCGGGGTAAATGTCTGGCGTGCCATTCATCTGCAGTACAAACACACCACTTTATCCGTGGTGAGACCTTTTCTCATTTGAAGTAATGTATAAATACGCGATACATATTGAAAGATTGAATCAATTTTTTTTTAAATCGCCGTAATATCCTGAACGTAGTCAGGTTACACGCAGTATAGCTATCTAAAACATTCCTAAAAAGTTTATATTCTTTTTATCTGAGTGTTGAGCTGATAAAACATACACAATGAAGATCCGTTGACATCATATTTGCATATCTATATACCCTGAATTTTATAGTTTAGGAATGAAAGGAAACTAGTCAAGTTACAGCAGCTGACACCTCGAAGTCAAATGCGCAATGCGGAAAAACTTATCATTATACTTAAACCTGACCTTCTAATTTCGTCTCAAATTCACTTTGTTTATATTAGATAGCCTTATAATGATAAAGAAAGTCTGTTTATACTCGGTAGCCCTATCGCTTGCTAGAGGTCCTATTAAGTTCATTCTAAACAGCTCTATCAGTTCTAAACTGTTCTTCCTAGAGGTCCAGTAAGGATCATCTCTTATTGATCCAGTGTTACTACAGGAGGAAACCTAAACTAAACTAACTTAATTTATTCTGGACAGCTCTATAGTTCTAAACTGTTTTCCTGAGGTTCAGTAAGGATTATCTCTTATTGATCCAGTGTTACTACAGAAGGAAACCTAAACTAAACTAACTTAATTTATTCTGGACAGCTCTATTAGTTCTAAACTGTATTTTTCCTTGAGGTCCAGTAAGGATTATCTCTTATTGATCCAGTCTTACTACAGGAGGAAACCTAAACTAAACTAACTTAATTTATTCTGGATAGCTCTATCAGTTCTAAACTGTGTTTTTCCTTGAGGTCCAGTAAGGATTATCTCTTATTGATCCAGCGTTACTACAGAAGGAAACCTAAACTAAACTAACTTTATTTATATTGGATAGCTCTATCAGTTCTAAACTGTTTTTCCTTAAGGTCCAGTAAGGATCATCTCTTATTGATCCAGTGTTACTACAGAAGGAAACCTAAACTAAACTAACTTTATTTATGTGGGATAGCTCTATCAGTTCTAAACTGTTTTTCCTTAAGGTCCTAAACTAACTTTTTATACTGATTAATCCCATAAGTTATAAATTGTTTTTCCTAGAGGTCCGGTTGGGATTATCTCATATTTATCCATTGCTTCGCTGAATGCATGAAATTTTTCCATTATACCGAAAACATTGTGCGATTTTTCCATTCATTGGCCGCGTCAGGACGATGCCCTGAGGTGATGCGCTTGCAAGGCATCTGGGTATTCAAAAACAACGCTGTTTAAATTATGCATCATCGCTGTCAACAACAAGAGTTATTTTTGGTTTACGGTACCCGTGAAAATTTGAATAAGATGTATAAACAACGAGATGAGGACCCAAATCACCTAAATATAAACTTTATCGCAAAGCATTTGGTCAAGTAAAGTTCACGGTTTCAAAAAAATCAAAAAACACGCATGATGCGTGGTTTGATCACTTGCGCGTCAGAAAGTTCAATATGATTACGCCTTGTGCAAACAGTTTTGGAGATTACTGATTACAAAGTATAACGTGTGCATTGGGAACAGGTTATATGCGGATAAAAACCCGCAGGAATCAACAAGGAATATCGTAAGTCAACACCGTATATAGGTATTAAATTGCAAGGATTGAATTTGCATTGTTCTTCAAACAGTTGGTGTCAACTTACAAAAAACAAACTTTGCGCGGCGTATACACATAATATATCGTATCAAAAATGCGATTAGGTTTGAAAAGATTTTGAAACTTGCGCTCGGAATGCAAACAAAAAGCTAGTTTAGTTTTGATTTCCGCTGTAGTCACACTCGATCTAATACGCGGTAGTCATTCACAGTTTGAGTGCATAAAAGAGTGCCTTAACGCTGACCTCCAAAATAGCTCAAGTTATTTAGTATAGAATGAAACTGGTTTGTTTAGGTTAAAAGTAGCAGTGTTTACTACGTCCCGATATAGTTTGTATACATTGTATAGTTCACATGTTATGTTGACAATACTTTACGCAATATTTCCAGTGTTGTTCATGGAACAATAGATGAACAATAGTACAATACAGGACGACCTTTTTTACCAACCTTTTTTGGACTTTGCCCCAATCTTTAATTTTGTCGGCCAGCTTATCACGGTGTCTGTTTCGCCCATGATCTGAAGAAATTAGCCTTCACGTTAGTGTCCGTTTGCAATAGCAGAAGAACTGAAACTCAACCGAAAGAACGTGTGCAAAATTTGACCTGGTTAAAAAAATCGTCGGCCGAGTTACGCCCGTCTTCGCCACATTCTGCAAGAGAATTAACAGCAATCGATCAGTTTTAGGTAGCTGTGTTTATAAAGTCGTTATTACGAGCATATATGCAACAGTGTTATTTAATAGTCAAAGGCCAATAAAGTTCCGCAAATCTGAAACATTGCAACTGGATTTTCTGTTGGCTTGAGAATTCTTTCCTCGTGTGTGCGATTTATCATGTAATGTCTAAACATTTGCAGCATGCAAATTGCTCACAGGTATGTTCCAAATATTGATAATCGCCATCAGAAATTCGCAGCTAATTCGCCCGCGTATATTAAACGTGAGTATGTTTGCTGTTGACGGCGCTGATGACTGAGCAAATCACTACGGAAATATGAACTTCTCGCAAACTTTCAACTTTTTTGTATCGTTGCAAGTCAATATCAGACGTGCAGTATAAATCACGCATTCTCAATTACTGCATACAATTAATAAACCGTAGCGCATTTAATTCAGAATCGTTCGACGGACAGACTCAAAGCTTTGAACATACTTGCAAAGCTTCAAAATATATTTTATAATTGTAAGCGTATCGTGTAACAACAATCCACATTAGCAACAGTTAATACGCGAGAATTGTTGTTAACGAAATTCTACCGCGCTGCATAGGGTAACCGGTTGATACACCACGCGCATATGTAAACTAAATGAGATTTATGTAAATACGAGCTTGGGTTTTTTTGTTTAAACTTGCTTTATCACGATACCTCGCAACATTTGTTCAAGCTTTCTCCGATCCACGCGAAATTTCTCTCCGTGTCCATGGTTGTCTTGCTCGTTCGGTGTTTGCGTCCCAGCAACCGTTATTTCATGCTCCGTCTCTTCCACGACGGCTGTCAAATTATGCTCCATCTTGCTTACAATATGCAAGGCGTCTGAAGTTTCTGCCGAATAATTTACTTTCCCTTCGAAGTGTGAGCTGAGCTACAGAGCGTGTCACATGCTTTGTGATAATCATATACGCTGGCAGCCAATCAGAGCGCTGCTCGAGGATTATATATAGACCTAGTGTTTACGCATTTTGGCATATCGGCAGGTCGGCGTGATCTACGGAATTATAAATAACTCAACCACAGTTAGTGAAAAGACAATAGTTTCAGCGTCGTTTGGCCTTAAGGCATGTCAAAAAAGGTCATTTGATACGACAAAGCTATTGTGAATGGTTGTTTTTTTCTTCGAAACACGCAGCGCGGATGGTTGAGTAAGCGTATCAACGAATATCGGGGAGAGGGAATTGGAAGTTTTCTATGCACCCAGAGGCGATACAAACACAGAATACAAACAAAGATTTATCATTCTTGAAACGTTTTACTAAATTAGAATCAAATAGTAGAACTCGCTTAACTTTTAATTAATAACAAACCACAAAAAAGTAAACATTCGCTGTTAAAATTGTAGGCAGTTATTATAAATTTCATGGAAAAAAATCACAGACTAAGGTTGATATGGCCAATTAAATATAAACTACTTGTATAGAATTTCGATTTCACCATTCGTTTGAAACGTATATGAGGTCAGGTAGAATAATTCACATTTAATCACTTGACAAGCTTTATGCCAAAGAGTAGCTTACGCCCTAGGGGTCGTGAAGGGTAATTGTCATTTAACTCATTTTCCGTTTATTTTTCCGGGTTTTTCTGTTAATTCGTGAGAAATATTTTTAATCACAACGGATGAGTTTCACTGCATTTCCGGGGGCTTTGTCAGAATTCAGAATCCAACATTCCCCAATCTCGAAACCAGAGCCCACGATCCATCTGGGGAAGGCGTCGGTTCTGGTATCGAGAGTTTCGAGATTGAACATTCCCCCGTTACGCTCCTCTCCCTAGCTCCGTGGTCCCTGGATTCCTACCTCTTCAATGCTTCATTGGTTTTAAAATTTGGACATTAGAGCATCAATATACGGTGGTAATGTAATATTTTTATAATCATCAGTAAATGTATCATAATCTTAACAATGAATTGTTTTGAATAGAAATGTTTGAGCATTTACGATTCTTTTTTCTCTTTTCTTTTTTCCAATGCTTCATCACGAAGCGCCAGAAGACCTTTCATCACCACCAAACGCATTAACCAAACTGGAACTAGACTCGCTATAAAACCCTGGAGTGGAGTGGAAACAGAAATATTTAGCGCGAATCTCAAGACTGGGTCAAACCACACTGCGGTCAAACGAGATGATTATGATAATGATATGTGTTCGCATATTTTTTATGACATGGACATGAGGAAAGGAATTTTTAGATGACAGAAAATCGAGACAGAAGCTGTCGTGTAGGAAGTAGTTGCTGTGTTTTAGTTGCAATATAGTCCTAAACCTTTCTTGATTCATTGCGCTAATTCAATCCACTACCTGTAGATCGTGTGGCCAATATCCATGGCACTGTTTAGAGACTCCAACTTTTCTCAAAACACTGCGAACATAGCTGTCAGGAAATGGAGTGAACAATCCCGATGTCTTGATACCAGACATCTTTGTTGCAACAAAACAGGGTAATACGCTCTGTAAACAGAAGGAACATTAAACGATATGGCTGGAAACATTCTTGGTAGAACAGCTTGATGATCCTTACTGGACCTCTAGGAAGAACAGTTTAGAACTGATAGAGCTATCCAGCATAAATAAAGTTAGTTCAGTTTAGGTTTCCTCCTGTAGTAACACTGGATCAATAAGAGATGATCCTTACTGGACTTCTAGGAAGAACAGTTTAGAACTGATAGAGCTATCCAGCATAAATAAAGTTAGTTTAGTTTAGGTTTCCTCCTGTAGTAACACCGGATCAATGAGAGATGATCTATATATACCTGGACTATTATTCCCTTGTCTCCATATTCAATTTGAAGAGATTCAGAAAGTTTGTCCATGAAAGCCTATTGAATAGAAGAAGTCCTATAATGTGGAATAAACAAGTGGATTTGAAATAGATTTGAAAATGCAACAACCAATAAAAAATCAAAAGCATTCTGTTCCACCTTAGTCCCACTATATGGACCGAGAAGAGAAATGGGTATAATGGCAGCAACTGATGCAACATTTATTATAATTCCCTTTTTCCTACAGAAAGAGAAATTAATTTTTGTATTCACTAGCTACACTTGGCAATCACACTTAAAATATCATTTTCAGGTAGTTTTCATTAGAGTGATTAGACTATTATATTAACTATAAATTAATAATATATTAATATATATTAATTATCATCGTTGGAAGAAAAAATGGAGAAAAAAAGCAGTGATACCTTACAACCATGGAAGGAATTATTAATTTTGTTAACTAAAGGGGAGAAAACTCAATGAAATATACTTGAAGTTTGCTGTATTAGCAGGATATACAAAGCACTTGAATACAAAAATTTACCATGGTTGTTGACATCACATTAACATTAATCTGTCTCCAAATATTCTAAAGAACAGCATTCACAAATTAGACATGTTAAATTCAATGTTAATAAATAAATACCACTCGTTTATGAGCTCTTTTTGAAAGAGTAATTCATTTTGATTGATTAATAAAATAATCACCACAGAAGGATAATATTCACACACATTCACAACACTTGAATGTAATCTTTGTGTGGTGATTACTTTCATTAATCAAAACCAGAGTAGCGATAATTGAGATGGATTATATACCTGGTTGCTGGGAACCTATTAACTTTAATTTAATTGAACAATATTATGATGAACAAAATTTTAGCAACAAGCCAACAAACCTCGACTGAAACCTCATGGAAGAATGCAGGATATGGGAGAGCGAAACCAACATTATTAACTAAAATATTTAACATTCATGTTACAATTGAGTTCATGCAGCACCCAAGGTTATTCTGTTACCAATTAAGGCAAACAATGCTACCATTCACTAGTATTTATAGTCAGGTCTGAGACAAAATATATCAGGGTAAAATATGAGATCATGTATTCAATTGCCAAGTTGGCATTTTTAACAATTAACCATACAAGAGGAATACTGACCTAACACACCAATCTCAAATCCTTCAAGTTCTTTAGCAATTGGTTCATAAATCTCATGACCTCCAGAGAAATCAATCTTGATTACTTTGGTTTTGACTTTATGCTCACTCTCTGCCAAGAAAAAAAACTACTTCAATAAAATGAAATTTATACTTCTCTGAACAATAAAGTCAAAGTTCCTTTTTGCCAAAGAGGATCATGTGCGGAACTAACCAATTTCAGAAGCGACTGCATCCAGTTTCTCTTGGCTGCGACTCATCAGAATAATGTTTAGACCTTTGGCTGCCAACTAGGAATCAATACTGTACACCATTCATAATGCAACTAACGAAACAACTTTCTAAGGGTACTTTTTGATCATTTTGCAATGATTTGAACAGTGTTATGATGGTCAAGTTTACACAACTTTCTAAACTAACATTGATATTATTTATCATCTTCTATTAAGTCAGTGTATTAAGGGCCATGTTAATTGTTGATCACCTGTTTAGCATATTCCTTGCCAATGCCATCAGTACTTCCTGTGACAACTACAGGGGATAGAAATAATTACATTACAACTGGGTTAATAAAATATCTGGGGTGAAAAAGAAAAACCAAGTTAAATGCAATTTAATGCATACGTATTAAGCAGATTGATTTCTGTCAATAGCTCATCACTGGTTATGAATAAAGCAACAGACTGGAGACTCGAACAGTCAAACTTTCAGTAATCACCAGCTAGTAATTAACTTATTAACTGCTAATGAGTAATCACCAGTAATTAACCTATTACTTGCTAATCAGTAATCACTAGACTCATTTACTGCATATAATTGAAATTCTAGTCTTCACAAAAGCAAAACCAACACTCAGATAATTGCATTGCTGTATTTGTTTGCATAGGATAAGTGCAAATAATCTTATTCATAATTCAAGGCAGTCAAATATATATTCGTGCAAGAAATTCGTTATCTATACCTGCCCACTCGCCATAGCGTCTGAAATCAAGATTTCCTCCAAGAAGAGTTGTTCTAATCACGTCTAAAACCAGCTTTAAAAGCTTAAAAGACAAGTACCACACGCAGAGGGTACCGATTAGACAGGTCACGTCTGCGAACGACATTATTTTGCGAAAATCGAGAGATAAAGCGAGATTTTGACCCAGATTTTGCAAAAATTACGCAATGACTTTCCCGATTCGTATCAAGCCTCAAGGGCGGAGTAAACTCAGTAAAGCCTGGTTTTCATGTCGTAACTCGTCGGCGCGGCGATAGCATTGTCGGTGGTCAGTGATGCGTAAAATCTTTTGCGTATCGAAGGAAATTATACACAACTGCATTGATCACCGACAATAGATCTTAGAACATCGCCAAAGGTCATTTGATACGACAAAGCTATTGTGAATGGTTGTTTTTCCTTTGAAATCTGCAGCGCGGAAAATATATTTTAAAAATTATTATAAAATAAATGTTTATATATTTTCCCTCCACCTCTGTCCTCCACCTCTGCCCCACCCCCTCTTTGGCGTGGATGTTTGAATAAGCGGCCAGACTTCAGAATCCAACATTCCCCCGCATCCCTCCCCCCCCCTCCCATCCCTAATGTAAAAAATAGTTCCGTGTTCCCCGCTAGATCCCACCTCATCAATGCTTCATTGGTTTTAAAATTTGGACATTAGAGCACCAATATACGATTGCAATGTAATATTATTTTTTTAAAATCATCAGTATATGTATCATAATCTTAACAATGAAGTGTTTTGAATAGGAATGTTTGAGCATTTACGATTCTTTTTTCTCTTTTCTTTTTTTCAACGCTTTATTGCGAAGCGCCAGAAGACCTTTCATCATCAGTAAACTCGTTACCCAATATGGAAGTAGACTGCCTATAAAACCCTGGAGTGGAGAGGAAACAGAATTATTTAGCACGAATCTCAAGACTGGGTCAAACGAGATATGTGTTCGCATATTTTTTATGACATGGACATGAAGAAAGGAATTTTTGGATGGCAGAAGCTGTCGTGTGGAAAGTAGTTGCTGTGTTTTAGTTGCAATATAGTCCTAAACCTTTCTTGATCCATTGCGCTAAAAGCCGCTAATTCAAACTTGGGAAGACGGGCGAACCCAAGCTTTGACTGCCCTTCACAGAATCCACTACCTGTAGATCGTGTGGCCAATATCCATGGCACTGTTTAGAGACTCCAACTTTCTTCAAAACACCGCGAACATAGCTGTCAGGAAATGGACTGAACAATCCCGATCTCTTGATACCAGACATCTTTGTTGCAACAACAAACGGTAATACGCTCTGTAAACAGAAGGAACATTAAACGATACGGTTGGAAACATTCTTATATGATCTCTTGGTAAAACAACTCAGATTAAATAGTATCCGATATAATAAAGTTAGTTTAGTTTAGGTTCCCTCCTGTAGTAACACTGGATCAATAAGAGATGATCTTTACTGGACCTCTAGGAAGAACAGTTTAGAACTGATAGAGCTATCCAGTATAAATAAAGTTAGTTTAGTTTAGGTTTCCTCCTGTAGTAACACTGGATCAATAAGAGATGATCCTTACTGGACCTCTAGGAAGAACAGTTTAGAACTGATAGAGCTATCCAGTATAAATAAAGTTAGTTTAGTTTAGGTTTCCTCCTGTGGTAACACTGGATCAATAAGAGATGATCCTTACTGGACCTCTAGGAAGAACAGTTTAGAACTGATAGAGCTATCCAGTATAAATAAAGTTAGTTCAGTTTAGGTTTCCTCCTGTAGTAACACTGGATCAATAAGAGATGATCCTTACCTGAATTATTATTCCTTTATCAGCATATTCAATTTGAAGAGACTCAGAAAATTTGTCCATGAAAGCCTAGCAAGTATGAAAATGAATCTTATAAAGCGGATTTTTTCAGATATGAAAACATTAAAAAATTTTCAATTTGTATAATTGTATAAAAAAGTCAAAAACAATTCTGTTCCACCTTAGTTGCAGAATATGGTCCGAAAAGAGGAGCAGGAAGGACACCAGCAGCTGATGCAACATTTATTATAATTCCCTTTTTCCTACACAAAGAAATTTAATTTTTGTAGAATACTTTAATGGACCTTTACGTTTATGATATCTTTTTCAGGTAATTAAGCCTCTTCTATCAATCACACTCAAGAAAATGGACAAAACTGTGCACAACAAGATTATACCTCTCAAGCATAGAAGGAATGATCAGTTTCGTCAACTAAAAAAAGGAAAATTCAATCAAAGTTCAATGCATTAACAGCATATGTAAAGCATATGCTTGAATGCAAATAACTCACCATTGTTGTCGACATCACATTCACATTGATTTGCGCAGAAACATTCTAAGGAACAGCATTCATGATTTAAATATTAAAATTCAATATCAATTAATATACCAATGCTCTCAGCAAGGGATGGATTTAATGGGACGGAGATCCTAACCTAGTCCAGAGGGGGGTTGTAACTTTTGGTTTCAAATTCAAATTTGGGGGATTACGCATTTTTTGAGTCCCAGGTAACAGTCCGGTAATAGCATATCGTCTTGTTTTTATCATTTACTGAACAAAGATACATTCTAATATTCCTAACAGCTGGTGCTTGCATGCCACCAACCATTGTTCGGCGACTGGCCTGCCACCATGGACCATCAGGGCTGCTCTATAGTCTCTTCTGAAGAGCAATTCATTTGTATGTAATTGAACAATATTTAAACAAACAACAAACCTCAACTGAAATGTCATGGAAGAATTCAGGATATGGAACACTGAGACCAACATTATTAACTAAAATATTTAACATTCATGTTACAATTGAATTTAGCACCAAGGGTGCTTCTCTTACCAGGACAAACATTGCTACCATTCAATAGTATTTATAATCAGATCTGAGATAAAATATATGAGTATAAAATACAAAATCATGCAATAAATTGCAAGGTGGACATTTTTAACAGCAATAGGAAGGAATACTGACCTAACACACCAATCTCAAATCCTTCAAGTTCTTTGGCAATTGGTTCATAAATTTCATGACCTCCAGAGAAATCAATCTTGATTACTTTGGTTTTCACATTATGCTCACTCTCTACCAAGAAAAAATAATGACATTTTATACTTCTCTGAATAATGAGGTCAAAGCTCCTTTTTGCCAAAGAGGATCATGTGCGGAAGTGGAACTAACCAATTTCAGAAGCAACTGCATCCAGTTTTTCTTGGCTGCGACTCATCAGAATAATGTTTAGACCTTTGGCTGCCAACTAGAAATCAATACACCATTCATGATGCAACTACGGTACTGAAACAACTTTCTAAGGGTACTAAGGGCCATGTTAATTGTTAATCACCTGTTTAGCATATTCCTTACCAATGCCATCAGTACTTCCTGTGACAACTACAGGGGATAGAAACAATTACATTACAACTGGGTTAATAAAATATCTGGGTTGCAAAGAAAAACCAGCTTAAATGCATACTTATAATAGCAGAGTTTTGTCCAACCAGTCAATAGTTCACGCTGGTTATCAATACAATTCGTTAATATTCATATACATATATATTAGTGCTATATGACCCAATATATTGTGAAGTATATATTCAAAATCTCAATGCTCAAAACATCGATTGCAGAAAAACACGAGGAAACAGTGGAAATCCTCTTCACTGAGCATATTATAACTTACAGTACCTGCCCACTCGCCATAGCGTCTGAAATCCAGACTTCCTCCAAGAAGAGTTGTTTTAATTACGTTTAACACCAGCTTTAAAAGCTTAAAAGACAAGTAACACGCGTACAGCGTACCGATTAGACAGGTCACGTCTGCAAACGACATTATTTTGCGAAAATCGAGAGAAAAAGCGAGATTTTGACTCAGATTTTGCAGAAATTGTGCAATGATTTGGAAATTGTCCTTCGCCCCTTGATTCCCGATTCGTATCAGGAGCGGACTGGTACCACTGCCGCAAAAATTGTCGACGATTGCTCGGCGCACGTCTTAGCGGGTACTAGTAGTGGTTACCACAGATATACCTATGGTGATTACCGTCGGTTGCATAATACCTCTACTACCATATTCTGACGTATGGAATGTAGTCTGTTATTGCTAAAAATGTGCTAATATTCAAACGCGCAATGCAGTGGCTTAGTGAGAAAATGCCTCCCTCAGTGTTCTGGGAATTGAACCCAGAAGCCACACACGTGTTTTTCAGTATCACTATAAACGAACACGTTTTGGCTTGGCCCCAGACATGGACACTGTTTTTAAAGCCAAACGAAAAGGAGGGAAACCGGAGTGCCCGGAGAAAAACCCTCCAAAGATAACCTGAATTTCAGGTTACCTGACCGGCGGTCCGAATTTGGTATTTTTCATTTAGAAATCGTCCGCAATGACAGTTCAATTTTTGCCTATAGTTCATCGTTTCAATTTGCGGTCATGCCATGCAATTTTTCAGCTTCGCCAATTTCATTTCATTTCATCCTGATGGTGGTCTAACGTGCGCGCGCTGTTTAAATTCTAATGAAACTGCGCTTTGTTCGACAGTGGCAAAAAAAATTATTTCAATTTTTTAAATGCTCATTTTATTATCATGCTTTTTTTGGAAATCGGCATTTTTGAAAGAAATTCTTCATATTCACGACTTGCATGCTTTTTCATCTCAAACCGATGTAGACAACAACACTCTTCAACCGGCTACCCCTTCTTAAGACATGTACCCCATGCATCGTTAATTTTTTTTTATAAACCTAATCGGGTTCAACATGCAACTTACTCAAATATGGCTAATCGATGTCCCTTACCTTTGTCACCTTTGGTAAACATTATTGGCCGAATTTCACTTGCTTCTCTGCTCCATTTCAAACAGTCGCGTTCTTCTTCAACAACATCTCGACGGTGGGGCGTGCAAGGAAATAAACAACATAGTAAGTGTGTCAAAATGCAAAAGGTTTTCTTTAAAGAGTTGGCTTTTCAGGCAAGAGGGTACTGTACCATATTAACCTACAGTTCAACACTATACCCTCCCCCCCAAGATAACCCCATTACAAGTCCAGTTATCATGCAGTGTAATATATCATGTCATATAGGAGGTATATATTTTCCTTTTTATACAAACTTTATTTCTTTCATGTGTCATGCAAAATTAAATATTTCATTAAAATTAAAAGGGAACAGAAGAGTGTTAGTGTCTAAACATCAAACAGTCATTTTTTCTTCATTTCAAATTTAATAATTCGAATTTAAATGTTGAAAGACTAAAGTATAATTTTTGATGCCACTGACGAACAATCCTTCGAAACGGTCGCATTTTAATTAACAGGCTGAACAGAGAACTTATATAATCATATAAGTACTCGCGATTACCTTCGTATTGAGCTAAAATTAGGTCAATACGAAATTTGATTTGATTTTCTCTTTGCGTGCGCGTCGCCCATGCTAGTTGCATTTTCTTACTTTCATTTCAGTTAACGCTTTAAAGCCATCATGCATCTGCCGCAGCTGTTAAGTCGTTCACACACAAGTGACAAAATTAGAAATGTTTCATCGAGAAACCTCGAAAACGCCCTCATAAGAGCTGTGAGAAATTTTCTGTTATCATGCATTGTCGAAAAGGGTGAAATGTCACTTGATGTGTGAATGTACTAAGTTAGACCACCAGGAGGAATCAATCCTAGAATAAGTCATGCACAAACATTAATCATGCACAAACATTAATCATGCATTACTCTAATTAGTATACTTATAGTATATACCTCAACCAGCTTCTACTTGTACACTTGTCTCGTCGTCCATTCTTGGATCCCGCGACGATCCTTTATCATCTGATCCTGCGACGATCGTTCATCATCTGATCCTGCGACGATCCTTCATCATCTGATCCTGCGACGATCCTTGAAACATCTGATCCTGCGACCATCCTTCATCATCTGATCTTGCGATGATCCTTCAAACATCTGATCCTGCGACGATCCTTCATCACAAAAATATGATATCATTAATTTCCAAGTCAGAAATGTCACTGACATATAAAGCATTCAGTTTAAAATGATCACGCACTCAAAACCAGATTGTACAGACCTCCAACATCTCCTACGCCACTCGTCCAAGGCCTTCGCATTGCGCACGCGAATACAAAATGTCATGCAAGTTTTGTAGGAAATATTTATCATTTTTTTCATGCTCCCGAGTAAACTGAAACACTCGACTATTATCTCCTTCAAGAAATACAATTTCTCATGCATTTTTATGATTTAGGCGCTCTGTGAGCGATATTTTTTATCCGGACTATTGTCGTTCAAGATGGAAAAAATACAAGTGATGGGGCCCCAGATCACTTGTATTTACTCCGCATGCGCTTGACACGACCAGACACATGCAAAAACTGCAATCCGAAAAGTTGAAAATCAAGGAGGTAAACAGAAGAGTGTTCAGTATATCTCAGTCAAAAAGCCAAATCCCATGCAATTTTACTCATGCATATTTTCATGCGCCGAAATCAAATTAAGTTTTGTATTTGCGTGCATAAATGTCGCCCAAGGCAGCTCCGACATCTCTCGACTAAGGGAATTCATCGATTCCATTCATTCTAAAAAATGTGGTTTAAAGTTTAAAAAAGTTCGATTAAACTATATTCCAGTTTCGCCTACCGTTAGACGTTTTATTTGAAGTCACAAATCACAAATGCAAAATACAAATATATTTATAGAACAATACCTATTATTCACTGCGAGCAAGCGTTTGTGCTTTGCCTTTCCCATCTTTCGGCGCCGTAGTTCGTTCTGAAATGAAATAAGGCAAAACGTCAAGTTAACAGCTCACTTGCATTTCACATTTTCAATCGAAATATACAAGTGATATGGCAGTGAAAATCGGCAAGAATATGCCTCCAGTCGCTAATGTCTTCTGGTTATTCAAATCATCACGATGAATTAATTTGCAAAGCTAAAGTCAGTATAACGATCAAGCCAATAGTGAACACATTCTTTAAACAAACTATGAAAATGTACCTGAGCAAGATTCTTCCAACTTTTCCCTGAACTTCTACGAGTGATCCTTCCTTCTTCGTCGCTACAAAGTATGAGTTTATCTCGAATTTGACCACCTTTTATTACCTCAAAGAACATTCCAACGAACAATGCACTTTATTCATCGATCACAACAGTAAGGCCTGTTTCAAACGACATTCTTCTCATGTACCGAACGCATTAACAACAATAGATAATGAGGTATCTCGATTGATTAACTATTGTTTTTAATGTTTTCGGCAAATTAGAAGCACGACGTTTGAACACTGAGCCTAAAAGACTTATGTAAATAATGTAATTTCCCCGATTTGCCGGAATAAATTAGCCAACAAAGTTTTGCAGTCTCAGGGCAATACTTTGCATATTTCTATTGTCCGTTCAACAAGATGGCGGACGAAGTTACTGAAGTAGAAGGAGCACTTCATCCAGGAATTATATAGCTCACTGTAATACGTGCAGTTGGTAACGTAAAATGATGGAATATAAATATGGTAAAGTTTCAACAAGCTACGAGGAAAACAAAAGACGAACAAGAGATTTCCGTATTTATTTTTCAATCTCTAACACAACATATATGTATATTAGCTGATAAAACTAAATCAACAAAGCTTTTTGTTTTATGAGTGATAACAAAATTTCAATCAAAGCGCTTTCTTCTGTCGATAAAACACCCCCACCCAGAATTCACAGACATCCTTTCATACAGAGGCTAATGCAGCGATTGATAGCTATCATTCATTCCGTCACCCGCTGACATGTGCGATCGAGTCAAAGTCTCCGATACTGTTATTAATCGCTGTCGAACTTGATTGAGTTTACTGACGTGTCAATTTGACCACCACGATAACTTCCGCGTTTCTTCTTTGTTTTCTCGTGACGAAACGATTTTCCTGAAATAGAAATAAACAATTCGTATAACTATCTGTACTGGATAGCTCTATTAGTTCTATAAACTGTTTTTCCTAGAGGTCCAGTAAGGATCATCTCTCATTGATCCAGTGTTACTACAGGAGGAAACCTAAACTAAACTAACTTTATTTATACTGGATAGCTCTATCAGTTCTAAAGTAAACTGTTCTTCCTAAAGGACCAGTAAGGATCATCTCTGACTGATCCAGTGTTACTACAGGAGGAAACCTATTTCACCAACCTTTAACAAATTTCAAATCACGGTTTGCTTTTTCTCCCCAACTCCCCGTTGCTCCTCTCTGAAAGGAAAACCACAACATGAAAATTGTGAAGTAATTTCTATGTACACTTCACAAACTACGATTCGTCTTCACCATGATTTATTTCAAGGTTATGGACGAGACAGAACACTGGGGTGGGAAGAGTAAAATACAAGAACGTCTGGCAAGCTGAACTCTCTTTTTATTGTGCGTTACCTTCGCTTCAAAACTATTATCTTTCAGTCTAAGATCAACGCTCACGTTCTCAGAAACGACTCTTCGGAATGGCATCGGTGTTGTGTTCTGAAACAATTTAAAAAATCATCGTTATATACTGTAGTGGTTGTATGGTCGTGGTTGAAATGGTGTAAGGAATCTTACTTCATCCTTTTTCGACTTTTTCGCTTTTGGGATTGAGTTGGGCGTCGATGTATCTATGGAGATAAATACAAAGTATTTAGTTTGGTATACAAAGATGTTTCATGATATACTTTTCCAGTACAAATGCAGAACAACCTGGATTTCATTGCCTTGTTTAGTTTACAGAACTTACTTTTCTTGTTTAAACTCTCGTTGTTGAACTGCAAAACACAAATAGTTTGCGTCGATGAATGTATTATATTATTGTATAAACAACAAAGTAAACAAAAAAGTGAACAAAAGTGTAAACGGAAAGCTATCCAAATGAATGCATACCGACACTTCGCTTGTATCTGTTCCAAACTTTTTGCTAGGAAAAATAAAACATAAAAAACCGAATGAATATTTCTTCGCTGCATGTCAGGATAATCCTAGAAGACGTGCAAGAAATTCAACATATGGACAAAGGGCTTTATTTTCTCAGTAAATATTTCTCTTAAAATGGTTAATTCCTAAAGGTATTATTCAAAGTTCAAAAAACAGATTCGCCCTAACCTTTTCTCCTTCGTCTTTTCATCTGTATCCGATTCGTCACTTGATTCAGAAGAAGACGACTCGGTAGAGCTATCTTTCCCATTTACAAGACTTTCATTCGTCTTCCCGCTCTTTTTAACCTTCTTCGCAACTGTCTTGCTGTGATTTTCTTCATCAACACTCTCATCGCTGGAACTCTCTCGCTTTCTCTTTATTCCAGTTGTATGTAAGCTTCCATTCTTTAAGCTTGACTTGTTCTTACTGTCCTCTGTTTTCTCGCTACTAGAAGAGGATTCATCGCTACTACCAGAAGAGGATTCATCGCTACTCTCCGACTCTTTTTTTTTATTTTTTCCTCCAGCATTTCCCTTCGCATCTTCCTTTCCTTTCGTTTTTGTGTTTTGTTTTTGCCCAGAGTTTTCTTTGCTTTTAGATTTTCCCTTTTTCACACCTTCGCTTTCATCGGAGTCTGACTCACTTTCATCACTGGATGAATCTTCCTCAGTTTCTTCATCTGAACTGTCAGAACTCTCATCACTACTGGGATCTTTCTTATCCTTAGTTTTCACCTTTCCCCCTCCAACATCTTTCTCAACTTTCTTCTTTTCATCTCCAGGTTCCTCACTTTCTTCTTCAGAATTGGATCCAGTTTCACTGCTCGATTCCTGCTCCTTACTTTTTAAATCTTTTTTCTTCACTATTTTACTTGTGCCATCATTCTTACTCATCTTACTTTGTTTCAAATTCTTCTTCATCACTTCAGATTCCTCCTCTTCATCAGAACTGCTTTCAGATGAATCACTTTCACTAGAACTGCTTTCTTTATCTTTGCCTTTCACTGGTAACTTTTTCTTTTCTGTTGGTTTAACTTTGCTGACAAGTTGTTTACCTTTTGTTATTGTTTGTTCTTTATTTTGATCAGAGCTGCTCTCAGATGATGACTCATCTTCGCTGCTGTCCTTTTTTACTTTCTTTTGTGACTTTTGCCCTTTTTCAGCTGTAAACAAGTCTTTCTTTCCTGCCTTCTTACTCAATTTTTGCACCTTTGATATCTTCTCTGTTGCTACCTCATCTTCAGACTCTGTACTGCTATCTTCTGAACTACTAGAACCTTCACTCGACTTATTTTTGTTGGCTCTCTTCGAACTGTCTGTTTTCTTTGCCTCGGACTTCTTTTTACCCAAAGCTTTGTTAACTGTTTGTTCATCCTCTGATTCCGAACTGCTTCCTTCAGAACTACTAGAACTACTAGAACTGCTCTTTCTTTGCTTTCCTTTTTTGTTTTTCACTTTCTTAGCTGCTTCCAATTTATCCTTGCTTTCCAATTCTTCCTCATCAGAACTACCACTATCACTACTTGACGAGCTCTCTTTCTTCTTCACTACTTTATCCTTTTTTAATTTTTCTTTTGTTGTTTTACTCTTAACATCACTGTCATCATCACTCTCACTGGAGTCCGACTCGGAAGAATTGTCAACATCCATGACTGAATCATTCGCTAGCATCTTGTTTGTTTTCTTCTTGTTTACATTCACAGCAGCCATGGGGGCTTTAGGAACTATAAAAATGTAAAAAAACCCAATTAATTTAAAGTATTAGCCGGTGTGGAAGTTATCATAATTTTTGAGCAATTATTCATAGTCACTTTATCAAAACTGAAAACAAACCTTCTTTTTTTCTTTTACTGACTTTTAATCTGGCATCTTTACTTTCTTTTTGTTTCAAACTTGCAAAGAAAACAAAAAATTGAAGGACCAGACAAGAATATGAAATGCGGGGAAACACATACAGCACAGGTTCGGTATCAACTTACTTCACAAATGTTTGGTACCACTCTAGTATAGTAGAATCACTCGTCTCAGAATCTTTGATTTCCTATGTTAAACATTTAAAATCATCAACAATGTTACATTTAAGGCTTGATATTTCAAGTCAGGTTTGTATGTTATGTACTGTTGTTAAAACATGGGTTTGTTTGCCTGATTGGCAAGACTCAGTTACGAGATTATGGAAGAATATATCAATACACTATAATCATTCTGATCTAATATTGTGGTTGTTGTGGGTGGTTCAGATGAAGGGGCCAATAATTAGAAATGATGAACCAGTCCAGGTGTCAATCCTGGGGTATATGGGGTTCTGCAGGCTTGCTGTATTACTACATCTATATAGAACAGTTCTAGTGACAGGCTCCCCCCTAAAACGTATCTTTTTTTAATATATTTTTTCTGAAATCCAATATCACCCTTAGCACTGATAAAAACCAGAATATCCTCTTGATGGCAATAATATATTAAAATAGTTATAAAAATTCTGATAAAATATCGTCTATACCACACGTGGTTGGATCAGGATAGCAAAAAATTTCTAAAATTTCTTTCAAATTTCTATCGTTCATAGCGACTTCATCACAGAAAATATTTAAAATCTAAGTTACTTACCGATCCAATTTCCTTCTTGAAGCATTTTGCAGTCTTTTGTAGCTTGTTTTGAAGTAAAAATTGTTGAATATATGGGTAAACACTGCTTGGTACAACCTCCATGTCGCAATCCAAAAAACACGTGTTTATTCTAAATTATCTCCCCCCTGGTTTACAGGTGCACATAATATTTTTATAATAACTCACGCATATATCCGGGGGGGGGAAACTTTTGTTTTCCTTAAAGAAATCATCGTCAAATCATCGTTTTCAATACTCAAAATTCTTAGGAAAATGTGATGGAAAATCTCGATAGAATTCCTGATATTAACTGCAGTAATGTTTCAGTTTAGTTTAGACGAGGCGATCGCCAATCCACCGGCTTTGATTGCGGAAAATCCTTCTGATATTGAAGATAAATGCTCAGGAGAGAAAGTTAAGAAGCTCTCCAAGGCTGGCTTGGATAGGATCAAGGTAGCTGAGGAAATAAATGGATCGGTGTTGTCTCGTTGGAGCGATCGTGCTAGCTTTCAAAGCTTTATGAATGCAATTGCAACGCTTAGCGCCAAGAAACACCAAGAAACGCTACAAAAACAGCAACAAAACAAGGAAATGATTGATAAGTTTCGATTTTTTATGCAACAAGGTCAGCAGATAATGGGAAAACAACAATATCAGAGGACTGTACCATCTCTACAAGAACAATCTAAAACATTCAATCTATTTACAAACCAGCAACCAGTTGTTGTTCAAGATAATTCGACTAAACCAACCGCCTCCCCAAACAACCTAATTTCAACTGAGCCAAAGGTTTCCTCACCTGCACAAACAATACCAAAGGTTAGAAAAGTTATGAAGGGAGGCATACTGGTATCTCTGCCAATCAATGCTCGTCACCCTCCTGAGGGTAAGCCGCCTGAAGGACTACCCAGGGGGGAAAGTGGACCAGTTGCAAACAATGATAAAGAGGACGGTTTCGGAAATATTCTGGACGATATTCTGGCGAGAACCCAGAGTTCACAGGAGACAAATACTGTGACAGTAAAGAGATCTATGTTGTCAAAAGCTGCAAATCAGAATGCTAGAGCGAAAAAAATAACCGACAGTAAAGGGGGAAAGGCTGCAAACACATACACGCCTCAAGCAATTCCAAACAAGACTGGGGGAAAGCCACCTCTGACACTGACTGATAATAATGATTTGGATGATCAATTGATTAGTTTCCCGGGTAGCGAAAAAGCTTCAAAATCTAATGTTGTATGCTTAGGAAGTGGTCCATTTGATGCTCAACAAAGCAAAGCTCAACTAGCTACCATCATGGTAAGCACGACAGAGCTGAACTCTAATATTGACAGAGAAAGCAGCAGACTTGAGCCATCTGAACTGAACACAAATCAATTAATTTCAACTGTATCAGGCTGTAAAAATCTCCCTGCTATTACAACTAAAACTAATGCCAATCCTGGTAGTGATTATGAAAAGGATGATAATCTAACAACAGATGGTGAAATTCAAAAGGATTATAGTAAAAATGATGGTCAGGCAAAGCTCCTCAACAAGGCTAGGAATGATAGTAAAGATGATTCAGAAATTCACATAACACCAGATCCCGCAACTGATAAAGACAGCATTGCAAATCATTCAGAAAGTTATCCCAGAGTATTAAATAATGAGATTGTTAGTGGGAATTCCAACAGTCCAGGAGGGGATACATTTCACCCCAGCGTGGAATCAGACATTGATACAGTGAAAACTGATAAACCTTCTATAGGTATTTTAGAATGTGAAGATATCACTTCCAGGGTTACATCTAGCTGCGAAGTAGCTGGTTTAGCCAAAGTAGGCATTGAAAAACAGGGTATAACAGACAGTGAACAAAGCCCCACATCCCTTACCTCTGACATTATTGTTAGTGCTAAACCAAGTATTGAAAGAAAGTGTGACATTGAACTCAAACCAGACCCCATGACTGTAATTACTTCTCATAGTGTGGTGACTGCTGAACAAGATAGTAAACCAGACCCTTTGCAACACATTCCTGCTTCTCAAAACCACGAAATTGATCAGAATGTTCTACCCATTAGCCAGGTGAAATTGTCTGGTAACGATGATGGTCTGGTTAACAAAACTCTGCATGAAACTGAAACTAGTCAAGCTGATGGAAATCTTGATTTTTCTGATAACCTAAACAAAAAAACTGGATGTGAGCAAGACATAAACTCAAGTCTTTCTCAAGAAGACTGTGATAGAACTGAAGGTGGAATTAATGCAGAGAATAGTTCTGTATCTGGTGATCTTGTAATAGATATAGACTGTGAAAGTGATGCAATAAAAAAAATATTACCCACACCAAGAATAACAAGAAGAATGAGATATTTAAGTTTTACGACGAGTGAGTCCAGTGACTGTGATGAACAAACAATATCTTCGTTTGATTGGATAAGAAAGTTGAATGAAAAAAAAAGTGAAGATAATATTGAAAATAAAAAGCAAAGTAAGCAAGTTATACTTATGTAGTCATTTAAAACAATTTTATGTGTATTAATTATTTTATATCGACTAATTTTAGCCGCAAGTTTTACTGGTACTCCACAAGAAAATAGTTCCAGTCAGCCTGGTAAAAATAATAAACCGTCTTATACTAAAAGAGAATTTGTGCCAACAATATCACAAAACCAACAACAAACCCTGGCTACAAAGTGCACACATGAAGACAATGATATGAACGCCAATAAAGGGAAAGGTTTTGAAGTGAAGGGGAATGCAGGTGCAACGAAAGATCCAGAAGTGGATGAAAGAAAAGGAAAAGAAGATGATGGGAAATTCACAGTAGAAACAGGGGTAAAGAGAAAGCAAAATCATAAATTATGAAATTATGACTCCGAGATAAGTTTCATGCATTCCTTGCTAAACTGTATTGATACTCAAAAGTCAAATTTAGACTACCTGTACAACTGTTGTTTAACTTGCAGGATTTTATGTTAAACAATGCACCAGAATTCTACAAAAGACGAGTGACAAGATCTATGTCTCAAAGTGACCTGGATTTATCACGCGACGGTTATAAAGAAAGCTTTCCCAAACAAGGAAAGAGAAATTCCCCCGAGCAACCAACCCGAAGATCTCAAAGAAGACGGCCAGATTCGAGTATTGATGATCAGAAACGACAAAGGATTTCACGAGAAAGATCACAAGAACAGCGAAGACCTTCAGAAGGTAGATCACGAAACGGTCGTGGACGTAATGCTGAACGAAGGTCAAACAGTAGCGGTCAAAAGGGAAGATCTAGAACACCACATAGAGAAGCTGAGGTCGGCGAATGTAAACGTAAAACAAGCCATGAAAAGAGCCATACATCAAGCGGTTCCCGTGATGGTAAACGCAGAAAATCGTACCCAGGAAAACAAGAACCAAAAGTTGTTATTGAAAAAGAAGTCGATGATCCTCCTAGTTTGTTGTCGATGGTTTCTGGTGAGACCTTTGATGTCACTGTTGCACAACAGGTTGTTAATTTTAATACATTTGCCAAAGCAATTATGATTATGATAGACACATGCTTTGAAGATTAAACTAGGCACTCTGAAAAACACTTGTGTATCCTGATTAAAACCAAATGGTCATTCATCAAATTATTACCGATTATTCATATATATATATTGATTGTGTGATCGACATTTTATTTTTCTACGATTAAAGCTGATAGTTTTTATTACTTTTTTCAGGAATTGTCTGATAAACGAAAAAGTAAGTATTGCATTTTCACTATAAAGTCTGAGACGATCAGGAAGAGTTTGTGTTTAGTGACTTCAGATTGGTTTATTTTTTATCCAATTGATCGAGTTTGTGTTTAGATAATAAACGGAAAGGAAGGAAAAAGAAGGCAAAGATAACGGAGTGGTTTTTAAGAAAAGAAAGAGAGAAAAATATGCAACGAACAAGAGACAATCCAGTCGTGAAAGAACGGCCTCTGTGTTTGTTTTACAGCGGTGGAAAGTGTTCTAAAGTATGCATGCTTACAACATATTGACATACATACACTAGTAATATAGTTTACCCTGTTGAAACCATATACAACCTTTTGCTGTACAATCCATATATCTTATTGTACCAAACATGACTCTTTGTCACCATACAGTGTCTTATTGTACCATATACATTACCATATTGTACAATCCAATTCCTTGTTGAACCATAGAATACCTCACCGGGTCATAAGGACCTTATGTAGATATTTCTAGACTAACTGTACCATATCGTGCCTAACTACAATCACTCAGTACTTTTCTCTACCATGGGGTAATACGTTACTAGTACATAATATACATATTCCATGTTTTAGGGCGAAACTTGTGAGTTTAAGCACGAGAAAATCAAAGAGTTATGTCGATATTATGTTGTGAATGGTTGTGATAATGATGTGTATGGAATGTGCCCTCGAATGCATGGTAAGTGTATCTTGTTATCTTGTATTGCTGCTGGTCTTTTTTGGTCGCTGTTTTGATTTGTTTTTTTTTTCCAGGTGAATTTCCGTGCATGTTCTTTCACCTGCGTGGATATTGTGCGAAGAATGATGATTGTAAATACTCACATGCAGCTCTGACTGAAGAAACTCAAGGCATTTTAGAGAAGGTAAGTTCTTTGAAGACATCATTTGTGAGAAAGACGAAGAGCAAGCACTGTAGAGTACTTATTACTTACGTGGAGAGTGCTTATACTATTCTGACTATTTACGTTCATTCACTCAAGATTTACACAGGTATCGACTTTTTATTCCAGTATGTTGCTGAGACCGCGGAAAGGAAGCAAGCACAAGAAAGAAATAATCCACCACCATCCAGTAATCTCACTACTGCCACCGGCAACTCTGGATTTTGCTCTAACCCTGGATTGAGCTCTAACTTTGGATTGAGCTCTAAACCTGGATTGAGCTCTAAACCTGGATTGAGCTCTAACCCTGGATTAAGCTCTAATCCTGGATTGAGCTCTAATCCTGGATTGAGCTCTTCTCTCCTACTAACACAGCCACTCAGTAAGTTGTAAAACAACGTTTTTTGATAACGGAGTTGGAGTGCTGTTGTTGATCCAAATCAAGAATAATTTAGAACTGCATGATAGAACCATCTAGTATCCAGAATAAATAAAGTTAGTTTAGTTTAGATTTCCTGTTTTAGATTTCCTGTTTTAGTAACACTGGATCAATAAGAGATGATTCTTACTGGCACTCTAGGAAGAACAGTTTAGAACTGATAGAGCAATCCAGTATAAATAAAGTTAGTTTAGTTTAGGTTTCCTCCTGTAATAACACTGGATCAATAAGAGATGATGCTTACTGGACCTCTAGGAAGAACAGTTTAGAACTGATAGAACTATTCAGTATAAATAAAGTTAGTTTAATTTAGGTTTCTTTTTGTAGTAACACTGGATCAATAAGAGATGATCCTTACTGGACCTCTAGGAAGAACAGTTTAGAACTGATAGAACTATTCAGTATAAATAAAGTTAGTTTAATTTAGGTTTCTTTTTGTAGTAACACTGGATCAATAAGAGATGATCCTTACTAGACCTCTAGGAAGAACAGTTTAGAACTGATAGAGCTATCCAGTATAAATAAAGTTAGTTTAATTTAGGTTTCCTCTAAGATATTTTTCTTCAAGGTTCACCATCAGTGACAGGACGAAGTGTCCAACGTTTGTGTTCCCTCTCGTCTTACAAGCCTCAGTTGCTGTCATCTCTCGCAAGCACTGTTAGAACAGTTGGAAATCGACCAGAAAACGACGCCAGACAGACAGATGCTATCAAAGAGTTCCTGCCTGGGATGTTTAAAGAGAGATAAACTCTAACGGGGAGCTAACAAGATCCTCGGTCATTGAAATACATATAATATAAAAGAACTGTATATTAAAACCTTTGTTTCTATGTATTTGTGGTGCGGTCGTGTCTTTGAAATCTCTGATTTTAAGACGAGACAATAAATAAACAAATAAATATGTATTATTTGGCCTGAATTTTTCACCTTACACTCAATAGATTTCAAATCAGAACATACAGGGCTAAACAGATATACTGGACTATAAGAAATCGATTATCAATTGATTATCGAAACAATCGATTATTTGGATTTTGTCTACTAAAAGTCACGAAGTTATATGGGAATTGCTTGGGCTTGCTGTGGCGTAGAGTATTTTAATACTTTGATACATTGCAACGTTTACACGTGGAATATATGTTGATTTTGTTTCTAAGCCTTATTTCAAAATGAGTTTAGAAGCAATCAGATACAAACCCGGACATTTAGAGATTTTAAATCAATTGCTTTTGCCGCACCAAACGATTTATGAAACGGTGAAGAATACTGAAGATGGATGGCAAGCCATACGACAAATGAAGGTATGAACTATGAATACTGGCTTTATACTGCACGAGGTCTGACAGGCTCTTGCACGTCGGGATCAGCCAAGCAAAGCTGAGACCCCAAAGCAATTTCTAAGCACTTTGCTATTTAGGTTAGAGGGGCACCTGCCATTGCTATAGTTGGATCTCTGAGCCTCGCTGTGGAGCTAGCAACAAAATGTTTTGATAGTAAAGATAGCCTGATTGACTGGGTTGTGGCTCGGTTAGACTACTTGGTTACCGCGCGACCGACAGCTGTTAACATGGCAATTGCATCAGCAAAGCTCAAAAAATTCGTGAAGTTGGATAAATATGCAGGTACTACTACAGAGGAAATGAAATGTTGCTTGATTGCAGAAATCGAGAGCATGCTTGCAAAGGATATTGCAGACAACAAGGCTATTGGCTCTCACGGAGCCAATCACATGATGGCTAATATTAAAGCTGAGAAGATTGTTGCCATGACTCACTGTAATACTGGTTCTCTGGCAACAGCCGGCTATGGAACGGCGTTGGGTGTGGTCAGAGCATTGCACGAGACTGGCGCTTTGGAACATGTCTATTGTACTGAAACAAGACCATACAATCAGGGCTCTAGACTGACTGCATATGAACTTGTTCACGATCACATACCCTCCACTTTAATAGCAGACTCAATGGTGTCAATTGCCTTGAAAGAGAAAAAGGTCTCAGCCATTGTTGTTGGTGCAGATAGAGTTGCTGCAAATGGTGACACAGCCAATAAAATTGGGACCTATCAATTGGCAATTTCAGGTAAATTTGGCAATAAAATTTCAGGTAGATTGGAAATTTTCAATCAACTCAAATGTCATGTAACTTTGGCTTCTTTGGGGATGTGTGCTTCCAGTTTGAATGTATTATTTCCACAATGTGGAACAGTTTAGATTAGTATGAAATGATTCTCATCCCTGATGGAAGAACTATTTTTATTTGAAGTAATTCAGTTTAAATACTCTTCTGATCTCTCATTTCAGCAAAGTACCACAAAGTTCCATTCTACATAGCCGCACCAAGCACCTCCGTCGACCTCGCTTGCAAGTCAGGCAGTGACATCATCATAGAAGAGCGACCCCAGAAGGAACTCACCCACCTAAAAGGCCAACCTATTGCTGCCGCTGGTATCGACTGCTGGAACCCTGCGTTTGATGTGACTCCTGCTGATCTTATAACAGGTGGCATTGTGACAGAATTTGGTGTGTTTAAACCTTCAGAATTACAAGGAAAGATTAAAAAGAACTTGTCAAATGGTTGATGGAATCGTTAAATGGTTGAACTCTTGCAAAAATCTTCAACAAAAGAGAAAAACTGCTTTTATTAGATGAACAATTGTAACTTGCAAAACGAAAACGAGTCATATATTGAAATTAATTAAATAAATAATATTTTTTGTTTGTTTCTTGAGCCTTGTATTTTGGTTTACGAAAGATTATATTACACGCTATAATTCTGGGGGTTAAACCTTTGACCTCTCTCCACTGCGAGCTGTTTTATATTTTAGCAAACTAGGCAACGGTGAAATGCCTAAAGCAGGCACCGGCCCTCCGTAATAACAGACCATCCAATATACACACTTAAGAAGTAATGGTATCGCCCAGGGGAATTGGATGATAGGCGTGTGATATTACGCACGTATTTATGATATCTTGAGCATATGTAATTCCATCCTTTCCTGACAATGCCCGAATGATGTCATCAAATGTTGCGAAAAATGACACTATCTTATATGGATCCATGAGGAGTTTTCTACCTGAAAAAGATATCTCAAACGTGGTGGTCCAGTGTAGTCTGTGTAGGTAGTATATATTCTACAATAAGGTGTCGTGGTTTGTGTCTGAACTACCTGAGAAAGATATCTCAAACGTGGTGGTCCAGTGTAGGTAGTATTCTACAATAAGGTGTCGTGGTTTGTGTCTGAACTACCTGAAAAGATATCTCAAACGTGGTGGCCCAGTGTAGGTAGTATTCTACATAAGTTGTCGTGGTTTGTGTCTGAACTAACCTGAAAAAGATATCTCAAACGTGGTGGTCCAGTGTAGGTAGTATTCTACAATAAGGTGTCGTGGTTTGTGTCTGAACTACCTGAAAAAGATATCTCAAACGTGGTGGTCCAGTGTAGGTAGTATTCTACAATAAGGTGTCGTGGTTTGTGTCTGAACTACCTGAAAAAGATATCTCAAACGTGGTGGCCCAGTGTAGGTAGTATTCTACAATAAGCTGTCGTGGTTTGTGTCTGAACTACCTGAAACCTAAAAAGATATTCCAAACAGACAGTTTTCTACATTAAATCTTTCGTGGTTTGTATCTAAACTGCCTGAAAGAAATATCTCCATTCCTGAACAACGTGGGATTACATAATAAGTTTCTCTCCGCGGTAATTTATTCACGCTCTAATTCGCACTCTGCTATATCAGCCTACGAAGTCCTATCTCATCCTCGCCCGATGTTTGAAATTCCTCAGGAACCACTTCGTCATCGCACGGAGGTGTAGTGTAAACACGTTCAGTGACATCGTTGAAAATCACTCGTTGAAAGCAGGCTCAAGTTAACAACGCGACGGGTGTTGAGGAATTTTGACACAGTATAAAGCTGGGAACAGCTGTACTGAAGCGAGGTTGCTGAAGAGTTTCCTGAAGACGGCGTCAGTTCAAGGATGAAAATTCTAGCTATATTCGTGTTGGTTTCAGTGCTATATTTGCCCATTGTCACAGGCAAGTCACCTCTCATGTTTCTATCAAGATTACCGCACAATACTCTGCGCTACTTTGCGCGTTTATTTTCAATACCGGTTTGCAACGAAGAACAATAATGTTTAATGATTTTGCTTGATGTAAATTGTCAAGACGTTAAGTTATTAAGTCTAGTTTACAGACGTTAACGCAACGAGGCGTATAAATATCTTGAGGCAGTATATTGTTCATGAGGTTCCCAGGGTATTTAGCTATGTAAGTGCGCTACCATATACATCTGTCCCCAAGTAGCAACGAATGTAAATATTAGTTTCTATGATCGTGTTCAATAATCACGTTTTATATATGAACGTGCGTCGCGCAAAGTTGAGAATGGTAACGTTAATAAACACGTTAAACAAACAGCTTCAGAGGAAAGATTTCAGTCCAATGTTAAAACCTTAAGTCCAATGTTCAGCCTCATCAATTCAGAACAAATTGATTTGGCGAAGGAGGTTCTGTCATTTAGTTGAACACCACTATATATGTTATATGGTTACACAACACTTCAAGTATGACAAGCAGGAGCTAAGAGTACCCAATTCTCGCTGTTGTAAATAGGTTTTCTCTTAATCTCAATAATCTGCAAAGTCTTCCGGATTTCAAACATTCGCTAAAATTATTGCCCGAATATCTGCTGGTGGCGTCCACGCCGCGTTCATGAGGCTAATCCTTTACTTTGGACTAAAACAAACTGCAAGGCTTATGATATTTTTTGAGATACTTTTTAATCCCTGAATACGGAAGGTCTGCTGGGCAGAGAAAATCGATATCGTTCAGCTTTGTATTGGAATTTGGAACCCTTGTTTTTTATACTGTTTTGTGTTGGAAACCTTGTTTTTTTTAAGTCTGTATATTAGGTATCATTGGGTAAATTTTGTATCATGCAGTAAATTGCACAAAACATACGCGTTATGTGCTATGGCTGGTTTTCACTCGAGGTGGCTATCTTTGAGACTGCCACGGGCTAAGGAGATAAGAGTTTCCTTTTGGGTGAAAGCCAATAAATAGTTCCTTGCGATAACTCGCTTGTAGGAAAACATTCTTGTGCGGCGAATCATGCAGGTCTCGGGAAAATCTTCCCTCGGTGTCTGTGGAGACTAGGACTGACTTCTGTATTTACAGAAGTTAAATCTAGATATATATTCACACCGTATACCTCGACTGTGATGATCGTTACATTCTATAACTATGAGTCTATATATGAACAGTAATAATGCAATGGACTTCAGTAACAAACGATCCTTGAAAGGGCACAATTTCATCACTTAACACTTGGCTAAAAACCAAGTTTAAGCATGTACGTATATTATCCATGGTCAAGGCCAAGATGTTTGTGCAAAGGCCTAGGTCATAACAGCTTTAAACGTCTACGGATTTGAAAACACTTGTCCGGACCCATCAAACTGGTGTTAATTTGCATTTTATTCTGCGCTTGAACGACATTCAACTTCGGCTTAAGAGTCAGAGAGACAAGTTGTCAATTAGCCTACGCAATTTCTATGTAGGTCTTTCAATTTTTTCCATATTTCTTCCATATTTCTATGCCGATATTAGTAGGACAGTGGCAACTAGACAAATGTAGTGGCAACAAACGTGTTAAGAAAATGAGAATTGGGTGGCAACGATCATAAACATGGTTTCACTAATTGGTTATATTGAAAATATGAAGTGCTCACTTATGTGATAATTGGGCATGAATATTCTACTGTGAAATCTCGACCAGGTCTGGCAAGTTTACATTTTGGAGTCAACAATATCCTCAACAGTTTCGTACGGGAAAAATAGACCATAAAATACAAGAAATTGACAAATTGTGGGAATTGGGGAAATCTTAGGAAAACGATGAAGAGTTTTTGTCATCTTGTTAGCTGTTAGAAATGTTCAAAATAATGGAATTTTCTTAAAATTTATTGAACAAAAGATAAGGTATAGTTGAAGGTGAATTGGTTTGTGATCGCGACGCATCGTGACGGGACCATCCAGGCCACAGCGTGTCTGTTTAACTTTAAAACAATTTTGAACAAACGAACGTCTCCTGCCACAATAATTGGTAACCCTACACGAGAACTAGATGATTGCTTCAGGCTAAAATTCATTAAAACATTTTTCGTGAACGGAAATCTAGCGCGTGAGAACTATAACCGTGCTTATAACCTCATCTTCAAATCATTTCAACAAGCTATAGATTCATCCTAATTTAAAGATAAACTACAACATATCTTTTGGATGTTTATGACGTTACTCGGCCAATGTCGGTTACTGCATGATGATCAGTATGGCGCATGATGGCCCTTATTCCAGGTGGCCTATTGTGGAATAAAGTTAGAGACTTCCTGAGAGCAATTCAAAACTTTACCGCAGGAAATGAGATTAGCTAACGCCGCCCTGAAAATATTTCTTTTGATTAATGGTTGAGTAAGGGTGTTCTAGCGACGTGATAAATTTCCTAATAAATTTATGATGTTCAGGACTGTTTTTTTTCAGAAAAAAACGATTCAATTACACTGACATCATTACAAGAATAAAGTTGTTTATAGCGAACCAACACGGGTTTAATTTTCCATGCATGTTTTCCAAAATGAGCATTTATTATTGAGTTTTAAATTGCGCGCATTAAAAGTCTGGATATTTGCTTTTTTTTTGCTACGGCGCTGCGTGAAATCAGACCAGAGGTATTTTACACCGCACATGACGAAAAGTCTGCTTTTCAAAACATTGATTCAACTAAACACGGACATGACGATCCCTATGACTTGTCACTCTCACAAGCAGCGAAATGAACGAACGAGACGTCTCCTGCAAATCCTACACGCACTTCCTACAAAATACTTGAGATTACTTGGCTCTTTTATATTGAGACAGTGAAATCTTCCCGAAAATATGAAAAAAAAAGAGCTGTGAGGTTTTTAGCCGTAGCTATGCAACTTCCTGAATTGGGATATGCTATTCAATTTTCCAGAAGTGGAAATTAAAAAAAAATGTTTCTTCACTTTGTCTGTGGTTTGTTTACATGCCGTCTAAATAAGCATCCTGTGAGGTCCTAATCCAACCAAAGATAACATCCACGACTTATCATTATTCTCCTCTTATTGAATGACAATGATTGTTCTCAATTTTAATTGGAATTCCATACGGTTGTTATCCTATAGATACTGATCATGTGCAAATATTTATACTAGCGTGATATACTTTCCTTACATTAATTTGATTGCAAAATACACCATTGCACTTGTGTTGACACGACAGCTTATAGTAGAATACTGCCTACACTGAACCACCACGTTTGAGATTTATTTCTCAGGTAGTTCAGACACAAACCAAGGCAGACTATTGTGAAATACTGCCTACGCTGGACCAACAACGTTTAAGATATCTTTCTCAAGTAGTTCAGACACAAACCACGGCAGCTTATTGTAGAATACTGCCTACACTAGACCACCACGTTTGAGCTATCTTTCTCAGGTAGTTCAGACACAAACCACTACAGCTTATTGTAGAATACTACCTACACTAGACCACCACGTTTGAGATATCTTTCTCAGGTAGTTCAGACACAAACCACGACAGCTAATTGTAGAATACTACCTACACTGGACCACCACGTTTGAGATATCTTTCTCAGTTAGTTCAGACGCAAACCACGACAGCTTATTGTAGAATACTACCTATACTGGACCACCACGTTTGAGATATCTTTCTCAGTTAGTTCAGACACAAACCACGACAGCTTATTGTAGAATACTACCTACACTAGACCACCACGTTTGAGATATCTTTCTCAGTTAGTTCAGACGCAAACCACGACAGCTTATTGTAGAATACTACCTTCACTGGACCACCACGTTTGAGATATCTTTCTCAGGTAGTTCAGACAAAAACCACGACAGCCTAAATTATTGTAGAATAATTGTAGAAAACGATTCTTTCGATTTCTTTTAAGGTTATGGTCGTGCCAAAGAGGGAAAATGTCCTTCATTAAAAGGGAATGAAAATTGCGCGGAGAAACTACTAAACAGTGAATACAATGCCACTGTTTGTCATGGTCAAGATATTGAGTGCCCTGGGGACGAGAAGTGTTGTGATGACGGCTGCGGCGATTATGAATGCAGGCCAGCGATTGGTCTTCCACCACTTCCGGATATAGGTAAGTGGATATTGGGGGATGGGAAGGGGTAGATGATAGGAAATAATTAAGAAGAGTGAGTGTTGATAAAATGACTGAATGAAGGTGAATTAGAAGATTGAGAGGAGACTGTAATGGATAAGTGATGAAGCAGAGGGGATTAAGGGGATTCTATGGTACGTAAGGGATGAAGAAGAAGAGATACCTAAGGATGCTGGGGAGACCTTTAATCGACAAGTAAGGGATGAAGAGGAGATAATAGGTACAGGTATTAAGGAGAGCGTGTGATAGGTAAGAGACAGAGCAGCAAATTGGAGCAATCATTCTAACGTGAAAAATCTTCCTGGAATTCCCAAGTGATAATCGAACAACAGCATGTAGTGATCCTCGAGTGTCTGTCGCGGACCTGCAAGACGCTTAGCAACAATTATCTATATGCGTTTTCTTGTTTTATATTTATTAGAGCCACGATGTTTGTCAGCTGAGATTGGAGTCGGTGATCAATGTGAATCAGCAAATATAACATATTGCCAAGCCAATCAATGCAAAAAGTACGTTACCCTTCATGCTAGGAGGTTTTCTGGGTCATTTTTATTTTTATAGGCTGCGAAATTGAAACACTGTACTTATGTGCTCGAGTTTTTGTTGCTGGTGTAGTCATGTTGAAAAACGTGTCAATATATACATTGCTGCATATTTATTTATTGTGCGAAATTTTTCTCTCACTAGATGCTGTGTGCATAATAGCGTTTGTAGTCCCAGCAGTGATTACATCACGAAGGACGAATGCGAGAAAAGTAGGTTTCTTCGATCACAAGTTGTTAACGATTGCAGATGATTTATAATAAGGCGTTTCGCATGCGTGAGTCCTCGCATAAAAGCATTTATTTTACTTTGAAAATATACCGCGCGCAACATTTTGTAGAAGACGTGTAATGAAATGTAAACTCTAACTCATGCGCAAACCGGATCGTAGAACATCTTTAATAATTCACGCGTCAATCACTGATAGGTTTCAAAAATTTTGATACGTTTCATTGACATGCGCAGTTCTTTCTCATAATGACATCAAACGCAGACAGGCTGATGTTAGACGAAGTCTGATTCGCTGCGCAAAACTAACACGACCATTCAAACTTTGTGTAACATCAGGCTTGCCGCACTTGACATCGTGACCAATTTCAAAGGTCTATTATTTTAACTCAACTTACTTCTTGACAGAACTCTGCAAAGGTATCCTCTGTCCAGGCCAGGGTGAGGTCTGCCAGTTGGATAAATACCATCGTGCAACCTGCGACTGTCCCGTTGAATGCCCGCCTAATTCGGGCTCGTCTCCGGTGTGCGGGTCTGATGGCATCACCTATGAGAATAAATGTGAGATGGACATGACCGCATGCGTGACTGGGGAAAGAATTGACGTGGTGAATCAAGGTGTCTGTTTACCCCCAACTCCAAAGGGTAAGTACTTTGAGAAACAGCGAAGACAGTTATCATAAACAAACACATGGATTGAATTGATTTGAATCTTTCAATATTTTATCTTCTACTATTTATGGTGAATACCTTAACAAATACCTAATACTGTGTGACAGAGATCTAGCTTTAACTAGCTCACCGATACCGACTGAACAAGCTCCAACTAGTCAATTGTACGCGCGCCGTTTATTTTTTCTTAGGTCCATTGGAAATATGTTCAATGCCAAAAGACAAAGGTTTCGGCTGGACAGTGGAGTTGAGATACACTTTCAATAAAGCGGAGGGGGTATGCGAGGCGTTCATATACCACGGTAAAGGTGGAAACGAGAATAATTTCAACCGTTTTAAAGATTGTGAAGATTTCTGCTCTGACACAGGTAAGAATTTGAGTATGATGCATGATAACAAGCTTCCAACAACTCCGGCGAGAATTTTGAAGGGGGAGAAAGCCACAACAACGAATAGTGAAGCAACAGCAACCAGCTTTTCGAACCGTCTTGACCTGTCTTTTTTGCTGAGGGAGCATTGGACTAGCCAAGCAAAGGTCGCAGGTTCGATTCTCAACGTGCTAATTTTTCATCTTGCCTTTTTGGTAACTTTGAGTAGCAGTATCGCAAATACTAGTTCAGACAACTGAGTCATAAGCACTATCACTTCAAGAGGCATAGATATGGAAGGGATTAGATTGAGTTCCGAAATATCGCCTGTGTGAACCGTCTGGTAGTTAGAGACGACTGTTTTCTTTCAGTAACTGACGTGTGCAGACTCCCGAAGCTGGTTGGTCCGTGCCGTGCAGCAATGCCAAGATGGTATTTCAACTCACGCGTCCAACGCTGTGAACGTTTCACCTTCGGAGGATGTCTCGGGAATAGGAACAATTTCGAGAACAAAAAATCCTGTCAAAATCAATGCATTTGTAGCCTACCAAAAGCTCCAGGACCCTGTCTTGGATATTTTCCATCGTGGTTTTATAACACGGAAACTGGAAGATGTGAAGAGTTCACTTATGGAGGATGCGTTGGCAATATGAACCGGTTTTACAACGAAGAAAGATGCGAGACGGTCTGTGGTAGAGCCCAGGGTATGTTCATTCGTTGCAGGTAGTTTATTTTACACGCCAGGGGTCGGTTGTTCGAAAGGCGTTTAGCTTAACGGTGGATAAGTTCAAAATGGAAAACAAAATTATCTATTTATTGAACAACTGAGCTAAAATATTTCGATGTAAATAGTTTTTAATGGAAGTACATATTAAATGCATAAGATGCAGGTTCAGTCATTCACAAGATCTATTCATGAGAGTATTTTTGAACTTTGGCTTATCCACCGTTTGAGCTAAACGCCTTTCGGTTCCAGTAGAATTCTCGCATATTTCTCGCAAGTATGAACTCGGAACAGAAGCCAATCGTTTCCTCTCGTTTCCCGAAGAAATCCTGGTGAATTCATAGCATAAACTGTTTTCTTTTGAGTAGTTAAGCCAAGCGGGGTTGACCTGACACCTCGGTGCAATGACGCAAGCAAGTTCAACTGTCGGACAATCAAAAAATGTATTTCTGCAAGTTTAAAATGCAATGGAAAAGATGACTGTGGGGATAATTCGGACGAAGAGGGATGTGGTAAGATAATCATGATAGTCTTGAAAGATATACAAGATTATACCCTGTCATACCACAATACCATCACACTATATCATACAGTATTAACTATTAACGTGTTCATTTGTCTTTCAGAAGACCCGTGTGCTAATATGAAATGCGATTTCTATTCAAAATGTGTTACGACAAAGAACAACACAGCCATCTGTGATTGCCCTAAAATCTGCCCATCTGATTGGAGGCCTGTCTGCGCCTCAGATAATGAGACGTATCCGAACTTGTGCATGATGAAAGTGCGATCTTGTGAGAATCAGGTTGAACTCACGAAGGTCAGATATGGAGAATGCAGTAAGTGAATGTAAACTGATGAGTTCCCGGAATAGATTTATCATTTCTACGCTGTTCTTCTCATATTGATCCAATGTTACTACAGGAGGAAACCTAAACTAAACTAACTTTATTTAGACTGGATAGCTCTATCAGTTCTAAACTGTTCTTCCTAGAGGTCCAGTAAGGATCATCTCTTATTGATCCAGTGTTACTACAGGAGGAAACCTAAACTAAACTAACTTTATTTATACTGGTTAGCTCTATCAGTTCTAAACTGTTCTTCCTAGAGGTCTATAGTAAGGATCATATCGCCCAGCAGTGAGGAGAAATTACAACTAGACGACTGCATATTAAAATGAATATCTTTAGAACGCAGGGAATACTTTCCCATTATAGATGCGAGGGAATATACAAAATGCGAACTGGAACGGACTGAAGGGGAACAAAAACTGTTAGTTGGTATATACATACCACAATGTGAAGAAGATGGTAGTTACAGTAAGACGCAGTGTCATGGTTCAACTGGTTACTGTTGGTGTGTTGATGTTGAAGGGAACAAACTGGAGGGAACTGAGACGAGACTATGGCCTAACTGTACTAAAGGTAATGTAAAAATACTCTTACAAGATACACCGGCGTTCTTAACAATGCCATAATATTGAACCAACCATATTTCTTCCAACAGAACCACCACCAACAGAGGCACCAATCAACATCTGTGATATCACCTTGTGTGAGTTCGGAAGATGTTTTGTCGTTGATGGTCATGCAACCTGCCGATGTCAGTACGTATGTCCACTAATCTACGAACCAGTGTGTGGCTCAGACAATGAATCGTATCCGAACCTTTGTGTCATGGAGAGCAGAGCTTGTGAAATGAAGAAACATATCAGAAAACAATATAACGGAAATTGTGGTGAGTAATTTTGAGAATTTTGCTGATACAGATAATGGTGCTTGCAGCAAATTATATCACTCTAAGATATACCACATAATGTAAGAACTAACTAACGGGCAGTTCCATGTCCTACCCCCCTCTCCCCTCTCCCCTCCACCTCTTCTCCCCTCCCCCCCCTCCCTCCACCTCCTCTCCCCTCCCCTCCACCTCCTCTCCCCTCTCCCCTCCACCTCCTCTCCCCTCCCCCTCCTCTCCTCTCCACCTCCTCTCCCCTCCCCTCTCCTCTCCTCTCCTCTCCCCCCTCTCCCCTCCCCCTCCTTTCCTCTCCCCCCTCTCCTGTACTCTTCAATCAGCACTGACAGCGTTCATTTTCTCGACAGAACCGCCACCAACAAACGAACCCATCAATATTTGTGATACGATTTCATGTGAGTTTGGAAGATGCACGGTTGTTGATGGCAAAGCAGTCTGCAAATGTCGTCCTGGGTGTCCTCGTATCTACTCTCCAGTCTGTGGATCAGACAATGAAACATATTCTAACCCTTGTGAAATGAAAAGCAGAGCTTGTGAAATGAAAAAACATATTGAACTGCAATACACAGGAAAATGTGGTGAGTAATTTGGAATATGATATGAACATGTCCAGTAAGGATCATCTTTTTTTCATGCAGTGTTACTACAAGAAGAAACCAAAATGAAATCAAACTCTTTTTTATTTCACGATAGGGCTGTTAGTTTAGTGAGTTCTACTACACTAAAGCCTTGTTTCCGCGTAGCCAGTGCAAGTATAACCGACTGAAGTTTTTAGTCAAGGCATTGTAGTCCAATCTTTTTCATATCAAATTGTAACGAGTAATTTTCTCAGTTAAAACTACTTGCGTTGATTCGAAACGTCTTGAAGTAATTAATTTTTTTATCCAACGATGACGGACCTCTCTTTTTATAGCAGGTGGACGTGGTGTTAATACCATAACACTTAAAACTGGAGATCCATGTGAAGACTTTGTGTGTGACTTCTACGCTAGCTGTATACCACTGAGGAATGGTAGCAGAGTCTGTGAGTGTCCTCAGATATGTACCAGAGAATATGCTCCAGTTTGTGGGTCAAATAACGTAACCTACGGCAACCTTTGTGGATTGAAGGTGGCATCGTGCGAGAATAAAGAGTTGATAACTAAACAATATGACGGGGCATGTGGTATGTTATTGCTTCATATTTTAAACTATGACCACCGATGCAACCTAGAATTAAGATCCTCTCCCATGGATCTTCTGAAAAACAAGGTAAGGCCTCATACAAGAAATGTCTCTGCTTTGTAGGAGCTAAGCCAAAATCAAAGTGCGAAAAAGAACGTGATGCTATGTTGAATCCTCTATTGGTTGGTGTTTTCACCCCTCAATGCGAGGAAGATGGTAGTTACAGTAAGATGCAATGTCATGGTTCAACTGGTTACTGTTGGTGTGTCAATGCTGATGGTAGTAAACTGAAGGGAACTGAAACAAGGTCTAGACCTAACTGTACTGAAGGTGAGATATATATCACCATGTAATGTAAACTGTACGTAGCATTTACCTTTATACCATAATATACCATAGGTTTTATATTCGCTTTTATTTTTCAATAGAAGCTAAGCCAAAATCGAAGTGCGAAAAAGAACGTGATGCTTTCTTGAATCGTCCTCCATTGCTTGGTGCGTTCACCCCTCAATGCGAGGAAGATGGTAGTTACAGTAAGATGCAGTGTCATGGTTCAACTGGTTACTGTTGGTGTGTCGACGTTGATGGTAGTAAACTGGAGGGAACTGAGACTAGGTCTAGACCTAACTGTACTGAAGGTGAGATATATATCACCATGTAATGTAAACTGTACGTGGCATTCTCCTTTATACCATAATATACAATGGTTTTTAATTCGCTTTTATTTTTCAAAAGAAGCTAAGCCAAAATCGAAGTGCGAAAAAGAACGTGATGATGTCTTGAATGGTCCTCCATTGGTTGGTGCCTTCACCCCTCAATGCGAGGAAGATGGTAGTTACAGTAAGATGCAGTGTCATGGTTCAACTGGTTACTGTTGGTGTGTCGACGCTGATGGTAGTAAACTGGAGGGAACTGAAACAAGGTCTAGAATCAACTGTACTGAAGGTGAGATATATATATATCGTATCGTTAAAACAGCTTCGTGAAGAGTCACTCATACAGCATAATACAGCATGATAAAGCATGATAAAGCATAATACAGCATGATAAAGCATGATAAAGCATCATACAGCATCATACAGCATCATACAGCATCATACACCATCATACAGCATCATACAGCATCATACACCATCATACAGCATCATACAGCATCATACAGCATCATACACCATCATACAGTATCATACAGCATCATACAGCATCATACAGCATCATACAGCATCATACAGCATCAAACAATATCATACAGCATCATACAGCATCATACAGCATCATACAGCATCATACACCATCATACAGTATCATACACCATCATACACCATCATACAGCATCATACACCATCATACAGCATCATACAGCATCATACAGCATCATACAGCATCATACAGTATCATACAGCATCATACAGCATCATACACCATCATACACCATCATACACCATCATACACCATCGTACACCATCATACACCATCATACACCATCATACACCATCATACAGCATCATACAGCGTCACAATACCTAACGATGTTTCTTTTGCCACTCCAGTTCTTCCTCCAACAGACCCGCCATTCGACATTTGCGACATTTCTCTGTGCGAATTTGGTCGATGTGTCAACGTGAATGGCACAGCCACGTGCGTGTGTAACAAAGCATGTCCATTGATTGAACGTCCTGTGTGTGCCAGTGATAACAAAACATATTCAAATCTCTGCGTGATGGAATCTGAGGCTTGCGAACGCAAGGAACATATTAGAGTGAAACACGATGGGCCTTGTCGTAAGTGAGATTGGTCGTTTATAGCAAATTATATCACTCTAAGATATACCACATAATGCCAGCCCTAACGGACAGTTCTATATCCTACCCCCCTTTTCCCTCTTCCCTCTGCCCTCTTCCCTCTGCCTTCCACCATCATACAGCATCATACAGCATCATACAGCATCATACAGCATCATACAGCATCATACAGCATCATACAGCATCATACAGCATCATACAGCATCATACAGCATCATACACGATCATACAGCATCATACAGCATCACACAGCATCACAATACCTAACCATGTTTCTTTTGCTACTCCAGTTCTCCCACCAACAGACCCGCCATTCGACATTTGCGACATTTCTCTGTGCGAATTTGGTCGATGTGTCAACGTGAATGGCACAGCCACGTGCGTCTGTAACAAAGCATGTCCATTCATTGAACGACCTGTGTGTGCCAGTGATAACAAAACATATTCAAATCTCTGCGTGATGGAATCTGAGGCTTGCGAACGCAAGGAACATATTAGAGTGAAACACGATGGGCCTTGTCGTAAGTGAGATTGGTCGTTTATGTACTTAAAAGCTCTTCATACGGTTCAACCAGACAAACTAACCATTATATGGCACCTCCTGACGAAGGCCCTCAGGTCGAAACGTCGAGAAGTGTTTTGTCTTTTTTAAGCAGTTGTTATACCACATTTGATGCTAACCATTGTATGGTTTCTTTGTTACTGCAAAGGTACCGAATCGAAATGCCAGAAGGAGTTGGCTCACGTCTTATCACTGGCGGAGAGGCAGCGGGCAGGAATGCTGAAACCCAGCTGTGAAGAGGATGGTAGTTACAGCCCTAAACAATGTCACAAGTCGTCAGCCTACTGTTGGTGTGTAACTCGATGGGGCAAGAAGATTCCTAGAACTCAGGTTCGATTCATACAACCAAACTGCTCTCAAGGTATGTAAGACTTCTTTGAAAAGGTGGGAAGCGTGATCCCTACTGGATCTCTAAAAATGAAGTTGAGTTTCATATCATTAGCGGACCTTCGACAATCGTGATTATAATATTTTATGTTATAGCTGCTACGATCGACCCTTGCGTCGATGTTAAATGTGATTTCCATGCCTCGTGCGTGCCGATGGAAAACGGCGAACATATTTGCGAGTGCCCACAGTTTTGTACAAAAGAGTACTCGCCAGTGTGTGCCACAGATGGTCATACATACGACAACGAATGTTACATGGATATGGAATCCTGTCTGAACAAAGAACTATTGTTTGTGGAGAGTCGTGGCGAATGCAGTAAGATTGTTTGCGATAGCTTCACTGAATATTTTCTCCCATCCAGGTGACACCACTTGTCACAAAAGTCACACCGTGTATGTTCATGTCTCGTTTCATTATAGAACCCCCATCAACCAAGGGACCGCCACTAGACCCATGTAGTATTTCCCTGTGTGACTTTGGTCGTTGTGTCGTCGTAAATGGTACAGCGACTTGTGTCTGTAAAAACGCATGTCCGTTTATTGAAGAACCCGTGTGTGCATCTGATAATAAAACATACGCCAATCTTTGTGTGATGGAAGCTGAAGCGTGTGAACGCAAGGAACATTTAACTGTTCAATATGATGGGCCCTGTGGTGCGTATGTTTTGAAAATTTTTAGAACTGATAGAGCTATCCAGTATAAATAAAGTTAGTTTAATTTAGGTTTTCTCCTGTAGTAACACTGGATCAATAAGAGATGATCCTTACTAGACCTCTAGGAAGAACAGTTTAGAACTGATAGAGCTATCCAGTATAAAGTTAGTTTAGTTTAGGTTTCCTCCTGTAGTAACACTGGATCAATAAGAGATGATTCTTACTGGACCTCTAGGAAGAACAGTTTAGAACTGATAAAGTATAAAAGGTTAGTTTAGTCAAGGTTTTCATCTGTAATAAAACTGAATCAATCAGAGATAATCGCTTGTGAGATTCAGGGAAGAACATTTCATAAAAATCATAGAGCTACCCAGTATAAATGAAGCTGGATAATCCCGTTTTATCATGCTGTATTCATATTTTATTTTAGATGATCTAGAAGCCCTTCCAAAAGCAAATAATCCTTGTGAGCTGACTGAATGTCGGTTTTACAGCAAGTGTGTTGTCATCAATGGTAGCGCTGAATGTGTTTGCGATAAAGGATGCACTAGGGAACTGGATCTGAAGTGTGGTTCTGACAACATCACATACGACAACCTCTGTAAACTAAAGCGAGCCTCTTGTGAAGACATGAGGGAAATCAACGTGGTGAATGATGGAGAATGTGGTACGTTGAATCCAAATCCATCCTCGTCACCCCTTATTACCCTCATCACCCTTTGTTTTCCCTGTAATAGTTACTGACAATGTATCCCGTACTGGTTGCCTTATGTGACACGTTCTGATAATATAAAACGCTAGAGTTAGGATTCATATTTTAACCGAAAAATTCATCAAACGACCCTGTTAATATGAAAAACCTAAATCTTTTCCATCAATGCCATCTTTTAGTCGTTAAAAAAGACGCCCTTACAACAGTCGCTTCGGCAAAAGCTCTTCCAAAATGCAAAAACTGTCCGAAGTCTGGTAAACAAAATGTCGTAAAGAGCTTCTGTGATTGGTATAACAAATTTGGTAAGTACAAATTTCACGCCACTCAATTCAACTCTAGCTATCCATTGCCACGTCATATTTCGACTAAAATTGCCATGGAAACAGGGGAGGTATGGTCATGTAACCGACCATGTATGTATGTACAGTCTCTCTCGCGAATGGCTTCTACATAACTACCACTCTTTTAACCATTCATTTTACTTCATTTACATCACCAAAGATTCTAAACTCAGCCTGACTGTATGAAATCTCGAGGAAAATAAATAAATGAATTGCTTACCTGTTCATATTTTCATTCCTTTCCATCCCAGCTGCATGTTATTGTAATTCTGTCCCAGCACAAAACGGGCCATTTAGCCACGCTCAGTCGACACAGCAAAAGGTTTCCAGACTCTAAAAGGAAATATTTTGATTGCTTTAACAGTGATCGTCGGGGAAATAGTAAACGCAAGTGAAAGTGGAAGAGAAATAACTGTTAAAGTCGAGACAAAATATAAACCACGAGCAGAGAAAACCAAATTCCGGCCGAAGAATATCGTCAATATTCTCGTCCAAAAACCACCGACATGCTCATGTGATAACATGGAATTCAGGAAGAATGATAGATACGTGCTTATGGGGCAGAAATCGAGAAGACGTAAAACCTTTGTTATTAAGTGGAAGACAGGTTTTGTTGAGAAAGTATCCAAGCCTTTAATTGAAAAGTTAAAGAAAAGATCAAAATCCTGGGGATTCTGCGCAAAGCAGTTTGGGAAACGCAGACAATGATTCAGTGAAGATTGAACAAGGCTTGTTTTTGAAATGTGTGTTTTCTACTGTATTCCAGTTGTTGATTTAATTCTATGCAGAATATATTTGGAGATTAATTTGGTTTTACAACATTTTACAACAAGCAATAAGATGTTTGTTTGCAAAAACAGTTTGTTTGGATGAAACGGACAATTAACTGATAAAATTAAGGAGATGTTCCATTATTTTTATAATTATAGCCACCAATGCTGTATTAAAGTATTATATAATATCATATAGACCATTCATTGCAATTTACTGAAGAGTACTGAATCATATTACAGAGTTAGCTTGTAACTCTTATAAAAGTTCAATAACTCATAACAGTTTAGAACTGATAGAGTTATCCAGTATAAATAAAGTTAGTTTAGTTTAAGTTTCCTCCTGTAATAACACTGGATCAATAAGAGATGATCCTTACTGGACATCTATGAAGAACAGTTTAGAACTAATAGAGCTATCCAGTATAAATAAAGTTAGTTTAGTTTAGGTTTCCTGCTGTAGTAACACTGGATCAATAAGAGATTATCCTTACTGGATCTCTAGGAAGAACAGTTTAGAACTGATAGAGCTATCCAGTATGAATAAAGTTAGTTTAGTTTAGGTTTCCTTCTGTAATAACACTGGATCAATAACAGATGAACTAATAGAGCTAGCCAGCTTAGGGTTCCTCGTGTAGAAACGTTGGGTCACATATGCTATAGGAGAACTATCTCAGCAGTGCAGATAAACACAAAGAATTTCAGCGGTGTAATTGTTCGTATAGGTCAAAAAAGACGCCATATATAGAGCTCGTTCTGGCGGCTGGTGAAACCTTGCTGTTAGCAACACCAAATGTCAAATAGGACCACAAAATCCAACTTTAAAAGAAAGGCGACTGTCTGACGCACGTCGTAGCAAACACTTCAAACGTAAATGGTTTAACCCCAACCGCCACTTATGAAACCCCATACGAGTTTCAGTTCTTAATAAAGAGATTATATCACCTTTGCTGGCGAACATCTTAAACACGCAAGCCAACGAACCGTCCGTTGCTTAATCAGCGTTTTTGATCTTGCATTGGCGCCCAATCCCCGACGCGATTATTGCAATACTGGGAGCACTAGAAAGTCTCATGAATTTGAATTGGGTTTCATATCACCCTTCCATCATGCTCGTAGTGTTCTTCTTTTGGAAGTCATATGGGGTTCATATCAAACTAAATACTATACTTGATGATTCTTTTACTTCTAAATTGTTCTTTCTGATCAGTGTTACTACAGGAGAAATGGAAATTTGAACTTAACTAACTTTTATACTGGATATCTCTTTTAGTTCTAACTGACTTCATCTCTTATTGATCCAGTGTTACTACAGGAAGAAACCTAAACTAAACTAACCTTATTTATACTGGATAGCTCTATCAGTTCTAAACTGATCTTCCTAGAGGTCCAGTAAGGATCATCTCTTATTGATCCAGTGTTACTACAAGAGGAAACCTAAACTAAACTAACTTTATTTATACTGGATAGCTCTATCAGTTCTAAACTGTTCTTCCTAGAGGTCCAGTAAGGATCATCTCTTATTGATCCAGTGTTACTACAGGAGGAAACCTAAACTAAACTAACTTTATTTATACTGGACAGCTCTGTCAGTTCTAAACAATTCTTCCTAGAGGTCCATGTAGTAAGGATAATCTCTTATTGATCCAGTGTTACTACAGGAGAAGATTTTAAAATAAACTAAGCGGTGTATTTAAGGTCCAGTCCAATTGATAATCACAGGAGATTTACTTCATTTGAAGATTAAATTAAAGCTTCAAACATAAAAGTACAATAGCGAAACGTAACTTGATAAGATACACTTGAAACCGAGACAAAATCAATTAGCTTGAAAAAAGATGAACGACATCAGTGTTTGCGTTGGAAAAAACAACAAACAAAGCATGCTATGAAAAAATGCGAGTGAAGTGTATTAGAATGTTCTTTAAGTAGCAGCCATTGCGGTATTTAAAACTATTCACGATATCTTAAGAACTATTTAGAATATCTCAAGAGCAGAATGATTTAAATTGATAAGTCCTCTTTCAACAAGATCGCAGTGACATTCATATTCCAAGATGATGATTCTATGAGGCCTAAACTGAATGTGTAATAATGCTCTGTGTTTTCAATACCGTCAAATTAGCGTGTTCTTTATCACGCAATGGCTACTGACCAAAAAAACAACAACATGGCCCATTCACACGTTCAGCAATTCATATCAATAAAGGTGGCATGTATTACCACGAAGACGATGTAAATCCGTAATTATATTAAACAGATCAATGTCTACACAGACACTGATGTTATTTATACATAGTAATGTTGTGCAAAATAACATTGTCATAAATCATAAATCATAATGCTATTTAAACTTAAGAGATAACACGTTTGAACAACCCCATGGCATCGAGGATGAGGCCATGAGAAGATTTATAGTCAAATCTCTGCTATGGTATAAATCTTTTTGAGTATGTTTTACTAAGTTTTTCTCTTACAGAATGAATCCATTTTTAGCTTTCCTAATACGATCCAATTTATTCATTGAGGGCTTGGTATGATACATTGGCATTGTAATGCAATCTGCGGATGCCTCCTGTACTGTAGTAAAACTGGATCAAAATAGGATCAACCTCGGTGATGACGTCAAAGTGAAAATAGTTTCAACGTGGTTTACAACTAACACTGGATCAATAAGAGGTGATCTTTACTGGACCTCTAGGAAGAACAGTGTAGAACTGATAGAGCTATCCAGTATAAATAAAGTTAGTTTAGTTTAGGTTTCCTCCTGTAGTAACACTGGATCAATAAGAGATGATCCTACTGGACCTCTAGGAAGAACAGTTTAGAACTCAACTGATAGAGCTATCCAGTATAAATAAAGTTAGTTTAGTTTAGGTTTCCTTCTGTAGTAACACTGGATCAATAAGAGGTGATCTTTACTGGACCTCTAGGAAGAACAGTGTAGAACTGATAGAGCTATCCAGTATAAATAAAGTTAGTTTAGTTTAGGTTTCCTCCTGTAGTAACACTGGATTAATAAGAGATGATCTTTCCGTGACCTCTAGGAAGAACAGTTTAGAACTGATAGAGCTTCGAGTATAAATAAAGTTAGTTTAGTTTTTGGTTTCCTCCTGTAGTAACACTGGATCAATAAGAGATGATCCTCACTGGACCTCTAGGAAGAACGGTCTAAACTGATATCAGCAACTTTCAGCAAAAAGAATTTAAATTGGGATACTAGTTCAGAAAAATGAAAAGTATTCACGGTGGCGTAAAAATTTTTGTTTTACTAATTAATTTTGAGCACTTGGTCAATGAAGACAATTTCCAAATATTCTGTTGGGAATGGAGAGTGATTTAAGACTTATGTTAGGTTTTTTTAGGTTAATCGGTGATTGATATTTCTGGTTGCGTTTTCTAAAGAACTGTGACGCCCTGTTTTTCAACAACAGCGTCCTTGTCAGAACAAGGTGATCCCCTTGACGTTGCTGGCGAATCTTATTATCGTGTTGCGTGGGATTCTGGTCAGTCAATGGTTATATCTGGTAAACGAGCACAATTTTGAAAACTTTGGATGAAATTTAGCGAATATGCTGGCTCAAATCATCCAGAAAACAGATAAGTCGGGATCTTCTGGAAGCAGGACCTTGCTGTACGGATTCTGTCAGCTTAACAGGGTTATGACTGATAATCCTACGTAAAAAAATCCATTTTAGGACCAGAAACAGAAGCCTTAAATTGAAAACACCACTTCACTGCACTGTGCTTCACCGTTTGCAATGGACAACGAAAGGCCCATGGACACGTTTCCTTCGTGATTACTTTGCCAAATTAAATTACATTTTTCATTGCTCTGAGGATGATACGGAAGGTCTTAGTTCTGATAGAGCTACATCGTTGATTTTAATAAAATCCAGTTCATCATCCTGGACAATGTTAATAAAAGAAGCAGTGCAGGAAGAAATAGGATAGCAAAACTTATACTCTCATCTGAAAATATCCAATCTCCTTACGTTGGCGAGAACGACAGCAATGCGTTTTAATCCACGCTAGTTTATCATCAGAGCAACAAATCACCGCGCGTCATGTTCAAGGGGAATTATAACGCTTCTTACAAAACCGCTGAGATCATTTCCAACCAAATGTTCGTACAGTAATACGAACATCAAGGAACCGGTAGAGATTTTACATCTGTCGTTAATTTGGGTTTCCATAAATCACGATCAGAGAAGATGGTCAATGAACCTTTTATCGAACCGATAAAAATCTTCTGAAGTGGTTAGAGAAGTGTATTCAACTATTCATTGATTAGCGACGAGCGAGGGGTGGTTCATTTCACTGGTCTCAGAGGAGATCAGATTTAGAAACAAGACTGAATAAAAACATCTGCCAAATTACGACATATGGAACCCCCCCTATTTAAAAGTGACAAAATCATCATTTCCTATAGGTTCTTAGAACTCTTCAATTCAGTGTTTAATCCGAGATTACAAAACATGGCAGGAATACCAGTATAATGACAATAATTAATCATGTTCCCTCATGCTAAGGTGACAAAAGAGGCTCTAACAAGGTCTGTATTCCACTCTCTCAGCAAATTATGTCAAGATTTGACCCCTGGTCTGTTTACGTATCACGAGCTGGCAAAAGCCTTCTCATGTGAGGGTCCTTTGCCTTTGCACAACCGCATTCATTTGTTTAATATTTCATTCATTAGATAACAGCATAAACTCTTCTGAGTCTTCTCTACTAAAATCTTGCCGGGCGAAGCAACAGTGCATTTATGGATTAATTCTGTATAAATTATCGTGGTGTACGCTCAATTCTGTTTGCATTTAGAGCAGAACAAATTCTGCAAATTGCGTATCTAACTCAGTCTTAATCATGTATAACCGAAGTCTAATCGGTTCATTCTTTAATTAACCTATGTCTATGACCGCTGATTTATTCCCAGTTGATATAAATGGAATTGAAATGACAAATCGTATCAATTACACGCATTTATATATTCTGATCAAGATTGCATACTTCGATTGAAATACGAAATTTCTGATGTCTGGTAAAAAATGTATCTGCTGAAAGTGATTACTTAGATTCGAATCGTAGAATATTTTGATAATCATAATGTTTTAAAAACTCGATGAACTTATTCGGATTAACCTGTGTTTTATCTCTAACCGTTAGCTCCACCAACATTCGTATTAAAGTGAGAAAATTACAAACGTATACGTATAGTGCTCATAGCCCGAGGAGCACAAAGCCTCCTTAACATCTCACTCCCGTTTAGGTCATTTTTTAAACATGTTATGCGTGTTTTGGCTATTCAAGAATTAACGGTATACTTTCTTAATTTCGGAAAAAACAACTTGAAAATTGAAATTAGTGAAATCGGCGGACTTACTGCTTGGTCAGTCAGATTAAGAACATGCTGTGGATTATTGTATTAAAATGGTCGCCTGGGTTATATTTTTAACAAAATTCCTTGTTGATATCTGACTATTCAGAGATCGCTATAAAGTTTCCTATGTTTCTTAACGTGATAAAGAGATGAATGTTAATCCTCTAGTCATTTATTACAACAATGTTTGTGATTCGCGCCAAGGGCTGAGTGTTAGAGCATGCCCCATTCGCGTGAGTAATTCCTGAGTCAGTGCTGAACCTCAAGGGCATATAACATTAGCATAAAGCACGTCCTGCATTCTCTAGTGACCTAGTTAGACGAATATTGGGAACAGCAACCAACATTCGCATCAGGACAAACGCGGAGGCACTAGCGAGGCTGAAATTAAAAGTAATGAATTGCCCATTAACATTATTGATCACCTGTCGGACAAACTGACTATAAGAGGGGTTGCTTGTGAAACAATACCAATCAGTATTCAGTCAGATTAGCAGTACTGCAATGATCAACGGACATTGAGGAAGGTTGAAAGTGTAACACTGAATAAAACATTGCAGAGTAGTAAGTACTAGAGTAGTCAGGCTAGTATTAGTAGCAACAGTCAGCACTCAGTCAGATTAGCAGTACAGCAATGATCAACTGACATTGAGGAAGGTTGAAAGTGAAACACTAAATAAAACATTGCAAAACGGTAAGTACTAGACTAGTCAGGCTGGTATTTGTGTAGCCAACAATCAACGCTCAGTTAGACTAGCTGTACTGCAACGATCAACTAGCATTGAGAAATCTTGAAAGTGAAACAGTGAAAAAACATAGGAAAGCAACGAGCACAATACAATTCAGCAGTCGATAATTAGTCCCTGATTTAGACTAGCAGCACCAAAAAGTCATCGTGTCAAAATATTCAAAGGTCAGTGAAATCCTATCGACATCTCCAAAGGAATTCAGGAAATGTTCGCGTTGCGGTCGACTCTGTTCGCCTCGAAGATGAGTGGAGAAAAGTAATGAGTTGGCTAAATAGTCCGTTTTCTGCGACTTTTTTTTTTCAGTTCAGGCAACGACTTTTTTATTACGCACGCATGTCAAGTGTGTTAACGCGTCAAGAATCTTGCATGTGAAAAAGTGAAAATGATTGAAGAGTACGGCATCGTAAAGTCTGAGCCATGAAAGACTTGAATGCCTTTAAACAAACAGAAACAACACAAAGACAAACATTGAAGGGAATTGGATTAACTTTGAAGGAGTCATTTAACAATCCATTTAAAGGACTTCCTAAGTCACTCACTCATCGCAGATTACTGTCGAAATGAGATGATATAAAATGAGGGAAATTGTGGGCGAGAACTCATTCAAATACAAAGCACAGCTTAAAGTGTGTTGAACAAAACGAAACATTTCACGAAATAAAACGGGACTTTGGATCAGTCGAAAATTTGTGTTTTCGTAAACATACTGTTGCAATAGCTCGGCAGAAGAGACGCAGGTATTAAAATTCCTAGACTGTGGGTTGCGAGCGATTGATTTGTTGAATTAAACGAAAGAAAAAAGTCCAAGTCTGTATACGTATTCTTCGAGAAAGAGTAACCAAGAAGCAGTTGAATTATCGAGTTTTGTTAAGCAGGAAAACATAAACGCTTCTTTTCAAAACGACGAAGTAGAACTCGCTAGAACGGTATTTAAGTCTCTCAAGGGGTGTCGAAGGATTGCGAACCTAATTTGGCTGCTGAAAAGATAATTAATACCCGCAAAGATAGCGGTTAAATAAGAAATCGTGAACTCCGTAGAATACCGGGAAGAAGAGCGAACAAGAAGAAAGAAGAAGCGACAAGGAAAAAGAAGGAGAAACGAAAAACGAAAACGTGTTGAAACATATTACAAGCCCTTGGAGTTCAGAACAACTCAAGGATAAACTGTGCGAAACGTTGCACGATTTGAGCAAGAAGATATTCGCGTTTAAGTGCTGAACCTGATTAAAGACACCAGGTATATAAAAATATGTTTTCGAAGCTTTTGATCTGTCTAGCGCTGTCCCTACAAACAGCCTGTGTAGTCGACGCACTTCTGTTCGGCCCAAAATTCCGTTTGACTCCTCGCGCACGGCCGACGAAAAAGATGACAGCGAGGGAACGAGTATTAAAGTCTCCGCTAAGAGTGAACAGGTACCTACTGCAGTTGTACAAAGAACTAACAACAGGGGATAACGGAGGAATCGTAAAGAAATCAATGCCATATTCCGCTCACTCAATACGAGGAATTCCTGCAGGTTTGTGTCTTTTATCTCTTTTAATTTCATTTAAATTGCATTTAATCATCCTTGAATACGATCTCCGAGCGCGCACGAAATGTGTTAATTAGCGCAGAATATGATAATGAGCGCATTCTTATGGTAACAGTCTAATAATACAATGCGTCAATAAAGTAATGCGGAGATTGTTGACGACGATTCATAGTTATCAAAATATTGATTGAAAAACCTCAGTAATTCAGAGGAAATGTCCTCTGTTTTTTATCGTGTAATAAACACAGATGCGTCGGCGTCGCTGAAAATATTTATTTTACCATCCTAAGCCGCATAAATGAGCTTTATTGTAGTTGAATTATTCTGTAATCTTTGCTGTGAATTTACCGCAGTGTTTTGAACTAGGTCGGTTAATGATGAATACTCGAAATAGATGTCGTGAGAGTTCATTCTCAAAGAATACAAAGAACTGTTAGAGCTATCCAGTATAAATAAATAAAGTTAGTCAAGGTTTCCTCTTGTAGTAACACTGGATCAATAAGAGATGATCCTTACTGGACCTCTAGGAAGAACAGTTTAGAACTGATAGAGCTATCCAGTATAAATAAAGTTAGTTTAGTTGAGGTTTCCTCCTGTAGTAAGACTAGATGAATAAGAGATGATCCTTACTGGACCTCTAGGAAGAACAGTTTAGAACTGATAGAGCTATCCAGTATATAAATAAAGTTAGTTTAGTTTAGGTTCCTTCTGTAGTCTGTAGTAACACTGGATCAATAGGAGATTATCGTTACTGGGTCCCTATATATAGGAAGAATTTCGTGAGCTTTATAAAAGTACGCCAAAGTGTAAAATTTGTTCTTAAAGTACCAATCCTCACGCTTTCATAAAGAAAATCGCTCTTCGACCCCCACGTCGTGAGGAATATCACACGCTCGTGGGGCAGCGAACTGACAGGATTGACAGGGAACAAAATGTGATAATTGATAGGTGGAATAAAACACGAATCGCTGTTAGAATATCTTGGTAAACATATCTTAAATAGCAAATAGGAAATGCTGATTTGCTAATGCAAATTCCGTTGAAATATTCGAATACGTGTATATTATATAACAAGTACGGGAAATGCCATGGCTATCTGATTTACTTTAGCTTACCATTCGTCAACAGCAGGCAAGCTCGTGCATTCTCTTCAACCTCAAATGACCCGTGATGAGGACACGATTTTCGCACTATCTTTTCGCTGCATTTTGCAGTGAAATCGTACCGTTTACTCTAAGATCTCCGAGGACCTTCGAGTTTATATTCGTCATGACGTACAAAGTATTTCCAGATCATTTTAACGAGCCACATGCATGTTTAGACAACTTGTCTCACAGTGTCAAACGTTTTTGTTTGTGGGTAAAGCTCTCTCTCTATATATATATGTCATTCCTCTAAATCAATAACGTGTGGGAAATTTCCTTGTTTGTTTGATGAGAAGAGTTAACACTTTTCAAACAGTATGACAACGATTACATCCTGCGGCATAATTTCGTCGGTAAGAAGTATTATCAGAACGAGAAGGAAATATCAATAGCTTTATTTTAGCAGCAATTATTGATATGACGCCAGAGCTTCGGAAGTTTGCGGTGGTTTGGAAGTCGACTTAATGGTCGTCTCGTCGCTATTAAGGTGGTATACCACAAAAGGATAAAATTTTTTTAAAAAGAGATATTTGCAAGATTTTTTCACATAGAAGTATTCCCCTGACAAAATAATGAGGAATGGCACAGTTTTCAGAATGGTAGTTGCCATAGTTACCAAGATAATTACCCCCAGCAGCTAAAAAATAGCGTTGCGGCAGAAATGATTACAAAGGCATTTTAGATGATAATTGTTCATAAATTGTCAAAAAAGATGCTACTATACTAGATCTATGCTTTAAAGCAGGTTCTTTCAAAAATATTAAGTTTTAAATAGTTTTTAGGCCTAAAATCATTTTATATGAATTTTTTGTCAGTTTCCCCTGAGGAAAACAGTAATTATGTTCAGAACATTCAAGCTAACAAAAATATTTGAGGTTCACAGCATAGATCTATAACTTCTAAAGATTCACTGAAAATTTCAAATGAATAGCTCTAATACTTTAGGAGATATCATTTTTACCAATCCGGCTATTTGTGTAAAATCCAAATTTGCATAAATTAACTTTAAAGTTCCGCAAGTTGAGAAACTGTAAGTTTTTCACCTTTAGGATCTACAATTCACTTCAGAATTCTCCACAAGCATAGGTTAAGTCTTCTGCTTGTTTTTGTTTATCCCCTTTAGATTTTCTCTTGGCTCTCACCAATCTTCTCCTCTTCTTTACCTTCTCCTCCGACTTCCGCTCAGCAATTTGTATCCGTTGCTTGTCTGCTGCAGAACACTGTGCTAAACATTGATCCCCACTGTTGATATTCATTCTTTAAAAGATTTTGATTGAAGCCTTTGCACCAATGTTGAAGTGGGACACTGCATCACAAACACCCAGATGCAACACATCAGACCCAACAAACACCTCTTCTAACACCTAACCCTAACCCTAACTCTAACCCTAACCCTAACCCGATCTCATTCTTTCCTGGCAAACTTCCTTGGCAGGTTTCAGTAGGGCTTTATTGTGGACAGCATACGGCGCACACCTTGGGATTGGTGGCATATTCATTAAACCGTAAAACTTTTCTGCTGATGAAGCACCACAACCGACTGACCTCATAGCATAGACCAACCGCAACAAACGACTGACCTCATAGCATAGACCAACCGTCTATTAACTTCGTAGAAATAAGAGATCTTGGGTGATGTATAAAATTCTTCTTTCCAAGAACATGCAGCACATCGCAGGACTAAATTGGAAGCAAAACCTTTGTGTTTAGGTACATTTTCAACTAGTTTCAAGTGAAACTGCTTGCATTCCTTGCATACCAACATATTGAAAATTCTTGTAAGAATTCCCATATCAATAAAACCAAAGCCTGTCGGTTTAACCTCAGTGTCCTCAACCATCTTGTGTTCTGGTGTACTAATTTTACGACCAGATGCTGATACTGGGGTCTTTGGTAAGGTAGATGTAGCGCCAAGATTAGTAACAGGATTACTTTTCGAACTCGATGACAAAGACGAACTCACAGTTGCACGTTCTTGCGAATATTCCTGCTTTTGCCGTTTGTCACGCTCTGCCTTACGCTGATTTCCATAAAACTTTCGTTTTTTAGCGTACCCCGAACGTGTTTTACCCATTCAATCAACAATCTTTTCGAAATATGAATAAAATATGAAGCAAATTTCCCACAACAATAAAGCGTTAGCGTATAAAATGCAAATGGCGGGTCAAAGATTTTCCCAATAGATTTAGACGCTTGAAACGTCATGTAAAACTAAATAAAAGGGGTAAATGCTTAAATATTGTGTGGGGGAGGGTAAGGAGCATTGGTCAACCAACTTGCGAAAACAAATTACAAAATCCACAAGTTTTATTGGTGCGTTTTCACAATAAACGCGGTTGCTAAGGGCGTTGCTAAGCATGTATATTTCAAGTTTCCTTTAAAAAAACCCCTATAACTCCGAGTTAAGGATAAAATCCACGAAAAAACGATTTGAATATGAAAGAATAATAGTTTGGGAGGGTAAAAATAATATTTTTGAAATTTCGAAAATTTCATTACAATTTTGTAGTATACCACCTTAAGTACTCAGTTTTGCATGATAGTGCATTAAATGACGACAACTAGGTAGTTGAACTATCGCAAGCCGTAAAGGATATTTTAGTCCGCGGAGGTAGAGTTTTAATACATTCACTACACGGACGCTGTGATATACATATTAAGTCTAAGAACTGTGCCTCTTACACCTTATCGCTATATCACGCATTTCGTATGCACGAAAAGCCCAAAGAACGCTAATTTTTTTTTTTAATTTGACATTGAACAAGACAAGAACAAGATGGTAAAGCCTGCGAAACACTAAGTTGGTAAATTTACTGACTCAGATGGTTATTTCATAATAAAACATTAAAACGGCTTGCATATATTCCGTGTACCTGTACGTTGTCAACATCAAACTCATTATTGGAAAAGTCATTGAGATCGATTAGAGCGCAGGTTATCATTTATCAGTGAAGGCGCGTTTGCTAAAATTAACACTAAATATGCACTTTAATGAACTTCCGGAGACCCAATTGAAAGGAATGAGGAGACGGGATTGCACTCAGCAAGGGTCTTTATGAGTAACGTTTCACCTCAATTGTTTGAACTGTAGTTTACATCAGGTTCTAAATTAATCTTAAGGCTAAGCCGTGCGTTGATAGCGGTTTCTTTCGGTTCTAGTTCTCCGGAAACTCATTATTTCTACCTTTTTCTGATAGCAAGTGCAGTTGCAACATTCGGTGTATTTTCGGATAAAAACTGGTTTTAAATATACTGCTTTTTTCCACACATACACAGAACAAAAAAAACTCGTTTTCAACTGTTCAAATGGTAACAATTTAACTGGTAACATGGTCATGGAAACAGACGGGAATGAGATGTTTCCCACCGCTTTCGTACGCAGCTAGATGTGTCATCATGATAGTGCGTTTATTAATAATGATAAGAAACATGTTCTGGTGAGAATGTCTATATTTAACACGATTCACAGCCGCAGTTTGTCTAGTCGTTGTGAGTGCTTTTCATCTCGACGCTGACTATGATAGATAGCGACTTCCCACGCACGAAAAGTTTTCCCAAACCAAACCACGACTGAGATATCTCTCATATGGATGCCAAAAATATAGCTTTTGAGTAAACTCATCGATCAAGCAATCTTCTTTGTAAACTTCAGTACAGTCAGTATTTTAGAATCACCGAATACCAAATCGACTCGCTAATTAGCATATTATGCGAGAAACGAATTCCAGTGATAATTTGAAGAAAATGCTCTGTCAAATTTACAGAATATCTCGCAGAATTATTCAGTTTTCAGCTTTACACGGCCAAATTTGGATGATTACTTTTATCTTTGTTTTTAATCTACTTGGATAAAATTGACGTATTGATGTGTGAATATGTATTTACGCAGTGAATATAGGATATCAACTCTGGATTCTCAGTGTGTGGGGTAATTGTGAGAAATTGTGAGATATTTTCGCACGATGGTATGCGTCACAAACATTCATAGCGTAATATTTTGCAAGTTGGTCATCACTGATAAGAACTCATTGCAATACCAGAAATATTCATATTTTTAATACTGCTAATCACCTCAACGCACGACAAACAAGCTATATTACTATCGAAGAGGGTCTATTTAATTATGTCATTTAATTTTCCTCTCCTCTTTTGGGAACTAAAATCCTGACTCAGCTCATGCCCACATACCGGACAGAGCTGCTATGGCCACTGGGAGGAGATCAACCTTGATTGATTGATTACTTTGGAACTCTCCTTGCTTAGAACTCTCCCCTCATAGACCTCATAGTGTTTATTTGCTTTTGTATGGTAATACATTACTGCTTATTCTCTTCGAGGATCTAATTGCATGAGATTGTGTGGAAATAAACAACAATTTTTTTCAAAGAGAACTTGTGTTTGATCAGCGCCAGTCTCACACTCAAACTCGTTCAGTGGGAGATCTTAATCTTTTCTTAACGTTTCAATGGCGGTATTTCCAGTCGAATAGGAGCTTGATTCTCAGTTTTTTTACCTTAAATCTTTCCACCTATTTAGAAAGAACTTTCTCGTTGACCAGCTTTAACAAAATTTATATGCCACACTCAATGAATATGAGTGAGCTTTTTGAATACAGGCGTAATTCTAGTTCAAATTTTCCCTTATTGTGTCAAGTCAACTCATGGCCCGAAACATAAGTCTTTGAAATTAGTAGCTACATTGAACACACAAACATAATTAAGAAGATTTACTATCGGAATCATAACTCATTACAGCAGATATAACACCAGCTTTATTCTTTCCTTTGTGTAAACACCCGCAGGATCATAAACTGTAAACTACTGCTCTTATTTTTGTTGAAAAACAAACCAACATTTAGATGAGTTGTTTACGGGTTAGTATTGTCGGATGTTCAACCGAACAGAAAGCGCAAAAGTTCGCATGATTCAGAAACGAAAGATTTCACTTCTTCAAGACAGACGTCTTCAATAGCTATAAGCTAAAACAAGGGGTCCATGCAGTATAATCATATAAACGTATCATTTAGGTGTTCATGCAGTACCTGCATTCATCAATGCACCTGCATGTATACAAAGGTCCATCATGTTCCCAATGTTCCTTGATGTGCCCTCATTTCCAAACTTAATCTACAATCGGAAAATGACATATAAGTCAAGATTATTGTTTATCTGCAAATCTTCACTGTGGTCTTCACCTAATACCTCAGTAATAATTTCATTGCAATTGATAGCTTAATTCCTGATGAGGATGTTTTGTCTCGATATTTAGACAATTTTCCCTCTCTGTTCCTGACTATACTTTAAGATGTGCTCAGACATCTACTTAGATCAAACACGAGTCAGTTGACAATTACATGCATCGGGGAGGTGCGTTTAAAACCGTTTGCCTTTAGTATAATGATTGATCGTAATTTGTCAGTTGAAGATTTAAGAAAATGCAAGCAGAGATTCGATAATTGCCTTTCAATTAACTCTTCCTGTTTTGACTACCCGGAGGCGTTGAACTACAACACTAAATATAGTTGAGATAAATTTAACTTCTGACTCGTTTCGTCAAAATATTCCCCCAAGAAGTTCACTTGATGCTATAGCTTTATTCAGAATGAACAAGTTATACTAAATGTAGCTTTAATACATGCCACAAGAACATCCTCAATGCTTACTTACGGCTTTTCAATATACAAATAAATGACAATGCATAACGTATTGTTTTTGCTTACCAAAATTAGAATTTGCCAAACTATAGTTAAGCTTTAATCTTATAATATAATCCGTGAAAGGCTGTGTTTTTCCAACGGTTATTGTTTTCACAAAACAGTAATACATTTAAGATTTGTGTATTTATCAACCAGTAAATAATCTTAATGGAGCGGGGCACTTAACGAATTATGAAAGATAACTTTTAATGGATCTTAAGAGTGAAAAAGCTGATCTTGATTCGAGTCATTAGTCTTAAAGATACAAAAACTACGGTCTTTAATAACTGATAAACTTCCAGTAAATAATTTGCGAAGTTTAGTTCAGAGGTTTTTTCCTGTATCTGACATACAATGAATAAGAGATTATCTAAAGTGGATGAATAAGACATGATCCTTTCTGGATCTCTAGTAAGAACAGTTTAGAACTGATAGAGCTATCCAGTATAACTTGTACTGCATGCTTTATCAATTTTACCACCAAGACCACAAACCTAAATGCCACACATACTTAGAAGACTTTTCTGGAGTGCTAGTACTCAAACAACAAAGACCAAACTGTTGGGATCAGGCTTTGTATGTGAGCACCCTTGAGTAGCATGATACTCAATTAAAACGCGTTGAAGAACACATGTTAACGGGATAATTGGCAATTGTTGTTATCAGGCAATAATTACGTGCTATAATCACGATGAGTCAACTCAATAGTTAGATATGGACCGTTGCCATATCCTGAAATCTTGCCTCGCTTGCCAACTGATGCTGCGAGAATCCTCTTTCGATTATGTTTTCCTCAACGCGGAATTCGCGCGCGATGGCAATTTTCTGCTTAGTGAAAGACGACCATTAGGCTTTCAGCTTTGCACAGAATGGCGTATAATGACGCAACGGAAAATGACGCTTCATTAAACGCTAATCGTGTTCCACGCCCCATTTGCCCGCCGGATATCACCCGATTCGCGTTGTCACGACAGACGTTTATCGATCTTGACTATAAAACTGGATTAATCAAACCATTTCAAAGGGCTGTTTTAGTTTACTTATAAGAAATCCTAGTCAATTAGCTTTACTATAATTTTTCCGTTCAAGTCTAATTACGATCACTTCGATCAAATATTTTTGCAGCATTGAAACTGCAACGCGGTGGTATATTGCATGTCTGGTCCTATAACAGCATTAGGCAAAGTTTCCGCAGTTGGTCTCCCTAATTATGCAATATAGTTCCCGTTGTGGTCGACGAAAATTGGCTAGAATGTCTCTACCTGTTCAGACAGAAACTACGACAAAGGATTGTAGAATACTACCTACACTGGACCACCACGTTTGAGATACCTTTCTCAGGTAGTTCAGACACAAACCAGCTTATTGTAGAATACTACCTACACTGGACCACCACGTTTGAGATATCTTTCTTTGGTAGTTCAGACACAAACCACGAAAGCTTATATGCAGAATATTACCTACACTGTCTGCGCTACGAGGTAGGAGATTTCTTCTCAGGTAGTAGAAAATTAATAGACCACCAGCTTTGAAAGCTAATTTCAACACATGGTGCTAATAATGCGTTGTTTGTTTAAAGTTACTTCTAATTTCCTTCCTCTAAGAGTGAAAAATTCCCCTTGAAAAGTTTCCGATAAATTGGTTTAAGAGCAAGAATTTCCTGTAACTATATTAAAAACTTTTTTGTAAAATATGGACGCACACGTCAACACCGCCCAAGTGGAATATTCACGATGGTGCCACACCACTAGTGCATGGCCAGTGTGTAATGTAAACAAGCGATTTGTTTACATTTTAAACTGCAATACTTAATAAAAGCATTATATTTATATATTTGCATTGTTATTCTTTTAAATGCGACAATACGAGACTTGCAGAGAAAATTTCGACACATGCAGAGATTTGGGGAATTTGATTGTTTGAAGACCAGGCATGGGGTCTATTACTTAGAATTGTTATAAGGGTGAGATAATTTAGCAAGAGACGTGCAAAAGGCGGGTGATTTTTTACACCTCTTCCCTCTCCCTGGGGCATAAGTCCTGACAACTAGCCCGCTAATAATGTTGCGTCAAATATTCCAGAAACTGCCAGGAAGCCATAATTCCGACTTTTAAAACGTATTTCTTCTTTCAGACGTGAAGAAGGTGTCGAAATCCAGTATAAAAATTCGCTTTGACCTCAAAAGCAGGGACGAAATCCACTCAGCGCTACGTGATGAGGTTCATCTCCACATGAACCCCCCTGATCCAAAGGACCAACAAATCTTCAAACCTTACGTGTTGAGATTCAAGGACATTCACACAAACAAAATAATAAGGAAGTACAAAGTGCCCGCGTTCAACCAGGGATGGCAGGTGCTATCCCTGAACAAATGGACCAATAAATGGATCAGAAATTCGAGCACAAACGAAGGATTTCTGCTGACCATACATCGCGCGGGCAAGCCGGCAAACAAGAATCCGTTTGTCAATTTCGGATACGGGAATGATCCATATTTGATATTGTACGCGACCGACAAGCAACGCAGCATATTGGCATGGAGGTTCCTCATCCAGAATGCACTGAACTCAGTCGCAGGCAACCGAGCTGGAAAGCGAATAACACGTGACGCACGCCTGCATGCGCATGGTCAGCGGATGACGCGCAACACGAACCAGCGATCACAAGGTCAGCGGTTGATTGTGGACAAGAGCAAGAGACCACAGTGTACCGAGGTCGAGAGGGACGTGAACACGACGAACTTAGCAATTGGCAGCAATTTCATAATCCTTCACCCAAGAATTTACAAGATGATAGACTGTTCAAACTCGTGCATAACAAAAGCTACAACAATAAGTTACCCGACATCGTCTCGGAAAGGCCATGTTGGTTATGAACGATATTGCTGCAAACCGACAAAACGACGCGACGTGGCTGTCATGTTAATGGACCAGAACAGAGGAAATGTTGAGATCGAACTGTTTCGGAACATTGTGCCCACGGGATGCATGTGGTCGAGACAGTAAACATGTATCTGTCGCTCTTGAGGGCGTTTGGAAGTATTAGCGTGAAGTACTTAGGAAGAGTCGTTATTTCAGGAAAGAGGCTATGAAGTAGGCGGTGTTTCAAATCATAAGTTAATCACATCTGAAATTATTATTATTTTACCTTATTTTAAGACGAAAAACGCAACTTATTAAGGCGTAGCCCGCCAGTAAAACTTTTATGGTTTCGTTCGAATTTGATGTTGTTAGCGATGCCTAAAGATTATATTGTTAAACAAAGTTATAGGAGGAATTCCTACTGCATCTCCTCTTAACTGAAATGAATGACTAGTTCCTGGAAATTTGTAGGGAGAGAAACAGTGAACCGTAACAATTAGCTATTGAACAGCTGACAGAATGGGAAGATAGCTACGGTACTCTATATGATATACACGACAATCATTTTGGACTGACTTCTAAAATGCTATTCAACTTTTATAAACTTTCGACCAGCTGCATAGTAAACCACCATGCTAGCGATAATATTAAATTCAAGACCACTATCCATAATTTATCAATAGGACCTACTGGATTGTGCTGCATGTTTCTGTAAAGGTTCTTTCAAAACACAATATTAATGACCATATTTCGTGTAAATATTGCAAGCCGACCTTAGTTTCTTTGTAACATTAAAATTTCGGCAGGTTTTTGTCGGATTTGATGGTTTACAAATTCTAGCCGGGTTGCTGGGTATAGACTGGGATAGAAATCGAGCCAAACAGCACCATATAATGATCAATGACAATGTAAAATTGGTCACCGCCATTTGGCAAAATATTTTAGTAAGATCAATTCATTACGTGGTATATATTTGAGACGTAATCCAGATTGGAAATTTTTTTTTTTTGAATATGAACTCGTTTTGCACAATTGATATCAGAATAATAATTGGGTGGACGACCCTTTCCAACCTGAGATGTAATGGATTGAATTTATACAAAATATATTATAGTTAACAGTTATAAATATACACACATGTAATATGTTAAATAAAGACAATATATATTATTATTATTTTAAAATACAACAAAAGTGAAATAGTCTCCTGGTCAGAATTTTATCATTATTCGTCTGAAATCGTCGGCCATGCACAATTATGCATTCATCGTTATCCAATATTTCTCTGAACTAACATAGCACATTTTAGCCATAAAACAACAGCGCTTCAAGGCTTTTTCAAGCAAATTAAAGATATATTATAGAAATTGCATAAATATGCTTTGAAAGCTCGGAAATACAGCGAAGTTTTACTATATTATTCGCACCTCAGGAACCACAAATATCAACGCCTAATCATTACTTACCATTCCAATCAATTTACGACTTCTTTAGAGAAAAATAACAGCAATTTTCAAGAGTATTCACCTTAAAACTTTCGTATAAAATTGGTCCTTTAAAAGTTGTTTATCACAATGCACGTGCAAGGGAGGGCATTTAAATTTAAATTTTGGAGTAATTTATTGGAACCAATCAGAAGCCCGAAATATGACACGTGTCACATCGAAAGAACACGTCAGATCTCATAAGAAACTGGACAATTAAAAGTATTGTGAATTGTTAATATCTTGTATCTTTACAAATATAAACAACACAATTTGAGTGAAATATCTTCATTTTATTTGAATTTCCCACTACACAGCGTGAATTCATTTATTACAGCACCGAAGAACAATTTATTTCAATTATGTCTACACAAAGCTACACCATTGGGTACTGGGTAAAAAATCACTGACCTCCATACACACACTGGCAAGCTGGACAGCTGACAGGCGTGAACCAGCGATTAAATCATACGAAGGCTGGTATAATTAAATTATTTAATAATTTTTTCACATTATCAGCTTCGCACCATTGTTTCCTATCCAAACTCCAAAGGTTTCTCTAACCTCAAACATCAAAACACATCCACACCGACCAACTTGTTTCTCACGGACCAAAACATTTAAAATTCCAATTTCAGAGACTGATTCAAGGCCTGAAGAGCATTCAAGTTTCGTAGTCGTTTGCAACCGTACAAATGAAGTATCTTCATTCTGAAAAATGAATTAAAATTTACTTGAAAAAGTACAGTAACTGATGTAGAAATCGTATTGCAAACGGCATGAAGTTGTCCTTATACCACAGGAGGGAATCTCAATAAAAAGTCATATCGCATATTTCTTGAAATACCACAGTTAGATCTAACTATTTCTCAAGAATCAAGCGTCACTACTGGGGAAAAACAAACTGAACTTTAGGTATATACTGGATAAAACTATCGTTCCTACCTCTTACAGTGTTTTACAAGACGCGACACGCTGTCATCCGTAACATCCACACAAAAGCTCAGCTTCAACGATTGAAGATTTTGACTGCAGTAATTTGCAAGTAACATAACGCTTTTCTTCGTGATGCTGGTGGAACTTAAATCCAGAGAATTCAATCGACTACACGAACGAGCCAACGCTTTCACGCCATGGTCAGTAACTTTCACACAACCGCACACATCAAGACACCTAAAAAATGCACGGATAGACTTCAAAGAACGCCCAACACATTAGTAGTACTTCAGGCATCAATCATGACAGCTTATTGTAGAATACTTTCCATGCACTGAACCGCCTGGTTTCAGGTAGCTCAGACACAAACCACGAAAGATAATTACAGAATACTTCAGTGAACAGGTCTTACCTCACTGCCGACAAATTCGTAGCAATTTCAGACATAGCAACGTCGGTAATTAGTGGACAATTAGCTAGAACCAAATTAACTAATTTCGGACAATGTTTCACAATCGTTTTCACACAGGCATCTCGGGCCTAAAAGAGAAGAAAAAAGTGAGACAATTGTGTTGTGTTTTTAGCTGACAACAACCTCCATGCATAGACGAGCTGCGCGTAATGAAAATTGTGTTTGATAGTGTTTTCATCTCACCTGTTTACAGCCTCGTAAATCAAGGTTTACTATTGACTCCAGATGAGAAACTAACCTACCAATATCAGCGCTTGTTATCTAAATGATAAACATTGCAATGACTTGAATGCAGTATTGTGTTTAAGATATTTAGTAAACTATTCGTTTTACCTTATAACACTGCCCTAGGTTTAATGTTTCCAGTTTTGGACATTTCTGACCAAGTCTTTTTATAGCTGCTGCAGACACGTTGAAGCAACCAAAGATCTCAAACGTTTTTAGACTAAAATTGAGGAAACGAAATGAAATATTTACGATTATGCTTTGATCCACCGCCTCCAAGTAGAATGGCAATGGAGATATCTCACCTGTCGCCAAGTTTGTCCGCGACTACCTTTAAGGAATGATCAGTTATAGCCTGGCAGCCATTCAGGCACAAACTCTCCAGCCTAGTAAAGTGATGATGGGAAAGTCAAATATCATCTCTTATTGATCCAGTGTTACTACAGGAGGAAACCTAAACTAAACTAACTTTATTTACACTGGATAGCTCTATCAGTTTTAAACTGTTCTTCCTAGAGGTCCAGTAAGGATCATCTCTTATTGATCCAGTGTTACTACAGGAGGAAACCTAAACTAAACTAACTTTATTTATATTGGATACAGTACAGTAGCTCTATCAGTCTTAAACTGTTCTTTCTTGAGGTCCAGGAGGGATCACTAGTGCAACAATCCCTGAAAAATTGATTGTTTAAAAAACCACCTTTCAACATTCTGCACCAAAGCTTCAACACCATTGTCTCCGACATTACTCCAGCTCGCGTCCACTGACCGCAGATTATTACAACGCAAAGCGACGTGAAGAAGTATTGACTCGCCAATCAGTTGACCACCATTGCATCCAATAAAATTCAGTTCCTAAGTGAAAATGTCTAGTTAAATATGAACCAAAAGTAATAAACATCAGGATATATTCCAACTGATTCACCAGGCTACTTCATCTGGGGTACTATACTAGGCACTAATACCCAGTCTTACCTCCAAATTATCAGCGCAACGTCTAAACAGCTCACGCAAGCCACCGGAGGTCACATGGTTCCCATGACATTTGATTAAACTTAGACTGACTGGTCTCTTCGCACCAATCTTTTCTAAAAACTCATCACTGATATTCTGCTTTCGTTCCAGCACTATCGTTCTCCCTTGAAGTTGAAGAAAACTAACATTTTTCACGCTGGACAGCTGATCAATTCAGTGTAAACTAAACTAAACTAACTTTATTTATACTGGATAGCTCTATCAGTTCTAAACTGTTCTTCCTAGAGGTCCAGTAAGGATCATTTCTTATTGATCCAATGTTAATACAGGAGGAAACCTAAACTAAACTAACTTTATTTATACTAGATAGCTCTATCAGTTCTAAACTGTTCTTCCTAGAGATCCAGTAAGGGTCATCTCTTATTGATCCAGTGTTACTACAGTAGGAAACCTAAACTAACTTTATTTATACTGGATAGCTCTATCAGTTCTAAACTGTTCTTCCTAGAGGTCCAGTAAGGATCATCTCTTATTGATCCAGTGTTAATACAGGAGGAAACCTAAACTAAACTAACTTAATTTATACTAGATAGCTCTATCAGTTCTAAACTGTTCTTCCTAGAGGTCCAGTAAGGATCATCTCTTATTGATCCAGTGTTACTACAGGAGGAAACCTAAACTAAACTAACTTTATTTATACCATATAGCTCTATCAGTTCTAAACTGTTCCTCCTAGAGGTCAAGAAATGATAGGGCAGAACAGAAAACTCACATAATTTCTCATCCTGGGATATTCGTTCCAATTGTCGACAAACACAAGAACATCTTGCCAGATCACCATGGGAAAGATGTCCAAATATTTGTAAAATGATCTCCTCCGGAAGATACATCAAAAATGGTGGCTCATGTTCGTGGTTTTTTCTGATCTAAAATTGACCAGATTTACAGAATGTCGGAGAATCTGGGTTACTCAAAGCGGACAAAACTATTTTAAAATTTCAACATACCATTGCATTAATTTCCCCATATTTTTCATCTAAAATAAATAGAAAAGTGTGATTGATTGGTAAACAATAAACTGACATGAGCAACAGCTTTGCACATACAAACCTGAAACCCTGGATGCAGCTGTTATTTTTTTTGTTTTTGCTTTCACTCCTTTCAAGGTCTATAAATCCAAGCAAAGCAACATGTAAAATAAATAAAAATATCACAAAAACATTCAAATATCTGAAATAGTTTTTTAGAATGCAAGGTTCCCTACCAAATTTCCAACCCCATGATCTAATGAGTTTCCTTTTCTGTTTTTAAACTCACGAAATTTGTAGGATCTTGGTAAGCTTCCTGGTCCACCATCTTCTGCTTTCATATGTGCCTTTCCAGGGTTTTTACAAGAAGTGGATCTTGGCCTAAAACCATCTGTGTTATCCTGATCAACACTACTTTTTTTCTGGTGATTTTTTATTTTTTTTGTACTAGGTGGCTTAGAAAGATGATTATCCTGGTATGTGCTCCATGATAAGTTTGATTTCTCCCAACGACGGCCATTTTGCTTGGGTTTATTCTTGACTGTTTTCGCATTTTGGGAGCCCAAATTACTCTTTGGTTTCAAAACAGATTCTCTTTCCAACGGAGACAGTTCTATTGCATCTGCTTTGTCAGACTCTGCTAGTTTTTGAGTCTTTGGAATTGGTAAAGTATCTTCACATCTCTCTGGCTTGCTAGATAAATCAATTGCCATACTGCTTACGGGTTTTGTGGACCCCAAAGTTGTTCCGCATTCTGAGCACCAATTCAATCCATTGTGGTTAATCTTATTACATTCCAAACAAACAATACTTGCATACTGTCTTTTCACACCATTTAAACCAGAATTTGGTGAACTCAAAAGGGAAGAATGTTCAGATGTTTTCACTGCCTTTTCCATCCAATTATTTTGTGGCATTCTTGAATATTCAGGGTCTTTATCAATGGTTGAATTTATCAGAGAATGATGGTTGGAACTTTTCTTTAAAGTGTAGATCAGTTTATCATGTCTTGACAAGCCTTTAGGCATGGAATCTTCCTCATCACTAGAACCATAACTAATTTCCACATCAACAAAATTGTTTTTAGTCACAACATTACACACAACATCAACACTTTCATTACAAATTTCATGACAACATGAATTAGGTGAGTCACATCTTTCTGAACAATCCCAAGCAGTGCTTGGATGAGACAAAGATCTTGGTCTTTGTCGAGCTTTGCTACCCTCTTGATTGTAACTCATTGTAACAGTCTGTGAAGGTTTTAAATCCAACTCTTCATCACTATATGCAAACTCATGGTACAGAGCACCAGTTATCTGTGGTGCTGGTGGTGAAACAGATTGAGCCAAAGAAGACAATGTTTGAGAATTTCGGAGCAGACGTTCCCATATCGGATTATCTTCAACACGTAGGCTGGTATGTCTCGAAATAGGGTGGTCTAATGTAAAATCCGAATCAGAATCGCTATCACAAATGAGTCCATTCACTGTTTCATGATGGGTATTATCATCCATTTCATCATCTAATTCAATTGGAAATAACGATGGCACTTCATTTGACTCAGTCTTTCTTTTCTCTGGAAAAACTATTCCATTGACCACATCATCGCAGCCTATAGAAGTCTTTGGCAAACTTCTCTGGGTTTCAGAAGTGATCAGTGGATATCGATGGGGTCCATTAAGGTGAGCAGGTTCATTGGGAACATGAAATTTGTTGCATTCATTCAATTTGTCTGCACCTTTTAATTCTCCATAACACTGACCATTCTGAAATTCACAACTTTTATATGATGCCTTTTGCAACTTTGGAGAGCTGGCTAATCGTCCCTCATCAGTATCGTTATCAAAAGTTGTTTTTCTGCTGTTTTTATCATGAAAAAAGTTAAGTCGTTTCTCTCGAAGACTTTCGAGATTAACTAGACTTTTCTCACTTCTCGTGGTAGTTAACTCCTGATCAGATGCAGATGAGGTGAGATTTTCCACCGAGATATCTCCGGGCTGCCCTGTTTCATCACCTTTTAAAACATCAATTTTTTGCCACTTTAAGTCGGATGAAACAGCCTTGTTTTTTCCTGTTGAAGCTTTTTTATCAATTATACTCCTATCTTTAACTTCCTTAATGCTTCTATTCGCCTGAAGGACAACATTATCGTCGCTTTTTTCAAATTCTTTTGGCTCACTCTGGTAGTTCAGTCCCATCCTGGCGAATCGAAATCGTAGATTTTGGACCCAATTTGAAGCGATCGCCTCCGCTTCATTCTCATCAAACCCGGCCATCTGGAGGTCCAGTGTTCGCTCATGAGTTTTATTAAAAGACGGAGTACATATCAAGCAGGAGTTTGAAAATATTTTGGCTGAGGAATGGCATTTTTGTGAACCATACCGAAATCTGAGTTATCTGACCAATTCCACATTTTTTTAATATTCAAAACAAAACACTATAATTTTCGTTCCCAGGGAAGCGCGTATAGGAGTAGAAAGTTCCGGGAGGGCAATTTCACCGGTAGGGCTAAGTTCACGAACATGTTGGAAACAGAACATTTATGGAGAGGGGCCTCCCTCCGGTTGTGAAGTAAATGAGGGGGGTACTTATTATGTCCACGTGTTGTAGGAAGGAGTAGGGAAGGGCGTAAAATGCGCGAAATACACAAATTAACCAATCTACATTTAACAAATAAAATTTCTTTTAAACATTGCTGTAACACACTGTGGAAAGTCTTTCTATTTACAATGATGAAACTTATTCTTGAAACAGGCCTAAATTTATCAAATATCTCACACATTTCGAAGGTTCAATATCTCTTGAAATTTATTTCTCTATGGCATATCTGTTGCCATCTTCACAATCCCAGATTTACATGCCTTTCAATGTGCCCTGGTCGGGGTCTAGTGTGTTTAGATGCAGTACTGTAGGGAAGTGAATGAATAACAACGGATTGTTAAGTCTCTAGACGTGCTTTAAGGAAACAGATGCGATCGTTGGCCGAAATGGTTTTCCACGCATCACATCTGGTGGTTGTAAATCAAACTCAATTACGGTACAATAACTAGTCTAGTAGTTTTCACTCGTAACCTCACGAATTTCCTGCGATGACAGGAAGTTGCTAGTACTGAGTTGGATAGGATATCATCCCTGTCTTAGAGTCTTGTCCATAATAGTTTGTCGCTGAGTTGAAAGCTCCAGCTGCCGTAGATGAGAACGCACCAGCTGATGTTCCACTGGCGCTATACCCCGGTGTCGCTTGAGTCTGCATTCCCGTTGACTGGTTTCCAAAAGCACCACCACTTATCATCCCGCTTTGACCGCTACCTGCGGTCCCGGTTATCCCAAAGAATCCCGTGTTACCCATACTGCTCGCCGTCTGGGTCGCACCATACCCCCCACCGTAGCCTGTATTCGCTCCAGCACCAGGCATGTTCCCGAATGTATTTGCTTGGCTGCCGAAATTACCACCGCCGAAACCAGCAGCTCCTCCCCCTGGGGCAGCGTTAAACCCCGGGGCAGCCGCTGCACTGTTGCTAAAGTTGTTTCCAAATCCTAGATGATATGACAGAGGAGGTTTAGTCGAGTTTCGCATAGTTATCCTTGCCATTTTTACCAGGTAATTTCAGTCGCCAAGCAACAACAATGAAACTCTACATTCACAAGATGAAAACAAATCTCTTACCTCCAGCATTGTTTGAGAAATTCATGCCGTTGCCTGAGAAAAAGGACTGGTCACCACCACTCCAATCATCACCTCCACTCTCCTCAAATTCTGATCTCAAGAATAACTCGATGTAACGATGACCTGGACAAACAAATTTCACGTTAGAGTAAACACTTATATATATGATGAACTGCAAGTTGCATGAAGGTTGTAGTTGTATAACTCTCGACTATGGTGTAGTTAGTGACGGAATTGGGCAATGGAAATGTTCTGACTAGTACCCGGGGGTTGGGAGTTCTATACAACCAGTTCAAGTTTTTCAATACAGAATCGCCCTATTTTGTTTTTAGTTTGACTGCCAAGAACAATAGCAAAGAGAACGTTGGTTGGAAAATATTTGAAACTTTAGAGGATCGCCACCCACCCATATTTTGTTTGTCCTTCGCCATAGCCGCTTTCGCGTCAGCTTCGGTTGCAAAATCCACGTCAGCCTCACCACGTGACCTCCTCTGACCGGAACCGCTGGTCTCAAATTCCATTCTTATGGCCACTGGGTTGAGAGGCATGAACCATTGTTTCACGTCGTTTTCCGTCGCGGAGAAGGGCAGGCCGCGCATGTGCACACAATGCCCCGTGGTACTCTTAGACAACCCTCCGGAACCCCCACTTCTTCCGAAACCACCACCTCCAAAGCCTCCAGAATCATCGCGACCGCTTCGCATCCCTCCGTATCCACCTCGACCACCTCCACGATATCTGAAAAACAAATCAAAAGCAATGACATTGATATTCATGGTGCACAAAGCTACCATTTCATACAGGCAACAGTGTTTAAGAATATCCGATTAAACACATCACACACCTTCTTTCAAAGCCGCTGGTTCTTCCCCCAAAACCTGACCCACCGCCTCCAAACGATTTTCTTTCATAGGGACCAAATCTTGCCGCCATTAAAGGACGTGGTTTTGGCGTTAATGCTGATCTGGCTTCCTGTATTGAGCTCGGGAATATCTCAATATATCTAAACAGCAAGGAATACCCGGTTAGCAGATGCCTGGCATTTCTCACCAAACAATTTAACGAATTTAGAGATTCCGCAAGATAGAGTTAAGCGTCCAGAGTTCAGCCTTTAAGAATATTGTTCAATCTTTAATAACGCTTCATTTCCTTGTTTATTCTAGTTTCCCAAATCTTTTTTTACCTTATTCGGCTTCTCAGTGTTTTTAAGCAAACTGTTAGTGCTTGAATACCTACCCCAAAGATTGTTTTTATCGTCCAAAAATAAAGCAGGTGCATTTCGTAAAGTAATACTTACGCTGTAAGCTAGCGTGGTCATATCTAAACTATCTAGGAGGTTTTAGTCCGGAAAAAACACTTTCCTTTTGGCATACACGAAGTTAAATCTCTTTCCAGTTAGTTTAGAAACAAACCACGCAGCTTATTTGAATTAAATAGACCGAGATAAAAATATTCTGATGCAACAAGTTCTCAGGCAAAAAAGCGAATTCGCGTATCTAGCATCTTGTTAGTCCTATATACTTGATAAATACCAGCATGTCTAGAGAGCAGAGCCCAGTAAAACACCAATATAAAATAACCCTGGCTTGACCCAGCTCCTCCCAACCTGTGCCCAATCTTTTCCTTGTGTTTGTTCATGGCTTGACTAGAAATTTCTGGCGTGGCAAACTCCACATAAGCGTCCCCAGTATTCTTCCCATCATCATCTAGCGCAATCGTTATCCCATTGGGAGCTATCTCCAACCCTTAACCAACCAATAATATATAACATGTAGAGTGCCAGCCCAAACCACAGGGACAAAGTCACCCAGAGGCTTGAGCTTTCCCTGGGTACTAAGACTTTTCACTCTTAAGACTTTTCACTCTTTTGAACAGACAGATTTATCCAAGTTAGGCCGAAAATACCCAATTTATAAAACTAACAATCATTTCCAGACACAACCTTGGCTTTTTAGGCTTTGTCCCAAGCTGTTGTCTGATTATAAGAACTAAATATTTTGAGACTAAAACTTCTTAAAACTCTTTTTCTAGGATGTAAGATGTAGTGTGCTTGCAAGCAAAACTGGCAGTGGTTAGACAAAGCTCTAGGAATTTAGGTGCCCTTGGGATTTGTTGAAAGCAGCAATTCTTTATAAGCAAAGAAAGCGACAAAACTCTCTTTTTTCAAAGAGCAAAGCAAAGCTATAAACTTGCAGAATTTAATTGCGTATCAATTTGATTCAACCACTGTTTTTTTAAGTCAGCTAAAGCATACCTTTAAAGAAGTTAGCCACCTCTTCTTTGGAGCATCCATAGGGTAAACCTCTTAACCGTACAACTCTGTTGTCATTTTCATCTGAGTCTGGTCCCCCTGGCCGCTTACAAGCCCATTCCATCTCGCTGCGTTTGGATTGAAAAACTTCAACATATCTCTTGCCCATGTGCTCATTATCTCGTGTTAGCGCCCTGAAATGATAGTTTGCATTCCTGGTAAAACTTGGGGACCATGCTGACATGCATCAGACATGAACTGGTCAAAATCGAAAACAAGATAATAGCCATTGACACAAAATTACCTGTTGAAATCCTCAATTGTTGCAAACTCAACAAAACATTCACCACTTGGTCGTCCATCTCGTGAGAATGTAAAATGTATCCCATCTTGCGCCCCACCTTCTATTTCACAACCTTAAAAAGAAAATCTTGAGTTTTATGCTTCAATTGGCATTGAACAAAGCACTAGGAAATCTCAAGTTCAGGTGAGTTGAAAAGTGGATACTGTTTTCTGTAAAAATGATCAAGCAGCAATCATTTTCAAGAGGTACACTTTTTGATGCCAAACTTTGAACAAAAGCATCCTCAGGGAATACATTTTTAGTGGGCCACATTCAGTTTATTTTGTAGCTGCATGATTGCAGAAAATAATAATCAAACCTGAAAAGAACTGTTGAATATCATCTTTAGTTGCTGACCATGGCAAACCTCTTGCTCGGACAATAAGATCACAGTCTTCTTTGATCATATTCAGACTCTAGATGAGTAAAATTTACAGTTGATATAAATTATTGATGGAGAACTGCACAAACATTTTGCATGAAAGAGCCAAGTGCTGTGCAGGAAACAGCATCTATTGGGAAATCTCAAAACTACAACAAAAGTGGCCAAACTATAGTGAATTATTAAATTACACAGCATGTTTCGCACCCAAGACTTGACCTTTTAAATAACATCTCAGGGTGCAAAACAGTAGGAATTGCGGTTGTGGCGATATAAAAATCACTCATACAAAATTTCGACGTTGCGTTGTTTATATATTCGAAACTAGAACTCCCAGGACATTATTCTCAGTCTCAACTATACTACTTTGTATTTTATACTCGACTTTATAAACTTTATGCTCGACTTTAAGCAGTTTTAAGTAACGATTTCGAGTTACCGTATAATGATTTCGAGACACCGTATATCGTGAGTAACAACTACAAATTTGCAAAATAATGGAACAGGCTCACAAGTCTAGTGCATTAATTGTCAACAACACAAGAATGAAAAAAAACATCGATTTTTCCCGCTCAAACTCAGCTCGATCGCTCTATTTAAGTGTTAAACTATTGAATGTAAACTTACCAAACAAGAGAATGAATTGTCTTCGAGAGATAAATCAGAAATATTTACAAAATAAGCAATTGAAAACGAGGTAGAAAATATCCTAGGCACGTGCCCATGAAAATCGACAATATAAATCCGTAAAACTAACCAGATAAATAGGATCACTTAAAATTATTTTTGGACGAACGAAAGCTGTCCGATGAATAGACGATTACATCCGATTGCGAACGTGGATATATAAACATGTTTGTCACGACAAAAAAAGCCTAATTCTATCTAGTTAAATTATTTTGGTCATTTACATGCGTCGGAAAAACGTACAGATAGCTAGAATAACTTAAATGCGTTCAAAGTTTGATAATGTAAGAATTATAGTTGTTATACTCTCATGTATATAATAAAATACGCATTCTGAAATATGTTATATATTGAGGTAGCCCCTTAATGTTAAACGGAAAATGGGACTCCCCGGATGTCCCACATGCCAATGCGATCGTTTTTTGACAAAGATCCGTATGTAGCTGGAGCACTATTTTTAGAAAACTGACTTTGAAACGTACCTGGAGTGGAATTGTTCAAAGTAAATTATAGCCAGGGAGGGAAATACTAAAATCTTAGGTATGTAAATAAGGACTAAATATCGATGCAAAACCACAAAGAGACAAAGACAAATAAATTCTTTCACGCATTTTGCACGTGAAGAGCATGCACAGGTCTGAAAGAAAAAATACTGATTACTGGGAATGGGAATGAGCTGATTTCACCGGGAAACAACAACGTGGGTATTCAGTTGCTCAAAGATTAACATATCAAAATCTAGAGTTATTAGTTAAAGCACGTCTTTGCTATTATTGCTTTGCTCAGCTGTAAGTATTTGCAACCACACAAAGCCACTTATTGAGAGTATTTAGTTTAGGGAATTTTCTATATATGCCCTGGTATTACACCCTATAGACTCCCTTGCAACAGCCTGTATAAAAATTCGTATTAACGTCAAGAGCTGAACTCTTAACTGAAGTGTGGGTCTAAAGTTGAAGTTCTTTAGAAATTTTAATTCACCTTCTCGGTTGTGACTTGTTTCGTTTGCAATTCAGATGATTCTGGAGTGTTGGTATCTTCATTAGGGATACCGTCTGTCAGACTTGCTGTATTTTCATTGTTCATGTCTTCGGATGCCATAATGTTTGACTTTGTTGACCCTAATTTGGTCCCCAACTCTTGTAATATATCTCACCGCCAACGATTCCTATACATTATAGGCCCACTTTAACAACGTCATCGCTGAGTTTTCTTCGATGTACTTGTTAAAACAAAACGTTTGAAACTTGCTCAACGTTGCTCTTCTGTTGACTAAAATTCAATCTATTTTTAATTTTCTCGAGACTCTTGCACACACAATGCGGTTAAATATTGCATAACAATCAAGTCTCGTAAATGGTAATTATACTCGGTGAATAACAGGTTTTAAGGTAACGTCGTTTTGAAAAACCGGTTTATCTGAAGCTCCCCTTACACGTCACACTTCACGATTGGACCGAACGGTTGCCTGTTGCTTGTGCGTCATTTTTATAAATATCAAAATATAGAAACTAGCGATCAACTTTGATGCTTTATTCAAGCCTTAGAAGATTTCGCTCTTAGCGGTAGGCAGACAAAGACAACAAAAATGATGGCGATAAAGCCAATGAAGTACTCTCTAGGCCAACCTCAGATCAGTGATAACTCTGAACTGCCTAGTTCCTTCCTCTATTAGCTTCTCTTCTTCTATACTCAAAAATTCCCGAAACAGGTTGTCAAGTTAGCATAGTAATAAGCCTATGTGATACCAGTGAACTCTAACAAATAAATAATACTGATTTTCATTCTTATAGTTATTTTCATTTCACTGTGTGACACAGTTCTTTGATATTGCATAACCGGCAATCCCACCTTCATGTTCGTCTGCACTGTCAACTTCAGACGCAGTTTTCCCCTTTTGATATAGTCATAGATGTGAACGATTGAATGAGTTACGGAAATGTTCAAATAAGGCTACTTTAGAGCATTCAAAACTGTCCGCTCTCTCATATCTATAAAAAGAAGGGAATCACACTTGAAATGATCAGCCGACCAAAATGTTCCGTGTAGCTGTTAACATGGTCATATACATATAAGGGCATATCTAGCGCCTGGGAAACCAGTAGAAACAAATGGTAGAAACAAAAATTAACACAGATGTTGTGTGTATATTTCTGCTAATCTGCTTCACACTAGTGAGCTTCACACCCCGGATCAATAGGTGGGAGTTGAAAAGGTGTGATGTGTTAGTGGTTAGTATTTAGCCCACGCGAACCTAGGCAGGGTATTGGTATTGTGTAAGTACCCTTCCCAGGATGCGGCATTTTTCTGGTCATTTTTGTCCACCGTTTTTCGCCTGGTATTTTTTGTCAGATATATGGTCGATAGCTGTGTTTCCACCACTCGTGCGTTCTCCATCAAATGTTTCGTTATCATATTTCAAGTTATCATAAACATGATCTAAATGCATTTTCCCAGTTCACTTCCTCTACTTAACAATAATCGCACAATGGTGTTTAGCCACCTTTCAAGCATTTCCCAGTTTCGGACGCGTGTGGAGGAGGCCTGTTTGGTATAAATTCTCCAGGAATTTACTTTCTGCAAGAAAGGAAATACCTAGACATTCTTGCGAGACATCGAAGTTTCCGGTGATGACGTCATTGTAAGCCCTCGAGCAATTCTTACCTTTATTGTGCTTTTCACTGTTCTATATTTCTTGACAAAACTTTAATTTTTACCGTGGTTTTTCTATAACAGGAGTGGATTATAACAAATAGTTGTGGACATGAGCTTCCTTTTGTAAGTGGAAAGATTTTTGGCCATTTTTTATCCGCCGATCGCGCTAAAAGTTGGTTTGAAATACACGACATGGAATTGTTTATATTTGGATTTTGGTTTCGAGTGAATATGTTCGGTCGATTTTTGGACTCAACGGTGCTTTTCTGGTTTCAAGTGATGTTATAGGTGCTTTAGATGTACAACTTTTTCTTTCTTTAGTGGGAGCAGGTCTACGAAAACCTTTAAACCGAAGAAAAACATCCCCGAAGGGACACATCAGTATGACCTGATGAAACATGCGGCAGCCACTTTGGGAAGTGGAAACTTAAGACTGGCTGTTGTTCTACCTGATGGGGAAGATCTAAACGAATGGGTTGCTGTAAATAGTGCGTAGTCATCTCCTTGTATATATACCTCTTCTTAATGAAGTTTTAAACCATCTACATTGCTTCTTTACAAAGTTTGAAACAGACTTGTTCGCTTGTAGCGTTTTGTTGATACAAATTTTACAGACCACGCTAGCTTTTATAATCGGCTAATGAAAATGCTAGGAAATATTTCAAAAAGCATAATTTTGTCTCTAACTGGGCTCGTTAATATTTTCTGTTGTCAAAAGTTTTTGAAAGCACGATTTATTTTCGAAAACCTTTGGTAAAATATTATTGTAAGGTGGGGGGAAATGAGCCTATATTTTCATTATTTTGACACAATACACTTTTTCCTTTCGGAAAAACTCGTATACAAAATGGTGAAGTTTTATTTAATCCCTGGTTATTTAAGCTAACTAAAAGTGTTTTCTTTTTCTAGCTGTAGATTTCTTTAATCAGATAAATATGTTGTATGGAACTATCACAGAGTTTTGCACGGCAGAATCGTGTCCTGTCATGAGCGCCGGCCCGAAGTAAGTCACGTTTTCTCTTGCATTTTTGCGGTTTCCTCTGCAGTTTTACTTTGAGTTACTATTTGAACTAAACTTACTTTTATTAGACGTGCATTGGGAGTGTCTTTTACAATGTTATGCCTCCTATTGTCTGCCTAATTCGTCGTTCCCTAAGCTATTTCCTGCGCCATTTCGACGCCATTATCAAAGTGCGAAAGTCTTTCTTTTGCTCGCGAATGGACTTAAAAAAATGTACAATAATTTTTATAAACAATGATTTTCCCCCAAATTACCTCCTAGTCATCGCTAATCATAACTGCTTTAGTGCTTTTCGCCGACAAATGACAGGTTAAAACAGCAGCTTCAATTTTATTAAAACAAAAACAATTCTAAAACCACAGCGCACTTGACTTTATACCTGCTATCACGGTGCAATATATTGACAATGCAACTGACTCCTAGCTCCTAGTGAAATTATTTTGACAAAATAGGAAATAATTTGCTGCATCTATTGAAAATGTCAATATGCAATTTATCAAAGTCATTTCACTATTGTAAAAACAGTTTAGAGAATGTACAAATTTGTGGTCATTTGTTATACTTGTGGTTTATTAAATATGGGGTTTTCACCCGTTTAAAATGCCACATTATCGCAAGCAAATTTTCCATTTCCATTTACTTTTGAAATTGCAACAAAAAGCATATCAATCATTTGCAGAATAGTATATTGCCATAAATAGAAATATAAAAGTATTAATAATGCTGGATCAATACATTCCATAGTCATGACTATGTTGTCATTGTTTATCATCAATGTGCTAGAAATGCCCTCAGAGAATACTTGTATAAACATGGAATGAGTTCACACATGATATTATATTGTGGAATATATATATAACCTACACTGAACCACATGTAAGATGCCTCAGTTTTTTACTGGCAGTCCAGACACAAACCACAATAGCCTATTGTAGGTAGTTCAGACACAAACTACGACAGCTTATTGTAGAATACTACCTACACTAAACTACAAGTTTGAGATATTTTTTAGGTAGTTCAGACACAAACCACAACAGCTTATTGTAGAATACTATTTCTTTAAGGTATCAGTGTATACCCATTGTGGTATACTGCCCAAGAGAGATGTCAAGATCTATTTATTCTATAGATAATTATTTTTGTTTCACATAAACAGGTATGAATATCATTGGGCAGATGGACAAACCATAAAGCGACCAATCAAATGCAGTGCTCCAAAATACATAGACTATCTCATGTCATGGGTGCAAGATCAACTTGATGACGAGACACTATTCCCCTCGAAAATTGGTAAGAATGGGTTTTTGTCTAGAACTTAGGTCATGTCCTTGAAATACAAGTTTGGTTAAAATAGTAGTCATGCTAACTAACCATCAGGTTAGTTTCAGTTCTTCCATTAGACCAATTTGTTCTAACTGCTCTAATTTTATCTCTTTTGCAGGAGTTCCATTTCCGAAAAATTTCTTACAAATTGCAAAAACAATCCTGAAACGTTTATTCAGGGTCTATGCCCACATCTACCATCAACATTTCCAACATGTCGTCGATTTAGGAGAGGAGGCTCACCTGAACACATCATTCAAACATTTTATTTACTTTGTTCAAGAATTCAACCTAGTGGAGAAGCGTGAACTTACGCCTTTGCAAGAACTGATAGAAAAACTCACAAACAAAGATAGAGCATAGATTAAGGCTTTATATTTGGGGAAAAAACTCCTGGTTCTGATTTGAAAATTTGTACAGACAACTAGTTTCATAATTGTAATTATTGTATTCCTCCAGATGTCAGCCATCTTTGTTCTATTGAAAGTAAAGCATTTTACAGTATGCCAGTCTGTTTAACTGCAAGCATTTGAGTTGTTTCAAAGCCTTTCCTGTTAACTGTACACGATTTGTTAAAAAATTATTCAAAAGAAACTAGACAAAGCTGCAGAATCTTGTACAGTGCATATATAGAGATTGTGGACACAAAGGCACCAAATTGTTTTTAAGTTTGAGATAAGAAAGCTGACTAATTGGAAGATGTACAAATAGTAGAAACATTGTTAATTTTCACCCCCTACAACCTTTGGTGCAGCATTCTCTACATGCAGTTTGACAACTAACATCAGATACCAACAGGGAAATCAATTATTGGGGGAAAAGTATAGGAACTGTGGTCTTATTGCAATCATAATCAATTATGCTGATTTTATCAACTAGATTAATTAAAAAACTTTATAAGTCTTAAATCTTTATGTAATTATTGCAAACCTGGAAGAGGTTTTATAAATTATACATCTGATGATCTCAACAATTTTGAAGGCATGCCCTTGTAGCAAAAATACATGAACAACTTTACTGGCAAATAGTTTGTCAAATTGGATAATTGGTAGTTATAAATGCATATATTATAGGACTGTTGGACATTTTGCTGTTCAGTTTCATATAATTAATTTTTAGCACAGTAGATTTCTGTGTATTGTAAAGATATCATTTTTTTGAATTAAATTCTTCCTGTCTACAGCAATGTTGGGCACTTGGTCATTTATTAAAATTATTTGACCATAATTAAACAATTTGATAGAGTATAACATGATAAAAATAATATGTTAAAGCACTACCTAACTTGTGAAAGTTTCTGATTCTATACATTGATTAAATGCCACATCAAATAAAAAATATATATGTATACGCAGAATTTTTCTATATAGGAAGAAATGGTCAATGAAAGTAGCTATAGGGCTTAGGTTTCTTTTAACATCTTTTCATTTTAGAATACAAGCTTTTTAGGATGTTCCCAAGTAAAGTCATTTCCTGGTTTGAAATGTCCGTAGATACATGTCTTTTCAAAAATTGGCCGTTTTAGTTTCAAATCTCTGCAAACAGATAAACATTGGTTAGATTAATGACAGTTAATAAGCATTAGGCAAGTTTTCACAAAACTCTTCAACTGGGGTGAGATTGTCGACCTGTCAACTAGAGCTAAACAGGCAAGACCAGTCTTATGAAAATGGCAAACTTACCTGACAACCACACCAGGCCTAAAATCAAAATTCTTTTTTACAATTTCTAACAACTCTTCATCACTTTTTTCTCCAGAGCCGTACGAGAAGACTGTGACTGACAAAGGCTCTGCAACACCAATGGCATACGAAATCTGAATCAGGCATCGCTTGCAAAGCTTGGCTGCGACAAGAGACTTTGCAGCCCATCTTGCTGCATATGCACCAGAACGATCCACCTGAAGTATAAAATATCGATGCATGGTCTATCTCAAACGTAAAAACCCATGATAGTTACATGATCCCTGCACATACAGGGCTGCAATATAAGATACCTTTGATGAGTCTTTTCCAGAGAAAGCACCACCCCCGTGTGCTCCCCACCCACCATAGGTATCAACAATAATTTTGCGTCCAGTCAGCCCAGCATCACCTTGCGGACCTCCAACCACAAACCTTCCAGATGGTTGGATGTGGTAAATTGTCTTATTATCCAAGTATTTAGCTGGAATGACTTCCTATAAGAATATATACAAGAAAAACATTGAAAACTCTCACTTAGGGTGAAATGAAATGAAATGAAATGAAATTAAATGAAATGAAAGGGTACTATAAGCAACAAATTTGCAAGACTGAAGAGACCTTGACAATTTTCTCCATGACAACTTTCCTTAACTCCTCTGTAGTAACTTCCTCAGCATGTTGCGCTGAGACAACAATCGTATGGACACGTTGCGGCACAAGAACACTCCCTACGTGCTTATATTCCACGGTAACCTGGGTCTTGGTGTCTGGTCTAAGCCATGGGATGGAACCATCACGTTGGCTGTCTGCCATTTTTTGGTTCAGTTTGTGAGAGAGAACTACGGTAAGAGGCATCAACTCCTCTGTCTCGTCAGTTGCATACCCAAACATTAGACCTTGATCACCTGCACCGATCTCCTCATCTTTCCGTCCAACATGCACCCCTGCAGCAATGTCAGGGCTCTGTTGTTCAACAGCAACCAACACATTGCAGGTTTTGTAATCAAATCCTAGAACATTAATGTTAAATGTTAACCAGGCTACCTTTGGGTAGTTCTACTCTAAAACACAAACAACACTCCAGATGGTACCTTTTTTGCTGTCATCATAACCAATGCGTTTGATGGTGTCACGAACAACTTTTTGGTAATCAATGTGTGCATTGGAGGTAATCTCACCAAAAACCATAATCATTCCTGTCTTCGATGCACATTCTGTTGACGGAAGAGAATTCAGTGATTCATTCTCCTACTATTCCTGGTAGTATACCCAACCTGATTGTTTAGTCGTTTAGGCTGTGTCATTAGTTTAGGCTATTCTAATATTTTGGTTTACATAGAGTGCAAAAACAATAGATTTGTAAGGTAATGTATAATCGTATTGTATTTGCAAAGCGGGGCTGGAAATGCCAGGTGGCCAATGTTTATTAATTATTCCTAATGATATTTCTTTTGATTATGAAGGCATTAATAAATGTTGATTACATATCTACACTAATTCCTAAAAGGGGCAACAGAAGGAACCAATGTACAACAATTTTCAAACGGCACGTACGTGATATTCCCCTAGGGCCCACTACGTGGCACATGACAATGTATTTTTTTTTATACATTTAATAGAAGGATGTCGACGCTTGAATGTTGAAACTTGAAACGCCCAAAAATTTGTACCTACTAATCACGAATACCCTCAAATATGCATACATTATAGAGAAATGTAATTTTGTAATCAAATACAGCTTTTCTTTGGCAATCAAATATTACACAATAATATAAATATAACAAAAACCATGCCTACCACAAGCTACTTTCGCGTTTGGATCTTGGCTCAAATGCGCATCCAACACGGCGTCGGAAACTTGATCGCATATTTTATCTAAAAATTTAAAAGATCCAGTAAAATTAGGCTACACGTATAATTTAAGCCAAACGTGCGTGATTGAAGTATCTGGGTACAACGATACATCGAGGAGACGGTAAACATTTACCAGGATGGCCTTCTCCGACTGATTCACTTGTGAATAAAAATGACGTATTATTTGAAGCCGCGTTCATTTTTTCACGTACGAAACTCTTTGCAAGTAGATTTGCGTGGTGCAGCTCACGATAGACTTCGCCGCTTTCTCCTCCCTGCAGAACCGAAATGAAATATGCTTAAAAATACACAATAAAAACCGGTCGCGTGAATACAACCAGGATTTTGGAACCTGATTCGAACTTTGTGTGGGTCGCTCTCACGTGGCGTGAAACTTTTCTCAACGCTGATTGGTTGAACTGGTGAATACACACTGACCTATATACAAATTATTTGAAGGTCAGTGGCTGTTGCAATACTCTGGTCACATGATTTCTTAAGTCTTAATTGAATATAATTATATAACATAGTTTTGTACAGTTGTACTGCATATTTAGTATATATTTTCTTCGATTTCCTTTGTATTCGGCGAGTTTTGTGGGTGTTTCAGAGCAGCTACTGCCTTATATTAATATACATAAGTTGTGGATTTAAATATTGTAATATGACATAGGAATTAAAGAATCTCAAAATGCAAATGAAACGCGCCCATATCACATGTAGTTTGCGCAACAATCACACAAGTGCAAGTTGAAGGAATTCTTGGAACAACTTCGATGATTTTAAGAAAGGTCCATGAAAATTTACCTAAACCGGCGAACGTTCACTCCCGGCCCAGGCCTAGGGTTTTTTAAAGCCTTGCGGAGTTGCGCGGTCAATGTATTAAAGTCCTCCCATGTAATAATGATATATCATCATCGCACGTGGGTAATTTGGCAGATTTTAGCTAAATCTTCCATGTGATACAATGATACGAGAGATAATCGTCGTGATTACTGGATAAGTAAAGTGGAAGAATTAGTTATTTTTGCAAAGGAGAGTAATAATTTATACAGAGTTTTGGCATAAATTAGTTTTTCTTCGGATAGACGGCGCGCAAGAACTAAATACCAGTTTTTCAGGTTAAATTCTTGTTCAAATCAAATAAGGTTAAATTATTCTTGTTCAAATCAGGTTTTTAATTACATTACACCATGAATCGTACCATTTTACGTAGGTTTGCCGGCTGCCGCAAATCGATTTCAATACGGTTTAATAGGGTTTCCAAAAAAGGTTTATTTTAAGCTTCAAACCGCGATTCCATCATAAATCTCTTTCAAATAACATGTGTTTTGAACTTGGGGTGCACACATTTGTTCAGCTTTTGTTGCACAGACGAATTTGTTGATGTTGGCATTATGTGGTATTAAAATTAGGATAGGTGATGATTGCTCCAGAGAACGTATCATTGCCTCATCCGCGTACTTCTTTAGGGTCTAGTGACGAACAATTGAATTTTCCCACAATGCAGCTCGCCTGAAATTTTCAAGATGGCGACTTCGAAGACGGCGAATACTTACAATCGGCAGAATTGGGAGGACGCGGTGAGTTTTGTGCTTTGTACAATTTAAAAATATTACGATCATGGGGTATTGTAATACTTGATCTTCACAAAGACCAAATTTTAGGGAAATCGGATGTAATTCCAGGGAGAAAATACAAATTGAAACTATGAATTGTATACCATATACATACACATAGCTTTAAGTTTGCTAAAACGTCTCTTTTTTTAGGAATTTCCCATTTTGTGTCAGACCTGTTTAGGTGATAATCCATATCTAAGAATGGTAAGTTAAAATAGATAAAGTTCTCTTTGTTCTCGTGTTTTGGTAAAAAACTTTGGTAAAAAATAAAATTTACAGGTTATTCATTATTTGTTTTAATATAGATGAAAGAAAAATACGGAAGAGAATGCAAGGTGAAACAATCAATCGCATGTTCAAATTATTCAATTTCTACTGAAATGGTTATCATGCCATGTGGTGAACATGTTTCAAATGTAAATTGTGACTTTATTTGTAGATTTGTGCTCGACCATTCACAATCTTCCGTTGGTGCCCAGGTGCCAGAATGAGGTTTAAAAAAACCGAAGTTTGCCAAACATGTGCTAAGATGAAAAATATTTGTCAAACGTGTTTACTGGATCTTGAATATGGTAATTCATTAGTTTCCTTTCTTTCCCAAACCATTTGAAAACCCAGTTGTTAGAGAGTGGCCTGGGCATGAAACTTTCCTGATTTCTTGTGCAATAGGTCTACCAGTTCAAGTCCGAGACCATGCTTTGGGGATGAAAGACGAGATGCCAAAATCTGACGTTAACAAGGAATACTACACCCAGAATGCAGAACGAGAGGTAATCCATTTTTCTCACACCTCTGTGGCTGATGGTACGGCCGGAGAAATCAGGTTTATTGATTATTGTTTTTGTCATTAGTTAGCCAACACAGATTCCACCAATCCAGGAGGAGCATTGGGGAAAGCAAATGCGCCTAATGACTTGCTGCTAAAGCTAGCAAGAACTGCACCATACTACAAGAGGAACCGACCTCACATTTGTTCATTCTGGGTGAAAGGGGAGTGCAAGAGAGGAGAAGAATGTCCCTACAGGTTTGTTTTGGTATTGGGTACATCTAAGGAGACCATTACAATCATCAAAGTTAAGCCAGACATTTCTGTCTAGACATGAGATGCCAACGGATCCAAACGACCCACTAGCGGACCAGAACATCAAAGATCGTTTTTATGGTGTAAATGACCCAGTGGCGAGCAAACTGCTTGACAGAGCATCAAAACTACCAAGATTAGAACCACCTCCTGATAAAGCTATTACTACCCTTTATGTTGGAGGTCTAGATGGCAAAGTCCTTGAACAGGATTTGAGGTATAAAGTGGTCTGCTTATAATGGATAGAGCTATGCAGTGTAGTTAAGTTTCTGATGCATAAATTTTTTATTATAGAGATCATTTCTATCAGTTTGGTGAAATCCGTTCCATCACGATGGTTCCAAAACAACAATGTGCCTTTGTGTGTTTCACAAACCGTTACTCGGCTGAAACAGCAGCAGAAATGTCATTCAATAAGTTAATCCTCAAGGGTCGCAGATTGAAAATCCTGTGGGGGAAATCACAAGGGGCAAAGGCTGCACCTGGAAAGGAAGGAGGGGCAATGTTAGCTCCAGTGCCTGGATTACCTGAAGGTGGGTTAGGATTAGAAGTCTTCATGATATATACTTGTTTTTTCGAACATTTTTTAAATGTTTCAATTCTTTCAGCTCTTCCACCACCACCACCAGCTTCAAAACCAGATGAAAACAATTTCTTTAATTTACCCTCAGCGTCACACCCTCCTATATCAGGAATTCCCTTACCCCCTCCTCCCATGAGTGGACCTCCAAGACCTCTCATGGGTGGACCTCCTATGCATGGTCAGCCTCCCCCTGGCCTAATGCCACCAAGGTTACCACCTCCTCCTGGACAACGGGGACAGTATCCTCCTGAACAAAGAGGACCCTACCCTCCACCCCACAGATTTATGCCACCACCACCATTCCTAAGAGGACCACCCACAAATATGCCACCACCAAATGTCCCACCTCCCCAGATGTCGCATGGCCCAGCACCAAACAGGGGAATGGCTCCTATACATTATCCCTCTCAAGATCCACATCGTATGGGTACCGGTGGTAAAGATCCTGCACAAGCCCCTCCTCCTACAACTGTGGCCCCAACAACCTAAGTGCTTTCCCCAAAGACGCACAAGTGCATCTTTCATGCTCCCTTCCTAAACCCTGGGTTATTGAATTGTGCGATGTAAATCATTCAATTTATAATGGATTTGTTTATTACAATATTTGATATGCGAAAATCAATTATTACCATCAAAGATTGTCTCTTATTGGGTGGTCCTCTTGTTGAAAACCATAAGCTGGGTACGTCCGGGATAGTTCCTATCAATTTTAACTCCCAAGATGCATGCTTTAATTAGAACTTCACACAACTGCATCATGACATGAAACTATTGTATTCTTATATATACACCAACAACACAATTTTACATCTTCATTTGTGAAACAGTTGTTCTTTTACACTTTGCTTGGCACATTTCGATATTGCACTGATGAGTTTTGTAAATCCTGTATCTTTGGGCTGAAACAAAAACCAGAAATTTAGATCAGTGCTAGATGGCTAACAAAGCTCTACGCATGTTGATGTGTTTCCAGACATTCTCCCTCGGTTAATTTGTTAATTCAATTCAAATGCATACCTTGTCAAGACCACGCATAAGATTGGTTTTCATTACACTGACAAATTCTTTTGAACTCAATTCACCATCATCTTTAAATGATGTAGTAATAAAGTATACTTAGTATTCATATACAGTATGTTCAAGGTTATTTAATGTTGCTTACCATTTTCATCAAACATTTTAAAAACAACATCAACAATATGATCCTGTAATCTCACTCCTGACACAAGGTGGGCCACACGTTTGAAAGTTTCTATAAGAAATACAGTGAAGAATGCAGTGCAAAGGTGATAGCAAGGATTTGTAATGGATATGCTACTATCTGACTTGTGAAAGTGTCCAAGTCAGCTCAGCTTTATCACATAGTCACATGAACTATAAATTACCTGGATTTAGGTCACTACCACATGCTGTATGAAAGCTGAGGGCTGTATCAACATCCCCAATATTTCTCAGAAAGCTGAAGAAATCCACATAATCTTTGAATGTGACACCCTAGAGGGAGAAGTTAAAATCTCTTTAATCCAGCATTTTTACTCACTTTATATTGGCCTCACTTATTGAAACTCAATGACAATCTTATTTACCAAAGATAATGTGTTTAACCTGACCAATATATTTACCTGAGAGTTTTCTTTGAAAGTTTTCTTGATCCGTTTCAAAGTTCGTTCTTTTTTCTTGGATGTGAAACTGGAATACGTCAACAACATGTCTGCAAATTCCACCTCTGTAATCTTTCCATCAACTGGCTCATAAAATTGAAACTAAAGGCAAAGTCGAAGAAGCACATTGAAATATTCTTGTAATAACTTGATAAACTGCAAGGTATTCCACACTATAGATACTCCATGCTTTATATTATCATAATCAACTCACTTCCAAAAAGAGAACTTCTTTCTGCAACTTCTGCTGGAACTCAATGAAGCGTTGTGCGGTCAACTTTTGTGTACACTGAGGCCCAAAGAAGTACAGCTTTAACCCTGAATTCACCCGCGATCCCAAAACATTCCCTGTGGTTGTTCTATCCCGATGTCTCATGCCAGTTGAAGTGAGGGAAAGCAATACTGATTGCATCTGCATAGAACATTAAGCAGTAGTGAGGTATTGGTAGTGAATACATGTTTATCTCTGTTTATGAGGTTCAACCATAACTTCTGAAGGATAAGACAAGCAGTTCAAAAATCTAACCTTGTCAAATTCATCTGCAGAAACATCACCGTCTCCATTCAAATCGAACATTTTGAATGCAATAGAAATATGTCTTGGAGGAGCTAGACATAGATTAAGATTATAAACAGTCCTTGGTTATTGAATTACATTCCCAGAAAGGGCTAGATGTTACTATTACTTACTATTACACTACTTACTTCCAAGTACAGTGAGCAAAAATAAATAATCAGAGAAATTAATCAATCCATTACAGCCAAGATTTTTTAAAACACTGTCCCCAGGGCTGCCATCATCATGTGTGTAACCATTGTAAACATCTTTCTATATTGTGAGAAATTGTGATTTCTAGTTTAGCTTATTTCATTGATGTAATGATGTTAGACACAGAAGGACAGCAGGATCGATTGCTTGGCTTGATATCTAAAGTTATATTTGAGTGAAAAATCAACCCAATTTAAAAATATTTTATTCCTTACATTCTTGTCCAATTGTTTGAATCTATCCAGACCAAGACCTAAAAAAAACAATATAATTCAATTTTTATAAAATTGGAATCTGGTTATTCTTAAAATATACCAGCTGCTCACCTTCTGGCTGTATTATACCAGGTGTTAGAGACCTCACAAAATCTTGTGGTGTCATATATATCTCCATTTCCCCAGTTCCTAAATGACCACTCTGGATTGTTGCAAAGTAACGGAATATTTTATCAGGTGTACTGTAAGCCCGTATCCTGTCCTCGTAACCAATTATCTGTGAAGCAAAAGTTTGAATTATACAATTGTTTGGTTTGTTGCAAGTGTGAGTATGGATATGGGTGTCGCTATCATATTCTTACTTCTTCATAACTTTGTCCTTGGGGTAGCCATGCGTTATTAACATACCTTGGTCTCTTTGAAGGTCTTTCTCTTTTTTCTTTGTACCTGCGTCTTCGCACCCTCTCCATCGGTCCCGATTGCGGTCTCTGACCCACCTCCCAACTCTTGCACTAGCCCTCCAGCGCTTTTAGCCTGCACTGGCTGTGAAAACGCCCTTCTAACAATTAAATATCCAAAACCAATTATCCCGATGGACGAGACGATTAAAACATCGAGCAGTTTAGCTCGCTTCACTTTCTCCGGGTCGCGATCGCTCGATTCGTTTGCATTTGAGCTTCCTTCTTGGATATTTGAAAAATTCTGCTTTTGGGTTAGGGCAATTAATCGCACATTCTTTACGCTTGAAAACAATGTCGGAACTTTGGTATTAAATATAAAGTTTCGGCCAAGAAATCGCAGCATTTTGGCTCCTCTTTTAAGCAGCAAATAGCTTTGTATTTGCCCAGAAAATATTTAACTTCAGATTGTTATCGTTCACTCATTTTGTTGTTTTAGACATTTAAATCTTTCAAAGCTCTTGCCGCCTCAAATACGCGAAAACATCGCTTGGAAGCATGTCGACAATTTCCGACGTTCTTGAAGATTGTTGAGAATTTCAACTTTATTTGTGTTTTTTAACGTTCTCTAGCTTATTTAAGTTATATTCGTCACAAAGTATGGATATTTTATTGAAATTTTAAAACATGAGTGAATTTAAAGAATTGTGAAAACATTTTCGAGCATATTACAGTAATGCCGAAATTTTACGAGGGAATCTCGAACATTCATCAAAGTTGTTGCATGATAAATGGAAGATTCTAGTTAATTAATTGGAATATTCTAAGGAGGGTGGCTGAAACATTATTTTTGTATACGGGGATATTTCGTTATCGTTTGTAATATTTGAAATGAAAAACACACATATTATAAAATACGGATATTTTCTTATCTATTCGATACTTTAACGCCGTATATAAAAACGATTTATGGTCGTAAAATGCCTTTGAGTATTATTCATGGTCTCCTACCCTCCCCAAGTCAGGTATTCTATAAATAGATGAATTGTTTGGGTGGTTTGAAGTTTCTGAACTACACGATATCAAAACTGTGGGAAAATTCAGAAAAACAGATAATTCTTATCGTTCCTAGTTATACATAACTTCAATGATGCTTGCAGGATTACTTGTACGAAGAGTGCTTTTGAAACAGCCTTTAAAAGCAACGATCGGTGTAAGTTTTTAGAAAATAAAATACATATTTCCCCCCTTGACTTCATTGGCTTGACAAGCATTTTTTTTATTTTCTAGAACGGTTTATTATTGCTAAAAGAAGGAAGATCGTGCTTTTCTACAACGACTCGTCGCTTGGGTAAATATTTTCTAATGGATAGTGGATTCATTTTTAAGTTTTCTATACGCAAACTTGAGTCGCATGGATTCAAAGGCGTGGGCCGTGGGACAATTAATATTTGAAAGCAATTGATTATCAACTTTAAATTTACCTATTTGCAAATACCTATTTATAAAGGCAGTCTCTGCTGCAACTCTCGACGCAATTTCAGATACAGAGCTATGCTACTATCATAGACAATTCCAGTTCATAAATGGCTAAGATAGAAAGCATAGTTTTCTTCTTGTTCAGAGCTTCTTAGGAGCTATCCTTTTTATGCTTTGTTTACTAGTTCATTGTATCTCTTCCAAATCTATCACATATAGAAAGCCCCTTTTTAATAACTCTGTGATAGACATTTTTCTAAAATCTATCACAAATAGACAAGTCTCTCCAACTGCACTGAGCGTAAAGCATCTTCTCTTAACCTTAATTGTAGCTGACTTGAATGTTGGACTAAAACGTGGTCATCCTGTTATTTCAATACCTCTCCCAACAACAAGCGAAACGTGTGAGTTCACTTTGTATGATGCGCAGTCGGTCAGGAGCTTTATTGAGAATATTAAGGAAGAAGATGATGGTGTTAAGGAAGCAGTGATACAATCCTTGGACGGCAATCGTGTAGCGCAGACAACGAGGCTAAGTGCCTTGCTGACTGAGGGGTTTCAACTAAAAATTAATGATGAGATGCATACTGTACATTCATCCAGTGAAGGTAGGGTGAAGAAAGCCTCTTAACCTTGTTTTGTAATCTTTGAATCAATTTTCATGGAATCTCCAAGTCTGGCAGTCTGCATCCTCTCATATACACCACATGTCTGTCATGAAATCTTCAAAATCACCTTTGCCCCCCCCCCCCTTTCATGGAGGTCTTTAAGACCATTTTCTACTCTGGAGTTGATCAAAGGACACCCCAGCTCCTCCGTGCAGTATTTAAGACCATTTCTGCTTCATGTTGTTGTAAAGACTACTCCTCTCCTCATGAAATCTTAAGCCCATTCTCTGGTAAGATCTTAGGATAACCCCCTCATAACATTCAAAGGCCACATACCCAGCTGCGTGATAGAGTTTTTCCCACCTTCCCACTATAAATCTTTCATTCTACCTCATTTCTGGCGCATCTTAATTTTCAGTAAGTGCTGCAGTTCAAGAAACGTCTTTGGAGACCGTCCGAGATCTTGTTGAAAAGTTGTATGTAAGCCTTGATATTGGGGACAAAAAGGTGTGTTTTTACCAAAATAATTCTAGCGATAAACCTAAGGCCAGACTGTCCACTTATTCAAGACTGTGAATTCCTAATTCACTCGTTGAAAAGCGTGTAAAAATAATGCGTTTTGAAACAGAAAGCATATTATTTGCGAAAGTTGATTTCATTTCCGAATTCTAGACCGGAACAGAACAGCAACTTGTTGAGGAATTGGAAAAGATTCAAGCAGAATTAGAACCGCTTGAACAGCAACGACAACAGCTGGAAAAAGGCGTAGAAACACGAACGAACGTATTTGTTTGGGGAGGCTTGGCTTTCATGGCCGTCCAGTTTGGTTTCCTAGCGCGACTAACTTGGTGGGAATATTCCTGGGATATCATGGAACCTGTGACGTATTTCGTGACGTATGCAACCAGCATGGCGTGTTACGCGTATTTCGTGTTGACAAGACAGGTTGGTTTTTCAGTTTAAAACCTCGTCTAAAAGACGGCGGTTTTCTCATCTTGTGTATGTTATTGAGTAAATTGAACAGAGTAGAAGACTTTACGTCGCCAAGATTATACAACTGTGTACATAATTCACTTAATAACATACGCTAGAAAGAGAAAATCGCCCGTGTAGCTGCCAACTTAACTTGTCACCCGGCATTGCTCTGAATTTCACACATTTCACAGCCGTAATGAACTAACTTGAATCCAATAACCGAGTCTCGATTTAACTACCACTATTATAGTAAAGCATGTCATGATATGTTGACTAAATGGACCAGTTCAGATGAGCTCTCAAGTAATAAACTCCTCGACTAAAATTAACAGTTCTTCGTTCATTACGAAATTTCATTTTAGGAGTACATGTACCCGGAAGCCCGCAATCGTCAATTCTTAATTTCCTTCCATAAGAAAGCCAAACGCCACGGCTTCGACATTGAAAAGTACAACAGCTTACGCGAGGCCATCGCTAAAATCGAAGCTCAGTTGGAAGAAATGCATCAGCCTGACAAATCCACTGATGAATAGGACCTTATTTTGAAATAATAGGACATTCTTTACTTAGGTAATTTGAAATGAATTAATGACTACCAAAAAAATATATTAAGATCCAGTGTAACACAAGACAATATATAGACACTTTCTGAATATTCTCACTGGCAATAAAAACCACGTTGTTCGTCTCGTCACCTTAGTTGTGACAGTGTGCACACAGGAAAATTCGGAAAGTGTCTATTTTTGTTGCAATTTTAATTGATACAGGTCTGCGTTAGGTATCAATCTCGTGTTCCACTGACATTACTCTTGTCAAACTTGCAAACATGACATAGTTCTGAAGAGCTTGCGAAGTTACAGACAAATTTACCCCGTGTAACAAACCTCTCGATAACAAACCCTTGTCCGACATCCGCTGTGCAGTCATACAGTGTGCATCACATCACTTACAGACATCGCTGTGTCACATGCAGGTGTTCAGCTGTCGTTAAATGTATTTCTATGACTCGTTTAGAGCGAGTCTTTATTGTAAGAATTGTAAATATTTCTAGAACCTTGACTAAGCATAATTTCATTAAAATGACCGCCATGAATTTGAAATAAAGTTCATTGAAGTGGAGCAGGGTAAAACAAGATAATAAAATTCAAGTTTAATTCAATTTTTTTGGCACAAAATTTACAAAAAATAAATACTAGATAATAGACTACTCTAGAAAATATCCTAATAAATATAGTAGTTTATGTCAGTTGTTACCCAATCCATTTTATAAAGCGGTACATGATTTGAACAATTTTATTAATTCTATGTCATTGTCAGGATCGATGGCATGTCAGTTGTATGAGAATATGTTGGTTGCGCAGTGTAATGTTCCCTATTATCCATGCAGATATCTCTCAAATCACACTCTCAGGGTAAGAAATAGCTGTCTTTAACGATTTATATATATATATATATTACTATATGAATTGGGTAACAACAGAGGTAAACACTTGTTTGTCAATTCTGTTTCTACTATATGCAATTTCACATTCATCCTATGTTTGAATGTTGTTAAAAACGAACGCTTGTAAAACCAGTTACTCTGGTTCAATCGTATGCAAGGTCTCATCGTTGTCACCATTTAATTTATCATAAGTTCCGTCCAACGAGTTAGGAATGTTGTAATCAGGCGAGTCAGGTTCTGATAGATCTTCTAATTGGCGTGATGGTGCTTTGCGACGTAACACGAAAATACTAGTAACTACAATCAATATTAAAACTGCCGCTGCACCAGCAATGTACCCTGGAATGAGATAACTATTGCCAGTCTTCCTCGCGTTTTCTGCTGACTTAATGCTATGTATTTGAAGTTGTTGACTATAGCCGCTGCAACCGCCTCTGTTACAGACTTGTAAGTCTGCTGTGTAGTCCGTTTCTTTGTCGAGATGAAGTAATACACTTCTTTTGCTCATATTCTTCACAACAATTTCATTGCTTGTCGTGTTGGAAGCATTTGCGAATGTTGACCAATATCTTAACTTTACCTCTCTTAAGATTCCACCCCAGTACGTCTCGGCCGGTAACTCCCACGTGAGAGTAAGATTACGGTATTTCCCATCGGCATCGTAGCTTGACGGACAGGTGTCGTAAGTGCACGTGATATTGGGCGCTTCGCTCGGCTGTTCTTCGTTGAGGTTCGTAGTGTTACACAAGGGCTCGGAAAACTGACCGCACTGGTATTCCTTTATTGATAGGCAAAAGGTACATAGCTCGTAGGGTGCGTAGTCCCGGATATCTTTACCCGTCAGGATTATCTCCCGTGTTTCAAGTTCTTTAAATACGGCCGTTTGTTTAGCAGAGGTCTTAGAACAACTATATGTCAAAAACACGTTCGATAACCAATATATTATATCTTTCCATTTTAATGTCACTCTGCGATACGATGTTTTTATTTCCAAGTTTGTCGGTGGATGTGGAAAGTAGAGTAAAGATTTAGGTGGTAAATACCCACACGCTGTCAATGTTAAGTTATACTTCCAAACTCTGCTCCTGGTTTTACACTTCCCATGGCGGGTTGAGACATGAAATACGAGTTGACTCATGTCAAAACCCTCTGTGTGAATTAGCGCTGTGCATGTTTTGTCATCACACGCTGGCGTTATACTTCCTTCTGGGCAGGGAAACATGCAAATGTTTAAATATATTTTGTAAAACAAAGTGTACACATAATTTCTCCCTTCTCTAACCCACGATACAGACACATACCTAAAACTCTCCTTATCGCTGGTGAACCTGGGCGTTCCGAGCAAACCTGTCACAGGTCGAGGCTGCATTTCAATCGACAAGGAAGGATTTGCAATGCAGTTTGGCAGGCTAGCATTGGCAACACAACACGTCAGTAAACCCGCATTCCTCACGCGATACAACGAAACGATTTGATCATTTGTGAGGTTGGTTTTGGTAGCATTTCGCATCTGCAAACCATTCTGGTACCAGATTAAAGACAAGTCCTTCACAGTTGCTGTTATGTTTCCAGACGACGTTTTTAAACGAAGCGTACAAGTTGCGATGTTTTGCATTCCTTCTTTCAAACAAACTGAAGAGTTTAGTTTAATTGAGAACTGAGATGACTCCACTAACCCTCCGGCTATGTCCAGTACAACCATTAGTGCCAAGGAAAACCTCATTTTGCAGAAATTCTACACTTCCTATACTCTAATCTATCGCAAACGTTTGGAAGCTAGGATATGCTTTTAAATCAAAACAGAATTTAAATTGCAATTTTATATAAAGCATTTTTTAGCTCCTGCGGAGTTTTTGAAATATCATGATAAAGAAGTCCAGTCAGACGAAGGTAATCATGCATACACTTGGCAGATTTCGAGACATTCCGCTTTCGATTATCTAAATTTAATATTGTAGTAATACAAAAACAACTCAATTATCGATAGCTTCTTTGACCTAGGAACAGAGATGAGCATTTTAGTAGAGCATAGCTGAAGCAAATAGACACACTACTCACTCGATACGACGCCATATTACAGAAGAAATTTGATACAATGCTAACCTTGTTATGATTATTAGTTTGTTGCATAGAGACGCAGAGTATTGCATTGATACCTTGCATTAATTGAAACTTTTAATTAATGTTCTCATATTAGTATCTTAAAGGCCAGGGGTATCAATTATTACATTGATTTAACTATATAAAAGCTTGTCTCAAACTCACTTACCACTTTTATTATAGGCTATATTATTCATGTTAGTATATTATATTTTAAATTCTGACACTAGCTGATGCCACTAGAACAATCTATTTCTCTTTGTCTACCTCTAATTGTTTGTTGCAAAAGGTCTAGAAAACATTTTTAATTTTCCAATCGCCTGACTTGATTTATCGCATTTAACCACTGTTCTAGCTTGCTTTTAGCACCGCATTCAATTAATCTGATATCAAAAATATTTTTGTTTCAAAACACCACAAGGTGCCAAGGTACTTTTCAAAAGGTTTTCCGACAATTCTTCCGTTATATAATTAAATTTTTATCACTCTTTGGAATTTCTATTCAAATAAGAAATTCCTTAGCACAAAGCAGCATAGAATCATTAATTTGCTAAACTTTAATCCCACGAAATATTTTATATATGAACTATCTTTACATTACATTAATGATTATTACAAGCATTTGAATCTAAATGTATATCAATTCATAATCAAAAGCACTGAATTTGTTTTAAACGTTTAATTCTTGCATGTGCAAAAAAAAATGGGAACTTCCCTACTTTTATATTAGAAAAATATTTAAGTTAATTGCGGACGTTTCTAGTCTTAAATGATTTTGATTTCTTAGAAACTCTTTTTCCTGTTTCGTTATCTGATTCCTCATCCGAAAGTGACAGCTCCATTTCCTGAAAAATAGTTTTTAATTCACGTATTACGAGGGCTGTTCCAGGTAGATTCTGATATATATTATAAAAATGAATGAGAAATTTACTAAAGTTACTAAGAATTGAATTAAACGTTGTCTTACCTTCTCCTCGTAATCTTCTAAGTCTGGTTTGTATACTGGGTTTGTTACCGTTCTAAACATTCAAGAATTGAACGTGGTCATTTCTAGGACTACTTTATCTACATTGGATAGCTTGAACAATTCTTCTAAAGTGATCTTTCTGGAAAATCTCTATCACATGGGGCATTGTTTGTCGATAGGGTAAAATTGTCATATAATGCAAAAGTAGATCTAGACTGAACTGATCGTGCGATTTACCAAACTCTTGAAAATGCTTACCCCGATAACGATGACTTAAACGCTTCTTTGTCGTTTGGATAGGAACTGTAGAATTGAATAGAATCACTTGAAGTCGAGTCCACCTTTTGACGCGTTCTGAAAGAGGCGATGTATGAAGAAAATAATGTTTACTTTATAAACACAAAACTGCAAGAGATTCTTTCATTTTTGTCCCGATTCGAAGCATTAACTGCAGTTATACATGAATATGAATCGTAACGTCGCTGTTTTGATATGGGGAGGAATAGCGTGTTCGTAACATGTTTTACATATGAGAATGCATCAGAAATAACTAAATTACATTTTCAAGACGTACACTGGAGAGTTGGTGAAGAAGGTTTTCCGCTGACTTTCGACGGCTTCCTCATTGAAATCACGTCTATCTCTGGTGAATAAATACATAAATATTCTATCAACGAAACGAGGAGACTTGCAAAATACAAACAAATCAGACAGTTCTGTGAACTGTTTTTCCTATAGATTGGGTTCCATATGATGTCATCTCTTATTGATTCAGTATTGCTGCAGAAAGAAACCTACACTAAACTATGTCTGGTGAAATCAATATTGAAAGGTATCGTACCGACAAATGAGGCAGTAATAACAGCAACAGAGAAGAATAAGCAGCGCTAATAATACGCCAAGAACGATCAACGCTATTTCCCATCCTTCGAGCTCATCATCATCGTCATCAGCCGTTGCACGGATCTTTTTCACGTCTTGAATATGCCATTTCACGTAGAGAGTATCAAGCAAGCGGCGGTGAAGATTTACAGTGCTGTTAATTGGAAGTTAATTGGCTAATTAGTTAATTGATAATCAATTAGGGACAAAAGAAAAGGCCTTTGTAGTTTAAAGGAATCAATGCTGATGCAAAGTAGCGCTTATTAGATACAAACTAACCTTATTATCTCATCACTGCTTAGAATTGTATAGTTTCTCACGACGTGAAATATGACTTCGGAGCCGACAACGATGACGCCACTGCCGTTTCGTTTCTTAATCTTTTTTATTTGATCTATATACGCTTGACCGTCCGTGATATTGTTCAGCATACTGGAAGGAAAGAAAATAAAGCTCAAGTATATTCCTTACAAAAAGATCTCTCAGTTGAACGTGTTACAACGAATCTCCGGATTTAAAAGACAAGTCTTTCGTGCAAGTGAAGGGAAGATTTAAAGCGAGGATGTAAGTTTGTATTTTGTTCGAGACAACTGAGTAATTTGTGCGTTTCTCAATGAAGCCCTGTCGATGTATAATCATGTCTTTTAAACGTACTTTGTGGTGGATTGTTGCTTAAGCGCTATTCACACTTACTTTATAAATTCGTCCGTATTGTTCGTGATCATATCTGGAGGCACTAAGGCTGTAATCATGGCTTGTTGATCACGTGAGATGACGTGGATCTATAAAAGAAATATGAAGCGAAGTTACAGAGTGAAATGGTGGAGTGAATCCTCATTTAGAGCGTAGACTTGTATTTAATAGGAAATAGATTGATTAAAAAACAATTGTCAATATGTTTGACACTGATGGTTAAACTATCCCGGAGTCCATGCATTTTGAAGCAGAAGACGTAATCCAGTTTGATGACTGAACTAAACCTTACCTTCACATTTGCTGGCTGGAGAGAGGTCGAGCCCTGGCCGTTGTTATCTGTAGCGGTGATGTTGAGGTTGTAAACTGTTCCAGTACTGCCGACGGCCACGTTTGTTGCAAGAACCTTTCCCATATCATTCACGTAGAACCGATGTTTCTCATCGCCGGCCGTGATATTATAAAGAAGTTTGCTGTTCATACCACTGTCTGCGTCTGTCGCCTGTGTATCAAGAAAATCTATTTAGTACTCTTTCTGTAGCTATTACAGTTGGCTCCTCACTGGAGGAGTAAAGATCTAGTGAAGTGAAGTAAAGAAATGAGGCAAGAAAATTGCTCACCATTACGCTAACAATCAAAGTACCGTCTTTAGCGCCAGGCATAACTCCTGTAAAGGATACGAAACGATTGTGAAAGAAAGGGCCGGGAAAATCTTTTTTCATCACGATTGAACTTCAGTAGAGCAGTAGACCAGCTTACCTGCAACATAGGTCAGTGGAGAGAACACTGGAATGTTGTCGTTAACATCGTCAATGCTCACAACCAGTTCAACAGTATCGGAGAATATTGCTGAGGGATAAATAAATATAGTTGGGTATATTTATGGATACTGAACTGGGTTGCCATGGGAAGAGACCTACCCTCGCGACGTCGACGTCGTTTTCGTCGCTTTTGCTGAACCAAATTTGAAGCACGGACACCCAGACGATATTCGGCCATAGTCTCTCGGTCGAGTGGCTTGGAAACATAGATCCATCCAGTTTGGGATGAAATATTGAAATGATCTGTAATGATTTGCGTTCAAAAGTTCGTGTGATATTCAGTTTCTCTTTAACACTCGCTATAGAATCAGCGTTACGTACCTAATTCATTTCCTGATACAAGTTCATAAGTTGTGGCTCCACTATCCGTCGTATCGTTGTCTGTGGCAATCATTTGAACAACTGCATCATCAACTTTAGCCATTTCGCTGACACTTGCACTGAAAAGAGATGATTGGAAAACGTTTGCTGATGTTAAAAGACATTACCACGGCTCTCAAATGACTATATTTAATACCAGATAGTCATGTCCAAACAAACTCTTTGAATAAATGAAAGAGAGACTATTCTCACTGGATCACCGGGAAGAATAGTTGAGAACTGATAAAGCTATCCAGTATAGTTTAGTTTAGGTTTCCTCCTCAATCTTGAACTAACCTGTACTGTCGCTTATCAAATCTGGGCGAATTGTCGTTGACGTCATCAACTATAATCAGGACGGGGACAGTAGAGAACATTTGTGGATCACCGTTGTCAGTTGCGTTCACAACGAGGCTCAGGTTCCGATATTCATTCTCAATCAATGACTGGCTGAGGGTCAATATTCCGGTGTGGCTATCTATTCCCACTATACGAGAATATTCACCGCTCACAATAACATACTTAACAACACCAGCATCGTCCTAGAGAGAGGAAGAGTGATATAAAGGGATAGAACATGATATATGTAGCTTTGGTTAAAATCTTTCACACCCATGTTCACACCACTCATTCGTGGTGTTACCTTATCAGTGTCTTTCGCAAAAACTCTGCCAACAACCGTCCCAATTGTCGCGTTCTCAGACACCTGGCCTTGATAGGAACTAGCGTTGAATTCGGGGGGGTTGTCGTTCTCATCACCCACATTAATACGAACGGTGGCATTAGTTGAGAGTATTGGTGACGCAAGAGAGTTGCTAGCGGTTACGATGACATCATAGAATGAAGTCTTTTCTCTGTCCTAAAACCAAGAAAAAGTGTGCTGTGTAAGATATGTAATCACTTCCGAAATCTACACTAGATTAGGTACTACGAAATATACAATATTGTGTGATCATAATTCACTTCAGTTAAAATGGCTGGTTTCAGCCAGTTATAAGATATGAAATGACTTTTAATAGATTGGGATGAATCTTCAAATTTCAATAATGATTCTCACCAGAACTTCAGTTGTGGATATCACTCCAGATGATGAATCGATGACGAAGTGTCTATTGCGGTCTCCGCCTAAGATTTCAACGAACAGAACATCTCGTTTAATATTGAACGAAAAAAGACTCTTGAAAAAAATATACTCACTCACCGGTGATTGTGAAATTGATTTTGGAATTGAGGGTTGTGTCTGCGTCAGATGCTTGAATTTGACCAACAACACTGCCCTTTGCTTTGTTCTCGAGGATGTTGAATGGACCAGTCGGCTATGAAACAAGAAAAGACATTTGTGGTGATGACAGTGTGGAGGTGGTGATATGATGGTGGTATGAGGTTGATGATGGTGATGGTGGTGAGTGGTGACTTTGTTGCTGGTGATCAGTGTGGTGGTGGTGATATGATGGTGGTAATGAGGTTTGTGGTGGTCGTGATGGAGTTATGATGCTGTTTAAATAAAAGTTCTTCCTTCTTACCACACCGAAAACTGGGGCATTATCATTTACATCAGTCAACGTGATCTCAATGGATCCAAAATCCAAGTAACCAATCGCACCTTTATCACGAACCATTACAAGTACCTCGAGTTAAAAAGAAACATTTAATCCAGCATGAAAAATGAGCCAAAACTATCATCAGAGAGTTGCAAATTATTTTACGTATAAATGGTATATTTGATGAGAGAAACAGACTCACAATATAGTCACGTTTGGACTCGTAATCCAACTTCACAGCAGTCGTAACAATACCCGAGACTGGGTCGATGCTGAAGTGTCCTTCGGAGCCGTGAACGATGGAGTACTCCAACTGTGCATTGCTTGAAGAATCTCTGTCCGTAGCATTGACGTCTGCGATAAATGTTCCTATAGTTACATCCTAGAAGATAACAAAATATTTATCAAACCATCCTTACCTGGATGTTTTAATATTGCATTGTAATATCCTACCTCGCTGATAACCGCTGTCATTTTTTCTGGTTCAATCACTGGGGCATTATCATTCACATCCGTTACCATAACAATCACATCAGCATGATCTGAATTAAATGGAGCAGTTTGATCTTGGGCCTTAACGGTAAATCTCGCTGTATGATTGACCTCGCGGTCCAAGGATTTCGCCACTGTGACAATTCCTGAAGTGTTGGACAGCTGGAAAAGACCTGCCAAAGAAAACGAAGTTAGTTTTACTTTGCGGCCCGAAAAGAGCAGTTTACAGCAGTTTATTACCTTTCTCGTTTCCTTCAGTGATGGTGTAAAAAACTTTTCCGTTTAAACCGATGTCTTTGTCTTCAGCTTTCATTGTAACAACGATAGCACCGATCGCTGAATCCTCTTGGATTTTTCGAGTGTAAATATCTTCAGTGAATTCAGGACTGTTATCATTCTCGTCCAGCACTTTGATTGACAGCTGAAAAATATATACAGAAAGATATACAACATGGCACCTTTCCCCAACGTCTTAGCGAGGATTTCGAAGCAAGAATGCACAGGAACATTCCTTAGCTATCAGGTCGAATTAAGGGGCGATGCGAGCGCTTACTACGGTGCAAGAAGAACAAGAGTTACCAGAGAAGTTACTGGATATATCCACGCATATTTCAATGTACGTTAATCTGAGAACAATATCAAACCTTGCCGTCAGTAGAGAGTTGAGAATTTCCCATATCCGTTGCTCGAATATCAACGACATAGTTTCCAATCTCCTCGCGATCCAATCTTTGTTTAGTCCGGACTTCACCAGAGGTAGAATCAATCGAAAATTTATCACTGATTTCCAGCAAAGCATAGCGTATCTGTAGAGGGGAAAATACGTTGACTTTATCTATCACTGCTACACTGCTACTAATACAGTGGTTAACATACGACATGTTTCTTACTAGAGAGTTATTTCCTGAATCAGCGTCAGTTGCTTTGACCGTCGTGATTAGGGTCCCCGAATCAAGATTTTCTTTCACTTCTGACGTCAATGACGAAGCAATGAACTCGGGGTAATTATCATTGAAGTCGGTGACGTTGATATAAACAGAGACATAGGAGGATAGAGGGGGTGTTCCGTGGTCTGAGGCGGATATATTAAGGATAAAATGTCTCTCCGAGGGATCCTCGTAGTCCAAGCGTGACAACGGCTGGATTAAACCAGTCGATTCTGAAAGAGAGTTGAGATTTGTTGCATTTCAATTGGCTGGTTCTTTAACACCAACCGAGCTATAGTTAGTAGTTTCACCAGCTATAGTATTCCTATACCTTCGATACTAAATTTTCCTCGACCTCCAGCGACCAGTTTGTATTTTAACTCTCCATTTAAGCCTTGGTCAGGATCATTGGCTGAAACCCTGATGACCTAAAATATCAAATTTTTCAGTTGAATTATTGAACTTCAATATTCGAGATGGATTGATACACCAAGCGATGGATGGTAGACTTTGCTTACTGTATCTCCAGGAAAGGTATATTCAGACAGGCTCACGCGGTAAGCGGGCTTCTCAAATAATGGCGTGTTATCATTGTAATCCACGACATAAATGTCGAGGATCGTGTCATCTGCAAGGATTGGAGTACCTTTATCTGATGCCTGGAAACGAAAAGATAATTACTATTACAGAACTTTTTGTATTTGTTCACAACTGATTAGAAATGTCTCCACAGCATCTCTACACTGAACAGTAAAAAACTGAGCGCGGAGCAGCACAGTATAGATTAGGTCTGTTTGATTAAGGTTTCATTTTTGTATTACATGCATTCTCACCTCAACTTTGATGACGTATTTCTCCTGTGTTTCACGATCAAGTTTATTTGATACATTAACTTCTCCAGTATTTTCATCGATGAAGAAAGGTATACTCACTGTGTGATATAAAAACCAAGGAAGCTTTTAGACAACAACTATTCTTTCTCCTAAGCAAGTTATTCATCTCTAACACAAACTAACACATTAACATCATACCTTCATCGCCACCATCAGAATTACAGCCATAATATTCTAATCTGAGACAGGCCTGTTCATTCGAATCCAGGACAAGAAGACGAACATATCTTGCTTGAAAGGATGGTAAAATTCTCTGAACAACCACGCTCTCGGAGTCGGTATTTCCAGCAAATATCTAAAGAACAATATTTCACTTATAATAAGATTCTGCCCTGGGCTTGAACTTGCTTGTATCCGATTGAGCACAAACCTGGTCATGCGATGTCCACGTGTCTCCGTTCAAACTATAACTTAGGGTGTATTTTGTGACATAAGATGTTCCTCGAGGTCTGCCCTGTGTTGCTACTCTCGTAATTTTTTTCAAACCAACAAAATCCACTTGTAGAAATGGTCTGAAATCTGTGGTTTTTGCGCACCACGCTCCTGTGGAAATAAGCAATCCAGTATTTTCAATAAAAATAGGAAATAGTACAGTCGATATGAAGAGAATGTTGTAATGAATTGGGAGAGTATTGTGCTGAATATGGAGACGAGAGCAAGTCTCCTGTAGAGATTCAATGATATGACCAAACGTTTTTTTAAACCGTGAAACAAAATAAGATTTAATTTGCCGCAACGAACCTTGATAAGACACGGCAGCATGTGTAGATGGTTGGTTATTTAATCGTCCTTGTGTTGGGTTGTAATTTTCATTAGATTTTGAGAAGGTTGAATTTGCTGTCATATTGCTTGCGGTGACTGCAAGTGACTCCAAACCGAGAGGCAAAAAGCACGAGTTATTTACAGCGACCATTTCACCATTTTCACCTAGAAACAACTCCAAATTAGCTGTCGTGGTTTGCATCAGGAATACCTGGAACGATATCTTAAACCAAGCAGTCCAGTGTTGGGTGTTCGGTCATCTACAATAAAATGCGTTCGCAACCTACCGACATTAGCCTCAAGAAATCGATAAGTGACGACGCCATTCTCTCCCCAGTCTTTATCTCTGGCTTCCATTTTCCCAACTCCAGCCCCAGGACTCACGCCCTCTGAGACGCTCATCTTATACGGCGACGTGAACTGGAACTCTGGCGAATGTTTGTTCGTTCCCAGAAATTTTACAACAACCTTGATAAAAGATAAAAACTTTAATCAAAGTCTTCCTTTTCTCACGAAGTGTGAAACTCGTGCATTGCAGCATTCAAACAATTTAACCAAGTTTGAATGAAGAAAACTGTCTGGTGCTTGAACTTACCGAAGTGAAACCTGTCTTAGAACGTGAATCAACAGCACGAACTGTGAAGATATGATATTCCTCATCAACATCATTCAAACTCTTAGCAATTGATATTTTTCCCTAAAAGAAATAGCTTCGAAATTATTCTGTGCTAGATTGATAAGCTGCCCTGGTTTGCGTCGAAAGCTATGGAAAGTCATTATAAACATGGATAATACGTACGCTGTTTCCATCTATAGCAAAATAGGTCTGGGTGGACTTGAAGCTGTACGTCAGGCTATCCGACCCAGATTTCGACACAGCCAAGACATCTCCAACTTTGTCTCCAATCGCCGCTGTTTGACTGACGTTGAAGAGATACACAGACCTCCCAAACATTGGAGTACCATCTGACGAGTCTGTCACACGTAAGACAATCTTTTGTTCGGATGATAAGGAAGGATTGCCACCATCTTGCGCGCGTACAACTAACTCCATTAAACCCGTAGAGTTTATAGTGCCTTGATTTACCAACAATGTTTTATTTACGCTGTTTTGGAGTCTAAAGAGATAAAAAAGAACTAATTTTTTTGGATAGCTCTATCAGTTCTAAACTGTTCTTCCTAGAGGTCCAGTAAAGATCATCTCTTATTGATGCAGTGTTACTACAGGAGGAAACCTAAACTAAACTAACTTTATTTATACTGGATAGCTCTATCAGTCTAAACTGTTCTTCCTAGAGGTCCAGTAAAGATCATCTCTTATTGATGCAGTGTTACTACAGGAGGAAACCTAAACTAAACTAACTTTATTTATACTGGATAGCTCTATCAGTTTTAAACTATTCTTCCTAGAGGTCCAGTAAGGATCATCTCTTATTGATCCAGTGTTACTACAGGAGGAAACCTAAACTAAACTAACTTTATTTATACTGGATAGCTCTATCAGTTCTAAACTGTTCTTCCTAGAGGTCCAGTAAAGATCATCTCTTATTGATGCAGTGTTACTACAGGAGGAAACCTAAACTAAACTAACTTTATTTATACTGGATAGCTCTATCAGTTCTAAACTGTTCTTCCTAGAGGTCTAGTAAGGATCATCTCTTATTGATCCAGTGTTACTACAGGAAGAAACCTAAACTAATGTCGAACCTCAATATTCCCGTGTCAGGATCAATTATAAAACGATCTCTAATGTTACGAGCCAGCGAATAATGTATTTCAGCGTTCTTTCCCCAATCTTCATCTTTAGCCACTATTTTAAGAACCTCAGTCCCCACGGGTGTTTCCTCGCTGACGTCACTTCTATAAACATCACTCTTAGGAAAATATGGCGCGTTATCGTTGACGTCATCAACTAAGATGTTAACCGTTACATTAGATTCCAGTCCCCAGGTATCGCGAGCGTATACTTTAAAAGAATAAGAGCCTACAGTCTCTCTATCCAGCTTGGATATTGTTCGCAGCACCCCCGTAGTATTGTGAACATTGAATACTTTATGTTCCAAGTAATATGAGACATTTGAGTTCGATCCTAAATCAACGTCATTTGCGTGAACTGTAATAACGTCGTAACCTATCGGAATACTTTCGGAGACACTCGTAGTGTACGCGAGTTCATCGAACATTGGCCGATTATCGTTTGTGTCGAGTAATGTCAAAACTACCTGTCCGAAACCTTGTCTGGGATTGAGATTTCCGTCAAGTGCCGAAACATTAATTTGGTATCGATCGCGTCGTTCTCGGTCGAGCCCGTGAAGCACTCGTAGGGTACCGTTTTCTTTATCGATTTCAAACATTCCTTCAGCTCCAGATATGATAGAGTACCTCACGCGACCATTGATTCCTGGGTCTGGGTCTGTAGCATGAAGTGTGGCGATGACTTCATCCGGTGCGGTGGATTCTGGGATATCCACGTGGGTGATCACGGGTGAAAATTCTGGCGAGTTGTCGTTTTCATCTATAAGATGAATTGTTATAGGAACCATTGATTGCAGTCCATTGCCAGCCTGGTCAGTGGCTATTACATTGAACGTTAGGGAGGGTGTAGCTTCGTAGTCTAAATTCGGCGAGGGGGAGACACGGGTCTTCAGTACAGCGGTTGCTCTATCGATGACGAATTGTTCACTTCCAGGGCCAGATATACTGTAGATAATTTCGGCGTTAATACCAAGGTCACTATCCGTCGCGGATATTGTTTGATCCTGAAAAAGAAGAACCACTGTCACCTCCATATCAATGTGTACAATACATTCATTGCTTGCAAGTTAAAAATATGTTAGATTTGATACCATTTGTACGGAGACATCCGAACCGCTGTTTTCCATTAACCATCCAGTGTAGTTCTTCTCCCTGAATTGTGGAGCGATGTCATTGAGATCAAGCACGTTGACAACGACAAAACCTGTTGCCTAAAGAAAGATACAATAAGTGTTGAATACGTGAAAAACAGGATGATGAGCGAACTAAAGAGTGTATTCAAGAGAGTATTAATTCTCGAGAAGTTGCTCCAAACTAAAAAGGCTCTCTTTATAGAAACGTACCATTCTTGACAACGGTATTCCGCCATCTTTAACCATAATTTCCAACACAAACTGATCTTGATGTTCGCGGTCCAAGCGACCCGCGAGAATCAAGGTGCCATATGATGACTGTAAAGACGAAATATTTAAAATTAGGTAAATGCGTTTACATGATTGCTTTATTCGGGAAATATAATCAGATTTCAATGATTTCAATTAGCTGTGTGCTTTAGTTTTACCTGAGATTTCAAATCAAACATGGATTGATTATTTCCATCCACAATGCTGTAAGAAAGCTGGCCATTCTGTCCTTCATCTGCGTCAGTTGCGGTGATATTTAGTAAAGGCGTCTTGGGCAAATTATTCTCGTAGACGTTGGCTGTGTAATTCACAGGATTTAATACTGGAGTATGTTGGTTAATAGGACCGACCGTCAATACCACATTTGTCTAGTAAATGACAGAAATAAAAAGATCAAACAATGTTGTAAATGAACAAATCTTCTCGGTAAATTTATGTTCGAATAATACTAGACTGCTCCGTCAGTTCCAAACCTAAAATTGCATGATCTTTATTCACTAGTTGGAGAAAACATGAACTAAGCTGACTTATCTATAGTTGCTTTTATAAGTCCACTCTTTAATAGCTTACCGTCGCTGATAACGATGGTGTGCCGTGATCTGAGGCTTTAATGGTGAGGTTATACTCGTATCCTAAATTGCGATTAAGTTTATTGGCTGTTTTAATCACACCATCACTACCACTGATCGTAAAGTCACCTAAAATGAAACGCAATACTTAGAAGAGTGCATTCTGCATGTCGTAATTAAATGCACAATATTAAATCACTGATAATGAATGTAAGCAGTGATCCTACGAAGCTAATTCACTTTCCAGCACTTTTCACAGACCTGCCCATCCAGAGTTTCCTTCCAGTATTTCGTACTTCACTCGGCCATTCTCGCCGCTATCTTCGTCAGTTGCCGTGACAACAATGACGACCATGTCCTTCTCAGCATCATGGGATATCATAAAGGAATAACCGCTGTCCGGAAATATCGGCAGGTTATCATTAATGTCATTCACTTGTATTGCGACCTGAGCATTACAAAATTAAAAAACACTTTCATATTTGCATATACCTGACTATATGCCTATATTCAAAGGTTTTGGTAACATATTCGATTATATTAAATCTGTTACCTAAAAAATAGTGCTTTAGTTACCTCGGTTGTGGAAGCCAGCGGTTTATTCCCTAGATCAGATGCCATTACTGTAAGACTGAAAGCTTTGTGTCCACGAGTATTTGTTCCCAACCCTTGTATTTCTCGGTCAACCTCATTTGCCACAGTGATTTCGCCCTGAATAGATCAAGTTAGTTTAGTTTAGGTTTTCTCCTGTAGTAACACTGGATCAATAAGAGATGATCCTTACTGGACCTCTAGGAAGAATAGTTTAGAACTGATAGAACTATCCAGTATAGTTTTTAGTTAAAAAAACTAACCGTTTTGTTATTAATCGTGAATGTATCTCCAATGTTCCCACGTGTTATTGAATACACTATCTCCTTATTGACACCCTCGTCTTTGTCCGTGGCAGCAACGGTCACTACTGATTTCCCGCGACTATCAGGTCCTTCTGTGATGGTCGTTTCATACGAGAGCGGATTGAAGATTGGCGTATTGTCGTTCTCGTCGGAGACTGTGATAAGAACGTTTGCTTCACTCTGGAGAAAGGAGAAAGCATATCAAGTGAGTTGTTATTAGAATGGAAAGAAGACGAAACAATTGCTTTAGAATATATTTTATCATGTTCTTATATGCCTCGGAGAGGATGGAATAGACTAGCAGAATACATTTTGAATGATAGCAAGTTTTATCAAGAATTTGAAGAACATGCAAGTTTTCCCTTACCTTTCGTCCATCGATGTCCGTAGCACTAACTTGGAAACCATACGAGGATTTGGTTTCCCTGTCCAGTTTCTCAGCTGTCGTTGTAATTTCACCAGATTTTGGATCGATCGTAAAATAAACTTGCGTACCTTGATAACCACGCGAAGATAGATAGAAAGATAGTTAGATAAAGCTATCTCATTTCATTCACTATAACGGAAACTGACATAGCTACTGCATAGGATTAAGCTAGCTAGTTGATCAGTTTATATTTCCATCTATATCACTTAACTTATGGATCAGTAAAGGCTAGTCCTCTGTCGAGTATATCCAGGTAGATTTCAAGAAAATTTTGATTGGAATTTTTCACAGTGAGCGTACTAACTTGTTATAGCGAACGTTATATCTGCATTTTCATCAAGATCTTCGTCAGAGGCTGTGACTTTAAGAATTGGAGATCCTGCCACTGAGTTCTGGAAAGACAGAACACAGTTTGAAACAAGAGAGTTAAGTTAATACTTGTTCAACATCGGCGTTCGTTCCTTCATAAAATATTCCTCACCTCAGGAACACTAGCGGCATAACTCGTGGGATTAAATATTGGATCATTGTCGTTAACATCCTCAACTCTGATTTGTAATGTGCAGTTGCTCTCCAGTTCTCCATCGCTAACTGAGATCTTCACAAGATATCATAGCAGAAAATTAGAAAGGTCTTTAGGGATTCTGTACATGAAAATTGAGACAACCGTTCCTTCAACTTTTAGGCCATTGAACTAACAAAGCTATTTCCCTCACCGTCAATGTATAATATTCGGTCAGCTCTCTGTCAAGACCCCCTGAAACTGATATTTCAGCAACGTTGATGCCGTCCACATCTTTTGTAGCGATTTCAAACTTTCCATCTTCATTTCCATCCACGATCTTGTACTGGAGCTAAACACAAACAAATGGACGCAATCTCAGTTGAGCTGCGACGATGGCGAAGATCTAAATGCGCTTTTCTCACCTTTGTGATAATTTTCTCATCAGGATCAAAAGCTTCAAGCACAATGACACTTGTCAATACAGAAGCGTCTTCCTTAACTTCCGCGCGATAGTTTTTGAACTGAAATAGTGGAGGGCTATTATTTGCGTCGGTGATCAAAATTGTTACCTGTAAGAAGAAGAAAAATCAACTGCATTTTCCAGGTTTCAGTCATACGGTAATACGGTTATATTCTAACAAAGCGCCCCGTTTCAGACGAGAAAAAGCCCCATTTAGTTCAACAAGTGCCACGAGCATCATCTGAGAAGTAAGATCATTTTAGTTTTGGCTTCTTTGAACACTACAAATTTACATTAAAAACTATACATGCACGAGATCATTGATCATATATCTCACCACAGTGCGACCAACTTGATCTAAGTTTTGGTTGTTTGTGGCTGTTACGACAAGCGTGTAGTAGAATTGATTATCACGGTTCAGCGTTTTCAGCAGAGTTAACGTACCCTGGGAATGCAATGAATCATGTCAGCTTTTAGATAACACACGTACGGACCTTACTAGACAAGTGGGAATAAGTTTTTCGGTAGAAAAAAGGATCAATAAGAGAACTTACTCGACAAAAAGGAAAAATGTAGAACCGATGGAGCTATCTAGTGTGAATGTTTAGTCAAAGCTGATCTTACCAAGGATTTATTAATATGAAATGTTTTCTCTGAGTTTCCCGAAGTAATTTCGTACACAATAGAGGAGCCAGAAGTCTTGTTTCTTTGAAAGGCCTGGACAGTGCCAATTAATGTGTCAATACGAGTAGTTTCTGAGATATTGAAGGCATAAGCCGGATGTTCAAACACAGGATCGTTACTGTCTTTAGGAATAACAATAACACTGACATTGACTGCAGATCCTCGTAATGCAGGTCGACCATGGTCAGCAGGGAGGACACGAAGAACATGTCTAGAAAGAAACAAAATGAAATTAATACTTTCAGATCTTTCAGACAACGGAGTGAGAGATAACATAGATATTATTTTATGCCGAATTCTGGCTTCGGAAATACGTGTCTACGTTGAAGAGTTGCAATCTTGGAGAGGAACTAAAGGTTCATTGCGTCCAAGTTTTTACCCAATACAGAGTTTGAGAAATACAGATGCGGAACCATTTTGACTGTTTGAAAATTTGTTGTTCCCTATAAAAGAATAACAAACATGCAGCCTCTCAATACCTCTGTTGAGATGCATGAACCAATTTTTGACTCAGTGTGACAGCACCAGTGTCGGAATCGACTTTTAAAAACCCGTCGCTCAAAACGCTTTCAAAAGTGACTTTCTGGTTGGTTTCTCCGAGGTCAGGATCTGTGGCGACGAGTGTAAATAAAACTGTGTCGACAGGAGTCGACTCGTTCACTTCTAGCTCCACAGGGGCATTCACGATCATCGGAGGATTATCATTGATATCCAGGACATGGATGTTCACGCTTGTCACAGCAGACTTTGGGATGCCTGGATGGAAAATGACTTTATTTAGATACGATTTTCATGGACAGCAAGTCATGCCAGTGTTGTTTTAAATACCTGCTTTATCAGTAGCTTTTACAGTCAGTTCATAAAATTCTTTTGTTTCGCGATCCAGATTATTGGAAACCACAAGAAATCCAGAATTATTCATTGAAAATGCGTCACCAAAGTTACCATCTAAAAATGAAAATATTCCTAACTTAACTCATTTGATTCACTGCATGTGGTGCAACTGCTCTCTTGGAATACTTTGCTTGAGCTTTCTAGTATATGGTAGTCGACCACTGGTACCACTGGTAGTATACAATGGTATTATGGTACCACTGGTACATACAATGGTAGTGGACCACTGGTACCATACCTATGATACTGTAGGTTACTTCGCCCAGAAGTCCCTCGTCTCGATCTGTGGCCAACACGCGTACAACCAACGTCCCAGACGCAGTACTTTCATTCAAGGAGACAAAGTATCCATACTGCTCGAAGACTGGGATATTGTCATTGACGTTCGATATTCCAATATTCACTTGAACTTTTGTTGATTTTTCATCAGGGATACCTCGATCTGAAGCTGTCACGTGCACAACGAACCCCCCTGGGTTTGATTCGTGATCGACAGGCGTAACCATAGTTATCAGTCCTACAAAACAATAGCTATCGTCATTTCCAGTACCATCACCACCATCATAACCCCTACCACTACCAATTACCATCGCGCCAACATCACCATCTTTGCTATCACCATCTTTACTCATACACCTCGTACTGTTTCCCGTTATCCTCCAATGATATCATTCTACCATATCTTCCCCGTAACCACTTACCGGTCGTGCGGTTAATTGTAAAATATCCCTGTCCCCCGGTGAGAGCGTACGTCAGTTCACTATTTACTCCTGCATCCAAATCAGTCGCCGTGACTCGAATCACTTCCGAACCAACTGTCATGTTTTCTGATATCAAAACTGCGTAAAGAGATTCGTCAAACACTGGATAGTTATCATTGCTGTCTCCGACTTTTAGTTTCACAGTCACTGAAGATGACTAGAACAAAATTAAGATCAAAATTATTTTGGAAGATCATAACACAACCCAGTGTCTACTTGGGTAGGTTGGATGGGTAGTACTCCAGAGTACACTAGGGGTACATGCTGGATATATTGTACCTTGGAGGGTGTCCCCTGATCCGTAGCGACAATCTTGATATCATACTCAGCAACGTTTTCCCGATCCAGACTCCTGGTCGTGTACACAAAGCCGGACGAGTTGACAGCAAACTCCGCGTAATTCAGGGAGTAGCTGACCAACTGGTTCGCGCCAATATCACGGTCTGTGGCTGACACCTGGTTAAATATGAAAGAAATTACGAGATGAAAGAATGAATCAGTTGTCTACCAGGATATAAGCTGATTATGCATGTCTATACATATGACCCCACCTTGCACACAAGTTGACCAGCTGGTGAATTTTCCATGACAGTCGAGGTGTAACTGGTCGTCGTTATAACTGGAGCATTGTCATTTATGTCATCGACCAAAATAGTAACGAATGCCAACGAACTTGACGATGGGGAGCCCCCTAGGAAAAAAGACAAAGCATATGTGAAGATGCTTTCCTCTGACAGTCAAAGAGAAATACCTTTTCTTTTTTTTGTTTTCTTAAGGTACACCCACCCCTCCTATTTTTAAAGCTAATGTGAAAACGTACTGTCATAGGCTTGAATCACTAATAAATAACGATCAGTATTTTCACGGTCCAGTAATTTGTTTGTTTTGAGTTCTCCTGTCAAATTGTTGAAAACAAAGTAGGCGTCGGTGTTTCCATCTGGGATGGAGTAGTAAACTTCACCATTGAGTCCTTCATCAGGATCAACGGCTGTGATCTGCAAATAGAAAATATCGAATCTGTGTTACGGTGATTACTATAATCAAAGTCATGATTACCACCATCAAGGTCAATATCAATCATTCATCATCATCATGATCATCATCATCCTCATTACTTACATTGGCAACACTGTATCCAAGAGGAACGTCTTCTTTGACAGAAATAGTTACACGGCTTTTTGTAAACTTGGGAGAATTATCATTGACATCAGTGATATTGATATGTACGAGTGTACTGTTTGATTTAGGATCGACAAGATCTCCATCTTTCGCAATGACTTTCAGGATGAAGTGAGACCTCGTCTCACGATCTAAGATGACGTTTGTTGTAATCTCTCCAGTCATATTGTTGATAGAAAATTCACCTTAAAACATGGGCGAATAAATGTCTTATATTACTCAAGGAGTTTATAAGAATTCAAAACCGATAGCTCGCATCAAAATCAGCTTTAATAATGTTTCCATTCAGCTACCACCCACATAACTACAGTTTACTTACTCGTTTCATTCTCAAAGCTATAGTGCACTTTTCCATACGGACTTTCTCCGTCACTGTCAACGTCATTTGCCGTTACTATGCCAACAGACTGATGCAACCCAGTGTAGGAGCCCTCTTTAATAGAGAAAGAATAACTATCTTGCGCAAACTTTGGCCAGTTGTCGTTAATATTTTCAACTTGGATAATGACTTTGGTTGAGCTGAAATAAGAAAGAGTTAATATGAACCAATCGTACTTTGATAACTGTCAGAATGTAGCTGAATATCAATGCTTACCCAATCAACTGGGGATGACCTTTATCAGCAGCTTCGATAATCAAATGATATTCATGAACGCTACGATCATAATCCAGTTCAACTAGATTTGTTATCAGACCGGTCCTGTTGTCAATGTGAAACTCTGGATTAACCTGTGCGACAAAAACAAACTTTAATCAATTTTATAATAGCGTTTTTTCCTCTCGATCGAAGATTCTATTTATGATACTTTCGATTTCCTTTGTAAAACGCTAAGCAACATTATGATATTGTGAGTACCATATATCTTTTCCAAGACCTCAGGCATGAAAGCTTATATAGACATGATAATTTCAGTAAAAACTGAGCTGGTTGAGATACCTTGTTGATTCCACTCTTAATCTTGAAAACAAACTGCCCATTCATTCCTTCGTCTTTATCAACACAAGATAGTTGAATCAAGGATTTTCCAGGTGCACTGTTCTCTGGTAAATTAACTGTGTATTCGGCTGTTGAAAGAAATGGATATTTCGGTTGAGACAAAGCAATGAATGTAAGAAGAATGATCTTTGTATGGCCGTCCAGGTGAGATTTCCGAAGACGTTGTTTCTTAGTACCTTGGGGAACTTCCAACATGCAAAATATTCAACTGTACCTTGCGTGAATGAAGGAGGGTTGTCGTTTACATCATCGATAGTAATATGGAGCTAAAATGAAAATAAACGGTCCTAAACATTTCGTGATTGATTTTTAATAAACGTTAATGTTTGAATACTGACCTGGGCTGTTGAGTTTAAGGACATGTTGCCATTATCTTTGGCTATCAACTACGAATAGAAATATTTCATCACAATTTGCAGTGAAATGATCCTCAGACACAATGAAAACAGAAAATAAACTTACGGTGATATTAAACATGGTCTGGTTTAGCGGCGGATCACGATCTATGCGACTTTTTACTGTGATTCGTCCACTGCTCATATCTATGTAGAAGTTCTCGAAGCCAGTGCCTGCAGCAAATGAATATTCAATGACTTTATTTTCACCACTGTCTTTGTCTGTAGCTCTCACCAACACAACCTCACGACCAACTGTGATGTTTTCATACAAACGAACTTCGTAGGTGTTCTTTGTAAATACTGGAGCATGATCGTTGACGTCCTGGAAAGTTTAGCACAAAACTGTTACAAGAAAGCTGTAGATGTTACTTGTGGGAAGGTTACTGGATTGTGAAAGGTTGAAACTGAATGCAAGCCGTGAAATGAGACTTTGCAAAGCAGCAAAAACTAGACCATGTTGCGACAGTTTAGGTTAGTCTGTATTATACCTTAACAGAAATATACACCACAGCATTATCGTGGAAAGGTTCACCATAACTCGTGTTACCATCCAAGTCATAAACTTGAACCAGTAACGTAAACGTTTGCTCTTTTTCATAATCCAGACTCTGTGTTGTTGAGAGTTGGCCAGTGTTTGCATTCACTTTGAAATAACCTTTGGAGTTTCCGGTTAGAATACTGTAGCGAAGTTTTGAGTTAATGCCGAGATCTTCATCAGTTGCCTGAATACAAAAAATATAAATCTCGTTCATGATTGTAAGTTAAAAGTTACCTTCATAGAGCTACCTTTCACAGAGGCTTATAAATATAATATAGCGGTGATTGAGGGATAGAAAGGCTTTTACGAAGAGAGCCGTAGAGTACCGTAAGGTTGAGAAAGTCTAAGCTTCCTTCGTTCTCAGCCAAACTGGCGGAGTAATGCTCCTGAGAGAATTGTGGCACGTTGTCGTTGACATCAGAAACGTTGATATGCACTGTGACATTGGTAGTCAGACTTGGCGTCCCGGAATCCTTTGCTACAACTGTGAGGGTGTATCTGTCTGTAGCCTCCCGATCCAGTGGTACCGCTGTCTTTATGGTACCAGTCGACGGTTCGATTAGAAAACTACATTTGAAAGGAAAATTCGGTTTGTCACAAGAGAAAACATGGATGTGGCAGTCAGTTAGTAACAATACGGCCAACATGCACTTACTTGACAGAGGTAGTTGAAGGATCGATGGAATAAACAATTTCAGCATTTTTGCCAACATCATCATCAGAGGCCTGAACGATGCCAACCAATAACGCGGCGCTGTTCTCATCAACAGAAAAACTGTAGCCTTCTGGGTTATGGAATTTAGGCGGATTGTCATTACGGTCTGCTATCGTGATAATAACTACGTCTGTTTGAGACTAAAACAGAAGAGAATGGTAACTAGTTGTTGTCTCGAGTTGTTGGCTGTGTACGCTTATTGTTTTCAGTCAAGACAATCACACTGACACAGTGGCGATTTCTCTGGCTTGTTTTTATGCATAAAAACCGCATTTGTTTTTTTGAATTGAATTTCATTGCAAACAATCTATATCATCACTCACCATCCCACCGCTATCAGTGGCATTTACGACCAAGTTATATTGAGAAATCGTCTCTCGATCCAAACTTTTCGTTGTTGTTAAAACACCACTAAAAGAAATTCACCTTGATTCAAAACCGTAGATAAAATTCCGACCAGCCACAAAGAGAGAATGCAATTATACCCTATGCATCTTAAATACTTCACTTCTTACCTTGTGCCATTCAAATGAAAAGTATCGTTGATGTTACCAGACATAATCTGATATCGGACTTCAGCATTTGTGGAGACATCTTCATCGAGCGCCTGAAGTGGAAGAGATTTTTGTCAAACTGATATTTCTGTCCACATATTTTTTAGTTAGATTAATCGAACATCTACCTTGATTGTGACAACGACCGTCCCGGGGGTGGCATCTTCTGCGACTGCAGTGACGTTCAGCAACGAAATAAATTTCGGAATGTTGTCGTTCTTGTCCGCCACAGTGACCTGGACATAACATGAGCCAGTCCTTGAAAAATACAAAGAAAAAGTTAAACCTATGTTTAACTGCAGAATTTCCACCTGATTCTTCTAATTTACTGTAAACTGTTAGAAATCTCAGACGATGCGGCAGGAATCAAACCGTTCTGAAGTGAAGAACACTTCTTCTGTCTCATAGACCTTTATGTCTATGAGACCTGTTATGTCTCATAGACCTTTAAAAAAGTCGGTCCTAACGACGTAGTTTGCGGATGAAGCATGTTTTGATTGCCAATGCAGCAAGTAACCCAACGAGGAGCATGCTCTATCGTAGCGCAGACGTTCCATAATGGTCAATAGTGTCCAGTGTAGAAAATCCTCACCGTTTCTCTTCGATAGTTGCCTGATCTTTCAAGGTTATTTGCAACGTGAACAAACTTTTCGTTTCTCGATCCAGAGATTTCAATGTTGTGATGTTTCCACTCACTGGGTCTAACGAGAAATAATCAAGTTCGGAATCCATAGAATATCGTATCTCCGCATTCTTGCCAGCGTCAGAATCAACGCCAATGATCTGGAAATAAAATTAGCTCTTGAGTGATACGTTGTTGTAGCAATGACACTTCAGTCTTGGTGGAAAACGATAGAACTTAAGAAATCCTCACAATTATAGAAGAAAATAGAAATAAACTTGGTTTGTTTCAAGAAAAACAAGAGAGTTAAACGAAACCATACCTGTGCCACATGTGTCCCATTGGGTTGGTTTTCGTCAACGATAACGTTGTAAATTGGTTTCGAACAAGTGGGATTATGGTCGTTGACATCAGTGATATTAATGATGACCGTTGCGTTGCTTTCGTATCGTTCTGGTGTTAACGTCTCTTGGGCTGTAACCTTGATGAATAATTGTCAAGTTTGATTCACATTTAAGGAAAAGGAAATCAATCAAGCAAAGTATTTGAGCTTAGAGCATTAACGTCCAATTTATGCAAAAACGGAAACGGTGTTTGTGTACAAGTTATTAAGGGCAAACATTAAACGTAATTACTATACCACAAAAATATACTGGTTCTTCTTTTCACGATCTATGTTGTCTTTGACAACAATCTGTCCTGAGCTTCGAATATCAAATTTATCATTTGCCCCGATGAGAATGTATTGTATTGTAGCGTTTTCTCCCTGTTAAGAAAAACCTTTTTTAGTTTTTGCTCATCTTCTCTGTAAGCAAAGCAGGGTGTAATGAAAAGGATTTGTTATTTAGAAAGGATAGATTTTGTTTCTGATATAACTATAACACAACTCACAATATCAGCGTCGGTGGCGGTGACTTGTAGCACAGTTAGTTCCACGGGAGAATTCTCGGGTACAAATGCTTCATACACGTTCTTGTCAAACTTTGGTTTGTTGTCGTTTACGTCCAAAACTTGGATGGTGATGGTTATATACACCGGAGAATGATACGTAGACTTTGCCTGAAAGAAGAATGTTTACACGATGATATTGGAGCTGCTTCTGCTTTGGTGATGCAGATGGTAGTGAGGGTGTCGGGAGTGTATTGATTTAGTGGTTTCCTGGTTTGCAGATGGTGGTGTCCGAGCAATAATGGTGTGGCGTTGTTCGTAGTGATGGTGGCTTTGGTGGTGGTATTTTTAATGTTATTGATGGTGCTAATGGTGATTCGTTACGTGCTTCAGGTGTGGTGCTGCTTGTAGTGTTGGTAGTGTTTTTAGCGATGCTGGTGTTCTGGATAATCCTAAAACAACACTTACTCCAATCCTTAGAGGATACGAGGACGTCTTCTCCCTATCAAGAGACCCGTTCACCTTGATCCAACCAGTCGCGTTATCCACTGTGAATAACTTATTTCTGTTGGAATCTAGAAATGAAAGGAGAGATTAATGGCTGAGCTGAGCAGCTAACGACGTTAGCCTAGAAGCCAACTGCAGAGGCGACTGTTTAGGAGAGAATTCTAGACCAACCTGGATCAATGAGATACTCAACAGATGCATTGAGCGAATCTCCGTCACGAGCAGAAACTTGAATGACTGGAAATCCCTAAGATTTTAAACAAGTTTAAATCATTTTACATGCAAAGAATAAGCCGAGGTTATCAGGTGATTGCAAGACTTCTTTCATGGCAGGAAAAGACGAGTTACCTTTTCTGCGTCTTCACGGACGGAGGCAAGATATGTTCTTGCATCAAACTTTGCTGGAAGATTGTCGACGTCACGAATCTTGATAGTTACCGAGGCATTGTCAAGTCTGCCTCCACCATCCTGAAAGACGAACAAAAGAGTGCTTTTTTAAATTATAGTCATGAGAAGTCGAGCCAAGTGGCCCCAGCTTTGGGGAACTACCTTGGGAAATTCGAAGTAACAAGTCTCGGTTTTACCTAGTATTATTTCTACATCAATTTCTCCCAGTCATACAGTGTAAACGTAATCTCACTCATGAACTTACCGTGGCAGTGATGTTGAGAATATATTGAGTCTTTTCATCAAAACTTAAAGTGCCCAGAACAGTAATATGCCCTGTGTAGGTAGCTATGGCAAATTTCCTATCCTGTGAATATAGAGTTTGATTAAGATTGATATCAATGTATCAAGGAATACCATATTGTTAGTCCGTATTAACGTAAATGAATTGGGCTTTATACTTTTGAATTGCTTGTAATCAGCTTAGCAATAGAGATAATCCTAACTAAAAGGTCTATCCAGTAGCAAATAGGATTTTCTAGGACTTTTAGAACTGATCTCAGGCTATATCTACAACAGAAAATAGCTAAGTTATATACGCATTACGCACTTTGTTTCCTGAGATGATCTTGTACGAGATGAGAGCGAATTCCCCTGAATCATCATCAACGGCTTTGACTTGAAAAATGATGTCTCCAATATTTGTATTCTCGGGGACTTCTTTTTCATACGGCTCGTTGATGAAGCGTGGCGTGTTATCGTTGATATCAACAAGATACACATAAACATTGGCGGAAGTCTTAAAAGAAGAGCACCATCATTATTATTATCATCATCATTATTTCATTATTCAACTTCCTGATTCCTACCTTGTGTCCAGGACCGTTAACATCATCATATACGAAAACTTCAAAACTTAACCTGAGTGGAAATTCCTTAAAATAAAAAGTGAAAAGCCGTCGAAATTAACTTGAACTTGTATAAAAAGAAACCGATAAGAAAAACTGTCTTTACCTTCTTTGTGAGCGAGGCGTTTACAAACACCTCCCCAGTTCTGTTGTTAATCCAAAATTTCGATCCATCTTGACCACCAAGCATGTAGGTCATTGTATCATTGTCTTTATCGGTTGCAGACACGTTCACTACCGGTGTATCTGCGAAAGTATGTAGTATAGAGTTGATTCAAGTTTAAGTTATTCATTTAAGTTATTTCTCCTTTATTTCAGTCTCCTTTCTAGCCAAGACTTGTTTTGTACTTACTGATTGCAGCTTTCTCTTTTAAACTGTAAACGAAGTATTCACTTTCATCAAATATTGGTGGAATATTATTACCTGACGGGAAATGATAGATAATTGAAAGTGATTATAAAACGAGGTGAGTGAACGAGGACACCTTGTTTCAGCAGAAAGTAAATTATTTCCGAATCTGGTTGAATATTTCCCCATAATTAACTTGTTTACCAACTCGCATCGAAACTCAAACGTTTTAAAAAGCTTATTCCCGTAAACTTTTTTCATTTTGCTAAGAGAATACCACCCGTTTCCTTCCTAAGAAAAAGCCGCATACATTCAGTTGTGTGACAGCCACAAAAGTGAAACGGATTTATTCATTCTTCTTGCCATAGATTGAAGACTCAGTGAAATAAGTTTGAGATAGAACTTGAAACAAATCTCCGCCGATTTGTTTCGATATTTTGCAGTAGCTCCTACCTGTTGTACGCACGAATTTATTCAGTGAATTCTCTACACAGTGTTGTGACAGACATAATACGAGAAGTGTATCAAGGACAAACGCTATCCTTCACCAGCGATTTGGATGAAATATGAAAACATATGACAAAAAAACTTTGTAATTCGTAGCTGAGAATCTCGTCAAAATGCCCGACAGCCGTTTGCTGTTTACAGGTCTTCGCGCTAGCGGCCTCTATAGTGATAAGAATGTTACTTACCTGCCACGCTTGCGACAAGCGATGAGAAAACACACAAAGCGTATACGGACCTCATTTTTACATTTCTCTTTTGCAAATTGAGAAGAATTTAAACTGATAAAGCGTTTAACTTCGGGATAGTGATTTTAAACGATACACAGCATTTTGAAACATACACACAAGCCAAGTACCTGTGGTGTTGTGGTTTTGAGAAACCGCAAAATGCATGAAGCAGTATTTAGTCCGAGTATTATTCAATAGACTAATTTAGAATACACTTTCACTTTGTGGTAATGCAGATATGCCGGCTTTGTATTTACGAGAGCGGGGATAGTATAACCTTCGGAAATATTAATTATTAAAGCAATGCCAATGTTACATTGGAAGAAAGAAAGAATGATTGGTTGTCTAGACTCGGGACGGGATTTAGACACCAGCATTTGGGCATGGCAACCAGACCATCGTCAGTCTTCCTTCCGAGGTGTTGAAGCATAGAGATCATTCATTACATTAAGATCACAAGATATATTCGGATTGGGGCTGGTGAGGTGACCTTCATCATTTGCATCTGATATGAGAATGTCATTCACCCAATATGTAGTGTCATTGGTGACTTACGAAAGGTGTCTTTGCAATAGAGGAAGCCCTTACTCTCCCTCTCAATTTGTGATTTACCCAACATGACCACATAGGTGGGGAAAGCATCGCACGCCTCGACCATGTCGGGCCAAAATCCTTTGTCTAACAAAGAGTTGCGATAAGATCCTTCTTATATTCATGAAGTTTCGAGCTAAATATTGCCGCTAACAGTTGTTACAGGCGGGCTCAGCACGTGGAAAATAAAAGAAATTCAAAGATTATCGAAGTCTTCTCGTAAAAACTTTAATTTTTCTTCTTTTTTTAATATAAATATATTATTCGAATATGAGCGGTGGTGTTTACGGAGGAGGTATGATGTCAAATGGCTTGAAATTTTAGCGATCGCATACTTTCGTAAATTCGCTTTCGTCGACCAAAGTTTCAATTCAGAAGGTTGTGGTTGTGTTTATAACTTCATTGACTTGTCCAAAGTAATCTTTCTCTGTGTTTTCATATAGATGAAGTTGGTGCCTTGGTATTTGATGTTGGTTCTACCTCATTCCGCGCTGGTTTTGCAGGAGAGGACGCTCCTAAGGTAAGATTATGTTTGGAACTTTTGCAGGCTTTTTTTTACAATTTTTTAGTTTATATTAATCTGGGCATTACATGTTGCGTACTATTACGAGATAAAATGTATTTGTTGTTCAGTTGATGGTTAATTTTACAACAATCTTCTATATTAGGCTGATGTACCAACCTTTATGGGTGTCATTGATGACTCAAGTAAAGCAGAAATTGCAATGGATACTGACCAAACATCATGTACAACATTTAATTTGTTTATTCCTTGATTACCTCCATTTCCTAGAAATCTTCAGTTGCCTTCATTCTGTAGATATTGTTCATCTAATATGACTCAAAATTATTTTTTAGCGGAAAAGCTTGCGCCAACAGCACCAAAGAAATTTTTCATTGGAACAAACTCCCTTCATCTTCCTCGGGAAAACATGGAGGTTGTTAGTCCTCTCAAAGATGTCATGAGTAAGACTTGCTGCTAAAGATATAACTGTTGTCATTTTGTTCACTCAGAGAGTTATATGTGATACTAAAGCTTTTGTTTTTCAGTTGAAGACTGGGATATGTTTGAGAATCTATTGGAACATGTTTATAAAAGACACATCAGATCAGATCCTTCATTACATCCAGTTCTAATGTCTGAAGCTTCGGTATGTATGTTAGCAACTAAACTAACTTTATTTATACTGGATAGCTCTATCAGTTCTGAACTCTTCTTCCTAGTGTTACTACAGGAGGAAACCTAAACTAAACTAACTTTATTTATACTGGATAGCTCTATCAGTTCTAAACTGTTCTTCCTCTGTTTTGCTTTAGTGGAATGTGCGGCCGAAAAGAGAGAAATTGACTGAACTTATGTTTGAAAAATACGACATCCCAGCATTCTTCCTTTGCAAAGATGCTGTGTTAACAAGCTTTGCTCATGGTCGCTACACAAGCCTGGTCATCCATTCAGGAAGCAACCTCACAAGTGCTGTTCCAGTCCATGATGGATATGTGTTACAGCAGGCGATAGTCAAATCTCCTCTGGCAGGAGATTTCATATCAGCTCAATGTCGGAATTTACTGGATGAAATGAAGTATGAAGTGGTTCCACCATATTTGATAGCATCAAAGGTTAGTCTGATTTCATAAATACACATTGAAGAAAGTATAGTGGGGAAAATTTCTTATATTTTGAAAATCTTTAATTCTAATATTCTTTCTCAATCCAGGAGGCTGTTAAAGATGGTGATCCTCCTGTTTTTACAAAGAAAACATTCAACAACATCACCAAATCCTACCATAACTACATGACTAAGGTAAACACCTTCAAGAGATGTTGTTTTTGAATAGCTTTGTTGGGAATAATTGCGCTGTGGATGCAGGAAAGTCTTTAACCAGTCAGCATTTTTATTTAGCAAATTCTTCAAGACTTTCAAGCAAGTACATTGCAAGTTTCAGATGGACCATTTGATGACAGGTTGATCTTTAGATCTTTTCTATTGCATGTATAAATTTTACATTTGATAAGTACTATTAATGGAAGAAGACTCTTTCCTTGCTTCCAACTCTCAGTGCATCAGCTTGCGTTCATTCTTATCTATTTGTCTACTTGTTCAGCCTGTTTGGTAGTATTCCTACAAATCACTACGAGTTTCCTAACGGTTACAACTACAGTTTTGGCGTGGAAAGGTTTCGACTTTGCGAAGGATTGTTTGATCCTAGTAACGTAAAGGTAAGTCAAAGCTGACTAGAAGGATATAAATTAAAAAATCTAAATTCTTGTTTATATTCTTCGACGTTTAAGCCTGAAAAATAAGCTTTTCAAATGGGCAGGTTGTGCGAATGTCGGATAGCGCTATCCATCGTATAGTGAGTTTTTCAATCGCCCTGAATTTGTCCGTGTTTTGATACAGTTTGAATTGAACTTTCCTTTTCTGCACTGGTTGAAGAAAATACTTTCCGGTGGATAGCGCTATCAAGCGTTTGTAAAACCGGTCCCTTCTTGCCATAACTATGCGAATTTGTTTGTTTTCAGGGTATTGAAGGAGGCACAGCAATGGGAGTCACTCAAGTTGCCACAACAAGTATTGGAATGTGTGATATTGACATGAGATTGGTAAGAAAGAGATTGGATTTCATATCCCCCGATATATAACTTCATGCATTAACTCTCTTTGTTTTATTGATGTTTTTATAGAGTTTGTTCAACAATGTAATTGTTGCCGGAGGAAATACTTTACTCAATGGTTTTGTGGACAGACTTAACAGAGAATTGGCATCCAAAGTCCCGCAGGTGAGACGGCTGAAGTTAATGCTCGCAGAACTCAGAACCTAGTTCAGAAGACACAATTACAGTAACCACGATAGCTTATTGTAAAATACTATAGCAGCACTAGACCACCACGTTTGAGATATCTTCCTCAGTTAGTACAGACAAAAACCACGACAATGTATTGTAGAATACCACCTACACTGGACCACCACGTTTGAGATATCTTTCTCAGGTAGTTCAGACACAAACCACGACAGCTTATTGAAGAATACTACCTACATCTTTCTCAGGTAGTTCAGACACAAACCACGACAGTTTATTGTAGAATACTACCTACACTGGACCACCACGTTTGAGATATCTTTTTCAGTTAGTTCAGACACAAACCACGACAGTTTATTGTAGAATACTACCTACACTTGACCACCACGTTTGAGATATCTTTCTCAGGTAGTTCAGACACAAACCACGACAGTTTATTGTAGAATACTGCCTACACTAGACCACCACGTTTGAGATATCTTTCTCAGGTTGATTTGTATTAAATCATTTTAGAGCGCGAGATTAAAGATTATCTCCAATAATTCAACTTTGGAACGAAGATTTAGTTCTTGGATCGGAGGTTCAATCTTAGCGTCCTTGGTATGTGCTTCCTGCGGTAAACTGCATAAGAAAACCCGTCACTAATAACTGACAACGTCTGTATGATGAGAGGGGTGGGAAGAAAGTAATAGATCAAGATCGATCCTACAACACTCAATTTAGCCTCTAATAATATCGAAATTCTTTCATCTCACATTTTAGGGTTCGTTTCAACAAATGTGGATTTCAAAACAAGAATATGAAGAACAAGGGAAGAGCTGTGTAGAGAGAAAATGTCCCTGAGCTTTGCAGAAACATTTTTTTTAAACTACGAACCATGCAACCTTTGTGCTTTGTCTCAGACATTCAGAACAGTCACTGATGCAATCTTAATGCAGGTATTTTCATTATAAGAAGCCGTCTAGAAACTATACTTCTGGTGGGAAGCTGCTTCAAGACGTGAAAACTGTAAATAAATCGCTGTTGTGTACAGACTATTGTGAAAGTCACCAAACGTCATCTTGAAACGTAACGGCACGTTAAGTCGTTAATTTAGCGTAATTTCAGTTGTCATTCATCCTCCGTATTTGTAATAATCTTTAGGTTCTGTAATAATCTTTTGTACATAATTGTTAACTTTATGATTTCTTGGTTTGTGGTATTTTCATTCCACTAAACTACAGGGTGAGTAAAAAAGAACTGACACCTTTGAAATTCAAATTAGCTGCGAACTTATGGCTGGAAAATGACAATTCCCATGTACAATCAACAAAAACGATTTGATAAAACTGTTCTTTTGTATTTACAGAGCTTAGAATGCATTTTAACTCCCAATGGGTGGGAACAAACTTTATATTTAAGGTTAATTAATTTGACATGCTTCGTATACCCATGAAATATTTTAGGCAACTTCTGTCACATTAAAGCCGCTATGCGGCTAATTTGAATTTCAAAGGTGTCAGTTTTTTTTTACTCACCCTCTATAGCCTTGTAATTATATTTTATTACGAGATACAATAGACCATGCCTATATTATTAATTGAATACAGTACCTACTTTTGGGTGCCTTGTTTTAGTCCATGTAGTTTTGTAATACTATCTGTAATCTGCGGTTTGTGGGAGGAGCGCTAAGATCAAAGCACTCGAGAATATTCATCGTGTCAATGGATTGCGCAAACTGGTCTCGTACAAAACTAAGACCTATTGTTTTCACCAGACTAATAAAGAAATTTGCCAGCTTTTATTCATTGAGAATTGAGATAGTGTTCTGAAGAGAGTTGGCAGGGATCTTGAGCATGGATAAAAACAGTGAAAAAGTTGATGGGAATGGAGTGATTGACGTAAATAATGAGATGGAAAATAGCGCATCAGATGAGACGAAAGATGCCTGGAATATGACCCATCGTGAACGGTATGAAAATATCTTTGGCTGCGTTGGGACCGAGTGCGTGGCACTGGTGCCCAAAGTCAAAATTGCTTTTTAAATGCAGAGTACATGTGGTTGTAGTGTAATGACCGTTCTTAGAGACCCTGCCTCGCTTCTTTTGCAGTCATCCTATTCAAACTAGGCTCTGGAGAAAATACCAAGCACTCGGTCTAAACGCAGCCTTAGACATTTGACAGAAAAGCGCGCCCAAGAGCTGTTATATAGGGTCGGGAGTTACACTTTTGAGCCCTCAGCCCATCACATATAGACATGAGATATTTCTCTGAAGGTCATGTGCGTATAAAAGTCGCTGGCATCAATCGTTTTTTTTCGATATTCAAGCAGCTGAAATACACATAAAGGATTCATTATACTGGCTCTTCATATAAGTGGTTTATTTACAAAACACCAGGGTTCTTTATTGATTAGGGTTAAATAGTCTCTCATGTGTCCGAAAGAGCCTAGCTTGGTAAATACCAAGACATTTGTGAAGTGATTGTCGTTCAAGAACTATCCTCATTAATATTGTTTGTGATCAGGAGATATTCTTGACGTGAAAGATATAAAATTCGCTGTATGGAAAAGACTTATTAAAACCTAATACGGTTGCTTGAATGCGCGACAATTGATTAATTAAGTACAAGTTAATAAATGTTTGCCTTGCAGTCAAGTTTATGAACATCGTTTCCAGGTGGCGGGTGGAGTTAGCTTATTCTAGAACAATTGTGTGTGTAATAATCTACCATATCTACTTCAACCTTTAGTGGCTACAACCTAGATTTCATCTTGTTTTTGAGGTTTCTCATCCAAATAAACCTGCCTTAATCTTACCACCCGCTTCCTCATTGTTGAGACCGTGAGAGCATCTCGTTTGCGTTTTGCCGCCTGTCTTCGACACAGTAGGTCGAATTACGCCGTTTTTTGGCGGACTCGACCAAAAACGTCGGAAAACGGCGCATAGGCACTAACGAGAATGCAGAGTTGACTGTCTGAATGTCTTTGTCGCTGTCTTACTGCTGTAAGATTGATGAAGATGTTTGATGTTTATGAATGATTTCTGCTATTGTTTAATTCAGAGACTCAGCCATGCAGAGACTGGGGAGAGTATTAAGGGGTAAATTAAAGTGGTTTTCATTCGATATAAATTTTTATATCCGTTCCATATATGTTTAATAACAGTGTTTTTTGTATGTAAAAGAAAAATTTGGAAAGCATACTAAAAAAAAAAAATTGGGAAAGAATGTAAAAACACCCAAAAGAGATCATCCAGCTCTATGCCACAATCTAACCGGTGATATTACAACCAGCTGCGATATACCAGCATAGATTACAACTACGAAAGGTGCAAGGACAGTTGCTATAGGAAGAACTCCCCCCCATAACTCACATCTTAACGGCCGTCAAAGGGGGAGATGCACTACGGCCCCCAGACCATGATGTATGTGCACCTAACCGTTACGTCTCAGTGAGAAACAGAGTGGGCTGTATGCCACACGCCTAGCGCGTCATAGACGAATCAGCTACAGTGGCAAGCCTTGAGAGCGAAGATAAATTTAACGTATTTAAGCTTTTCCTGGTCCCGGGGGGCGGTCCCTAACAAGTATATGCATAGAAAACGACTCACAATGCACACGCTTGGAAATATCAAGATTTAAACGCCTAAACGTTTTTTAAGTGTTTTTAGCGAGGATTTTCCGCCGGACTCGACCATGGTCGAATACGCCGTTTTCTGGCGGACTCAAACATGGTTCTGTTTGCTTCAGAGTGTCGAGCGCTTAGATAGAAGTCTGGGTACTTCCTACGTAATGTAGCTACCCGCAATCTGTTAGCGCCCGTTTTGGACAAATATCAACTGTTTTTTGAATAGCTGCTGACGGCTACGCAATTCCGAGTCCTCTTGTATTTAAAAAGCTAACGGCTGCTTTGCATTACTATGGGTTACTGTGGAAGTACGACTACTCTATGACATATTTTAACCACCTGAAGCAGCTGTTTTGATCCAGTGTAGGTAGTATTCTACAATAAGCTGTCGTGGTTTGCGTCTGAACTACCTGAGAAAGATATCTCGAACGTGGTGGTCCAGTGTAGGTAGTATTCTACAATAAGCTGTCGTGGTTTGTGTCTGAACTACCTGAGAAAGATATCTCTAACGTGGTGGTCTAGTGTAGGTAGTATTCTACAATAAGCTGTCGTGGTTTGTGTCTGAACTACCTGAGAAAGATATCTCAAACGTGGTGGTCCAGTGTAGGTAGTATTCTACAATAAGCTGTCGTGGTTTGCGTCTGAACTACCTGAGAAAGATATCTCGAACGTGGTGGTCCAGGGTAGGTAGTATTCTGTAATAAGCTGTCGTGGTTTGCGTCTGAACTACCTGAGAAAGATATCTCGAACGTGGTGGTCCAGTGTAGGTAGTATTCTACAATAAGCTGTCGTGGTTTGTGTCTGAACTACCTGAGAAAGATATCTCTAACGTGGTGGTCTAGTGTAGGTAGTATTCTACAATAAGCTGTCGTGGTTTGTGTCTGAACTACCTGAGAAAGATATCTCAAACGTGGTGGTCCAGTGTAGGTAGTATTCTACAATAAGCTGTCGTGGTTTGTGTCTGAACTACCTGAGAAAGATATCTCAAACGTGGTGGTCCAGTGTAGGTAGTATTCTACAATAAGCTGTCGTGGTTTGTGTCTGAACTACCTGAGAAAGATATCTCAAACGTGGTGGTCTAGTGTAGGTAGTATTCTACAATAAGCTGTCGTGGTTTGTGTCTGAACTACCTGAGAAAGATATCTCAAACGTGGTGGTCCAGTGTAGGTAGTATTCTACAATAAGCTGTCGTGGTTTGCGTCTGAACTACCTGAGAAAGATATCTCGAACGTGGTGGTCCAGGGTAGGTAGTATTCTGTAATAAGCTGTCGTGGTTTGCGTCTGAACTACCTGAGAAAGATATCTCAAACGTGGTGGTCCAGTGTAGGTAGTATTCTACAATAAGCTGTCGTGGTTTGAGTCTGAACTACCTGAAATACGCCTCCTCCAGTCTAGGCCTCCTCCCCTTCTCCTCCCCTCCTCCCAACAAATCGTCTTGCTCCAGTCCTGAATGAGGACCTAAACACGTGCGGAGAGATTACAACAAAACGTTCAACAATAAACACACTCCTGAATTTTCCTACTTCTCCAAGAAGATGTCACGCCATATAACACCAAGCCTCTTGACAGCAGCTGTAAGCTTGTTGAAAACGTTTCCAGTTTTTTTATGTGAAAACTTCAAAATATGTAGACGTTGGCAAAATATGTAGAGGTTGGCGTCATTAAATTTTAATTTATTTTGACATGAAATGCATTTTAATGACTTAGAAGAATAGCTCTTTATAGCATACGTTGCCTCACAACAAAGACTTATCGATCTATTATTGCATGTACTTTTATTGCTCTTTTGTGAACAAACGGCTAAACGTTGTCGCGTGTCTAGTTCCTGGTGCCTGTGTTGTGGTTATTTCGGTGTTTCGTTGGAGACTCTGGATAGTGAAAGTCTAGTTGACCGCTCTTAAGATACTTGATAAAAAAGGTACATAACGGTGTCGTGGCAGTGTTTATACATATGAATGTGCACATTTAGAGCGCGATATGAACTTATTCACTATATAATAGCGCTACGTTGAAATTCAGCAGAATCGAGCGAAGAGTTTCTTCAGTTCAGAAGTGCTTGTTGCATTTCCAGCCATGTGTATAATTGAAGACGTACATAGTACAACGTGGTGTCTTCGTGACACTTGCAGGCATTAGCTACGCTTTTTTTAATGCTAATCTGTATTTACTTAGAAAATGAATAAAGCAAACGTTGACCTATAGAGTTGAATACAAATATTACATTGCCCTTTCAACCGGCGTAGTTTAATCATCAGTTTGTGTCTTCCATTTCAAGCTTTCTCGGGTCAAACCTTAATCGTGGATTACAAATGGACGAGCCGTTGACGTCGAAAGTGGTAGAAATACAACTAAAAAGCCCTGATGATGAAAATACTCCAGCTATTCCTGACGGCAAAAAGCTTCCAGTCAATGATAGTAACGGCGAGGAGCGGGAATCCTGGTCGACCAAGATGGATTTCATGTTATCGATAATAGGTTTCTGTGTTGGTCTTGGTAATGTTTGGCGCTTCCCGTATCTATGTTATTCAAATGGAGGAGGTATTACACCAAATATTTACTTAATAAAGCATGTAATAGTTTTGTTCAGATTGGTTAGCGTTCTGTGAAGTTACGCTATTGTTTTCCAAGTGTAAAGAAAGTTATCCTCTATGCAAAGATCTGGTTGTCATTTGGTATTTTTCTGGCCTCGTATTTGAAATTTACGTTGTCGCTGTTAGTCTGTTGTTATATTGCCAAAATCGCAAGAGATGTTTAGTCGACCATGCAAATTTATCGTTTAAGCGTGTGTTTTATGCATGGAGTGGGGTGAAATGAAGACTGGGCAACGCTGCGTTTAATTGATAAAACACAAAATGTAATTTTTTGAGAGTCGCTTTATTTTACCCATTGCGTGAGGCAATCTGTTCAGTGATATAATAAACCGGACTTGGCATGAGATTCTTGAGTGGTTTTTCGTTACGCTTGCTTTTTTTATCCCTCAAATATTGTAATATGAGACAGCCAAGTGTTGAATATATAACACATTCCTTGCGAACAAAAACTTAACCGTTGACACTTTTTACTGAATCTACCGTATTAACTTAAGTTAAAGTACTGTGGTGGAGAGGGAGGTTTATCGTAATGAAACAGGATCTAATGAACACGTCTTTTAATTGCCAATTTATTTGCCAATTCAAGAAAAGCAATAGTTTAGCTGTTGACTGCACAGTAGTATCTCAGTAAAGATTCTGAGAATGATATTTCTCCACTTTTACCTTTACCATTTCATTATTTTTTTTTCTTATTCTTCCTAACGTAGTCTTTATTCACAGCGACATTTCTGATTCCATATTTCCTGATGTTGGCTTTCTGTGGCATCCCAATGATGCTGGTCGAGTTCAGCTTGGGACAATATTTGAGTCTTGCTCCACCGTCAACATTCGCTGCCATATGTCGCTTTGGAAGAGGTAACTATCGAGGAACCATATTCGTCGTCTGTCATCTTCGTTACCATTCACTTTTGTTCACTTTAGGCGTTGGCATGGCAATGATGATGATATCGTTTCTTGTCTCAACGTATTACAACATCATTATCTGTTGGTCAGTAATTTATCTCTTCAGTTCCTTCGCAAGCGATGTTCCTTGGAAAGAATGCGATCCAGAGTGGGCCAGTGATTCTTGCCGGTAAGCTGTGACGACGGTGATGGCGAGAGCGGTTGTCATGGTGATAATGAGAGCGGTTGTCATGGTGATGATGAGAGGGCTTGTCATGGTGGTGATGGTGCTTGTGATGATGGTGATAGGATAGGAGATCATGTTGGTGTTTGTTGGTGTTTGAGATGATACTGGTGGTAATGACGATGTTTAACGATGGTGATAACAACGTTGACGATGGTTGTGGTAATGATCATGTGGGTAGTGGTGATAATGTTGTGGTGATATTGTAGTGATGGTGTCGGGGTAATAAATGATCATATTGGTCGTGCTAAAATCTCCATACAACACGAAAACACTCCATATTATCATCCTAGGACTGTGAACGAGAGAAAAGCATTCAATGACCTAAAGGGAAACTGTACCAATGGAACTCGTTGGATAAACTCAACTTATGAGGTCAACTGTAGTACTGATACTTCAAAATTGGTTGCTTCATCTCTGGAGTATTACAAGTAAGATTTCTCGCTGCTGCAAGCTATGTTTTATTGATATATCAATTAGACAAGACGTTACTTGTTTTTCCCGTATGAAAAAAATGATCGTTTTGTTCATAGTAATCACGTCCTGGGCAAGACAGACAGTTTAGAAGACATGGGAGACTTTCGTTGGAAAATCTGCTTATCCCTTCTCTTCTGCTGGACTGTCGTATTTTTATGCCTATTCAAAGGCGTGAAGACGTCAGGAAAGGTAAGTAGTCGGTGCCTTGCTGGACATTTTGGCGCAAGTTTTGAGTTTCTACTAAAAGGAAACAGAGCTTCCTAATCTCGAGGCAATGCCACGTTAATCTTTTAGTATGAAATCGATTGCTTATATATGTACTGCAGCTGCGTCTAATGTTTTTCAACCCTGATTTTGACGGGAGTTCATTTCATTCAGGTGGTGTGGGTTACAGCCACTATGCCTTACATTGTTCTTTTCATTCTGTTAATTCGTGGAGTCACGCTGGAAGGAGCGGGGATTGGAATTGAGTTTTACCTCAAACCAAAATGGGACAAGCTGTTGGATGTTAAGGTAGCTTTATGCATGTTTGACAGCCTTTTACCCAAATATCAAGCGCTGACGTGTATACCGCTATTGATAAGTTCTGAAGTTAATAACAGTCTTCTAACTCTAGTGTCCTACCGTAAAAAAGTAGTTCAAACTCTTTATCCCTCTCAAGGGTATGATCAATCAGGTTTTTCTCTTATTTAGGTCTGGGTGGCCGCAGCTTCACAGATATTCTACTCTCTTGGAGTGGGGTGGGGAACAGTCTTAGTCTACGGAAGCTACAATAAGTTTACTAATAACTGCGTCTTGTAAGTGCTGAGAAACTGATCATTTATTTACATTGAATGGCGCTCTCAGTTAAAACTGCCGCTGAAGAGGTAGATTTAAAATGATAAATAATTGTCATTTTCTAGTGATGCCATTGTGGTTAGTTGTATCAACTGCTTCAGCAGTTTCTTCGCTGGATTTGTTGTGTTCAGTGTCCTTGGTTTTATATCAGTTCAACTCAATGAAAAAATAGATAAAGTCGCGACATCTGGTAAACCCAAGTTCCAGTTTATTGACACTCACCCGAATAATTAACACTGAAGAAATGTTTTACTATATGAAACCATTCTTTTTTAATAGGTCCTGGTTTAGCATTTAATGTTTATCCAGAAGCTATATCGCAACTTCCAGTCTCGCCATTGTGGGCTGTTCTCTTCTTCTTAATGTTGTTTACACTTGGTCTGGACAGTCAGGTACGGACGGGTTTTGATGATGGAGGAAGATAGAGTTAGTTTAGTTTAGATTTCTTCCTGTATTAAGAAATGACTGCCGGATCAAGAGGCAGTATACTTTAACTGGATCAAGAAGAGTTGATCTTCACTGCATGGACATTGTAAAAGTTTTGCTTGCATGTTTTTTATAGTTTGGTATTTTGGAATGTATTATTGCTGGTATTGCTGACGAATGGGGTGGAAAATTCAGGAAATACAAATCGTGGTTAACAGCATTCCTATGCTATTTCTTATTCTTCATTGGTCTGCCTATGTGCGCTGGGGTTAGCTGCTCAATATAACGCTGATATTGTGCTCTCAGACAAACAAACGTGGGTGTAAGACTGTTTTATTGTTGTATTTTTAGGGTGGAATTTATATTCTGAATTTACTGGATTACCAAGCTGGAGGAATATCGTTAATCGTCTTAGCTTTGACTGAAATTTTGGTTGTTGCTTGGGGCTACGGTAAAATATGCAATATACTTTTTTTATCTATTTTTTAATCCCCAGAGTAATGAAGATAAAATTCCTCTTTTTAGGAGCTGACCGCTTGGCAGGAAATATTCAAACAATGGTTGGTAAACGACCTCCGCTATATTTCATAATATGCTGGAAATTTATCACTCCTCTTCTGTTGTTGGTGAGTAAATTTTAGATATGAATAATATTTGTCTGAAAGAACAGTTGTTGCTGCAGGATTGGTCGTACGAAAGCTCACGACGGCGCTATCCACTGTATTTTTCAATTGCTCTAAAATTGCCCATTGTTCGTAAGACGTACCCAGGTTGATCAAACCTTGGTTGTCTTAAATTGTTGTTTCTCTAAAGTAATATTTAGCGTCAAGCCGCCAGCTTTAGTACTTTTTAAGTATTTTTGTAACGGCGCTGGACTTGGTCTGTCTCTGTCTCTGTACGTTGTTATCTTTGACTTCGAATCGATTTATTCACAGTTCATTCTGATTGCAACAATTGTCCAATGGGAGGGAATCTCGTTAGATGGATACAAGTATCCTCCTTGGGCTGAATTTATCGGGTGGCTGGTCGCATTGGCATCAATGCTCATTGTTCCTGCTTTTGCCATCTACGAAGTTTATCGTGCAAATGGTTTGACAATTCTTGAGGTAATTTATACTGGATAGCTCTATCATGCTCTTCCTAGAGGTCTAGTAAGGATCATCTCTTATTGATCCAGTGTTACTACAGGAGGAAACCTAAACCAACAGCTCTATTTTTTTTTTGCAGAAAATTTCCAATTCGCTCAAGCCAAACGACGATTTGATTCTTGAAAAAGAACGTCGACAACTATCCGAAACGAAATCTGTTCCTGCCTAAGACGCAGGTCATGCAAAGCGTCTCATTTCTCATGCACTGAACTTATAAAGACAATAGATAATAAGAGATTTCAGCTTATCATTTATTGTTTTAGTCCATGCGTTCGTCGCATGAGAAGTGCGACGCTCGTTCCTTGGCTAAATAGACTTCACGAAAGATGAGATACTGTCTACATCAGATTTCCTGAAGCAGCAAGCCATGAATAATATGCACGTAACATGCACCATGTAACCATATAGGTTATTCTATTTTCGTGTAATTTACTCCCAACTCTCAGCACAGAAGAGCCACATCAGCTGAGCTAAAGACTAGTGTTCCTGTTAGCTCAGCCGATGGTTCAACCACTTTGTCTACTTTATTTGTCTTTTGTGTACAGAGTACGACATATTTTTCCTGATCAGGTGCTTTTACGCACGTACGCTTCTCCAGGTTCAAAACCTGTTGTGACAAGATCAAGTATTTGACGTACACACGAAAAATTAAGTGTCTCTCTGGTCAATCAACAGCTAGGAGACTATAATTTCTCCACAATTCACAACAATTATTGTAAATATATTCTGTATATTTTCTACTTTCTCCTTAAATGTTCTCCTTCAAAAGGCGGATTAAACTTTTATTCTCGTGCGTTTGTTTTTTTTCTTTTTCAATTCATACAGTTTGTATAATATTAATGGTTTTGATCATTGCTTAACGCTTTTCCTGGGAACCAACTGCATGTAAATATGTAATTGTTTCAGGCTAGCTTACACTAGTGTACCATACAATTGGGTGACAAACATGGTAAACAAACGTCATCATTTGAAGAATACTATAAATCCTTGCAAAAAAAACTCGTTTAGTTACGTTACATGCGACACAATTCACTTCGTTTCAAATCGTTTTCATTTACAGGTATAGAGGTCAAATTTGCCTTGAGCAAGGCTGCAAATGAGAAAGCTGGACGTCTTCAACCCGCACAATTACAACACCTGCAGTGACGTCCCCTAAACGGATCGTTCAGTACAAATTTCGCTGTTTGGGTGCCTGGCAGATACTTTAGTCACCTGTGGGAAGAGCACACATCATGAGGTACGTGAAAACCGCTCGTTCAAATGTGTTATAAATGTTCTGTTGCACCAGAATACCTGAGTCGTACTTTTTGCGTGGATTAAGTCCTTTAAGAGCCGAGCAAGACCGCTTTAATGCGAGACCGAACTTATTCGTCACGGAAATCTAAATTACGTTTGCCGTTAGGGGGGTAGCAGCAATATAGTATTAATAAGGCTTATTGCTTTGCACATTTGATCTATTTATTAAAGTCACTGACGTTAAAAACTTCATAATTTCCTTAATAGTTACACAATTTAACCGCTCCGATGGTAATCCAGCTAAGATTAATTAATGGGGTCACCATGCAAGACGGACACCAAATGATGTTTGTCTGGCCACTGTGGTTTGCTGCAAGCCTGCAAATCTGTACTTTTTGTGTAACCTCTTGCCATTCTGTCTGAGTTTTGCACAGGATTACCTTAACAGCCTTGAGTCTTCGTCGATCTTCGTCGTCAGGCTCCAAATTCCGTATATTTATGGTTTTAAACGATCAAAATTGAGAGCAAAAGCTCCGTTTATACGATACCAGATTGCTATCGGAACAGGTCAATTTTTTTAGTTTCAATAAGACGTGTTGTTTTTGAATGCTCAGGGCCTAAATGAATATACCAATTCTATCGAAATAATAAACATTTGCAACTAACCGTTGCCTCGATAACAAACACCAGACAAAAATGTCGTGACGAGCGAATTTGGTAAACGCGTTAACCGGTAAACGAAGTTAAAGTAGTCAAATGTGCACAGTGTTGAAGGGTTTTTTATGTCTATGGTTTCCACTCGGCCGGCGGGCGACTTTGAATTAAACTTCAGAAATACGAGGGACACAAACATTGATAAGTAAGGTGACATGAGGAAGAAAGTAATGTGAGACTGACAGCGAATTATTGGAATGCATTATCGGAATGCTTTGGTATGACATTATAGACGCACATGCGTAAACAATCTAGCTCTAGGCTCTAGTTATGTCACATAGTATCACACTTCAGTTATTGTACAACAGCCGTAGCCTAATTGCTGCACAAGTTTACTAATGATTGTGAAAGATTGACTCAATCCGTCTGTAAAACGATAAAAAACAGCATCGCCATCGCATTGCGAAACATGCAATTTTGAAACTAAAGCGCATTAAATTTTAAAAAAATCAATTACTACGACAAGGACCCAAACTAAAAGACATGTTCCTCCTGGTGTTAATCGCCAAAATTTTTGAACTTAAATTTTTGATATCCGTAATATCCGTCGATTAAATGTGAAAAATAAACAATATATCCGGCCTGCTGTAAATCTTTCAGCCCTCAGCAACAACGTCAACGAAGTTCACTGAGACGAACCTTATCTAGGAAATCCAGCTGTATGAATACAAAGTGCGATTAAGTTTTCCCTTCGTTAATTGGAGCGATAAGCTTGCGTCGCATAGTCGTACTGTTTGCTGTGAAGCTGCTGTTTTACCTGGGATTCTTACACTTACAGGCTCTCATTTTGCATTCTTCGTGACAACAGACGAATGCGTGTTCAAATCTATTTAAGGTCATATCGTGTGAATTTACATATCGAGGGCAATTTTGAAGATAATTGACAAAATCCTTATTCCGGAAATTATTCAGAACAAAGCGACTTCCGAAAAGTCAGGGAATGGTCATGCCTTTTGGGTTACATGCAAACTGATTCATGTATATAGGACTGGACATCTTCAATCATATCATGTTCAAATATATGTTTGCAAAATGGTTCGAATATATGTTGGGAAGTCAAGCTTGAAAAACAATGGGTTACCATGACTAAAATCCTTTCTTTAAAACTCTTTGACTTTGTCCAGATCAATGATTTTCATTCAATCTTAATCGCTTGCTTTCAAGTAGCGCACTGTTTTGTTAAGAGCAATTTGAATAATTTATGGTTTAAGACATTCATATTGAACAGGGTAGAGCAAAGATACGGGAATTAAGAGTTTTTTACAGCTAACCCAAACAAAAAGAAGTACAGTATAAATTAAGTAAATGAGTTTACGCATTCTGATAAAAGACGATACCGTGCAGCGATTACTACCCCCGCACTAGAAACGCCAAGGTGAAACTCGAGAATAACCAGCAAGAAGTAAGTTAACTCGAAATATTTTCTCTCAAAAATGCATCTCGATTCAAAAGATAAAAAGGTTGTGTTTGTAAGAAGGAAATATGAAAGGTTGTGTTTGTAAGAAGCGTCTAGTTAATCAGAGACTCTGACAAACTACTCAGAGACAGAGTTCAGACCCAATTCAATAGAACTGATAAGAATCCAGTGAGTCACAGGCTAGATTACATTGTATACAAATACAAATTTCTTTGACTTTGTCTTTGAATGTTTTCGTGTGATGAATGCATCAATTTACCATTGTAATGGCGAAGTTATATGTGGTACATGTTAGGGCAATTGCCTTTAGACAGTGGAGGCATTGCTTAGAGCCTTAGAAACATGTCAAACTACGGTAAGAGTAAAAATTCCTTAAAATAAACATGTAAATTATGTTAACGTGCATGCATGAGTTAAGTCTTAAGTGTGTTTTGTGTAGCCAGCTTGTTATAATTGTGACTTGATGCGCCTTCCTGACCTTCTGTTGTGCATCGATCCTGGTAAACAAGTTTACTTAAGAAACAAATGAGTTGAATTTTTGTTAGCGATTTAGCATATTGTTCGGTTGAAATTATCCTGTGCCTAGCTATCAGCCTATCACTGCTATTTTGTAAACGATAAACGTCGTGCTGTTTCAACAATCTTTGCCTTTGGACTTGGTGAGATACTAAAAGATTTACAATCTGTTTTCGGACATCGAGTTTGCGGAAGGTACAGTTTTTACTCGCTTCATTTGTTGACTTCAACGTTAATCATCATATATCAACGTACTTTCTTTCATAATAAATAAAGGCTTGGTCATTGGCATAGACAAAAGTTACTGCTATAATTTCTACCTGCAGTATACTTGTTAATTATATCATCTATATCATTCGAATTTATAGCTGCCACATCTTTGATATTTAGACGAGGCAAGTTTTGAAAGATTCATAAACATCTGCCTTGTTTTACGATACACAAGAATCGAGATGTTTAGCTTGCATGTAATTGTATTCTAATAGCATTTTGCACTCCGTTGGTTTTTTAAGTTCCGGCGTATTGCAATTTGCAAAACAATAAAAACTTGTTGTTTGGTTGCGAGTTGCACCATCATCAGTTTAGGCTTAGCTGATATGACTGTTAGCAGTCCAACTGTACGATTCGTCTTAGAAACCATTTCAACTTCCTAGAAGCCAGGATAAATTCTGCTTAGCCTTAGCAACAATATGAATTTCAAAAATCTTGAGTGTTGCTTTTTTGTATATAAGCCAACTGCTACGTCAAATAATAGCGAGTTTACGATTCACGACGTGGCAAGCTCACCAACGAGATTATTAATTGCTGCAGTGGAGCAGGTTTATAAATCCAGGGGTACGCCGGCCATAATGCTTGCAAGAGTTCGATGTCGAATTCACAGGCTACACATTATTTCATCCCTCCTTCCATAAGAGCATATTCTCAATCGAGAAAGAAATAGAAATTTAAATCCTTTTTAAACGTCTTTTATACACCATTTAGTTCGCTTGAGACGGCAACGGAGAACCCCGCGTTCAACATGGACGAACTGATTCCGAGAGACTCTGAACATGTTGAATTAGAGAATCGAATGAAAACACCAGAGGACGACGCGTTTGCTACGGATCCAAATTTAAACGGCGACGTGAGATTAGCCCAAGGGGGGGAAGAAGAACGAGAACAATGGTCGAGTAAATTTGATTTTATGCTCTCTATTATTGGTTATTGCGTAGGAATTGGCAACGTCTGGCGGTTTCCATATTTATGTTTTCAAAATGGTGGAGGTAAGCTGTAATATGAAAGGAGGCCGATATTTTCCGAATAAACAATTTTATTGTAGTATTAAGGAGCAACGTCGGCGAGAGCTGACCACGGACCCAAGGAAAATTTCAGACCTACCCCGGTACTTAGATCATATTAAACTGCCTAGTTCAGTAGTTGTTTCCGATAACATTCGCCCTTTTCATAAACTTTATAATGCAGCATGATTGTCCATATGAAATAATATGTTTTTCACAGCGACGTTTCTCATTCCTTATTTCCTGATGTTGGCTTTCTGTGGTATTCCGATGATGATGTCTGAGTTTAGTTTGGGACAATATTTGAGTCTTGCTCCACCAACCCTTTTTGCAACTATATGTCGTATGGGAAGAGGTAAGAAATGAAATGAAAAATGAAATCCTGTTCGTACACATATACTTAATTCAAGAACAGCGGAAGATCATCAAGGAAGGTGGGGGGTTTGTTTTTACGGTCTGCTAACATGAATATATGAATAGTAGCCCCCTCCCCCAACTTGACTATCTTCCGCAGTCGTTAAATGAAGTCGTACTAAAAATCGCCTTTGTGAATCGGCCCTTCTAGGCTGCATGGTTGTCATTCTAATGAGATGAGCGGAATCACTACCAGTATCATAACCATTATTCAATCAAAGCTTTCTACATTTTCGATCCCAAAGGGTTAGAGTGTTGACAAGCAACATTTACCACTCATTATACCTGTCCTTCTTTATAATCCCTTATACTCACTACAATCCCCAACAAACCCAAACACCGTTGGTATACAGTATACTAACGATGAGTCATCCGTATGATTATTGACGTCATGTTTCTTTCATAGGTATTGGTTTCGCAATGATGCTGATTTCATATCTGGTGTCAATTTATTACAATGTTATTATATGTTGGTCCATCATCTATCTTGTTAGTTCATTTACTAGTGAGGTTCCTTGGAAAAATTGCGACCCTGAATGGGCTTCTGATAAGTGTAGGTTAGTGCTGATGATTGCTGTAAATATTGATGACGATGGTAATGATGAGGGGAAACGGTGGATGATGAGGGGGAACGGTGGATGATGAAGGGGACGACAAAAAGTGGTCGGTGGACAATGATAGTGTTGTTCGTTTGAAATATTTAAAACACTCCATATTATCACCCTAGTACTGTTGACGAGAGAAGAACATTCAATGACCTAAAGGGAAACTGTACCAATGGAACTCGTTGGATAAACTCAACTTATCAAGTCAACTGTAGTACTGATGCTTCAAAATTAGTTGCTTCATCCCTGGAGTATTACAAGTAAGTTAATCTTTGAGCTGTATCTCCTTCCTCACTTTCTTGTGAAAGTTTTGTTAAATTACAAATAAACTCTTGAATTATTTAGTAATCATGTTCTGGGGAAGACTGACAGCATTGACGAAATTGGTGATTTCAGATGGAAAATCTGTTTAGCGTTGTTTTTTGCTTGGACCTGCGTCTTTTTATGTCTGTTTAAAGGCGTCAAAACATCAGGAAAGGTAATCAAGATGCTTCTTCGTCATCATCCTGATCACTATCATCATCTTCACTATAATTCATTGAACAATGTATTTATTACATTTCAGGTGGTGTGGGTAACGGCCACCATGCCATATATTGTCCTCTTTATTTTATTTATACGTGGCGTCACGCTTGAGGGAGCGGGGATTGGAATTGAGTTTTACCTGAAACCAGAATGGGACAAGCTTTGGGATGCCAAGGTGAGAAACTTCCCGAATAACTCTAACTAACCCTAATTTAACCTAACTACCCCTAAGTAACCCTAAGTAAACCTAAGTAACCCTAAGTAACCCTAAGTACCCCTAAGTAACCCTTAGTAACCCTTAGTAACCCTAACTAACCCTGTTTGACGTCGAAGTCCTAATAATTTACTCAGCGTTTGTTGCAATCTTACTTCAGGTCTGGGTGGCCGCGGCTTCGCAGATATTCTACTCTCTTGGAGTGGGGTGGGGAACAGTCCTGGTCTACGGCAGCTACAATAAGTTTAACAATAACTGCGTCTTGTAAGTACAATGATTTAAGATAATGATTTCTGGACGCCAGTGATGAAAAATGATTCTTTTTCTCAGTGATGCAATCTTGGTTTCCTGCATCAACTGTGGCACAAGCTTCTTCGCAGGTTTCGTCGTCTTCAGTGTCCTTGGTTTCATATCCCATCAGTTAAACGAGGATATTTCTAATGTTGCCACCTCAGGTAAGATACTTCCTCATTATCCATAACCATCTATCGTCATCGTCATCTTTCTCCATCAATATCCATCGTTGTCACTACCTTCTGCTACCACTGTATCCATAAATATCCATGATCATGATCGTCTTTCTCCATAATTATCCATCACCATCTAATAGCTCGCTGTTTTTCTAAAAAATAGCTTTACTTTGATGTTTAAATATCAGGCTTAGTTAAGGTCTTATTCTTGTCTTCCCCCCACAAAAACAATAGTAATAATGTAATATTAGTATTATTAGCCCTGTTTCTTATTTACAACTCAAATAAAAGGAACATTAAGTCGACAATCTATTTCAATCATATTCTATTGTTATAGGTCCTGGTCTGGCATTCAATGTCTATCCCGAAGCCATTTCACGACTCCCAATATCGCCATTATGGGCTGTCCTATTCTTTCTCATGTTGTTTACCCTGGGCCTGGACAGTCAGGTTAGGTTCTTTAAAATAGCTCAATAGCAAAATATCGAAAATAATCGAGTTTCGTTAAGTAAACTGCAATTGTTGGCCTTGCAGCTTTCATGCTTATATTTCGAAAGAAATCTTTTTGATAATGTATTCCTAGTTCGGTACGTTGGAATGTATAATTACTGGGATCACAGATGAATACAGCAACAAGTTTTCGAAGCACAAGACAGCACTTATTGCTTTCACCTGTTACTCTCTCTTTATTCTTGGACTGCCGTTATGTACTGGCGTAAGTTTTCTTTCAAGATTGAAATAACAATTTATTAATAGTAATTCTCAGCCTACACAGGAAACTTGGTCAGAAAACCGTGACTAAAATAGCTAAGTCCATTCACAAGCGAACCAAGCATATCACAAATTCATAGTTGAGGTTGATACATGCTTGACCATAACGTTTCTCCACACAGGCCAGTTAAAATCAGAGTGCGTGCGATTATCTGCCTCGGCATATGCTACTTCATGCAGTGACTGTTTTCTGACCAAGTTCTGGCCTTGAAACTTTGTTAAACTTTGTTTAGGGCGGTGTATATATTCTTAATTTAATGGATTATCGTTGTGGTGGTATAGCAATGATTTTTGTCGCCTTTATTGAAGCAATCGTGGTTGCGTGGGGTTATGGTAAGACTAAAATATTCCTAAATCATTTCTATTTCTTCTAACCGCATGCGCGGCTACTTAGTTCAGTCTAATGTTGAGATCAACGTTTCTTCAGGAGCTGATCGTTTAGCAGGAAATGTTGAGACAATGATTGGTAAACGACCTCCGAGATATTTTGTCATTTGTTGGAAGTTCATCAGCCCCGGTCTGTTGTTTGTAAGTAGTAATTTACTTTTTATGTGAACCGATTAAGCCATCTAGTATATAAATCAATAAGAAACGATCTTTACTGGACCTCTGGGAAGAACAGTTTAGAACTGATAGAGCTATCCAGTATGAATAAAGTTAGTTTAGTTTAGGTTTCCTCCTGTAGTAACACTGGATCAATAAGAGATGATCCTTACTGGACCTCAAGGAAGAACAGTTTAGAACTGATAGAACTATCCAGTGTAAATAAGGTTAGTTTATAATTTTCTTGTATGATTGCATGGCGACTTTAGTAATTATAATAACTTGTAGGTACACCACGTAAGTATTAAATACTGCAAAGCTTTCGGTCCGTTAACCCGGACCTTCATCAGTGCAATTGCACTGATGAAGATACGATACGATTGATACTGATACGATTGCACTGATGAAGGTCCGGGTTAACGGACCGAAAGCTTTGCAGTATTTAATACTTACGTGGTGTACCTACAAGTTATTATAATTAAGGTTAGTTTAGTTTAGGTTTCCTCCTGTAGTAACACTGGATCAATAAGAGATGATCCTTACTGGACCTCTAGGAAGAACAGTTTAGAACTGATAGAGCTATCCAGTATAAATAAAGTTAGTTTAGTTTAGGTTTCCTCCTGTAGTAACACTGGATCAATAAGAGATGATCCTTACTGGACCTCTAGGAAGATACTGAGATCACAATAATCTTTTTTGGATATTCTAGATTATTCTTCTATCACAAATTATTCAATGGGAACGTGTAACACTGGATGGTTATGTTTACCCGGAATGGACTGAAGGATTGGGTGGATTGCTCGCCGCCTCATCATTTCTCGTACTTTCAGGATTTGCAATCTATGAAATATATCATGCGCAGGGGTCGACTCTAAGAGAGGTTTGCTACCATTAACATGCTGAAGCCAAGCTTCAAACTCTTATCTCCCTCGCGGATCAGTGAGATCAATCTGTTCTTGACTATCATTCTTTTCTATACAGAAAATTTGCAACACATGGAAGCCGGACAATGATCGAATATCGGCGATAGAAGAGCAACAAGCGAAGGAAATGAAGACGATTCATGCATAAGTTTGTAGACGTTTTTTACACAATTTTTTTTACTTTGACCACTTTAAATCTCACAAGAAAATTTGAAGTATAATTTCGTTAGACAACGCCATTTCGTAAACAATTATGGGCGGCAAATCTCGCTGTTTTTTATCTTTTCATTACTAAAAACTTTTAAAGTTTTTTTACTAGTGCATTACTGCTTTTTAAATGTGTTTTATTGGGATCTCACGCCACAGTACCGTACATACAGCCAAAGAAATAATCGGTGTTTTGTGGAGATTTTATTTGGAAGAGTTGAAGGTTTTTTCAAATGAATTATCTAGGAACCATTTCGAGTTTTGTACAGACGACGTATCAAATTTTAATACACCATTATGTCTCGTTTAATTCTATCAGGATTTATACGACCTTTCTAAATTCTATTTATTTTCATGTCCTATGACTATCTTTCAATGGCAAGAAAATGCATAAAATCAGCTTTGTTTTCTGTCGGTGTTCTGGTTGGTCGACCGAGATTTTTTCTTGAACCAACGTTGCACATGATCTCAAGTAAAGCTGGACCATCGTTTTCCCGTAAAGCCATTACACCCGCTGATATTTCCTCCGCAGTTTCAGCTCGAATTGCCTGAAATTATATGAATTATTTTAGTATCAACTAACCTAACTTTATACTGGATAACTCTATCAATTCCAAACTGTTCTTCCTAGAGGTCCAGCAAGGATCATCTCTTATTGATTCAGTGTTACTACAGGAGGAAACCTAAACTAAACTAAATTTATTTATGCTGGATAGCTCTATCAGTTCTGAACTGTTCTTCCTAGAGGTCCAGTAAGGATCATCTCTTATTGATTCAGTGTTACTACAGGAAGAAACCTAAACTAAACTAACTTTATTTATGCTGGATAGCTCCATCAGTTCGAGACTGTTCTTCCAAGAAATTGAACTATGGACAAAGATGCAGTCCTGCCTCGTCAGCTGGCCGCTATTACTCCTATATATCAACCCCTATCCCTATTACCATTTTATATCCACAACTTTTTGCCAGATCAGGAATGCTGAACTTCTCCAAATCATGTGCACCAGTTGGCTGAGCTCCAACGGAATCATGAGCTCCGTTATTAATCACGACGTGTTTGTAATTTGGCAGATTCTGTTGCCCGATTGTTGCAATATTTCCCATGTGCATCAGCATAGCTCCATCACCATCAAGGCAGAACACCTAAAATGCAAGATTGGACTTGTCAAGGTAAGTTACACTGGGCTGGGACATGCTGGGAATTGCGTCAACCACATTATTCGTGATATACAAAAGAGCCACTCAGTCTTACAATGTTTTCTGAGTTTTATGCCATGGACTGGCCTGAGTAATGGTGGACTAGTTTAGTGTGTTGATTGGTTTAGTGTGTTATTTTAACAATGTCATATCATGGTGTAATGGTGGTCAAGGCCTAGGGTACCTGAGACCACAAGATATGTGTGGAGACACAGAGGTTCTGACTACAATGTTTTACTGTCGTGTCCACTTGCAGTTACCAAAAGAACATAAATCCTTTGGTACAAAAGGAAGCCTGGCTTGGGTAGGTTTGCTACAATGCATGTTCTGTGTCTTTTTGGTACCACTTAATGTAATAGTGGATTGTCAATTGTGTTTACACATGAGCTAAACGTTCATACAATACCTGTCTATTCCTCTTTCTTTTGGCAATGCCCAGCGCAATGGCTGAGGCATGACCCATGCTTCCTACGCACAGGAAATCTTTCTCGTGTCCCTGACATTTGGAAACTCTGTACTCGAAGAGCTCGCGAGACAACATGCCTGTGGTTGCCACAACAACATCTTTGTCATGCAGGTTATCCACAATGCTCTTCAGACATTCTTCTCGAGTTAGCGTGTATCTAAAATGTTAATTTCATAATATCTATAATAGGTCTATCAGTTCACCTAGACAGGTCCTGGGAGACATCTACAGTAGTGCTGCTATTGGGAGGAGGTATGAAAATATTTCATTATGAAATAATCTACTCAAGTTGGACAGCTTGTTGCCTTGTTCTTTCGCTACAACAATGAATCTCTAAATTACTATATCTGGGCATTCAAAGAAGACAAAGGAATGTAGTCATTAACCTGTCATCTGGAGGTGTTAATTTGTATGGTAGGAAGGTCTGTCTTTTAACCAGCAAGCAGTATGGCCCTTTTGATGTCTGCATGTACTTTTTGGCTGTGTAGATGGCCTGAAGAAAAGAGAATTTATCACTATTAACAATCAGTGCCATGCTGCATCATCATATCCACAGGTGTATCTCAATCACCTGTTCTGCTCCTTCTTGGTAATCTGGTAAAACTTGGAAGGGAATTCCACAAGAAGCTAAAAGTAAACAAGTAATACACATCATGAATTCTTGGTGAAGCCAAAGAACACTATCTACGGGTACCAAATTTAAAAATAATACTGGACAATTAATTGTAAATTTTAGGATGGTAACTTCTGATATAAAAAGAAAAAAGTGAAGCTTGCTATTGTCTCACCTAGCAACCCTGGTGTGGCATTGCCTTGGTGTATATGCTGAGGTTCATCACGTTTGCCAGGCTCGCCACGCCAGCCAACCAGTAGCAACATGGGTATACTATAGACTGCAGGGACTGCCATGGACATCAATGGATTGACAATGTTGCCAAGACCTGAATTCTAGCCAACAAAACGCATATGTAGTGCAGAATGGTTAGCTCCATTGAAAATATAATAAGATTTATAATGATCAAGCAATAACGAACTTATTTCATATGGTGCAAGGCTACATTATTACCTGCAAATAAACAAGGGCTGGTTTGTGTGTTGCCATGTGGTATCCAGCAGCCAATGCAACCGCGCTTCCCTCGTTACTTGTAATTACATGATCCTCAGGTTTCGCAATGGCTGTCACATAGGCACAGAAGTCTTTCAACAATGAATCAGGGACTCCACAATAGAAGTCAACCCCATGGACTCGAAGAATATCATAGAAATCTTTCGGGTCAAGGAAATCTCGAACCAGTTCAGTGAACTGGCCCACCTCTTCATTACGTTTCTGCTGTTCTTCAACCTAAGTTAGCAGAAATTTTTTTATAATAATACGTTAGGCTGGAGACCTACTAGAAACCTATACAATGAATAGTTATATTGAGAGTTTTCTTGCTGCCAAGGAAATATAATTTCTTTGAAACAAATAATTTGCTTCAGTATTACATGACCATAGCAACACCATTCCATATACAAATATACGGATGCATCTTAACGTAATATTTATTTTAACATTGAAATATATTTTCTAATAACATAGGGGGAAATTCTTGCTAGTTTTTGCTTTTGAATTAGCATTGGACTTGTCTGAGGAAAGATGTTGTGCCCGTTGCTGTGGGTTTTTTTAAAGAAAATAATTTAAATATAGACTTTGGAATTTGTACAATCAACGTGGCAAGCATCAACGAGGTAGGGTGCATAAATAATTTAGCAAAAATATAAAAAGATGAATATATTGCTCAGAGAATGCATACTCAACGCTATGTATTGCAATATACAAAGTGGATTTAATTCAATTATATACCTTACGTATTATAAAATGTATGTTGTAATATTATTTCGTAACAACGACCAAAACATTTAATATCTGTAAGTGTATGTTTTGATTTTAAAGTTGGTAGTTTTTCTGTTTGGGTGAACTTACTTGTTTCTCCGGGTCGATTTCCTAAACAAAAAACAACAAAACGTAATGATCGTTTATAACAGATCGTTAAATTTAATGCATTTTATGTTAAAATCAAATGTTAAATGTTGGCGACTCGGCATACTTGGTTATCTATCGCCGTCGAGGAAACACTGCGAGTTCTTCCAGAATTTCTTCCCTAAATAAATTGAGACAAAGCAAAAACATAAAGCGCGAATTTCACTTCAATGTCTGAACACATTCTGATTTTTTTGCTCACCAAAATACCCGAAATTCTTCGTAATGTCTGCAGAAAACTTCGGTTGATGCTCACGCTTGCCATAGTTATCATAGAAGAGGTCGATTTCTATATTTTTTTGGGGGGTATTGAATATCAACGAATATTGCCCTCGGGAGAAATTGTTACTATATATACCCCGCGCGGATGACTCTCGGGGGACTAAGGACAATCAACATAAACTTATAAACCTCAGGTATTAGTGAATTACTACCGAATTTCGAAACGTTTATTATTAATAAAGAAGATTTTGCCACAAAAAATGCTGTTATTGTAAGGGGATTTAAATCTCAATATTCTTTTTACGACCTAAATCAACGTTTTATAAGATCAATCATTTCTGGTGGCAGAATTGATGCTTCATTGGTTTTTATGTAAATAATTTTACTTTAAATTTCCGGGGAAAAATTCCAGTCTTGATTGGCTGATTAATTTGAGCTGACGAGGACTGGGGTCTAGACACAGACAGATTGTGCTCAGCAACTTTTTGGAAAGTGACAATTCAATGGATAACAAAGGCATTTTTGGCAGTAACAATCGTGATAACAGGCCAAGTTCTGAAATCACCAAAAGAGGAAATATTGGACATTCATTGCAAACCTCAGTTCAACCTGCAGAAGAAACTGGCGTGAGAATGAAACTCAGCAAGCGACCACCTCCGCCTTCTCGGGATCTTTACAAGTCACTAATCAGCCAATCAGAGCATCCTATAAAACCTGTCCAGCATTCAACAGGAGCGTATAGTTATTCTGATGACCAAACACATATGCAATATGAAGCAAAACAAAATCGACCATTGACAAGTATTCGGAGTTCTTCTGATCGTCAGAACCCTGAAACAATGGTGCAACGTTCTGTGAATGCTATGAGAAGCATGTCTCATACAAGACCAAGCTCTGAAACAACTATCAAAGATATGGATAGTGTTGTTGATGATAAAAACTATCAGAATGCCATGGTGCATATCTCCAGCACATCTGGTAGAGAACCACATCCATCATACATCACATCAAGAGGAAGACCTATGACAACAACACCATCCCTTTTACCTCCAACATCATCAGTGCAGGCACCACATGTTAGCCCATCCTCCAGTCTCCAACAAGCATTACCCTCAAGTAGCCACAAGAGACCCCCACCTCCTTCGGCAGCATTTATGCACCAGGGGCCTTTGCCGTCAAGTTCTCAAAAGCGTGTACAGTATTCAAGTATACCATTCTCTCAACATCAAAAGAAGCGTGCCTCACATGATAACCAACGCACGCCCCCCTCATCATCTCATAACAACATGACCACACCTATGAAACCATTGCCACCATCCCAATTACCCAGCCACCAGCCACCTCAATCTGCACCAGCAGTACCATTCAGCCCGTCCTCAGATCAATCAATTGAATCCAAAATCATCAACTTTCTGCACCATCAGCAAGGACCCTCAAACACAAACAGCATCAGACTATCCCTTGGTGCCTCAACAAAGAAAGAAATCAACCCAGTTTTATATGCAATGCAGCGAAAAGGTGTAATTGCAAAAGTTCAAGAGTCACCACCAACTTGGAAACTCTGTCAAGGAGAAGTTACATTTCCTGCAGGTATTCAAGATCAGCAAGCACAAAGATTTGAGCGTGGTCAACAAGCCTCAAATGTATCGCCTACGTCATCTCAATTCATGACAACTGAAGGTAAACCAGTAAAACCACCCCCCCAAGCGACCGGTTCTACGAAAGATTTTTTCGAAGCCTGCTTCACCTCCATCAACAAGAACCCGGTGAGTGCCCTCAACAATTACGCACAAAAGAATAGGAGCGAAGCCACATTCGAAATCATTTCCCAGAAAACGTTTGGCAAGCCTTCGTTTACCGTGGCAGCGAAGCTTGGGAAACGACTTTTCACAGCCGTTACAGCGGGAAACATGAAGGAAGCGAAACGCCAAGCAGCTGATGTCGCTCTTCGGGAAATAGGTCAAGGCCAAGGGTCGAGTTTTGGCAGTCCAGACACGGCAGACGGCAAGCTAGACCTCAGTAATCTTCCCACAATTCCTCGCAACAACACGTGGACACATTTTGACCACATGGCAGCGCTCAGTCATCAGCTGTTTGCTCGGATTGCTCCGACCGTTTCGGCATCTTTCGCCGGACGGAAGGTCATTGCTTGTATGATAATGAAAACTAGCGACCAGGACCCTGGCCAGGTTGTAAGCCTCGGGGCGGGAAACCGATGTATAACCGGTCAGCGGATCAGTCTGGAAGGAAAGAAGGTGAATGATTCACACGCGGAAATCGTCGCTAGAAGAGGTCTGATGCGAGTGTTTTATAAAGAGCTTAAGAAGTGTTTTAATGGTGAGGATTCCATATTCATTAGGCAAAGAAATGTGCCCAAAATTTCTCTAAAAGACGGTATAACTTTTCACTTGTACATCAGCACAGCCCCTTGTGGCGACGGGGCATTGTTCACCGTTAGAGAGGGAGGCAGTGTGCCGCCCACGGGGGTAGCCATGACCCGGGAGCACGCTCCAACCTTTACCTCGAAGCAGCAAGGAATTCTTCGCACGAAAATTGAAGATGGCGAAGGGACGTTGCCAATTGATTTTGATGCCCCGCCGCAGACCTGGGACGGACTCTTACAAGGTGAACGACTTCGTACGATGTCCTGCAGTGATAAAATCTGTCGTTGGAACGTCTTGGGCCTACAAGGATCCCTCTTAAGTCATTTCATTCAACCCGTCTACCTGGAGAGCCTAACCTTGGGGTACCTGTACGATCACGGCCACCTATCACGTGCGGTTTGTTGCCGTCTGCAACATAAAAGTGATCTCAATGACCGCCTCACACGTGGATACCATGTGAATCACCCATGCATAGGGCGTGTCACCGCATACGACCCACCACGGGAGACGGAAAAGACGAATAATATCAGTATCAACTGGGCACTTGGAGATACCAGCGCTGAGGTCACGGACGGTCGTGATGGGGCCTGCCTTACCCGAACCGAAAACGCTCCGACACCATCCCGACTTTGCAAAGCGGTCTTATACGGAAATTTCCGAGCGCTGTGTGGGAGAGTTCCAGAATACCAACATCTTTTGAAAGTAGAGAGTTACAAAGAGGCGAAGAGTTTAGCGGAAGATTTTTCACATGCAAAGAAAGAGATGAAATCGCAGTTTACAACATCTAAATACAGTCAGTGGGTCTCAAAACCCATGGAACAGGATTTGTTCAGTGAATCTCTGCCCGCTTTAGATGTGTAAAGTTTTAAGGATGGCGAGTAGACCACTTAGGAGGCTAGGACACCAACGTTTTTTTAGAGATTTTCCAAATCCTTGTTTTTACTTGTTTAAATTGTTGTGACCATGTCAAAGTGGTTGATTTAATGGAATATTAGTACCTCGAAGCAGTCAGGCAAAACTAACTTAGAGAGGAGAAAAAATACATATATCTCCGTAGAAAATGTAGGTAAAGTTGTATCCGAACTATTTCACATCATTTAAAATGACGTGTCAAATGGAAACAACCTCGTACCTCGGGTTTTCGTCACTGGTCATTGGCGAACTGTTTTAGTTAGAAATCTTTCATAACCGTTGTTTTAACTTTTAAGAAATTAAATACACTAAATACCCTGGAAAAATGTAGTTTATAATACACCTCGGGGTATCAAATATAACATATTTTAGCGATAGAGTGGGTGGTAGATATTATATCTATGGATAGACATGTTTTGGCTGGACTTTTTCATGTTTTGTCTTTTATCCCGTATTTTTTGGCGACAAATCTTCAACGGTAATCATCGTTCTTTAAATTTGTGCACCCGCTGACATCAATGAACCACAGACGCGTTATTGACCATATACGGTAAAACACGGTGTGGGTTTTAAACTCATCAGCCAATCAGAATGCGCTGTGCTAAGATTTGAAACTCAGATTGAAATTTGAAATCTCACACACGCGAGTCGGCGTTCGAATGATCACAAGCCTAATAAAATAGTCTGTTGTTTCATCTCGTTAAAAACGTACCTTTTGGATTTTGCCTTGTTTTCTTTTGGTGTTCAAAAGCTTTAGTAATCCGCCTTCTTCGAAAGTACATAACGATTTGATTTCGTTTCAAAAACTGTTTAAAACATGTTAAAGAAAGGCCCCACTTCGGTAATGGCGAGGCATGTCAAACAAGAGGATTATGCAGCGCGCAGTTCGGCCCCAAAAGAAATTGGTTTGGAAGTCACAGATCCAAAGACGAGAAAGCGATACGTTCGAGGGAAATTCCTTGGCAAGGTAAGCAAGAATATTCTGTAAATATCGTCGATATACATGAGACGAATTTCAACTGAAATTCACGTAACGACGTTGCTAGAAAATTTTTTATATGTTTTCTGCTTGAAAATTTGAACCATTTCCATTGCCTGATTTAGGGAGGTTTTGCTAGGTGCTATGAGCTGCAAGACAAGGAAACGAACCATATTTATGCTGGTAAAATTGTACCAAAATCCATGCTTACAAAACCACATCAAAAAGAAAAGGTAAAGTGGACATGACCACAAAAACTGTATCCTAATTTGCTGGATATTCCTGACTTCTTATGCCATAGATCGTATAGATCCAGCCTTAAACTTCTTTAGGCAAGCCCTAGGTTAACGATTTATCGTTTTCTGTTCATAATAGATGGCAATGGAAATAGACATACATCGTAAATTGCACCACAAGCATGTCGTTGGCTTCCATTGCTTCTTTGAAGATGACGATTTCATTTACATTTTATTAGAGATTTGTCGCAAACGGGTAAGGTCAGAAATGCAGTGTTAATCGTTGCTAATATTTATAGTAAAAATTTGCTTGTGTTTTCAACGAGGTGTTGAAGTTAAGACCAATCATGAACGGTTATATTTTGAAATTTGAAAATTGGATTTTTAAATAATTTAATTTTGCCCACCCATTGTTAAATTGTCTCTGTAGGTTTTTCTGCATTTTGTTACCAACAAGCTGCTTTTAACTGCTGTTTTATCTTTCCACATTAAACAGTCCCTAATGGAACTACACAAGAGACGAAAAGCACTCACAGAACCTGAGGTGCGATATTATATGAAACAGATGCTAATTGGTTGCATTTACCTTCATGATGCAAAAATCATTCATCGAGATTTAAAACTTGGTAACTTGTTTTTGGATGATAATATGAGTATCAAGATTGGTGATTTTGGTTTGGCCACGACTGTACAGAGTGACAAAGATAGAAAACGGTAAGTTGTTAGAGTTTCTAGGAATCTGGTACGATTAGAAAGGTTTTTCACCCCTGTACAAGTGAAATAGTAGCAAAGTACTCTATATAGGAGTAAATCTTTCTTTCATATTTTTAAATTTCTTGGCGTCTCGTATTTCTAGAACATTGTGTGGCACGCCAAACTATATCGCCCCAGAAGTGCTGAGCAAAAAGGGACACAGTTTTGAAGTTGATGTTTGGTCTCTAGGTTGTATTATGTAAGTATACTTTGCATAAAGCAAGTTTATTTAGTTTTGCTTTTGCTAATGCAGTAGGTAACAAGTTCATCTATGCCATTAGGTATACCTTATTGGTTGGCAAGCCACCATTTGAGACATCTTCTCTGAAGGAAACCTACAGTCGAATAAAGAGAAACGAGTATTACATTCCATCGAAAGTCGGACCGGTTGCACAAAAATTGATTGTGAAGATGCTGCGTCCAGATCCGGTGACCCGGCCAACCATGCATGAAATATACCAAGATGAGTTCTTTAGGTCGGGATACCTACCCTCCACTCTACCTGCCAGTGCCCTCTCCATGGCTCCCAAGTTCAACCCCTCCACCTCCATCCTGGAACCGAAGGCTATTGGCAGCGGCATGATGCAAAAGGATGCTAAGGGATTGGATGTTAAAAACCCTGCTCAAAGAAGGCCTCTCTTCGAGATAAACCATTTGCAACAACCTGGGGTGGCAATGGTTAAACCAGAGGAGGCAAACAGACGAAGGTCGCATGCAATGCATGTTGTGAACGGGGAAAGTCGCTTAATGACTTGTGAAGAGGCAAGAAAACACGGTCTAGGGGAAGATGAAGGTACGGCGTTTGTCAAAAACAGAGCTGCTATCTTTCATTCAGTCAAATATTTACAAATAACAACGCTTTCAGAACAATTTGTTATACATATTCTGTGTGAATGAGTTGATTTTAAATGTGTTACCAATTCTCGTTTGTTCAGGTGATCAAATTCCGAGTGACTTTTATTTGTCTGATCTTCATAAGCAGTTGAATTCCTGCTTGTTAACGAAGCCCACCGAAATGACGTGTGCTAGGCCTGTCCTTAATCCAGGTACGTTCACGATGACCTCAGAGAGAGAGAGAGAGAGAGAGAGGGGGGGGGGTGTCAAAATCACTTAATCAGATATATTAATAATATTATACACGTTATTAGAGACTCACCAACACAATGTTGTCCAGTTTCACTGCCTATTTTATTTACTAATTGTAAAATCAAACATCGTACCTCGCCGTTGCAGATGACGCCGAAGATCCAGCTTGTAATCCCATATTCTGGATTAGTAAATGGGTCGATTACTCAGATAAATATGGCCTTGGTTATCAGCTGTGCGACGGAAGTGTTGGAGTGTTATTTAATGATAGCTCACGCCTGCTTTTGAAGGAAGATGGAGAGTAAGTTTTGAATATTTAAAATTAACCCACTCGGGTTGCTAGTTGTTCATTCTTAGCTTGCTAGTTTAAACACAGCTCACTGGATCTGCCAACTTTTCTTCCAACAGAAACCTCCAGTACATCACTCGCGAGGGTGTGGAAGAACCATGCGGTACCCTCACGAAGTATCTTGATCAGTACAAGAAGAAGGTTACCCTCCTCCAGTACTTCAGAAATTACATGAGCGAGCATCTTTTGAAAGCTGGTGGTCCTAGAGGAATGGCTGTAGAAGCGAACGAGGTTTCCAGATTGCCGTATCTTAGAACATGGTTTAGAACACGTCGCGCGATTGTTTTGCATTTAAGCAACGGTACTTTGCAGGTAAGATCCTTTGGTATCGTCATAACTCGTGACAAGCCAAACTCACAAAACAGCTTTGATATTTTACCAGATCAACTTCTTCCAAGACCACACGAAAGTTATCCTATCTCCCTGCATGGCTGCAATAACGTACATCAACGAGAAACGAAACGCAAGGACATTTAGCTTCAAGAGCATCGAGAAACATGGTTGTTGTCGAGAGGTAGCGAAAAGAATGAGTTACGCCCTAGATAGAGTGGAAGAGATGAGAAACTCGCTAAGAAATCACCAGCCAATACAACGGCAAGAAGTTGTAAAATCAAGAGCAGATCCATTGCAAGCAATTAGCAACAAAGCGTAGAGAAATGTTGCTAGGCCACCGTCGGTATCATCAACACATGCCTCGGTGAATTTTAGTTTAAGTTGGAGAGAGAGAGCCTGGAAATAGGGTTTTGTGGGACGCATGCGCCAACGTTTATAATCCGAACGAAATCTACGCCAAGCGTACCCAAATATCTTATTACAGCAATTATATTTTCTGTAAATAGAACGACGTACTTTATAAATTAGATGATTCCAAATACCTACTCATTATTATAGATATTCTGTGCACCGAATGAAATTACCTATGACTATGTTTCTAGTTTTCCCTTAACACTGTTCGTTTAAAATATGCACCAAATATCTCTGCTAGGGTAGATTTATATGAAAAACTTTTCTGTAAATAAAATAAACTATATTTGGTCAATGACGAGGGATGAATTTGGTCTTTGTTCTCAGTGGTTTTTGACCCGAATTCTATACTGTTTTCTTTGTTGAAATCAAAATTTTTCGTTTCTCGCAAAAAATTAGCTTCGTGTCTTTCAGATCTAATTCATTGTTACTGTTGAGAACTTGGGAGGGTACATGGTTCAGTCAACTTTCAAAACTACAACAAAAAGTGCTTTTTAAATGTTTGAGTTTCCCAGTCTTCTTTGCGCCCTTTGTGTTTTGGTTACGTCATGACGCGTTGTTCAACTCTAGCCCTACCTTTCTCGTCGCTATTCCTCCTACAGCTGTTTCGAAACAAGGCAAAATTAAGCATTTATTACCTACACAAATAACTTGTTTACAAGTGGACGCCTAGGTAAACAATTTGTCAGATAATGCTTAGATGAGCTTTAATTTTTCATCTTGGACTCTCTAGATATACAAGTGTTCATACATATTCTAGGAATTGAACGAAGACGGTTTAAAACCTCGATACATAACGTTCATATAATAATAGATGATAGTCTTTTTACACAAACATTTAAAGGTACAAGATATAAAATGGTGGTTCGATATTTGGGTCTGTACTGATGTAGGGTAGACTGGCTTGGGGGTAGTTTGTGTTTCTGGCGGATATGCGAACTCTCATTCCAGAGTTTGTACTGGGATTTGTAATCCAATTTTTGACATAGGACGTTACTGGTAACACCAGATCACTTGTGCTGCTACAAGCTATGTTCTGTGACACCACTTGATCACTTGTCTCGATGTCAACAAGAATCAACAGGCAATCACCTTGCTGTGCAGCGGGTCTTGCTTTGACCGATATGTGAAGGTTGACCAGAAACGTTTGGTTTAAATGAGGATTCGTGCCATTTAATGGGAGCAACACGTTGACAACGTTGGCAGATGAGACAGTGTTTACTACTATAATATAAAGAATTAATTCTTATACTGGATTGCCCAACCAATATTTTTACTAGATTGCCTAGACCAACTTTTTGCAAGTGGATATAGCTCTATCAGTTCTCAACTGTTCTTCCCAGAGGTCCAGTAAGGATCATCTCTTATTGATCCAGTTTTACTACAGGAGGAAACCTAAACTAAACTAACTTTATTTATACTGGATAGCTCTATCAATTCTAAACTGTTCTTCCTAGAGGTCCAGTAAGGATCATCTCTTATTGACCCAGTGTTGCTAAAGGAGGAAACCTAAACTAAACTAACTTTATTTATACTAGATAGTTCTATCAGTTCTAAACTGTTCTTCCTAAAGGTCCAGTAAGGATCGTCTCTTACCCTGTGTTACTGCAGGAGAAAACCTAAACTAAGCTAAAAATGATCCGGCATGTGAAGCTGCAGAAACTATAGGTTCGGCAGAGATGTTTTATGACTTACTTTGAACAGTTGCATGAACTCCGCGCACTTGCGTAGCGCCAAGTTGTGAAAGAGAGTTGTTTCCTGTGATAAAATTATTATAGAGGAGCAATAGATAGCTCGGCGCCTGTGCATTCCATCGAGGTTGTGAACGACCACTGCGGCTGATCGGAGCACACGTGAACGAGGAAAGAAAGGCCAAGAGAACTAGGATATGAAGATCTTTCATCGTGAAACAGCTGATCTTTGTGCATGGACTGTAACGATTCTGCAAGAGGAGGCAGACCGTCCTTCGTTGATATAATAAAAATCCTCAGAAACTTGTATAAATAAAATCTTCACCAAAAAGCGTTTGTGTTGCCTTCAAAGGCAAAATTGCAATTCAAACTCATGCAGAAAACTTGAACCAATTATTTAAAGGAATATTACTGAAATACAAAAATGTTCTAAATGATTGGTGCTATGACCATAGCCTTGTACACATTCTTTATAAATTTTAAAGCTTGTTACTACAGTAGTTTTATGTTTTACACTTACAAAGATCTGCAAAACATTTCAGCCTTACCGTTTACAGCGGCAGTTTTCTTTCTCTCCAATACGTCAAGGAGGTTTTCCTTTTAATCACTCTTCGTTGGGATTTCCTCGACGGCTGGTTGAGAATTTCGCGAGCTTGTGTCTTTTATACCTGGGCTGGAGACACACCCACGCCTGACTGAGACATTTGAATACTCGCCAAAGGCAATTTTGTTTAGTATCAGACGTCTCTGCAAAAGAGGTTAGTACATTTTTACACTGATAAGGACGTGCACCTGTGAACAGCGTCAATTATGGCCGCACGCGAATTTTTTGGCAAATACGAAAAGATGACGAGAACACATTTCAAGTACACAGCTTAGAATTTGATTTCTCGAACTTGTCAGTCCCCCCCCCTCTTTTTTGGAATAGTGTTTAGTCCTGAGATTAGTCTAAAGGTTCTCGTTACAGCATCGTTTTCAACCCCCCTGCCCAATCTTAGTAGTTTTCATCGTCTGTTTGAATCAGTGTTATCAGTCGTGCAAGGCATTGAAATAGACAAATCTAAAGCTTTCTCTAAGATGGTTCGTTGCCAAAAAGAGATAGCTCGTTTGCAGGGCTGGGACTAGATGTATAATAAAGAGTGGGATATATTTATATATTTGTTTTACGACGGGCTAATTTTCCCTAATACTAATCTTAGCTATGCGAATATGAAGTGATTTAGTAAATATATTTATGATCACATGCGTCTATTCCGGCCTTGTAAATGAATACGAACGTTAGTTGATTCCAATTCCAATGGAACAGAACTTTTCGGTTCAAAAAAATAAGGTCTATATTTATAACTCCTGGAAATTCTCCACATTAATGGCATTCATTGCAGTTACAAAGTGGACTGATATGCAGTTACTATAGAGATATTAGTCCTAATAATCTAGCATCACAGTAGATATTGACTACATGACGTGGGGATTCATGAATTTTATCAAGTTAGATTGATAGAATTGATAGATTTCATAGGCTGAGTGTTTAGATTAGAGAATGATAAGGAATAGGTGAACTACGTATGTCCCGTCTTCTTGGCACTAAAGACAGTTAAGATCAGATAGATTTGTCCAACGCAAAGAAACTAAGTTTAGCTTATAGGTTCCTCTGCAGTGGCGTAGCCAGTCTGTAGATTTTCTCATGCAATGCAAATTTAGGTAATTATCATTATTCATTTCTTAAGAAATTCATTGTTTTTTACAGTCATTGAACACCAAACTTTTAAAGCAGAACTAAATCGTCAGGCTGGCTACGCCACGAGTTCTTCCTGTGGTAATACTGCAGATTACATTAAAAGATCGATGCTTAATTGGACTTCCTTAAAGAACAGATCACTGGAACTGATAATAACCTATCTAGCATCTGAATTAGGAAGGAAAGAGCTCAAATCGGGTAGGTCAGTGTACTATAGGTAGTGTTCTACAATAAGCTGTCGCTGTTTGTGTCTGAACTACCTGAGAAAGATATTTCAAACGTAGTGGTCCAGTGTAGTTAGTGTTCTACAATAGGCTGTCGTTTTGACTACAGATGTACCTGAAAAGTGTCGTAAGATAGATAAATCTCATGAAAAGTAGAATTTTTTACCCGATTAGAGTTTAATTCAATGTATAGTCTAACTGATGATTGATTGAATAATGACCTCGTGGGGTGGAGGATTTGTTGTACGGAAGAAACTAAGATTAAATGCTTGAACGATTGCTACAGAATTGAGATAAAAAGAGGGAGATATGATCGCATTTTTGATAGTTATAATGCTAATGGGAATAAAGCAGTTTATATAATCTTCTGCCAATAATTACCTATCCTTCAATCCCACGCACGTCTGTTTCAACACAGTCGTGCGAGTTAACATTATTGAAGTTAAGCCACGGTGAAATATCCTGAGGACGAAACGTCGAGAATAAGTGGGTCTGTCCACTTCGATTTTTTAAGGAGCAGTGGGTGCTGCTACCTGTTTGGTATCATACCAAACGTTCATGACTTGTGTTGTTTTATTTTCAATTGTTTTACTCACAATCGCAAATAAACACATGTCTTAAGCCCGGTCCGTGTACCAGAAGTCTTAACTGGGATAAAGACCTCAACCCGGAAACAAAAAAATCAGAACAGGCATGAAAAACTTGGCAGCCGCGAAGTAACTCTTGCGGTTATTAAAATCTCTACACAATCCAAGTGATTTATCACTTATCGTAAAGAACAAGCCACTGCCCACTTGTAGGATGAATTAAACACACTGACTTTTTACATTCTAATGCGTAACTGATTTTCTCTGTTGGGTGAAGTTTTTCTTCACCACTTCCATGGAAATTTAAAACATTTGTAGCATTATATCTCGGTTCAATAATACGGTCGTTTTACCAATGATGACGTAAATACATTATAGGATTATGAGGGGTACAAGGGGTTACAAGGGATATTACCGATTGCACCATATTTGAAAGAAGCTATGCATGGTGTATAAAAATAGGAATATTGGAATAACCTATATGTTCAATGTTTTTGCCTCTGACAATCAATGAATATCACTGAATTGCGCTGATGCATCCATACGAAGCTTCGTGCATAGACCGCAATCATGTCTACTGATCAGTATTTATGTAAAAAAAAAGACTCCAACAGGTCTTCTGTTAATGTGTTTATATCACACAAAAGCGTTTTTTAAGAAAAGGGTTTATAATCTTTCCAGATAGTTCTGATAAAGTAGATCTATGTGAAGATTCAATCAAGGATACAGCTTATACCATAGAAACAGAATTCTTCCTTGCAAAAACGCCGGACAGAGAGGGCACAGGGGGCCATCGCCCTGGGTCACACCCACGCCGCAATATTCAGAATTGCAATGCAAGCTATACGGAGTAATATCTCCAACAATCGTCGTTCGAGCAGTTATGAACCAAATCTGTCCTGAGTGGATTGCAAACCATTCGTTAACGAAGCAATTGTGTGATAAACCTGCTCGCGAAGCTTTTCTCATTTAATAGCATTGCGAAACAAGTTGCATGAAAAATTACACTATCTATTAAACAAGGACTTGGCTCGCAAGTGTTTATCTTGGTGTCAAAACGGATGTGATATAAGAATATACCGCAGTATATAGTCTACTTGACCACGAGGTGTTTCGGCAAATTATAAGAATGAAACTAAGCCGTTTAGCATTTCCGATATGGATTTTTGTCAAGAGAGATTTAGCCAAGTTCAAACGTCTCAAGCGCAACTCCTTTTATTTCTCGGAGCCATTTATTAAAGATTAGGAACCTCCTCTCTCCTGTTAAGGAAGTTTTTCACTTCAATGAATAGTCTTCCAAATCAGTTTTCAACAAGATAATTCGAACGCAAACCACGACAGATTGTGGTGAAATGCCAATTCTACATAATGCCTCCATCACCTGCACGCATATGGCCGGTTTATTTTTAGGACTGACATTCTGAGATACAAAAGACACACAAAAGAAATCTAAATTCTAAAGCTCCTCGTTCGAGAATAAGAATCATTGCATGTGTACCCAGATTAGATTGTATTTACCCTAACGAACTATTCATGCACAACTTTGTAGATCAAAATTGCTCGATTTTTTTTAGCATTTCATCACAGAACACCTGCTGTTAATTCCGTCCACAAACACCTCCTGTTTAGGATTTCCTTTGAACCAAATGCGGCAGGAATATCTACCCAGTATACTCCAAAATATAAAATAACAGAGTCCATTGTCGACAGGGGTTAGCATTAAGTTTTGTTCGAAGGATGGACAAGAGTGCAATGAAAAAATAACCCCCGGAGCCATTCTATCAATAGTTGTAAATACAGCCAGATGTCCCTGTAGATCAAAGTGCGATTAAGCTATACACGCGTATTAAACAAAGGTACTTCAGTTCACATATTCGGGGGACTCAGGCGCTCAAAACAAAAGGCATTTTAAATTATATAACGTCCTTGTGACCGGCACAATCAAGTGTTTTCGGTCGTGAAAGTAACAGCAGCAATTGATGCAACAATGATAAGCTGGGACATATCGTGCTCTTCCATTGTAATTGCTGGTCTTATACAATGCACTAAAGCATTCCTAAAGCCGAACTATTGGTATCAAAATACATATGATCACTATCTGTTTTCATTACTATTGTACGTAACACAAAATAAGGGTTCACTTACGACAGTTTTCTTTCAGTTCTGAATGTGATCTTGCGTGATAACTCGGAGGAAATTAATGCAGCTTAAACGAACGCAAGCGTCAAATAGACAATCCTAATTCCTGGGCTAAATCTACCAATAATGAAAATTGAATTAAACCAATGGGTATGTGACATTGTGACTATTGGGATAGTGTAAAATCAGCATTCATACTGGATGCGTGTGCTTTTACGACTGGACCGAATTGCACAGGAGGCGCAACTCTCTTGAATGCATTGTTGAGTGTTGTAGGTGTCTTACCTATAACAGGATCAGTATAAAAGATTATCCTTGCTGGACCTCAAGAGAAAACAGTATAACAGAGCTATCCAGTATAAATAAAATTTGTTTAGTTTAGGTTTCCTGCTGTAGTAATACTTGATCCTTACCGGGACTTCTAGGAAGAACAGTTCAGAACTGATAGAGCTATGCAGTATAAATAAAGTTAGTTTAGTTTAATTTTCCTGCTGTAGTAACACTGAATCAATAAGAGATGATCCTTACTGGACCTCTAGGAAGAACAGTATAGAACTGATAGAGCTATCCAGTACAAATAAAATTGATTCCAAGATTATCGCTGGAATAGTTTGAAGATAGCTATACCGAGTAAATTTATTATTGCAAAGCTTAGGAGACCCGGGTATTGCCAAGTCTTGCAGGCCAAAACCTTTCCAATAATCAAATTACGTGGTTGATCCTCGAAGTAATATTTATAAGTAAGTTTAAACCTTTAAGGCTTCTTCACCAATGAATTAACACTGGATAATCAATGAGAGATAATCCTTTATGAACACGAAAAACAATGTTTAGCGATAGAACACTGTGAGGAATAACTGAATCTTCAGGAATACTCGATCGAAAAGATCTGTCACACAGGACTAGGAGTGTGGTTCTTAGCAATCCCCTTTGCCATGGTCAGGGTCCAGGTCTAATCATTGCGTGATTTGTGGGGTACCATAGTGTGTTTGTAGTCTCTGTGTCTATGATACAAGCACGTGTTGACACACAGATGTTTCAGAAATGTGTAATAATGAATACGTAAGTGAGAAACAATAAGAATATTAGCATGACATGCGGAAGTCGGGCATTGTGCAAATTCCAAACGATCTGTTTTAATGAATTTAAGATATTAGCAACTGTAATCTTTTCTAAATACTTTAAAATAATAACAGATCAATTAGAATTACAACAATGGTATGCATATATATACCGTAAACATAACACTTCTAACTCTCGTAAAATGATCCATTTCACCTAAAGTTATGTTCAACGGAATGAATAATACTTTTTATAAACAATCGGTGGAAATATATGAAATTGGAATGTCTCAAGTGGAAGATTGATGATACATCGGAAGAGTATTTCAGTTGATATATAAGGTTCAGAGTTTTCTAGAGTTCTCTGGCTTCGCGTGTTTTTATTCGAAAACCTTTTTTCAGATCTCGGTGACTTATTCTCAGCGGATTATCAAGAGTCAAATATCCCCCACCCATTGTCCCTTATAGGTCGGGTCTATTTGCGCACCCGTCTATATAAAATGAAATCATTGAAATGAAACACTGAACCAGGAATATAGTTTTAGGTCGTTTATTGATCAACAACATTTCCATCTATTATCTACGTACAAAAATTTTATATAACTTGCATTTAGATTAGTATGATAACTATATTCGAGTACAAGATTCATATGTAGTATTAATATATATGCAGTTTAACTTGTCATAGATTTAATAAAATTAATTTCACGAAGACACCATTTTCTGAACACCCAAAATAAAAGTCGGAATTATGCATGCAATCTCTAACATTTTGTATAGGAAAGTATTAATAAATAAGTCAAACCAAACCCAGGAAATAATTGTGAATTTTTTTACAAACTTTTCACTATTTAAACTGCGTCTAATCACACACGTTAATAACTGTGGTTACTATCGTCTAATGACTAATGTAACGGAATATTCTGTTGACATTTCGCGTTTAAAAATCTATTTTACATCGTGCTTATATAGAATCAACCAATCAGACAACCGCATTCAGTAATTTGAACGTTTTGCAGTTCAAAAACGTGAATTGAAAGCTGTGTCATGTCAAGACGAGCAAAACGCCTGGAAATTGCTTTTGTTGCATGACAGCACTTTGGATTTCTCAGAACGGCAGCATTTCGCGGAATTGGATTGTCCTCCAACGATGTTCGTAGAGCCGCGCCGACATCAAAGTAAGTTGATCCGTTCAGAGGAAATGTTACGTCATCGGGAGGCGAGCATATTTTCGTCGTGAATTCGGCCGCGTTCACAAGAGACTGGGGTGTAATAGTGACGTCATAAGACTCGCAGTTTGGAGAAGTTGGGGGGGTTGTTGAGAACGTATATATAACGAAAAAAGCCTTCTTTTTTATAAGGTGTCTGGACACTCTGTTTTGGGAAGATGGTGTGTTGAGCTCCAAAACAGCAGTTTGTACATTATTTTCCAGCCACGCGACAGAAACATTACGCATTTTGATGGCTCGATAACCATTGCTGGACGAATGTATGAAAACGCGAGCCAAATCTGTTTGTTGTTCCGTGATCCAAACTTCATCGCTGCTTTGTTGCACAACGTTTAAGTTTCTACCAGTTTGGATATGAAGATAAAGCTCATCTAATAAGACTGTGCCGTTAAGACCAGTTGGAAGCCCGCTGAGGTTCACGGTAATTGTTTGCTGCGAAACTAGAAACGATAAGGTTCGTTTACACTTGCTACTTTTGCTGCGAAAAAGGAAATGAGAGGGGAGGCAAGAGGCCATAATTAACTCACAGAAATCCCTTTCAAAACAGTCAGACATCCTCAGAGATATATCAGTTTTCTACAGTCGCAAGAAGGATCTCAAATTTTACCAGCCTTCTCCCGTCTTATCTGCAGCCTGTCTTAGTGGATTTTTGTAGAGCAATTTACAGCTTAGTAGGTTTTCTACACTAAGTCTAATTGGCGTGTCTCGACAGTCTCGTTAGTCTAAAATTGTTCTTCCTGGAGGTCCAAAGGACTAAAAAGGCCCATCCCTAAATCATTTGATAAATGTTTCATATGCTGAGTGCGTATAGCTCTTTTGAAGTTAGAAATCTTTAGCTAATCTTTAGCTAATCCTTATCTAAACGAATTATGCTTCATATATCCTCAGTACTTCAATTCACATTCTGAATTTGTCTCTTAGCAATGTAAATAGGACCTCATTCTTCAAGCTATGATGACAAACACGATTCTGCACTCACCATTTGCTGGAAGAACATGCGCTATACAACGAAGAAGTCTTCTTGTTTCGTCTATTGCGCTCAAGACCTCATTCGGCGGCTGTGAAAAGCCATAAATACGGACATCTTGACTAAAAACAACACCCAAAAAGGTTAATACTATGCTTGTCAATACAATAAACTCTCGTGATGGCTGCATATTCCAAGTTGACCGTTCCTTAATAGTGGTTTCTTTTCAAGCTATCGTTGTCTGGCTTCACTCTTTTTTACCACTTTCGTTTGCTGTTACTTCGTGACGGACAGTTCAACCAACTTTCTGAGCTTTGCAACGCGTTGTTCATGCTTTTATACGCTCTGTTTGGAGCGCAAAAACAATCGATTTGCAGTCTCAAACAACAGGCAGTCAACGACCCAGCCAAAATTAAATTAACCCTAGAACGATTGAGGCAATTTAAAACAATGCCAACGCGAGCGTTAATGTGCAAAAAATTGACGCAGCTGAGGTTGGAAATATCTCAGAAGTATTAAAACATCTGGAAAAATTAGTTTCTTGACAAACAATTTGTCGGGTTTTGAAATATTAAAACTGAGCAATAAGATGCCGACAACCTCCTATGTTGAAAAGTAGCCGGTTTAGTTATCTAAAACAAGCGTCTGCATGAACTACCTCAAAAACTATCTTAAACGTGGTGGTCCAGTGTAAGTAGGATTTTACTATAAGGCTATAAGCTGCATGGAGTGGTTTGTGTCTCAATTCAAACGTGCGTTCCAGTGTAGGTAGTATTCTACAATAAGGTGTCGTGGTTTGTGTCTGAACTACCTGAGAAAGATATCTCAAACGTGGTGGTCCAGTGTAGGTAGTATTCTATAGTAAGCTGTCGTGGTTTGTGTCTGAACTACCTAGCTGAGAAAGATATCTCAAACGTGGTGGTCCAGTGTAGGTAGTATTCTACAATAAGCTGTCGTGGTTTGTGTCTGAACTACCTGAAAAAGATATCTCAAACGTGGTGGTCTACTGTAGGTAGTATTCTACTATAAGCTGTTGTGGTTTGTGTCTGAACTACCCGAAAAAGATATCTCAAACGTGGTGGTCCAGTGTAGGTGGTATTCTACTATAAGCTGTCGTGGTTTGTGTCTGAACCTGAACTACCTGAGAAAGATATCTCAATTTTTGCATTGCGCATCAGATCAGATCATAAGTCATTAGGATATTAGCGTGTCGGTAGCAAGTGTTTAATTTTTTATCAGCCTTGCGGCTAAAATTAGATTTATTAAACATATCATGCGCTGGAGTTGGCCGAAAAGTGTGGGAGTATTGTGCTCTATTTTAAAAGAGAAACCGCGTGCCGAAAAGCCAAAGGCATTTTCCACATTTGCCAACAAATTGTGAGATTGTAAACTTATGTTTTGAAATATGATAAAGAATTACTAAACCATGCCGGTGAAATGTGTGTATAAATGATTGTATAATAGCTATTATTTGGTGTTCATTCGTCTCTGGCAGATCTACAGCAGATGAACAGGTGTTTGATGTCCTATTATGGGACCTTTTGCAGGGAATAACTTCAAAAAACACAAATTTCATCGTTGCTTCCGGTAATGTCGTAGCATGTTCCAAGTTTCCATAAAAGCTCAATCATTGCAGTACAAGGAAGTGTAGGTTTATCAGACCAAAGATGTATCAGTTATGCAAGCAGGAAGGATTCGGTGTTCCTGTGGGAATGAACTCAGTTTCTGGCCAAGCCAAGGTTTTATTATTATTTGATGAAAAACAGGAATAGCCTTCGCCCCCACAATTCAAAACTGAAAAACAATTCAATTAGCCAGACAGGATCATAGGGAGTATTTTGAGGGGGAGTTTGGCATCTTGTCACAGCGACGGGAGAGAACAGTTCAAAGCCGTTCAAGATATCAAACATAAATTTAGTTTTTTAATTGCGGTTAGTTTTAATTCTGGCAATAGTGAAGAGGCGAGATCCTTGCTGGACCTCTAGGAACTGCATGGAAGAACGATTTAAAACTGATATACCCAGTATAAAACTTTAAATATATTCTAGTTTATCAAATTCGTAATGTTATGTTGAGGTAAATAACTCTCAAAAACATGTTTTTTATTTTTCCTTTTTTTTTAAAATCGGAAAATGTTTGCGGTCGCTAAAAGTCACTGCTGACGTCATTCACTGTTTGAAATTTTAGCGAATACATGTGTATGGGTAGGAAGGGGCATTTAATTAGCTTTTAACCTTTCTTAAATGCTTTTTAAACGAGATATATCTTTACAAAACTTGATTCAAGGTTTGCTTTTTTATTTACCAATCTGTGTTTTTCCTGCAGGCCTATTTGCGTGGGCTCTCGTGGGCAGTGTGGTTTACGAAACATAATTAAAACAATGAACCACGGCGAAAACAAGCGAAATATTACTGAGTAGATGGTGGACCAGGGGAAAAAAGCCACAGAAATTTGAGATTTTTAAAACAAGAAACCGGAAATGTCCCAATTCGTATGTTTTTGTCCCTTGACTTCCCTGACCTGATATTGGGGAGAAAACAAAGTAAAATAAACCGTATATTGTATTTTATTTACCAGGAAAGCAGTCGTCTGAAGGAGGTAGTTTATAATTATAGACTATAGTTACCGAAATTACACTCGTATTATTGTTTTTGTTCAATATTTTGAGATGAACCCAAAATGGTTCACAGCTTTTGGTTACGATTATCCTCATTCAACTTAAATATATCAAATGAAATGAAATAATTAATCGTTTACAATTTTTAGCATTTGCTTTTTCTTTTCTTATTCTTTTTAACTGGCCTAAAGGGAGCAGTCTGTGGTTCATCACGAATCTCATTTGCCATCGTTTCTTGATCATCCGACTTCTTCGTCTCTTTCTTCCTTCCTTTAACTTGCTTCCTGATTTTTGATTTCATACTTTCTTTACCCAACGAAATATTCTCAACATCTTGCTTTACCCTAACGGAGTCTAAGTCGTTTTCTATCGCATTAAAACTAACCGAATCTTGAAAAACATCATCATTTGATTTTCCCTTTTTACTTTTTATTTTCTTGGCAACTGCCTCTCCTCCAGAGTGAGTTAAAGTATCTTCATCGCAAACACTCTCCACCACCTCGTTGACGTTTCCCAAACCATTTGCCATTATATAATCATCGCTTTTCATTTTTCTTTTTTTACCTTTCTTCCTTTTCATTTTATTTCTCTTAGATAACGTCTCGTCCTCAATAATGTCCAAAACATTATCCACTATTCCATTATTCTCTTTCTTCTTACGTCGCCTCGACTTCTTTGCAGTTTCCTTCTCGTCTGTTTTATGATTGTTTATCCCGTCTTGTTCCTTGTTAATCCCCTCTTGTTCCTTGTTAATCCCCTCTTGTTCCTTGTTAATCCCTTCTTGTTCCTTGTTAATCCCCTTTTGTTCCTTCTCAACCCTTGATCGTTTCCTTTTCTTCATTTTCTGTGAATCAATTCCTGAACAATCCTCAGAATATTCCCTTTTCTTTCTCTTGACTTTTTTACCACTCTCTGCTTCATGATCAACCTCAGTTCTTCCTTGCTTATCCACAACTTCGTCCTTTCCAATCCCATCTTGTCCTTCAAGGCATTCTCCCTGTTTGCCACCAGCGCTCTTTTCAATCCCTTTGCCACCCTGAAGTTCTCTCATGCGATGGGCAAAATATTCCTGAATGTTTTGTTTGCTTGTGTAAGTGACAAACCCAGATGTTGCATCACAAGGAACTGTGGGGCAGGATGCTACGCTGTCCTCAGAAGCTACTTCATCCTGAAACACAGTCAAAGCAAATAATCCTTACTAATTGATCAACCACATCTACCAAACATCTTACTTATATCTATAAGACTATAACTCACATCCGATTGGTTCAATGGTGTAGCAGGTGCTGATTGACTTGGTGCAGAACCAAAAATACATTCCATGTCCGCTTGAGAATATTTTGAGGTATCCTTGCTTCTTATAAACCTTTTGTAGCTAAAATATAAAGTCATGATTCACAGAGTGATACCTCAAAAATGGCAGCAGCATAGTTTGAGCTGAGGAGCATCTTACTTACAATACGCGTTTCCGAGATGCCTTTGCAACTTCAAGCATTGCTTTCCTGTTTTGCTCTTCAGTTTGTAATTCTAGTCAAGAGGAAATATGCTTATAAAATGGATTGTTTTACCAGTTCTGATTTGGGCTAGAAATTGTTCAGCATTGGAGGATGATTTTTGATTATTTCACAGGCAAATACATCTTTACCACAAACCTGCATTTCCGCCATGTTTTTGCAAAGCTGATAAGAGATTGTTGAAATCTTCTTGCTGAGCTAACCAGTCATTATCATGGCTCTCTTTAGCACCCAAACCTTTTGACAGAAACAAGAATCAGAAATAAAAAGTACAGTCAAAGTTCTCTGCATACACAAAATTTGTTGATGTTAACCTGTGTAAACTACCCTACCAAGGTTTTGTTTCCGTTTTTTTATCTTAACGTGAGACGTGCTCCCAGTTTTGTCTCTCCCTAGTCCTTTCCCATCAGCCCAGCCCATTTTCTCAAGCATTTGGTATCCATAGCGATCTTTATCTGGATAAAAATGACACAATGTTGGCATCAATGATTGAATGAGCAAACTCATGTTTATAATAAACTAGTAAATGACACATAGGGTAGATTTTCAGCCATAACTAGAGGGTTTTCCCATGACAGAGGAGGTATACCATAGTAAACTTAACTGTGTGATGCATTGGTTGGTTTTAACTATGAAAACTGATCACTGTCACAAATCATAAAACATACTTATATAATTATATTGGCAGGCTTATATAAATTGCTTGGAAATTTAGGCTAAGCAGAGTTTCATAAGCTTTTTCATGGCAACTAAAGAGAGGAATCTTAACCATATTTCCAACAAGACTCTAAAACCATCAAGCACGTGTACTGGTGGCTTAAAATACATTATGACACGTGGCTTGTTTGAAATGAAATAACGAAAAACTGAACCAAATGAAATAAAAAATTGAATGGGACTAGATTATACCGGTACTCCATTTCATATTTCGTGGATCCTCGCTCCATTTTTGCTTTGATTTCTGCTCCGCCAACATTTTGATACAAATATTGTTACATTATAGGAAATAATTTGTCACAAAGAGAGAAAAAAGAAAACTCTGAGGTCGTCAGTCAGAAAAACTAGAAATAATAGTGGAAGCAGCGTATCGTCACCACTGAGCTATATATCAATGTCAGATATTTTGAAATATGAAATATGAATTTGAAAACTCGCAGGGAAAGCCAGGAGATTTATCCAGGCTTTTGATTGACTGTCTGAATGTCTTTGTCGCTGTTTTACTGCTGTAAGGTTGATGAAGATGCTGAACTAATAAAACAAATGTTTGATGTTTATGAATGATCTCTGGACTCTGGTATTGTTTAATTCAGAGACTCAGCCATGCAGAGACTGGGGAGAGTATTCAGGGGTTAATTAAGGTGGTTTTTAGTCGATATAATTTTTTTTTCAAACCCTATCCGTTCCATATATGTTTAATACCAGTAATTTTTTGTATGTAAAAGAAAAATTTGGAAAGCGTGCCAAAAAAAAATTTTGGGGAAAAACACCCAAAAGAGATCATCCAGCCTATGCCACAATCTAACCTGGTTATACAACCGGCTGCAATATTCAGCATAGTTACAACTACGAAAGGTGCAAGGACAGTTGCTATAGGAAGAACTCCCCCCCATAACTCACATCTTAACGGCCGTCTAAGGGGGAGATGCACTACGGCCCCCAGACCATGATGTATGTGCACCTAACCGTTACGTCTCAGTGAGAAACAGAGTATGCATCGCCACAAGCCTAGCGTCATAGACGAATCAGCTACAGTGGCTAGCCCTGAGAGCGAAGATAAATTTAACGTATTTAAGTCTTTCCTGGTCTCGGGGGGCGGTCCCTAGCAAGCATATGCATAGAAAACGACTAATAAGACACACGATTGGAAATGTCAAGATTTAAACGCCTAAACGTTTTTTAAGTGTTTTTAGCGAGAAATTTTAGTGTTTTTAGCGAGAAATTTTAGTGTTTTGATATTCTTTTAGAAATTTTAGTGTTTTGAAACAATCCTTGTTGGTTTTTAACGTCAAAATAGTCATCATTCTCGAAAGGAAACTCAATATAAATGACTGAACGGCTTAGTTTACTAAAGTTTAGTTGTGTTTAGTATAGCCGCTTGATTCGCTGATACAATTTGGGCCTAAATTGTATCTATTTTTTTCACAATTTTTTTTTTATCTTCGTTGATTCTGTTCTATTTTTCTATTTTTATTCTTCTTTATTTCTTTTACTAACTATCCATGATATGACGGTTTTAGTTGGGTCTCTCCCTGGCCTGGCCTCCCAAATTGGCCTCCCCTCCCAGCCTCCCCTCTAAATGAAAAGTGCTGACCAGTGACAGTGAGCTCCACATATATCTGGAGTAAGAACTTTGGGTGCAAAAAGTGAAGCCAAAGATGGCGGAAATTGAAGCGCTATAGTACGTCAGTTTCAGTCTCCTAACTCGCGCGGCCAAATATTTCTCATTGTTTTTGACCGGGAGTGACGTTCCCGAAACCCTCAGATTTTCGTGTTTTTCATCATTTTGAGACCACAAGAATGGAAAAAATTGACTCATTTTACTGACAATCTGTTTCTCTGCATCTACCCGATGTGGGTGCCGCATTTTCCGACTGTACGTGTGAGTAAATATGCATTTTTCGCCATAAATTCAACTACGCATTTCAGATTTGTTTAATTTTGAGTTATTTTCATGTATTTCCAACTTATGTTTTGAGTTTCTTGTTTCGTTGTTTGTTTCGAAACGCTTTAACACTAGTTTTCCTTTATTTTTTGGCCAGCTTTCCTAGCATAGGGCTCTTTTTAAGGTTCTTTATACGTGCATTATGAGTCTTGTTTATAAATTTCATAATCATATATTAATATTATTTCAAACTCGTACGTTTTTCAGCATAGTTTTCAGTTCCTATTTTTTTTTTACATGAATGAAAGCCTCATATAGATGAATTAAACTGAGAAAAGTTTTATTTATGTTTTTTTGGGAAGCATATTCTATGGGAAAATGTTGTGATTTGCGAAAAGCCGAAAACATCAACAATCCGCTGCCACTCCTTAGCTTTCTTTGTAAGATATCGCTTATTTATTTGTTAATTAACTTAATTTAATTGAAATATAAAAGTATCTCAATACAAAGCATTAATATTATACTTTTCATTGAAATTCCCCTCATTTTTTACTCAAAAATATGAAAAAATAAAGATAAAAAATACGAATTTAGTTGACCGCGCACACATAGGAAGACTGAAACTGACGTACTATAGCGCCTCAATATCCGCCATCTTTGGCTTCACTTTTTGGCCTCACGGAAGTCTTAAGTTCTTACTCCAGATATATGTGGAGCTCACTGACCAGTGATCGTCACCAGCCTCCGCTATTCTTCCCGCGCGGTCACTCGTGGAATCACAATTCACAACAAAATCTGAGTGAAAATTTGCTGAATTTTTTAGCAAAATATCCATCAAAATGCCCAAGTAAGTGCTTTTATTGAGAGATTATCGATTGTATTAACTATTTAGCCTTATATTCACCATTATTCTTGTGTTTTTGTAGATATTATTGTGACTATTGTGATACGTATTTAACCCATGATTCGGTAAGTGAAGTTTATTTTCAACAAATTTGTGGTTATCAGGCTGCGTATGGCCGCTGGAAAACCATAGTTAAATACTCTTATTAATGAAAATCAAACGTAAACACTTTTAATTCCCATTTAATAGCCATCAGTAAGAAAGACTCACAACTCTGGACGCAAACATAAAGACAATGTGAAATATTATTATCAAAAATGGATGGAGGAACAGGCTCAGTCACTTATTGATCAAACAAGTAATCATGTCTTCTTGTTGCCATATCTGCATTTCATGAAAATTATTGTTTGTTTTCAAGCGATACCTAATATTGTGATATTTTTTTTTCGTTGTTTAGCAAAAGCATTTGAACGCGGTGCAAAGAAAGGCCAATTCGCAGCTATGCCCCCTCCAGGAATGCTACCTCCAGGTATGATACCACCTCCAGGGGCTATCCCCCCACCTGGAGCAATACCATTTGGCATGCCTCCACCTGGGGGAATGCCACCTGGCATGGGCCCACCTCCCGGAATGGGACCTCCTGGGATGCGACCAAATATGAGGCCGCCTAACAACATGCGAGGTGGACCTATGAACAATGGAATGCCTCCCCACGGCATGGGCAACCGACCACCATCTCGCGGAATGCCCCCTCATCATGGAGGGAGCGGGCACAGACCAATGGGACCCCGGGGTGGTGGACCTTTGATGCGGGCAAGATAGAACTGAACTTACGAGGCGTCTCTTGTATGTTGATATTGGGTTATCATAGTGTTAGGATACCACTGGGTGTTACTAAGGATTGCCTTTCAACAGACAATGATCAATCTTGTTCAAATTTAGTATTTATGAGCGTTTTGCATATTGTGTAGATAGATTTTCTGAAATCAGTATTTTTACTAAGCTGCAAGATGAGGTCCTTAGACCTTCCAACAAAACTTACCATCATTGTTAGTATGCAATGGCTGATGAAACTCACAAATGGACCTAAATTGTTATTGAATTTCATCCTAAAAACGTTATTTTAACTTAATTTTATCAATTGCTTTCGTGTTCTTTGAAATTGCCTAAAAAAAGTTGATTTCATTGCATACACTGTTGAAAACAATTATATTTGGTATTTCTGGTCACTCTAATGTTGCATCACCCAACAGTAGAGCATCAAAACCTGTCTTTTATCAAACCTGGGTCGTAACATTGAGAGTCGTGTTTTTAATTCGCTTTGTTAGACCACATTTGATTAGAAAGTAGAAACCATTTGAAAATACCTCCATACTGCACCCTGGTTATTTTGAAACATTAATAGGAATAACAAAGCAAGAATACATGCATGGGGACAAACGAAATTACACGTACGAGTTTCATCGAATTCATTGCGAAAAACGCGATCCTTTTTCATATCAAAACAACGCTTTGAACGGTTTTTGCATGCGATCCTATGCACGACACTGCTGCATGGTTTAGCAATATCAAGGCTAGCACCAGCCTTCTTTAATGCATACGAGGTGTGACTAGCACCAGGATAAGGCTGTCAATACCCAGCATGAATTTAAAAAAGTGGAAATTTGCAAATGAAATATTAATATTTGCATATACTAACTATCGCCAGCTGCCCCGCCATGAACGGTCCACGCTATAAGTTAACACACTGTGCAAAGAAACGTAAAATTAACCTAAATTAGTTGGCAATTTCATTGCGTTTTTAATGAGATATGATTAGTTTCATGTCCGCCCTAATCTTGAAGACTAAGTGGTTCCAATTTATTACTCTCGACCTCGCTATCCTTACATTGTTGTATTAAATTTGCAATTTATCCATTCCCCGTAATTTGTGGCGTAATTAATAGCAGTAATGAATTATGGTGAAGAGTCTTGATTAGCAATTCTCGCCTAATGCGTCTACTCGACCCAAGATGAGAGTTTCGCAAATTATAGCAATTGCCATTTCAAGAGGAAATCTCATTAGGAGGACAACGATTCTAATATTACCCTCTTTATCGCAACAAATACATGCAATAAATGTCTAAATCCTTTGTTGCAAACCCAGAGATCTTCGACCTGCAAATCAGGTTCTTATCGGAATGATAAGGCATCAACAATAACTTCACAAGGAAAGATTGCAAAGAAACGTCTCTATGCAGTCTGTTGCAAGTCGTTATAATAAGTTCTTGCACTACTTTATACTTTCGTTGCCCCGAAGATATTGTACGTGCATCTTGTAATGGCAGTAGTTCTAATAAAACTTGGTATTATGCATCTTCTCTCTGTTCTAAACATGGCCGTAAACGATTCGTTTCTTCCTTGAATATCGTTAATTTCATTGTCCTATCAACCATCTTTCACGTCAAATCCATCTCAATGTCCCTCCAATGATTATCTTAATACGCTGAAGAACATCTCTCTCTGACTGTCTCAACTATCAATTTTATGTATTCCACAAACCTTCCCTGAGCATTGTATTAACACGAAGCCAAGCATTACAACCGAAATCCTGACATGTAGTATTCAGTCTCGTCTTCAACCACAATTAATCCCTCAATGCCGTCCACTATATCTTCACTTGATGACAACTGTTGTTCCTCCTCGTACCTCGCCTCACCATTACAGTCCTTTATCATCCCATCAGTTACCCCGTTCGTGGCGGGTCGTCGGTAAACTTTCTCCTCTTGTTTCTCTCCTCTTTTCTCATTTGGTCCGCTTGCCCTTCTTGCCTTTTCTTGTGAATGATCTGAACCTACTTTACGCCGTTGTTCGTGTTCCAAGCGACCATTTATTACACTTTCCGTGTTTGTATTCTTCACAACTTCCCCCTTAAACCCAAAACTGTGTTTCCTACTTGTCGACGACTCGTTTTCCTTCGTTTGCGAATTCATGAAACTTCCTCGTTCTCTCCTGTATTTTGAACCTGTTCTTCTAATATCAAAACCTTCCTTCACAGAAGAGCGTTGCTCTGAATCAGCTCCGTCGTTCTCGCAAGGTTCAGAACTTGTGGGAGGAAATCCATTTGTACAACGCTCCAATTTTCTTTCAACTTTCAAAGCGCTAGACTTCGACGCGCGATCATCCAAATTTTTATCTTCTTCAGAAACCTCTTTATTTCCGTTCAATTTCTCGGCAACTTTACTCCGTGAATTGACCTTCTCCTGCGGCCTGTTTTCGCTCGGCGAGCCTTTCTTTAAATCGGAATTGTTTTGCTTAGTTTCTCGGAGTTTTTGAGCATTTTGCGGCGCAAATCTACGAGGATAAACATTCTCTTCTTCCCTCAAACCACCTGCCCTCCGTTTAGCTGACCGACCCACGGTTTTATTCCTCATTTCGATAAAACTTGCCTCGTCCAAAGCACTTAAATCCCTATCTATGCGATCGCTCGTCTCGTTTACCTTAACTGTATCTCTCTCATTCTCCGTCGCTTCTAAATCAATTCCGGTTTCCCGCTCAGTAATATAATGTGTTAGCCCTAATAAGCGGTGAAACAACACTAATGATGCGAAGATAAAAGCTAATGAATTAATTACCAGACTGGGGAACACGACTAAACAATCTTTAGCACACAAAAAATCACTTTCGCAATATGATGGATCAGGCGTGCTGGGAAAACCGCGCGATTCTATTGGACACTTCAATACACCGTTTTTCATTTCTGGTTCGACGCACGTGAAGTTCTCGTGAAGCTGGTCAAGATGAAGCTCGATCTTAAATTGATCGTGAAAAATCCAGCGAAAAGGAGCGCTGAGAGTTTGTATAATGAATACCGCCAGTCCTCGTAGGGGAGAGGCCCACACCTCCGATAGAAACCCCCTCCGTCCATGCCCACCGCTCGGAAGAAAGAAGCCGACAGAGGGAAGGACAAAAAATATGCAAATGAATGCCCCAGTGATACCGGCAGCAGCGTAGACACATCCGTGCAACTGTCGGATGAAATTGAAGCCGGGTGTTTTTGATTTGCAATAGTAAATATAAACAGCTCTTCCATAGACCACGAGCTCAAAAAGTACTCCCAAAAGCACGATACATCGCGTCCATAAGGAATAACCCTGGATATTGCATTTGTGTTCTAATTCCTCGACCTTAAGAGCATATCTGAAGCTTGATTCCTGCTCAAAATGCTTCAAGCAAAACGCTTTAGGATTCTCGCAGTGTACCGTGATTCCGTACTGATTCGCAAGCTGATAGAGAAAACCAATGGACGACAGAATCATGTAGCAGAAACAGCATGCATCTTCACCGATTTTCATATCGTCGTATTGCCTGTATTTCATATTTTCATAATCGTCTCGTATCATTCTTCCATATTTGCCATATTACGCATGCGTACAAGGCTTCCCAGCAGCTGCTTCGTAACGCTGTTGACGTTGTGTTAATTATTGATGCATTCCGGAGCTTTTCATGACTTGCGGTCTTGTGATTAAAAGCTTGTAAGTCGTTATAATAGCAATGCGGTTTTTAACAGTGACACCGAGAGACTAGCATACGTACAGCTCTTGTGAGCCCTGGTCAACTTGCGGTTATGAGAAATTAAAGATGACAAAATAACTCTTTCTCCTCTGAGAGGCTATTTTAACCTAGTGAGTTCGATTGTTTCTCTCTTAACGCAGGAATTTAGAAAATGTCATAATTTTCAATTAGGAATTTTGAAGTAGTTTTATAGTAGTGTAAGTTCAAGAATAATCGATCACATATTTGCATGGCATTGATAAAAATTAGAGCAGAGAATTTTACAAAAGTTTGCAGCTTTTTCTCAGCTGAGTTCAACCGAATCGAAAGTTCAAGAACTGTAATGTGCGTGTGTGTAATTCATGCATGAATACTTGACTTAATTTGCTTGTAAATTCTAGATATATGATTATATGTCATCAATTGGAAATTCCAAGATTTCTAAAACTCGGTGGCTATTATAGGTAGACCATGGCTGTAGTCCCCCCTCCCGTTCCCCTTCTCTCCAAAGATCGATCCTGCTCATTTAGATCGTCGAAGATGACTTGACTCCAAAACTTCGCCAGGCGGTCCAAAAGTCATGTTGTGATGTTTTCAATATCGTCAGCATTATAATTGCAAATTTTAGTTGAATTGTTTGTCAGCATACAAAACAAAAGTTCTGTTCGCCCTAAATGCCCCTAAGCCCCAGAAATTCTTTGAATGGTGCCCCCATTTAATTCCCACCTCGAATCAGATTAGATGAATAGGCAGAACAACGCGATAGATTTATATATTTTCTACTCTTGTATATGCATCTTGTTTGTATCGTGTATCGACAATCGATATTGATATGAATATATAACTTTCCCAATTAAGGGCACACTCAAGTATGATAGCTATTTGGTCCAATATACGTTTCACAAAAAATATATACTCGTGTCCTTTGTGACTTGTATTTTTGCTTTCGTGAAAAGCAACCTTATCTGCAAGGAAAGGACTTCTGTCTCTTTGAAAGAAGATTCAATGAAAGTTGTATGTTTGTGAAAACTTATCTGAAGTTAAGAAGAAGATAGCTTTTCTTTGTAAATGCAAGTTTGTCTCTAAAGACGAGGTTTTTCAATTAGTAATCTACGCTTCAAAATAGTCTTGTCTGCATTCCAACTATCGTGAAATTTTCTTCAGAAAATCTTTATAGTTAACTCTTCCCTCCATTTTATCATCAAGTTGTGTCAAAAGCTCCAGAACCTCGTCCTCGTTCAACACGATATTGCAGAGTTGTAATACCGAGCGAAATTCTGCCATATCCAAGTAACCTTCATTTCGTTTGTCCAGCTTTTTGAACGCTCGTCGTAATGTCATCCAGTCATCTGATAACTGAGAAAAAACAAATGACTCATTTGAGAAATGAAAGACTTTCATGGCTTTCTGTAGTAACACTGGATCAGTTAACACTGGATCAGTTAACACAGGATCAATAAAAGATGCTTGTTGAACCTTTAGGAAGTTTTTAAAAAATTTTATTTCGTACCTTTTCCCTCAGTCTAGCAGTTAGAGTTGGCAATCCTTTTTCGGCCTTTGAACCAAATGCGTTTGCAAGCTGTAAAAAGGTCAAAATTTAACTTAATTTAGACGAAAGTTGGGTAAAAGATTCCCCTAGTTTCCAAGTATCTGAGCAAAGATCTATTAATTGTGTTAATAGCAGCAGTTGAAGATGATGCAGTTATACCTGGGAGTCGTGTTGATTCATCATGATTCCCTGCATGTTAGTCTCATTGCGATAAGTTCGTCGACGACGTGAAAATGGCTCAAGGAAAGAGATATAGCTGACTCTAAAATATAGAAATGGTGATTTGAAAATTTGGCACAGTTTCATATCATTAAAACCTTTGAAAACCTCACCTTCCATCTTTCTTATTCTCGAATTTCTTTGCAATAAGGTCAGCTTCATAATCGGTTATTTCTAAACATAGGATCTGGATGATGTCCTAAAAATACGCAGTCTCATCAACATCAATATTATCGATTTTATCGATCCTTATTAATCAATATTATCGATATCACACAATGCACTATTGATCATCGCCATGACATAATCATCTTACCTTAAAGTCTTCTCTACCGATACACCCGGATCCACCAGGATCTAGAGACTTAAATTCCGCCTGCAATCTCTCCCAATTTAAGTCGACCTTCGACCTCAGTTGATCAAAAAGCATATCAACGTCGCTGTTGAGTTTGTTCGACCTCATCATGAAGTCACTGTCCCCGCGTTTCGGAGGCGATATCTTTGCATTTGGGTATGCTAAATTGAAACAGAAATTGCTGAAGCACAAACAAAACTCGTTGAAACTTTAACCGCTTTCCTGCTGGGCTGAGAAGTGTTTACCTTGAGTCCCGGAGCTGCAGCCAAAATGACGGACGAACTGCGAGAATTCCAGCATGCGTTTCTGATCTGTCAGCAACGTATTCCACAGCCGTTTTACCTCGTTTGAACTGAAGTCTACTCCAAATCTGGAAATCAATGAAAACGTACATAAAATGTTCTTATCATTATGAACTAAAGTACGAGGAATTAGATAACATTGTCTATCGCACAGACTTCACACAGTCCTATCAATTCAATTTTGATTGATGTGTTGTTTAAGCGTAAAAAGAGGTTGAAAGGTTGTACACTTTTTGGGTGTCCCATAAGTATCTGAGGTTAGCCTGGGTATATCCGTTGGTTAACCCACACCAGATGCTGCTTTGCAGAGCCTATCGAGACCCAGAAGTTGATAAGTTTCAAAGAATACCGTTTCATCAGCCTCGTGAACATTTCTTGTGTTAGACGTTTAGAGTTGAATTCATCGATGTCGTAGAATTGCTGCGTTAAAGAATGAAAATCGTTGACGGTGGCAAAGATAATGATGCAGTGGTGATGGTGACAAAGGCAATGAATGATCTAGTTGTGAGTAGTGGGGGTGAGAAATATTGTAGTAAGTGACGTGTAATGGCGAAGTGATGGTCGTATGCACCCTGAAGATTACCTCCTGGATTTGCGGAAGATTATCATTCAAAATTCTTTTTATAATTCGTCTCATTTCCTCCACACTTCTTCCCTCGCCATCCTTGGTGCTTCCAACCGACTTGACGGGTCGGAATCGGGGAGACTTCGGCGGGGAATCGCTCTGGATGAACTTTCGTTCGGGCAGCGTCGACTTGCCATCGAAAAGAGACACTTGTTCTCTGTCAGAATGCGGGGAAAGTTAAGTTCATATTCTACACTGGCACATCATTGTGGGAGAGATAAAAATATAAAAGATAGTTTATCGAATATAAATATTTTCCGGGTAGACTTACTTTGTGTCAAATCTCGACATAAATAAAGCATACTGCACCATTCCATCGCTGTCCAATGGGACACAGCTTAGAAATTGTTGGTATTCATCATCAGACATCCCGAGTTCAAAACGACTTTCAATAGCCGCGCGAAACTGTTCCTGACTCACCAAACCTTCGCCATTACGATCAATTTTGCTAAAGGAATATTTAAAAAGTGTTTTTACAGCCAGGAAATTTCAGAACTGATCGAGGTGTCGGGTATAACGGAGTTAATCGAAACAAAAAATGAGAGTGTTTGTTGGACTTACTGGAGTGTCCCTAGAAGGGAAAGAAAATCTCTCTGAAACATGTCCATCAATTTTGCTTCTATGGCCGACGTTGTTGAAAACTTGCTGTCGACTTCGGCTTGATGGTATCTAAATCACATCAGAATTCTAGTTTAGAATTCGCGTCTGCAGTAATCTAGTTTGTGTTACTACAGAATATTCTGCAGCGGGTCAACATATAGTTCGAATTGCTTCTATAACTTAATAGTTTGCTTGCCAGTTTCGTTAGCTCTCTCTCTCTGTCTTGGGTAAGCCACACTCACCTGTGCAACGGATTTGCCAAGATTTTGTGCGCAACACCCTTCTCGCTCCGATCTTGGAAACGCCGAAGAAATTCTTTGTAAGGGACTTTATCATCAAACTCAACACCGCACCTGAAATTGTACGAAATGGCTGTGGCGTAACGACAATTTCACATTCCACTTTCACCTAACAGTGTAAGACGTCAATAATAATAACAGTTGACTCTCAGACTGATTCAGTGGCGTAGCCAGCCTGACGATTTTGTCGCGCTATGTAAATTTCGAGTTATTATAATTATTCATGTCTTTAGAAATCTATTGTTTTCACAGCAAGTGAATACCAAAATATTAGCATTGCGGGACAAATCGACAGGCTGGCTACGCTAATGGACTGATTGATGATAACTGCATGGGGTGAAACAAACTCACCTTGCTAAGAAATCTTCCACTTGCTTGCCAGAGCTCAACGTTAAACCAAACTCTCTCAAAACTTTCCTAAAATCATCTATCGACACTCTTCCCATTCTGTCAAGATCTATTTCTTGAAAAGCATGCTTCATCTCTGAACACCCTTCTCGAAATTTCTTCTTCAACCAACGTTCAACATCCAGCGAGTGGAGCCGTTCTGGTTCAAGCTTCCGAGGTGAACGCGTTTCTTCCTTCGCCTCCGTCCTATCTTCGACGTTTTCCACGTTGGTTTTTAGGCTAATGCCGAGTTTTTGCAAAAGCTTCTCGCCTGAATGTTTGAGTTTTGTAGAAACGATATATTACTACATCAGTAAAATTACAATCCGGCATAGTTAGGCAACGCGCGAACCGTCTTTTTCACCTACTCAAAACCTACCTTTAATCACCCCGATGTTTTCAGTGTCATATTTCGTCCATAGTTTATCGTATTCAGAATCTTCCATAGCAAAGCCGTGTTTGTTTAAGGCGTTGCGGAGTTCAGGCTTTAAAATCCTTCCACTACCCCCAGGATTAATTTGTGGAATAAGATCACCTAAATCCAGGAATCTAAAAGTGACAATAGTTGAATCAATACCTTATCTTGGACGTTTAGTATGGGATGCAGAATAACCCAGGTTTCTGGAACGTGTTTACACTACAGTTCAGTCGTTCACCTTTGTTTAGCTCTCTCCTTCAACTGAGAATGCACTTGAGCTGCAGAAAGGTAGTAGACTGTTCTTCCTTGTTGCTCAAACCATTCAGGCACACCATCTTTCTGTTTAGAAAATCACAAAAATACAAGAACTTGATAAGTTTTATCACAACAAAACTATGAAAAAATAAGGTTTTTCTTTAGTGAGGTGATCTTTTCACAATTTTTGTGCAGAAGTTTCAAGAAATTTATTATAAAATTTATAATACCTTTGGTCTGGAGAATGATGAATAAAACTCCTCAATAGAAATGGTCTTTTTTATATCCAAACCCAATCTAAATGCAACAGAAGCACTGTTCAATCAGTCCCTGCATGCCAGTACATAAGATTATTAATTAGAGATAATATATTATGTCTTGGTTACCTTATCATAAGGCGATTGAATTGACTTAAACTGATATTTCTGCCAACTATGCTGCGTAAGATTTTTGCCAGTGACTCTCTGGAGAAAATAATTATTTCATTTAATGGCTGGCAGTTGAATGACAGTTATGACAACAGTGATAATCATTGATGATGATGTAATGGAACTCGTGGTGATCAGGTGAAAATGATTGATGATGGTGGGGGTAATGATGATCATGATGGTTAAACCTATCAATCACCATGTTTTCTAACCTTGTAATTACTCCTCGCCCTTCTGGATCATGCTGTTTAAAAGCTTGCTTCACCAAATAATAACCTGATTTCAACTTTTCTCTTATTATTTCCTCCAGCTGAAACAAAATATCATTAAAAACAACCATACAACCTGAAATTTTACCAGAAAATAAGGATTTACATAGTACCTCATCCACAATTGGTCTCTCATATGACAAAGATGTGTTAAGCCTTGATTGGCGGCTTTCTGCTCGACTGACAAGGTCGGTTCGGTTTCCTAGGATCATGACAATATAAATCAATAAAATGAATGCAGCGCTAATTGCCTTGGAGCCCTATCTACATGCCTTAGCTTACGAATAATTATTTTTGAGGTATATCCCAATTTGTTCCCAACTAAATTACTGGATGCGTACTATCACGTAGTTGAATTATTTAGTCATAACGAGGCTAGGTTGTTAAAACACCCCATATAGTTCGAGTTAATTTATATATTCTGGCACATAGTCACAGAAGAATATGGACATCAAGACTTGATATTGACATGCTACAAACACACTCACCAAATATTGGGATTGCGGGTTTCGACTGATCACTTGCTTTTTTAACCTCGAATCCTTCGGGGAGAGATCCTAAGGCCGGTAAGGTAGTTTCTTTACCAAGACCTCTTGATCCTTGAGAAGTCTTTGTCAGACGCCATGGTATCTGATCCGCCGTAATCGGACGAAGCTGGTTTACTTTTTGAAGTTCATGTTGAATTTGCGAGGTTGCTCCTTGGCCCCGCGACACGCCGCGAACTGAAATCTTTTCTGGACTACCTAAACGCGACAAAGGATGCGCTACTGCTGGCAAATTCGCAGTGGCCATGATTGAAATCTCAGGAGTCGAAAGAAGAAATCAGTGTTGGTATAAATGTGGTTTTCATGATTTGTTTGCGCTTTGGATTTTGTATACAAAAAGCTCTATCGCATAGCAACTGTGCGCGTAAGTTCATAAGTCATTGAGAGGATTATGTTCAAGGTAATTATAAGTAAATATTAATGATTTATGAATTATTAATACAGGAACTAGGAGAATGGTGTGGAATAACTTTTTCCTGTTAATAATTTGTTAAATCTCAGTTTTGGCGATAAAAAGAATGATGAAATGTGGTCTACCTAAATAGATGGTCCGAATTTAATCCGCACGGACAGTACCAAACCTAGAATTGTGCGTGGTGTAAATGGGGACAGGGCCGTACACAGCGGTGGGGTGGCTTGGGGGCAGCTTCCCCCTAGATAGAAAAAGTTGAAAAGTTTCCGAGTGCCAGGAACGGTGTGGGGTTGCTCTTCAAATTTCATCGCAAATTTGTGTTAGCAAACCTCAAACCTGTGATATTTTGCAGGCCCCCACTCCATCCACCTGCGACGTTTACCATATTGGTGGGGGCAAATTTCCTTGGACAGCAGGGCGGGGTATATGTCCGGGCAGTCCGGCCCACTGATCTGATTGATATCCGGCCGGAGAAATGCATCATGCTGTGATTCTCCCGTCACATGTCACAACTTTGGGTAGAAGTAACGAAGTATCAAAGTACAAATTAAGTTACAAACTTCCAAAGTTCATTTCAACAACATTGTTTTTATCGATCGTAGCTGTGATTTACGATCAGGAAATACTATCTCAGGGAATACGATCTCAGGAAATACGTTTTTACCATCATAATACAAATCAAATCACAGATCGAACAAAATTTAATATTTCTACTGAATATGCAAAGTTTTTATACCACTTTGTAACATATCAGGCAAACTATGATGCTATGATAGATAAATGAGATTTGTTTTGCCATATTTTAAAGGAGCAAGGGCATATTTTTGTGTGGCTAAGCAATATTTCACTATAGGTAAGTCATTTTTAAACTGTTAAATTATAGTACCAATCAAGCTGGTCTATATGATATAATATACTACCCTTTTGTAGCATAAGCTCTAATATAACCAAGGAGCAGCATGGCAGCATCTTCAAACAACTTAGCATCAAATGTGGTATAACAGCTGCCAAAATAGACAAAACAATTCTCGACGTCGAGAAGTGTTTTGTCTATTTTGGCAGTGTTATACCCTTTAGCATTATAAATTTAGTATATATGTAGCATGTTCATTTAACCTCTCCATAAGAAATCACTTCACTAGATCATCTCAGAATCATTAGACAACTTGTCATTTGCAACCAAAGTTGCAAGGTTTGGTAATTGATTAACCAGGCAAGGTTTGGTAAATGATTAACCAAACAGCTATTTGCACAGGCTATGACTAAGGGACTATAATGAAGGTGTTTAGCTAGTTTGTTTGCCTAATTTTGCACAAAGTCCTAAGAATTGTTTATATTTGTATGAATCAGTTGTGCCTGTGCATATCATAAGATTTCCAGGGTTCAAGTGCAAACTCCATTTTATTTTGGTGTCCGTTTGCATTTATGTTATTTCAAGTTGTGTAAATCAAACATATTTTAGGTTCTAACTTGACGATGAATATGAATTCTGTCTCAAGAAAGGCTCAGTTAGTTTCAGATAGAAAGAAATTTGATGAATTGTTGCCAAAGATCATTGATCAGATCATTGGTCAGCCTTGCAAGGAAACCAAAGATGCCATGGATCATTATCAGAAGGTTCTTAATGAATATATTTACTAGTGGTTTATGGATATTTTTAATGTTCTTTAAAATATCTGGATAACCTTGAATGTCTTTGAAAGTGGTGGTTAATTGACATTTGGTTATGGGTAGTGTGTGCATGGTAGAAGCAAATTAGTGTATAAGTACCAACATATTTTTAAATTAACCTTAACTTTTATAAATGCTTTTCATCTTTTTTAGTCTGTCATGTATAATCTTCCTGGAGGTATGTGTGTAGTTGATTATAAGAAATATATTTTTATGTTTTTATGTATTTTATCACCGTGCATTAAAATTTAAAAACAAGCTAGATTGTGTCTATAAACAAGATCAACTTGTGTGGCAAATGTTTCCAGGACAAAGCTATATCAAGTTTGCACCAAAACAAGCTTTTAAACATTGAATAATTTTCTCCAGGAAAAATGAATCGTGGTTTGACAGTAATGGCTACTTGGCGTTGCCTATTGGGAGAAAGAACAGCCTCAGACGAGGAATATTTCTCTGCGATAGTTCTGGCCTATTGTGTTGAGTTGGTATGCTAATAGATGGGTATTTTCTTGAGATAGAATTACCAGATTAATCCATCTCAATGACGCTGTAAATGCTAATGAGATTACTGTACATTATAGCTTCAAGCATCTTTTCTGGTTGCGGATGATGTGATGGACCAATCACAAACAAGACGAGGAAAGCCGTGTTGGTATAAAAAGGTGCATATAGGACTTTTGATGATAGACAATAACTAACTAGGATAGCATGGTTAGTGTGACCATTTAGCACATTTTTTACCAGATCCAGATGCAAAGACAGCCCTCGCCACATTTACACCAGGATTGAGGGGCCTAACTATATTTTAAAAAACTGCGTATATGGTCGCACTTGTGTGTGTGTCGTCTAGTCGTCTACAAGACTACAACAATAACTTTTTCCCAATACATCTTTCATTTTTTATACTCCAAACTTTTCTAAATATTTCAGGAGAATATTGGCCTGGTCGCAATAAATGATGCTTTTATGCTTGAGTGTTCTGTCTACAAACTACTTGACATCAATTTTCAGGATAAGAAATGTTATCCTAACCTAATCACTTTGCTACATCGGGTAAGTTCAGGCCTATGTGAGTTGTGGCAATTATGGAAAATATATAGGTATGGAAAATATATAAGAATGTATCTTCATGTATCCATATCTCAAACACACCCCATTTAATACAACTCCCTGTGTATTTCACTTTATTTGTTTTTATTCTTATTGTTTCCTAACTATTTTCATATCTGTATTAGTTATATCATATATATTCTTTCAATATTTCATTCGCTTTCCAGACAACTTTTCAGACTGAAACTGGTCAAACATTAGATCTTATAACCAAGCCTGGTGAAAACTTTTGTAATTTTACATTAGAAAGGTATCTTTACAAGTCATTTTTCATTCCTTTGAATGATTATTCAAACCGAAATTGAGGGTTTCTTCATCACCTGTAGATACAAGGCAATCGTAAGATGGAAGACTGGATACTACTCATTTTACCTACCAGTCGCTCTCGCTATGTATATGGTAAGATTTTCCCTCAAATATCAACTTAAGTAAATGCGAGTGAACTGTTATAGACAGACGAGTATCATCGGAATTGCAAAATGAATTCTAATAGTTCCAAGCGAGACATTAGGAGATGTTTTCACAGCTCAACCACGGGCAGTGTTTTCCACCATCTATTAAAATTGTCTGGGTTCATAATCGGTCGTATTTGGCTGGTTTATTGCCAGTTAATGGGCAAATAAGAGGCAGTTTTATTTGACTAGGAAAAGTTGAATCCAATCATTTCTCCGCCTAGATGAACATTACAGATAAAGAGATTCATGAAAGAACCAAGGATATTTTACTTGAAATGGGAGAATTTTTTCAGATTCAGGTAAATTAAAGCATTTCATTATGTCTTAGGATCAGTCTTGGCTTTGGTATTTATAAACGGGGTGCTTTGCAAGGTTCTATTCCCGATATTTTCCCTCAAATTCCACAGGATGACTATCTTGATTGTTATGGCGATCCAGAGGTAACAGGAAAGGTTGGGACAGATATCGAAGATACGAAATGTTCCTGGCTGTTAGTACAAGCTCTGCAGAGAGTTGATCAAGAACAGATGAATGTATTGAAGGTAATCAATAGTGTTTGCCTTGTGTATATTTTGAAATGCTTTGCCTTGTTTGTAAAGCCTAGCCAGGTATGAAAAAATAAAACCACAGGTGTAGCATCATATTCCATAACAACCATATTTATCAACAGGAGAACTACGGCGTCAATGATCCAGTGGCAGTAGCAAAAGTGAAAGAAATTTACTCCAAATTGAACATGAAAAAAGTCTACCAGGATTATGAAGAAATTAGTTATCTAAAGTTGATGGCACTTATCGACAAAGCGCCAAGTGAAATGCCGAAAGAAATCTTCACTGAACTTGCTGGGAAAATATACAAAAGAGATAAATAAAAGTCATAGAATGCACTTTTTAATTTAAACAATGATAAGAATTAACCTAAAGGAGTAATTTCGATTAATCTTTTGCGAAGCAATGTCCCAGCGTTAATTTTCTGTAGCATATTCAATCTGGCAAGTCAGTACTGAGGTTAAACTGTTTCATTGCCCGTAACTTGTAAATGCAAAGACTGCGGTCTCGTCATTTTTCATTTAAGACTTTCGTATTGTGATTTATCTAATTCTTACTCTATTTAATAGAACAACAAATTTGATCACTCTTTGATATGAAAACAAAAAAATTAAATACACGCAACGTAACAATCTCTCGACAGATTCTTGGCATGTTGCATATCAAATATCCCTTGGCCTTGTATTTATTATTTCCATTTGCACGGGTCATTTGTTTCATCATGTGAACTTCCTAGACCTAGTATTTCTCCGTATTTCCGTGACGGGGACAAGCTGGAACTCAGCAAAGTTCACGTCTGGTTCGACAAAACAAAGTATAGAGTAGTCATTCCTTCGTCCAACATATTAGAATCGGAAATCTCGTTGATCGCTTAGTGAACAATTTGAATCTTCAAGTATAAACACTAGTCGCAATACTGAAGCAATAATATGGCGAATCAAGCAAGTCGCAAAGCCCAGATAGCTATCGATCGCAAAAATTTTAACGAAGCTTTACCTAAGGTTATCGAACAAGCCATTGGACAACTTTCTGAAGAGACCTCGGACGCAACGGAACATTTGAAGAAGGTTTAATAACATTTATGATTTGTTTTGGATTTTGGAATGTGTTTTATATCGGAAGGATATAAAACCCATAGCCATACTCGAGTCTCAAGGAGCGTAAAGAAACATGATTTGAATAAACCATGTGTTTGTCGCTTGAGCGGATATGAGACTCGTTCTCAGCAGAGTATATTCCTTAACTGGGGATCAAATGAGCTCCGCCTGATCTGAGAAATGGAAAAGATAGAGTGAATGATTTGATAATGAAAGTAAAGTTCTACTCTCATGTGTCGTGTGGAGAATAATTTGTGTAATCTCACCCCTCCCCTCCCCCCTTAAAGTTAGCAGAATTGGTGATAAGTTCGGTTGAATTTCATTCAAAATTTGGGATTTGGGAACGCAATTTTTCCAGGGTCGGTCAAGGAAATTTCGTCCGGAATATTTGCGCATGCTCTCTTGATGGTGAATTTTGTCTTTTTTAGAATATTATGTACAACTTACTCGGAGGTAAAATAAAATTGATAAATCCTAGTTATTAGCTAGTTGTTCATTTGTTGTAGAATACTACCTACACTGGACCACCACGTTTGAGATATCTTTCTCAGGTAGTTCAGACACAAACCACGACAGCTTATCAGTTGTAGAATACTACCTACACTGGACCATTACGTTTGAGATATCTTTCTCAATCGCACTAGTATAATACATTATTATTAAATTTAGATCAAACGATTAATATTTCAAAAACCTCCCTAGGCAAGATGAACCGGGGTTTAACAGTTCTGTCAACTTGGCGACTCCTACTGGGAGATAAAGAACCAACTGATGCAGAGTATTACTGTGCCATAGTCTTAGCTTGGTGCGTTGAATTTGTAAGTTGTTCATTTATAAAGTTGGCTTGAATTTCAAAGAATAACATGTACAAAGCCAACGATTCTTTTTTTGTGAACCGTGGTCAGCTCCAGGCCTTCTTCCTAGTGGCTGATGACGTAATGGACCAGTCTATAACTCGCCGAGGGAAACTATGTTGGTATAAACAGGTCGGTATTTTCATCTTTTCATACACATGGGGTCGTTTAAGCGATAAAACTGAAATTCAATTTCATTTGAAGAGCTAGCATATAGTATCGGGGACTTCCGTCGACGAACCCAATTCCGGCATAGCCGATAAAGCATCGTGATTCTTTGTCTACCCCGGGAAGTCTTTCTTACCCTTAGTAATATAAGATTTCATATCATCGCCGACTTGTAGTTGACTTTATATAGATAGCTACGAATGTCGTTATAATGTCCAATCTATTTCGGTTACGAAATGATTTTCGCCACCCAAATCGTCCAGCTTAACCAGTATGATTTCAATATGACCTACCAATGCCCATTCCTTTGTATTTTCCAGGAGGATATTGGACTGATAGCTGTGAACGACGCTGTGATGTTGGAGTCCTGTGTCTTCAGATTAGTTGATATAAATTTCAAGGATAAAAAATGCTATGGAAACATCATCAGACTATTCCATGAGGTGCATGACTTGCATATACGATATGTTACCATCAACATTCCAAGTTATACATTCAACCAGAACCAACCAATTACGTCTCAGTGCAAAAATTTTTCCTTCCTTTTTCTCCACAGACGACGTCACAAACGGAGATCGGTCAAACCCTAGATCTTATTACAAAACCTGGCGAAAACTTTTGCAATTTTACAATGGAAAGGTAGTTAGGATCTTTTTGTTGCTGGCCCATTCAGGCACAACTACCAGCACTTACCACAACCCACAAGGCAAGATCTTGGAAAGTCTTGCATCATTTACGCTGCTTATATCCTTATTTCTGTTCACTTGTGTAGATACAAGGCCATTGTGAAATGGAAAACAGCTTTCTACTCATTTTATCTTCCTGTTGCTTTAGCTATGTTTATGGTTTGTTTTTTACTGTTCTGTCAAAAGCTACACTCCTTCAGGCTTTTTAATCATTTCAATATTAATTGTCCTGCGGTATCATCTTTTTTAGCACGATATTACTGACAAGGGACTGCACGAGGCTGCGAAAGAAATTCTTTTAGAAATGGGAGAATTCTTTCAAATCCAGGCAAGTGCGGATGGATGATAAATTTAGTTTCCTGCCTTAGCGAGACTTGATCAATACGTTATTTCCTTTCCCTTGACTATACACTTTTTAGGAATAACGTTTTATAACTGGTAGAAGGATAGTATCTGGTATAAACAAAGTTATCTTAGTTTAGTTTCTTCATCAACAGATCATTCTTCCTAGACTTTTAAGAAGAGCAGTTTAGACGTATTATAACGTACTTGCAGTGGAAAGAGTTATGCTCATGACTTCTAATGTATATTTCTACTTCAAATCCCACAGGATGACTATCTTGATTGTTATGGCGATCCAGAGGTAACAGGAAAGGTTGGAACAGATATTGAAGAAACGAAATGTTCCTGGCTGTTAGTACAAGCTCTACAGAGAGTTGATCAAGAACAGATGAATGTGTTGAAGGTATTGACTATTGTCATCTCTAGATAGTAGACACTGTACTGGGCTGTTCTTTCTAGAAGTCCAGCAATGATAATCTGTTATTGATAACTCCAGGTAAACTACGGCGTCAACGATCCAGTCGCAGTAGCAAAAGTGAAAGAAATTTACTCCAAATTGAACATAAAAAAAGTCTACCAGGATTATGAAGAAATTAGTTTTGTAAAGTTGATGGCACTTATCGACAAAGCGCCAAGTGAAATGCCTAAAGAAATCTTCACTGAACTTGCTGGGAAAATATACAAAAGAGATAAATAGCGATAAAGAATTATTAAAATTAAACATTCAGTTGGAATTGTAGTACTAGTAGTGAGGAAAGTGTTGGACTAGGTTTCTAAGTATATGTAGTAATAGTGATTTTACTGTTGAGAAACTCATTTAATGATACATGGCTTTATTCTATGCAAAATCTATCCCAAGGTTGATGAATATTTCGACTTCATCTACATATCTTTTGTTGTCTGTTAAAAAGAATTAACATTAGAATTTTTAATTCTGTTTATTCAACTGCTTTGTAAACACACAAAGGCGTTATTAGCAGAGCATAGATTGAACTCGAATTTCTCGAGCGCGAATTGATTCAAACGCTTCAGAGATTACCCGTTTATCGGGGCGATATTTGTGGTGAAATTATAGATGTTAACTTCACAAAGACGTCGTAATGCTCACGAGATTCCTCCACAAATGCCTTAAATTTAATGAATGTATTTTTCGCGTTAAATTCGATATTCCTTTTATTCTTTAACGAGCTAATTGCGAGCCCAGCAATGCAATAACGGTAGGCGTAATGAGAAATATTATTTTCCATTCAATTCATGTTTAAACAGCGAATTAAACAAGCACATTGTTTGGAATACTGTGGGAGACCAGGCAGCTGTACTAAGTTGGGCATTATTGAAAAAAAAAGCCGGTGTTATAAGCTGTCGTTGATTTACAAAGAACAGCCTAAAAAGTTTAAAAGTTGTGATTTGTTTCACTGCCAATGCATGCGGTGAAGTGAACTTTTAACTTTTTTGAACTCAGAACGAAAAGTGACATTAACATTCCTGAGAATAATATATTTAGATAAGGTTCTACAAATATTCGTAACCAAGCAGGTAACAGATAAGTGAATAATGCAAGCAGGAAAAGGTCGTTCTCACGGGGAAATTACGAAGACTGATGTCTATATCTCCGGCGACGAAATTCAACCGGGCAACCAGCGGAAAAGAAGGAATTCAGGTAAAAATGAACTAAACTATAAGTCAAACAACAACCTGTTGAGGTGAGGCGAAGTTTCACGAAACAAAAGCGAGATCGTGAATACAGGTTTTATTTGAAAAGGTGATGGTCTAGTGTAGGTATTATTCTACAATAAACTGTCGTGGTTTGGGTCTGAACTACCTGAGAAAGATATCTCAAACGTGGTGGTCTAGTGTAGGTAGTATTCTGCAATAAACTGTTGTGGTTTGTGTCTGAACTACCTGAGAAAGATATCTCAAACGTGGTGGTCTAGTGTAGATAGTATTCTGCAATAAGCTGTCGCGGTTTGTGTCTGAGGCAGTATTCTACAACATATAATTTGTTGACTAGGTCCCAATCGGCGTCGTTGTGGAAAGGATTTAAACAAACGTAGTTTACTCTTGAAACAAACTCAAACTGCAGAGACTTTAGAATGGTAAGTGATTATAGATAACGACGCCTGTCTTTCTCAGTTGCTTTTGACCTGGTTCAGCATTTGATAATCCCGATAATAACCTCAGATGCATGCATGATGCATGTACCATGCCATGAATGATAGAATGCAAAAGCCATGAACGCTTTTATTTTGATCATGCATCCGTATTCAGTCCAACGTTTTTACTGACATTTCATCTGTGACATATTGTGAAGGTTATCACAGAACTACGAGTTGATCCACGGTGTCTGTGTTCCAAGATGCGTGTTGTACACACATTATCTGGATTTCTGCAAAAAGAGAAGATTTTCACCGGCCGGTCCGGCAACATTTGGAAAGGTAAAGAAATAAAATGGGATTAAATTTTAGTGTTTCGTAGACCAAATCAGTGCCGTTCACCTCTGACAGTGACTGACCATCTATTGAGATGATTCACCTTCAATTCTGTGATAATATTTTCACTGATCCATAAGAGAAGAGACTGAAGAGTGGCCTTTTTAACCGTTCAATCTTTCCGCATACAACTCTGTCCCCTGTATAGTGTATGTAGCAAGTTACTCTAGCCTACTCCAGTCATTCGCGTCCCAATATTTGTTTCCTTATCGACTACAGCTCATCAGACAAAGATTCCCGAAACTGACAACAAGAAGACTAGGGACGAGAGGGCAGTCGAAGTAAGAGAATATTACGCTAAAATTGTATATGCTAAGGCGGCTTCGATTAACTGTGAACAAATATTTGAAACTTTGCTTAATAACGGTATAATTCTCATGCACCAGGGCCATGCTATGGTCAGGGATTTTGTTTAACAAGACCGCTCAGGCAGCAAGTTTTAGTCCAACGTTTCTAGCCGATGTCTTAATCAATTATGTTGCATACCACCCACTGTTTGCTGCATGTAATTAAAGCATTGGAGAATTAACTATCGATTTAAGCGTGGGATTAATAGTTATAAAAGGTAGTTAAAGGTTTTGTACACTCGTTTTTATAAACGATTGATTAAAAACGATCTTAATGCTTCCAGATATCATTACTACGGAATATCCATCAAGGAATCATCGGTGTATTATCATTCTGTTTACTCTGGAAAAGGATTAACCAGGTTTCGTTTGGTTTTGACTACATTGAGTATATGAACGAGCCCATAATATATCATTATTGATGTCATTTGCATGCTAACGTTGTCTATATTAACAAAATGTTTTTCATTCGTTCAGGTTTTCTGGTACTGAAGGACGAAAAAAGGTCTTGTCTTTAGTTTACATGATAAACTCTTCATAAGTTTAAAAAACAGCGTTGTGTTGCAAAAAGTTAACATGGTTATGGACCGATGTGGAGAGAACAAAGTAACAGGAAACTTCTTGCTCGATGTGAAATAATCTATTGGTTTCTTTTTTAATACAGGGAATAACAAAGAAATTTTGTTTTGATAAGAAAAACAGCAATACTTTACCGGAGTTTCCAAGCGCGTCTGAAATGATTTTGGGCGATGATTTGCAAGTGGAAAAGGTAAATATGATTCTTATGTTTTCCACCTCTGGCAGAAAGAATGGTTTGGAACGGGCTAAGCTATCCAATATAAATGAAATTACTCTACTTTAGGTATCTTCCTGCAGTGTCAACAAGTGATGATCCTTACTTAAGGACGGTCTCTAAATTATTTTTTACCTCCAGGTGGAAACATTCATCATAATGTATCGCACCCATTGTCAGCGGTTACTGGATACAGTCATGAACGCAAATTTTGACGAGGTAATAACAAATTATGCTCCCTATACTAAATGCAGGCTACCATATTTATCGGTTGACCCATAGCTCCGATCTGATCTGTTCAACGTTAAGGTACACAAGTTTCTTCTTCATTTTTGGCGCGGAATGCCTCAGCACATGATTCCTGTCTTGGAGTGTGACGCGGTCATTGATATTATTGTTGTCTGTGATTCGTTGCTTTACAAGATATTAAACGATGTCTTAGTGCCCTCGAGCATACAAGATATACCGGACAGGTGGGATAATTTGAATTTCATCTGCTAAAAAATATGTCAACATCAATGCCAAACTATTCAACATTAGACGGTGTCGTGCTTTGTGTCTCAATTCATGACTAATGATTTCAAACATGAGAGTTTCAGTGCTGGTGCTTGGATATTTATTAAGCTGTCGTGGTTTGTATAACCGTTGCGATGCAGTGTAGGTAGAATTCTGTAATAAGTAGTTCTGGTTTGAAGTCTAAATTTCTTGCAAAAGATATCTTAAACGTGTTGCTTAAGTGTAGTGGATATCCACCATAAGCTATTGTGGTTTGCGGCGCCTGACTCTTAACCACTTACGGAAAATATCTTAATCAGTTCAGTGTGGGTAGTATTTTACAAGCTGTCATGATTTGTGTCTATACCTGTCTGAAAAAAAAACATCTCTAAGCTTAGTGGTCGAAGGTCAACTAGTTCTGCAAAAAGCGTCGAAAGAGATGATGCAGTGATGCAGGTCTTTCAGTAAACAGTTATTTTTAGTCTTACAGAGGAAATCCAACAGTTCGCTGGCACGTTTATTAAGTCACTGGAATCTTGCTTAGAAAATACACCAGAACTGTTGAGAAACCAAAAGATTCGAGGTAATTCAACTGGAAAAAGCGACAGTCTGATCAGCTAATCTCATGCAGTTTCCTAAACACCATTTCGTTTATTTTACGTTTTTAATGTCTTCAGTTGCCAAGAATTTTGTTCGCTTGCTTAAAAGGAATATGACTTTTATCCATTTAGCTCAGGTACGAAAAATCTCAGGCAATTCTCCGATGTTATTTTCTTGTCAATCAACACGTAACCAATACATGAAGAACTGAATTTGTGATCTATCTGACTCTTTTAGACAGCTCGTCCTGTTTTTCTTAGCTATGAGTCGATGTCAGGAATCCTAAATGAATTTCATAGCCTTGATTTGAGAAAGATTTTATCAGAGTTGTTGTTTTTGACCGAACAGAAGCACGTTAGGTTACCAGAATTATTAATGTGTAAGTGTTATAAAATACTGAATTACGCCGACGCTCCCGAGGCGTGAAATTCCGCTCAGCGCTATCGTCTTCGTTGCATTTCTAGTCATGAAGGAATTTGAAAACCTTTTGGTGAAACAGGCTCCAATCGAAGCTTATGCTGAGTGGTTTGACAGCATTGTTGAAGAATATGTACTAAAAGATGATGTATGTGTTTTCCTGAATATTCTTTGGACAACTAAAACATGTTATCTTCGAAGAAATAATAAAGTTTTTTCTTTTTAGACGAATACTACTGAAGGAGTCAGTGATTTATCCGAGAAATCTAAGGGATTCTTAACAAGCTGGTCGTTCATTACTTCACGTATCTTGCAAGAGTTGACATTAAAAGGGGCACCTACGTTTGGTACGTTTAACTGCATGGCTTTGAACTCTGACACTGTAACATGCGGGGATGATTGGAGCAAGTACATGTTCCGTTTTAAACTGTAGTCTACGTTTGTTCTTTCAGGTTCATTCCAACTTATTATTATGATGTTTGAAGAATATATTCTTCTTATTATTGAGAATCAAATGGTCGCTCGCTTGGACGAAGACTTGAAGCAAGCTTTGACCCGGCATTGGAAAACAGCATCAGGTTTGAACAATAAATTCCACTCCATTTGCTAACCCGAGCAACTCTTCTTTCCTTCATCAGCTAATAATCCACCCAGTTCTGTCCTGGGTGGATTATTAGCTGATGAAGACGACACAAGACGTTGGTAAACAGGTGTACCAAGTTGCTGATTTAATATGCCATGTTCATTTAGATGTTAGGGAGGCAAATCTCGTTCAAGAGAGTTCTGAGACAAAACACCAAACACGTCATAAAGATCAATTGATCTTGAACCAACAACAGAGACAGAGATTTTCTAAAACCTCAAACGCTTCAAAAGAGCAAGAAATTCTTATGATTCAAAATATTCAACAAGAATTTCAACAAATTGAAACTTCAAAAGGCCAGGAACCGAACGCAAATAATTCACTTTATCAGATGAGCCAACAAACATCAGAGCTTCACCCCAGACAAATGCCTGAGATCAATTTCCCTACGAGGGAGGTGTACATGGGTATCAATGCCGTACAAGCGGATATTTACCGTATTGAGAATTCCACAGCGATTCAACCACATGTCTATAACATAATGTACACTCAAAATCAAGGAAACCATCTGGAATTCACAAATATGCCTTCCGTGAATAGTTCTCGAAATTCATTTCCGAGAACAGCGCGTAATAATCTACAGGCTCCATCGTTGATTACTGGAAATGCATATAAATACCAGTTCGATACATATGCGCTGGAGACTGGACAAGATCAGTCAATTGAGGTTCAGTCACAAGGTACCTATCAAGGTCAAGGTCAAAGTGCAGCCCATGGTCATTTTCATTCTCAAAGCTATTTTCACGATAAAATTCACGCTGGTCACCAGACCCCAGGTAAACTTGATCAGGGCCATCAAGGTCAAGGTCATCATCGTCAGAGTGAAAGTCAACACGCCCAGGGTCTAGAGTTCCAAAGTCATCATACTCTTGGACAAAATGAAAGCCATTTTAAGAACTTTCAATATGAAGACCAACTCCATAACCTAGACAGCAACCAAGAGTACAGTTCCCAAAAACAAGTGCATTATTCTGTCAATGAAAGTTTTGGTTACCCTGATCAAAATGTGAACTATAGTCAAACTAGTACAAGTTCTAACAATTATCTATATACCGAGAATATGTCTGTAGACAGGCTTACAGACCAGGATATGACATATACAACTGAAGATCAATCTAATATTGACTACCAAGGAATGACAACGCTTCCCTCTTTCTTTCAATTAAGCACTCAGTTGTCAAGAAAAACCAGATTGTCTGGGCATTGAAATATCTATCAGTTTTATCTACTTTTTAAGATGAGAAAAGGTTTCGTCGACTGTGCCATGTGATTATACTTTCAGGAAAAAACGTTATCTTAATTCCGTGATATTGAATGATATGACTAAGGCCAAATTATACTTAATTTACCATTAGAAATGACTGGAAACGTTTTGCAATTAAGTCGCCATAACATTTTTTTCGCCATTGTTAAGCAAATGCAAAGTAGAAATATATAAGTCTTATGTGCATTCTTGCATAAACAATCATGTATATTATTATTAAACTACGCAACAACGACATTAATTATATCAGAAGCGAAAGCTTTACTGTTTTCATTCAATAACTGGTCGGTCTTGTTAATGATTTTCAATCGTAGAATTGAAAGAATCGTTTCTGGATTTCTGGAAAACAAAATTCTGTGATATTTGTCCATTTGGTTTTGTGATTTAGTCGTCATTCACGCCGGTTCTGTCTGGTTCTGTGGACTATCAGGCGAAATGTCTCGCTAAATGAATTCTTCAATTAGCATTGAAGATATTTTAAAATTGTTATCTTTGGATTGGATACGTGAGACGAGTCTGACTGGCAGCATTTACCAGCATTTTTCAGACTTATTGCTACATTCGGGTCAGCGAGTTTAGTCTGCTGAATCTGCTGGTAATACTTACGTGGTACTGAAATATTTCTCAACGTATATACGTATATTGTGTACATTGTACAATACCGGTGTCTGCTTGACATTGACTACGAATATTTTACATTTCCCTCCAGAACGACCAAAAGAGAGGAACTCTTCCAATCGTTACCTGCAAATACTGCTTTTTTTGGGGAGATTTACGCCGTAAATAATCCATATAGTTGGTACCATAACAAACGAGATGACTGTAGGCGATAGATGCTCGGTTGTGTTGCAATTATGCTTGTACTTCTTCACCCAAGCGTTTAACTTGCTCACAGACGTTGGCCTCTTCGTTGATACATCAAAAATCCTACCATCCTGTGACGATGTTATCAATAGCAATGCTACAAACGAAACTGGGGGATATGTTCTCTGTTCTGGTGGAGATAATTTCACATCAAGTGCCTTGAATAGTTCCAGAAACGATCTTCGCACATTACAATTGACTATAGCAGCATTTTTCCTTCTTGGAGGGGTTTTATTCCTAACTCAGCTTTTCATGTACTTCAGATACTATTCAGCAACTGGCAGCCCGGAATTCCAGTACGACGTGGACGATTCGAAGTTCCTGAAACACTTTTATAAAATTCACGGCCTTGTTTTAGCCGTAGAAGCCATACTGCATGATATACCGATGGGGTTTATGGTTATCGAGCTGTGTGTGATGGTGTGGAAGCTTCCAAACTGTTGGGAATGTGCTACGATTTCTAGTAGTGTACCAGAGGAGTTGTCTTTGACGAAGACAAATTTATGGCTCGGTATAAAGCTGGCTTCCCTGGTTCCCATAACATTTTATAAAGGTTAGTAAATCAGAGTCGATATTGTAACGATGTATATACGTTTACCCGTTGTCTATGCTTTCATATTTAACAGTTTAAAATGTACTTAAAGTTTGAAGCAGTAAAACTTTGAAGCACAAAAATTTCAAGACATTGAAGACAAGGTGATCCCCGCAAAGGGAGGCGATGATTTTGTATCTTGCGTGCGTGCAATGTAAACAGGGCCTCAAATATATGCCTGGTAGTTTAGTTCTGTTACATTTGCATAAAATAAAATGTCGTGGAAAGCAGTCAAAGGTCTTTAGTACAGTTCTATAATCTCTTTACGATGAGTTTAAGAGGTACATTCTGTTTACTTGGGTCTTGAAGGAAAGTTGATGATGACTTCATTCATTTTTCTTCAGGTATGTTTCCAATGTTCATGTGGATTGGCGGTCCGTTCTGCGGCATGGATTGCTACATTTGTCGTGTTTGTACCGTCATCCCTTGCGGCTTCGTTCTCACGGTGTTGCTGATGACACCACTCTGTGGCGCGATCTTACACCGCTTGGTTCCGATTGCGTCGGGAATCGACGACGGCATTCCGAACACTGTCTGGTCGATCGGACTTATTTTCTGGGCGCTCGCAATTATTGTCGGAACCTTGTTGTGCCTGTGTTGTGTGCCCTCGTGTAGGGTTTGTTGCTTTAGGTACGGGCCGTGCAAATGGTGCGGGCTAGACTGCTGTGGCTTGGGTGAGAAGAAACGAGAGACTATGAAAGTTGAAGCGGACACCTAATGTTTGATGTAAATTATAGACTGTACTTATTTTATACTCCGGCACAGAATGTGTCATGAACTATCAGATTGGTCTTATGTAAGAGAAAATCATTGCTCGATCATTTCGATGAAGATGTAACAATTTAGATGGTTTAATTTTGACGAGATTCTTCAATTCCTATGAAAATACTTAGGGTGTATATAACCAGGGGTCCAGGGACGCTGGAACAATTCAAAGAAAAGGGTAGATTTTGTGAAAAGGATCTTCTCAGTATATTATGGTATTGGACCTTCCAAACAACCCATTCAAAGATTAATACAAAGCGAAGGGAAGTCTAAAGATATCGTTCTCTTTATCGATCATAATGTACCGTTTCTACAACCCCTGTGGTTCTGTTTGTGAATTGAGTTGAAAATGCGTCAGGACCACTGACGCCGAGAATTCATTATTGAGAAACATAGTAGACTAATCGTTTTCCGTTTGCAAATGATATAGTTATTCATTATAACATAAAGTTCCTGTCCCCTTGCTGAGCCATTCTTGATTACAGTTCTTGCTTTTCGTGCCTTGCTACAGAAAGAAAAACTGCCGGCATGCATCAAGTATAGCTTTAAACATCTTAATGCTGACGATCGGCCTTTAGCTTATTCCTGACGAAATACCATCATTTTCACTGTAGCTTCAATCCATAATGGATGAGTAAAGTCGTCTTTCTTTGAAATCGAATATTTTCTTGCTCAATTTTTTCCCGTCATCACCGAATTTTTGCAATATCTTCCTGCTAAGAACAAGGGTAAATATTTATAAATCAGTCGGATGTTTTTAAAATCCCATACAGACCTGTTTATCCAGCAAATATATGATTCAACGAGAAACCTTTTATTCATATTTTCCGGAGAGCATTTGAATTAAAAGGGATTAGAATCACATTCTATCGAATATATATAAATTGACGAATATATATATAAATTGACGAATATATATAAATTGAATCTGGTTCGTGAAACATTTGGATCAAAAGCATTTGATTTTATGCACTTGTCTTAACTTTTTTCCATTTGTGTGAAGAATATTTTAGACCCGTTGCATCAGCTACGATTCATTGTCACATAAACTTGCCTCATGCAAACTGAATGAAGAAGAATTCCGGCACCTAAGCAATAATTCCTGGGAAAATACTGGCCGCGTTCCGTTTCTTGTGTGGCTATATTATCATAGTCGGCCTCAAGGTAAGACATTCAATCAAGCTGTCTTTCAGAAATTCTTTTGCATATTATCTTCATCAAACAGTCAGTAATGTTTTTGGCGTCAGGTCATTTCAATTCATCGTAAATCACTTCACTAGGACTGTGCAATACGGTGTACATTATCACAGAGGGAACTCAATCAAATTCTTCAATAACTCGATCACGCACGATACAGATTTCGACTGAATATAGTTTTAATAGTTTGATATAGGGACTTCATACTCACTATAATGCATCAACGCTCCTGATAATTCGTTACCATTCAATTTTAGTTTTATCTCAAACATACTAAAAACTAAACCGCATATATGTTTGTCAAATGAATGTTCAGCAGGCGTTTTAAAAGTACTTTTTGAGCGCATCACAATCTATCACGGCTTAATTCTGATCTTATTCGGACTCAAAGGGCGCTTTTGAGAGGATTAAGATATCGCGGTCTTCCTGTGCTTAAAGTAGTAACTCTATTGGTACCCGAGAGTTTTTTAATTATTTCCCATGACTATAATATTTCAATCTTAATATCGCAATTTGATAAATTACCTCCTGCATTGTCAACGTATTATTGAATTTAATTCTCAGCCGTGAAAATCTGGTGATTTTGTGTTGATAGTTTTCAGACACGTTTTCCTCAAGATAAAAGTTAGCTGCCTTAATTAAAATGATTTTGTACTTGCAGAACTGTCATAGTTCAGTCGAGTGTGATCAGTAAATCGTGAGGCAGAGAAGATGCTCTTGAGTGGCTTGTTCTCACAGTTCATAGCACCTCGTTGAATCTGATAAAACAGATAAAAACTGTTACAGTAAATTGAAATCTTTGCGTCTTAGTAGTTAGTCCGTTAAATGAAAGATGATTACCAGATTTTGATTGAATCTGTGTCTGCAATCACTGCTTGTAATTAATAAGTGATGGTCTAAAGCCAGACTTATAATTAGGAGAGTTATACGCAAACATTTTCGAAAGTCAAAACATAATCATCAATGACAAAATGCAAACAAATAAACACTTTAGAAAACGTGTAGCAAACATGTAATTATGATAGCGCCATCACTTAATGAGTAACCTGCGTGACATTCAAACTGATCATAACATAAGATTACTGGTTTCTCAAATCTTTTATATTCTGGAATCTATTTTGACGTTTTCCTAAAGTTTTGAGGCATTTTTAGATGTTTCAGCAGCATTTTTTTGCCTTAGATGAAGCCGATGGAAACACGCTAAGACGGTTTAGTTGTTTGATGGGGCTAAATTCTGACCAGCTGTATGTGATGTTTCGCTCAATAAGTAGATCTGATCGTACCCAATGGCTTTCACAGTTTGTGACTGCAATGTCCAGCTATGAAAAGCCATATTTGTTTTGTTTCTGACTAGGAAGATTTTATCTGATAGCAGGCATTGTTGGGACAACACGATGCTGTGATGTTGATGGAGGGGAATTGTTTCGAATTATGTGCTCAAATTGCTACATACAAATGTCACAAAGTAAAGATACCGCTCTCGAGCAGGGGGGAGGAAACTTCTGGGTCTGAACCTTTACTGAATGGCACTTCAAACTAGTGATTGATGAGAAAATTTATGATTACTCAAATGCATGTTCCAGAAAATTAATCTACGAAAACAGCCATGAGTACACATTGCACAACCATAAATCATCTCATAAGCCTTTGGTTTTGTCCGATGCAAGAGTAGATCGCAGTTCTTGATAAAATGAACTGTTTACTGTCAACGCTAAAGACGATGACGTAAAACTAATTTTCAGACATCGTAAAGTATTAAGTGCTGACGGTCAGGAGTCATTAATCAATCTCGCGTTTAATAAAAAAATCTTATCATTTAGCCTCTGGTCCAATAGTGCTATACTGTTAAAAAAATCAATCAGTCTCTAACCGATGTTCGTTCCTTATACTCCACTAACCAGCCTAGTCAAAAAAGCACCTGATCTCTGCACGGACATCTCACATCTGTATTCAGAAAATTTGAAATGCATTGTCCCCCTAAGACATAAACCAAACATGATAAACATCTACATTAAAATCTTCTATGAAAAAGTGAGATATTCTCGAAGATATGGCCTTCGGAACAGGGTAAATCAATTAATCATATTAAACCTAATTGTACTCGCTACTCAACCCAAATGCTGATCTGCAAAACATCTCACTCCCCCTGCCCCCGTTTTGACTTTACAAAGGGTATACCCCCTACAGTATGGGCTCATTTGGAGTCTAAACACAAGACAATACAACCTCCTATCTTCTGCACAGCCAGCAGTAAATACAGGCTATACAGGTCTATACAGCAACCAATCTAACCACGCCATATGCACACAAAGTAAAGAATTCCGTTCACGACATGTAAGCTGACCTTAGTTGACTCCTAGTCGATTAAAATGCTAATGAAGTAAATTGGGTCCCGCCTCTTGCAGTGAACATATAACAACGATACACGCACATGAACAAGCATTTAAACCTGATTAAGACATCGGAATAGCTGCTCGTAACGCGGATAACGACGTGGGGATATTTTTAGCCAAAGGTTCGCCAGGAATAGTTGGTATTCGATGGTTGTTTGCAGCACGAAAACAGAAGAGGGTGATTTGTGTGTAGGGTTACCTTTGGGCGATTGTAACAGATTGGTTTTGAATAACGGCGGTCGTTGAGGTACGCGACTTGTAAATGTGAACTGACTAACTAAAAAACTAAATTCTACAATAGCTTTAGTTGTTTTATATGCTCTTTTGCGGGCCCATACATAGTTTAATCGACTGTCGGCACTTGAATTTATCAAAATTACTGGGCACAGCCAAGGTGCGGTAAACAGCCATACACTTCTAAATTACACAACATGTTGAATCGTAAAGTCGTAAACAAGGTAGATTGCAGACGATTGTTAGAATTAGCAAGTTGTTTCATGCAAAGATTACATCCTTTCGTTCTATGTCGGAGGTCCGCGCGGAACTTCGTTTATTGGAATGACAAATTGTGACAGTTTTAAAAACAATTCATTCATTATTAAACCTGTGGCGTTGCTTAAGATTCTTATTCCGATTATAATTGCATCTGAATTCCGTCAGTCAATACAAGCAAATTTTCTGAATTTTCTGCCGTGGGCCTTAAAAAATGGGCAGTTGTACCTATTGTAAAGTCATTTCACATTCAAAGAACCTTTGCTACGATTTTTTAGTTAATTTTTCGACGGTCATTGTTCATCAAAAGTTATTGAGCAGCCTTACACATTCCTGTAAGAAAGATCCATTGCACTTTACCATCACAGAAGCAATTTGCTTAATGATATTAGTCTCCAGAACGCAAAATATGTTAATTCGAGTTAACCGTCAATAAAATGCTCACATTTATATGTTGTCAACACGTTAAAAAAATTGCGTCAGACGTTGTCAACATGTTGCAGCTATATGATTTCGCGTAGCACATAATTCTTCTGCTGATAAAGAATGAATTAATAGTAATTGGTTTGTTCAAATGACTGGCTCTGCTTAATCCATTGATTAATGACTGGCTCTGCTTAATCCATTGATTCGATTGTGCAATTTATGAATGGCGCGATTAGAGTTCATAACCCAAAATGAATTAGATCCATTTGTGTCTTCTGGAGGTTTCTCTGCTTTGCCTTTGTTGACGGTAAACAACTGAACAGTACAGTTAACTGGATACACTTGGGTAGCTCTTTCTAAAGGTCCAGTAAGGATTATTGAACCAGAGTTCTACGAAACGAGGAAACTGAAACCGTAAACTAACTTTATTCATACTGGATAGCTCTATCAGTTCTAAATTGTTCTTCCTAGAGGTCCAGTAAGGATCATCTCTTATTGATCCAGTGTTACTACAGGAGGAAACCTAAACTAAACTAACTTTATTTATACTGGATAGCTCTATCAGTTCTAAACTGTTCTTTCTAGAGGTCCAGTAAGGATCATCTCTTATTGATCCAGTGTTATTACAGGAGGAAACCTAATCTAAACTAACTTTATTTATACAGACACTGTTCTTCGAAGAGATCCAGTAAGGAGACGTCTCTTCTATTCCCCTTAGTGATTTAATATTTTAACTGTATTTGATATTGTATTTGATTTTGTCTACTTTTAGGTCGACTTTGGTTTAATATTATCATTAAAACAAAAAAAATAAAAAATGGAGGTCCACGAAGCCAACAACACTGGAATAATATTCTCAGAAAAGCAACCAGCGGCGACGATGCCGTTCCAGGAACCAGAGGCGATGAAAATTGGGCGAATTGCGCTTGAAGTCTTCATTGGAATATTTGGGATTTGTGGCAATCTTTTGGTGTGCGTTTCAATACGAACAAGCAAGCGACTTCAAACTGTTGGAAACATATTTGTGTTTAGTCTTTCAGTCGCCGACCTGGGCGTCCTATTGATCTGTCTGCCATTAGTCAAACTCAATTCAGACTTTCATTATTCATGGCCGTTTGGAGACGTTGGTTGTAAGATTCTTCTACCCCTGACGGATGTGTTTTACGGGGTCTCCATAGGCTCCATTGTCGGGATCTCGTTTCATCGTTACAGAATGATCGTACATTGTATGAGCCGTCAGCTTACTGGAACTAGGGCAAAGTTCTTGGTTGCATTAATCTGGGTGAGATTTTGAACCAATTTATAGTCAGGTTTCCTCCTGTAGTAACACTGGATCAATAAGAGATGATCCTTACTGGACCTCTAGGAAGAACAGTTTAGAACTGATAGAGCTATCCAGTATAAATAAAGTTAGTTTAGTTTAGGTTTCCTCCTGTAGGCTGTAGTAACACTGGATCAATAAGAGATGATCCTTACTGGACCTCTAGGAAGAACAGTTTAGAACTGATAGAGCTATCCAGTATAAATAAAGTTAGTTTAGTTTAGGTTTCCTCCTGTAGTAACACTGGATCAATAAGAGATTATCCTTACTGGACCTCTTGGAAGAACAGTTTAGAACTGATAGAGCTATCCAGCATAAATAAAGTTAGTTTAGTTTAAGTTTCCTCCTGTAGTAACACTGGATCAATAAGAGATGATCCTTACCGGAACAATCAAAAACTGATTTCAATAAATTTCTTTTCGATTGCTTTAAAGGAGAACGAATTGAAAGCATAAACCTACAACCATTCCATTTTTTAGTTTCTATCTTATATCCTGTTCGTCCTTCCACTCCACTTTGTGGTCCAACTAAAAACAAAAAACGGCAAGGAATCATGTCTGGCGTTCTGGGCCCGACCACTTCATCGCCAGCTTCACGTTGTTTTTGTGACAACGCTATTCTATATCCTTCCTCTTGCGATAATCTTGAGTACATATCTACGAATCCGACGAAAGCTAAGCGCAGACTCATTTCTCACCTCCCAGCTACGAGAAGATCCAACAAACACAGTGAAAAAACGACTGGAACAAAACAAGAAAGCGCTTCAAATTTTGACTCCAGTTGTAGTTGCCTTTTCGCTTTTGATGTTCCCAATAAACGCCATTCGCCTTGCAGCCGCTTTTGGAAAAAATCTCCACTTAGACTTCGCTTATCTTCGTTTAGTTTACAATATAAGCGTACTCTTCCTTATCACAAACAGCTCGATAAATTGTGTTATTTATGCTATTGTTAATAAAGACTTTCGTAACGAGTTCAAACGTCTTCTCTGCTGCGGGTGTTTGAAGCGTATTGTGTATAGTCCCACCAAGCCAAGGCAGAGATTTTTTTCACTTTACTCCACTACAGACCCGAAAACCGTCCAAGAAATGTTATCTGAAGCAATGGATCCTGTGTTTATGGATAACGAGGAGGAAGCGAGGGAAAAAACGGGACGGATGGCCCGATTTCTAGAAAAACTAAGTCGTTATGAAGTCAAGAATCTCATGGAAGATCAAGAATATGCGGACACTGTACATTATTGCACGTATGGGGACAGTTTAACTATAGTTGTCAGATAATGTAACTTTTTATAACAAATCATATTTTGCTCATTAAAAATTCGCTCACAAAGTCATGCATTAGCGATTGGAAATATTCCCTGATTGCTGTCGATTCCTTCAGGCGGTCGTTTAGAAAAATTACCATCCGACTAAGTCCAGGAATCGCAGTTCTAGCCGTAGAGTACAATGCTTATTTCCATTCTGTTAGTCAGTGCCATGACGAAGGGATCTCATGGAAACTTGCTTGATTCGATATATACTGGTTTATGATAGTGGCCCAGGAAATTAAAGTCGAATAAACTTGTTTATGGTCGAGTATGGTTGAATGCATTTCGTTTGGGTTTCAAAGGGTTGAATGCATTTCGTTTACCCAGGTTGAGTATGTCATAAACCAGTATGTTTGTGTGCTAAGTTCACTGACCAGTCTGTGCGTCTAGCGTTAGATAAACAGCCTTCGCTCAGGCACCTCATTATCTATTGTTGTTAATGCGTTTATCACGAAGCACGTCATTTGAAATAGGCCTTTGTTTTTAAGTGTGTGATCGATGCATAAAGTGCATTGTTCGTTGGAATGTTCTTTGAGGTAATAAAAGGTGGTCGAATTCGAGATACACTCGTAGTTTGTAGCGGCGGAGAAGGAAGGATCACTCGAAGAAGTTTAGGGAAAAGTTGGAAGAATCTTGCTCAGGTACATTTTCATAGTTTGTTTAAAGAACGTGTTCACTGTTGGCTTGATCTTTGGCTTTTCAAATTAATTCATCGTCGTGATGATTTGAATAACCAGAAGACATTAGCGACTGCATGGAGGCATATTCTTGCCGATTTTCACTTCCATATCTTGTATATTTCGATTGAAAATGTGAAATGCAAGTGAGCTGTTAACTTGACTTTGTTTTTCTTCCTTATTTCATTTCAGAACGAACTACAGCGCCGTAAGATGGGAAAGGCAAAGCACGAACTTTTGCTCGGGAATAATAGGTATTGTTCCATTAATATATGTGTACTTTGAATAAGCTTTTGCAATAACATGTTTGTACATGGTGAGCGAAACTAGAATATAGTTCAATTGAATATTTCGGGACTTTATCCTCAATATTTCCGAAGATATGGCTGAAACTTTCCCGTCTGGTCAATGTGTTTTCCCGTCAACGCTTCATGTTACTTTTGTACAGGGAAGGACCGATTCAAACTGGGATTATTTGTAGAGTTATCCGTATTTGTATATGCATGCATGCCGGCTAGACTTGACATGTGCCGAGTTACTTCAGAGTGTCTATTGTAGTTTTATACTTCCAAAGTATCTTATCGTGCTGTAGTGATTCTTTTGCTTCCCAAGTTAATTAGCTTTACCCCGAAACAAAAAGTAGAAAAGCAAGTTGTTTAACTAGGCTTCACATGCACGTTTTACCCAGCTTTTTGTTTCTAGAATGGAAGTATCGTCGGAGTGGAGAGATGTCGAGCTGCCTTGGGCGACATTAATGCACGCAAATACAAAACTTAATTTGATTTCGGCGCATGAAAATATGCATGAGTAAAATTGCATGGGATTTGGCTTTTTGACTGAGATATATTGAACACTCTTCTGTTTACCTCCTTGATTTTCAACTTTTCGGATTGCAGTTTTTGCATGTGTCTCGTCGTGTCAAGCGCATGCGGAGTAAATACAAGTGATCTGGGGCCCCATCACTTGTATTTTTTCCATTTTGAGCGACAATAGTCCGGATAAAAAATATCGCTCACAGAGCGCCTAAATCATAAAAATGCATGAGAATTTGTATTTCTAGAAGGAGATAATAGTTGAGTGTTTCAGTTTACTCGGGAGCATGAAGAAAACGATAAATATTTCCTATAAAACTTGCATGACATTTTGTATTCGCGTGCGCAATGCGAAGGCTTTGGACGAGTGGCGTAGGAGATGTTGGAGGTCTGTACAATCTGGTTTTGAATGCATGATCATTTTAAACTGAATGCTTTATATGTCAGTGACATTTCTGACTTGGAAATTAATGATATCATATTTTTGTGATGAAGGATCGTCGCAGGATCAGATGATGAAGGATCGTCGCAGGATCAGATGATGAAGGATCATCGCAGGATCAGATGATGAAGGATCGTCCTAGGATGAGATGTTGAAGGTCTGTACAATCGGGTTTTGAGTGCATGATCATTTTAAACTGAATGCTTTATATGTAAGTGACATTTCTGACTTGGAAATTAATGATATCATATTTTTGTGATGAAGGATCGTCGCAGGATCAGATGATGAAGGATCGTCGCAGGATCAGATGTTTGAAGGATCATCGCAGGATCAGATGACGAAGGATCGTCGCAGGATCAGATGATAAAGGATCGTCGCGGGATCCAAGAATGGACGACGAGACGGGTGTACAAGCAGAAGCTGGTTGAGGTATATACTATAAGTATACTAATTAGAGTAATGCATGTTTAATATTTGTGCATGATTAATGTTTGTGCATGACTTATTCTCGGATTGATTCCTCCTGGTGGTCTAACCTAGTATATTCACACATCAAGTGACATTTCACCCTTTTCGACAATGCATGATAACAGGAAATTTCTCACAGCTCTTATGAGGGCGTTTTCGAGGTTTCTCGATAAAACATTTCTAATTTTGTCACTTGTGTGTGAACGACTTAACAGCTGCGGCAGATGCATGATGACTTTAAAGCGTTGAAACGAAGCTAACAGAATGCAACTAGCATGGGCGACGCGCACGCAAAGAGAAAATCAAATCAAATTCGTATTGACCTAATTTTAGTTTAATACGAAGGTAATCGCGAGTACTTATATGATTATATAAGTTCTCTGTTCAGCCTGTTAAAATGCGACCGTTTCGAAGGATTGTTCGTCAGTGGCATAAAAAATTATACTTTAGCCTTTCAACATTTAAATTCGAATTATTATCAAATTTGAAATGAAGAAAAAATGACTGTTTGATGTTTAGACACTAACACTCTTCTGTTCCCTTTTAATTTTAATGAAATATTAAATTTTGCACGACACATGAAGGAAATAAAGTTTGTATAAAAAGGATATATATACCTCCTATATGACATGATATATTACACTGCATGATAACTGGACTAGTAATGGGGTTATCTTGGGGGGGGGGCTATAGTGTTGAACTGTAGGTTAATATTGTACAATACCCTCTTGCCTGAAAAGCCAACTCTTAAAAGAAAACCATTTGCATTTTGACACACTTACTATGTTGTTTATTTCCTTGCACGCCCCACCGACGAGATGTTGTTGAAGAAGAACGCGGCTGTTTGAAATGGAGCAGAGAAGCAAGTGAGATTCGGCCTATACTGTTTACCAAAGGTGAGAAAGGTAAGGAACATCGATTAGCCATATTTGAGTAAGTTGCATGTTGAGCCCGATTAGGTTTATAAAAAAAAATTAGCGATGCATGGGGTGCATGTCTTAAGAAGGGGTAGCCGGTCGAAGAGTGTTGTTGTCTACATCGGTTTGAGATGAAAAAGCATGCAAGTCGTGAATATGAAGAATTTCTTTCAAAAATGCCGATTTCAAAAAAAGCATGATCATAAAATGAGCATTTAAAAAATTGAAATAATTTTTTTTGCCACTGTCGAACAAAGCGCAGTTTCATTAGAATTTCAAACAGCGCGCGCACGTTAGACCACCATCAGGATGAAATGAAATTGGCAAAGCTCAAAAATTGCATGGCAATTCAGTGAGCGCAAATGAGCGCAAATTGAAACGATGAACTATAGGTAAAAAGTGGACTGTGATTGCGGACGATTTCTAAATGAAAAATACCAAATTCGGACCGCCGGTCAGGTAACCTGAAATTCAGGTTACCTTTGGAGGGTTTTTCTCCGGGTACTCCGGTTTCCCTCCTTTTCGTTTGGCTTTAAAAACAGTGTCCATGTCTGGGGCCAAACGTTCGTCGATAGTGAAAGGATTTCTTGCGCATTTTACAAAATTTAGAAATTATATTTGCACATAAACTGTTGAGAACGCATGCGTTTGGCTTCTGGGTTGGATTCCCAGAACACTGGCGTAACTGGTGCGAACACTGGAGACTGGTGTGGGACACTCAGCTGCATTTTGTTGAAACAATTGTATGTACTGGATGTACTGGTATTTAACACTGAGCTATAATGGTATTTAGTAACTAGTTTTTTGTTGCTGCCTCAGCGAGCAAGCCTGAAGCGAGCAAACCCTCATTTACAATTGGGGGGGGGGGGTGGGGAGGGCCCATATCAAAATTTGTCTACCAGTGGCAGGGACAGCCATGCAACTATCACCATACAACGTGCAAACTAGAATATGAATTTAGTTCACATAAAGTCTACACTCCGCGGGCTTGATACGCAGAAATGCCAGAAAACGTATGATTGTTGATCTCGCATACTTGGGGATTACCTTTTCATAGAAAATTCCTGAGATTGGTAACTTGGCTAGCGGCAGTAGCGTAACTAGAACGATAATTGGGAGGGTGAATATTCATATATTCAGTTCTGCCCTACGAATTTCTTTTGTAATTGCAATAGCTTCCGAACTGAATATATGAATATTCACCCCCCCAATTATCGTTCTAGTTACGCCCCTAGCGGAGTCATGCTTTTAGGCAGCATTTCTACTCATAGGCAGACCCATGGGTTAATCTAGTTTAAAATGGAATTTTAGATATTTTTCAATTTTTAGCGATCAGGGATAAACACTGATTTTAGAGACGAATATCTCTCTGCATTACTATGGCAAGTGATTCTTCGGTAGATGGGCAGTTGATCTGGTATATATTGGAAGATATTACCCGGTATTTAGGGGACTATCGAAATATTTTAGCTGTTATAGGTATAAATTATATTTTGACATATTATAGTTAAGGCAAGATGACATATAAATTTTTTAAGTAACTTCTTTACTACCAGTAAACCTACATTTAAGGAAAATAGACCACATGTTTTTTACTCCACGATGGTCAAACTATTAGTGGGAAAGACATTGTCACATGATTGTGTGTATTCAGATTAATAGACATATAAAGACTTCAAAGTACCATAAGTGCAACCAGTTTTTTTTGCAAGTCACCAACACTACAAAATTAACTCTTTATATTTAATTGACTTTGTCATTTTAGGCACTGTGTATATCTTGAAAAAGGCAGCTGGATTGGTGTTTGATTTATTCAAAGCATTTCAAACCTATTTTGTGTCAAGGCTGCTCATTGGGTCTAACCTCAGAAAAATATGTGGAGGGAAATGGGCAGGTAAGGTCATTAGGTTGAGGTTGTTGAAATCAATGATTAACCTTCAAATGAAGGTTGATCAGCTCCAGATGCAACAACTAATAGGTAATGATTATAATTCTAATTTGGAAGCAAATAAAATACTACTGTGCAGATTATTACCATCAAAGAGCAAGGCCACTCTGAAGCAATGCTGAGGCTTTGATTTCATTAAATTGACTATTAATCATCTATATCTATAGTTATCACAGGTGCATCTGATGGTATTGGAAAAGCATTTGCCATTGAGGTTAGGTGAAAAATTTGCAACATTGTTTAGTATATGTACATGTAATCTATATATTTTACATCAAATTGCATCAAAGTCATCTAATAAACGTCAAATTTTTTGTTGTAGCTTGCAAAGCATAAGTACAATATTGTTCTGTTAAGTCGTTCATTATCAAAACTCAAAACTGTAGCTCAGGAAATAGGTAGGCCAATAAATGTAACGACTATGGATATTATGTGACTTCTAAGAAAGTTTATCATTCATTTATCCAGAAAGCAAATACGATGTTCAAACCAAAGTTATTTCTGTGGATTTCAGTGAACAGCGTATATATGAAGATATTAAAACACAGATTGATGGACTTGACATAGGAATTCTTGGTAAATATCTTCATTTTAAAAGAATTATCATAGAATTCACCAATTTGAATTTGCATTAGTTTCTGATACTGAAAATGCAATATTATTGATAGGGGTTTTGTAATATGTGGTAATATGTTTGATATAAACTTTCATTAACAACTCATTTTTGCCTGTGTAGTTAACAATGTTGGCACTCATTACGGAATTCCTGGATTTTTTCTGGACCTTTCTGAGAAGGTAAAAAACTGGTTGAAGAATTCACATGAGGGAGTGGGTCATATATTTTGAAACGTATTGATTAGCAGTACTTACATTAATTACTAACCTAATGATTATTTTAGAAATTGCGTGATTTGGTCAGCATCAACATGCTAAGTTTAACAATGGTAAGTAGACTGTAGTGTGAGATACCGTATTATTGCTCCAGTGAAGAGATCATTTAGAACTGAGATGATTCGAAATCTGACTGAACCTTCAAAGAATGGCTTAGAATTTCTGCTACACGTTTGGATAATACATATGCTTTCCTAGTGTGCAGTTCAGTTAGAAAGTGGAATTAATTATCGAACAATGGTAGATACAGTAATGAAGATTCCAACTGGTGATAGTCTGCATGTTTTTATCTTACAGATGACCTACGTGATTCTTCCAGGAATGTGTGAAAGGTAAAGCTTGTATTACGCTGATTTTTAGTATAGATACTAATTTATAGAAACAAATATTCTCGAAAGCGCTAAATATTTCTCACATCTTTGTTAATATTCCTAATTCAGAAAAAGAGGTGCAGTTATCAACTTATCTTCAAGTGCAGCACAGTTACCTAGTCCTCTTATTACAGTCTATGCTGCTACAAAGGTACTATATATTATCATCAATTCCAATGAATCTCAAAGTCTTTTTAGACTGTCTGTTCTTATCAGTTTTCTCTTTATTTTTAGGCCTACGTAGATTACTTCTCTCAAGGATTATCTATTGAATATTCTCAAGACAATATTATCGTCCAGGTGACACATAGTCGTATAGTTTTCCTTGTTCGTAATACGTCAAAAATATTTAATATACTGATTAATTTATATTTCCTAGTCTCTGAAACCTTACTACGTCTCAACTGCAATGACATATAGTGTCTCTCCCAATTTGTTTGTTCCAACGGCGGAGAATTACGTGAAAAGTGCCATAGCTACCTTGCCTTATGCACGACGATCATGCGGGTATTGGCCTCATGGTTTTCAGGTGTGTTTTTTCCTAGTTTATGCCCGTCGCGTTTTGGTTGCGTCAAATAGGTCGTATTGAGATGACACACGTATGAAGCACAACACTTATGTGTACTAATGCTACGTTCATTCAAGTAGTTCGGACACAAACCGCGACAGTTTGTTGTAGAGTACTAGTAGTCTAATATTACCTACACTAGACCACCACTTTTGAGAGATCTTTATCAGGAAACTAGTTGAAACACAAACACTACAATGATAAGCCAGTTGATGACCACGATGAACCAACTGAGTTTTTTTCTTATAGGCATGGTTATTTGGTTTTTGTCCAGAGTGGCTGTGGTTAAGAGGTGCATATTACTGGAATATTCTCTTGATAAGATGGATAAGAAGAAATCGTATCGAATGACATCACACTAACATGAGAATGACGTGGAAATAATGTCACGGTTGAAGAGTAACTTTTCTAGCAAAACTTTTTTATTGAATTGGGGAAGATTTATTACTATGTTGATTCCTGACATCACGATTTCTTGTGAATACATGGCAATTTACAAAAGATGAAACTGGACAGAGAATTTGAGGCTAAAAATATGATTAAAACTAAGGCAGTAAGCTTCAAAAAAGCTTTTGATAAAATTTACTTGCATCAGGCGTCAAGATATCTTGCATCAATGTATCCTTAAATGTTTCATTTTCTGAAATTGAATTGCGCAAAGTAAATGATAATTATGATTATCGAGATGACTACAATCAGGATAAAATCAATATTGAAATAACTCGAAAATTTCTCCCATCGTCATTGAAAACTGGCGGAGAATAACTGACTGCTCTGGTCATTCTATCAGGAGGCAAGAGTGCTTGTTGTTCAGCAAATCGCTGATCCCTAGTCGCCAGTAGTCGGCATCGCTTATGGTTTGAACTAAGGCGGTAATCTGGTTGTCAAAAACAAGAAAATATCTCATCGTTTCATCAACAAAAGATAGTGTTAGAGCACTTTATTTAGATATCAGTATTCTAGGAATATTTCACCTGTCCCGTATTAGAATGTGAAGATTTTCAAGCATTTTCACGACAGTTTTAAAGATTTGCTACCAGGTATGTACCCGTTATCAAACCATTTGGTCAATCTCGAACCTTGAATGACATGTCCATGTGACCTTCATGTGACCTTCATGCGGCCTAACTGTTTTCTGAACGATGGAAACTAGCTGTGGAACAATGCTCGTGACGTCACAGCTTAAGAGACCTTCCGTCTTGTTATGGACGATTGATTTAGAAATAAATGTCAATTGATCGAAATGAAATCGAAAATTTTGCTCTTTATTGTACATTTTTGGGCAATATACCTCTTGAAAGATTTAGGTAAGTCGTATATCTTCTATTTTATGGACGATACAATCACATAGCTCGTTATTATTTTGCACACAAACCCAGAAATCTAAAGGCATGTAGTAGGAATTCGTCTTGCTACTTCTCCGTGTGTGCATAATGAACCTTTAGAACACTTTCGTCTTTATAACGACCGAAATCTGAGGGGTTTTATCGTATGATAGTTTCTTTTAAAGCATTCATACACGTAATATTTATCATCGTTTATATTATTAGTTTAAAAGGAAAGCATATTTGTTGTATTTTGCCGTTTTACAAGGCCAAATTGAAATCATCTTTGTGGGAATATTTTAGCCAGCGTGCTTGGCATTCGTTGATCGAGGAATTTCGTCTCCAATTTTGACAGCAAAATAAATCTGGCATATCGTGTTGATTTAAGTTCAAGAACGTGTTAAACGTTCAGTAAATAGATATTTTTTACACCAGTACATTTTAACGTGTACCACTTCGTAGTTTAAAATGAAAAGAGTGTCCTTACAATGATTGTTTTGAAATTTAAACGTAAAAACACGCCGTATCTCGCGGGCATTTTATTCGGTCTGTATTTTGAAATTCTTATAACATAAACAATAATCTGATCCGCATCGTTCATCATCTAGCATGGAGAGTCTTCAATTGAGTACCATATATTGCTTTGATAAAAATTTAGGACAAAATGATATATGTTTGGCCGGCAATATATGTTTTATTTATACAAATCCACTTAGAATTCTCCGATACTTTGTATTTTGCTATTGTAAAGCAATCTTCAGTTTTTTTCACGTCGATAAAACGGCCACTTTTAGTAATCTTTCATTGCGCTTCGGAGCATTTTCCGGGCGGCTTTGTGAGGCAGTAAAAACTGATAAAGTTTGAACAAGCGTTTATTACTGTTTATTAAAACTGTATGTCAATTTTGACGTCTGCTTTTAACAAGACTGACAATTAAAGGCGGCATTTTATTATGAATCGTTTTATTGGAAGTCTATAATATTGGACGCCTAAAATATTGGAAGTCAAAATGTATGAAAGGTGTGCAAATTGACCACCAAATAGACAACAAAGCATGCTGTAATTTCGTTATATTTATTGTTAATTTCCATGACACTTGAATGCGGAATTGCTCTCTATAGAGACTAGACTTCCTCTAGCAGGTAAAATTGTCAAGTGTTAAGCAAAGTTGAAAGTTACATACTAAAGAGAAGATATTGACAGAAGTAGTTTAAAGGGTAAATTGTCTATGTTAGTAAGAGCAATGTTGGGCACTGCATGTATTCATAAAATGTATGCTATTAGAGTAATATAATGATTTAGACAATGATGCATATCATTGTATTACCTAACCTTGTTATTTCCATCTGTCTGATGAGGGAATATTTTTAAGTTGGAGGTTTTATTGCAAAATACCTCTGACATTTTATAATATGAAATGCATGCTAATGCAATTGCTTGGGGGTGTTTTTGTTTTCCAATGCAAGATACTGTTAGGCTAGTTCTAAGTGATAAACTATCAAATTTAAGGTCATACAAATCATTGTTTTAGGTGAATGTAAAAAGCTAAAATGCAAATGTTCACCGTTATATTGCCCCAAACATGTTAACTTAACCTGCGAGACGGATGGAAATTGTTTCAGCCAGATCAATATAGATGAACACACAAAGGAAATTGAAAAGCACTATGGATGTTTACCAGAAGAACCAAGCGGACCTGTGGCGATATTTCATTGCAAGCGAGGACCAACGCGCAAGCTTGAGGAAACAAATTCTGTTTCGTGCTGTTATGATCGAGATTTTTGCAATGAAGAGTTAAAACCTACCTTACGAACACCACAAACACAACCAAGTAAGTATCAACTCGCATTCCATTTGGGATTTATAAGATTTTTGATAAATTGTTTTCTTCGAAATAAAAATCTAAATCTATGTGTCCTACTTATGACATATTGTGAAGGTGGATTAGATATGCACACTGCTTCTAAAAAAATATATAAAATACTGATATTTTGACATTTTTAGGACAATTTATGCTACTACACTTGGTAAAATAGTGTCTGTATATACCCTGAACAAATATGCGCCTATATATCGCTGAGATTAGACTTGATCCACCACAAATATATTTAATATTATTTTTCATGTTCTATGCAGTGTCTAACAGAAAAACACTGATGATGTGGGCTTCTTATCAGAATACTTTTATCATATTTCATTCTCATAATCCAACTAATACTACTTAGTTTAATTTATGATTAAGCAATGATCTTTTGTGCATTTCAAGGTCCTGCACGAGTCACAAAAACAAACAAAGTTATCATTGCTTTGATCATTTCTCTTTCCATTTGTTTTGTCATCTTCATTGCTACGGTTATCTGGTGTTGTTGCAGGTATGTCTCTGGCCTCAGGATTTTGAAAAGTGTGATGTGTCCTTTTGAAATGTGCTTTTGAAATATGCTTTTGAAAATCCACCTGAAATATTCTTTCATCATGTGTTTTTTCAGAAAAGAAAATTATGAGACATATCGTCAGATTAACATCAAAGGAAGACACATTGTGTCAAACCAGCAAACAATTCATCAGCTGTTTGAAGAGACTGGCGGTAGTGATTTTGGTCTGCCAAAACTGGTAAGCAGTGTTTTTCAAAACCTTTTGGTTTGTGTCTGAACTACCTGAGAAAGATATCTCAAACGTGGTGGTCCAGTGTAGGTAGTATTCTACAATAAGTTGTCATGGTTTGTGTCTGAACTAACTGAAAAGATATAGCTTAATACAGTCAGTAGTAATTTTCCAAGTTTGAGATATTTTCTGAGCTAGGCAGATATTGAAGAAGAACATGTACACTGGGAAGTACAAATGTTCTTTGTCATCAATTTGTTTATCTTTTCTGTGAAAAATTTTAGATTCAACGCACAATTGCAAGACAAGTTCAGTTAACGAAGCTAATTCATACAGGTCAATTCAGCCGTGTTTACGAAGCCCTATGGCGTAACGACAAGGTTGCTGTGCGCTTGTATCCCTCCCGTGACGAGGCTGTATGGCTTAAAGAATGTGAATTCTACGATAACATGAGACGACATGATAATATCCTTGCTTTCATTGCATCGGATCGTCTCGGAGCACCTTCGGCAACCGAACTGTACTTAATCACAGAGTATTGCCCTCACGGATCCCTGTATGACTATCTTCGCTCCCAGCATAGTCTGACAAAGAAAGATATGTTACGATTATCAAGTTCCATCGCTTCTGGTCTGGCCTATCTCCACAACCCCATAACAGGAACATACAGAAAATGCGAGATCGCCCATCGTAATTTAACATCAAAAGGAATATTTGTCAAAAAGGGCGGGGTTTGCGCCATAGGGCATTTCGCCCTGGCCTTAAAATCCGCCTCCGAATTCACCGAAAAAGAAGCAGAGAAGAATCCGAAGCAACCGGTGAAAAGATACCTTGCACCGGAGTTATTGGATCGGAGTTTGGTTCCTGGGAATTGTGCTCATATCGCTTTGGTTAAAGCAGATGTTTATTCTCTCGGTTTAGTTTTATGGGAAATCGCGTTCAGAACGCAATCTGAGGGTAGGTTAAGATGAATAAATCATATGAGCTGGTTGAATGATTGTACGAATTAGAGAGAATTAGAAGAGGGTGATCCAGTAAAAGATATGCTAGTTTGAGTCTCTCTCTGTGCATGATTACACTAGATAAGTAAGAGATGATTGGAGTTAGTTTAGTTTAGGTTTCCTCCTGTAGTAACACTGGATCAATAAGAGATGATCCTTAATGGACCTCTAGGAAGAACAGTATAGAATTGATAGAGCTATCCAGTGTAAATAAAGTTAGTTTAGTTCAGGTTTTCTTCCGTGGGTAACACTGAATCATTCAGAGATGATCCTAACTCGTCAGTTTGGACTTGATTGATTTATATATATATGTTCTTTATTTCAAAAGGTATTCAAGAACCAAGTCAACTGCCGTATCAAGATATGGTGAGCCTTAACCCAAGTTTGGAAGAGATGCGTAAAGTTGTTTGTGTGGATAGAAAACGACCGCCGATTTTAAATCGATGGTACCGAGACGAAGTAAGGTTTTAGAGATATGCTGAAGATTGGATCACAGTTATGTAGCTTGCATTTACGGGAAACTTTATCTCTTCCACCTGGTCTTATAATCCTTTTATTTCAGGTGATGAGAAGAACAAGTCGTGTGATTGAAGAGTGTTGGCATCACAGTCCTGATGCAAGGCTCACAGCGTTACGGGTGCAGAAAACATTGACGAAATTAGATGAATTATTAACAGATGAGATTGAAATACAGGTACCAAACTACATCAAGACAGCACCATTTTATTGTTGAAACCTACTGTCCTATCATTTTGCTCTTATGAACTGCTTTTAACAAGCGAGGATCAACACACACCCCGAGATTGCTTTCAACTTCTTCACATCACTTTACATTTGACGTTTTTACTCTGAAAAATACCCCATGGCCTGGCTAGATGTAGTAGCACTCGGAGTTCAGCTGCCGTGGGTGATGATCAATTCTGGGTACACGTGTTTTTGTGATTAATTTCCTTTCATCTTTTTCCATGCATTCAGGTTGTCTAGACTCTCTTATGAAATCTCAGTGTGTACTCTGCTAACTCTGGCCACCAAAGTGTGCAATGGATATGAAAGACACGTTTCACCTTAGTTGTGTTGTAGAAGATGACATTATAAATGCTATGTGGGGTGTCAAAACTACGGTTAAGAAAGCACTAAGTTATATACTACCCCCTTAGCCAACATTTTCCCGATGAGTTGGACAGGCGAGATCCTGAAAACTTGATAGTTTTTATTCGTTCAAGTGTTTCGTTTTAAATTGTGTGAGAGAGAACTCAGAACTTAGTATAGTTGCTCGGTTCCAATTTTAATATTTGCAAAGCACTTTATCTCATATCTGCACATATCTCATGTAAAATACTCTTAACATTGCAAGATTCTCATACCCAGTGTCTTCTTTCGCTCGTGCAAGGGCGCGCGACCCTGGATTCGAGAATGGCATTAGACTAGCAAATTATATATCTTATCATATAAACATATTTTTATATATATTGTGTAATAGTGTATTTACCTAACACTGTGAATGTTTATCAATTGATATTGTTGTTTAATAATCATGATATATCAACTGTTGATGCCTGTTCCCGTTGATTTCACCCTTTTTGTAGCCTGCTGGCAGAAACTCACTTAGATCGGGTTAGGGGGGGAGAGCTGGAAGACCTGGATCCTCGTTCCCAGGGCATTTCCCTCGGTTTTTCTGGTGGTTGGTGATGGGTTTGATCGATATTGATCCAGTTGGCTACCTGTAATAAGATCAGTTACCGGAATTACGTCATGGGAAGCCACCTTCGTGAGTTGCAAACTTCACAATTATATGTTTATAGTCATCAATCTTTACGGAAATTTTTGACTTTTTTGGATCGAAATATCTGCTTTTGAGATATTGAACAATCAGACGGATATACTTAATAATGGATAAAAGTCATCGTGATATTCTGAAAGCGAAAAGAATGGATTTAGCTAGAGATCTTGACGTGAATACGGCTGTGTCATATTTGTACTCCCAAAGCATTTTCACAGAAAATGATAAAGATGAGATCCTGGCCTTAAAAACACCGCAGGAAAGAAGCGAAAAGTTGTTAGATATATTGCCGAAGAGAGGGCCCGAAGCATTTGATGTATTCGTAAAGTTTTTGGACGAAAGGCAACCATTTTTGAGCAAACTTTTAAAGCCCAATACCAGCATGGAAGGTTAGCTTGTTTTAATATATTTATTGGATAATGCTTTTATATTTAGTTTATTTATTAAATATACTAAATTTCCTTGGTGCTAAAGCTCAGTTTTCTCATGGTATAATTTACAACGTGCATCATCGTGCGAGTTTCACTATAGCTCTTATAAAAGCTTTCATAAACGAAATGGATATGTTTGCATTTCCTTATCAAAATCATTTTTTATTTTTTAAGTTAGGAATTACGTCATGAAATTATAATCAATCTATAAATCCCGACACAAATTTCAAGTATTATTATTTTGTAAAAGCAGTGCTATTAATATATAACCACGCATGTTATTTTTGCATAAGTTGTGAATTGGCTGCTGTGAAGATTATGTTTAAAAAATTGATAAAATACCTGACCTCATGTTGTGCAGTTTTTAAAAAACCTTTGGTGAATTAGAATTTGAGAATAACATCCTAACAATTATATGGCTTGTTAAAATGAGTTTCAATATTTTTTAATTCACATTTGGATTTGTGGTAAGATTAGGTTAGTATCATAGTTTGGAGGTGAAGGTTGCCTGAGGGTAAGGGTTGGAGGGCATCACATGGTTTACAAATGTGTTGCAATAATTCTGCAATGTTTGCAATTGTCACAAGTTTGTAATATTACAGTCATTTTCAGCAAACATTTTACATAATTATTGGAAACGTTCAGAAAAGTTCAAAAGCACATGATAGATTAACATTTTACTAAGTAAACAACACATGTGATTGTATACTTTTGAATTGTAGACTAATAGGAAGCTTTGCTGATGAAACTCATTATAATTTAATTATTAATTTTCAAACTTCCTATGAAATGATAAATGAAATTTATTTACAGATGCAAGTTAGATCATTTATGATGATTGCAATTTCATGAGAAAAAGATAGCACATTAGTTAATTCCATAAGTTTTATATATGTCAAACTTGTAGGATTCATGCCTAGTTAATCTCTTACAATCAAACCTACACTAAAGCCATCTTGTTTTTAGAAAGAGTTTAAATTTGCAATTAAATTAGTGGGTTACCCAATCCAACTGTCATCTTTGGGAAGAGGGTAAACTGTACCTTTAAAGTTACCATAGGGGTTGTGTTATGATTATTAATGTTAGTGTTATGACTATTGTATATGATTACTGCTAATTATCAAGTTACAAAATTAAAAATGAAAACTCCTATTTAGAAAGTAAACAGCCTGTTGACAATATGGACTCACCACCAGCATTTGATAAGAAACCGTCTATGGAGTCTGAAGGTGACTTGAAGCCCCAGGAAACTACGGACGCCACACCAGCTGAGAGTAAGGAGGATGGTTTTAGTTCACAAGATACAAAAGAAGCCAAAGAAGAAGGTCTGTGTAATTTAAGTTTTACTGAGTCATTTGGATCGACACAAAAAAGTGTCTAAAACTGTAGTTTTAGCTTGATTGACTTGACCTCAGTAGGAATCAAACCCCCAACCTTTGTTTTGCTAGTCTAGTTCTCTTCCAATTCAGCTACTAGGGCAAGTTTCCATTATTCTTGTAGTTTTGAAATTACAATCTGTGTGACTCTGTATTTTTTGTTAGGTAATGCAGATCAAGGTGATGGTAGTCGTAGCTCTCGTCTTTTTTTAAAATCATCAACCTACAAAGATGGTGTCAACTCTGACTTCATGTACCCTATGGAACATCGACCACGTGGTCAAGCTTTTATCATTAACAACAAAAGCTTTTTACCTGCCTCTGGAATGCAAAAATACCCTCGTAATGGCACAGATGTGGATGCCGAAGCCTTGTACAAGCTGTTTCGTGCGTTAGAGTTTGAAACAAAAGTGTACAAAGATCAGTCCTCTAAAGAAATTATGAATATATTTGATCATTATGCATCAATGGACCAATCTTCTTATGACTGTATCATCTGTGCGATTTTGACGCATGGGGAGGAAGGTTTAATATACAGTACTGATGGAAAGATTATGCTGAAGGAGTTAACAACAAAGTTTCGAACCAAAAATCTTCATGGCAAACCTAAACTGTTCTTCTTTCAGGCTTGCCAAGGTGAGTAACTATGGATTGTGTCTTCATGATTGTTGAGAGGATGGATTCAGTCTGATTTGTAAGAGGGGTGGTGGTGGGGGGGGGCACTAGCATGGAGTAGGTGTCTGTTCCTCTATGTCAAGTTTTGTCTTTTGTAATTTCAGCCATGTCTAAACACTTAGATATCTGAAGACTTAGACTTTTGTGGTTGATAATAATTGTACACCCTCCTCCTGCATCCCCTCCTCCTGTATCCCCTCCTCCTGTATCCCCTCCTCCTGTATCCTTTTCTCCTACACTCCCCCACCTTCTGCATCCCCCCTCCTCCTGCATCCCCCTCCTACACTCCTGCATCGCCCCTCCTTCTACACTCCCCTCCTACACTCCTGCCCCCTCCTCCTCGTACACTCCCCCTCCTCCTCGTACACTCCCCCTTCCTACATCCCCCTCCTCCTGCACCCCCAGTAAATTCATCTCAGGTTTAGAGGCAAACTGTCAGCTTCCTGATGAAACACTGTCATACTTGTATATCTGTATTCTTAACAGGTTTTGAATATATGGAGGGTGTGGAAGAAACAGATGGCCCTTCTCGTGATGAAGAAATGGATGAGATTGATGCACCTGGTAACAACAAAATCACTCTTCCTGTCGAAGCTGATTTCTTGTATGCCTACTCAACCGTCCCTGGCTATTATTCCTGGCGTAATTCTGTGCGAGGCTCGTGGTTTGTGCAGGCAATTGTGTCCGTATTCCGTGAGCATGCGCAGACGATGGACGTGTTGCGAATGATGACCCGTGTGAATGCTGAAGTCGCCAAACAAAAGTCAAACACAAATGACTATTTCTCTGATAACAAGAAGCAGATACCATCCATAATTTCACAGCTACGAAAAGAATTGTACTTCTTTCCAGAAAACGTCTTGGAGGGTCAGCCGTAAATCTTTACTTTGGTTTGTTGTATAGACTTTTGTCTGCATGTTTTAGCCAAAAGTTCACTCGTGTTTTTATTCTTCTCAATAAACAGATATCTCGGAATTAGTCTTCTTCTTGACAACCGAGAAAATCACGAACCAAAGATCCTTATTTGAACGAAGGTTGATTCCACAGGTGAGACCTTTCAACTCAATCCTGAATGTTTGTGTTTTTCTTACAGATATCGGCGATAGAACGGACGCGAGCAAAGCAGGAGACGGCACACGCAAACACGAGAAAAAGTGTTTGGTTTCATGAAAGAAAACCTGATCAATTTTAGATAAATTGCAAATGAATCTTGCTGCTGAGAGAAGCATGAATGTTTCAAGCAGTGCACATTGGAAATAACTTCAGCAGGTGGTGGTCAACTCTAGAAATATTTTTAGAATTTTTTATGTTGTAAAATCTCGTGAAAATACCCCAAATAACCCTTGCTGAAATGCGAGCAACTCTTGATAAAAGTTATCACATGTCTTCAAACTTATTCCAATAGTTTTTTCCTCCAAGATTGTTTCTCCCCTTTACTGATATGCTTTCATATTGATTGACATTATTTCTGAAGTTGACCACTACTGGAAGCAGCAACATGCACCACACACATATATCTCTGGTAGACAAAGTTTGGAACAGTAAACTTGTGGTAATCAAATGCATAAACAATGCGTCCACAATGCTAACACGACTTCACAAGAACGAAATTTTTGTAGACTGATTCAGAAGTGATTAATAATAAATAGTTTTTGCCATCTTTTACATCTCTGAATGAATCTCGTATACGCAGGGCCATCCGGGTTTTGTTTCTTTTAAAGCGTCCATAGACGTAATATTTATCATCGTTTATATTATTAGTTTAAAAGGAAAGCATATTTGTGGTATTTTGCCGTTTTACAAGGCCAAATTGAAATCATCTTTGTGGGAATATTTTAGCCAGCGTGCTTGGCATTCGTTGATCGAGGAATTTCGTCTCCAATTTTGACAGCAAAATAAATCTGGCATATCGTGTTGATTTAGGTTCAAGAACGTGTTAAACGTTCAGTAAATAGATATTTTTTACACCAGTACATTTTAACGTGTACCACTTCGTAGTTTAAAATGAAAATAGTGTCCTTACAATGATTGTTTTGAAATTTAAACGTAAAAACATGCCGTATCTCGCGGGCATTTTATTCGGTCTGTATTTTGAAATTCTTATAACATAAACAATAATCTGATCCTCATCGTTCATCATCTAGCATGGAGAGTCTTCAATTGCATTGGGTACTATATATTGCTTTGATTTTTGCAATGAAGATTTAAAATCTACCTTACGAACACCACAAACACAACCAAGTAAGTATCAACATTTTTCGCGCGCTTAAAGTATGGAAGTTATCATTCCAGATATATATATATATATATATATATATATATATATATATATATATATATATATATATATATATATATATTTCAAAACCTAAAGGTATGAAAAACTACGTTATATACTTCCCCCCTAGCCGACATTTTCTCGATGAGTTGGACAGGCGAGATCCTGAAAACTTGATAGTTTTTATTCGTTCAAGTGTTCCGTTTTAAATTGTGTGAGAGAGAACTCAGAACTTAGTATACTATAGTTGCTCGGTTCCAATTGTAATATTTGCAATGCAAAGCACTTTTCCCCGGAAATACGTCATTGGAAGCCACCACTGAGCTATATTATAATTCCAGGAATTATATAATAGCTCAGTGGAAGCATAGGTGGGAGCCACCTGCATAAGTTTCAAACAGTCACAATTATATGTTAGTCATCAAACATTACGGAAATTTTTGACTTTTTTGGATCGAAATATCTGCTTTTGAGATATTGAACAATTAGACGGATATACTTAATAATGGAAAAAAGTCATCGTGATATTCTGAAAGCGAAAAGAATGGATTTAGATAGAGATCTTGATGTGAAACGGGCTGTGTCATATTTGTACTCCCAAAGCATTTTCACAGAAAATGATCACTATGAGTTTCTGGCCTTAAAAACACCGCAGGAAAGAAGCGAATTGTTCTTTGATTTTTTGCCGAAGAGAGGGCCCGAAGCATTCGATGCATTCGTTAAGTTTTTGGACGAAAAGCAACCATTTTTGAGCAAACTTTTAAAGTCCAGCATGGAAGGTTAGCTTGTTTAATGCTTTTATTTTTAGTTTATTTAATATACTAAATTTCCTTGGTGCTGAAGCTCACGCTTAATATAAGGCCCTGTCACAGATTAGCTATATATAGCTAATCTGTGGCCCTGTCTATGCGGTGCCGGAAGAATTTGAAAACGCAAGAATATTTATCCGTTAAAATATTTATCCGCGTCCATACGTATTACGTAAGATTCGAAAACGATTACGTCACTCGAGCCCGCGCTACAACTTAGAAAGCGTCCTGCTTCGTGGGCAAAGTTCACAGATTTGTGAACTTTTTGCTCTCTTCATGAACTTTTTATGAACTTCGAAGATTTGTGAACTTTTTATGAACTTTTTAAAATTGTTAAAAAGAGTTGTGTCTCATATTTTTAAAAAAAGTTGTTTCTCATATTTATTTGGTATTTATCATGTTTGGGGGAATTGCGGTGAATCCAGTCAATCCAGTGGACCAATCTCGATAATCTCCAAAAATTTCCGGCGATATTCCGACATATTCCGACGTTCTCCGATACCTTCCAATCTTAAAATTTAGATATATGAACTTTTTGTCATTTTTGTGAACTTTTGACATCAGCGAACATGAATATTTTGAAATTTCATCTGGCAACACTGCTTCCACGCATGCGCACATGCTGCACGTGGTTTTATTTGTAAACATTTTGTGAACGACTATTTTCCATAAGTGATATTGTTACAAATATATAAAAGCATGTATAAACGAAATGAATATGTTTGCATTTCCTTATCAAAATCATTTTTTTTTTATTCAAGTTTGAAGTTAGGAATTACGTGGTAAATTATATATGATTAATCTAATTCCGATACAAATGACAAATTTCAAATATTATTATTTTGTAAAAACAGTACTATTGATATATAACCATTAACCAAACATGTTAGTTTTGCAATTTCTGTTTGAGTTGTGAATTGGCTGCTGTGATGATATGTTTAAAAAATTGATAAAATACCAGACCTCATGTTGTGCAGTTTAATTAAAAAACCTTTGGTCAATTAGAATTTGACAATAACACTCTCTGATAACCGGATAACCTAGTAACTGATCATTGATAAATATCAATGTTCGATATCGAAATAAAGATTATGGACAATATTTCTAGTCTGAACGGTAAATTAGATTGTCCTTAAGTCTTACGCGCTATAGATGCAATGATTCTTCAATGTTTGCAATAGTCACAAGTTTGTAATATTACAGTCATTTTCAGTTACACAATTATTGAAAACTTTCAAAACAGTTCAAAAGCACATGACAGATTAACATTTTACTAAGTAAACAACACATTTGATTGTATACTTTTGAATTGTAGACCAATAGGAAGCTTTGCTGATGAAACCGATTATAATTTAATTATTAATTTTTAAACTTTATAACAAACATGCAAATTTCAGAATTCTGAATATTTTTGTGAAAATTTTGCTGGAACCGATCACTGTATGGTTTTGAGAAATTGTGAAATTTATTTACAGATGCAAGTTAAATAATTTATGATGATTGCAATTTCATGAGAACAAGACAACAAACTTGTTTACTTATATATTGTACTGTACTTATATATGTCAAATTTGTAGGATTCATGCCTAGTTAATCACTTACAATAATACAATTAAACCTATGCTAAAGCCATCTTGTTTTTAGAAAGAGTTTAGGTTTATTGTGATTAAAGTAGTGGGTTGCCCAATCTCACTGTTATCTTTGGGGAGAGGGTAAACTATACCTTTAAAGTTACCCTTACGAAAATATTCTATAGAATATTCTATTGAAATATTCTATAGAATATCCTATAGAATATTCTAAAAGATTTTGGCACTAATTCTATTGAATATTCTATAGGATATTCTATGAAACATTCAATAGAAGATTCTATAGAAGATGCTATAGAAGATGCTATAGAATGCTATAGAAGATTCTATAGAAGATGCTATAGAAGATGCTATAGAATATTCTATAGAAGATCCTATAGAAGATTCTATAGAAGATGCTATAGAAGATGCTATAGAATGCTATAGGATATGCTACATACAGTAAAATTTTCTACAGAACATGCAATTGCAATATTACACAATTAAGAAGTGCTATTCACTCTTCTGTGCAATATTACCAACATATTATGTCTAGCCATGAGAAAACATCAATGATGAAAATCACTTCAAGAATAAAAAGATATATATTAGAAATATTGGTATATATGTATCAGTACATCAAAAGTTGTGCAACATTGAATACTTTTGTTTGTAATGTATTTTGGTAATAATAATTGTCTATTATTCTATATGTTGGATATTTTTAAAGTGTTTGTCTGACCAGTAGCTCAGTTCATTATTTTTCGCAGGACTTCTTTTTAGCATTTTCTTAGCATTACTTGTCACACTTCAGATGCAGGACAACCATATCTTTTTGAAGTATACTCTACATTAAGGAATATGATTGAAAAATTATTTAAAAATGCAGGACTTGTCTTACCATGCTGTGAGTGATGAAATAGTATACAATATGTGTTTAGCTAACTGAAATAAGTTATCAGCTTACCACATATGCCATTGACTTTTTCCTTGTCAAGTTGTGGCTTGGCATCCTTCTCCTTTAATGCATTGGAGATCTTTTCTGTCATGGAGTGTGTGGACAGAACCTCCCGGCTCCACAATATACCCCTAATATTGAGTACACAAAATCCTTTAAAATTAATTGCCTTTTCCTTTTAAAACCTTCTGTTGAGTCTTTGTTATTGAGACACTGGGACATAAGGGCACCTACAAATGTAATTATACCATTTTGACCTTTGGTTTATAGTATGATGTTTGGACATAAGCAAATCTGCAAATTTAATAGTAAATGCAAAATTAAACACTTGAGACATTATATTCACTCTTAGAATGATATATTAAAAATTAAGTATTCTATATACAATATAAAGGGTATAGAGAATATTTGTTAATTGCCTGCACAAACATATAGGCTATAGCATATAACTACAAACACACTCACCACTTAATTCCAATACTTTAGCTTCACATGTTATTGTTGAAATTGTAGATGGGTCAATGGAACCTTTCAGAAATTTTCTGATGGCCTTGACACAATTTCTTTCTCACGATCCTAGTCTATATATAGTCATGTACCATTCACAAAATTATCCGAATCTTCTGAGTCTTCTCACATAATCCAGCGCGTTTCACCAACCTTCTATACTCCTCATCGACAAATTCAAGTACTGCGTATTTATGTTCAAATACGAAAGAAAAACTCGCTAAATTCTACCAGTATCAGTTATAAAACGTTGAACGAATGACAAAGACGCGCTCACAATTTGAAAATAATGCGTTATGCGTGTCAGTTACACAAGTCCCACATAACTTTGCGGCCTTGTTTGGGCAAAACGCCTGCCATCTAACCTGGAAAAGGCATATTATGAAACAGATATGTCTAAAATACTTGTAATTTGTCCTTACAAAACGAATGATTTTGCGGAAAATTTTAACATTAAGATTAAAAAGTATGTCGAGAGGACCTCACACAAAATACGAATATGATGCTATTCAACTTTTGTGTTTCTAGACAGATGAAAACACATTTCTCGACCAATATCAATCGTGTACTAAAATTGCTATATTTTAAATTGCCTTAATTATTACATAAAGTCACATTCTGTATAACATTTTGTAGATTATTGTGTACAGCATGTTTTATAGAATATATCATTCGATATTTAATGTGAATTTATGTACAATAGATCTTCTATAGGATCTGTAATCTATAGTATGGCAATGGAATATGCTATAGGATAAGTCCTATGTTTATGGATCTGTAAATTCTATAGAATATGGCAATGGAATATTCTATAGGATAAGAAGTCCTATAGAATATTCTATAGGATTTAGAATATGCTATAGCATATTCTATAGGATTCTATAGAACATTTTCGTAAGGGTACCATAGGGGTTGTGTTATGATTAAGTGACTATTGTAAATGATTATTGCTAATTATCAAGTTACAAAATTAAAAATGAAAACTCCTATTTAGAAAGTAAACAGCCTGTTGACAATATATATTCACCACCAGCATTTGATAAGAAACCATCTATGGAGTCTGAAGGTGACTTGAAGCCCCAGGAAACTACAGAAGCCTCACCAGCTGAGAGTAAGGAGGATGGTTTTAGTTCACAAGATACAAAACAAGCCAAAGAAGAAGGTCTGTGACATTTAAGTTTTACTGAGTCATTTGTATCGAGACAAAAAGTGTTTAAAACTGCAGTTTTAGCTTGATTGACTTGACCTTAGTAGGAATGAAACCCACTCCCTTTGTTTTCCTAGTCTAGCTATCTTCCAATTGAGCTACTAGCGCAAGTTTCCATTTGTTAGTTTTGTAACGCATTTAATTTCTATGTATGTATTTTACATATTTACATCAACAAGACGCCAGCAATATTAATTCGCAGGCCGCAGGCGGAACTTGGCAAGGGTGTGACGGCCATGCATCAAGTTGATGCGTTTGGCAAAAACACCTTCAGTTGAAACATACACGTTATTGCGATAACAACTGCTACTGGCGTGGCTATTTGTTTTACTTAACTGTTTTGTGTTGGACGCTGCTGGCGCAAATATGCAGCTATCAAGTTCAAATCGTTGTCTTTGGGCGCGTGTAAACCAAAGTGAGTTAAATTCATAGTTATATTTAGTTCTTTTGTTAACTTAGATTTAGTTTGTTACCAAGACTTTATTTTCGTATTTACGAACCTTAGGCTTAGATTTAGTTTTGTTTATGGAACACTTCGAACACTGTTCAAGTTATGATATAATTATAAACAATGTGTCGGCGAAAAAGTTCAACAACTTGATTAAATCGTTTGACTATAAAAATCATGTGCTTGTTGCCACCTATAAAAAAAGGTCATACTTAATACGTTGGATCTAATATTAACAAGACTGATCAGATGACACATTTGTGTCGGGCGTAAATGTAACTGATCCTGGTATCTCGGACCATTTTGCAGTAAATTGTAAGTTACTATTTACTAAACCTTATTCTGTAAAGAAGAGCATTAGCTTCAGGAACATCAAGTCGATAAACTGATTTGTTCTGTGCCGATATAAGAACATCAGCTTTAGCCCAAAAAAGCAACACTGCGATTAACACTTTTGCTCTGTTGATGCCTATGAAAACACACTGGTAACGTTACTGAATACGCATGCACCCATTAAAAGTAAGCTTAAAGTATTACGCCCAGATACCTCATGGTATACCCCCGAAATTCAGGAACAAAAAATCATAAAAAGAAAGTTGGAGCATCGTTGGAGAAGGTCACGATTAACCGTTGATAGAGAATTATATACTCAGAGAATTATATCCTTTAAGCACATAGATAGAGAATTATATAGTTAAACCATATACTAACGATATGCTCAAGATTTATATTCCTGAACGTAATCTACGATCTTCAGTAGATAAACAATTAGTAGTCCAAAATATAATCTAGAATTTCATGGAGGACGGTCTTTTTCTGTATTTGCACCAACACTGCGGAATAAGTTACCACAGACACTAAGACTGTCTGAGTCTGTAAATAGTTTTAAAGTAGGATTAAAGACATATTTGTTTAGAACTATATATAAAGATTTTATCTAAGTATTGTAAATAATCATAAATGTAATTTTATACTCTTTTTAATGTAAAGCGCTTCTGGATATTTATAGACGATGGTCAACCAAATCATTTCGATATTAAAGTAATCATTTATTAACTGTCTGTTTGCGCATTGATTGCTTATTCTATTCTGTCGAGTTTCAAATATCAGCGTAACGCCTACATCTCGCGCGACACGTGACTGCAAACTATCGTTCTGTCCGTGAGAAGTACACCATTATTCTTGTAGTTTTAAAATCACAATCTGTGTGACTCTGTATTTTTTACTAGGTAATGCAGATCAAGGTGATGGTAGTCGTAGCTCTCGTCTTGTTTTAAAATCATCAACCTACAAAGATGGGGTCAAATCTGACTTCATGTACCGCATGGAACATCGACCACGTGGTCAAGCTTTTATTATTAACAACAAAAACTTTTTACCTGCCTCTGGAATGCAAAAATACCCTCGTAATGGCACAGATGTGGACGCCGAAGACTTGCGCGAGCTGTTTTGTACATTGGAGTTTGAAACAGAAGTGTACAAAGATCAGTCCTCTAAAGACATTATAAACCTATTTCATAAATATGCATCAATGGACCATTCTTCTTATGACTGTATCATCTGTGCGATTTTGACGCATGGGGAGAAAGGTTTGATATACGGTATTGATGGAAAGATTAACCCGGAGAAGTTAACAACAATGTTTCAAACCGAAGGTCTTCGTGGCAAACCCAAACTGTTCTTCTTTCAGGCTTGCCGAGGTAAGTAACTATGGATTGTGTCTTCATGATTGTTGAGAGGATTGATTCAGTCTAATTTGTAAGAGGGGTGGTGGTGGTGAGGCACTAGCTTGGAGTAGGTGTCTGTTGGTCTATGTCAAGTTTTTGTCTTTTGTAATTTTAGCCATGTCTGAAAACTTAGACCTTTGTGGGTGATAATTGAACACCTCCTGCATCCCCCATCCTCATGTATCCTCTAAAATCACCCCCAATAAATTCATCTCAGGTTGAGAGGCAAACTGTCAGCTTCCTGATGATACACTGTCATACTTGTGTTTATAATATTGTATATTCGAAAGCGGGATGTTCTTGAACTTCTTATAATTTTTGAACAATTAAAAAACAATAGTTTAGCTCATGCCCATCTACAAAAGGAAATATATCGATTTTTGACTCTCAATTTGGTGTGAAACCAGGAAGTTTTCAATCTTGACGAAAGCAACTTGTATATGTGTACTTTTAACAGGTGATGAATATATGGAGGGAAAGGACGAAACAGATGGCCCTCGTGGTGTAGAAATGCATGCGATTGATGCACCTGGTAACAACAAAATCACCCTTCCTGTCGAAGCTGATTTCCTGTATGCCTACTCAACCGTCCCTGGCTATTATTCCTGGCGTAATTCTCATCGAGGCTCGTGGTTTGTGCAGGCAATTGTGTCCGTATTCAGCGAGCATGCGCAGACGATGGACGTGTTGCGAATGTTGACCCGTGTGAATGCTGAAGTCGCCAAACAAAGGTCAAATACAAATGACCCTTCCTCAGATAACAAGAAGCAGATACCATCCATAGTTTCACAGCTACGAAAAGAATTGTACTTCTTTCCAGAAAACGTCTTGGAGGGTAAGCCGTAAATCTTTACTTTGGTTTGTTGTATATAGACTTTTGTCTGCATGTTTTAGCCAAAAGTTCACTCGTGTTTTTATTCTTCTTAATAAACAGATATTTCGGAATTATTTAATTATTATTTAATTATTATTTAATTATTATTTAATTATTATTTAATTATTATTTAATTATTTTTACTTGTATTTCTGAGTGTTTTATCACTGTAAATATGTAAATAGTTTTACCTTTCTGATACTTATAAACTTATGTTTTTCAGTTCGTTTTTGAACAGCTATTCAAGTATTTTAATAATAATCATAATAATCAATAATATTTAAACAGGATAACCTCTTCAGTTAAAAGTAACTGCTATCAATGAGGGTCCTGGTTAAATTAAAATTAAAATAAATAATAGAGAGAAATCTTACACCTATAATCAATCTAGCTAAAAAAATTTTAAAGTTTCGCACTGTTATAAATTTTTGTTCCCGGCCTTGTAAAAAAATGCACATTTTGTCCATTCAAGCCTAACTTTATCTAACAATAAATCTCCACAATGTCTCGTATTATACTCATCAATGTCATTTCGTTTAACGTTAAAATAATCAGACATATAGCTCGGTATTTCATTATCTAGACATTTTTGTACCGCTTTCAAAACGTGATTTTCTCTTCTCTTGTACAGAGTTTCCCATCCAAGCTTATCAATGATACCATTCAGGGCGCTTATATTCTATATAAGCGCCCTGATACCATTCGTAGCTAACGAGCCAGAATTGCAATAAACGATTCTACTTGCTCTTCTTTGTAAACGTTCCAACTCATCTTGATTTCCCTGCCTACACTCATGAAATGTAATGTCACAATAATCTAGCACTGGAAGAATCATTAACCTTGTATAGACGATTTGCCGACTCAACAGTTAGCAATGGTCTAATTCGCGAAAATAACCCAAGCATTTTAGAAACTTTCTTTTTCACATGCTGTATATGCTCGTTAAACGACAGAGAACTGTCAAGTACAACACCAAGATATTTGAAAGATTCAACACGCTTAATAGAATTTCCATCAATTTCCAGTCTAACGTCATCACTATTTTGACGCATAAGCCGTTGACGAGTGCCAAAGAATGCATACGAGCTAGTGCATAAATTCTGTTTTATTCTCGTTTAATATCAGTTTATTACTGTGCAGCCACTGATTTAACGAAAGTAGATCAAGGTTTAATTTGAGTTCAATTTCTGACAATAGCGGAGATGTATGATAGATCAGAGTGTCATCTGCGTACATCATTACTTGAGAGAATTGAACACTAGATTCTAAGTCATTGATATACTTGAAAAATAGAACTGGACCGAGTATACTGCCTTGCGGTACCCCATAAAGCACATTCTTGAGAGATGACAATTCGTTTCCAATGCAAACAAGTTGAGTTCTATTCGACAAGTAGCTCTTAAACCATTCCAGTTGCTTTCCTTTTATACCAAACCTAGTAAGTTTTGAGATGAGAGCATGATGTGGGACAGTATCAAACGCCTTTTTTAGATCAATAAACAAGGCTCCAGTCATTTGCCCTACTTCAGTATTTCTTCTTATGCTATCGGAAAAAAACGTAACGGCGGTCTGAGTTGAATGATACTTTCTGAATCCAGATGGAACAGAACTGAGAAGGTTATGCTGCGTTAAATACTGCTGTAATTGCACCTTAACAGCCTTTTCAGCTATCTTAGAAATTACAGGTAAGATGGAAATCGGCCTGTAATTATTAGTGATATTCTTGACAACCGAGAAAATCACGAACCAAGATCCTTATTTGAACGAAGGTTGATTCCATAGGCGAGATCTTTCGACTCAATCCTGAATTTTTGTGTTTTTCTTACAGATATCGGCGATAGAACGGCGTGAGGAAAGCAGGAGACGCCAGACGCAAACACGAGAAAAAGTTTTTTGTTTCCTGAAAGAAAACCTGATCATTTTTGGAATTATTGCAAATGAATCTTGCTGCTGAGAGAAGCATGAATGTTTCAAGCAGTGCACTTTGGATATAACTTCAGCAGGTGGTGGTCAACTCCAGAAATATTTTTAGAATTTTTTATGTTGTAAAATCTCGTGAAAATACCCAAAATAACCCTTGCTGAAATGCGAGCAACTCTCGATAAAAGTTATCAGATGTCTTCAAACTTATTCCAATAGTTTTTTCCTCCAAGATTGTTTCTCCCCTTTACTGATATGCTTTCATATTGATTGACATTATTTCTGAAGTTGACCACTACTGGAAGCAGTAACATGCACTAGTCACTCAGTCACCACACACATATATCTCCGGTAGACAAAGTTTGGAACTGCAGACTTGTGGAAATCAGATCCATAAACAATGCGTCCACAATGTTAACACGACTTCACAAGAATGAAATTTTTGCAGACTGATTCAGAAGTGATTAATAATAAATAGTTTTTGCCATCTTTTATATTTCTGAATGAATCTCGTACGCAGGGTCATCCGGGTTCGAGGTTCATCTCGCTTTGTTTGTGCTGCATTCTCCATCTTCTCTTAGTAAATATGGAGTTTCGAAGACCACGGGAACTGCGAACAGTTGAAAATGATTACAGACATTGAGCATCACTGTTGCTAACTTGCTATCCCATTATGGTAGATCAACCATCAAGTTACGCATGTACACGGACGCTAAGCGTACCTATTTTATTTAAAACTATTACACGAAATAAATCTCCGGGCGGAATTTGTACCTTCGCACGGCGCTCTCAAGAACAAGCTGAAGCCTGATTATGGTAATGAAGTATTTGACTAAAGATTTCCATCTGATTGGATGGATCATGGACATACATTTTAATCGCGGCCCCACGCTAATTAAAAGTCGATAAAAGCGATCTCCAGTAACTGTATTTTGATTAATAATTTAGGAGCCTCGCGCTTTATCTGATTTATAAAATTATAGTAATATTCAATTAAATTGTACAAGACAATGCTGGCTCTTCTCCGGGGTACAATGCCTTTGCGTGCAATGCGCAATTTATACGATTTCCTTGTTTGACCAAATAAGGTCAAAATAACGACACTGATCTGTGACGTGATTGGTCGAAGGGTTATTTCTTGACTTCCGGTTCGCAAAAAAAGCTTGTCCTGCCTAAATACTAAATACTTCCTGTAAAATTCCTCAAAATTTGCCCCGTTGTCAGAGTGTATAGTCGGGATTTTTCTCCTTATTTTTTTAACTCTAAACTATGTCTAGCGACGAAGAGAATCGTTTTGATAGAGGCGATGAGATACGAGAATATAATTCCGACAATGAGGAAACGTCAAACGTCGAAAATAGCCAAACATTAGATGATATATCGGGGCCATCGAATGACAATCAGAGTGCCAACGAACATGCTTCGGCCAGGTAAAGTTGCAAATTAAAGGTTCCAATTGTTCTAACTTTCAAATAGAAAGCTTATTAATGACGTGGGGGTTTAAATGCAAGGATGTTCGACAGTATTTTACTCGTATTTTTCCTGCATACTTCACTATTTTGGGCAATTTTATACACCGGTCTACGTGCATTACTTACATAATATTACTGTAAAGACTTATGTATATTGCTTAAGTTTATTACCGTGATATAGGGTCAAGATTAAATATAGAGATAGATAAAACGATAAACTGTGCGTTGTTTGTTGTATGATGAGATATATCGCAAATAAACCTGGATCCTTCAGAATTTCAGGGTCCTGAAGATCGATCTTTATTGTTTGAAACCTGCATAGTTTATATTTGATCAACGATCGAAATATGCTTGTTGAACCTTGCCTCCACGATGATAGACGATGAGAAGAATATTGATGTAGTGTTAGAACGAAACTTATCGCTTTTACAATCTAGTTTAATGCAATTCGGTATTAATAACTATTGACAGTTCTATGAAGAGCTGGGTATATTAGGTAACAAAGCTGATATTGCATTTCATCGTTCGTCTGTACTCTGTTCCTGATCGATTTCTGATCGATTTGTCCTCGTACAATGGTCTCTTTTGAGCCAGAATTGAAAAAATAATCCTCGTTTCTTTTGAGTTTTAGGTCGAAAGGTCGATTTTTGTAAGATACTATTCTGCAAATAATGGTTTCAACACGTAAGGGCTTGAAACCCAAAATATGCCCACACAAATATGTAAACACAGAGCGGCGAGTTAACATCTGCCTAAGTTAAGATGAAATATCGTGTTGTTCGTGGACTATACAGGAAGTCAATGTTTTTCAAATTTCATTATATTTCTGGCCAAGTTAGATATTGGAAGGCTTCTAAACAATAGTTATTTCTTTGTGCATTTGACTTGCAAATATTCGTTGAGTCAACCATGGGCACGTTATTAACTTGATGCGTTGAAAATTATAAAGGAATTTTAGCATGTGAACTTCAAACAATTGACCAGGGTTCATGAATATTTTAAAGTTCATCTGTCATAATTGGACAATGTATTTTAATATGGATTGCAGGGTTTATTTGCATTTTGCTAATGCCTTCTCAGACCTTGTGTTTGTGAACTTGAAATGAGGACGGATATCCGATATACGTCAACTTGCTTAGCAACCTGAGTTCATTGTCTAGTGATAGCTCGATAGCGATCTTACATCTGACCATAAATATCTTTCATATGACATATTTGACAAATGTCCAATGTATACTAAATAAAGTTGTTTTTGGAAAATAATTGAATTTGTATAATAATACACGCTATACTCATAATTGCATGTTTATATTATTTCCTTGTATTCAATATTAAATGTCTAAGAACATGTCTAGCAAATATGCAAAACGTTGAATTCCACCCCCTATTGAACCCCATCTATGACTGAGTTTGCCTCCCCCTAGTCAAAATCAACTTCTAGGCTCTTCCTTATCAACCGTACTCTCTCATAATCCTCTTTAGTCACCCATTTTTTATCCTTAATTCACCCTGTTTACTACAGCTTAGCTGCTCTAATCCCTCTTCATTAACTCTCCTACTAAGCCCCCTCTTGTAATCCTATTTCTCTGCATTCAGTACCTTCTGCTTCTTCTATAAAACTCCTAGTAATATTCATCCTTGTTTATTTAAAACTTGGCCATATCAAGAGCTCCTCCCTATTAATTATCACCTATCCTGTTTCTCACTTTGCTTGCCCCCTTTGCTGTTCTTTGGGATCTAACCTTACTGGAATAATAAGATGGTTGTTGCTATGTTTACATCTGATTTTCAGAAGCCAGACATTCAACTAATCTGTTTTTGTTATAAATAGCGATGAGCAACCGGGTAAGATCATGGAAGACGAGTTACCACATTCTGGCAACACAATATCCTTCAAAACAAAGTTTGAATCTCAAAAAAGCGATGAGGAAAGACGCGCAGAACGACGACGTGAGAGACGCCGCCGTCGAAAACTGACCGAAGAGGAGGATGGTCCTAGCGAGGGGACGGCAAAAACGACAGCCAATAAGTTTGAGAACGGAGAAATTGATGATGTGCATTTTCAGAAGACGGACACAAGTCATGATTCCATGGCACAATCGGGAACGGTCATGTCAACTACTGAAAAATTCAAATCGGGTAAATTTTAGTTCTTTAACAGTAATATTGTATGATACGGTCAGTTGATCAGTAGTTATATAATGATTAGTTTCACTGAGCCTCGTTCCCCTGGCTTACATTCGGGGGGAGTTCAGAATACCGAACTTTGGCATGTATAATTCGTGATTTGACTTCCTCTAAGGCAGAAAGTGTGAAGAGCTAAGTGCTCTTAACCATACAGGGCTCTCGGTTTATCCGTTTCCTATCCTTGACTGTGAAATGTCGAGTGCTTCAGAGTTCAGTGAACATATCATGCTGCCTCGCTCGCAACCAGTCCACTGCTCGCACTTCTTTCACCTGTCAGCTGTAGTTGTGTCAAGTTTCCTGCCCCAGCCATAAAGTGTTTGTTTAAGTCACTCTAGAAGCCATATGCTTTTCTGCAGGCAAATATCGCAGCGAGTCTGAAGATGAAAGCAAAACAAACAAAACTGAAGACGTTGAAGTTGTTGAATCGGGTACAGCAGCCGCTCGGAGGAAGGCGCTGGAGGATTACGCTGAGGAAACCAAGAACGGTCATACGAACAGTCCTAAAGTTCTAGAAGAAGATGCACCTGTCCTCAAACCTGGTCGAGCCGCCAACACACGCGCAAAACTTGAGAAGATGTCTTCCGAGGAGAAAGTACTAGAAAAGGAAGTCGATTTCAATACTCCTAAATCAGGAACAGCCTCTGCACGACGTGCTAGGTTTGAGGAGAGAGCAAGACAAGCATCTGTTGAGGAAGGTATGTCGGGGTTTGTACGGGGTTTGTTTAACACTGCGCTGGTTGAGAGGCGAACTAACCTTTCTTGCGTGTCCTGCTCTAGCTCCCAGGCAGACCGCGAGGACTGCAAGACGCAGTAAATGGCCTGAACCGAACACTAATTATCGTCAACGACGCGGGGAATTGAGAAAGAGCACGTCCACTGATGAAGAAGCCTGTAGCAGCGTTGAGAGAATGAATGCTAAGGTTAGTTTGAGTCCTGGCTTGTGTTGGAGTCATAACATTGTAGAATACTACCTATACTGGACCACCAAGTTTAAGATATCTTTCTCAGGTGGTTCAGACACAAACCACGACAGCTTATTGTAGAATACTACCTACACTGGACCACCACGTTTGAGATATCTTTTTAAGGTAGTTCAGATACAAACCAAGACAACTTATTGTAGAATATTACCTAAACTGGACCACCACGTTTGAGATATCTTTTTAAGGTAGTTCAGACACAAACCAAGACAGCTTATTGTAGAATACTACCTACACTAAACTAAACCATTATTAAGATATCTTTCTCAGGTAGTTCAGACACCAACAGCGACAGTTTATTGTCAAACACTTCCTACACGTTCGAAAAATAAATCCTTTTCCGGTGTGACGCATCCCACGAATTCATGGGAAGTAATTATTCTGATGGTATTTAAAACTACGTTTTAGAACATTGAAAAAAGTTTTGATAATGTGGACGGACATCATGAGAGGGAAGATGTAAGGTCGCCTAGTACCACAGAGGCTTCGAGTGATGAAGCCCCGAAATCGCCAGTGAAAACGTCCGAAATTCGGAACAAACTCGTGAAGATGTTATCAGGCAGCGAGGATGAGCGATCTGCGTCGCCACCTGCGGACCTCGGAAATGCTCGCCCAGTGGCCGGCACTGCCCGTAACCTGCGCGCACGATTCGAGGGGAACAAACAAACGGAAGAGTCGCATTTCCATTCGAAGAAGCCCAGTATAAACTCGCGCGCCGGCTACGCTTCCAGAGTACGGGAGAAGTTTGAAAGTGGTGAAGTTTCACACAGACGACCATCAACTGCAGAAGAAGACGACGACAGTGTCACGACTGACCCAGAGACGAGAAGACGACGAGCGTCGAGTACTCGAAGTGTTGAAGCAGAAACTAGCATGATGAGTCGCAGTGCCAAAGAGTTACGAAACCGCTTCGAAAATCCCTCTCAAAACACGCAAGTTGTAAAGCGCAATTTCGTTCTGGTGAGTTATAAGACTACGTGCTATATTCTTTGTCGATATTCCTTACAGTATAGGCTTGCTTTCCCTGTCAATACCATCTTTAATCATAATGTCACGTCGCTTGAAGTTTTTATAAGTAACGTGTGAATAATGAGTTAGGCAGTTAGCTATTAAACTTTCACGAAATGTCAAGTTATTCAATTATTTTTTTACGAAAGGCTGTAGGCTGTAACGAACTATACCTTTATTTGCCCTTCTTCTGTGGGGTTCGTGTTGGCTGATGATATAAACATATAAACAATTTGAAATATTCATATTTTATTGGGATATTTCGAGCCAAGATACCAAGCTAGATATTTCAATCGTAAATGTTTGGGTGCCCCGATCTTTAAGTCGTTTGTATGATAGGTCGAGATGATTTCCTCTTGAGGTGATGTCGCTTACTGCTTAAGCTGAACAAAAAAATCCAAACATAAACAAAGCCGACAGAACCCCATGTCGTTTGTACAAGATAGCCGATGCTCTCTGCCATTTTAACCTAACTGCAGGTCGAAATCCTCGATCGTTTAAGACTTAACTAAAGCCGAACTGTTGAGCGTATGTAAAAAAGCGAGATCGTTTAACGTGCGAGAAATTTTTGAACTCTTACGAATTCTTGCGATTGCTGATGTTTTGTCTAAGAGCAGTCATACGGAAACAGCATGTGGAATATTTTACTGTGTTCAATATATCTTGTATAAACGAGGAAATACAGAAACAATTGCTTTTATCTACAGAAGCCATTTAGAAATACTTATTTCAAGATATGTGGTTTGCTAATCCATATTGCATGAATTGTTGATACATCAAATCGATTCTGTTGTAGACAATTAGAAATTCAAATAGCACGAATTACATCATGACTGAAATTATCTCTAAAGCCTAAACGAAGTTTTGGAATAACCCGGCTGTTTTAGCTTTGAGTTTATCTTGCATAGTTTAGTGCTCTACAAATATTTATTAAAACGTTGCAATTATTACAAAATTTGTCGATAATTTGCTACATTTGACAACTTTGTTGTAACATTTTCACCTCAGTTTACTGCATTTTCACAGCTTTTCAATTTTTAAAGGTGTGCTGTTTTTACTCGGATTTTATGTTTCCTGATACGCTGGATTAGACTTCATTACAATCTTTTTTCTAGTCGTTTCTGAAGGTGCAATATTTACAGAAGACAAACAAAACCTGTTGCAATATTTCTAATATTCTACCGCTGTTTCACATTTTTACTCCCGCTAAACCGAAGTATTTCCTTGCGGGGTTTTAATATTCGAACATACTAATTCTTTCACTTTTTCCTCGCCGGTTAAATTTGTGTATCCTTAAAAACAATGTCGGCAGGGCAGTTGTGTATATTGAAGATAGATATCGCTCTTTATCATTTTTGCATGCACAGTAGAGCTAGTATTGAATTACAATGCATATGCATGATGCATCAACTCAGTTTGACAGATGAGTTCGTAATATTGATCAGCTGTTAACACAAATACATTCTGCACGCTAAGCGTCTCGTGTTCTAAATTATAGACTTGTTTTTCTTCGTTCTACATTTCCAATTAATAACTAAGGTACGATGCCGCTTGTAATGCCATTATGCGGTTGAAAAAATATTTAGTTTCTTAATTAAATGTCAATATTAAATGCGTCTCATGACCTTTTGAGAAAATTGTGAACTAATTTATGTCTAAAGGTTGCGTGGTCTTCTTCATAAAGGAATCAATCTTACATAGATTATTCTGTCGTCGAATTTTCGTCGGAATTCTGTTCAAAATGGTTGCAAAACTTGGTTTTAGTTAAAATAGAGGAAAAACTAGAAATTGTGGTCCTGTGTTTGAATGGTTGCAGGTTTTGTAACGTTTGTCGTTCTTCGTGAATGGGACAATAATGCACTTACATTGTTTGAAACAAAGAGTTTTGTTTGTCATATGTTTGTATATGATTCTTTGTTTCTCGACCTGACCAATACTTGAGGAAGATGTAATCTGTCGGGGAATCTTCCATCGGACCTTCCGTCATAAATCACGCACGTAGCTTCATTTGCACAAGCAAAAAGCGTAGGTTGTTGTTTTCTGACGGATACTCCACCTGTTTGACGCTTTGTAATTATCAAAAGACGATTTTGTCTATGATCAAAAGACGATTTTGCAATCTTTCTAAATCTTCCCGAGGATCTTCATAATCTGGTCTTTGGTGTAAATTGTTGTTGTATCTGGTGAAAACAACTTCGTTCGTAAAATGTTTACAGTATGTGCTATTAATATTTCGTAGTTAGATTGATGATGTCGTTTCATCTCGTATTCAGCTCGGAATTACAGCATTTAATGATCAATGTCTGTGGCATTGCGAATCCGATGGCCTGCTGTGTTTAAACTTCACTGGACAATTAATTGTGCGTCGCTTTTATAAAATCCTGTTCCCTTCGTTCATTGATAAAGGCGGAACAGCTGTTTAATCTAACAACGTTGATCTATTGCGACGTATACAGGAGACCCTTTCTAATTTAGCATTTTTCCCTAGTTTTTTTTCTCTATAATCTTTTGAAAACATACACACAGTCGTCAGCGATTGCATCATGTTTTCATAAAAAAGGCATTGGGTTGGCAAACGTCACAACAGCCATTAACTTTTAATTCAATTCAGTGTTTTGCTTTAGTGTGCAGCGTGTATTTTCAGAAAATGGTAAGGCCTAAGGGATCTCCTAAACTCACAATTCATGTCAATATCTTGCGTGATAACGTTGATGCGGTCCATACTGACTGACTGACTGACTGACTGACTGACTGGAACAAGCTACTTTCGTCTCTTGTTAATCAACAACTTTTCCCCTTGCAGCGTCCAAAAGCAAGTACGGCAAATATCACGGCAAAATTCAACAAGACAGCACCTGCTACCAACAAATGCACTGCTTGCAGCAAGACTGTCTACCCTATGGAGATGATCACTGCAGATGATAAGTCGTTCCATAAAAAGTGCTTTAAGTGCACTGAATGTAAAGCCACTCTGAGGTTGGTCTAATAACAAAAATAACTTTGTTTCCTGCTCATTCCTAAGTAGAGCCAGTCATAAAACTCGACACAAAACTAGTCCTAGTGTTTTGAGCAGAACAAGACTGCCATTACACTTATAACAAGATATACGAGATCATTCCTTTGAAACTATAATCGATCTTTTTAGGCTTGGCAACTACGCAGCCTTGCAAGGCCAGATATATTGCAAACCTCATTTTAAGCAGTTGTTTAAAGTGAAGGGGAATTATGATGAAGGATTTGGACGGCAGCAACACAAAAAACATTGGGAGGAAAAGACGAAGAATGAAAATGCATCTGAAGATCAGAAATCTGAAGAAAATCATGAGGTATGATTGTTGTCATAATATTTGCGTCAGCCTTATCTTAACAAGAACTATTTCGCTATTGTCATGATAAGAATTAAGAATATTGTTATCTATATGGCAATAATAGTCTGAGGAAAAATAATTCCTAAAATTTTCCTAATAGTTTGTCTGATTAAGATCGTTCTGAAAATCGATGAACTATATACTCAGATGATTTTTCTCTCAGATTTATTTCTTGCTTTAATTGTTCTTCAGCTAAATGTGCTTTCATTTTTGTAGGTTGACTCAAATGCGAATATCAAAGTGGATGCCGACGACACCCCTCATGAAAATGGTTACGATCACCCCCCGGAAGAGCATACTAATGGGTACGACTCAGCCGGTCACGAGGATGCTTTTATTAGCGATGATGCTCTTGATGACGGGATCACGACATAATTTCACGCGTGGAACAAGCGTGAAACACGCGAGCCTGGCTTAGCGGAACTTGAGGTGGCTCAATGAGGTTTCTTAAAAAAGAAATACGTACTATTCTTTCAGTATGCGTTAGGCGTATCTTTTTTGTCAACAAATAACTTACCAAAACTTACCTTTCTTAGTTTAGTTTAGCCAATTTTATATTTCAACAGATGTTAGTATAGAACTGGGAACCTGGGAACATCATTCAGCCACCTTAACAAAGCTATTGTCGCTTGCGAACACATTCGAGTTTCAATTATTCATGATATTTCCATTATATTTCATCAATGACATTTCATCCATTCTTTTCATGTATTTAATTTTAACATCAGAAATGACATCGAAAGTATTCTTTCTTCATTGTAGCTTGCATGAGTATAGTTTTACGTTCTAAAATACGAGAAATTGGTTTGAACTATCAAGGATTCTCTGGTATTAGAACAAGGAAAAGTGGCTTGTATACAATAATTTTTAATTAAAAAGAGAAGTTGATAGTGGTAACCACAGGTGTTGTTAAAGAATTTCTGTGTTTCACAGGTCAATACTTTGTTGTGAGTTGTGATTAAAAACTACTCATGCGCAGGACAAAACGCAACAATCGGTATCGACTTATTTCAAAATTAGATTAATCAATTGCTTTATTCATTTCAACACAGTAGAAACTGAGGGTATAATTGATGTTCGTATTTCTTTCGTAATATTCAATTGTAAATTATGTGTGATGTAAAAATAGATTATATGGTTAGGAATTTTATTAAAACTATTTTCAGTTGTAAATTATATTTTGCAAAAGAGCCTGAATTGAATATAATTATGTAAAATGTCTCAATATAGTCCAATAAAAATCCCAAAAGTTTTGTAGTTTCGCTGGAAGACTATAGTCAGATTTGCAGTAAATTGCAGATAAATAGCGGACGGTAAATTTCACGCCAAAAAAGTCGTTTCCTTTTTTCTCGCCGCAAAAGCTGACGCGCGCGCAAAATTCCAATTACATGACGCAATAATCACTGCGTCGTCTCTATGGTGACATTTCTTTATAGCATTCGTGCGCGAAATTTTCGAAAGTTTTTATCCTTGAGAAATTGCAAAGTTATTTTTGAGGATTCATCAAAATACAAATATTTTTTATCAAAACAGGATTGAATAATTCAAGATGTAAGTTTACGTCGAATGATTTCCTATGTTTTATTTTCGTCTTCAAATTTATCATCGTCTGCGAAAAAATCAATAGCCCAGTCATTTCACTCAATTTCTTTTTCAGGAGAGATAAATATATCTCTAGTGCTTCTGTCAAAAGCATTTCACGGATTCCAAAACTGGTGAGTAATTTAGAAAATTGTTTATCCTAAAATATCTTGCGAGACTAATTCATTGGTTCTTACAGGTGCCTGGTAATGACAGCAGAGTTGAGCGTCAAGATTACTCAAAAGCGAGAAAGTGAGTGCAGTTTCGTTGATGGATTACGTGAATTGCCTTTTCTCTTCCTTGTCTTTGCTTTCAATCCGTTTCGGATTACTGGACGGCTGATTGAGTTAAACTTTTGAATATTTTCTCTTGGTTATTCTAGCTTACGATCAAATCCTCGCAGTGCGTCGTCCTCGCATCCAATTCGCATCAACCGTGATTGTTTGAAAGTAATTCCTGGTACAAACGACCGAGTCGTTAAAAGGTATAAAATTCGACCGGCATGATTGAAGGGCTAGTTAAATATAAATACTGTGCGCAAACCCAGCAGACTTAATTGACTGCTTCATGCACCGTGCGTTAACATGGGGCTTGTCCGTTTAAATCATCAACAACGCTGATTTTTCTCTGGCATTTTAGAACTCGTCCATTCGTACGAAAAGGCGAAACCACTAAGAGTGGTAACACAACTTCACAAACATCGGCAATAAATCCCCGAGCACTGGTACCCTCGGCAATCAAATCCCAGTCATCAGTACCTGCCGCATTAAAGTCCCGGATCCCGTTAGCCCGCATCACCTCGCACAGTTGCGTAAAACCTCCGATATCAACAACCATCACTCAGGCATCCACTCGAGTCCTCCGCAGTCATGGTGTTTCAAAAACTTTGAGGTAAAATAATGAAATCTGTTGTTGATCCTCGACACAGACTGTCCGTACTCTAAGAACACAACTATAAATGAAACAATTCCATTTGGGTAACAGACAGTTTACCTTACTTCATTTAGCTCAAAAGCAGTTTCCTGTTCTGCGGCAAAAATATCCACCGCAAACAATTTGAATACAGCAACATCCAGTCGTATCCTTCGTAGTCATGTGTCGTCCACACGTGACGCAGCCACCGCATCCACGAGGTCCAAAATACCCAGATTTTCGTGGAACCTTCGGCGCAGTTCTTCTGTTTCCAAAGCAGAAAGTCTGAAGAAGAAGGATGGTGAGGAAATAGGGCCACTGGGAAAGCAGAATATTCCTAAAGAAGCTGAACACACCACGCTTGGAAAACGTTCAGCGTTGAGTGAAAAATCACTCCGTCCAGATATTAAGAACGACCAGAAGAAGCCAAAGAATGATCTGGAGGTTTGTTTATTTAAGTAATAAGACAAATATATTCTTAGCTTTAAACCTTTATTGACACAGGATGAAACCACTTCCCTCCAAGAAATAGCCTTATAAATATATTATTCCATTCCACTTAGACTCTATCATTCTATTCCAGTTAGACTCGCAATTCATTGCGCAGACGAGTTTAATGATACGAAACCGCGATCTAATTCAAAAAACTTGAATGGTTGCGCGGGTTTGAGAAGATTGGTATATTTTACCTATAGCCACTGATAGAATTAATAGATCATAATGGTTTATTTTTGAGTTTACTTTAGAATTTACTTCGGAAGTTAAGTTCTCTCATTGCATAAAAACATTCAGTTCAAATGTTGCGAGAAGCAATATGAGTTACCCAACCCTGCACGGTATGATAGCTTGTGTTCAATGAGAAATTCTAAAAACCACAGGTCAATGCGTTACGACCAGAAGAGCATCAAAGAAAGCTTGAAGCAAAGTTGACCGAACCACGCAAAGCAGTCGACCTCAAGTTGACAAAGTCCATTCCTGTGAACGCTGAAATCTCGACTGTTCCTCAAAACAAATCACTGTCCATCACTGGCTGTGAAGAATTCGTTGATGTTGCATCACATGAGAAATCACTGGTTACGTCTGAGCACGTTGTTGTCACAGGAGAGCCTTCGTTGGTTGAAGAACCAAGTGTCGAGACGTCTCACCAAGTTCCTGATAGTCTCGCACCAACCGTACCAGCAAAACCCCGCGATGAGAAAACACTGACTCCTGCAGATTCAGAAATAAAAATCCTCGATGAAGACATCGACACATCGCAACAAACACCAAGTCCTTCAGCCCAGGTTGATAAGGTTGTTGAGTTTAACTTGGTGGCTAAACCCCTTGTCCAGGAGCTCCATTTGGAGGGACAAACAGCCACTTTGGGAGAAGAAATTTCTGTAAAAGGTACAAGAGAAAATGAAAGTCCACTAAAAGAAAACAGTGCTTTCGTGAAACGGTCTGCAGAGGATGATGAAATCAACGGCTCTGTCAAACCACCGATTCCTGCCAAAGTCCAACACGTCTCAGATGAGATACCAGCTTTGACCGACATCCCGATTGTAACCGAGCAAACGTCGGAAGAAACGAGCGCGTCTGACAATATTTCTACAGTCGAGAAGGCAGTTGACTTGGAGATCGCTGTGAAACAAGATGAAGTGATTTCTGATGTACACAGCTCTCCTCAGGCGGAGACATTGTCTTTGCAGAAACCAAGCGAGTCTGGTTTTCGAGATGATACATCAGTGGTTCAGCCAACAACGCTCCAAGGTGTTGCAGAAGCGACGTCTGTGGTTAATACGTCAAAGCCTTGCACACTGACTGTGGCGGTAAAAGCCGACCGTTTTCCTGTTACAACACATACAGAAATATCAACTGTTCAAGATGAACTATCAACGGCCAGTAAAAAGCATTTTGATCGGGTTGGAGTATCTACATGCTATGGGCAACCCAACAAACAAACAACTGTTTTTCAAAATGAGAAGCTCCTTGTGGTTAAACCATTAACCACTATTGAGTGCGTGAAGGTCGACAAAGTAAAAATTGAGGAGAAAAGCTGCCTCAAATCTTCCAAACGACCAGCAAGTTTGACTCCCATCGACAACCATTGTATCCTCAAAAAACGACGAAATGCAAGCAGCGAGAATAGTAAAGATGAAACAAGTTGTTTTTCCTCGCCAGTCCAGTCTTGCTCGTCACAGACGATGGAGATTGGAAGTCCTATTACAGTCCCTTCGAATGTGTTCATGGATGTTGATCCAAGCGTCTGTAGCCTTCGAAACGTGTCCAATTTTGCATTTGAGCAAATCCCAGGGGCACTGAACACTCAGAGTGGGTTGAACGATGCCATGGAATTATCTGAGTCCAGTCAAACATTACCATTTGCATTTGGCAACATTCAAGAACAGACAAGACCTATGACGACTGGTTTTTCGTTTGCGACAAGCGACCAGCAAGCGAGGCAGAGTTTTGGTATCAATAAAGCTCAGAATGGTTTTGTTTTTCACAGCAATCCTGTGGTTGATGGGTTCCCTGGGCGTATATTGAACCAAGCTACCCAGGGCTTTCAACTGATAACGTTTGGTCGTGTGCAACCGCAACAGGACAACCATCCAATGCCTGGCCTGAACCAAACCAACTTATTCCAGATATTTGGCAATCCTCTGCAAACTCAACGCCCAACGTTGGTCAACTCAGATGGTAGCCACAGGAAGTTTATTTTCACAAAAGGTCACCGTCGACGAAACAACGTTCATTTTCACCCGAACCAAACAAACAATCAAAATACACCTCCGGTGTTTGCGAGTGGTTTTCAAACCGGACTTAACTTCGGTATGGTAGTTCAAAGCCCAACACCAATGGAATCCGAAGATGTTAATTCCTGCAGTGGAAATGGCAGTCAACGGTTTGACGTACAGCAGAATCATCAATTCATCTGTGGTTCTTCACAGGAAATATCGGGACAGAATATTAATGACCATTCCATGGAGGATATTGTGCAGTCACCACCACTGATGGTATGCGATAGTTCATTACCACAACCTCGCTCTACTGTCTCTTGCTTTGAAATATCACAGCAAACTATGGCAGGGGTTGAACGTAGGCTGAGTTTACCAGCGATGACGATGACCACTCAAGTTGTCGTACCAACAACGCCGTTTTTACTGCAACCAGCTCGACTACAGCTGCCGTCAGCAGGTGCAAAGAGCTCGGCGAACTCTGTATGGGAACACAGATCTAAGCTGGATGAACAACTAAGTACCTCAAGTGATGGAGATCAAGGAAATGATGGGATGACACTAAGGATGGATTCATCAGCATTATCCCTGGATTCCAGTAATTCGAGTCTCAACGACTGTCGAAGTGATATTGTTGATGATTTAACAGAAAGCGTTAGCAACTGTAGTTTAGAAGATAGCTGCACAACAATGGACGATATTGGGAGATTGATTGAAATGTTCAAAACACTTAGCATTGATGACACAGGCATTAAACACTGATTTTGAGGATTGTTGGAATGGAACATGATTGCAATAAGCATGCACAAATTATTTATTTTCTTGTAATATTTATATTTTAATGTACATTATATACGCTAATAAATTTTTAAATGATTTGCCTTGTTCTTTTCTTTTCTTTATTGGACCAATAAATTGATATTTTTTTCAGGTAGTTCAGCCACAAACTACGACAGCTTATTTATTCTAGAATACTACCCTACATTGGACCACCACGTTTGAGATATCTTTCTCCGGTAGTTCAGACACAAACCACGACAGTTTATTGTAGAATACTACCTACACTGGGCCACCACGTTTGAGATATCTTTCTCAGGTAGTTCAGACACAAACCACGACAGTTTATTGTAGAATACTACCTACACTGGGCCACCACGTTTGAGATATCTTTTTCAGGTAGTTCAGACACAAACCACGGCAGCTAATTGTAGAATACTTCCAACACTGGGCAACGTTTGAAAAAAAATCTATTCTTTTTACACGTAGTGACTACAAAGTTATGTTAGAATTTTACACAGAAGCGACAGACAGTGATACATATTGACTACAATCCCACAATGTCCTGGGTGTTTGTTAACTTTAATTGTCAAGCATTTCTTCAACAAGCAATCCTTCGTTATCTATCCTTTATTGTGGTCTTCACGAACCAGACTTTGTCTTGGAGTAAAACATCTCCAGTGGTTTGTTTACTTTCCAGTACTAAAGAAAAACAAAGCCATTGACAGTCATGTGAATTATCAGTTAAACTAATTCTTTCACTGGTCAAAGTCAAGTGAAGGAGCAATGAGATTGACTGGAATGAGGGTCCATTACCTTTTCATTGACGTTGTCCAGACTCATGCTACCCGGGAGCTCCTAAATCAGAGCAAAAGGAAAGTTTTAAAATCTTGGAAGTTCCAGTAAGAATAATCTAAATTAACTTATTTAGACGATTCTTAGCTTCATTTCATAATTCCTACCGTAAATTGTCCAGGTGTTGTTGCTATGAATATCGTGTAGGCTGGTTCTTCGTTTTCTTCCACATCTATCAGAAGATAACAACGATATTCTTGCTATCGTAACCTCAACAACACGGCGCTGGCAAAGTACAACTAAAAACTTACCTTTTCCACCGGATTTTAAGTTCAGTCTTATTGATAAATATCTTGAAAGATGATCAACTAAAAATTGTTATACGAAAGATACATGAAGATATCTTTAAAACAGATACAGTACAACAACACGTCCAGGTATTGAATACATTTTAATAAACCATCGGTTCTGCAACTGTTCTTTCTAGAAATCCAGTAAGGATCATCGCTTTTTTATCCAGTTATGTCAATCCTTAACCGTGCATAACTCTATTTATAACTGGAAACGATCATAAGATAAGAGTTTAGTCTGTACCAGTTGCAATTGCGGTTGTTTTAATATATCTCGTCTGTTCTCGTATGGTCTCCGCGTCATGATCCTTCGGGTGAGGTTTGAAAACAAGTTCAATTTCCTGAGAATATCATTGAAAAATTACATTAATCACTTGTCTAATCATTTTGTTAAAACTTAGGTACAAAGTGTTGCCAAATCATTACGTTGTTAGTGTCTCCCGCTTCGTTATCAGTCAGAGCGACAGATTCCACAACATCTTAAAAGAATAAAAGAAACGTAAGATATAAGATCGCGGTCACAATCCACCAGGATTGACCCTAGGTTGGTATTTTACTTTAGCTGTATATGAAAAACTGCTTCATTCGTGAGCGCTGGGTGATTGCAAGTTAATGGATGGTAAAAATTCAGACCACAGCCTTCTGGTTGCCCTCTGCAACACAAACTGAACAACTCACTCTCGCCTTCATCAGATTCATCTCCCGTTTTTTGTCTTTTTACTTTCGGATTGAGACCAGGTGTGCTTTCTCTTGATGTTGATGCAATAGGCGAGGGTGTATTCCCTGATGTCTGACCTGCTTCTACAGGGAGATAATTCACAATCATTGATGGTAATGCATGGACAGCAGGATGTCAGGTTGTCTGTTTTGAAAGCATACCTGCCACTGTTTGTTCCTCATTTGATAGCTTACGCTGAAACAGTACAAAATATATCAGTTCTAGCACATTGTTTTAACTTTAAATCTTCAAATGCTGTGACCACCATCTTGTGATATTTCTGACTGCAAATGAAGTATATACAACCAGTAAATTTAATTAAACTCACCACTCTTTGAGCTCTGTTGAGCGCTTGCAGCTTCAGACCTTCTTCAATGCTGCTTGTTAATGCTTGTTGGTTATGATGTTTGCTCAGCTTCTGAAGAACTTTTTCCTTTGTAAAACAACAAGGCAATCAGAATAGAAAGTTGTGCAAATGAAGCGCAATTACTTCTTCTATATTCTGATGAAATTAAAAACACAATACAGAGAGAAATGAAGTGAAATATTTCCAACCTGGTGCGCCTCATATTCTTCACGATCTGGGTAGATCTATTAAAAGAAGATTAATAATTGCACAGTTGATACTGGCTAAACTGCATTGAGATACCATCTAACCATGAAGCAACAAACCTTGGCAATCAAAGCATCAAAATTTGGGTCAGGTCTTAGAGATCTTTTTGAAACCAGCTTTTTGCGGCATGTTGGACACTCTTTGTTCCTAGAAGAAGCATTTGATTCACTTGTATATAACTATGCATGGTATAATTACGAACGATTCATGCCTTTAGGCATTAGGATACCAAGGAAAATAACAAAGATCAGTTGGATTAAATTCTTACCCACTTCTAAGTGCTGTTATAATGCAATCCTGACAAAACCTGTGCAGACACTAAATTGATGGATTATATCTCTGGTTAAGCAGGTCAATAGGTGCAAGGTTGTTTGATAATAACAAACAGTGCATTGTTTAACTTGCCTCTTTCGTCGTCATTGTGTTTTTCAACATATCCAAACAGATCGGACACATGAGCTCACTGTGGAGGCTTCTGGGAGAAATTGTGATTTCTGTGTCATCAGTGATTGCCTCCTGTGGGGTTCTATGCAGCTCATACAGGCTTAAATCTGAACATAAATTCCCATTTAACGAGTCTTATGGTCTCATATTGACACATTGACTGCATGGCAGTATATTCATTCATGTTATTGTAAGATGTATTAGCCCCTAATGGAAGCTTACAGGTTGAGAAAGGAGACAGTGCAAGCTGCCAGTTTTTCCAACCCACAAACTGTCAGCATACTATAAAATGAACATACTTTTTGTATCAAAAAGACATATATACTAATTACTAAAATATTAGCTATCACTATGATGTAATTAAATCATATCAGATCTAGCTTTATCATAGTTATATTTTCAAGAAATCTTAAAACAGGAAACTCAAGCAGGCCAAACATGATCAATTTCTAAGTATTTTCCAAGAGATCCCAGTATTACAGTAATAGGAAAAACACAATTCAAAGATCGCTTTCGAACCTACCCCAGGATTTGGGCTGAACGAGCTGTTGACTGCTTGTTTGCGAAGCCATAGTCTTTCTTTTTTATAAAATAAACCAGTAAAGCTGAAACCTTAGCAATCGTCACTATTTTCTGTGCTTTTTCCAAAGCTTTTTTCAGAACAACAAAAACGAAATTTTGCAAAATTGCAGACTAGTGCTCAGGCCTAAATTAACACGGCCGAAAAAAATCGTTTGGTTGAAAAATTTGTCCAAATACTTTTGTTGATATTTTATTCATTTTCGTAGGAAATACATCTTCCTAACCATTTTAAATGCTTTTCTCTGGTTTTTGGGGGAAATTTAAAGGAATTAAAGCGATTTTTAACAGATTATTTTATTAGAGTTTAGTAACTGAGCTGCGATGCGGATACTTGATGTAATATTTTGTGTAAACGTAAACACAACGTTAAAGATGTAATCATTGTAATGTCGTTTTCTCTACGCAAATAAAGTGTTAAATTGATGGAAAATTATGATATAGTCAGTACTATTGGAAGAGGTGGCTCGGGAAAAGTGTTTTTAGTGCGAAGCAAGAAAGATCAGAGGTAAATTTAATGGAATTTTGCAGATAGACTCTGTGCATTCAGCATTCTCATGCAGTCATTCAGTGGTGTATAAACAGTTGTAGTATTGTATTCAAATACAACCAAAGTAGATATTTGTACTTGTACTACACGTAGGTTACAGTATGCTGTGCTTGATTATGTTTTATTTATGTTTTTAATGTTAAATATAAAGGATATTTGCCTGATTTCATTGCAATATACAGCAACAAATTTTTGTTACATTTTATATGAAATTTGCAACATATTTATACACCTGGCTCACTGGCAACCCTATTTATATTTTAGGCAGTATGCATTGAAACAAATCATTTTGAATAAATCCAACACGAGAGAATCTGTTCTCAAAGAAGCAAGGTAAAGGACTTGCAACCATCTGGCTTTAAAAATAACCCTTATGATTTTTCTTACATATATGTCTGTCATGATTGTATATGTCATTTAAATTAAAATCTTCATAATTACTGCACAGCTTTTTGATAAATCTTCTAGGATTCTGTCAAAGTTGAAACATCCACATATCGTCACATGTAACAATTTCTTTTTTGATGATCTTGAAGAACATTTATATATTGTTCAGGTAACGCATTATTTTAAACCTAATATACGCTGCATTTTTGTATGTTTTGTAAAACAATTTTTAGAGTTTTAATTATTTGTCATGATTTTTTAGGATTACTGTGATGGCGGAAATTTGCAGGACAAGATTTTTGAAATGAAAGAGGTTGGTTTAATCAATCAGTTGATACAATTTTGGTATATGATATGCTTTATGTTTTAAAAATCTTTACTCTAGCTGGCATGCATGCAAACTTAATTGCCAGACTGAGTATATGCAAGTTGAAATAATGGAAATATTAGATGATTTTCATCCTGTTTTAGAAAAATGTGAATATAAAAGAAGACCAACTTATGCAGGTGAATGAGCAATTTTCTGGAACATTCAGCTTTATTTGATAATTCATGTACATAGCATTTCAGTAATGCATCTGTTAGCTCTAACTAAATTAACTGTTTTGCTTTATAACACAGTGGTTTGTTCAAGTGACAATGGCAGTACAGCATATCCATGCAAACAAAATTTTACACAGGTAACATACATCGATCATTGCTATTACTGCATGGGCAAGTACGGACATACTTACAAATAAGAACACTCTACTTACTGTGTTGAATAAGGTCAGCTTCTTTTCATACCCTAGGGACTTGAAGACACAGAATATCTTTTTAACAAAACGAGGTCTCATCAAAATAGGTTTGTATTTTTTTGAGATTTCTCTAGGTATACAAGTTTTATGTTCTGTTATGTGTAAACGTGTTTTTTCCAACTTATTCCAGGTGATTTTGGAATAGCCAAAGTTATGGAGAACACTTTAGACATGGCAGAAACATGTTGTGGTACACCCTGTTACCTCAGTCCAGAATTATGCCAAGACGTACCTTATACATCCAAAGCTGATATCTGGGTGAGTTTGTATCAAACTACTGCCAAATTTCATCTATTTCTGATGCCCAGTATTATGATTAAATTGTGTTACAAGTATATAATCATATAGTCACTCACGAAGGAGAGCTGTCTAGATTGAGTTGATGAACTTATTATTTACAGTCAGATTTAAGCACATATCCTGTTTTCCTTTGTTATACAGGCCCTTGGCTGTTTGTTGTATGAGCTATGTTCTTTACGGCCAGCGTTTAGTGCTGGGAACATCGTCAGCCTGTTTTACAAAATTGTGAGCGGGAATGTGGAGGTAAGAAAGATTAAGAATGAGATTTACAGAACCACTAACAGCATGCATGAAACTAAATGATCATAATCTCTGTTGTGTTTAGCCAATACCCTCAGTGTACAGTCAAGATATTACAAATCTTATATCTCAAATTATGTCAAAGAATCCGGAGGACAGACCAAGGTATGAGACAATATTATTTTTATTTTAAAGCCACTGCTTTGGAACATTTTGTCAACATTAGTTTTGTATCATCACTATATAGCGCTGGTGCAATACTGAATATACCTTTTGTAAAAGATCATCTGGCATTTTTTATTGAGGGAAAGAAGACTTTAAAAGAACAACAGTTACGGTATGGTTTATAACTACCATATTCGATCCTTATGTTACTAAGACAACAAGTTCCAATCTTTGTTGTTTAGACCTATTGAAGACACTCGCTCTAAATCACCCAACGGTCAGGCATGTTCAGCAAGATTGTCTAAATCCCCTTGCCCCGAGGGAGAACCAAGTTTTTCTGAATATCCCGATGACTTTGAGGCATCTTCTTCCGACGACAATGCGGAGTATTCCGATGATTTTGACGAAGTGGATGGAGAAGAGTCTTTGAAAGAACCAATAGCGGCCAAGTCTGGTGTCACGAGCTTTGGTAAAGTTGGTGTGAATGTTGAGAGTTACTCAGATGATGAGTTCGAGCAAGATTCTGACTGTGAGGTATGTCCTTAGAGTAATCACGGATAATCATGTTAACGGATGGTATTGATCGCCGATGGTAATAGTAATCATCAATGATAATAAGAATGATAGAATAATGTGGCATAATGATGAATAAAATATACGATATTATTATTTATTGTCATTTATAGTCATCATTGCAAGATATTCTCGCCTCAGCAAAAGCAGCTCAAGATATTGAAGGTGCGTGTATTATAACAAACCATTTCCCAATATTTGCAAGTCATCTGTATAGTTGTATATTTTTTATTGTAACTTCCCTTAGTTCTTGAAGAGACAGTGGAAGACAATCAGAGGCCAGCGTCATCTTGTCGAGACTTGATAAAAGAGTAAGCCAAAGTCTTTTTTTATGATTCACTCTTGTTCATTTCAATGAACTGTTTCTTCTTCATCAAACAGAGAATGTATTAATGTTCTTGGAGAAAAAGGATTCTACAAAGTAAAAGAATTTTGTCAGAATAAAGGAATAACAAACATTGAAGACCATCCAGGGTAAGCAAGTGTCATCATCACCTTAACCAAATGATTATCATAAATATTAAATACTATTTTTTCCAGGCAAGAATTTGAAAAGATAAGTGATTCAGATCGCATGGAGAGTTGCTTTCTTGTTAATGAACTATTCATGCTTGATAAATCCTGTCCTGATAATTAATTTCATTAATCAAATCTAATTTATTTCACTAAGTCACTAACAAAAGTTCAGATCTGGCAGAAAGAAGACCCATAACTATATGTAGAATATACACTACTAGTTCTGTATGTATTTCTTTTTTATGGAGATTGCCGCAGGGAAAATAATATAAATATGTAATAACTGTAATTTTTGTAGTTTAATGTAAATATAGTATATAGTTTATAATATAGTTTGTACTTTTCAACATAATATTTGTACATACGAAGTTGTGTAAAGTGTTTCGAAAATGTATAGTTCCAAATTTTGATATAATAACTTGCGCACTACAGAATCGTGTGTCTATAGTGTTGTGAAGCTTTCATGGAAAATTCTGATGACAAGCAAAACGTTATCAGTCTCACAGGCTTAACTCATGTTACTTTAGCACTTCTTTTGAGTGCAATGTGTGAAATACGGAATATAGTAGTCAATATACCTCGCATATATTGCGCGTCAGATGTTGATTACTTGACGATTACTCGACCCAGTCTGAGCGCGTTATAATTCAATATGGCGGACACTGTGCAGGTCTGGAACTCTGAATTTAGCTGGTAAAGTTTGAAATGGCAGGATTTGGCTGTTAGCAATCAATAAAATGATAGCTTTGGAAGATGTAACAAAGAATTTGCCGTCTCTACAGTTCGATTCAGCTCTTCCAGATGACGAGAGGTGAGATTGTCCAGAACTTTCGATCGTTTATATATTAAAAAACTGAAAGAATTTCACTCATATACGAAATATTTATGTTCCAGGAGAGCTTTAATTCAACTTCGTACAAAGAGTTTGGTATCGATTTCTACAGCATGTGCACAATCGTAAGTTCACTGAGATCTTTTGTGTTTTTTAACACTTTTTTTAATACTATTTTAGTTTGTATTTTATGTTTTATATTTAGGATTTATTTTGTGTCTATACTAAATAAAGTCAATGAAGTGATTTTGAAAAAAACAAGGGTAAGCTGGGCCATGATTAGTGCTTGAAATAAGCTTTTTTTACCCTTGGTTCTTTGAATATATGGTTTAATATTTTTTAACTTTTTCACCAGTCTCTAAATAACAACAGTTGCATAACGTCTGTCTTCAGTGGTTTGAAGATTGGCATTATTGGTTGTGGTAGACTTGGGAGGGAGTTAGCATCGGTTCTTCTGAATCTAGGTTAGTTCAAGAACCTGTCCTAGCATTAGGATCCTAAGAAAGGTCATTCTAATCTTTTTTTTTAATATTGGATGTTTATTCCTAGCAACTGCAAGGTAACCTTCTTTGTCTGTTTTTAATGAATAATCATTTATTATAGGTGTTGTTAAGGCAAGCCATTTATACATTTCTACAAGATGTCCTGAAAATTTGGAGGAATTTCAAGACAAAGGCACTTTCTGTTGCTTCGATAATTCCTTGGTATTGAATATTTCATTATGCCTTTATCCTGTGAATGATCAAAATTAATTTAATAAAAATCTCATTTGGCATCCAGAACTTACCTTATTATAAATTAGGTTGGTCGAACTGTCGATATTCTCTTCTTATGTTGTCTGCCATCGCAATTCACTACAGTTTCCAAGGTAAATGCAAATGCTCTAATTTCTTTGAGAAGTTATACTTCGTTTTACTGTTATTTTACTACTTTACTGCAGCCTAGTTTAAGAAAGAAATACCTATGTAGTTTCACTGTTAATTTTTTTTTAAAACATCCTCTAGGATTTGCGTAGTAATCTTAATGGCGTGGTGTTCTCCTTTGTGTCTGGATTACCTCTGGCAAGAATAAGTCAGTTGCTGGACTACCAAAATATCATCAGCCCAACTCTTGTATCCTGCGTTATAAGATAGTGACATGACGTACCTAGAATATATCCACTTGTATAAGTATTTTTATGACTCATTTGCAATGATTTCTTTGACAAAACAATTTGCAGACATTCAAGTCAAATATTGCTGAGATATTCGAAGATTCAAATCCATGGAAATTCGGCATAGATGTAAGTACAATGATTGATTGACGTCACAGATTGTGATGAGTGTTATTAGCTCAGTTTATGCTCAATGTCAACCATCAAATCCCTTCAGATAATGGAGATCCTGGCAGATCAAAACTGTATCATTCATACTTCCCCTTCATACACTGGTGAAGGTAGGCAATTTAGAATTGTCAGTTTTGAAACAAGTGCATCAGTCCTGTTTGAAAAGACCTTGATGGAATTTTCTATCAGATGCTTTGCTTGAAATGGATGTGAACCTGTTGGAAAATATTATCTTTGCTGTGTTGAATGAGTGTACCAGACATGGTATTGGGTGTCAAGAAGCAGTGAGGTTTGTCACATTCTTTATCTCTTTCAATTTAACTTTGTCATTTCGTGTAAAAACCTTCTGTTATTTGTATAGGTTGTGTAATTCAATCCTATTTGCTCTCACACCAGAGCATCCATCCTATTTTGTTTTAAATGATATTTTGAGAGTGAAGGACAGTAAAGAGAACACTGGAACTAAAGATATGACAGAGTATGTTAATATAATGCATTTGAGTAACTTTCTTGACATTATTAAATAGTTAAAAACATACAGAAAAAGATTACATGTATCACCAAACATAAAAATCTCTATATTTTATGCAAGTCTAGTCTTCCCTTAGACAAGAACAAGCTGTGGTGGAAATATGTACAGCAGAACCTATTATTTACCAGATTTAAACTTATTTTGCTCTAGTTTTTTACCGATTTTTGATCTGGTAAAAATGAAATCAGAGGAAACGTCTGTATTGCCATTGGGAAAGAGAATCGTTGAAGATGAATCATTAAGAACCGCATTTGCTGACGTTTATCAAAACGTTTTTCAGAAGTGCGTTTCAGTTTAGTTTCTTATGATATAAAGTTCTTTCCTGTGACTGTGTAGAAAAAACTTGTAAAATAGTTTGTGATGTTTTCTTAAAGTTCAGAGAAGGTTTTATAGACGAGTTTTTGTCAGAAACATCAGAGTTAATGATGACTGACGCTGTAAAATAATCCCCAGTTAGTCTGTTGGTCTGTTAGTGTGTGTAATGACCAAGCAAATATTTTTAGATTTTCCTAAATACTAGTCTTTTACACCATATTTAATATTTTAATTTATTTATTATAATTATTAACTTATTATACATGAATGCGGTGTATTTTATAACCTTGATATATATGGTTCAATACAATTATATTACATATATGAAATTTTTGACAGGATGGGATTCACCATATGAATTCACCAAGGTATATTTATATTTTATCGTGATCTATGATAATTGATAAAACAAGTCGAGCGAAAAACCTGATGCTACATGAAGTTTTTCAGCTTCGGAAAACTAACGAACCAATCAAACGTCGTGTAACATCAGGCGAAGTTTGACGTCATTATGAGAAAGCTCTATTGCTTCAAATAGGCGAGGTGATTTCGCATGCAATGTATATCTAGTCTGATAATTGTACTCAATAGCATACACCAGGAGGAGAAAACCATCGTCGATTAAATTCACCTTTGTCGAATACGATTTTTAACATAAAAAAACTTACATCGACTGTAATGCCTGGATCAATTTGAGAACAAGGGTTGTGTGAGAGTTGGAAAAGAGTGAATGAATATTTTGTAACTGTTATTTTTGTACCACAGGAAACGTGGAATGCACTGGGATTGAAGGGCAGTCATTCAAACGAGAGAAAATCTTATCAAATGTTATTACGCCCTGGTCAGACGTGAGCAAGATTTAAGCAGTGGAATGGTGAAAAATTCTCAAACAGGGATTCAGCTTTTTCAAAACTCTTTAACCCTCGTTATCCCTCGTGGTAACTCATGTTATCACATTCTGTACATGCAAAACTCTGAACTACACAGCCCGTCCAGTCAAGTAGCGTTGAAATGGCAAATAATAGTCGCGTTTTACCGAAGCAGGTCTCGTCGATTTTGGTAACGCATTCTCTTCCCTCTGCAGGTCAATTTTCAGCCAACTTTTCGAAGTTGACTTTAGCGTTTCTTCCTGGTTTTTCACCTGGAAGAACTCGATAAAATATGGCGCATATTTGTTGCGAAGTTTCCTGAATGCCGTTCTCTTGATGTTGAGTTTTCTTCTGTCTTGGATAACGACAATCTTCAGTCCAAACTTCCCTCTGCTGTCTTGAACTGGTTTCATCATGCGCCAATCTAGATAAAACGACATGAATATTTGTTGAGTTTTTGTCAAACGATGATTCTTCGTCCGTCAACGTCACATGCAAACTAAAATACAAATAGTGACTATGCAAAACCTGGACTTACGTGAGATGTTCAGTGTTTTCCAGCCCTGATATGAGCTTGAGAACGGGAACATATCCACAATACGACGACTGTGCAGATCAAAAACTTTCACATAGTATGGTTTCTTCGAGGACATAATCGATTTTTTCGTTGGCGTTGTCATGAACATGCGGAGTTCGTCTCGTTTCCATTTCCAGCTTTTGTCGTCCATAAAACTGCCGTTTTTGAAGATCAATTTGATTGCCCGTTTAGTTCTCACTATCTCTGCAAATAGAGAGAATTCTGGTTTACAAATATGATCAATCTATATTGGATAAGGCCATCTCTTATTGTCCAATTTTACTATGTGCAGGAGGAAACCTAAACTGATTTTTACTGGATAAGGAAACCAATTATTTCGCCCCCCCCTGTTTCAACCATTTTCTCGTGATGAGAAGTATTGCACTGATGTCCTTTTCTATTTTAGTCGCCATATGTCGCAATTACGCGCGTCAAAATATAGTTGAAATGTCAAAATGCCGTCATCGTAATTTTGACAACTTTATTAATTAGAGAGATGGCCCGGGCTGACCTACCACATTTTAATTTAAGATGAAGGTTGTTTTTGATATACAAGTTACGCCTCTTGAACACGCTATGACATTAAAAAGGAGGTTCCTGCCTTATTTAATTAGAGAAACTCTAACACATGCTGCTGCTCAAAAACAGTGCTCTTACGTTGTAAACAGAATTCTTTGGCACTGAATTTAACCCAGTTCGGTCAGGCAGACTACCACGAAACGTCTCATGGTCATAAAGACGTCATTTATGCATCATCCCAATTAAAACACTCCTGTTTTTATTTTTCGTTCATTGCGTTCTGTTTTTCTAATTATATGCGTTTGTTTGCTTTCTCTAAACCTGGGACACAGCGATTGAGAAATGTTACACTCCAATAAGTTGACGTTGGTCCTAAATTAGTGACACCGTAGACATTCAGGCGCTGGGTTAGTCGATCCTACCAGTCTCTCAAATAAACTCTTAAAAAAACTCTCTTAAAAAAATTAGCGGTTGTATTTATTGACATTATATTCAATAGGTTCGAAGACCTCTCGTAAGACCTTAGTCCTGAGTCAATGGAATCCAAAAGAGATTTTCCCTGTTTGATACACCTTGCATGTTGAGATAATCATCAGTCCTATAATAACATGGCTATACAAGGAATTGTTCTCATCCAAAATAGAACATTCTTCATGGTGTGCCTACACGCATGCTCTAAACGTGCCGCTAATAAGTTTGTCCGTCAATCGTCATTTTGTAGTTCGCAGCATCAGGGAATGGCGACGTTGTGGTAATATCTTGTGGTTAAAATAAACAACTTATTAAAACTAGCCAAACAGGATTTCCGATTTTTTTTCTGCATAAACAGAATAGTTCCCTGTTCTCATTTTAATTCCTGGTTTGTGGGCTTGAAAAATATCGCTTTGGGACTTTTTAATGATTTGGTTTACAAAATAGGCTGTGTTTGAATTGTTTTGCGACTGTTTGAACTGAAAACGATGTCGCAAACGTGGTGAATATCCATTGCTTTTTATAGGAACAGACACAATTTGTTGACTTAACAACAGTCCAAATAAACTATTAGTCTTAAGATATGTCTTAACCACCTGCGATGGATTTAAAGAGATAGAGCGAGGTTTTTTTTAGAATAAAATATTATCACACCCCCAAGCACTTTGATAGCAAGGCGATCCTTTTAATAAAGTCTACTGAATATTGTATAGTACTGCTTAGTACAAACTGTAAAAGGAAAAGTTTTATATCTAACTTTCCTGACGAAGGCCCTCAGGTTGAAACGTCGAGAAGTTTTTTGTCTATTTTAGGCAGTTGTTATACCACATTTGATGAAAAGTTTTATAGCTTTATATCGCATTGTCCATATATACTCGTATCCAATTTTTACAAGACCGTTATTGTCGCCTGATCAAAAACTCCATAGGATACATGCTCGCCAATCAAAATACATTCACTTTCCTTTTTCGCGCAGTGTTTCTGGTTAGGGGAGAGTCTCACGGTCGAAGAAGTGGATCGTTCTCGACTTAGCGAAGATTAACATGCGATGTCTTATTTTGCCCCAACACTGACAGTCTGACATATGAACATGGCAACCGATGAGTTTTGATCGGATTTTCAACACGGAATGTGTATAATCGAGTATAATTGTTGAAGAGTGCTTAACTTTTAGAAAAGCTGCCAGATTTTAAGCACGCAATGTGGACTTGCACGATTTCTAGTCCATTCATCAAATGCTGCCCCACGATAATCCCTCTCCAATTTCTTGCAAGGCTCACTCATAATCAACACAAGAGCGCACTTCATGATAATCAAATCATTTTGACTGGTGGTTTTTTTAAATGGTGCTTTTCTCATATGGTCTGGTAATCGAATTTATAATCGTTGTAATTGAGTATTGAGTTTTTATTTCTCGTAGTAACGACATACGAGAGCATATAAGGTGAATTATGAAAACCAAGTTAGTGTGGATGGAATTTGCGCAATTTTTACTGCAGGTAGCGCCACATGCATGATAACAAGATATTTAACGTATTAGGATATATCATTTATGATGGTCTTCTTCATAATACTTAACAGTTGTCGCTGCTTTAAAGGATTCCATGTGTTTACTCGACCATGCGTTAATTGGATCGCCTGAGTGTTTATTGGATTGGGGATATAAAATGAAAGAATCGCGTGTGTTACATATGAACACTGAATATTTCACTTCGGGAGCGCATACCCTCTTTGACATAACGCAAGCTAATCACAGATTTCCACAAACTGACGGTGTGATTTTCATGAAAAAACCGCAGAAGTGTTGAAAATTTGTAAGCGAGGATTGACCTGATTCCGATGTCATGACTAGATTATCAAGATGATGTATGATGACTGCTCTGAAGACATTCCTTGACCTGCTGTTCCAAGCTTTCTAATCTTGTTGAGGTTTTTAAACTAAAAAGTTACATTTTCTACCCTTCAGTCTCGACCTCATGGCTGGGAGACTGGCTTATCTTTCCACCTATGATTCCTTTCAATTTGTAGTGCGCAAACAAGGTAGCTCAGAAAACTACTTCGGAATGGTCGAAGAAAGAATTGGCAAAGACAACTACATCAATTAGAACCCTTGTAAAAGACTTGAATTATAAACTGTTAGTCAATTTAGTCTCTTAAGAACTCTCAAGAATGACGTTATTTCGCACATAAACAATTAATATTTCATGAACAGGAACAACCCACTACGCAAGTCTTGGCGCCAGCAAGCATCAACATAAACGATACTTCCTGAGTGCTACTGAAAATTGAAGGAACAATTTGCATAATTGGCGCGCACTGCCATGGCTACGCGAGTACGCGGTGACAAGGAAACATTTTGAAAGGCTCCGTGCGGTCGCAACCATTTACTGTATTTCATCTTGTAATTATATTGAATATCCTCCATGGATAAGATTTTGATGACAAGTGGAAAAAAGTGTAACATGAACCGTAAACATGTTTACTGCGAGGTCCCTTTCAACCCTCGAATAAATCACGGACTTTGAGAGAGGTGATGCGTTGAACCCATTCTATAGTTCTTTGGCAACTGCGGTCAATCAGACCGCAGTTGCTAAAGAACTATAGAGGGGAAACTTTCTCTGTGCCTCTTAGAAACTGGTAGAATCATCAAGTATAAATAACGTTACTTTAATTTAGTCAGCAATACCTGATCAACAAGTCACAAGAGATTATCCTTACTGGCCACTGATTTCAGACTGATTTCAAGTTTGGATTTAAAAAGCGAGAGAGAAGAATAGGCAAAAATTAAGTCGATGTTGAAAGCTGATCGTGGCCAAACACGTGACAACGAAGCGGCTTATTCAGTCTGTGCGATGCTATTGGATGAAAGCTTCGTTGTACAAAAGATTCGACGCCGCAAATCCTGTGCGTAAATTTCCATAAACGGGAACAAAAATAACGAATGACCCTCATTCGACCTCAGGGAAGCCCATGCAGTTTAGAACCGATAGAGTTTTCCTGTTTAGAATTTATTTAGTCAAGGTTTTCTCCCGTAGTAAAACTGAAACAATCAGAAATGAAATTTACTAAATATCTCAAAACTGCTAGAGCTACTCATTGCGTTATCTATATGAATATCTTAACAAGACCGTTTAAAAGAAAAACAACTATTCGCACTCTATATTTCAAAAGCATTATCTCGTCATCAATTCGTCGCCGGCTATCAATCCCGTAGGTAAGATTTATGAGCCGTGTCTCAGTCTAAAGCTAACTGACTTACTTACTTGGTGAAATGCAATACAGGTTGACGTTTCTTCCATATTTGATATTCTCCCTGAAAAACTGCAAAATGTATTCCGGGACCACCTTTCTTTGATTGTTCTTAGCTGGTTGCAGAGGATTGTATCTGCTTTTCGCCAAGGTAACGCTGCCCTGCTTGAGAAAGAGGCCTTGCACTGCGAGAAAACACAGTTGAATGACGAGCAAAAGTCCAAGACCTTTCATGATAGTGATGAAACTATGATATTTCTTCTTCCGAAAGCTGTTCTCCAAAGCGCTGTAAAGAGAATAATGAGTTCTGAATTATTTGACCTCCCAATTTATACGCTCGATTGAGAACTAGGTTGTCGCTAAAACGGAAATGTTTTTGGAATGCGCAAAGATTATGATCAGTGGTATTTAACTGTGACAAGATTAAAGTCACGAGTTCGACCGGGGGGTGTGGGCCCGGATGCACGCAATGTCATTCTAAGTAGGAACATTTTGGTTGACTTTGGAAACTAAATTGACACACCGGGCGTGTCATATATCCAGTTAACTTTGTTCCAAATAAAAAATGTCGAGTTATTGTCACTAGCGTAGAATTACAGTTCATTTTCTGAGTAAAAAAACATTTCTTTTCAACGATGGAAATCATTTTTTTGCACATCTCTGGGAGTTTTACTGAATATTTAAAGCGTAGGAATGTTGGTTATTCCAAGTGGTGAATTGGGTAAAATTCTTTCGGTTCATTGTGAAAGATCACAGCGTATTGGGTCAATGGGTCATGACTGAAATAAAGCTCTGCGTGATGGGGATATTGATGCGCTTTATGATAATTATAGAAAATTTCAATGGGCAGGCGCGGTGCTTGGCACTTGAAAAGGATTTAAACACACGCACTTCTTTTTATTACGTAGGAGATTTACTGTTTTTAGTTTTATATCCTTTCAAACTAAACTATAATATTTGTCAGAAAACATTAAACAAACACTTTCTTCAGTGATCAGCTTAATGCCTGGATTATGCGTTTTATACTGGGCTCAGTAGTTTCGTAAGGACATGCCCTAATATAAGCAAATCAGTCAGAATAAATGATACTTAAAAAAAGCTAATGGGTTTGATATTGTTGTACTGGATTCTTAATAGAGACAATCATAAACTTACATGTATTAAATTTGAATTTGAATTTAATAAGTTCGCCAATGTAAATGACAAATGGCAGGTGAAGGATACAGGACCATGGTCCCCATTGACATCCTACATCTAATTAACTGAACTAGAAGCTACTGAATACCAGTTTTTTCATCATCCATGCTAAATATTTTCTTTCGTTTGATCATATTCAGGTTCACAGAATTTGTCAGCAACTCTAAAATAAGACGTCACCACTTCGGTGTAGATTTCCTCTTCAAAACTTAATTTTCACTAGCACATTGTCTCTCAGTTTGTGAAGTCATATTTGGGAAAAATCTGTTCGGCTAAGAAACTATCGCAAAAGACTTAACCTTCATGCACTTTTTATCATCAGTGACGTCCTTGGCTCCATTATATAATTTTTTAAGCCTTTTCGACGTTTCTTGCTAGAAGCAGCTGAATACCAGTTTTTTCATCATCACTCTTAACATCCTAATTTTTTCTCCTGAATTCCGGATATTTTCCAGGGCTATGCATCTATGATGACGCTATATAGTTATAGCATATCAGATAAGGCCAAATGCCGTTTACCAACGATCAGGAGATCTTCCAGAATTGGACTGGCAAAATTCACGTTTTTCATGACTTTTTTCTTTCTTACTTTACCTCTTATAATCTTAAATTGGTTTTCATAATTTCATTAAATAACCAACGAAACTAAGCTACACTTATATTAAGTTATATACTAAATCACTAGAGATAGAGTTATCAGTTCCAAACTGATCTTAATTCCAATGGAGTCACTAATAATTCACTGTTACTAGAGGAAGAAACCTAGACCTTTAAACTGTTTGTAGCATATTGCGTTTCTAAGCCTTTCTAAAAAGCTTTGGAAAAAAATTGATAAATTTAAGATGCACGTTTTTTTAGGAACAATGCACGTAGACATAAATTTGTCGGGAAATTATCAGGATTCTTGTCGTCACTGAAGTGATGCAAGCGTAAATCTTCGGTTGATTCATTTTATCCACTCAAAGCTAAGCATCCCAATGTAGGATTTGCAACTGATTTATCGTATCAACAATTTCGTTGGATTTTCCTGCTCTGTTTATCCAAACCCATCCTGTTCAACATCCTGCTGGGTGGAAACCGGAAAAACAAGTATTTTCGCCCAAGTGTCTGCAGAGAAGTGGATCTTGCTGCCCTTCTGGGAACTTTCTGAACTTTGGGTTCAGATAATTGAGATTCCTCAGCTCTCAACTCTGTTCTTCTTCCTATACAGGCTATACTGGATACGTCACTCTATATCAGTCAGTCTTTTCTCAAAGATTCAGTTGGAATATTTTGCATGCTATAAGCGGGACGAAACCTAAACTAAATAACTTTATCAGATCCAAAACGTAATACGTGAAAGTCTATTATTACAATTCAAGTGTGAAAACAGGAGAAAAGGTGTCCTTTTAAAATCTGCATTGATATCCTTCATGATTTAAAGTGGTTTCCTTTCTACCACCCCCTCATCCTTCCATATTTTGTAACTGTATTCAATACATTGACAATCTACACCTTCTATGGAAAACCAACACCACTTGAAACTCTTATAATTCGTCGTCTGTCTCGAACCCGAGTGCACGGTGGCACGGGAACTGCGTGTTATAACCATGGAGACGAACTTATGTCAATCGTTTCGTTTAACTAATACAACCCCCCGTCTTCGTACGATAAATAATGGACACATTAGTTTTAATAACTTTTAATTGTTGCAAAGCTGAGTGCTTGTGTTTGAGCGCATTGACTTTAATTAATGTAATCTACATTCCATACCATTGTTTGGTTAGGTACATTTTATCAGGCTGGTCATATAACTAACTCTATTATGCCATTTTGGTCGGATACGGCAAACGTTACGATATTATAACGATGGTATGTTTCAGTTACAAAAAATTCATAAAGCATCGTAACTCAAGACAGAAGTGTAGAAGTCAGGAGTGGCATACGACTTAATGTTTGAAAGAGGATAATACCACGTATATGTCATCAAGGTGTACATTTTAGATAAACTTATGAACACTATACTCATAAACTATTATCTTCAGATGAATTTTAGGCACCCAGTAATTTCTAACAGCTGAAAAGTTCTGCTTAAAAAGTAAGAAAGGTTTAGTGCTTCAAGAGAACGTAATTCTAAAACACAGAAAACCAGATGTTCAAATTAAAAGATGCAATCGATCAAATCAAAGTCGAATGACTCGAATCCGATTTGTCGAGATTTCATTGGGATTAATTAATATTTTCGCACGAAACACTGTTCAATAAAGCATCAAGTGAAGGATTTATTTTTGAGTGAGTGGGTGATATTACTTTCAGCAATTTTAATCTGCCAAACTCTCATTCAGACTGCAGACACGCATTCTGATATTCTGACATTCAACCGGGTCATAAACATATCTATTTGTGTTTATTTCACAGCTTAGAATATAAACTAATTTCAGTCGAATTAATGTATTGTGTCCCATTAAAGATTACTAAACTAAACTTGCTATATTTTTAATGAATGTAGTTCTCTCAGTTCGTGATTCTTCCCAAAGATCCTGTCAAGTTTTTTTTTATAGGGTCAGAAATGCAACTGAATTAGAGAACTTTCTTGTAAACTGCTCTCAAATTAGAACAAGTGGGCACAGATCATTTCCTATTAGGAAAATAAAAAGAATCCTGGCTTTTCGCATTAGATTTGTTTTGCTAACAAAAACTGAGCCAAATGGCTTGAGACGCCGTGACTATGACCTTGTTTAACTTCTTATGAAAGAATTTTTTTTATGTAAAGAAATAACCAGTATTGCGGAAGGTCACTTTCAAGGTACCCAGCCAAGTAGCGCGCGTGTGTCCAGCCCGACAATTTAAAATACTCCCGCTCATATTTTGGTGTTCATTGACTGTGAGTCTGTAAATACAATGAATTTTCAGAAAAGTAAACCGGGGTGAATTAATTTCTAGTCACCAACACGAGGACAAATCTAGTTCAAAGTCAAATCGAGGTCCTAGAATAGGATAGTTCTCCATAGGATAGTAAATTATTCTGAGAGACTTGTTCTTATTCTATAATTATTCTGACTCTACTCAGCAGTCGAGGCAGTTGATTTCACGTCCAATTTGCAGAGACAAAATTTTCTTAAATGTGGCAACTGTCTTGCAATGCATTCAGGTTGCTGACCGTATTGATTGACACGGCTAACATCCTTGCTCACAATGAACCATCCTAAATGATATCTTACAGTTGCTTCGTATATACCATTATTAGGGCTAGTTTTTAACTGAATTTGATATCGACAAAAATCTCTCTGTTTTGGTCGTTTACGGGCGTTGAAAACAGGTCTAAGGTCGCTTGTCTCGTGAAAGTTCATGACCTTTTCATTGGGAAGTTCCATTAAAGCGTAGTGGACTTTTTCAAGATCTAAAATTTCACAAAACCTTTTGCTTGAAGCATGCTCACTATTTTGGCTGTTAATATAGTCAACGACGGCCATGGCTGCGTTTTGCACGTGACTATCCGAAGCGTCGACTGCTGACCATCTTTGACACGGGCACCAGTGTGGAGCAACGTTAGCCTGTGCACAGTCACGTGACGCAGGTATTTCCTCGAGAAGACTCTGACCGTGTTTAATATCCGACGGCATGTGTGGGTAGTTTAACATATGTCGGAAGGTCGCATGAACGTCGTACCACGACGTCAAACGATCGGTATTGGTTCGTAGGTTCTTGTAAAGCTCCGGGTATTTTGCGGAGAACCAGGGTGGAAATACCATGGAAAATAACGGCAGACGTTCCTCTAACTTTCCCTGGATTTCCATGCGTATTTGCCCAAACCTGGCTCCATGGTCACCCATCACGATCAAAAGAGTATTGTTCAGTTGTCCTTTCGTCTTCAAGTCTCGTACCAAAGAGATCAAATCTGGTTCAATGTTTTCAACTAGGTTTATGTCGTCATGAGAGAATAACACTAAAGAGATAAAAACATTTGCGTTTTACGAAACTCTGTTTTAATAATCACAGTCAAAAAATAACGGTTATGAATAAAGGGATTTCGACAAATAACAGTAAAACGAGGACTGGTTGCAATTCCTTTAGCTATGACCTGGGGTCGCTTGTATAACCAGCTCCATAGCTTCAATTATCGATACCAAATACTTTACTACTTTACTTAAATAATCATGCAGCTCATAGCTTCAATGATTATCGATAATCAATACTTCACTATTTCGCTAAATAACCAGCTCCATAGCTTCAATTATCGATACCAAATACTTTACTACTTTACTTAAATAACCATGCAGCTCATAGCTTCAATGATTATCGATAGTCAATACTTCACTATTTCGCTAAATAACCAGCTCCATATAGCTTCAAAAAGTTATTGATAATCAATACTTTACTAAACGTTTTGCTATGTCTTACCATTATAAGAAAGTAGAAACTTCAGTTTGTTTGGAAATGTATCAAAAATGTCACGAATGTACCTAAACTGATGTTGCGCGATGTTCATTGAACCCAGACAGTAATCAATCTTTTCCCCCCGAATGTTAGTGGAAGCTCGCAGGAAGAAAGGTCGGGTGTAGAAGTCTGTGGGCGGTTTATTAAAACCTAAAAGCCGATATTGCCAAACACCAAGTTTTGGAGCATCGGAGGAATATCCTGTCAGGTAGCCATTATCTAAATAAAGAAGAAAAGGAAATTATAATGACAATCAATACTTTAATTAAAACTCCACCCATGTCAGCTCTCTTACTCTTGAGTTCCCGATATATCCATGTCCATCCATCAACAGGCCTTGGATTCCTATGATGTCTCCTAGACTCATACTGTTCCAACTCTCCTAGTCCAGTTAGCATGGCGGTCAGTTGCTCGGTCGTCCCGTCTCCCACAATGCTATGCCCGTTAAAAATAATTGCTCCAAGTTCATTCTTTAAATATTTGTAAAACTTCGGCAGTTTCCGCTGAGTGTGAGCGTGCGAGAGTGAATCTATTCCGACGATAAGTATGTTCAGTGGTAATCCAGGAACTTTATTGCCTTTGCTCTTTAATAAATGTTCATGTGGAACAGGTTGGAGCCATAACTCGCGTAAAAATCGGCCATTTCTCACTCTGCATTCAACTTCGATAAATTCGTCCTTAATTTTTTCTGTTGAGGATATTTTAGTGGAAGCTCCAAGCACGTAATTGAAATCCCCGCGTCTGAGAATTGACCGATACTTTGCGGAGACGACATTTGGGTCTGCAATTTAGAATTGATAGAGTTATAAGTTTCGTCTCTTCCTGTAGTAACTGGATCAATAAGAGATGATTCTTACTGGACCTCTAGGAAGAACAGTTTAGAACTGATAAAGTTATCCAGTATAAATAAAGTTAGTTTAGTTTAGGTTTCCTCCTGTAATAACACTGGATTAATAAGAGATGATTCTTACTGGACCTCTAGGAAGAACAGTTTAGAACTGATAGAGCTATCCAGCATACATAAACGTTGTGACAGTTTAGTTTCTATTTTAATCTTAGTCGTATAATCTATCAAATCTTGTTTCCTGGCCCAACCTGTGATGTGGAAGATGCCGTTAACAAGCTTTCCACAAGATCTATACCGATTACAGCTGGAGCCTTGGACTCTATTGATAAATTTCATTATAGAAGGATGGAATGGATTCAGATTTGGTATCTGACAGGTCATATTTGACTTCGAACTTGTCTTCTCTTTATCCTTTTTGGCCGCTGGGCTTGCACAAGAAACCTAGGTAAATAAAAAGTAGTCAGAGGAACTCTTCTCCTGTGTTAGAACATACGTCATGAAATTATTATTTCATATACCTTTTTATCAAAGATACTCCTGCTTATCCACTCTTCCTTTCCAACCTGTTGCAAGATATTCTCTGGCAGAGGTAAAGTCACTTTCTAAAACAAAAACAGTCATGTGGAGAATGCAATATTGCAATTTGCAATATGCTGCATGAGGTATAATTACGTATCAAGAACCTACTGGTTTTCGTCGTATTGAAATCTGCAATGTATCTGCTTCAACTTCAATTACCTGAAGATTTGAGGTAGTTTAGCATGAATATTCTAGGTACATATAAAAGTCATGCATTTGACAAACAGATAGTTTCTTACGTTGAGTTGAGATGAAAAGCGAGGTTTCAGTGGAGCCGGCTTTTTCACCATATTCGGCAATATATTTTTTTCAACGTCAATCACCTGCATGGAAAGATTGATCATTTTACGAATATTATCTTAGGTAATAGTTTGATGAAAACATAGTTTCTTACTTTCGATTGAGATGACAACTGAGGATTTGAGAATGTCCTCACTGTTTTTTCCGACTTCGGTGTTTCTAGCACCTAAATCAAAAGATTGATATTTAGCGAAGATTATCTTAGGTTATTTATAAAATGATAGTTTGATGAAAACATAGTTCCTTACGTTGGGTTGAGATGACAACTGAGAATTTGAGAATGTCCTCACTGTTTTTTCCGACTTTGGTGTTTCTAGTACCTGAATAGAAAGATTGATATTTAGCGAAGATTATCTTAGGTTATTTATAAAATGATGATAGTTTGATGAACACATAGTTTCCGCTTACGTTGAGTTGGGACGACAACTGAGGACTTGAGAACATCCTAACTGTTTTTTCCAACTTTGGTGTTTCTAGTACCTGCAGGAGAAGAAAAATACGAAGAAAAATACGAAGAAAAATACGCGTGTCTTGGTGAATTATATCAAGCTCCAAATGCAAGATTACAGTCAACTCTTGGCCGTTATTTGCGGTCGTGTTCGTCCTAAATATCCGTGCAAATATTGGCATAGCTAGCCATACATTGGGATTGCTATATCTTATATTTATGAAACGTAAATTGTTTATAAAATTAATTGTTTACCGGTCTTTGCTGTATCGAATTCTGCGGCAATGTATCTGTTTCAACTTCAATTACCTGAACATTTGAGATAGTTTAGCACGAGGTTTAGAAGTCCTGCATTTGATAAACAGATAAACAGTTTCTTACATTGAGTTGAGATGAAAAGTGAGGTTTTGGGAAGCTCTTCATTCTCCACTTTAACGCCTCAGGCTTCTTCGCCACCTGCGTGAAAAGAAATTAAGGTCCTCCATCCTCGCATGGTTTCTACTGATTGCATTACAAGAGCCTATTTTCGATCTGCGTTTATTTACTCGGGTCCCCTCAGTCGAGATAAGCCAAAGATTGTGGATATGCTACAGATCTCTCGCTATGGCTATAGGCTACATAGTTCTATATAGTAGTATAGTAACAATGATAGTTTTTAGTAAACAAACTAAGTTTCAAAGTATATACAGCTGTTAAAATTACCGTGTCGGCAGCATTGATTGTAACTTTTTGTTTTGTCTGTATTTCCGGAGAATTTTTTCGAGTGAAGTTAGTAAACCACAGAATGGAGCCAATGAGGAGGACAATAAAGACGAAACGCCAGCGAACAATTTTCTTCAACATTCTACCAACCTGCCACGTTGAAATTCAGTGTAGGAAAGATTTAGTGCAAAAAAATAAATGTCCATGTCAGTCTTTGTCATGTCACTATGTCAGATTAAATTCCCAATATTCTAAATGACATCCACTAATTGTTAGTTAAAGGCGGTAAAACCAGCCGAAATTAAAGATTGAAATACTTACTTTCAGATTTGTACTTGTACAACTTCAATTTTGCGCGAATTCCTGGTTCAGTTTGCACTCCGAAAATTATCCTTCAGGCAGAAACAAATAGACAAATATTTGAGACTAAGCAATGCCGAATGTCATAAATTCGCCTGTAGCTAGCTCAAACACACTCGTCTATTATGGCTGATAACCGTAATGGCAAAATATTAACAAAATGAAATAATCAAATGTACTTATTTATTTAAACGTACAAGGCACTTTTCTTTGAAGTTGCCCTAAATTGATATCTCTCGTTCAACGATTAAAATTGTATTTTGATTAATATCGCTCGTTCAACGATTAAAGTTTTGTGCTTGATTCTAAAGAATTTTTTTTTGCTGCAAGTGGTCAGACAACAACCCGTTAAAGTACCCGTTCTTGTTTTTTAATTAGCATCGTGGCAAGTCACAACACAGTTTTGCTTGCGCGAAACACACATTGCTTAAGTTGTTAGCATGTTAAAATTACTTTGTCTTTGTGCACCATTTTGTTGAGGAGAAATTTGAGTGTGTATTGTGACAACTGTGGCATATTCAGTTTTTTTTTATTGAGATAAATTATCGATTCCATTTTTTCTCACAAACGGAACGGGGGGCGGAAATAACACAAGCAGGATATTAATACAAGCAGATTGATATAATTTATTGTTGATTTTCTTTTTTAAAGCAGTCAAATATAACATAGACACATATAAATATCAGTGAGCGTGGTGTTCCGTTTGCATCTGCACATAATATAACACAAGGGCGTTGGTTAGAGCATCCGGGACACTGTGGCGAGTGTTGGGAGTTGGGGGGCACATATTGATATATTCATGTTAACATGAATATATCATCATATGTAAACACAATGATGGATTTAAAAAGATCTTGCACAACATGAATATATGAATATGTGCTCCCCCTGTGGCAAAACAAGGCTTATTACCAATGTGTAGTTATTGTAGTGACAAAGTAATGTTCCAAGCTGAACATTCGCCCCAGCAATAAAAATACTGAAAATAATCAACATATTATTCAACGCTTATTATGAAAATTACATAGCGCGCTGAGTGTAGCCCAAATACTCAATATATTTATTTTAGACAAAAGTATAATATGTTACACATCACTTTGTATGTCAAGGTATACACAGATAAACAAACGGATTATGAATAAATGTGTATTTTAAAACACTTACCGTGCGTCTTTAGTTACATAACAGCGCAAGGTATTCACGAATCATGATAGGCTCGCTCTTAGAGACAACAAGATTAAATCTGCGTCTTAACATTTGATGTCGTTCTTTTTGCAGTCACGTCTGTCGTTTTATTTTATTGTGTGGCCATTAAAAAGAATTTGTGCACATATTTTGAAAAATCAACTAAGATGACGGTAATCTGAATAATCTATGGCATATCTAAAGAAGGCTTCAGATTTGACTGGATATGACTGAGATATGACTGAGATATGACTATTATTGTTGACGCAAACTACCATCACCTTTCCCATAATTCTTGTCATTGGTTAATCTGGTGGATCTGATTGGTTTATGTACCATATCTCCTGGGGTAAGGCTGTGGGTAAGGTCAAGGTAAGGTCACAGTTGGTCATGGTGGTAGTAATGAGAAACACATGCGCATGCGCTCGAATTACATTAAGATTAAAGTGCAAAAATTGGCAATTTTTAGTGAAATATTTGCTCATTTTTCTCAATTTTCTGCGATTTAGCGATATTTCCGCGAGTGTAATAAAAGATCGGTAATCTAGCACAATTCAGGCGACATGGCATCATCTTCGATGGCTCAAAAAACCTGGGAAATGGAAAATAACATCGAATCTGTGCCAAGTGTTGACTCCATATTTCGTTATAATAGTAAACAACAGCAAGAAATATTGTCCGCCAAACCTTGGTGTAAAGAGTGCGTATGTTTTATTGTAGTAGAAATAAAGATGATTTGTTCTCGTTTATACAACTGAAAATCATGCAAGTTTCAGTGATAATGAAATGACCGCATTTTGCAGAAATCAAATTAATGTTGTATAGATCTAAAACAGTAGTCTGAATTGTGGTACTCTGCAACATCTTCTTCAATTGAAATTTATTTCTTAATGTTTCCTTTCTTGCCATTAGCCCACATTACTTCAAGAATATCAGAATATCTGCTTTGGCTTTGCTTAAAATGGTGAGTATTTGTACAGTTAAGTATCTTTGCATGAATTCTGAGGATTTTTGACACATTTCAAACTAGTGACCTATGGTTTATTTGGCCATGAATTTCACTCAAAGTATAAGTCTTTTGTCTGTGGTCTTTTGTATCCAGGTCATGCATGCAAGATCAGGAGGTAATCTTGAGGTGATGGGTTTGATGCTTGGTAAAGTGGATGGCAACACAATGATAGTGATGGATTCTTTTGCTCTTCCTGTTGAGGGAACTGAGACACGTGTGAACGCTCAATCCCAAGCGTATGAGTACATGGCTGCTTATATCGAATCTGCTAAAACAGTAAGTGTAATAAAATAATATTCTGAACGATTTGATGATCCACCATATTCGCCTGACTATCAATTTCCATTATAGGTTGGTCGTCTTGAGAATGCCATTGGATGGTACCATAGTCACCCAGGATATGGTTGTTGGTTATCTGGCATTGATGTTGGTACACAGATGGTCAGTCAACAATACCAGGAACCATTTGTAGCTATAGTGGTATGTTTTGCCCTTCACACTTCAATGACACATTGTGGCTGTTTTTGCTGTTGCTGGAACTAATGTTTCTTTGGCAACTCATTTTCATTTGTTACCACATATATGTATTTAGATTGATCCAACGAGAACTATCTCAGCTGGTCGTGTTAATTTGGGTGCTTTCCGGACATATCCAAAGGTACACACAATTTTAACTTTTAGACTATCAGCTATTATCTAACTTTACAAATCCTTGCATTACTTTAATTGGTGTATTTTGATCTAGGGTTACAAACCACCAGATGAGGGTCCATCCGAATATCAAACAATTCCTTTGAACAAAATTGAGGATTTTGGAGTTCATTGTAAACAGTATGTGTGTTTCTCCATGCACTGACTGTCACAATGTTATTTTAGTGTTGCTGAAGACATTCACTTTTGAATGATTTGTCTTCTTCTAAGTCAGGCTTGGTGTTAATGGTATAATTTTTTTTGCAGATATTATTCTTTGGATGTGTCGTACTTCAAATCATCTTTAGATAAACGCTTGCTTGACATGCTATGGAATAAATATTGGGTTAACACATTATCATCAAGCACACTGCTTACTGTAAGTATTAGTGACTTATTAGAATAATATTCTTCTTCAGACGTCTAGTTAAACACTTCTATATTGGTCCAGTTCATCCACTTGAGCAGTTCATCCACTTAGTCGAGACAGCACCAGCAAGAGTGCTTTATGCATTGTCTTCACTAATTTATAGAATTCAAACTACACGACACAACAAATCTCGGATCTTTCTGAAAAACTAGAGCAAGCGGAAGGACAGGTATTTGGAAAGGAAAAATAATTGAGATTATTTCATGTCCTCTTTGTACGGACCCTAACTGGTTCATTTGTTTTGTGAAGGTTGGAAGAATGGCAGGATATTTTCCTAGTGGTGACATTGAGAAGAAAGAAGAGGGAAAATTATCAAAAGCCAGTAAAGATAGGTTAGTTAGGTTATGAAATATTCTTGTTAGATTGTTTCACAAGATGTTCTGTGAATCATTTCTTCTCAGTCACAGCTCTTCCTTATAAATTATTTTAGTTCAAAGACAACAATTGAAGGAATTCATGGCTTGATGTCCCAAGTGATAAAAAACACTTTGTTTAATCAAGTTAAGTCTACAGCTGCAGTTTAAGCAGGGGGGAACTAGAATGATAATTGGGGGGGGGGTATTCATAAGTGTACAGTTCTGCCTGGTGGATTTCTTTTGTAACTACAGTACAAAAGCTTAGGATAGAAATCTGTTGGGCAGAACTGAATATGTGAATAATCCCCCCTCCCACTTATAGTTCTAATTGTGCCTCTGTTAGGAAAACAAGCACTGTCCAGGAAGTGTTTTTCAAAGTGTTAGACAGATGATAGGATGTTAGTGTGGTTTACAGGATTTACCAGGAAATGTTTCTTTCAGTTGCCATTTAAAGGTGACTGTAACAATGAAACCACAACGCTTAATTCTGTTTGCTACACAAATAAAAGTTGATCACTTTGATGTTTGTACGCTCATCAAGGTGATGGTCCACTTGGAGTGTTGTTCAAAACCGTGGGTTCACGGAAATCTACAAAGCAAATATTCTAACAGAGTATAGACTCTCCCAGAGTTATCTTCTGGTTTCAAAATGGTTGCACTTTCACTGGTTGCACTTTCAAAGTGCAGAACGAAATTATGAAAATACATACACTAAATAAGTGGGCTAAACTTTACTATTCAGGGTTAAAACTCACCAGACTTAATAGAAGACTCTGTAGAATATTTATTAAATATTGTGGTATCTCCTTTTGCCACACAAATTCAATTAATGTCATGCTTACTTCGGCGAAAGCCGGTATAAAATTGACAAATATATCTACACACAGACCTATTACTATTATAAAATTAAATGTTAGAAAATATTGTTAAAAAAATTGTTCTAAATTTCACGCGGGGAAACTAACTTTAGAATATAACCGCATCAAAACTATAGTTCCTTGTGACCATCCTTGTTTTGATTAGCTTCAGACTTTCTCTCCTTTCGTAAGTTTTCTAATACAACAACAGCGTCGTCCCGTTGTTTTTCGTCGTAGCGTTTGTCAAGTGTGAACCAGATTGGTAGAGCACATCGTGTTCCTTCCTTGATGCCAAGGACACCATGCAGGTTCTCAAAACCAGCAGAGAATGCTACCATACGACCGCACTTTGGCTTCACTATTGCCTGAGAAGAAAATTACGCTTTCCTAGTAGAGGTCCAGTGAAGATCTTTCAAACTCAAAGATCGAAATTCTTCACAAATTGTCTGGGTCGAGGGACAATAAGGACACCTAAGGCTTTTCTTAAGGCTTGACAAAGAACATACCTCAACTGTGTGATTTTTTCTTGCAAAGATAAATTGCCCTCCAGTGAAATCATCGTTTAGATATAAAATAGCGCTAAATAATGAATTATTCAATAAATTAGGAACCCTGGCTTCATTTGGACTTAGCTAAACGCAAAATTAAAATCCGCTCAAATCCATGTCCAAAAAACTACTACATTGCATGTATCAACGCCTGTGTAAAAACTGTTTTATTTTTTCACCTGTAATCCCTCCAAGTGTAAGCTGGGTGTTCTTTGAGACACGTCACAATTTCACCGTCTTTTTTTAACACACAGTTATCAGAATGGATCGGATGGCTTATATGCATACCTTTAGGTGATTGCTCTGGGAAAATGAAGAATAACGTATGCAGAGTGTTGTTTTTATTGTTATTCAATGTGTATGATCTCTCTGGATATCTTAGGCTGTGTCTAGCAAGAAAATCTGTATCCATCACAAAAGGTGGTCTAGACTTGACCTAGTCTGGTTTATATGCAAATGCTTCGCTGTAAATAACATCGCTCTAAATCTTACCCAATGCCTTCCTGCATACGAGATGTGTGTAGGAAAAGTACAGTGGCGTTGATAATCTGAAGTAAGCTTCAGTGATAACACGCACTTTCTCACTAAGGTTCACGTAGAGCTCAGCTTTTTCCAAACTAACGTCGCCTTTTGCAGCGGCCTGGAAATAAATGTGGCAGAGAGATATTTATGAGGGTGAGGAGGGATAAGTTAGAAGGTTAAGGGATGAGTAAGGAGGTTGAGGGATGGGGAAAGTATGATGTATGATGTGCTACCATTAGCCTTTTATATCCATGTATATTTAAACCTACCCACGTGGCATTGTTCACATTTACTCCTAGGAATTCCTCTTTAACCGTATGTGGACTAGGGTCATTTGCATATCCGTCTCCGGCGTGTCCCATCGTCTGAAAAACAACAGATCAAGTCTAGTAAATGCGCGATGAACCTGACGTTAGCATGTCATCAGTAAAGCCAACGTGCTCCAGTCTGCGGAGACAATCATGAAGATATGCCTAAGTACTGCAGTGGTGAACAATCTCAATGAACATTAGCACATCATCTTACCATCCCAAGGTTAGCCAGTTTCTTACATTCTTCATCACTCGCTAGTCCATCAAACACTGCTCTATATGAGCCATTAAGCTGCTGTTCCATCATTGTCAGTGATATACCCTAAAATTGAAAAGAAATGTTGGAGAATGCTGTCCATTAGATATGCCAAACGTTGTGAAATCTCACACTAGTTCAGTTCTCTCACATTATAACAAAGAATTTAAGAGAGACTTATCCTTAGGCCCGTTTCAGACGTCGAACTTTTCATTTCACAAAGCTAATGTTAATGAACTAAAATCTTTGTTAAAGTTTATTTGCATTTGATTTGGAACTTGAAAATTGAAAAGTTCGACGTTTAACCAGCCCTTCTAAACTTTCTTCACCTTTAAATCTTCGCTGTCGTGTAAAAATTTTTCAATATGATCTTTCGTTGGTGGGGGAAATCTCTTGTAGGGTTCTCTTTTGAACTCCTCTTCTTTGTCTTTTTCAGCTTGCGTTTTTTCCGGTTTCTTCTCTTCTGGCAAAGGTTCGTCTGTGAACAGTCCATGTTTCATGTAATTCTAAAAAAATATAGAATTAGTTGGTTTTATAAATGTCTGATGGAAACAAGAATATGATAGATTCAGTCATCATTATTGATTAAACAAACAATCAATCTAACGTAGCTTGTTGATTCGTTCTGGTGAACGCAACAAGCATGTTTGATATTTATCTATGCAGTCACACTAAGAGATGACCTGTTAAGATGAAATCTGCCTGTGTATAGATTATATTATATCGGCCTTATCTAAGTTATCTTCGTCTGTTTGCCGTGTTTAAGTACAAACCAACCATGCATGAATAAAATTAAAGCATGAAACGAGAGTTTGCGATTTAAAATTTCGACTCTTCTTGCGTGAGAAGAAAGAAATAATTGAACGATACGAGTCACCGTATTTCAGTTCTTCTTTTCCACTGTTACTCTGCCATCAAGGCAGAACTTGTTTTAAGAAAAAGATATTTCTACCTCGTATGTCGTGTCCGCGAGATATTCTGATCCTTTGTATTCTTCGTCCAAGTCCAACAAGTAAGATTTGATTTCAAGAAGCAATTCCATTTGAGATTTTGCGTCTTCAAATAAATATTTGCCGTCCTGTACAAATGTTAATTGACACTGGGTGACTCCTTCAATTCGGAAACTGTTTTTTATAGAAGTGCAGTAAGGATCATCTTTTATTGATCCGGTGTTACTACAGGAGGAAACCTAAACTAAACTAACTTTATTTATACTGGATAGCTCTATCAGTTCTAAACTGTTCTTCCTAGAGGTCCAGTAAGGATAATCTTTTATTGTGCCAGTGTTACTACAAGAGGAAACCTAAACTAGACTAACTCTATACTTGATAGCTCTGTCAGTTTTGAACGGCTTTTCAAGAGGTGTAGTATAGATCGATATCGTTTCTGCCTTCTTTTTCTAATCCTTACACAGAACTGATCTCTGTACTATGTATGTAACTGAGGTAAAATAGGAACATGTTTCTAAAATCGTATTCTGATCTTGGTGATAAGAACCTAAACTAACTCCTCCATCCTTTTCTTTTCTTTCCACTGACCTCTCTAAGTTGAGCATCCGTGATATTATACCCATTCTTTTCGTAATACTTCATGTTATCGTGCATATGTTTGTTCAGGGGATTCAATAATAGGTTTGTCATAGCACACATGAGAGCGCTCTCAAGACGATCGACTGCAAAGGAAATGTAAAAAAGTTGCGTTTTTCTGAGAATGTGTGTTGGCTTAGACGAATATGACCAAAGGGAGGAAAGTTGGAAAATACAACTTGAAAAATGATTATGAAGATGGTCAAAACGACCAATTCTGCAGAAATCCTGTTCAATGTCGAAATACTTACGCTGGACATAAGAATAATGCAAGAAATCAAACTGTTTGCTTAGGAAGTTTGACTGAGGGTGATTGAGCAACATCGATAGTTTCCTAGGACAATCGAGGGTACATAATAGTAACTGCATATGGTAACCATAAATGCCCCCCTGTATATACTGCTGTCTCTCTTCAACATCAACCTCGCAAAGTGTTTTGCATTCCTCATAGGTTTTCACGTATTCCTTTATCGATGCCTCAAAAAATTCAACACTTTTTTCCCAGTTTTTCGCATTGTAAGCTTTTCGACCTTTCTCATACAGTTCATGGTGCTCAATCGGCGCCAGACTCTCAATCTCGTCAACGATCACGTCCTGAAGTTCTGGTAAGCCACTGTAATACTTCATATTACCATGCATTTGATCGTCCTTGGAATTGAATCGGAGGTTCGTGGACGCAGCCTGAATACCCATCCTATTGTTGCCGTTCTTGAAGAAAAATACGAGTTGAATTAGAATTTGTCTTCAGCTGCTGTTTTCCATGTTTTTCAAGCGTTCGTAGACGCACTTCATTTAACAATACATGTTAAAATACCGAGTGAATGGATGTTTTTGTTTTTAGATGATTCGGTTGCAATTTAAACAAGAAACTTCACAAACTGAGGCTTACACCTGCGTGAACGAAACTTTACGTGCATGTATGAAATTTTTACGTGCGTGTACGAATCTTTTACGTGCGTGTACGAATCTTTTACGTGCGTGCGTGCACGTGCGTGCGTGCGTGGAAATCCTCCTCTGAAATTCTCCTCTCGTATTTTCATGAATAAAGACCTACAAAAGTAGTTGATACTCCTCAAGTTTACTTCCTGTAAACTTTCATTAAATTCTCCTCGTTTGATCAAACATTGAAAGTTGTTAAAACTATTATGTCAACACTTTTTTGTCGCATCTCATGGAACTTTTTCGTCAAGTTTCATGACACAACGAAGGTCGAAAAAACTGTAGTGTTAGCTTTGGCTTGGGGGAAATTTAATGCAGCGAAATTTTAAATCGGAAATCGTCGGCAAATCTCTGAGAATTAAAATTACGCGGCGTGATGATTGACGAAACCTTCTCCCGACTACAATAAACAATCTTCTATCAGTTCTCTGCTTTTTTTTTATCAATAAGAATAAACAATAATTGGCGATAGCTACAAATTACTTTTGAAGGCACGAGGACAACCTACTTACGTGTTGCAATGAGAAATTAACTAAACAAACCAATTCTAAGCGCAATCATAATTTCTTACTAACACTGCATGTCTGTTTGAAAATCAAGTGAATTGCCAGAATTGACTATATGCTATGTTCAGGAATTGTATCTTTATCCTTACCTTGTGATAAGCATATTGCATAAAACTATACGGAACTCTGTCTTCAAACAAACGGAAAATATGTTTTGAAACTTTCAGACGTCTTCCCATATTTCTTTCCATACAAGCGTGTGAACAATTCCTCATGTAGTTTATATACCGCAAATATTGGATAGAAAATAATTCCCTTCTTTCCCCGTATCTTGCGTCGAACCCCTTCTTGCATTCATTTCTACATACGAGCGTAAATTTCCCTTCATTTTTCCAATCTGTGATTGCTGCTTCGAACTTAAGAATCGCATTTTCCCAGTCGTCCTTGTAGTAAAGACGCAATGCGTCTGCGTAGAGTTCATCATACGCGGCGTTCACTTGAACGCTGGAAGATATATCGTCGGCATTTATGCTAATGAGTGTCACTACTAAAGCTAGCGCTAATTGTAAAAATCTTGCGCATTCATTCATCTTGCTTTCATGCGTTTTCTTCTCCACTCAAATGCGCTAAGAATCTAAAGTTTTTGTGTTATTAAACACACAAGTAACCTTTGTGTGTGCATTGTAAGAAGATCATTGTCACTTCCGGGTCGTATAAAGGGCAATTGTTAATATTCAATGTTTAACTGCCGATGGATCTATAATATGCATATACTGTCACGAAATATTGAAAGTCGAATGATTCCTCTGACTTGCATATATTATATGTTATATAGACTTAGTAGTTACGTAACACACGAAATTGTTATTTTAAGATGATGTTGTAACTTGTTGATCCGTTGAAAGCGAACAGCGCTTTCAATAAATTAACATAGGTTTCTGAGAAACCTTTGCTGTCTATTCCTATTGTTAAATATGCCAAAATCAACGTCTTCTTGACAACTGACAGGTTAAAATATGCTTCGTATGCTATCGCAAACTCGTTATCCGTAAAATGACAAAACGTTCTTGCTGTTTAATAGCTTTCGCAGCCTTTGATCCTCAGATGTGCGTCATTATTGAATCAATATCCACAAAAAGAAACTTCGTTGACGTACTGTCAAAATTGCGGTTTAAAATATTGTATTTTTCCTTTCCTGTCCAAACATGATAATATCTTCAATCTATCCAACCGTATATTAAAATGACAACTCCGTCAAAATAGTCTGTCCTGCTAGACAATGTTTTCAGCCAAGTCCAAGCTCTTCATTTGCTTATGAATCAGCTCTTTCTTAGCAGTTCATTGCACCGTCTTATTATAGGTTCTTTCAATATAAATATCAAAGCGTCCTCAGAGTTTTAAAATTGCTCTTTTCTATGTTTTCGTATTCTGACGCATGAATTGTTTTGTTTTGTTGTTTCGCCTCAGTGAATGGGAATATTAAAAAACTGTTAATTAAAAACGATTTTCACAAGAAAACTGCTGTAAAACCACTAGTGTTGTTGTCTTTGCATAAGTTACTAAAATGTGGAGCAGTATCTATTATGATTTTGCACTGAGATGCATTGAAATGAATTTATTGAAATCAGATTATTCATTATGATTTACTCCACGCTTCATTCATTTAAATGCATAACGTCATTTTTGCTTATTTTTTTCAGACGAGTACCTGTTAACCCCGGCAGGAAGAACGAAATGTCGAGAGGCTCTGGGAACGACAATGGGATAAATGGGATGGGTACTAAGCACTGGTACTAAGTGTAGATAAATGTTAGCAGCGGTATATATATCCATCTTTTATCCATGACTTCATGTTATATCTATTGTAGTAGCTGTCATGTCGTAAGTTCATCACCATGTGCAGAGCACAGCTGAAATTGCTGGAATCCTAAATGTGACGAGCAAAGCGTCAAGCGTGTGAGTTTTCGTTGCTTTGAGACCAGTTTAATTAAAAATACAGTTATTCTCATTTCTATTTAATGTGAAAGTTGATCATCCTACCACTTTGGGTTAATACTTGTCAATACATTTGGATTGTTTGTCTATAAAACTAGCTGAACGTTTTGGATAAAACAAAGTGATGTAAAGCTGAAATAACACGAAGACCAGAACTGGGTTGATTGAAAATTGAAATATTTTTGTTTTTAAACGAACAGTCCTTGTCAGTCCTATTTGTTGTTCAAGTCAAGGTTGAGGAGCTAAGCCAAGCCATTGCTATTGGTTTTGTTTATCCCAGAAGCCTATGCAACTAATGCAAGGAAAAATCAGAACTGAACTGTGCAAAAATCAGAACTGAACTGTGCAAAAATCAGACCAAACCAAACCATGTATATTCTAATAACTGTGGACAAACTAAAGCCATTCGTGATTCGGGTTTAGTATTCAACAACAGTAACACATAAAGGCTAATATGGATAATATGGATGATACACAAATGGATAATATTTAAGTGTAATATAACCCTTAACAAGAATGCAGCCAATTGCCTGCCATTCTTCTACAAAGTGGTCATGCCTTACAAAAGGAACCCTTTCTTTTTCTTTTTCACCAATGGTCATGGAGATAGATAATTCCCCCTAAAATAATGTAAATACCTCACGAAGGACACCTATACATTCCTTCAATAGGATTGGCAGCAGAAGAATTTGCAGAAAGAGAGCTTGCAGCAAGGATGTTGGAAACAGAATTCTGATCAGTTTCTGATCTGTTGCAACTGAGTTCTATGCATGAGTCAATGTCTGTGAATGTGGCCAATTGCCTCCCATTCTTCTACAAAGTGGTCATGCCTTACCATAGGAACCCTTTCTTTTTCTTTTTCACCAATGGTCATGGAGATAGATGTAAATACCTCATGAAGGACACCCATTCCTTCAATAGGATTGGCAGCAGAAGAATTTGCAGAAAGAGAGCTTGCAGCAAGGATGTTGGAAACAGAATTCTGATCAGTTTCTGATCCGTTGCCACTGTGTTCTATGCAGGAGTCAATGTCTGTGAATGTGGCCAATTGCCTCCCATTCTTCTACAAAGTGATCATACCTTACAAAAGGAACCCTTTCTTTTTCTTTTTCACCAATGGTCATGGAGATAGAAAACTCCCCTAAAATAACGTAAATACCTCACAAAGGACACCCATTCGTTCAATAGGATTTGCAGCAGAAGAATTTGCAGAAAGAGAGCTTGCAGCAAAGGTGTTGGAAACAGAATTCTGATCAGTTTCTGATCTGTTGCCACTGTGTTCTATGCAGAAGTCAATGTCTGTGAATGTGGCCAATTGCCTCCCATTCTTCTACAAAGTGGTCATGCCTTACAAAAGAAACCCTTTCTTTTTCTTTTTCACCAATGGTCATGGAGATAGATAATTCCCCCTAAAATAATGTAAATACCTCACGAAGGACAGCCATTCCTTCAATAGGATTCGCAGCAGAAGAATTTGCAGAAAGAGAGCTTGCAGCAAGGATGTTGGAAACAGAATTCTGATCAGTTTCTGATCTGTTGCAACTGAGTTCTATGCATGAGTCAATGTCTGTGAATGTGGCCAATTGCCTCCCATTCTTCTACAAAGTGGTCATGCCTTACCATAGGAACCCTTTCTTTTTCTTTTTCACCAATGGTCATGGAGATAGAAAACTCCCCTAAAATAATGTAAATACCTGACAAAGGACACCCATTCCTTCATTAGGAATGGCAGCAGAAGAATTTGCAGAAAGAGAGCTTGCAGCAAGGATGTTGGAAACAGAATTCTGATCAGTTTCTGATCTGTTGCAACTGAGTTCTATGCAGGAGTCAATGTCTGTGAATGTGGCCAATTGCCTCCCATTCTTCTACAAAGTGGTCATGCCTTATAAAAGGAACCCTTTCTTTTTCTTTTTCACCAATGGTCATGGAGATAGATAATTCCCCCTAAAATAATGTAAATACCTCACGAAGGACACCTATACATTCCTTCAATAGGATTGGCAGCAGAAGAATTTGCGGAAGGAGAGCTTGCAGCAAAGGTGTTGGAAACAGAATTCTAATCAGTTTCTGATCTATTGCCACTGTGCATATTCTATGCAGGAGTCAATGTCTGCGTATCAATTTTTTTCCTCTTGCCTTATAAAAAGCCATCGTTGTTGCCTAATTTCTGTCAAACTAAGAGGAGCAGGATCTTCAGGGAGCAATGCAGGGACCAATGCAGTTTCCTTGTCTGACCTGGAACGTGTTCAAAAGAGAGCGCTAAACATAGTATCTCCTGGACTTTCCTACGTGGACAATCTTTATATCTTCATTTTTCCTGATCTATCGTATGAAATGCTTTGGCTACTCTTGATATGAAGCATTTGTGGGTGAGAAGAGAAGACTTGTGCAAAAAACTTTTTAAATTAAGAGGAGATATTTTTCTATGGCGCGTAATATATACTCAAAACCTCAGTTATATCTTCATGCAACAGCACTAAAATTTTCAGCAATAAAAATGTTTTGCAAACCTGAAAAGCATCCACAAAGTATGTTTACTGTATAATCTCAAAATATTGTGAAAATGAAAAGATTTCTCGGGATACGCCGAGAAGAAAATGACACTTGAATCGAAGCTTCTTTTGTATTCATTTCAGTTATAATGGCGTTGATATTATAACATTGTTGATAGCCGCCGCATTATATTTCGTAATAACTCATTTGTTTGGTGTTTTGCATTCACCAAATGCAGTTCAAAACTTAGTTCACAACATAATCTAAAAAATAACGGTAAAATAAATGGATTTTGAGTGGTACGCCGAAAAGATTTTAGGTTTTGAGCGTTTTCCCGCCAAAATACGCGACATAATAAAAAATCTCCTCTTAATAGTTAACGATGAAAACCATAAACTCCATCATCTTTTACCTATGAAAGTTCCGAATATGTACAATCTTAGAAGTTCAAAACAATTTTACATTCCTAACTATCGTACAAATAGCTATAGGGACACGTTTATAATATCCAGTCTCTTAAATGAATAGTAAATTATATAGATGTTTTTTACTAGTATTGTACAGTATAATTTTTATAATGTTTTAAATTGTTGTATATAGCCTCATGCAATTCAGCCGATTGGCTGCCATATGAGTTTTATTAAACGGTTTATCTATCTATTTATCTATTTATCAATACAAGTACTTTGAAAGACAGGCGCCAAAAACTCTGTGATAAACTATTCAGAAGAATTATGTCCAACACTAATCATAAACTTTATCATCTTCCACCAGAAAACACTTGCTTATGTAATCTAAAAAGACAGCGTCTTTATGATTGTCCTACAAGTTGAACTAATAGGTTTAGGAATAGGATCGAGTTAGGCCTAGTTGGACCCAGATATAATGCAGATTCTTATTATAACCTTGTTTTATGTACTATATGTGTGTCTGGTTGTTGTTTTGATGCGTGTTTCTGTTCTGTTCGTGTCTGGCAATCTTTGTTTGTGATGTGTATTTGGTATACTATTTTTAATTGTTAATAGCATGTATTTTACGCGATTCAGCTTTATTGGCTGCTATGTAAAATTTCATTAAACAAACTATCTATCTATTCATCTATCTGGTAACAATGCATCTAGTTGAGTTTCTTTATCAGCCTCCATTGTTTTTTTCTAATTTATTGTTCTGCTGGCAAATTAAAAATGTGTACTTGTTGTGGTGCAAGCGAACGACTTTGACGAGGTATGTTGTGCGCACGCTCGAATCAACCAAATACACTTATTGTAAACACTCTTTGTCAAAATGATTATTTAACGTGGATGGAGAAGAAGGTATTCAAATGGTGGCCATAATTATCAAATGGGAGTATTAAAAAAACTGTTAATTAAAAAAACGATTTTCACAAGAAAACTGCTATTAGTGTAGTTGTCTTTGCATAAGTTACTAAAATGTGGAGCAGTATCTATTATGATTTTGCACTGAGATGCATTGAAATGAATTTATTGAAATCAGATTATTGATTTACTCCACGCTTCGTTCATTTAAATGCATAACGTCATTTTTGCTTATTTTTTTCAGACGAGTACCTGTTAACCCCGGCAGGAAGAACGAAATGTTGAGAGGCTCTGGGAATGAGAATGGGTAAGTAGTAGGCTAGTACACGCCTAAAAACGATCAGGTTGATGCAACATTGATATGAACAGCATCGAACAATGTTGTGCTGCCCACATTGTTCAGAGTTGTTATCAACTTGGAACAATATTGTTGGAACTGAATCGGGTGTAACAATATTGTTCCAAGTTGATAACAACTCTGAACAATATGGGCAGCACAACATTGTTCGATGTTGATGCAACAACCTGATGAGTTTTTAGCCGTGTAGCCATAGATATATGTTAGCAGCGGTTTATATATCCATCTTTTATCTTTGACTTCATGTTATATCTATTGTAGTAGCTGTCATGCCATAGTTATTGCTGAAAAAGTTCCTTGCATTTGCATCTATGTAAATGTCATGAAAAAGAGATCTCAATCGTGCTCGTTCAGTGTAGTTAGGATTCTACAATAAGCTATGCGAAGCTAAACTACCTGAAAAAGATATTCCACTTATCCGTATCATGTGAACCAGGCTATATTTGCTCTATTCTTCGAGACTTCGCTATAATCTAAGCACCTAATTTCAATATAAGGATTAATTATTATGGACAATTTAGACTGCTTCGGTTGCTATGCAGATTAGATATGAAAGTTTCGCAATTTGCATTAAAATAGGGCCGTTGGTATAAACTGTACTATTTTAATGTGCAAAGCACAGCTGGAATCCTAAATGTGACGAGCAAAGCGTGTGAGTTTTCGTTGCTTTGAGACCGGTTTAAAAATACAGCTACTCTTATTTCTATTTGATGTGAAAGTTGATCATCCTGTCACTTTGGGTGAATACTTGTCAATACATTTGGATTGTTTGTCTAAAGTATTGATTTATGATTCGCTGAAACTTAGCATCTCAGTTTCTTAAAGCATTGGTCTCAGTACAGCAAGTAAACAGCAAGGTTTCCTACAAGATATTCACACATAACGATTACGGCAAAGCTGAACGTTTTGGATGCAACAAAGTGATGTAAAGCTGAAATAACACGAAGACCAGAACTGGGTTGATTAAAATAATATTTTTGTTTTGATACGAACAATTGTGAGATGCTTTGGTACAAGATTTTCTTGTACTTGTCAGTCCTATTTCTGGCTACTACAGTCGGTATGTTTATAATATATTCCTTGTAATTATTTTGGTGTTTGCTTTGAAATGATCGTCCGTGTTAATAGCTCAGTATATATGCTTTTATTATCAGCTAAAAATTCGATAGTTTGTCCTCAGATAAACTGCAAAACAGTAGACAATTAAGGTTAGGCTCAGAGACGTCGCTGAAGAAGTTATGAGTTGTGGAAGTGGCTTTCATAATAGCGGATCAAATCATCGTGACACAGCGCTACATTAATGTTTTCAGGATTGAATCGGGAGGGTTTTCAGTGAAAAGATGTTTTTAAAGCAGCCAATGTCACATTTTTGTCAGTTCCGGCATAATTCACGGCTTATAGTCCCAGATGATTCTTCTCGTATTTATTTTTGCCGTTTCGATCAAAATCAGTGAAACAACTTCAGCTGTAGCAACGACGCATCCCGCGTTCAGTAGGAACCCTTCGCATTTTACTGACCGAATTGAAGAAGAAATAAATTTTCTTCCTATTCTAAAAATTGTCCAGAACTCACTTCGTACTTATTATACAGGATTAGAGATAATTCGCAAAACTTTATATATATATTTACTTATATACTGACTGCAGTTTTGCATATATTTATTCAAATTTACAAAACCACAGGATTAAAAAATAATCGTTTGCCAATTCCAGCCTACCAATATAGCTACCACGTTTTTCGGGAGTTATATGACAAGATTTTAACGAAGTAATCGTTTTCGTTGCTGTTTGAGAGTAAACATTTTGTCTAAGAAATATTTTAATGCAATTTAATCCCTGAAAGATTTATTATGTATCCTCTTTCCTCAGAAAAGAGCAGTTATGCTTAACAAAAACAATGATCGAAATAGTCAGTTCCCAATCGATGAGAAGAGTATTGTAGTGGGGTATTGGCTCCGTTCTTATTAACTTGTGGTCTTGCATAATATGTTATGCTCAATTGAACCCCGTTATTGTCACCCAACAGTAATTATTGCATCAAATCGATGGATGATTGTTATTCAAAATACCGTGAAATGTTGTTCTGCCTCGAAATATGCCTACTGCGCAATAATTCTTGTTTAATGACTGAGTATTTATTCTACACTAGCTGAAGATTCTGGTCGTTGCAGAAGTAACCAGAATGATGAATTTTCGCACATTATTGATTGAATATTATTTCACTAAAATATGCTGGTATTGAAGCCGACATCTCTTATAGTTTTGATCTACCTAAATATAAAGTTACTGCCAGATCAAATAATGTCAAGTTTTATCTATAGAAATAAGAAATACTGAAATTGTGGAAATTTGAATATCGTTTTTTTACAGTTCATATTATACTCTTAGTTACCGTATATTGGATTAATTTATCTGAATAAGCATGGTTTGGGTTTATTTGTGCAGTCAACTTCGCCTCTGAATTTTTGTGTTAATTATTCCCACGATAGATTCCATCTCCCTTACTGAGCCTATAATCTGATGCTGTTATCTTTACTGCCACCTGCAGACGGGCCGTGCATGTATTTATCCAGCTTACCTAGGCTTACGGCTTATTGCCTTGGTAACTAGGTACGCTGTCTTAAATTCCTCGTAAGAACGAACGTTTAGTAAGAAAGCCTGGGTGGAACTGGGTACGAGGTTGCGGAGGAGTTATTTAAACGTTTACACCCAAGTATATCTACTCATTTTAATAGTAAACTGACTTTATATGTCACACTGTCTAAAGCCAGTTCGGCTTGAGAAGTAATTATATCATTAGTTGTCCATCTCTTATCTAACACCCCCCCTTCTTGTGTTAAAATAATGCACAAAGTGCACAATTAAATGTTAAAAATTAGGGGTAAAGTACCATTATATCGCGGTTAAATTGTGATTCACTTGGAAATGTTTAACTTTCTGCTATACTTTTTCATACAACTGACATCCGGAACCAGTTGTTTCAAGTACGTTTATAAACGAGACGAAACTGAATAAGTCAGAAAAACGAAACTTGAAAGTATCAACCAAGCCATGTGTATGAACCTAGTATGCATCTAGCGCGAGAGATTTAAGTTAACTTCAGATCAACTTCAATTTAACCAGTTTGGAGTTTATAAGAGTGTATTGCATAATAGTATTTATAAAGCTTGAGAATCGTTCTTATTCAATTATGACACTTATATAAACATGCATATTTTCGTTGCTTCAGACGGTTTAGACTTCGCGGATGGAACCAAATTTTTGACTATCAAAGAAGAGCAAAACACTCAAAGTATGTGGTATTTGTCTTTGTCTTTTTAAATTACGATACAACCCTGTCCTAATTTGTTCTTCCTAAATTTTTAGTGAGGATTGTTACTACAGAATACTGAAGGAAACATAAAATAAACTAACGTGCTAACGTTTCTTATTTTCATCAAGCATGGCCAGTCGAGAATACAGACTTACCTGGCAATCTGACGTATACTTTGGAGAAAGACGACTCTGATGAAGGTGGAGATACGTATAAAAAATTTATCATTGTTCAAGATGGTCCAACTCGTGCAGAGCTCCAATTGAACTATACTTATGATTTTGAGGTAAAGGAAATGTGATTTGTTGGTCTTTATTTAGTATGTCTGGATGCGTTCTAATATTTTTCGTATTATTCACATTAAAGAAAGAAGATCCCAAAAAATCCAAAACTTTCAAGATTGTGTCTACTCCAGTCACAGGCGTAAGCGCACCACTGCACAACTGTGTTACTTTTTTCATGCAATCAAAAATTTCTAAATGTGTTCTTATTTTTTTCGCGTTTTGCAGCCAAAGGGTGAATTAAAAATATCAATTACACTTGTTGATATTAATGACCACACTCCTGAGTTCACGAACTTACCTCATACTGTGGTCGTAAGTGAGGTAAGTTCTCCCGATGAAAGATGTAGTCCATTCCAAAATTTTTCTATAGTCCTATTGAAATCCAAAGACCATGCACGTCTGTTCCTGAAATTCTTCCTGAATCGTTCAATTTAAATTTCTACACAAATGATTAACTACACGTATTTTTCATATATCTAAAAATAATTTTTACATTTTATGATTTAAATAGGTCCTTGGAGTTGGCTCAATTTTGTACAAAATAACTGCCACAGATGGTGATGGAACGGATACATATAATTACGTGGCTTTCTCGATAACTGACGGAAATATTGTACGTAAATAAATTTCGTTTTAAAATAAGCAAAATTTAACTTATTATAAAGCAAATTTCATAATAATCTTTTTTATACTGAATGCAGAGCTGCATTATTATCCACGCATGCACTGTTGCTTCAGAGAGAAACATAGATTAAACTTCATTTTTTCATGTGTGTTAAGCACATTGTATGTTTTCGACAAATAGGGAAACAAATTTGCGTTGGAACCGTTCCAATCTCAAGGATCTGTGAACTTAAAACTAAGCTCTCGTCTTGACTTTGACGAAGGACCTGAAGTTTATAACCTCACAATTAACGTAACTGTGAGTATATCTCTGGTGTATTTTTATATTAGCTTAGTATTGAATATCTCTTATTGATCCAGTGTTACTACAGGAGGAAACCTAAACTAAACTAACTTTATTTATACTGGATAACTCTATCAGTTCTAAACTGTTCTTCCTAGAGGTCCAGTAAGAATCATCTCTTATTGATCCAGTGTTACTACAGGAGGAAACCTAAACTAAACTAACTTTATTTATACTGGATAACTCTATCAGTTCTAAACTGTTCTTCCTAGAGGTCCAGTAAGAATCGTCTCTTATTGATCCAGTGTTACTACAGGAGGAAACCTAAACTAAACTAACTTTATTTATACTGGATAGCTCTATCAGTTCTAAACTGTTCTTCCTAGAGGTCCAGTAAGAATCATCTCTTATTGATCCAGTGTTACTACAGGAGGAAGCCTAAACTAAACTAACTTTATTTATACTGGATAGCTCTATCAGTTCTAAACTGTTCTCTCTAGAGCTCCAGTAAGGATCATCTCTTATTGATCCAGTGTTACTACAGGAGGAAACCTAAACTAAACTAACTTTATTTATACTGGATAACTCTATCAGTTCTAAACTGTTCTTCCTAGAGGTCCAGTAAGGATCGTCTCTTATTGATCCAGTGTTACTATGCAGGCGAATTCTTTTTTTCTCCAGGACTGGACAACAGCAATCAGCAGAGACGAGGCGAGATCAACTCTTTCATATCTGATAATCAACGTTACGGACGTAGACGACCTACCCGCAATCTTTACCCAAAATGTGTATGAAAAAACTATTTCAGAGAATTTAGCAACGGCAAGTTTCTCATCTCTCACAACGAAATAACGCTGTCCCTTAGTGACTATGAGATCATTCCCCCAACACAAAAGATATAGAACTGATCACCTCATGTGGTAAAATAATCCAAGATCCATCGTTAAAGGTTAAGTATTGACACTGAGTCGTTTTATTTTCAAAGGGTTCCTTTGTAATAAAAGTCACTGCTGTTGACAAAGATAAAACGATGAAAGGGGTGGTCAAGTATGGTTTAGTGGAAGGTACAAATACGGTTCAATTTATATAATATTTTGGATAAATTATTGCTATTCCTAGAACGACATTGTGTTTAAGAAACCTTTTCTTTGTATCAAATTATACCAGAAACAAATCCAGGTGGTATGTTTGCTATTGATGAAACAACGGGGAATATCACGCTGGTTGGTAGCCTGAATCGCAAGACTCAATCTTTCTATGCTTTGTTAGTTTCGGTGAGTTCATACTCGTACTTTCGAGATAGGACCGTCATGTTTGAGGTAATCTTTTTCCGAGACTAAGACAACTATTGTTATTTTCCAGGCTAACTCGACGTACCATGATCCTATGCATGCTCAAGTATTGATCCTCATAGAAGACGCTAATGTTCACTCACCGAATTTCACGGCTAACGTTTACACGGCTGAGGTTTCTGAGAATGCGGTGAAGGACACTCTTGTGCTTGTGGTGCAAGCGAACGACTTTGACGAGGTATGTTGTGCGCACGCCCAAATCAACCATCCATCTGCATGGTGATGTATGCTTCATGTTCAAACTATCTTACTTTCGCCAGAGGTTTAATACAATGCTGTCTCGCAATTCGATTGTTTTGAGGGATTTCGGAAGTGTAAAGTTATTGTGGTTAATAAATCACGTGCGATTTTATGCCAAATATTAGCAAAACGTATTGTGCGGCTGCTTGAAAAAAAGATCGGTTACTATAATTGTAATATTCTATCTGTAGTAAATGCACTTATTGTAAACACTTTTTGTCAAAATGATTATTTAACATGGATGGAGAAGAAGGTATTCAAATGGTTGCCATCATTATCACCTCATTCGTTCTTACGCATTCACCTCACAGTCCTAACATTACATATCCGGTGAGTAATTATCTGATCTTCATTATACTACTACTAATGTTAATGATGCACGAGCTACCGTAGCTATAAACTATATTTAATGTAAATTTCAATGCAATGTTTAACTGATAATCTATGTATAGCTGCTCGAGTTAAACTTTAAATAAATGGTTGCAGTTTCTTATATTAAAAATGTACAGTTAAATCTAGTCGTATTTTCGTGAAACTGTAATTTTTTTTAAATTTTTAATCTGACAGTTGTACTAGACGCAATATTGGAAATCTGTTTATGTGGTTGAAAGTCATCAAGTTTGTTCAATTTAAACTCTCAAGTAAAAACTTTTTAACAGTCATTCATTGATTTAATGAATTTACGATTAATATTTACGTTGAACTTTTAAGTAATAACAAAATAATTAAACGACCAATCAGTTAATTAAAGTTTTATTAATTAGCCAAACGAACCTAGCCATTAAAACAACTGCATTTTGTTGTTTCAGATGGAATGTCACCAATGAGGATTACGTATTTTGGACTAGCAAGATTATATTTGAGACTTTATAAGGTGGGATCGGTTGTCCCTGGAGATGAAGAGTTTCAGAAAGGAATCATTTAAAATAAAAAAAAACTATTCTAAACTTTAAACAAATGAAAATTATCAATGTTAATGATTAAAACTAAGAAAGTTATTTAAATTAAACAAGAAATTCAGTCACGAAGTAAACTTAAAAAATTTAGCTAAAAATAAACGTAAATAAATCTAAATTATTTATTATATTTAAAATTATTTTACTGCTGTTATAAATGTGTGAGGAATTGGTAATAATTGAAGAGAAATGTATTAAAGTCAATCTAGGGGTGTGAATAAAATGAACAAACAATAAACAAACAAACAAGATAAAGTAAATTAATTGTGAATTAAATGAAAAAATAATAAGAAAAAAAGTAATTTTAAGCAATGGAAATATATTGTTAGACGATCTGTTGATTTTGATCTTGCGCTAGTAACATTCACTGTTGGAATCGTATATTTGAATTTACTAACGTAGTTAAGTTCGCCGGAATAACTTCATAAGTGGAAGCAGATGTTTAAGTGTCTACAGGTTGTGTAACCATGGGTTTCGTTATTCAAAGTAGACATTTTTCGTTATTCAAATCGCATTTCTCCATCGTTCCTCTCACTCATAATTTCCTCTTTGACCATTTGATACAACTAGCATCGACTAACCTTCATTTTTTTCCAGTTAATTTACTAATATCATTCACCGTAAAAAGTTGTTTCATTTTTTCATAACTGTTGAAACCATCATCATTTTCACCAAGATATTCCCACCAGTCAGCAACGGCTCCTTCAATTGTTTTTTCATGCAAGAAACTCGCATTCCCTGGGCTAAAATGCTTTCTTATCACAGGGCACGAACGCAGAAGTCAGCTACTCTATTGAAGGTGATGAGGCAACAGCATTTTACGTCACTACTGTCAACCATCTAGGCTATATTTTTGTCAATGCCTCGTTAGATTATGACGCGAAAAAGATCTACAATTTTACCGTAAGTAGCCTGAATCAATCGAAGGAAATAATGTTGGTAGACTTCATTGTCTAATTTGTTTTTGTTTCTTAATTTTTCCAGGTCAGAGCGACAGAGATTCACACAGTTGAAAAATTCAATGATTCTGCGACTATTATTGTCGAAGTAACTGAGGTCTTAGCCAACGAAAACAACCCGAAATTCAATGAATCAAGTTATTCAGTGAACGTCACTGAAAACAGTTTACCAGGAAGAGTGATACAGGTTCGTATGATCGATGATTGAGAACTAATCATGCATGTCTGTCAATAATCAGTCATTAGTCTAACGGCATTGCATTTCGTACCAGCCTTGAAGTATCTCAGCCTGTTTTTCTTTACCAAACCTATTGCTAAATCTTTTTTGCAGGTGGCAGCCACAGACGCAGACGAAGCTAACTTCGGTAGCATAACGTACTCTATTATTGATGGATCTCAGGGCATGTTTACGATTGATAACCAAACTGGATGGATCAATACAACCTCACAACTGAACAGAGAGGATAGAGATAATTATATCTTGATTGTTCGAGCTACAGATGGTAAGATACTTTTAGTCGATCCTTACTGAACCTCTAGGAAAACAAGTTTATAGGTTTCCTCCTGTAGAAACATGCTCCCTACTGGACTTTAGGAAAAAAAGGTAAAGCTATCAAGTATAAATACAAAAGGTTTTTTTTATTTTCAGGTGAGATATTCGCGAGACATACAGATGTACTAGTCATAATCACTGTTCTGGATACCAACGATCATACACCAACATTTCTGGCTGGTTCCTACACTGGATATGTTGTGGAGAATAGTAATATTGGGGACACCATCTTGGCAGTTGAAGCCAGAGATCTTGACGAGGTAATTGAAAGACTTTGATGTCGATGGTGCAGCGCTGCTCCACCATATAATAGTGCTTCGTTTCATCTCATCGGAAATTGATTTATTTTCTCTTCCTTAGGGAACAAACGCTGTGTTTGATTTTTCTCTGGTTGGTGCGGATGGAAAATTTTCCGTCGTCAGTGATGGAAACCTGGGTTATATAACCGTTAATGGAAGCCTGGATTTTGAGATGAATAAAAACTTCACATTCTTGGTAAGATGCAAAACGTATTACGCAAAATTGTATCTCTATTTCCCATGCAATCATGCACACTATTGAAACATATTTTAGGTTATTGCCAAAGAAACGTCGACGTCTGAAAAAAGAGAGAATAATGTTTCCGTCACTATATCCCTGATTGATGTAAATGATAACAGTCCAGTCTTCTCACCAGTAACTGGCTACAGTGTAGAAGTCGCAGAGAATAGCGCAAATGGGACTTCAGTGTTGAACGTGAGAAATTTACTTATATTTGTTATGCATTGTATACCAGGCGGTCAGTCTACTATATCAAGTCAGTTTGTTCCTCTTGCATAGGTGAGTGCATCTGATCTTGACAGTGGTGCGTACGGGCAGATAACGTTCAGTCTCATCACTACATCTGTGCCATTCAGTGTTGACCAGAACACTGGAGAGATCCTGATTGCTGGCAGCTTAGATCGAGAGGCAAAAGATTATTATGATCTCACGATTGAAGCTAAAGACGGTATGTTTCCTTTAACTCAGCATCTGAGAAGTTTGCACTGCTTTCATTGTTTTCCTGTTCCTATATACAAGATATCTACTTCTTCCTTGTTCTTTCAGGTGGCCAACCATCGCTGTCAAACTACGTGCATGTTATCGTGAATATAACAGATGTCAACGATGAAGCTCCAATGTTTCTCCAATCAAGCTACACAATTAACATCGACGAAAATACGAAAATAGGTTCAAATATCCTCACTGCGACTGCTACGGATAACGATCATGTACGGTCTTAACGTTGAGTTTGGTTAATTATCTGACGAATGTGGAGAATAATTTGACGAGTTGTATAATGATTTTCTTCATAGGGAACAAACTCGAAGCTTCTCTACTACATCGAAGGAGGGAATGGTTTATTCAAAGTTGACTCAAATGGAATGATTTCAGTGAACGGATCTCTGGACTACGAAACAAATACTTCGCTTTCATTCACTCTCTTTGCTCAAGAAAGTTCGACCTCCGAGAAATGGAAAGCGAATTGTACAATCAATGTCGTTTTGAGTGATGTGAATGAGTACGATCCAAAATTTACCAAGGATAGCTACTATGCTTTGATTGAAGAAAATAAACCAGCCGGCTCAGAAATAGTGAAGGTGCAGTTGTGATTACTTCAGGATTTTAGATTCGTTTAATTTGTGATCAAAACATGTTGATCACAATCTCTCGCCGACTTTAAATCTGGAGTTTCATTCTTCAGGTGAAAGCCAGCGACCAAGACGGATATTTCAGGACCATATCGTACACAATCCTTTCCGGAAATGACGACGGATATTTTACCATCAATCATACTTCCGGAGATGTTACCACAACTGGACCTGTAGATAAAGAGACAACGGATGATAACTTCGTGCTAAAAATCCAAGCTTCTGATAGTGAGTATTGTTGCATATGTTGATGCCTTCATGGACTATACCTCATGTCATCACCATCTCAGGGGTTGTACTCTGGTTGAAGTAAAGAGATCAGGACCCCATTCAACCGTTTTAAATATCTAAATGAGTTTCATTCATCCATTTTTAGATGGAAATCCAAATCGGACAACAGAGACCTTTCTTGTGATAGAGATTCTTGATAGCAACGATCATTCACCAATTTTCACCAAATCATGGTACAACACCACGATACCAGAAAACTTGCCTCTTGGTACTATTTTGTTGACTGTCAAAGCTACAGACCTTGACACGGTACTGACTCAAATTATCTTGCATTAATCCGTTTCAGTAATAAAGATGACGAGACTGGCTTTAACTTTGTTTGTAAACAACTTGAGTGCATGTTGCTTTTATTTTCAGAATGCAACAAATGCTGTGTTAAGATATTTTGTGTCCAACTCTGATGGGAAGTTCGATGTTCATCCTTCAACTGGACAGGTCTACGTCAATGCAACTCTTGACTACGAATCAAAATCGACTTATATGTTTACGGTGAGAAGCTTTCAACCTTATTTTACTGGAGAAGCTTCCTTTTGCCAGTCCAAAAACTTCTACTTGCCACTAACATATCTCGACTGTTATCTTGATAGAACTGCCATGATTATATTTACAGATATTCGCTGAAGAATCTCAGACACAAATGATGCAGCAACACAATGCCACTGTTCACATAACATTGACAGATACCAATGAATTTGATCCTGTTTTTACAAACAGCAGTTTCTCTGGGAATACTAGCGAAGACTCGGTCGTTGGAGCATCAGTTGTTCAGGTAGAGATCGGTTGTGATTGGCAAGGTCAATTTTACTTGTTGATACATCGATCACATTTTCAAAGCTGATAGTTCATCATATCTTTCCAGATTGTAGCCTCGGACCAGGATGGATATTTTAATCAAATTACTTACAGTATTGTTCCCGGGGACGACAGCAGTAGTTTCACAATCAACAGTACAACTGGTATCATAACTACTGCTGCACAACTGGACTACGAAAAACAGAACAAGTTTATTTTGACAGTACGTGCTAAAGATAGTAAGTGATTACCAGTCTTGTTGTCAAAGACTGATGAAGACTGTTCAGTTATGCTTTCCTCCAATGCTGACATTGAACTGATGCAGCCAGTCAGGTAAGAATCCAATTTCTGACAATTTATTTATCTTTCAAACTGAAGATGGCAGCCCCGGACGAACATCCGAGGTAACTGTAGTCATCGACGTTCTGGACGCTAACGATAACCAGCCAGTATTCTCCCAGAGCGATTACAACAGCACAATACCAGAGAACGTTCCCGTTGGTACGACTGTTCTGACGGTGGAAGCCGAGGAAAAAGACAGTGGCGCTAATGCTGAATTTAAGTATCATATCATTGGTGGAGATAACAAGTTTGAGATCACGGATGACGGAGTGATCTTTACAAAAGCCTTGTTGGATTTTGAGACCAAAACCTGGTATCAGTTTCTGGTGAGTACAGGTTAGAAATGGTTGGGAAAGCGTTGTTTGGTAATCAGTACATCTCAGCTTCGATCAGCGTAATTGTTGATGTAAATCCTGTAACAAAGTTACACTGATTAAAACGTTGTTATTTCAGGTTGTGGCCAACGAGACAAACTCTGTGCAAGGAGCAAAACCAAACGCAACAGTGACGGTTGTTCTACAAGATGTCAACGAATTCAACCCTGTCTTTAGTCAAGCACAGTACACAGCCAATGTTTCAGAAAACAGTCCAGTCTGGACCTCTGTAATTAAGGTAAACTCGGTAGACGGTAGACCCTGACTCCCTCATCGCTATTGGTCGTGGATTACTCCAATCTTTGCTGCATAGTCCGAGCAGTTAAAAACAACAAAGGTCTTTATCGTTTCTTTCCATTGCAGGTTTCTGCTACTGATTCAGACGGTTACTACAATCAAACTACATACAGCATTATCTCTGGTGGTAACGGAAAGTTTGAGATAAACTCCACGACGGGAGAAATCACAACAAATTCAACGCTAGATCGTGAAACAGAGTCTCAGTTCATATTAACGGTCAGAGCACAAGATAGTAAGTAGATTTTAGAAGAAATTGATAATAAACAAATAGTGAATGTTATGAAGGACAATCTGGTTAAGGAGGGCAACTATAGTCATGCTAACTGTTAGTCAAGGGGAAAGTAATCTGAAGGTAATCTTAAACATCATTTTTCAAAACCAGACGGAGAAAATCCAGCTCGTACAGCAGAGGTCGTGGTGGTGATTACTGTTCTTGATATTAGCGATCATGGTCCAAAATTTCTTCAAAAATCGTACAATGCTTCAATATTTGAAAACGTGGATAAAGGCACAACAATTTTGACTGTTGAAGCGACAGATAGTGATCTGGTAAGTTTGACATATTTAAACATAGTTTTCAGTTTTTCTTGAATGAGCCGTAACAGCAAATAATGATCAAGCTTTGGAATAAGTTCAATACAATTGGTAATATATTTACCAGGTTTCACAATATTCACCATGACATGCACCATACTATTCACCTTATTCATATTCATCCTGTTATTCACCAGTTTGATCTCCATATTCCCATGTTAAAACCTAGGGATCAAACGCAGTCATAGCATATTCCATTGTTGGTGGTGATGGTAAATTTCGCGTTGATGCAAGTGGGAATATAATATCGAACTGCACTTTTGACTATGAGACAAAGATGACATACGAGTTCCAGGTTTGTCCCAATGTTAATCCACCTGATCCAATGCTAATTCACATAATCTAATGTTAATCCACATGACCCACTGGATTTTGTCCAACAAAACATCGACCCATCTTCGTAGTGACAAATGTCGTAATTTTGTAATCACTTTCTCATTACAGATTGTTGCGAATGAAGCTCAAACTGCGACAGGTTACACTGACACTAGTAACGTGACAGTTGTTATCCAAGACGTCAACGAATTCAATCCAAAATTTCTAAAGCCGAGCTACACAGCTTTGGTGAATGAATCAAGCTCAGTGGGAACTCACGTTGTCAAGGTTAGAATTCAATTAATCGAGTGTCCATTACAAAGGGCGTGGTCGTCAAATTAATGTCCCATTCCTGAAACTCTAAGAAGCTGATTTCATTGGAACGTGACTTGAATGGTTCCGTTTTTCTTGTGTTTCAGGTAACTGCAACAGATGATGATGGTTCTGAAAACGTAATAAGATACAGTATAATACAAGGAAATGTTGATAACTTGTTTGCCATAAACAGTTCAACTGGTTGGATTCAAACTGCCGACGTTTTGGATGGTTCAAATGTGGATCAGTATACTTTGACAGTCAGAGCCGAAGACAGTAAGATATTTTATTTAGCTGCTGTTAATAGATTGAAGCTGGCTGTAAAGTCTAAGGATATAAATGTTGCTAGACACTTGCCTTTCGTAGATCAAACATTGATTTTTTAATTTTTATTCGCTAGGTGGAGATTCTCCTCGTACTGCTGAGATACTGGTGATCATAACCATCAGTGAGAAGATGAGGAATGCATCGTTTTTACTTCAGGAAGTGTATAACGTCACAGTACTTGAAAATGCCTTGGATGATTCTGTTGTCGTTAAATTGAATTTGAGATACAGCTATGATGTAAGCTTTTCCTTCATTGTGATGTTGTCCCGTCAGTTTAGCTCGACCAATTGTCGACCATGCAAGTTAGAGAGGATAACTCCTGTTGTATTTCCTCCCCTAGGATGTAGTTTCAGCATTCAGTTTTTCAATTGCTGGTGGTGACGGTTATTTCGATGTGAACCAGAAAGGGGAAGTGAGGGTCGCTAATGCCTTAGACTATGAGAGCAAGATGTTTTATACCTTCACCATCATTGTAACCGAGATTCAACCGGCGAGTGGTTTAGTGGCTAATGCCACAATCAACGTCAAAGTGGAAGATGTGAATGAGTTTAATCCTCAGTTTGAACAAAACCTTTACCGTGCTAATGTCAGTGAAGATGCGTCTCTTGAAACGCACGTCACAAAGGTTAGTTATATTTTACACGTATTTTATTCACTCTGAAACAACAGACCGATGAATTTCTTTTTCTCCAAGGTGTTTGCAAATGATAGTGATGGTGACTACAATGTAATCACGTACGCCATCATAAATGGAAACCATGACAACAGCTTCATTATAAATAGCACAACTGGAGCGATTACGACCGCAAAGCCACTGGATAGAGAAACTCAATCTCAGTTTGTTTTGACAGTGAGAGCTTCTGACAGTAAGTTTGGTATTAGAATCATCTTCAATCTTCAACCCTCAGACATGCACAGACAATAATATTAACAGTTGACTAACTTGTACAATTTAGATGGTCCGTCTGCAAGGACGTCTGAAGTAGTGGTAATTGTGGATGTTCTGGAAATAAGCGAACATCCTCCAGTGTTCCTCATGTCCAACTATACAGGAGTCGTTTATGAGAATTCAGCTGTTGGTACCATAGTCTTGGTTGTGGGAACGAGAGACCGCGATACGGTAACTTTTTGACACTTCGAGTGAATCAATATGAATGTCCTGGATCAGGCTAGAGCTTTAGATCATCGTAGAATCAGTTGATTTATTTTTACCTTTGTATCATTTAGACATCTTCAGGTGTTGTTTATTCTCTCGTTGGAGCTAATGGCAGATTTGCTGTGAACTCAGAGGGAATAATTTATGTGAATGGCTCCTTGGATTATGAGTCGGATGAAAGATTTACTTTTCTGGTGAGATTTAGTTATGTAGTGTCCTTCCAATGATATGATAGATTTGAACCACTCTCTGTTTCTACATGTGAAGTTATTATCATGCGTCAGCATATCGTGAGAAGTTGAGAACTGTTTCCTCAAAGAACTAAACGAATTCAAAAACTATTTCTCATCACCTGCAGGTTGTTGCTGAGGAGGAAGCTCCATATTCGCATCTTCGTCATAATGCCACAGTAACTGTGAATCTGAAGGATGTGAATGAATATAATCCAGTCTTCAATCAAACTGTTTACAGCTCGAGCGTCAAAGAAAATGATGTATTTGGGATACCTGTGCTTAGAGTAAGGAACAGTCCACGGGAATAACTCATGTCTACCAAGCTCACCAATCATTATACTAGCAAATCATATTTTTTGTAGGTTTTTGCCACAGATAACGATAGAAACATTAATGTATTGAAATACAGCATCATCAGTGGCAATGATCAAGGGAACTTCTCTATAAACAGTTCTACTGGGGAAATAACCGTAGCGAAGACGCTCGATAGAGAGTCAGCAAATCAAATCATTTTAACAGTTAGAGCTGAAGACAGTAAGTAGAAATAAACTGACACTTTCTATCGTGACGTATGCCTAAAGAAATAAAATTGTCTTGTTAAGATGGTTTACCACCAAGGACATCTGAAGTGACAGTGGTTATTGGAATTATTGATACCAATGATCTTGGACCAAAATTCCTGGTTCCCCAGTACAACGCAACTGTCTCAGAAGATGCAAACGTAGGGACACACGTTGTCGTAGTTCAAGGTGTTGATATGGACGCGGTAAGGTCTTCGTTCAAACATTGTGTTTCTTACCCTATTGTCTCATTTTCTAATTCTCTCGAATCTTATTTCAAGACTCCTGATATGCTGGGATATGAACTGGTTGGCGTGGATGCTTTTAAAGTAATGACTCAATATGGACTTGGGTTCATTGTCGTGAATCAGGATCTCGACTACGAACAGACAAAATCCTACAACTTTATGGTGAGTTGAATATTGTTGAGGCGTTTAAATAGTTGTTGCAGAGATGATGAAGAATACTGTGGTGTATGTGTTGAACAATATTTAGTCAAAGATGGCCAACAAAAGAGGAAATTTTACTTTTTATTTCCAGGTTTACGCTGTGGAAAAAACTCCTGAAAAGCGAAACACTTCATGTTGGGTGAAAGTTTCTGTTATTGATGCTAACGACAATCATCCTGTGTTTGTTAATTCTTCGTACAGCGCTGAGGTTTTGGAGCAGACAGCTGTTGGGACCACTGTTTTAAATGTATGAAAACCGTATTTTACTGCTTACCATATCATTATATATCTCACCATATCGTACAACTCATACCATGCTATACCATACTCTGTCTAAATACTGCATTAGTATCATATCGTACCATAGTGAAGCACTATGCACCTTACTGAATAATAATGAACAGAGGTCATTTTCAACCTTACTCAGGTGAGCGCCACAGATGCAGACAGTGAAATATTTGGTCCCATAAACTATGCCATTATTGACGGAAACATTTTGGGACATTTCAACATTGACAACACAACTGGCAGAATATTCACTTCTGGTGTCTTAGATCGTGAAAATCATCCACAATATTTCTTGGTAGTTGAAGCCAGGGACAGTAAGTAAACCAGAAATGTTGTAGATTGTTTATTGGTAATCGTGATATGCTGAATGGTAATCGCAGCTAAACTCTTTAGTTCCATTCCTCTGAACACTGAACAAATTATTTTTAGATGGTTCCCCAGCTTTGACTGAAACAGTTACAGTGAGCATAACAGTCTTGGATAGCAATGATGTCAGACCGCAATTCATTGCGGCACCATATTCTGCCTCAGTTCCCGAAAACAGCGCGGTCAATACAAGCATATTGACTGTACAGGCAGTCGACATGGACAAGGTTGTACAATTGAGTCCAAAATGTTTTAAACTTAATTGAGCTATAATACGCAAGTTATATGCACAAGATGGCATTTTAACATAAAGAATTCCCCCCAAGGTCTTTACAAGTCCAGTGTTATTACAATGTAGGTCTCTCGCCCCTTATTTGCTAAATGAATTACATCATAATCTAGTTGTAATTAATTATCATGGTTCTCTATGATTATTAGGTATCGATGCAATAACATCATTTCAAGATTATGAATAGAAAAACTGGCGCGTTGCCTTATCACTTAATAATTCTAGTAAATAGATCAGACAAAAAAATGCAACGTATTTTCCTAAATAAATTTACAAGAAGGCTTTCCTTGGAAACGTTAATCAAGGAAAGCCTTGTTGTGTTGCGCGGATGGATGGTTGAATCGTTGTATTGTAAATATTAAAAACAGATATCATCAAAAGTGTGAGTTTCGTTAGTTTTGAGCTTCTAAACTTTGCAATTTAGGGCCAAAATGGTGAGATTAGTTACGAACTGGTTGGTGCAGATGGTTTATTTCGAATAGAACAAGACGGTGATTTTGGGTCCATCAAGGTTGCAGGAGATTTGGATTATGAACGAAATAAAACATTCACCTTTTATGTAAGTATCATAGTTCAGTCATACACAATAAGGAACCTGTAAAACAATTTTCATGTAAATTATGACGACCTTTGTCTGTGCTCGTGAAGTGGGACTCAAAGCGTCTTCTCTTGTCATCTTCGACGTCCAGAGAACCGAAGAATTTTAATGGTGATACTTTATTTTTTAAGGTTGTGGCGAAAGAGACACAAACGTCAGAGAAAAGAGAGACAAATACGACAGTTGTTATTACAATCTTAGACGTGAATGATAATCCTCCTGTGTTTAAAAAAAGTGTCTATGAAGCTAGTGTTGGAGAGTTTGCAACTTCTCCTCATCCTGTTGGGACTGTAAGTGGATACATCACCATTTAGATCACCATCCTATCATGATCACCATCTAATCATGATCACCATCCTGTTATGATCACCATCCTATCATGATCACCATCCTATCATGATCACCATCCTGTTATGATCACCATCCTATCATGATCACCATCCAATCATGATCACCATCCTGTTATGATCACCATCCTATCATGATCACCAACCTATCATGATCACCATCCTATCATGATCACCATCCTATCATGATCACCATCCTATCATGATCACCATCCTATCATTATCACCATCCTATCATGATCACCATCCTATCATGATCACCATCCTATCATGATCACCATACTATCATGATCACCATCCTATCATGATCACCATCCTATCATGATCACCATCCAATCATGATCATCATCCTGTTATGATCACCATCCTATCATGATCACCATCCTATCATGATCACCATCCTATCATGATCACCATCCTATCATGATCACCATCCTATCATGATCACCATCCTATCATGATCACCATCCTATCATGATCACCATCCTATCATGATCACCATCCTATCATGATCACCATCCAATCATGATCACCATCCTGTAATGATCACCATCCTATCATGATCACCATCCTATCATGATCACCATCCAATCATGATCACCAACCTATCATGATCACCATCCAATCATGATCACCAACCTATCATGATCACCATCCTATCATGATCACCAACCTATCATGATCATCATCCTATCATGATCACCATCCAATCATGATAACCAACCTATCATGCTCATTTTTCAACATTTTACACGCCAGGTTTCTGCAACAGATGAAGATTCTGGAGAATTTGGTGAGATCACGTACATGATCATCCATGATGATGACAATGGTAACTTTACAATCAATAACAAAACTGGTGAAGTCCTAACAGGCGCCATATTGAATCGTGAAGTGAAAGATCGTTATGTTCTCACCATTCAAGCACTTGATGGTAATAAACTGCCTTTTTTACGGTGGAAATATATAACTCAATTCTAAATATCTAAAATGCGCCGAGTATGAATGATTTTTGTCTTTTAAGGTGGCTCTCCTCCACGAAAAGCAGTGACCACCATGATAGTAAGAGTTACTGATCAGAATGAACAACCTCCATACTTTGAAAATACTCCATATAAGACAAATATTGTAGAGAATAAAGAATACGACAACTCCGTAATTTACCAGGTAATGCGAGTTTAAGCCAATTATTTACAAATCGTTCTTCAGGACATCTAGTAAAGATCATCTCTTATCAACCTAGTTTTTTCTACTCTATATTGGCATGTTCCGATGGAGAGTTCTTATGGATACTTTCCCCATCATTTTAACAGGTGGAAGCAACTGATTTAGACCTGATGCCCGTCACGTACAAGCTCGAGTCCCACCCAAATTTCAGCATCGATGCAACATCTGGCATCATTAGCGCTACTGGAAACTTTGATCGGGAAAAACAGTCAGTCTTCAACTTGACGGTAACAGCCATTGACCAGGGTGGCTTGAACGTCTCTGAACATTGTGAGCAATATTCCTTAACATATCCGTTATTACCTGCGCTGACAACGTGAATATTAGCGCCTGGTGATAATTGATTATGATTACTTCATCTAGTTATAATATCAGTTGAAGACACTAACGACAATTACCCACAATTCCTGGACACTCCCTACATGACAATCATTCCTGACAATACCAGCGTTGGAGTTGAAATTCTGAAGGTGAAGGCAATTGACTTGGACGAGGCTCATAATGCTGAAATAATCTTCTCTCTCCTAAACGCTGAAGGAAAGTTCACCATCAATCAAACAACAGGTGGGTCATATTTCTTTGATCCGGGTTTAAACCTCAATATCCATCTTTATACTGTATGTATATTACCCTGAGGGATGTATTAACATACAAAGACTGTTGTGAAGTTATGCTAAGTTTCCTTGTCAAGTCGTTCAAATTTTAGTTTAATTCGATCCATAAGAAGCCAGCAAAGCGCACGTTCAAACTTCATTCGAAGCTCTGATTTGTTGACTTTCTTTGTTTTTTCACATTACACAATCTGGATTTTTACAGGTATGATTTCAGTTTCGGGTAAATTGGACAGCCAAGAGAAACGGCTGTACACACTTAAAGTGATTGCAACAGACCGCGGAATACCACAAGCAAAGATTAACTCCACAACCGTGACAGTCAATCTCACAGATTACAGCAATCATCCACCAGAGTTTACAAACGTTGCGTGGGTTGGAACGATCTCAGAGGGAGCAGGACCGAGTTTTGTTCTGAATGTTCAAGCCAAGGATCCTGATTCTGGAATTCTAGGAAAAATAGAATATACTATCATCGGTAGGCAGAAATTGTATGATACTTGACATAATGAAACTCAGTCACAATTCAGCAATGAATGATCAGTATAACTTGATATCAAATTTCACCTGAGATGCTTAGTAACAATTGTTTTTATGTCAAAACGTCACCTAAGACTCAATAGTTATAACTTTTTATTATTTAAGATGGGAATACGAACAATTCCTTCACAATCAACGCCACTGGAGCGATACTTTCAACAGGAACTTTAGATTATGAAAATGACACACAGAAGACATTTGATTTGACTGTCATGGTGGAGGATAAAGGAGGTCTAAAAGATACAACCCAAGTCCGAATCACTGTTCTTGATGTAAATGATAATCCTCCAAAGATTATAAACTTGCCTGCACCTGCTGAGCTTAATATAAGCGATAATCTACCACAAGGCAAGTTAAGTGTCAGTGATGTAAAGGTTAATGTGTAGACAACTCTGGTGAAGACGGTGAACATCTTGTTGGATATGGTGATACATGTTGCCAGGAGATTAACTTGAAATTATCCTGTTTTCTTTATATTAGGTACCTTGCTCTACGTCTTGCAAGGACAAGATCTTGACTCGGGGAAAAATGGAGAGTTTGAATTCTTCGGAGCAGCTGTTCCTGATAATCTTACAATAGATCGGAACATTGGACTAATCATGGCTAAAAGAAAATTGGAAAGCACCAGCTCGTCCAGGTTGGTGACCAGACGGACTTTACCTACACAAATACACATCCACTTTTAGCAAACAAAAAAGCTAATCAATTTATTTTTCCCAGCATTTTGTTTACCGGGTATGTGAGAGACAAAGGAACCCCAAGCCAATCCAGTGCAAATTATACGATCAAATTTAACATAATACCCGATCCAATCTCGGCACCATTCTTCCTGTCATCAACACTCACTGAGATAAAAGTGTTTGAAAACGCTTCGATTGGTGACGTCATTTTAAAAGTCAACGCATCCGCAACCCCTGATAACTTCACAATCCTGTTTGAGTTACCGACCAGCGGTAACTTCAAAATTGACAGTCAGGTTCGTAGTGGATTCGCTTCAATAAGCTTGTTATTAAAGACACTGCACTATTTGAAGAGTTTCAAGGGAAAACGTTTACAAAATCATTGGACTAAATTGTTGGATGATTCTTTTGTAGGGTTTCATATCTGTGGCTCGGGAACTGGACCGTGAAACGCTGGATGGATATAGTCTTTTAGTGATGGCTTCAAAAGATGGGACGCAAGCAATAGGATACGTAAGTACACAGTTTTTATTGCAACTAGACTTACTAAACTCACGTGAAATACTCAAACAAATGTGTACTCGATATGATGAATTCTTCTTGTTTCAATACTCCAGGTTTCTATCACGGTCGTCGACGTGAATGATGAGAAACCAGAGTTTCAGTTTGGTACATACAAAGGACAAATTAAAGAAAATTCACCACCTGGGAGTTCTGTGATTGAAGTGAAAGCTGTTGATAAAGACGAGCAGGATGTGGTATGATGATTTTATGAATGGCATGCAGTTTGGGCAAGAAAATAGAATAGCACAAGCCAAAGAGTTGCATGAAGAATGCATGGAAATGCTTCATAAGGCTTCAATTCTGTTTCTCATCTAGATCTCGTACACCATCATGGCCGGCAACACGGATGATGTGTTCAATATATCGAGCTCTGGTGAAATACTGATCGCAAAACAACCAGATCATGAAACTACAGCATTCTTTAATCTAACGGTTTGTAAATTGTTCGTCGCGTTTTTAGATTTGCCAGACGGTGTCGAAACACTGAATATTTTGATTTTCATCAATATCGATTACTTCTTTCCAGGTTGTTGCAAGTGATGGTGTGAACTCAGGAATAACGTTCGTTGAAATTACAATCTTAGATATCAATGATAACTCTCCTGTGTTTGCGAATTCGTCGTACAGTCTTAGCTTGCCTGAGGTAAGAAGAAAAGCAAAAAGAAAAGTCGGGTTGTGTCTGAACTTCCTGCCATTTCATGTTTTCCTTCATATAGGATACACCAGGCGGAGCTTCTGTTTTACAAGTATCCGCAAGAGATGATGACGATGGTGACGATGGTATTATTGTATACTCTATTTCAGGTAAACCAGCAGTTTTAACCACAATCAATTTCTCTGTCGCGAACCTGTAACTTTTTCTTATTCCCGAGGTAAAATATACTACATTTGTAAATACATTTATAGATATTTTACAAGATATAGCATTTCTTCTTCAGGTGGTGACGGGAGATTTGCAATTGACTCGCTTACTGGAGTCATATCTACAACGGACAAGTTTCTCGATTTTGAATCAACGACTCAATATGCACTGAATGTTTCTGCCACAGATCGTGGAGGACTCAAGGTAGGAAGATACTCTTTGAAGGGATAATTCTTAGATATTTCTTGATCCATATTTTCTCTTTTCCTTCACAGGCATCCGTCCTTGTTATTATAAACATAACGGATTCAAACGACCACACTCCAGAATTTTCTAGTCCATCGTACAACGTCACTATTGCAGAAAACTATTTCGGAGCTTTGACTTCTCTTCATTTGAATGCGAGTGATCTTGACTCGGGTAGAAATAGTAAATTGACGTATTCTATTGTGGATGGCCCATCATTCTTTACCATCAACCCAAAGACGGTAGGTCACTACTCTTTGGTGGTGCTTTGCTACCTATAGTGATTCAGTTTAGGTTTCCTCCTGTAGTAACACTGGATAAATAAGAGATCATCCTTACTGGACCTCTAGGAAGAACAGTTTAGAACTGATAGAGCTATCCAGTATAAATAAAGTTAGTTTAGTTTAGGTTTCATCCTGTAGTAACACTGGATCAATAAGATATGATCCTTACTGGACCTCTAGGAAGATCAGTTCAGAATTGACGGAACTATGTTCTCATTTTTCCCTATATCAATGCGGTTTAGGGAGAGCTAAATGCTTCTGTTCCAGTGGATCGCGATGCTTCTGGGACACCCAATGATAAATATTGCCGTGGTGTGTTCTTTCTGACTATTCAAGTCTCAGATAACGGCACAACTAAACTAACTGATACTGCTAAGGTATGAAATACAATGTTCTTTCTTTGGTAGTCGCTTGTGCAGTGGTTAATACGTGAATTTTTAGTTTTATCGGCTGAGATTTGGTTCTTGATATTTGTAGTTTTGTACAGTTGTGGTTGGATCAGGCGCGTGGGGGAAGAATATCCCCAGTTTAAGAAATTTCACGAAATTCCAATCATCTTTGCAGATTATTTACAGTCATAAAATTCTATTTACAGGTGACCGTGCTTGTAACAGATGTCAACGACAATGCTCCGAGCTTTTCACGAACATCGTACGAAGTTGAAATATCAGTTGTCGATATTGGAAACATTTTTCGTATCATGGCGAGTGATTCCGATTGCGATGTGAATAACAAAATTGAATATTCCTTTACCTCAGGTATGAAACATCATAGTAGGAATAAGCTCGGTTTAAATAACCAGGCTATTCTTGGCATTTCTTGCTGTAAAAGAAGTGTAATTACCCTTCAACTGTAGTACATTATCGTTCATATTTTCCATCTTCATAGATAATGGCAGCAGTTTGTTTCAAGTCAACACAACAACTGGGAATATCACTGTAATCAAGCCACTGGTGAGAATACATTTGCTCTGAAGTTCTTCCATGGACCACACCCTTTTCAAGTATCAGATGGTCCGTCCCTGGGTTAGGTTCGTTCAACGCCCTTTCTAACCTTGCGTTTTCTCCTAGAATGGTAGCCAAGGTGTATACTTCCTGAATGTGACTGCTACAAACGCACTTGCTTCTCCAAAGTTACGAAGCAGCGTGCTGGTCACTATTACCGTACTTGAAAACAGAAACTATGCTCCAGTATTCGATAAAGATCAGTATTCATTCAATGTCTCTGAGGGTGCTGAGATTGGAGTTACAATTGGCAGTGTCTCAGCTTCGGATCTCAACAAGGTACTTACCTCAAGGCTGAGAGTGTATATCACTCCATATCCTCTGATCATTACTTTCCCCAGTCTTCATATGGCATTTCCAATACCATTGATGGCAATCATCTTTCCCATTGTCCACCTCCTCATCTTCTATTGTTTTCGCTTCTCTAGGGCAAAGACGGAGTATTTATTTACTCAATAGAAAACCCAGGATATGCCATACCATTTGACATTGACCCTACAAGTGGCGTGATCACTCTAGTGAGAAAACTGGACCGAGAGACTCATAAAAACTATACGGTACTCGTTACAGTCTTTACTTTCAACCATCTTCTGTCTATTGCGACAACGATAAAACTGTTCGAAATAAAATAATTTGAGCATTTTGTACTAAATCCAAGTCATCTTGTATTCGTTTATTTAGCTTGTCGTGGTAGCTCAGGATTTTGGTGACCCAGTATTACGTGATACAACTCTTGTGTTTATTTCTCTGGACGATATTAACGATGAAATTCCGAAATTTGAGCAAGATGAACAGAAGTATGGGGTCAAAAATACGATGATCTGCTTACGTTTGCTCCCTGAAAGTTTAGATTGAACATGAATGATATAAAATGATATAAAATGTAATGATTTAAAACCTCTAAAACGATCCATATTCTTTATTATTCAGGTTCAGTGTGGCTGAGAATATTACAGTGGGGTCACTGGTGGGTAAAGTCACAGCCATTGATGAAGATGCTGATATGTATGGTGAACCAATATATATTATACACAGTGGTAACGAAGCCGGTCATTTCCGAATTGATAACTCCACTGGAAATATATATCTTGTGAAAAGTTTAGATCGAGAAGTAATCCATATTTTTGAACTCATAATTTACGCGTATAACCACGGAAGCAGTATCGCAAGAAGACGGCGAGACACAGGTTTGTTGGAGGTTTCCCTATACTAGCCAGGTATATCTCTAAGACATCGAAACTAAACTGTTCTATCAGTTCCAAATTGTTCCTATATCTTACTAAGGTGTTAACTATGATGTGCTGAAGGTGGTGATTGAGGTCACTGATATCAATGATAACCCGCCTGAGTTTACTCTCACGAACTATATTGCAGGTTGGAAAACTCAAATATCTTTTGATTTTGTTGTAAAAAAAGACAAGCAAGGGTCTAGGGATAAATGTTATATTCATGATATTTATTTCTTCACAGGATTCAAGATCTCTGATCCACCAGGAACCAATGTTACAAAAATCCAAGTAAGTTCTTTGTAAATGATGCACAAACCACGATAGCTTATTACCTTGTTTTTCATACAAACTAATTGCATGTCTTTCTTTTCTGCAGGCAACTGATAAGGATGAAGGTTCAAACTCAAACATAATTTACTCCATCAAGTCAGGAAACGATGCTGGTGCCTTCGCTATTGATCCAGCCACTGGTCTCATCTCTACGACGGAAAACATAACTCAGCTTGAGGAAGTGTTTAAAGTCATTTTGACAGTTGTGGCTCAAGATTCAGCCGATCAGGGAACGCCTAAAGAGGCAACTGTAACGGTATGTAAAATGATTGTTTGGTTTTAAGAAAATACAATGAAGTAGACTAAGTCAGTTTCACACCGAATAGTCAATTTCAGTCAATGAACCACCGTCGAATTATATGTTTGTTTATGCTTGTTGAATGAATATAGATTTATCAAATTCCCGAAAGAGATCCTCTGGAACTTAAAGTCAGCAGTGATCTGGACGAAGATGCTATAAGAGAGTAAGTTCTGCTAAACTATTATTGAGAAATGTCACTTCTTTAAGTAACAAAACTCCAATTCATCTGTACAACAGGCTTTTGAGGAACATCACTGGACCTGATTATGATATCATTATACAAGAAATTAATACTGGTGGCCCTCTGTAAGTTTCGTGGCTTATTTTGGCACAAATATTTCAAGACTATTGCAGTTACTTTTCGAACTCTGAAGAAAAGCAGGCGCTTTGTTTTTGAACTCAATATATTTCTTTTGCAGGTCAACCGTAAAATATTATGTTATCAAAAAGGATGGCGATTTCTTGACAGAACAGGAAATGAGAAAGTATGTTTATGTTTATCGAAGTTTAGATGAATGTTTGTAAAACGTATACATGGGAGGATGGATAAAGCAACGTTATTGTCAGCAAAAGTTTCAAAAAGATTATATAGGATTGAAGTACGCTTGTCTTCGTTATATTCTAGTCTGATAATTGCTTACTGTGAGGTGAATGAAGAGATTTGCGAACGTTGGGGTATTAATCTTGAATTTCAAAACGGAAACACAAGTGCTTTGCTTGGAGAAGATGACATCACTATTCTTGAAGCGTGTTTGATTACTCTGGGTGTCATTGTGGGTATTGGTGGTCTTCTGGGGATATTCTTGCTGTGTTGTCTACGGCGCAGGTCAGTGAATGGAAGATGATGTAAAAAAGCATTAGTTGAGTTTTTAATAGTGTGAATTGTCTAAGAATGTAAATTTGAAAGTGAAGCATCTTTTCACTGAAAGAATAGAAGCTTTAACACGTTTAAAGATCTCGTTCAACTGTTGAAGTTCATATTTTGTTTTAGCAGAAAGCGCTACATGCCTGTTTACGAGTCAACTGGTTACATCATGTCATCGAAAGCAGTTTCATTTGATGAAAGACCCCACATGTAAGTGCCGCGACAGGGCTGCTCTGTCTCTCTGAAACTAGATGAATGTTCTCTGTATCTAGTCGCCACGCCCTAAACATGTGACTTTATCTTTTTCTTCGTAGTTATCAACCTAACATTGGGGATGAAGCTAATAGAGTGAGTACACGCGTCTCTGAAGAAAGTTTACAATCGCAATTTTTAATATGATTTTCGATATTTTTTCTCCCATTGTGTTTTGTTAAATTTCTGCTTAATATCATAGAACTTAGGTACTCTGTTAGTCTGTTACCCAAGAAGTGTAGTCTAAGGGTGGTGTGATGTCAACAGGGGTGGCAAAGCTGATTAGGACTGAATATTTTTCTCAATCATCTGGTGTTTGACATCTAACTTACTGCAGGTATCTACCTTCTCGGCACAGGAGTCCCAAGAAGTTGAAATTCACATGGACGAGGAAGGAAGCTCCTTGGATTCTGCTGAAGAAATGCGTCCTGGCTCATGTAGTTCAGCTGAAATAGAGAAAGAAGAGGCAATAGCCAAAGTTCAAGCCTACATGAATCAAGCATTGATGGACGACGACGATTCTGACACGGACAGTTCCGAAGATGAAAATGGAGAAACCTCGGCTACTCCTCGGGTTGATGGTGATTCCAGTACTGGTTCTACTGAACCTCTTGTTCATTCGTATACAATAACTAACTTATAATAATTTTCATTAAAGTTTTTGTTTTATAGCCTAAGTTTTTCAACATAATTAAACCACGAATAACATGCGAAGCAAGAGTTATATATCCAAGTATTGATAATTAATATAAATAATTTATTACCTAAACAATTCCTTTATTTTTCCATGATTAATAACAGGTAACCTTATGATTCAAACAGCAGGATTTTTTGCTTGCATGCAGAAAGCGGAAAACGTACGATAATATAATATGGTATTAATTGTGATGTAGTTAAGACAAACCTCAAGTATTAAATCTTTGTGAAACTTTCTTTTAATCACCTTGTCTTGGGCTTGCTTTATACGCTGTTTTTCACGTGTTCCGAAATCCGAATATATAAAACCCATGCCGTATGTATTTAGCACGGACGTGCATGTAATTTACGGGCCTGAAAAACCTCAATGGTATTAACAGCTAAATGGTCGTGACACGAGGTTTCTATAGTCATTGCTTAGGAGAAAGACCATGTTCTTCATGCTATTTTGCTAGCGTTTCTTTATTATACCAAAAACATATCGTTCAATTTGCGGACCCTGTTTGAACTATATTTGTCGGCAAATAATTTAATCTCCAAAGGGTGGTCATAATCATATGTAATGCCATCGAGTCCAATCTTTTGTTCTTCTTGACATTGAATGCACCTGTAATTACCTTCTGCGTTTCTCATTAATCGACCAGGCTATTGACTTGTGTGGTGTTCCATGACAAATATATGCATGTTACTCACAACTACCAATAAATCAGTAAAGAAAGAAGAAGCACGCTTGCTGAAGACGGTTTTTTGAGGCGGAAACTATAGTTTGTTGTTCTCTTTCTTACCCTAAAAGGCGGATACGTTTCCTCGTAGAAGACAAAGGTATGTTTCACACAAAACGAGCTGTATTTCTATACTTAGGGCGCTTGGATGAACTAGCACTGTGGTACTAAGAAATGCATGGTTGTGCTTTAGTTGTCCTTTAGTTAATTGTCCTTTAGTTGTCCTTTAGTTGTCCTTTTAGTTGTCCTTTAGTTGTCTTTTAGTTGTCCTTTAGCTGTCCTTTAGTTGTCCTAATGTCCTGATTCATAATTTTCAAAATATGTCTTTTCAAAATCTATGTATTTAATGATATACATTATTCACATTGTATGTTATGGACGGTCGAAAACCGACTATCCTAAATTTACTATTTATACAAGCACAAACATATTTCTTTATTATTTATCGCGTAAACACTATAAGCGAGGCAAAGACTGACAGCAATTGATCCCAAATGATTAAGTAAACCACAGAGAGATTAAGTCTTTGACGCCAGCTGTGTTGAGATCTGTTGCAATACATCTCATGGCTGAACAGCAACCATTAATTGCAACTATATTCATTTTTTCTGTCTGTTTTTAACAAACTATTATCTATATCTTGTATCATTATATTCGACATATATAATTTATAGTGTCTAATTTAAACTTTGGTCTCTTGTCCTTCCATACTTGAGATAAGCTGAGCTTCGGGGGAGTCCTCGTTCGTCGTAACTTTTACATTTTTCTCCTTACACCTCGGCGAGTGCGATTTCTGCGAAGATTTCCGATCTACCAGCGGAGCTAGGCTCGTTTGCCGGGTCACCTCGGATCGAGATATGGTAGATTTCTGAGTCGACGCTGTGGTTGTAGTCAGCGGCTCTCTGCCTGCCTTCTTCAAGTACATATTCAGAACTCTCTTTGTCATGATGAATCCAACCATTATGAACACACCTTTAATGAAAAAGAAATAGATGGTTTCAAATAAATTCCGATAATCATTGGTCTAATCCTAAAAACTGTTAATCCGAAACTAATCGTGATTCCTACAGTGACGACTGTCCTATACAGTTGCCTTAATCCCTAGATCTTCACCTTGTAAGGAATTAAAGATGATGTAAACTATCCTCAACGCAATATGATGCTCTGCTGCGAGGCACAATATCCAGGTCAGACCAAATACTGCGGTCAGTTTCCAACACATTCGAGCGTCTTGACCTGTCGTTGATTTATCTCGAACCTTTTTCGTCACCTGCATAATGAATAATGGCATATACAATAAGATTTAGGAAGGCTTTGTAACAGTTGAACTTTTTAACTGTGGTCGAGCAAGTTGTCCGCTTCGGTCACAACTGAGCGTGGAATTTTGGTAGAACCAATGAAAAAGATAATGAAGGTAGGGGGGTATGGCTTTTAAAGTATTCGTGGAGGTTCAACTGACCTTTCTGACTCGCCGTACAGCCACCAAAACCCTCACAAGTGAGATAATATTAAAGAGCAACATTACGACAACAGGAATGACAAAGAAAATAACCATCGCAATAGGATTGGTAATCCAGCAGTAATAGTTGTTACCTGTCAAGAAGAAAATATGATTGTTAAATCTGTCTATTCTCTGTTAATTCGTTACGGTTCCTGACATTTAGTCTTACCGTAGGAAACATCCATTGCTCCGGAATGATGAACAATCAATGTTAGTCCTGTGATAACCAAAGGCAGACCCCATGCGTAGATCAAACTCAACACAAATACTTTGTTGCGAGAGCCTGACGGTGAACGATGACCTGGAGTGATGGCAAAGAAAAACGATAATCAATCAAATCTGCCTAAAAAAATCACTTTCTTCGTACTCGGTAGCCTAGAGGTGTGATCAGTGTTACTACAGGAAACCTAAACTAAACTAACTTGATTTATCAGCTTTATCAGTTCTAAACTGTTCTTTCTTGAGGTCCAGTAAGGGCTTTTTGCATTGCCCAAGAGTGATCCTCTCCTCTAGGAATTCTTCACACAGGAATTATTATGTGTACTTACTTTTTCCTGCAAAAGTTCTGGAGACGTCAAAAGCCATAACATTCATCCAACAGAAGGCAGCTAAATACAAGAACTGAAGAAACACGGCAATAGCGACACATCCTTTTCCTTTAATATCGCTGAACATATCGACCAAGAAGACAAGCTGAGCCATCATTAGGGCAGCGGCAAGATTGATCACAATCTTTCCTGGCAGCTTACTTCGTAGTTCAGAGAACAACAAGTATGTCACAATTACAATCAAAAGAGCAAGTATTGATAGCGAAAGACCAACGATGGTTATGAAATACTCGGCTTTTGAATATAATTTACCCAATCTTTCCATCGTGGTTTTCAGGTAGGTCACAGTTAGATTTCCACAAACAGTGACATTTCCTTCATGCCAGAGATACTCTCCTTGGCTGTACAACTTGTCGTGTGCAATTACGTATATTGATTCATTCTCAAAAATCGTGAGATACTCCGTAGAATTTGGAAACGTTTCATTGAAATACGCGCATGTCCAGTTTGAAAATTTTGGTGTTTTTAAAATTCGCTGCTGACGGCAAAGCTTAAGCTTAAAATCGTAGACTTTGCCCGGCTCACACGTGTGTCTAATCGTAATTTCCTTCAAACCATAAATCTGCGATCCTTTTGTAAAATCAAATAATAGTGCCAAACTTGGAGGTTGTCTTCCCTGGTGTGATGGTGCCTCCCTGGCGCTAAGAAGCCCCAGGAACACTCCATTGCATTTCGCACAGTGAGGGTTTTTAAATGTTCTGGGTGGTATTTGTTGATAGACTTGCAGCTTGTAAAGTTTACACTTTAAATAATCAGAGCTTTGTGTGTTTTCACATTCTGTTACAATCTTGCAGGGCACGCCTTTCGCTCCACCCGGTGCTGCCATTTTAATCATACATGATTCACGAATCTTTTTTCGCTCTTCGCTTGTAAAGCTGTAATCTTTCTCTGCTAATTTCTGCTTTACCCATTGCATTGTGCTATTTAGACATGCGAGTTCTGTATTCCAGAGAGTATATTTCATAATTCCATTGCACTCTGCACAAAATTTGTTCCGATATGTCTGTCCGTCTGATCCCTGGACAAAGGGTAAAACATTCTCATTTCCTGCTTCAGGAGATTCACAACTATTTTTGGTTTTTGAATTTGTAAAAGTTGCCGGACATTTCGTGGCTACTTGAACGCCAAGATTTTTTTGATTTTCTGTGATTGTCGCGTTCGAAGAAAGATAAAGAATTGGTCGCGTACACTTGAAGATTTCGTCTTTGTTATAAGCGGCGGTGAACGACGAATTACAACTAAATAAAAAGTAAATTTAGTACAATTATTTATACACAAAACGTTATCCTTACATCCTCAACATTTAATTCTCCTCAAGGTCTATTAAGTATTCATTTCTCATCTTGTTTTTTTTTCGAGTACTTGACAGAGGACAAAACCAAAATAACTGTATTTATACGTCATAAAGACATAAAGCTGCATCAATTTTAATATTCTACCTTTCCCAGTAGTCTAAACAGCAATCACCAAAAGCCACACACTGTTTGTCACAATGGCATTTATTTTCTTTATCTTTTCTATCAGAGACACCTTCCACGCAGGAATCTCTGCATTTAGTTTCTGGAGTGAACATACTATATGAAACCCACAACATCATCATCCGTTTTTCTTTTTTCGTTGAATTGTACAAATCATCTTCAGAAATGAAAAATAGATGTTTTATAGAAATAGCTATATAGAAATATTCATTTTTTAATTGTTCTAATATTTTATGCGAAAACTGTTTTGGTTTCTTGCCCAAATGAACTACCTTGAAATTATATCTCACCGTGGTGATCTAATGGAGAGGCAGTATTCTACAATTAGCTTTCGTAGTTCATGTTGAAACTACCCAAGAAACTATAGTGTCGAGAATCATTACAATCATGACATTAGCGGTTACGAAAGTCCGTTTCGTTAATGTCGAAACTTTACTTTTCTTTACTTTTCTTTACTTTACTTTCACTTTAAATAAAGACGTATCATGCATCTATTGTGTGGTTTAGATGTGATATTTATATGTAAATCATATACATACCTCCCTGTGAACTGTTTCCATAAACGGTGAACAACATTGGACTGAAAAGAATCCCCACCAAGCACAAGACATGAGCCAAATGCATTTCTTTCTTCTTGTAGTTTCTTAAGACCTGGACTTCTCTGAGGCAGTAACTGTGATATTTAAATAATTTCAAGTGATAAATACACAAGTATACTCGCGTCTGTCAGTGTCAGTGCAAATAAATGAATCTGTTAATAGCACATGCATGGCTGTCCGGTTAAGGTTAGGTTACAATGTTAGAATACAAGATCGTCATTGGCTGAAACTCATTGCGTGATCAACATCATTCAGAAAATAGATTGTTATTAAAGATTTAAATCATTTGCTGTGTGGTTTCTTAGGAACATATTTTTGAAAAATTTCGAGATTTGCCTGAATTATTACAAGCAAGTTGACTTAGGACATGAAATGACCGCTTCAGTCGTAAAAAATATCCATATAATTTAGTTCAGTTATCGATATTTGCTTGAAAACATTTGAATTTTTTTTCAGTTATTAACGATCTTCTAAAGCTCCCTATATTTGTTATGCTGAGGTTAATTATTTCTTTATTTCTTAATCATTTGATAATGAAAACACAAGTTGATTAGCACATGTCTCTAATGATGAAATCAACGCATGTTGAAGAGCACGTCGTTTTGGGATGGGCAGTAAACAAAAGGGCAGTGAAAAATATTGCTTTGATTTTGATTGATGGTTAATTAAGAGAAGGGCTGCTTCTTGAGACGAATAAGTCCCGGCAAACCTTATTTTTCACTTGTATATTCCGTCTTTGTAAATGATTTTTGACGTAATGTATTTTTTTTCAAATTTTGTCACCAGAAAATTTGACGAGTCATCATCATTTCAGTGATATATTGTTTCCATTCGGACCCCAAATTTTTTATGTCGTATCTCAATATATTTACTACAGTATATTTACTCAAGTACTCAAGAAAAAAGTCCAGTTGTACGGTTTTAATATAAAATGCTGACTCACTCGAGTAGGAAAATATTTATGAATAAACAGCTTTCTATATATTTCCGTCAGAGCTGTTATATATATAGCAGTTAGGCCATAGACGATCTGAGTAGACCTTTTTTAATTCATCTAAAACGGTCCAATTCTAATGTTATTGGAATCCGCACAAAGAGTCAACAGGCAGATGTTAATGGCCGGTTCCGAATACTTCTGAACAAACAATCAAAATTCTTGACATTTTTTAGCTATGAGTTGCAAGAGCTCAGGAACGATATTGATTAAAACACCTTGTTGACACGTAACGCTCTTAATATTAAGATTAAAATATGGCACTTTGATTAAACGAAAGATAACGAAAAATTACATGCTTTCACCTGACATGAGATCAAAAGCATTTCCCTGTATATGATTAGATGTTTCTGTTCATCTGTTGTAGTGTGTTTTTGTCTGAACTCCTGACCCTGAACTCAAACGTGGTAGCCTACATGGGGCCTACATGTGTAGGTAGTATTCTACAATAAGATATCGTAGTAATTTGTGTCTGAACTACCTGAAAAAGATACTTCAAACGTGGTGCATTCAGTCCTAAAATGATATTATATATAGCTGTATAATTTTTTTTATGCATCTCAGTTCTTATATATGTAAAATCAAAAAAGGAAAATTTTCACCCGGAAAATTTCAAGGAAGTTCAAACCGTTGTAACATGCTGAGCTGAAGTGTTCCAGAAATACCCAGAATAATTATAATTGAACAGAACGTGCGCACAGGAATTGGGTAAATCAAATAATTTAACTGTTCGGACATCCGTCACAAGAGGACATCTTGATGAAATATGTGCTTATTACTACACGCTATTAATTGCGTGACTATCAACAGTGTGACGATTTAGCCGCTTTGCTGAATCACGAACCCGCGGGAATTATCCTCTTTCATATAATCATCCTTTTAGTCATACATTTTCATAAAATCCAAAGCGAACTGAAATAACTATAACCGAAGATTTGCTTCGTTTAACAGATTGATTAAAAATCGAAAATGATTCGATCTCAATGTACGCACCGCACTTTATAATAATATTGAAAAAACAACTACATTTACCTTGAAAACCTTTGATCTGACGGTTCAGTTACTTTTCAGTTAGAGTAATCAAACTTATAACATTTAAGACGCGATATCAATGTACAAATCTACCTTTGCCATAGTCACGCAAGGCTGCGCTATATTTATTCTTTCATATGATGGTGAATATAAACATTATATGCTAACACATTGCATGGTCGTTTTTATTAGTTGGTTCGTCGTCTACGTATGCGTATGGCTATAGACTAGCTTCATGCAGTTGCCTTCTCATTCTTCATGCGTGTTTGGTTCTCTAAATCTTAATGAATCAACAACGGAAAGTGTAAAGTTTGTGCTCTAGAAAATAACCCACTCCAAAGACCGTGTGCGTCTCAAGAGTGCTAAACAAAACTACTCAGAGCTGATGAAAGATTTACAGACTATTATCTTCAAAGCTTACCTTAGGTTAATCACTGATCAGCACCGATATCTGACTGTTTAGGATAGCATTCTACAATACGTTGAACCAGTCATCAAAATAACAAAGCCTTAGACCCAAAGTCAAATATTTGTCTAAGGCAGGACACTGAATCTCGTAGCAGATATATTAAAACTTCAACCAATTCCAACGATATATACGTACTGATTTAATCACAATCAAGCTATTGAGATGTTTATATATACAAGTAATTCTCAATGAAGACAACGGGGTGTCTGAATAGATTACCCGCTTACGATGTTATTGCTAGTTTTTATGCAGTATCCGGCAGGCTCATGTTCTGCCATATGCTACTGATCAAGTGACACTTGACTCCAATCTTAGAGCACGTTACGTCAAATCTTCACCGCCAAAGCCTCTTGAGTGACACCAAGTCAATAAATTATTTGTTTTTCGGTTGCTTCCGTGAAAAAAAATATGCGTTTCATAGCTCATGATTATAGGGTTGGGTTATCAATGTTGATCATGCTATTACGCAGAAGAGGATAGGCTGAGATAACACAGTTGGAACTGCAGTTGGGCATTATAATAAAGCATGGAATTTCTTCTAACAATATAGAAACTGGGCGCCTAAAATATGAAAGGCTTAGAAGTAAGGAGCGGTAAGATCTTGCAATAACGTTTCCTATGCTAATTACTAATGTCAATACAATATCATGTCGATATAAACGAAGTAATAACTTTGGCCATGACTATAAACCGCTATCTGCTCATCAGATGGCATCGAATTCACCGACATGCACGTAATATCAGACGACAAACTTATTTTTAATCATTTTTGTTTTATGATTAGTTATGATTAGTTATTTCGTTTTTTGACCACGGTAAATCATCCTAGTGAACAAGTGATATATTATTATTCCGATTTTCAGGCAATTCAGCAGGACCCGAAATCCTCATGAGTCATATGGAAATAACCCAGCCTTAAATTTATTTAACCTCATACAAAGCAAAAGTAATTTTATGAACAACAATACGAACAGCGTGATGAATTGTCGTGAGACTTTGGCAAACGATCCCTTTCAGCTCAAATTGAAAACACGTACCATGTGTTTACTAATCTACAACGAAAAAAAGTTTGTGAAATTTGAACTTGAGTATAGTTACTGCACTTATGACTTCAATCATTTCATTCAACTCTTTATCTTTTAAATCTTATCTCTTTTAATCAGAAAATTAGCTGAAATACGCCAAGTACATAAATATTCAATAGTTTATTGATCTTTGTCTATTTAAATATTATTATTATTATATATGTACAACACATTCAGCTGTAGTTTGTATGAGTCATGACTGAATATTTAGTATATCTTATGTAAGATATATTGGCTCTACTTTTTCACAAAATCACTTCTCATTTCGCCTTCACTGCGACTGTGGACCGTGGGCCAAGCCCTGGTTATTTCATTATAAATACTTTTAAGCAACCAGACAAGTGAGACAGCCATGAAAATTCCGGGTGATTTGGACCGATTGCTTTCATCTTTTTATCTATTTTCCGAGGCAAATCCTTATGTTGAAATTACATAGTTTTGTTTTCGTGCCAAATATTAAGTTATCTTCAAGGCTCACTCAAGGCCAATCAATGTCAATGACGCCCTGGCAATGCCTAATTCTAAAAGCTATTAATTATTGCCTTTATTGGCCATTGTTTGACTCAAAGTAGCCGGGTCTAATGATATCTTTATACGGTTGTCTCTATCGCTTTCATTTTTTCTGCAGCACCGGGGGGATCAGCATATTTTATGACGACGTCATTTTTTTCTTCGGCTGGCGACCGTGGATTCTGTTGTTTGATGGCCGGTTTTGATTTTACAAGAACGTTATCGCTGTTTCTTCGTCGGCGAAAGGACTTGGTGCTACTCATTGTGCTTCTTGTAGGACCAGTTCGTGTGATCAGCGGTCCCATTCCTGTCATGCGCAGATATAGGTTTAGGGTCCGCTTGGTCATAATAAATCCAACCATTAGAAAGAAACCTTAATTAAAAAAAATTTGACTTTAGTATTTGCTGCATTTGATCCTCACCAGATCACGCGGAGAAATAACAGTGTATGTATATTTTTAGTTTAGTTTCAGGCATGACTATAAGTCTAAATAAAAATAGTTTACCGACTAACACTATCCAGTATGCTTATAAAGTACCTTGTAATGAATTTAACAGAATAAACGCAATACGCAGAGCAACATGATACGGCACTCCAAGACCAAGTACCCACGTGATTCCAAAAACTGTCGTTAACTTCCAACATACAGAGAAATCTTGTTTCGTTGTTGATCTGTATATCACTCTCTTTGTTATCTGAAAACATTCATTCAAAACTTAAGCTTGACTACCAGTCATTCTCCTGCATTTATGATCAAATTTACCTCGCTACAAAACCATGCATTCACATATAGAGGTCTAAAAAGGAACCTAAACTGGCAGGCTTTATATTATTTAGGTGGATATCAATGTCTACATTTCAAATAAAAACATATTTACCTTGCGTTCACGGCGAATCAAGGTCAAGACGAGTACCAATGCAACGATGTTGAACAGTATCATAATCATGACTGGAGTGATGAAGAATATCACCAGCGACACTTGATTAGTTATCCAACAATAATAAGCATTTCCTAAACGAATGTATCGAGTATTTTTAGCGTGACAATCGTTCGTGTTGGCTCAAAGTGGAAGACAAGTTACCTACCGTAACTTATATCAATAACTCCAGTATTTTCCATACACAATGCAAGACCAACCAATAGCAATGGCAAGCCCCAGGCGTATAAAGAACATAACAAGAATATTCGTTGCTCTCGGTGGGTTTGCGAACGACGTCCTATTTGCCATCAATAATGGAGCATGAAAATCAAATGGAATGTTTGTTTCAAAGCATATCGATTTTATAACAAATACGTTTATCATTATAGTTCATCTATATACATAGACTTGACAAATATAGTTTTCTCTTAAAACCTACCATTTGATGTAAATGTTTTTGCCACATCATAAGCGAGCACTGTCATCCATGAGAAAGATGCCAAATACAAATAATGAAGAATTATTGCAATTCCTTTGCATAAGCTACCAGAGAAATCTCCAAAGATGTCGACGAGGAAAAACAGTTGACTAAAGAGTAGGGCTATGGCTAAACAGATAGTCATTTTTCCTGGTAGAGTGCGTAGTTCACTGAATAAAAAGTATGTAATCAATACAAGTAGTAAGGATATGATGGATGATGTATAACCGACTACCGTTAGGTTGAATTCTGCAGTTGAAAAAAGTTGAGTGGTCGAAGTTTTCGTTGTCTTTAAGAAATACTTTGTAAAATTGCCACAAACTGTTATATTCTCTCCATGCCTGTGATAATCTTTCGGTTCGTAAACTCGCTGATGCGATGAAATAAATACTGATCCATTTTCATACTGAACTATATGTTGTGAAGAATTAGAAAAGGTTTCATTCATAAATAGACACGTCCAGTTTAACAGCTTTAAACGTCGAACATCATATTGTGGCTTTCTGCAAGCCTTTTCCTCTGAGTCGTACAATTCATCTTTCGGACACGCTGCAATTTCTTCTTCGGAGCCATAAATTTGAGAAGCTTTTGAAAAGTCGAATAATATTGCAAGCGACTTTTTATCGTCCTTCGATGCCATTCTTCGGAAAAAAAGCTGAAACATAAGAATTCCACTACATTTCGCACAATGAGGATTCTTGTAAGTTTGAAAATTATAAGAACCAACTTCTTGTTTATAAAGCAGGCATTTCGAATAATCTGGGTGGATTTTGTTCTGGCATTCAGCGACAATCTTGCATTGGAAAGTCGTAGATTTATCTGGAGGGCTCATCTCAACATCGCATGAATTTCGTATCATCTCTCGCTCTTCTTCAGTAAAATTGAAGTGTCTATTTTCAAGCCGTTCTTTAATTAAATCAAAAGTAGATTTATCACATGCTAAACCTGTATTCCAGGTCACTCGGTTTTTAACTCCATTGCAACGCGCACAATCTTCATTCCTATACGTTCTCCCATCTTTTCCCTCCACAAAAGGACCGGATTCATATGATACAGGATTCTCACATTTTCTTTTCATCTTTGAATCATAAAAAGACTTCGGACATTTCGTGATAACTTCGTGTCCTCCGATTTTCCGAGGTCGCTTTGTACGGTTCGATAATTTAAGTGTAGGGACCAAGCATTCAAATTGTCGGCTGTTACCAATGGTTTTGAGGAATGAGACGTTACAACTGTAAAATATATCAATCAAGAAGTATTGCAAGTGACAATGAACTGGATTGTGCATAAATAAAGTTAGTTTAATTTAGGTTTACTTGTGTAGTAACGCTGAATCAATAACGGGAAGCAAATATTATCTAAAGTCAATAAGAACGCCCCTTCGTGATCACTGTTTACATGGAGCGAGTTATCCCGGCTAGGCGAGGTGAAAACTGCATATATAATGAATGAAAGACTAATCAGGTTAAGCCTTTGATGTGATGCGCTTTTTACCTCGCCTAGCCGGGATAACTCGCTCCATACCTTTGCCAATAATCCAAACAACAGTCACCAAATGCTATGCAGTGTTTGTCACAGTGACATTCATCGCTTTTTTTTGATCTCTCCATTTTTGTCAAAGGAACATGACATGAATTCTGACAGCTCGTTCTACTGCCAACGGGTCCAAATCCTGAATACATCGTGATTTCATCAAGCATGTTCTTATATTCCTGTAGTATCTCTTGATATAGATTATCTGAAAAAAAAAACAACTAATATTGCACCACAGATATAAGAGCGTGTTCATTCCATCTCTATCTCGTGCAATAATCAGTTGGATATTAATTGCTTCCAACACTAGTCCATTTCTATACCTAACCCAAGTACGGATACCTGCTGATACATGATGGTTGAAAAATTACAACATATTTGAAACAGGGCAAGAAATTACAATTTATTTCAGGACTTCGCTTACAATTTAATATATAGCAGCGGTGATGATGAGACAATGATAAGGTTATAATTGAGTAAGAATAAACACGTGATTGATGACATCAGTGGATCGTACTTCGTAGGTAAACTTTAGATTAACTATAAACGAATTTCTATTTTGGGCATCTGCCGGAAATCTCGCAAAGGTCATTGCGATTTTTTCATACAAATTATGTCCTATTTTTTCCATACCATTTCCAGACTCGCCCTTCGTTCCATCTCTTCCGTGAAGCGACAATAATAGACACAACATTATTACCACGTAAGTTCCTCCAATCTCCATTCTGACGCCTGAAATATCAAGACTCAAGTGGTTCAGGCAAAAATTTTGAAGAACATGCACTATTTACACATGACCTGCACCGCTATAATATTCTTGTATGTTTGCATGGTGACAGTGGATAAAGTAATTTAGGTACACCACGTAAGTATTTAATACTGCAAAGCTTTCAGTCCGTTAACCCGGGCCTTCGAACATCAGTGCAATATTGCGGGTTAACGGACCGAAAGCTTTGCAGTAATAAATACTTACGTGTTGTACCTATAGTCCTATACAAGCTAAATTACTTATTGACCACTACTAGTTCCTGATTTATTTATTCATCTGGCAGTTCTGACACAAACTACAACAAATTATTTCAATGCCGTACTCTACGGCAATATTCTACCTGAGACGTTAACTAAGCCATTTTTTACACTACCTTGAAAAAAAGCACTTCAGGATCCGTGATCTTTCAAACCCAGGTCAGATAAGGCTCGAACTTCAACTTCTGTCTGCTTGTAGCTTCTGTTCTGTGTGTGTTTAAAACAAGGACGCTGAAAGATTATAAACAGTTGCATTCACTTATTCAACTAATCATTTTTACTTCTAATCTTGATTATTGACTTATTGTGTGTTTGCTGGTTGGCGTAATGGACGCGTTATCTTTCAAAAGTAATTATTAAGACTCCAATTATCACTTACATGTATGATGTATTATAATAATGGTCGTCGCAGCCAGGTCAGCATGAGGTTTTGACGTTGTGAGGGCGTTTGGCTTTTCACAGCTTCTGTTGTTTAGTCAGAAGAGATATCAGTTTCATGTGAACCAAACACACAGATGATTGTATCTGCCAGAATATTCAGTGCCTACATTACAATTGACAGTCACTACCAGTCATAGAGAACTTCTACTCAAAAATCAGACAGAGATCTTCTTCTTAGGCTTAGGTTATTAAGTAGTAGACCTTTCGAGTCATCATTAATTCATATTCAAAATGACGACATGAGAATGATTTCTACTGTTTCCAACGCAATCGTCAAGCAACTTTCAATACACGTATTGTTTAGGAATATAACTGGTAAATAAAATATTTGCTTCCGAGATGAAACGTCGGTGGGTCTGATTCCGCCAACGGGAACGGAAGTTGTCAAGCCTGCACTGTTTATATCAAGGTTAATATGGGTAAAATCACTGTCATGGTGAAGGCTATTAAAGTGCCTGACGCCTGACGCCAGTTTTGTGGCGTAAATTTACACGTACGCATGCTCATTAGGCAAAGGTTAGGGAAAGTTTACCCCGCAAGACCGGAATAAGGTATTTATATGGGAATTTTTCATCACGTTTGAGCAAGATCATGTCAATACTCAGCGGATTTTGTATTACGGAATTGCTGAAATCTCAGTTTCGTGGCCTGAATACAATCACTCTGACTCTTCCTTAAAGCCAGAGCTATTGTTTTAACTAAATGCAACTCTCTGAGATTCACATACCATTTATGAAGGATATATTTTTGTGTCTGTTTACGCAATATCAAGAAACCATACAATTTATCACACACAAAAATATATCCTTCATAGATGAATCCTCAGAGTGAAATAAACATATGATGGCAACCCATAATCACCATCGCAAAAATCTTAATCACGTTCAACATCTAGATTTTACTCAGTCATTATTACGTCCAGAGGTGTTTTGGCAACACTGACTCACACCGCCATATCTGATTACGACTGATTTCATTCAGTCGACGCAGTACGAAGCTTGTCACTGACTATGCTCGCATACATAATTATGTTTAAACAACTCAAGGACTTTTATAAAATAAAACTTTTTCGTCACCTTTGTCGGAAAGAGTTTAGTGACGTTCAAAAGAACTTTATTTCTTTCAGTATGATTATTATATGCGATATGAATTTTACGTTAAAACGGAAAACGGCCTATTCGACCATGGTCCAGTCCGCCGGGAAAATGGGATATTCGACATTCGTCCAGTCCGCCGGAAAATAGCGTATTCGACCATGGTCGAGTGGTCTATTATTATTATTATTATTATTATTATTAAACTTTATTTACACACGGTATTCTCAATCAGGATTTTCATGCTGACAAATGACAAGATTATGAATTACAAAATAAGACTACAAAAATATTTACAATGATAAATCAAACTAATAATTAATATACCTGCTTTTCATGAGAGCCGTGTAAGGAATATATACAAGAAATATAATATAATACAAATGTGAATGTAGATTAAAATAATTTGGAACAGCCCGCTTTAAAATTTGATAGGTTATTTGCTAGCCGTAGCCCAATCGGTAGGCTGTTCCATAGCATCGCACCACTATAACTAAAACTATTCTTCAGATAGTTTGTGCGAGGCTTAGGAACAGCCAGCTTACTATTTGTGTTTCTCAACGAATAAGGATTGACACTGTCACGGTTTACAAACATGGAACCCATGTATTGTGGAGCAAGTCCATTGAGTGATTTATAAACCATGACAGCCTTTTGAAATTGGCGTTGGGAAGATAACTTTTTCCAGCCAAGTCTATCGAGTAAGATGTCGGCATTAGTGTCATAGCTTGAAAAGGTCAAAACTCTCGCTGCGCGATTTTGTAGTTTTTGAAGTTTATCTGCCAAGGTTTTATTGCAATTGTCCCAAACTGTACAGCAATAATTGAAATATGGCTGGACAAGGGAATTAAAAATTAAATACAATGTTGCAACTGGGACAAATGAACGAACGAGTTTTAAAGCGCCAATACCAGAAGCAATTTTTTTTGTTAATTCCTTGATCTGTATATTCCAAGATAGATTTTCATCAAGGTGAACTCCTAGAGATTTTGTATGTGAAACCTTGTCTATAGGAATTCCGTCTATTTTAAAACATGGGTCTGATTGGAAAGTAGCTATTCTTTGTCGTGAGCCAATTAGCATAAATTCAGTTTTGGATTGATTCAATGTAAGCCTATTGGCGATAAGCCATTTATTAACATTTTCAAGATCTTGATTAAAGTAATAATCTATATCTTCAATTTTATTGCTTGCAAATGTTAAATTGGTGTCGTCTGCATACATTCGTGCTTGGGAGTGCTCAAGACAATTTGGCAAGTCATTTATATACAATAAAAATAGCAATGGTCCCAAAATAGTTCCCTGTGGAATACCACAAAGTAACGTACGGTTGGTAGAAAGATGGCCATTGACATAACATTTTTGACTGCGGTTACTTAAATAAGACCTAAACCAGTTAGCCACAGCACCCCCAAGACCATATGCTGACAGTTTTGACAACAAAATTCCATGGTCAACTGTATCAAAGGCTTTCTTAAGATCTAGGAAAACGACAGCATTGACCAGTCCTTGGTCAATATTGTAGGCCCAGCTATTAGTAGATTCTAGAAGTGCAGTAACAGTTGAATGCAAACGTCGAAATCCAGACTGGCTATTACATAGTAAATTGTTCTCAGTAAGAAAACCGTAAATTTGATCATAAATAATTCGTTCGAAAACTTTCGCCACAACCGGTATTATCGAAATTGGGCGATAATTATTTAAGTCTCTACGCTCGCCCTGTTTGAATAATGGAATGACTTTTGAGCATTTCCATTCTTCAGGAAAGATACCGGTAATGATAGAGCAGTTAAAAATTACGGCAAGGGATTCCGAAAGCAAGTCAGGACAATGACGAAGAAGCTTGGCAGATATTTTGTCTAGCCCAATTGCTTTGGACTTACAAAGTTTGTTAAGAAGCGAATAAACTGATGATGGGGTTATTGACTTAAACTCTATATTATTGTTACTATTGTGGCAAGTAAGATATTCTAAATACGAGCGATTGTTTTCTTCGTCAGGTATTTTTTCCTTAAGCTTAGGTCCAATAGTAGCAAAATGAGTATTAAACGTCTCAGATAGGTCCGAGGGGTCAGTAATAGAAACCCCGTTTATTTTGATTTCATTTACCCGTGAACTCATCTGTTTTCTTGAGGTCAATTCATTGATGATACCCCAAGTTTTTTTAACATTATTCTCGTTTTCATGAAAAGCGTTCATATAATAGGTTTTCTTAACAAGTTTAATTTCATTGTTTACAGAATTTCGAGCTTTCTTAAAAACAGTCCAATCACAAATATCTTTGGATCGAATAGCTTTTATTTTCAAAACATCTCTTTCATGCATTTGCCTTTTTAATTCAGGCGTGATCCACGGCGCCTTAGAAGATCTTACTCGCCTAGTTCGTAAAGGGGCATGCTTTTCCACTACGTTGTTAAAGGTCGTTTTCCATATACGCCACATATCATTCGGATTATTATAAATCCTTATCACGTCCCAATTCTGTAAAGAAATATCTCGTCGAAAATATTCAGAGTTGAAATTTTTAAGTTTTCTATAACTTATTGTAGAATGGCCTTTGTTGCGTGGACTGATAGAAAGCTTACGGAATGCGTAAATTAAGCTATGATCACTGATACCGACATGAGAAACACCAGAGGAAACAATATTATCTGGTGTATTGGTAAAAATATGATCGATCATAGTTGATGAAGTTTCGGTAATTCGAGTTGGTTCATTTATTAATTGATGTAAACCATAGAGTTCAGTGATGCCAATTAAAGATCTCGAATTGCAATCTAAAGTAGGCGATCCAAGGTCACAATTTAGGTCGCCCAATAGGTAATACTCGACATTTTCTGCGTCAAGCATATCAATAAACGTTTCGAAATGATTAAATTTATCAGTATTCGAATTAGGTGGTCTATACCATGTTGTAACGAGAAAGGGCTTAGAATTTGGTTTTTGAATTTGAATACATAAATTTTCCAAGTCATCGATAAACAGGTCCTTGCGAAGTATAAAATTTACGCAGGAGCGCACATAAAAGCAAACACCTCCATACGTTTTTCCATCGGCACTACTACATGCTCTGTCTAAAAGGACAACTGAAAGGAAAACTAAATGGCATATTCGACAATGGTCCAGTCCGCCGGAAAATAGCGTATTCGACCATGGTCGAGTGGTCTAAAAGGACACTTAAAAGGAAAACTAAAAGGCATATTCGACAATGGTCCAGTCCGCCGGAAAATGGCGTATTCGACCATGGTCGGGTGGTCTAAAAGGACAATTAAAAGGACAACTAAAAGGACAACTAAAAGGACAACTAAAAGGACAACTAAAAGGACAACTAAAAGGACAACTAAAAGGACAACTAAAAGGACAACTAAAAGGACAACTAAAAGGACAACTAAAAGGACAACAAAAAAGGCAACTAAAAGGACAACTATAAAGGAAACTAAAAGGACAACCAAAAGGACAACAAAAAACACAACTAAAAAAGACAACCAAGAGGACAACTAAAAGGAAAACGAAAGGACAACCGAAAGGACAACTACGGTCATATTCGACTACTGATGGTCGTATTCGTCATTTTCCGGCAAATACGACCATGATACGACTATGGTCGTATTCGTCATTTTCCGGCCAATACGACCATGGTCGTAATCGTCTTTTTTCGGCCAATACGACCATGATACGACCATGGTCGTATTCGTCATTTTTCGGCGATTACGACCATGGTCGTATTCGTCTTTTTCCGGCCAATACGACCATGATACGACTATGGTCGAACTCGTCATTTTCCGGCGAATACGACCATGGTCGTATTCATCATTTTCCGGCCAATACGACCATGATTCGACCATGGTCGAATTGGCCGGAAAATGACGAATACGGCCATGGTCGAATTGGCCGGAAAATGACGAATACGGCCATGGTCGAGTTGGTCTGAAAATGACGAATACGACCATGGTGGAGGCTAAGGAACGGCAATGGTCAAATATAGGGTATAGGGTATATGGGAAATAGGTATATTTTGACCATGGTCGGGTATATTGAAAAACAGTATTTTCCACCATGGTCGATATATCTCTATAGACAAGTAAAATTGTCACTCAGAGCGATGGAAAATAGTCTTCGGTCATGTTTACACATGTCAAAATGGAAGAAATCAAGAAGTTTTTAAAGAGAAAACGAAAATTTCATCGATGATCTATTAATTTGGTATGCTTAATGTTAAAACGCAAGAGACAAGCTACCTTGGATGATCTTTTTCAAAGACAAAGGCAGAGATTTTCTCGACGGAACGGCCAAGGATCCTCAGCAATGACAGGTTTCGTTTTATACATATAGTACAATTTCAATTATTTTGTTTGATATGTTGTGATTGAAATGTCATAATGTTTATGTATACAAGATAGTTAATCCAAGCAATACGGTCTGGTGTTGTATTGTAAGATTGAATCAGTTGGGGCAAACAAGTCAGTTGGAGAGAAAGATTCTGTGTAGAGCTAACACGGCTGCTGGGTTTACTAAAAACCCAGTAATAGTGAGAATTCCCTAATTTAAGAGCGCTGTACTAAGATGTGAGTTCAAATATTACATTATTTCTGCAGTGTCAGAGTTTGGCATCTTCAAATCCTTGCCTTTTTAGATGTGAATGAAGTTGGTTTATGCCGTGGACCAGAAACATCAGATTTGAATAATTGTGGACAAAATCCTGATGATTCTTTTGAAGATGGTTCAGTAAAGATGGAAGAAGAAACTTCTGAGATTGAAAATTCAGGGCAAGAAAAATCACAAGAAATAACTGAGAGTTTGGAAGAAATTGGGACACATGAGGAAATGGAAAAGTCATTTGAGAAAACAGATGCTGATAGGTCAGATGAAATTGTAGATTTGCCGTTGGAGGAAAAAGATGAAGAAAGTGAAACTATTATTGTGGATGAGGAAGAAACACCTCAGGAACAGTTGGCCAGATCAAAGGCATCAGGTGAAGACCCTGATAAAACAACTTTGGAAGGAGGAGATAACAAGCATGAAGTGGAAATTTCTTGGCCAATTTTAGTAATAAATGATGAGGAGACAAATGAATGCAGATCATCTGAAGAAGAAAACAAAATTAGAAAAAATGGAAAAGACAAGGGTGGATTGTCTGAGGCTAGAGTGTCTCCAGAGGCTGGAGTGTCTGCAGAGGCTGGAGTGTCTGCAGAGGCTGAGATTTCTGTGGCGGACGTATCTCAGGCTGGAGTCTCTGGGGCTGGAGTTTCTGGGGCTGGTGTTTCTGGGGCTGGACCATCTGGGGCTGGATCATCAGGGGCTGGAGTCTCTGGGGCTGGACCGTCAGGGGCTGGAGTTTCTGGGGCTGGAGTTTCTGGGGTTGGAGTCTCTGGGGCTGGAGTCTCTGGGGCTGGACCGTCAGGGGCTGGAGTTTCTGGGGCAGAAATGTCTGAGGCTGAAATGTTGGAGGTTGGAGTCTCTGAGAGAAATGTAGCCATTTCAGTTGAGGCAGGGTAAGAAGCAAAGAACGATAGTGATAATGAGATACAGAACTATGAATTATATGTTTGTATAATTATTTGTTTTCCTATTTTGTTTTCACTTTTAAGTTGTCTATTAAAATGTGCATATATAAATGCATGTGCATATTTCCATTTTGAGTAAGCTAGCTCCTCAAGTGTTCTGATGACTGAACATTAATATTGTTCAGGTTTGATGACAGGGAAAATAAAGAGGATCCTGTGACACTTGTAAGTACAGCACACTCCTAACAATAAAAATTACTGCCCTCCAGAAAGTGTTAAAGAAAGACCGTATTAAAAAGTCATTTTGTTGCTATTGTTCAATGGTGACAAAATCTTGTTGTTTGTATTCAGGGTGTAGATTTTGATACGCTGTTGCGAGCCCCAGGATGCTGTGGTCCTCAGGAAACTCTTTCACCAAGTCAGGCTCATACCATATTATTTCGAGTGAGTTATAGCATCAAAATCACTTCTCAGGTTAATACAGCTGGATCACTGAAATTGTGTTATAAATATTATGTTGTCTAGCCTTATAATCCTTCTCAACCTTTTCCACGAGCATATAGGTGAGATTTATAATTCATTTTTGTGAACCTGCCAATTTGAATTTCAACCTTACGAACATTTCCATCCATCACCATGAGCCTACATATGCAACACCACCAGAACCAAAATATGCTCAATACAGATGCTAGGATCATCATCACAATACTTATGATGATGACTTTTATCTGGAAACTTAATTTCCTAACTGAAATATCATCTTTAGAGACAAGTGGGATGGTGATCATGTTCGTATGCCCTGTTCACAACAAAATAAGTATCCTGCTCAGGTAATAATATAACACTTTCGATCATTTTGTCCTCCTTCACAATCATGACTTGAGTGAAATATGACTTGAGTAAATATATTTTAATAAAACTGTTGTGGGGTTTTTGCAGGATGGAGAGCGGGGATTAGAAAGTCGCTGGGATTTGATTTGTCGCGCGTTTACAAAACCTATCGCCACAACGTACGACCTCGAGGTAATTATGTTGAACAAACCCAGACCAAAATTAGTTTACACGTACGTAGTTTTGGCGTTTAAGATATCTTTCTCAGGTAGTTCAGACCAAAACCACGACAGCTTATTGTAGACTGATATACCACCTACGCTGGACCACCATGGTCCATTTTGTTTCTCCATAGAACGCGATTCTTTCATACAACGCATACCATGGAAAAGATGTGAACTTTAAGCTTCTACATATGCTAGTACTAGAGGTAATAATTTAATCTTTATTCAATTACTGACAAGATATATTCTGTCATATCTGGCGTCGTTTTCCTAGTACAAGCTACTTCACACTATCATAAGTTTTTCAGTATATAAATCTATTTCTTGTTTCCAGAACTTCAACGAAGAAGAGCAGAAAATTTTCTTTGAGTCAACATTACCGGGCATCATTCGTATGGCGTTGTCTCTCCCATTTATTTGTACGCAGGTATTATTCGGTGAATAATGAAATATAATGTTATAAATTTTTTGCAACAACTGTAAAAAGGTGAAAAGCGGACATCAAGGACAATTTATTTGTATTTCAAGTATTATTCAGCTTCATTTCTTTTTTAGTCTATTCCATTTTTGAAACAACATCTAGACCACACTATAACAATGACGCAACTACAGGTGAACCCGCTTACTTTACTGAACGTTGAATAAACATTGGTTAAACTTGCAGGGATGGATTTCCTGGAGGTTCTTATGCATTGAAACATTCATTTTCTCGTATGTTATTATCCAGGTAGCCGTTTTACTGGCCTGTGCTTTCTTGTGTATGTTCCCAAGACGCAACGCGGATGCTCGTCGTAAAAAGGACCATGAATATTTCAGTTTTCCATCCATGAACTTTACCAAGTAAATGAATTGATGGTGTAATTGCTTTTATAAATGTTGTATCATGTATAGTTAATTGACATACAGTATGTTAACAATTGTTTTCTTGAAATTTTCTTCAGGTTGTTTCAACTCGATGGGAATAATCGTCGTTCAAGCATTACAAAAATAGAAAAACTGAAATGTATTTTACATTATTTCAGAAGAGTTCTGGAACAAGGTAGGGTTTGGTTATAACTGCACGTCACTCAACTCCTGTATTAATGCCACAGAGACAGGTACACAATATTTTTCATGTGTTCCATTTCTTGATGGTAATTTTACTGCATGCGAGAAAAAGTGCTTCCACCCTCAACTTCAGAACCCGTACGATATCTTCCGACATAAGACTAATGATTAAGGATCACTGTTTCCTCAGCTCCTTGTGGAACTTTGTCATTTAAGAGGCAAGTCTTGAAACCTGACGCAGCTCCAAAATGGCACAAGTAAGATACACATACAGTCCTTTTGCTTCTAGCTAATGTGACAGCTTTGGGAAAGAAAGATAAATAAATTTATTTTGACTGCATTTTAGTTGCCCTACAAGGTTGTGTCGTCTGCGGGTGTCAAGCGAAGGGACTATAGAAGATGATGCTGACGGGTTATTGCAGGTTAGTTAGGGATATGGTAGTTACACCAGAGATAAGTTTGGATTTATTGTGATAAGCATCATGGGTTATTGCAGGTTAGCTAGGGATATGATATAATTATGCCAGAGATAAGTGTGTATTTATTATGATGAGCATCGTGGGTTTTTTCAGGTTGACTTTGCGAACAAGCTTGTCGGAGGTGGTGTTCTTGGAGGGGTAGGTTTGTTCATCGTTTAGACTACAGCATTTGATGCGAGTTACATGTAGCTAAGTAAGGGAAATATTATCGTGATAGGGATGTGTGCAAGAAGAAATAAGATTTGCAATCTGTCCTGAGCTTATTGTCTCAAGATTGTTCACAGAACGATTGCAAGATAACGAATGTTTGATTATCACTGGCGCTGAACGGTTCAGTGATTATATTGGTTATGGTGACTTGTTCCAATGGGCAGGAAATCACGTGGACCAAACTCCAAGGTAATACTATATCTTCTTACAACGGTCATAATATACGATAAGAAATCTACATTCGCTCTATGTACACTTCTGGGTTGTCCAGTTTATATAGATATCATCTTGCGACGGGCTAATATTACTACAAGGGCTGGCATGACTTCTGATGTAACTAGTTACAGGTAATCAATATGAATTTGCCTTCGTTTCTAGAGACAGTTGGGGTCGTCGTCATACTGAGATTGCGGCAATCGATGCTAAACCTCGCATGTCGTATGCAGACCAATTTTCTCCAGCAAACATTAAACGAGAGTTGGAAAAGGTAAAAACAAATTATTCATGTAATTTGAACGTCTTTAGCCAGATTCTGTCCTCCTTCAACACACCATTATCTGGTAAATATTCATTACCTTCAGGCATTCTGTGGATTTTTCTCAAAGCGTTCTGATCCCAAACATTTGCCTGCAGTAGCAACAGGTATAGATTCATCTCTTAATTATTGTTTCACGATAAGGATTCAGGCTTGGAAAAGTCAAATTATATCGAAGCGATTTTTTAATTTTTTTTCAAGGAAAGTGGGGTTGTGGAGCTTTTGGTGCTGATCCTCAACTGAAAAGTATGAACTTGAAATATTTTTCAGAATACAATGTTTCTCAGGATATTTTTCAGAATACAATGTTTCTCAGAATGTTTTTCTGAATACAATGTTTCTCAGAATATTTTTCTGAATGCAATGTTGTTATAATTTAGTTTCTCTTTTAGGTTTAATTCAAATAATGGCAGCAAGTGCTGCTGGTAGAGATGTGCTGTATTTTACTTTTGGCGACAAGGTACAATGTTTACAACGTACTGTACAAATTATAAGTCTCAAGATGCATGCGTTGCTTAAAACTTGTCTAAATTTCTTGAAGGAGCATTCCAGAGAACTTTATGAAATACATTCGTCGCTAAAAGACCATGATATAGCGATTGGTAAGTTAACTTTGTTTAACAGATTTGCCAAACGTTCGTCGAAATCAAAGTTCGTGCAGATTGTTTTATTTCGCAAACTTTTTCTATGACAAATTGTTAATAAATATTCATTCAATCGCGTCTTTTTTCTTTCATACTAGGGGATCTGTGGCGAATGTTGAATGACTTCAAAAAACAGATAAGTTCTGATACGCACCTTGATATATTTGGGTATATTCGTCAAGTACTGGCACCTTGCAGTGACAAGTAGATTTTTACTATAACTAATTGAATCACAGGGTTTGTAAAATTCATTTAATCCCTTGGCCCTCTGATACTTGCTAAATTATTGACACACCAGTGAATCAAATGACATCAAATGTTGTTGTTGCGAATGTGTAAATAGTATAAAAATTTAAATTTATATTCTGAAAACTGTTCTACTGTGCTACTAAGACCCTAACTCCATTCATAGTTGAACTTTTAATCTTATCCGTCCATGTTTGTCCAGTTTTACGTTGACGAGCATATATAAAGAACTGTGTTTCTGCGCATGTCTTTTCAAACATATCTTTAACTTCAAGAAATTCTTCCGCACAGTTGTTCGGATCGGCCGTGAGGGTGTAACACCATTTAGAACTGGTGCCAAATATTACAAAAGTCGGGCATTCATCGTGACGCGTTTCAAAACCATTTCTCATTGTTTCAATCTTCATAAGAATGCCATGTTCAGGGCTGTTTCTGCTGTTTTTATCGTTCTCCCCGACGGAAGGTTGGATGATAATATTTGTCTCAGAAGGATTGATTGACCACATATCATTAATGGATAGCTTCTTTTCTTCAACTAGTGGTTTACGGTTTGTTTTGCTGTTGCTTTGAAGGGATTCTGGCTTCTTCACATGCCGATTCATTAAACTTCTCAATCCTCTTTCTCTTTTTCTACGAATCATTTTGTACTCTGTCGCTTCATCATCTCCCATGCCATCTATTATATTGTGGATATCTTTTGTTAAAGCTTTCAATTGATGTTTTGCCTTTAAAACCGTTTGAAGCTGTCTTGTTAAATGACTCTTTAACCCGTCGTTCTGTGGATTGTTCTGCTCCCTTGTCATTTTGAATATTTGTTTGCTTGTTTCTTCCTTGATTTCCCTTGGTTGCCTTTTTTGTGCTTCATTTCTACTTTGTAGTTCTCTTCTCGCAATTTTATCTTTAATGACTACTTTGTCTCTTTGTTGACTAAGCTCATATTCATTTCTGAGCTGCAGTAGATCTTTTGAAAGAAGAGATACAATATTTGGATGTTTTTCAATGCTTAGGAGATTATCGTCTTTCTCATGGTTTGCATTGGTTTCTTGAGAAACTAGATATTTAGTTTCGTCATCTGATGGTGCAACTTGGCCTAACGATTGACTTGTATAATAGTTCTGTTGCGGGTTGCTGCTTCCTAAAACGTTTTGCTGGGGTCGAAGAGCTGTGAACTCATTGGGTTCTTGCTGTTGATAATTTTGAGTATAATCAACTTGTTGCTCCTGATTGTTTCTCACGTTCGTGTTTTGTTGAAGAGCTGTGAACTCATTGGGTTCTTGCTGTTGATAATTTTGAGTATAATCCACTTGTTGCTCCTGATTGTTTCTCACGTTCGTGTTTTGTTGAAGAGCTGTGAACTCATAAGGTTTTTGTTGTTGGTAACTCTTGGTGTAATCCACTTGTTGCACACTTGATTCTTGTTCATATTGCGATGCTGTGTTTTTCATAGCATTTATATCATTGCCCTCAATAGTTTGTGTTGACGTGATTGACGACGTTGTTTGTGGAGTTTGGAGTTTGGTTCCATTCAAGGCGTCATATGCATTCTCTGATGTATTTTCAAAATCGGTTGAATTTACAGCTTGCAAAGAGTCAGATGACGAGGGTTGTTGATAATCCTGTGTTCCTTCCTGTTGATATTCTGAAGTAGTTTGAGTCTGATAAGAGTTTTGGACTTGATCCGGGTGTGTTTCATTTAGAGACGAGTTTTGATAATCTGCAAAGGATTGTTGGTTGTAGGTTGCATTTTTAGTGTACGCTAAATTTTCCGTCTGATATTGGTTCTGCGTTTCTTCATATTGGGGAGTTTGTTGATTTTCTGCTTGTAATGTTGATGGAGGGCTAAACCAGTGTGAATTTTCAGGCGATTCGGTTTGATTTTCGAACAATGCTGTAGTCATCTGAGAATACGGCGTTGGGGTTGTGTTTTCTGCATTGTTTTGGTCGTAGTTGAGGTAGACTGGTGGAAGAGATGTTGGGGTCTCAGGAGGATAAAACGATATTTCATGTGGATATCCAACTTTGCTCACAAAGGCTCCCAATGTTTCATCTATTTCCGTGCAATCAAACTGGACATGGTTAGATCTACCATGAAGATAAACAAATTCGAATTCCGTCTTCTGCCAGACCGATAGATTAGCTTGAAGGGTTGCATTCTCGATTGTCATTGCCAAGAAGAGTGGAAAATCATTTGTTCGATTCTTTGAAGCATTTGTTTCATTTTTGCGCTCTGTAGAGTCAACTGAAGAAAATACGTTTAGTAAAATTAAACCAATGAAGAGTCTTATCTGTTTTTCCATGAAATACATTCCTGATAAAATTATTTGTATAATCAATGTGCCAAAATATGAACTGATTAAATTTTAACGAGTTATCCAAGCGATATGATGGAATCCACCTCTTGTGATTCACTGGACAAATTGGATTCCCAGCTTTTCAGTTTCCAAAGGCACCTTTTTGTTTTGCTGTTTCACTGCCCAAGTTTACGATTCACTGCTTTTACCAGATTCAACCAGACACAACCGTGTTTTACGAGGTTTTACGCCAGGCTGATTATCTCTTGTTCTCACAATTAATGAGGCACTTTGTAGCAAAAATTCAAGAATGACTATGAAGAAAACAAAGAACTTTCATACGAATGACAAGTGGCCGTAATAAAAATCTCGATCCTGCGTGTGTGTCTAAACATCCCTGCTGGTGTTACCTGTGTAAAATCAAAGGGGTGTCGTTTTATGTTTTTGAAGCCCGTCAAACAAAGATATAATTTATCAAGACATGTTTTCCGCATTGTCTACCATTCCAGTTGAAACTACAGACTCTATTTCATATCTATAATGGTAAAGATCATGCCTTGTAATTTAGTGAGAGTCGAAAGAGAAGGGAAAAAAAGTCAAAAAAAGGGAAAAAAAACACGTATTGGACACAATAACTCAGTGTCGTCCTCATCCCGTCGGCAAACAATCGTGGACAGTCGACGACGATCCTCGGGAATCCTCGGGGACCTTTAATAGTATCCCACAATGCCAGATCATAACACAAAGTAACAAATTTCTCCAGCAATATTTCCACCATGGAACCATTTTCAATGGAAAATGTAGTTAAAATACAGCCGTCAGTTCCTTATTTATAATCAAGATCTTGTAGGAATATACCTAGACAAATATACAATCCAAGGTAATGTTAAATTCCTTTGAATATCAAACGCGATCAGTGCTAATCGTATTCTTGTAATGCTGTTTTAATACCGAGAAATACGAGGCGAGATCTCTCAATTGGATATTTAATATGGAGGATATTAATTAAAGTTACGTATTTTGTGTTAAAGCAGGGTGTTTAACGTAGAAGCTTAGCTTTTAGTCTTTAATGTCATTGTGAGTCAGATACATCACATTGTATTCACTTTTACTTATATACAAACATGGTCATGCAGTCCTTTATATAGTCTTGAAATTTGTTCAACGTCAATGCATATATTGCGATGAACACTCTTCAAAGTGATTTTACTAACTGACAAACTTGCCACCTGTATTTTAAAGATCTTCACAAATAATGCATCTATGTGATAAATACACAGGTTAGGCTACCCACAGAATACAGTCGTGCATATCCAGTACTTTTTTTTGAGTTTATGTTTTTTATTTTTAGACAATTCTAACATGGCTGAAGAGGTCAGAGATGAGAAACCTGTCTCACCACCATATCATAATGCTGATCACTGTGCAAAGGCATTTCAAGCAATGAACAGTTTACGTCTTCAAAATATCCTGTGTGATGTTGTAATTAAAACAGGAAGTGTAGAATTTCCAGCTCACAAGGTTGTACTTGCTTCATGCAGTGCGTATTTCTATGCCATGTTTACTGGTGAGCTTTCAGAAAGTAAACAAACAAACATTACAATGAAAGATGTTGATCCTATTGCTTTGGAGATGCTACTTGAGTTTGCATATACTGCTGAGATACAAGTCACAGAGGCAAATGTTCAGGTGAGATTAAAAATTCAGTTGCCTCCATTTTATCCTGAAATCAGCACTTAAATTGAAGATATAAATGTAACCTTGCATTATAATTTTATTTCTGCTTCAAACTCCTAAAAGGTTAGAGCATTTTCAATCAACTATTTTATTTCTGAGATGAACCTTCAATAGTATCTCTATTCCCCTCTGTAGCAGATGACATAGTCTCATTATTTAAAGTATGCCCATAGGGTATTGCTTTGCATAATAAAGCATTGCTTGTTGCCTAAAGTGTGATAATAATTATCAAGTGTAACCTGGTCTCAATATATTCTATAGATCTTGCTTCCTGTTGCAAGTCTACTACAGATGACAGAAGTGAGACTAGCATGTTCTGAGTTTCTGAAACATCAGCTGGATCCATCCAATTGTCTTGGTATTCGGCGCTTTGCAGATGTTCATTCCTGCATGGAACTGCTTGCAGCAGCTCACTCATACACTGAGCAGCATTTCTCTGAGATTGTTCACGGTGAGGAGTTTCTTAATCTTCCTGCGATGCAAGTTTGTGAGTTGATTTCAAGTGATCAACTTACAGTCCCATCAGAAGAAAAGGTAAAAAAATTTAGCCTACTGTATACTCATAAAATAGGTTTATCAGATGCATTTGAAGGTCAGGAAAACATCCTGGAAAACAGTTTAGAATTGATGGTTTTTTTCTGTCTGGAATTGAGCTATCATTAAAGTTATTTTACTCTAGCTGTGTGGGTTTTTTCTCCTGTAGTGTTTTAAATACTATTCAGAACAGTCAAGACTTGCCAAGCTCTTTTGACCTATTATAACATGTTGTTGCACTTTGATCCTCCTACATTACCTGTATTATGTCATGACGTATATTACTCCAGAAAATAAGTATCTTAACTTTGAACCTGGTTGCAATCAAGTGTATTAGCCTTAATCTACTCGGAACGTAAGTAATGATTATGTCCAACGTAATTTCCAACACTTTGAGTACATTTTAATTGCTATGGGATTATACACATAAAATAAGGAGTGTTATGTTAATTTGTAGTAGGATTGTCAGCTTCTTAAAAAATTTGCTTGGCATTTGTTCAAATGTGACAGGATCCTAGGATTGTGCACGTTTTATCCAATTTGTAGACGTGCCAGTTCGCATGGGTTAATAAAACAATGCATGCACTAAGTCTAAGCTGTTTGAGTTTCAAAACTGACCATAACTGTAGTTTATCAGATAAACACATCAATACATAATGGATGCAATTTTAGAAAATAACCTTCCTTTTAAATAAAAAACGTGGTAGTCCAGTGTAGGTGGTATTTTACCATGAACTTTAGTGGTTTGTTTCTGAACTACCTGAAGTTCATAATAGGGTGTGGTCTAAATATTTCAAAACATTTTTAGGTATTTGAAGCTGTTGTTTCATGGGTTGAACACAGCTCAGAAGCAAGACAAGAATATTTTGCTCAGCTAATGGAGCATGTGCGGCTACCTCTTCTTTCACGAGAATATTTGGTCGAAAGAGTTGAGAGCGAATCTTTAATTAAACGTAACTTTGCCTGTAAAGACTTTCTTATTGAGGCCATGAAGTATCATCTTTTATCGAGCGAGCAGCGGTCTGTACTGCAGACACCAAGAACTCGGCCCAGAACCCCTGTTGGCCTGCCTAAAGTAATGTACGTTATTGGAGGTCAGGCACCTAAGGCTATACGAAGGTGAGCATATTGCATCCTTTCAAAGTTGTTTTAAAAGTTTGTAAAAGTCACTTCCCAATCATCAAAACGGTTTGCGCAGAAATACCTTTACTTAACTTTTAGTGCAGTACGAGTTGTTCAGTGACAGTGTAAATATAGTTAAGGTTTCCACCTGTAGTAACATTGGGACCGCAATATAAGATGCCCCTAGTGGTCTTCAGACGTCCCCAAGGTTCTCTTCTACCGTATTACTGGATCATAGTTTAACTCGTTTTCCCTCTTCAGTGTGGAACGATACGATTTTAAAACAGAACAATGGCACCATGTTGCCGAAATGAATAGTCGTCGTTGCCGGGCTGGTGTGGCTGTTATGGAAGGCTGTATTTACGCAGTTGGGGGCTTCAATGGATCTTTGAGGATAAGGACAGTTGATTGCTATGATCCCCTACGGAACCAATGGCGTACCGTTGCGTCCATGGAAGCTCGCAGGAGTACATTAGGGGCGGCAGTTCTCAATGGCTTGCTTTACGCAATTGGAGGGTTTGATGGGACAACAGGGTTAAATACGTGTGAGGTGGGTGATATAGAGGTACTTAAAGGGTCCTATTGTTTTCCAAAACCACAAGATGCAGGTTTGGTTGAGCGAACACCTAGATCACTTTTGCAAGAAATATATTCTTTAAAGAAATGTAATATTACAGTATTTCCCTCAAATATTTCACTACAAGTTTAGTCGTCATCCAATATTCGCGCACACTGAAGTAGAAGTATACCGCTGACGGAGATGAATGCAGAACATTGAGAACTGACTTTCATGTGTTTAGGTTTACGACCCGAAGGCGAACGAGTGGCGTTACATTTCACCGATGAGCAGCCGACGAAGCAGCGTTGGTGTCGGGGTTTTGGGAGGACTGCTCTATGCTGTCGGGGGTTATGATGGTGCATCCAGACATTGTTTGAGTTCAGTGGAATGCTACAACCCCGTTAATAAAGAATGGAGTCTAGTGTGTGACATGAGTACTAGGCGGAGTGGCGCGGGGGTCGGGGTGAGTCGTTTCCACTGCGATTTTAAATGCGATTTTCTTCTTTTGAGAGATAAATCTAAACGTTAAGTTACATAGGAGAGTTCTTTAAGGCGGTCTTTCATTTTTCAGGTCGCAGATGGATTACTTTTTGCAATCGGCGGTCACGATGGACCTCATGTTCGAAAGAGTGTGGAATGTTACAATCCAGAGTTAAACCAATGGTCTCCTGTGGCTGATATGAGCATGTGCAGAAGAAACGCGGGCGTGGCTTCTGTGAACGGGCTTCTGTTTGTGGTAGGAGGGGATGATGGGTCAGCGAACCTCTCCTCGGTTGAGGTGTACAACCCCCGGACAAATCAGTGGGGGTTGTTGTCCAGTTGTATGGAAATTGGAAGAAGTTACAGTGGAGTTTGCGTCATTGATAAGAAACAGAAGGAAGGCATGGCATATTGACGGGTAAAGTGGTATCTTTCTGGATAATGGAGGATATGAGGTTTTTAAGCAATTCAAGGAAACAACTAAAGTGGCAGTTACAGAGGATACCCCTCCCTGGAGCAACAGATTGTTAAGCAGAGAATAGTCTTCACGTGCAGTTTGAGAAATAGACTAGTTGATATACCGCAGGCGGTAGACAGGGGGGAGAGCATCTTTTACTAATGAAGGGAGAAGATATGCACCATCACAATCTGAAATTTGAATCACATTTATTGCAACAGAGTTATTTGGATAGAATATAGAAACATACATGTTTATAATGAAATCATAGTGTAAATAAGAATTTATTGTATGAAAAATTTTAAATAAAACTTTATTTGGCGTTGAAAACTGGAGTATGATTTCTCGTTTAATAGACGACAGTGTCTTTGCGCATAATAATCATTTATATTTTTGGGTTTCATGTGACGGCTTAGATTTCATTCCAGGTCAACCTGAACCACAATAATTATAGTGAGTTGATTGTTTAGTGCGAAGAAAGGACGAACAGAACCCATCAGTTCATGAAATTTTTAAATTCCAAATAGCATTTGCAAGATGTTTAAACTTTCTGTGGCCATGCATATGAATTTTTCTCCTGTTTGGTTTAATTAGTACTTGAATTCTAAGTGGGTTGTTTACGATTTTCGATCGCTCTAAGAAAGATTAGATCTTAAAGTGATTCTACATTTTTTCATTTATTAACTAAAATGGTACTCAACTCAAGGAAGTTAGATAAATATGAAGTAGCTATACTTTTAACTTTAAACACTTGGAACGAGCGATATAGTATATAGTTTTCTAAGAAGCTCTAGAACTGCAGTTGTGATATAAATCATTCGAAATGGTTTTGAAAATCTTGCTATTTAACATGCAGCTGGGTATTACCTAGAAGTCAATTTTTTTTGTGTAAATATTTCGATACAAGTATTGGAATTGGATCAGAATATATTTTGCAAAATACAATATTATAATTTGGCTTGCATGGTTTCCATATTCGAAATTTTTGAATGGTGCTTAACAGGAAAGTTTGCCCTTTAGCTATCCGGTTTATCTATTGTTATCCTCTAGTGCATTCGTACATACCACCTGGTTGTTTTATGTTACATTGGTCAACACACAAGCCTTTCACTTTTGTCTGATTCTACTATTTTCACCTCCCTTTCATATGTTGGAGGATGCCTCCGAATCAATACCACAATATATCGTTCGGACAGTTGCAAGGGCTCCCAAATTAATCGTTTTTACTTATGATGACCTTGGCTTGGTCACAGGTGAAGGCACTTACAACAACCGTGCTATCAAAATCTTTATCGTCTGAAATCTATGTTTTATAACATGACGGAAAGTTGTGAAATATTTGTCTGATAGGAATCATGTGTAACTTTAAAATATACGCAGGGAATGTCTTGGTAACGTTTTTGGCATAGAATAGGTGTCATAATATGCTGGGTCTGCAGATTACTTGTTATTAGAGTTTTATGGGGAATAATCTACAGAAATATTAATCCTATATAAATTTCAAATCTCTTCTTAGTCTTAATTAGCATACCTGAGATGCCTCAGAAGACCAGCTATATCTTTCTTTTCCGAATTGTTTCACGTGTTTAATATTTGTGCAATTAGTGATATTTCATAAATATGGTCCGTGAAGTAATTACAAGGTGAGCGATAATGAAACATCTTCATTCTATGAAACCATCTTCAAATCACCTAATTCAAGTTGTGCGTTTTTATCGCCTTCAAAAAAAAAGATAGCAGGACTTCTGCAGTCTGCACGAACATGAACCATGTGATGGAATTTCAAAAACTCCCACTTTTCACCTTGGATGCCTGTATTCTTAAAACGCAATCAAACTCATCGCTTCTGTTGCACGGCTTTAATCATCTTCGGGCTCAATCAGTGCTAAGATTTTGTGTAATATTTATAATCTCTCAGTCATTTGGGAGGTGAAGATATCATCTTTGTACTCCCACTCGTGTTCATCTCAAAGAATTTTCTCTTCAATCTTCATCAATTCCAACGCAATCGACCGTATGGAAAACCTATGACATTGGCATCATTTTTCCAGAAGAAACCCACGAACAATCAGCAGTACTGGGGAAGTTTAGTATGTTCGTATCAACTACTCTCACACAAAGGATGTTGTATGGTCTTGATCTTGTAAGGTCCGATCAAATTTCATAATGAATATAAGCTAAACTTTAAACGAAAGTGAAATACGCTATAGTTTCGTAAGTTTTAATCCTTCAATCTCTGGAATAAAACACTAGAATTCGCTCCATGCATACGATTTTCGATCCTATCTGGTGGTGTACGCCAGCGAATATTGACCGAATAAAGTCATTATCGTTTAACATCTCATAAAAATTTTTTTTCAGGTCTACATCACTTCTCAGATAACCAGCATCCCTGGTAGTTAAGGGGGCTGTCACTGTTTTTGTTTTGAATTTTGACCTTCCAGGACAATCTGATTGCATTAGCGGTAGACACAATGAGTGGGTGTGTACTTTTCAGTTACTAAAGCCCGCCGCACACGAGAACTAACAGCTGAGCTAACGACCTCACGAGACAGTTAGCTCAGCCCGAAAACCATCCGCACACGATAGAAACTTGCCTCTCGAGGCGAATTCCTCACGAAAAACTATCCGCACACGATAGAAACTTGCTGAGCTATAAACAGCCACGGGAGTTCTTTACCTCAGCTAATAGCGCTGACGTGTGCGATTGGCCTCGAAATTACGATAGTCATTTTTAATTGAAAACAGGCTACGAGAGATTTCACCACAGTTGCAGAGTAAAAACTGCTTGAAGTCTAGAGGAACATACAAATTGACAGACAGAGGAATTTGTGATAGATAATATCGTTCCCACTTCCCACACAGGGCATGTTTTTAGTTCGTTAACTGATGTCTTAATTGGTAAATTGGTGATAATTATCTCATAACAGGGCTAATTGATTATGTTTTAAATGTCATTATTTTAGACCTGGTCTTTTTTTGCAATCTTAACCGGCTTTTATGACGCGAAGATGAATGACAATTCTTAAACATTTTCAATTGACTGAAAACAATGATTCTATGGATCTGGTATTGAAGTCGTTATCTGTCGAAACAGTGGATCGATAATCGATTTGAAAATATCAGATAAAGGCACATTGTTAGTTTCCGGCATGTAATAAAAGAAAACATTTCTCTTTTCTGTGTTTATGAATCACAGAATTGATTCTGGTCGTATATTGATAAAATGCCAACCTTCTGCATAAAAAACTTAATCCTGCGCGTAAACAAGTGTTCCGTTGTTGCAGAGATTTAAACAAATCTCCAACCAAACTTAGATCAGGATTTAAAATTTGAAAGGTTTTTATAAAAAATCTGCGTGCATCATAGGGCGGGGAATCTTTGACTCATTTCCTTCGTTATTTCCTTCACGAATAACCTCGTTATAATTTGCGCACAATTTACCCAATATTTGACATTTATTATTTCCGTCCGAATTACAACGCAACCGCAAACGTCTGAGTATATATAGATCTTACTTCAATTTAAAATTTGTTTTAATCGCAATGTAAGCACACCAAACCTCAATTGCTACAAAAAATGAAACGAAAGAAAAAGCGATTAAACTGTTCCAAAGAGCGGTAAGAAAACACTTTCGTTTCAAAAATAAAACAGCCATCCAAATTGTGCATATTAATTGGATTATCATTGCATGCCCTCAAAAAGAGCTGATATAGTCAGACTGAAAAACAAGAATTGTTTTAATTTTATATCGTTATAAATAACCAGATATAGCTATCATGTTTCTACCATCATCGAAAGACAAGAATATTTGCGAGCTATTAATAAGATATGTGAAAAATTTCAGTTGTATTAAAAAGAAATACAGCAACAGATTTATACACAGATGGTTTTTCTAAGCATGCTGAGTTTGTATTCTAGTGTTTTATTGAGTTCAGATTTCTATGAATCCAGATGAAATCCGATGTATATTTGCTCTTGTGCACTGCTTGAAAGCTATTACATGATTACATCGAATTATACATAATGTATTTCCAATATTAATCTATGATAATTACCGATTCTAAAACCAAATTAATCATACTTTAGCAAAAGCTGCTGAACTATCTTCGAGCCTCTATAAGATTTTAGTTTTCCAACTCAATTGTCTATGTATAACAACTATGTATCATTTTAAACTGATAGTAATCTGTTATTCTGTCCTCTGAGCCATCTTTGTGGCCAATACTGTTGAACCTTTAACGTCTAGAACATACCACTCTTGTTCTTCTTTTTAATTTGTGCACGTCCAAAACAGACTTTTCTACCTCTTTGTCTTGGAAATTTAGTGCAATTCAACTTCCTGAGCAGGTTGAGGTCCTTCGTATAAAGCTTTCTAGCGGTTGGACCACACTCTTTTTTTACTTTTTTGCACAAGCTCCGACAAGGACCGAATTTACCATTATTTATTGAATATTTAACGCAAATCTATTTTGAAAAATACATATATGCATGGTCACTCAGTGGTTCTCCCTCTTGCTTGGAGGGCTGAGATTTTTTCAGGTTTTTACTTATGCAAACCGGGAAACGTTAGCATTTCGACACTAGTCAATTCTACTGACAACTATATCTTCAAGGAATTCAAGAGCTCGTTTTACTAAATGAAGCAGATCGAAAATGTGGGGGAAAATTGCAACTGTTATAATAGAAAATGTGAAAGAGTAGACAATTCTAAGACATGGTAATTATTGTACCTACCGGGGCAAAATAAGAACATACTAGATATATGAGATCGGTGGAACATCCTGAGTTTAATAATGTTTGGAATTCATGCTCTTTAAAAAATTCTTCAGTCTCGTTCTGGCTTCGGTGCTTGTGGAAGTTTGGAAATATTGTTTGATTGTAAAGTTGTTTACAAGTCTGAAATGTAAATGTTCAGCAAAGTTAGCTTGAAGGTCACTGCACGGGGAGGGAAGGGGACATCTTATAGTAAACTTGGGTTGTTTGTTGTTTGCGACCATCTCTTATTAATCCAGTGTTTAACCTAAACTAAACTAACCTCACTTACACTGGGTTTAGGTAAAAGCCCAAAGCGCACAATAAACGATTTTATCAGTTCATTTGAGGAGTGTTTATGTAGACAGTAAGAATAATTGATATTTTGAGCTTAATTATACCAATTAGTAACCGCAAAATAATGTTAACACGCCGCAGTCTGACCTCTTGCGCAGCGTGACGCTCTTGTCCTCCTACGAGGACTTAGATATTAATTGAGTCACTCGTTCAACCTGTAGTTTACGACTTCTAATTAGTCTGAGCTTATTCAAGCTATACGTACACATATTTAAACTGTCAGCTTGTGATTAAGTTGAGAGTATATATAGGACCATTATTAACTATAGACAGGACACAGCTGAGTTTCAATACAGTTCCTCTTCATTTGATGAAAAGAAGAAAAGCTCTTGGAAGTAAAATGACTAACCTTGATTTTCATTGGTTCACATATCGACCGAACACGTGACGTTTTCGTCCCAATAAATGAGTTATAAAACCACACCGCACAAACTATGATATAGATCAGTTTCATTTTGACGCAAATACCTGAAGTGAAAAGTATCAAAACTTTCTTGAATGTAGACGGTTCCTAGGTCACCTCTTGTTTGAACGTGATATGTTGTGGTTCGCTTCCAACTGCTGTATGATTCTATGGCGTTTGGTGAAGTGTTTTTATAGCTTCAAAAAAGCGCCCGCGTCATTGCGCACTTGACTTCATTTTAATCGGCCTTGGAATTTTTCGTGCTTATCACGGATATCTAAAGAGGGAACTCACGAGATCTCAATCTTTTTCTCACGGTTTTTGAACGATGCGTACAATTTCGTTCCTCAAATGACGGAAGAAGGCAGCCATTGTTCCTTGGACTGCTTTTACTAGGATTGCTTTAACGAGCTAGCTCGTTCAAATAAGAACTTCTCTCAATTTCTATTTCATATTTCCACATCTCATGCAGTATATAAAAAGACTAGAGTCGCACCTCATTGTGTAACCACCTCTAACAGGACATGTTGTTTTCTAATCAACCCACAGGTGATTCAAATGAACTTTGTTTTAAAGTTTCTTTACACAATTTTTCGCCTTGGCTGCGTTGATTAACGAATAAAAACTTCAGGCATATGTGATATTAAATTCATAATGAACAAAAAGGAAAGCGCCAGGGGGTCTTATGTTTATTAGTTGATTGCTTGTTACGTGACCTATATATCACAATTTTATTCAAACCATACTTTTGTTCCCATCACGTTTAATACAATTTGTTTCCCATAGTCAGAACCATTTTACGTTCCAAAACTCACCCCGGCCTGGTTGTAATCCTCTTACTAGCTCTGTCTTTGTTTTGATGGTATACATTCACTTAAAACAATGCTCGTGAAATTTAGAACCCTATCATGCAACGCAGATGAGGGAGATCTCTATCGTTATACCTTAGTTACAAAGATACATTCGTCTTTCAGCAAGCGCCAAAGCCGATTATTTAGGGAGAACCTTGTCACGACGACCTGGATAACTTTAAACGTGGTTATGAACGATATGAGGTGTTCGGTTAAAACAAAGCCGTATTAATGATATAACATGATGAGGTGCCCATAAATATACCGTTGCTGCTCGAACGATGCCCTGAAGTTATTCACAGCAGTTTTATTGCAAAAAATTGCAAAAAATTGTTTATTTGAGAAGGGATGTCGTCGAATTGCCGCGTCGAAGATCTTAGTGTCTCTCTAAACTCAAGTGTCTCGTATTGTGTGTTGAATGTTAAATTCAGTTATTGCGTTTTTTATGCAAGTCTTTTCAATGTTTCCACGCGCATATTATGCTAAGTATAAATATACAAGGGTTTTTTAAGAAAGAAGGCTTCCAGAACGTTTTAAAACGGTGGTTTATTTAGGCTGGTCTAAGTAGGCGGTTAACGATTGAATTGAAATCGCTTTTTGAAAGAGGCTATTCAGAGAAAAAGATAAGATATGATGTTGTTCGTGAGATGGCAGAGTTGTTATATATTTATTGAATGATTTCTTCTAAATAATTGGATTAAAAATAGAAATCTAAATTTAGTACTGAGTTAACGGTAACTACCTACTTGCAATAATAGGACGCCAACCGCTATATCTAATGTCATTGAATACGATTATGTGACGATACTCAGTTGACAATAGCCGTTATCACGAATGTCCCGTTCAGAAACCTATAGCTGAGACTACATTTCGCAATTACTTCTGCACTGTTACAATAAAAAGGCGTGAATGATTATTTGAATGCTGTACATTCGTAGCTCAAATGCTGTTTATAATCCGTTGGTTTAAATGCTGAGTATTCCGGAGTAATATTTTTCATTTTCCGAGATTTTTAGCCGGAAATTAATAACAGAATCACTGCACGATGTATTGTTGCTGGCTATTAAAGAATTTTCGGGGGGGGGGGGAATAAACATGTTGAATGGTAACTCAAGCTGGGTTAAAAATGATGACTGGAATGCATTTGATATATTTAGGGTGTGAGTTAACACAGAAACAAAAATGTCGATGACTGATATTATTTATGGCATGGTTTTTGAGAAACGTATAGTGCTAGGAGATATGCAGAATTTACTGATGGGAAAGATAAATGGAATCCTTTGGCGATAGTTTTTACTAGTACATGATATGTAGGAATTGTGTTTGTTTTTTCTAGTACTTTAGATCTCTTAAAATACCACTTGATTCAACTAAAGTTTACTTGACCTGCATGGCAAAGACTGAGAGTTGTAATCACTTTGTTACGGTTGTTTTTCCTGCCAAATTTCATGAAAGAGGGCTTGTTTACAAGAGTAGTCGTGCAGAGTAATAAAAGTCAATTATGTATGTGGAAAGAGTCTTGATATACTTAAAAACTTTCATGAATTTTAGTCAGCCGTCCAACATGAATTGTAACTCATTTAACACAAGCTCTCAGGCTGAAACTTTTGGAATTTCTCTTGTATGCTGGGCACTTGATGAAACCATTTGACTATCTATATTTGGATACTCGCAACGATGTGTTTGTCTGTGTTTGCCGACTAACTCTTAACATACATACAAGTGATTTTTTTAACCGTTCGAAAAGCGATAAAATTTCATCTTTGCATGGGACTAACAATTATTGAAGAGGATCCTTGATTTAGGAATACTAAGATTTAATCAAAGTTGTAACAAACAACGGGCGATTTTAAAGCGATTGAAAAACCCACTATCCGGTGGATAGCGCCCTGGAAAAAAGGATTATAGTATAAAGCTTTGCTTAATTATATTATAAGTAGTTTAATTCAGTGGGTGAGTCTGAAATCTCCACTGACGCCACTAGACGTTCGTTTGACTATCCATCGCACCTCAAGAGTTAAATGCACGAACATGATGTTTAATTTGTTAATTAATTTGTTTCGTAAGTGTCGATAATATTGTTATAATATGTATGCGTCTGATTTGAATTTCATGCCAGTTTGGCATTTACTGTTTGAGCCATTTCATTTTTTTTTACTACAATTGTTTCAGGATCTTGCAATTAGAGCCGGAATGGGCTAGGATTCACACTTTCTTACCATACCTTTTAAAGTTTTAACAATTAAGCGACGTCGGATGTAGATATGTACTATATAAAGAATGGGTGACCGATCTTAATGAGATTTCGCGCGAAAACGAATATTTAAAGTCGCTTCCAGATCTAAGCAACTGAGTAAACTGACCAACGAAAAAAATTTTGGAATTTTGTTAAAGAAATATTATATGTAAAGTAGGGTATCTTCAACTTCAGCTATAAAAATGGCAGTTTTGTTGATCTTTGCTCATAAGTTAAATGTATTTTAAAACACAAAATTATAGAAAATCCTGACATATAAATTCCGATGAGTTAATTCCCTGTGTAGTTTTGTTTACCACGCTAATTGCGCACTTCTCAACAAACATCTGGGGTAATCGCGCAGATAAAATCATTTAGTCGGGAGTTTTAGTTAAGTATGTCAGGCATTTTCCCACTTGTTTAAATCAATGCTACATGTATGTTCTGTTATTAAGCGAATAATAAACCATTATCTGTAGAGATATATCATAGTAACCTTATTTAGGGATTATTCTCTTGGGGAAATTCAATGTGTGGACTGCAAGATTGATGATAAACCTCTTCACTATTAACAAAGAGCTTGCCATCTTTACACTGTCCTTTGAAATGTTTTGTAGCTTTTTGTTTACTTGCATGTATAGAAGATTTTAAACTAAGGAAAATTGAGCTATAAACTGAATCAACGTACTCCTTAGTATAGTGCTAAAAAATGAAAACAATTCATACCAAGTTAAATTTAAATTAGCTATAAATAAAATTACCCTTTTCAACAGAAACAGAAAAAATTAGAATAGTTAAACTATTGCCTAATCGATTACTTAGATGTAACCCTTATTTTTTACCATTTATTACAAAACGTGAAGCCGGATTACTTTGCTTTAAGTAGGGTCTGTAGGGATACTTTATTTAGAAAAGTTGCATGGGGATTTTCCCATGGTGTTGTGAGAAAATCATAATATATATATTTAAGAGTATGATTCATTTTTTCCCTGTAGCTTGCAGACTAATGTCGCGTGCAAGAATCCCACAAATCCCTCTTAAAACTACTACTTGAAAAACACTCATTACAATCTGTTGCATTCAGCGCAAATGATAAGGACTTCTAAGATGATTGCGGGGCATTTATCTTTAAGTAAATTGCACTCGAAAAACAGCAGTGTTTTTTGTTTGATAAACCGTACGTTGAAATCTGGAAAATTCGGAGAAACCTGTCAATTGCTTGAGACTGTGTTTTTAGTTCACCAATATGCGTCATTGTGGGGTCGATGTTCAAGTAGTTTCAGGCAATTTTTGATCTTTCATTTCAACCAGAGAGATGAGTGTTTTAAACAAATCTTAGAATGATCTGAAGTACGCAAATCTTTCGCTGATAGCGGGGGCGTCGGGCACTGACAACCTCTCTGTATATGAATACCCCTAAGCATGTCTTGCAACACTTTAAAAAAAGCCAGAGACGTTTAATCTGGTATAACGGGGAGTTATTTGTGCATTTTGATCTTGAGTTAAGCTGCATGTGAAGAATTCCAATCTCGCTGAATATGATACATCGGTCATGAAAATATCAACTTGTCTAATACAACACTATCGATAAATATTTGCTATCGATATATAAGCACAAACAAAACAAGAGAAAACCGCATTTGAAATGCTCTGTTGTTAATAGGGGCGGCGTGCCAGTGAGGTGTTAAACTTCACATCCGTTATGATGGATCAGCCTAAATGTACGTGAAACTGGTGGTTCCTAACGTTGATACTGTATAGCCTAAAGCTACCGGCACCATTTCTACGCATTGGAAATGCTCAGGAATGCCTAGATTTTAAAGTGTTGATTTTATGCAGACCTGTTGAAGTATACAGAGTGTCGTCATCATTCATGCCAACTTTACCAACAATCTTTGTCCGACATTTTTTAAATACAGCCTAAATTAGTACGATAGACACTTCCTGTGTTGAAATACACGTTATTTCTCGCTAAAGTGTTGAAGCAAAAGACAAAGTGTTTTATCTGGAGTGATGCAATACTCCACGGTACAGATTTTTCATCGCCAATTTTCCAACCAGTTACTCAATCGTGTGAAGCATTAATATTCTTGAAAAATAATCGTACGAGCAAGCAGACGCTCTACTCCACCCCCCCTAGATTAGACAAGAGAAAACGACCGTATATCATAGAAATATTGTCAAAACCCCAAAATTAAGATTTTTCCAGTACGCAAGATATTAGGGTGAACTCCAGCTGAAAGGTCTGCCTCTTAGCTAATGATGTCTGCAGTTGTCGAAACGACGGGTAAATACCCTGAAGGCACAGAGGAAAATGAAACAAACATGTCAGTTATAAATACATTTATTTATGTCTGGAAGTTAACATCTCTCTAATATTGTCCTCATGTTCTTTTATTTTACTTTCCAGATGTTGTTTGTTTCCCTGATAAATAAAAATATACAATCACTGATATGATACGTTGCTGTTTGGGAGAAACAAGGACGATTACCATAGTCACCTCAATCGTTTTTACTTTGGAGTCTGTTATTCTGATTTTTTCTTGTAAGCTCTCTTGAATTGTTTTGATGGGCTGATGTAAGAACCTAATTTGGAAAGAATTATACATTCCTTAAAAGTAGTTTTAGGAATGAAGGAACGAGACTAACAACCGATGAGCCGTTTTGTAGTCATTTTCCATTCCAATCCGTATACTTTTTTAAGATCAAAAGTACCAAACTTTCTTTGCTTGAGAAATGAGTAACTCACATTCTCCCAACAGCTTCGTATGTTCTAGTGTCAGGTGGTAAACCGTCCAGTTCTCTTTCAGTCAGTCTAGCACGAGTTATTGTACTTCTTAGTTGCTCGATTTGTATTTCTGATATTTTTATCTTTTGTGTTGATTCAAGCATCAACGCCTGAAGATCTTGAAATGCCTAAAATTAATAGAATCTTACAGTGTACACGACAGTGTTCCCTGAAGATGAGCTGGAGGTATTGCAGTTTAGTAAGACATGATATAATTATGCTCTTCGCAGGAAAAATATCTTAATTTTTCACAATCTAAACAAACCTTTCTTAAATCCTGATCAAATTGTGGATCCGCCATATTGAAATAATTGCTGGCTCCCAGACCTCCAACTTTGCGCCCGACAAATGGCGGCGCTTTTAAAAAATATTTTTCAAATTTCCAAACATTTCGGCCACAATTTAGGCTTCTCGTCGCGTTTCTTTAGTTCTGATGCTGTGAAAGATGTGCATAATCGTTTAGTTGTTCCATTTTCGTCTCATAATGTAAAACATTTTGGTAATTTAAGAGTTTTTAGTGAAAATTTGGGCGTGCATGTTACAGCCTCAAACTCATATGGAGAAGAAAGTCTTGTAGCATTATCGTTGGTTTCAGATTGCACAGATAATTTAAAGGAGGATTTAGTCGCCTTAAGAGAATTTGTTTGCTGTAATGTCGATACAGAAGGTGATGAATTGTCCTACATTACGGTATTTATATATATAATTTATTGTTTTATTCAAATCATCTTTCACTGTAACCATTATCAGCACCGCCATTATTAAACGGTATCATTTCCACCAAGTACCATTAACATTATCATCAGTACAATGATTACTATCATCAGTACCAGACCAACATCTGGCATTATCTGTATTCCGAACCACCATCATTCCATGGTACCATGACCACCATCATCAATAAATTGACTATAGGTACGATCATTAGTCCCACCATCATCAGTACTATGACTACCACATGCATCATCTGCACCATGACCACCATCACCATTATCACCATCTTCAGTACCATTACCACCATCATGAGTCCATCATCACCATCGTCAGTACAGGTTTCTTTTTTGCACCACCACAACCTAACTGTAACCTATAATATAAATTTTAGATACACACAGATGCAAATGCAATCATGCAGAAATTCAAACCATGTTTGTTAGAGAAAATGAAACTACTGATAAATGTACCACATTCTTATGGACTTCTCATTCATTGTGCATCTCAGCAAGCAGTTACTGTAGAAAAACTGGAATGTGATGGGATTGAGATTCACACAAAAGGAGATTGTATTTTGTCTGAACTTAAAAGCCATTTAATAACTGTGAACTCAGTCGTAGGTATGCAACTTATCAGAGCACAGATTCATGTAAACATTCTACCCATGCAGTCATTTTTAAGAACAATTAAACAAAATTCTATGTATTTACCTGGTAGTCATATGAGACATAACATTTATCTTGTTAGGTGATATTGTGAGCAAGTCCTCTCTGATTGGTGACCTTACATTCACCACTAGTGCCAATGGTGGTGTTTGCTTAAGTAAAATCCAAGGCAATCAGATAAAGATAGTTACTGAAGATGGTGATGTTAGAGTTGCCAGTTTATATGGTGGTGATGTTCTGATAAACACTGAATGTGGAAATGTTACCATCGGTGACGCTCATGGTATGGTTATGACGAAATGAGATCCTCTTTCTCTTTAAGTTGAGGCATGTAGCCTTTTGGTCCTGTTGATGAATCATTACTAGTTTTGCTTATATTTTCTAGGCAACATCGATGTGACATCGAGGTCCAGTGATATAAATTGTGGTTCAATATCTGGTCATCTTAACGCTGTTACTGAAGACGGAAATATCATGATTAAATTAACTTCAGGAGGAAATGTTTGGGCTACCAGCAGGAATGGTTAGTTAGTTACATTGAATATCGGAAACATTGATTTTATTAGTAATACTGGGTGTAATCAGAAGAAAACATTCATAGATTAGTTTTCATGACCTGATCAAACAAGAGTCGCATCACAACCGCACAGACCTTCTTCAACTCTCATTCTCTTAAAGTTGGGCGTAACCAAATACCTGTCCTCAGTTCGCGAATAGAAAATATTCAAAATCAACCTCGGGTATAAATGCGAATAATAGTCAACCATAATTTTTTTGACAGGTAATGCGACAATAAAACTTGACTTGGGATTGAAATGCAGACTCGAGCTCTCGTCGAAAACGATGAATATATCCCCGGATATAAATATGATAGAATCTGAGAAGGTAAACGATGATGTTACAAGATTAACTGGCGAAACACAAGGTGATGGTAAGAATTGTGCTAAAGTAATGTGCAGTAAAGGAAATATTGATTTACTTCAGGAAAGCTGGTTTGTTATGCCTTAAAATAAATAGTCTCGTATTAGCGGTATTGCCCCCAAAACACAGAAAGGGCTGAGAAAGGACTATACTCACTGTCTGATTTAGGCGAAATTATTATTTAGTTGTAATAAATATTAATTTAAAAAGTAAACCAGCAATGTTTGTATTACACAAGAAATTTTATCGTGATGAATATCTATGAATATAACATCGCCCTGATCTCACACGACGTCGGCAGGGAGTACCCTGTAATGTCACTAACCCGCATTCTCTTCTCTGCCTTCCACTTCCATTTCTGTTTATCTGTAAACCAACTTGAATAGAGTCAAAATCGCCTAATGATCCTGCATTGCCTAAAATGTCCTGAGATACTCTCCTCAGTCCATCTGTGTCTGTCAATGCAAGATCTGTAATCGGTAAAAAAGGACTCGATGGTCTACTTCGTCTTCCAGAGTTGCCAAAATCATCTCCAATGTTCACAATTGTCCTATTCTGTCTTGACTGACTCCCTATCGGTTCATTTTGCATTCCTGAATGAGGTACCCTATTATCATATGTTATCCCATATCTTTGATCATTGTTTGTACCAGTTTGTACAGAACTGTCACTTCTTGTTCTCGTCTGCACTTCGGTATCAGTTTGGGAATAACTACTTTCTGTCTTTGCTCTAAGAGCACTGTGTTGACCTGTTTGTACTTCTCTATCACAACTTGTACTCGTTTGCACCCCAATATCATTCTGTAAATCTGTCTGTACCTCGTTACCACCCTCAGAACTTGTCCTAACAATCCTATCATTAGGTGTAACTGTGTGAATCTTATTGTCGTCCCTTGTTTCCGTTCGTTCCCCAGTCGCTTTTGCATCGGTTTGAACAGTTCTATCACCCGTTTTACTCTTTTGTACAAATATATCATCGCTTGGTCCTGTCTGTACTTCGCTATCACTTTGTGTACTGGTTTGTATTGCCATGTCATTACTCGGTCTTGATTGCCCCTCACCGTCGCATACTGTAGTCGTTTGTACACTTTTACTCCCATAATTCCTGTCCTCAACATCCCTATCATTACCCATACTACGAGTTTGTATATCACGATGTCCTCCTAGTTTGACCTCTGCAGTTCTTCCTTCTATTCCACTCCTCCCGAAATTTTGTATCTTATCATCCCAAAAGACGTCACTTGTACTATCGTGTTCCATGTTACCCCTTGTCATTGGTATTTTATTATCTCCACTTGTTCCTTCCTGTTCTACTAAAGAACTACCACTATCTCTTATTGCGGTGTGTAGATATTGGTCACCAAAATATAAGGAAGGGGATGGAGTACTAGCTGTATTCCCAGATGTACCGCTTTGTATCGACGTGACCGCTGTTACCCCACTTAATGATACAGTAGGCAACCCAGCTATGACACTCATTCTTGTGCTTTCATGCACGTCGTCATTTCCTATGGTATCATCCGAGGTACCGCTCCGTCCTCTTGTGTCCCTTGGGTTTGTATTCAATACTGAACTCGCGTCAGAATCATTTTCAGTGATGCGTAAATCTTCTGTCTGTGTTCTTCGGTTTATGAACCAATTGAAAAACCAGATAAATAGTTCTGAAAAGAAATTGCCAAAACAGTTAGTAAGGAGCAGTTTGATATCTCAAAAATTCTCATGTAATTCGCCTGCAAATCTTCAAGGCTTATGCAGAATTCCAACTTCATTCGACCACCATGTTTGAAATAACGTTTTCAAGTAGTTAAGAAGAAACCCAAGACGGCTTAGAAATTCCTTTTTTGAAGTATCCACCGGACATGAATCATCTCAGCTTATTGTATTTGTAAATTATGAAAAAAAATCTTAAAACCTAACCTGCAGATAAAGTAAAAAACCAAGTGGCTAACACAAGACTGACGTGTTTATATTCTATTATAATTCCTACGATTGTTGATACCATTAACACGAACTTTAGCCACGTCAATATTTTGCGTCGAAAGTGCACCAAGCCGTAGATAATTAGAGACGACGAAACAGCAACACTTATAATCTTGCGATAAATCCAGACAGTCGCTGTTAACCAGGAAAATCCCTGTGCGCGAGAAATAATTGATTGACACTTATTGCCGGAGTAACAAAAACTGTGTGAAAAATTTTTTGTAAAAAAATTTAATTAAAAATCAAAGTGATCCTCAGTGAAATCACTTACATTTTTTATGGTAATCGCATAACCATATTCTTCAATCAATTCTAAGAAAAATAAAAGGTCGTTTATTAGCATCGTAGCACTAGGAGAGGAGATAAAATGTCCTTAAAGCAACATGATACACACTTCACACTGCCTTGAACATTTAGATAATTGACAATAGTCAATCTTGTATTGCCTGGATTAATTTGCTCGGTGTCTATGAATGGATATCTTAAATTAAGATCTTCAATTTTTTTTATTCAATACAGGTATCAGACTCTTACCTAATTGTTTTAAGATTTTATCAGCGGCGTTTTCAACCCGGTTAAGATTTGCCATTATTTCGTGATGTTTCTCAAAAATTTTAACGCTGAATGCTGTGAAGTTTTCCTGCATTGTCTCTGTATAAAGCAAACAGCAACGAATCATTTGAAAGCTAAAAATGAGATATGATTGATCGAGATTGATTTCTATTTTGAAGATGCGAGGTGAGCTCACCTATGCTTTGTAGAAATCCTTCAGTCAAAACATTGACATCTTTTTCCAATCCTTCGATAATTTCCTTGTGTCGCGACAACAATGTTAGATGCGCCCGGGCTGCCTCCATGAACGAGCTCTCATTCTTCTTGAAATATTTCTTTAATAATCTCATATCTTTCATGAACGCAACGCGTTGAGAACGAAGACGTGACAACGTTTGAGACGTTATGTTTTCAAGAAGCTTTTGATTGTCCTGCATGCAATAAAAAATGCAACTCTAATTTTTGCTTTTACCATAAATTAACGGCGAATGCTGATAATGCAACATCATGCTGACGTTTGTTACGCTATCATGTGCTAAAATTAATATCTGAATCTGGTGGACAAATCGCTTCTATTATTTTACCTTCATTAGATGAGATATCCAGCCTACCTTGAAAGATGTCATCACAGACGAATGTAATTGTGCCGTCTCAAGTAAGGCTTGAGAACGCCGCTGACTGTTAATCATGAATAATTGCTGACTCACTTCTTGACAAACCGTCAAGGAGCGCTTCCTGATATTTTTAAATATTTCCAAATCTACCGCATTTAAACTTGAAATACATTCTGTCAAGGTCTGAAAAAGTCAACGATTAGCAGTAATCAGAATTTGGCAGGTAGTTGCGAGTCTTGTCTGTTGGGACAATTACCTTTTCGCATTTTGGGAAATGGTTTTTTTCATTTTCTCCATGACATGCCATCATAAGCCACGTCAAACGATCCAAATTTTCTTCACTTTTCTCTTTACAAAACTTTTGATTTCCAGCGACAACCTGAACGCAAATGGAAACTTCAATATTCAGTGAAATGGATGGATGAATAATAATGGAACATTCTAATCGCTGGATTTTATATGTACTATTAATAATAATCTCACAGGTCTTACTTTTAAACTTAGATAGCGTATAGAGTGATTAATAGCTCACCGTAAAAATGCAGACATCCATCTCATTGATGTTCTCAAAGTTGATTCCAGCATTTTCTTGCTTGCCGTCCAAGAATTTTGAGCTTCTCCGGTCGTCTTCCGAATATTCCTTGCGAGTGCTTTTCGAGTTAATCGTTTCATAATTGTAATACGAGTTCCGTGTTGGTGTTGTTCGTGAACTTGAATCAAACTTATTATAAAGTATTGAACTTACCAAAGTTATAACAAAAATTCCAATTAATGGTGACATTTAGGAAAGCTTTTTTCATTCAGATAAGTTGTGTCACTTTTGACGCACGCGTCAGCGCTAACGGTTTTTCACGATTATCTGCGTGCACGCGATATATATTTCCGTGCGCACGAAGGAGCAGATTTTTCACCAACGTGCACCACAATTTTAATTCTCTCGTTTCACGGCCTGGGTACAAGTGGTTTAGTACAAGAGAAGCGATCCAAAGAGTCTCGAAAAAATTCAATTCAGTATATATCAGCTCAGTGGGTTTGGATCAAGAAATTTCCTTTTTTGGAGGAAAAATTAGTTGGAGGAAATCTAAGGAGTTGAAAATTCCAGGGGCTTTCTTTTCGAAAATTTCAAAGGCAAACTACAATATTTTGTAGAGATTGTCCGCAGAAATTCGGCTGTTTCTGCCGTTATATAGACCATCAATCGTAAATCTTTGAGAATCCGTTCAAAAGAATGCCTCCTAAGTTTGATCCGAATGAAATAAAGATCGGTAAGTTGATAGTTTTTATTGAATTCGGCTATGAAGTTATGTCACCGATAGTAATGAGCTGTTGTTTTTTAGTATGTTTACGATGCACTGGTGGGGAAGTAGGAGCTACATCATCCTTAGCCCCAAAGATTGGTCCTTTAGGCTTGGTAAGCAGCTCCACTGTGATGATTTGAAAATATTTAAGTAATGTATAATGCAAAAAGCACTATAAAAAGGCAATGTTTTATATACCCTGCACATATGGTGAACCAGTTCTATTAGGCAACTGTCCCAGTCACTTGTTTGAGAATATCATCAGGAAACGAAATCTTTATAACCATCAATATGGTCTGGTGATGAATAATGATTGTAATTGTACCTGAAAAGTTCTCAATTGTTGAAATTACACATGTTTCAGTCGCCCAAGAAGGTGGGTGATGATATTGCTAAAGCTACCCAGGACTGGAAGGGACTGAAAGTCACAGTACAGTTGACCATTCAGAATCGGCAAGCCAAGATCTCTGTTCTACCCAGTGCGGCTTCACTCATCATTAAATATTTGAAAGAACCTCCACGTGATCGCAAGAAGGTCAAAAACAGTAAGCATGGAGTTTGAATTTTGTTATAAAAACATTCTCAATTGAAGCAAAATAAGCAATTCCTTTTATGCTTGGATGTTTAATGTCTAAATTATTGTAATTTATAGTCAAGCACGATGGAAACCTATCATTGTCGGAAATCTTAGACATAGCTCGTCAAATGCACGGACGATCAATCTCAAGAAACCTAGCTGGCACGGTTAAGCAAATGTTGGGTACAGCACAATCGGTTGGCTGTACGGTAGAGGGTGAACCACCTCATGACATCATTGATAAGATCAATGAGGGAGAAATTGAGATTCCAGTAAGTTTATTCAATGTTTGTTCCTCAGTGTAAAACAAAACATTCACCAAAAGAATTTGTCAGGCATCAGGAAAAATATAGACAGGGAGATATGGAACCTTGTTAGGGAACATCATTAAAGTTGCACAGTCTTATGCTTCTCTGGAGTTTATATATTTTCATTCTATTACCTTTTATTAAATTATGATGGTCAAAATTCTTTTATGATCTTTATGCTGTAGAACTGGCATCTTTTCACAACTAAATGGTTTGTGATAAAGCAATATTATTGATCAGTGATGATGTTTTTTTAATAATTTTGTAGGAGGAATGAAGATAAACAGTGTGCTTCCAGATTATGGTTGTAAATAAAAGTTGAAATGAATCTTTGTGTTGTGTTCTTGTTATATTTTTACACCAATTTGGCCTCACTGCATAACTTGCATAACTGCTTTGAAATGGCAAGAAAAAACATAAACATTAGGAAATGGACCTTACTGTGAATTTTTATTCTGTGGTAGGGGGGTGATGCATAACATGATTTTCCTTGCAAAAAAAAAGGAAACGAAAATGGCCAAAATGTGATTTAGATTAGCATAATTAGCATGCACTCCAGACTAGTACCTAGTCTTAGTGAGTGTCTTCGGTGATGATATATACATATGAACTTCCTTAGCTTGTACACTTGCACGTGAACTGTCAGAAATCACGTACTCCTCGAAAATGCTTAACTGCAATATCACCTCACGAGATCTTGTTGGTAATGGTTACTTTGTTTACAAGCTGGGAGGGTCTTGTAGCAGGACGGTGGTGGTGACACACGAGGATACCATGTGATTTGTGATTTTTCACATTCAAATAATCCCAGCCCGATGCTGATGGGGCTAGCTAGCTATTTCCTCTTAAAGCACATTTCATTATTTGTCAAAATTACTGTTAGAAATTGTTCTACATATACTGGTGGTGGATATCATGAAAATAGCCTGGATATTTTATGGTATCTCAGTTGTATGTGAAATGTTTCTTAACAGAGACAGAGATGAGAGACTAAGTACTTGGGTACATTAAGTAGGATCAGCAGGTTAAAACTATGTTTAAACTAGGTCTGAAAATACTGGAGGGTCAGTTAATTGGCTCCTTGAAATCTATAATGCTTCCTTAAAACAATAAATAACTCTACCCTGGGTGGCCACATTACATCGTAAACATGCGAAGAGAACTTGGTAGTGTGTACCTAGTGTACCTTTCAGCGATTACCTCTGGGCGTAGTACACGCTGGCTTTTTGAAATTATTCAGATTTCTAACAACATGTTAAAACAACGGAACTCGCAAACAAAGAGCATGTCTCGTTGCTAAGAACTCTTACACTTTTTCCGTTATGGAAAATAATTTTTTTTTTAATGTTTCTTTGTTAATAAACTAAGCTGTACTCTAATTTTGATATCAAAACATAGCGACGACTTATCACCTCTTGTATTTAATTACAACACATTGATGGGGGGTAAAAACTAAAAAAAGTCGAAATCTAAGAGGGTTGGGTTAAATCTATTTACATAAAAAATATTGTCTGTATTACAAAGCATCTATTAAATACGTCACTATTCCCAAGACCTGATAGAACGCCTCCAGTCGCAGTTGGATGATGGCTTTAATTTATATCTGAAACTCGAGGACATTTCTAAAAGTGTGTGTTGAGGTAATGTATATATAGCTAGTTTTGTAAATGTGTATAAAAGCTCTGGAAGCAAAGACCATAGTTGTAAAATAAGCTGGCTGAGTTCTTTGTCATGTCTGAATCAACAATCCACTAACGGAATGTTTAATGCTCGTTTCTCGATCGGTTGATTTTGATTCAAGCAAAGCTATACGAAATGATATACTGGAGACCTTTGCTTGAGAAAGAGTTATGCCATGGTAAAGTTAGGTTTCTTTGCGTCTACTCAATATTTCCGCTTTGCCTTCTTAAAGCGATAAAACTTTTGGCAAGGACAATATAGTTGTACCAAGTTTTCCAAAGTTCTTAATATAGTTGCAACTGTTTGCTTGAACTTGTTTACTTGCTAAATGATACTAATTACTGGGCTATAGCCGTTGTTTTTCCTCAAAAGTAAACTTTGGCTAGTACACTACAGCATGAACAGTAGCGACACCTTTCAGTTATGTATTTTCCGTTAAGCAAACACCAGGTTGGCATGCCATCAATCAAGATATTTTAATCATGCTGGGCAAAATCTTTCGAAATATTCAGCGACTAAGTTTCAACTTCCTGGCCTTCCATGAGGAACAGTCGAGAAGTGATAAAGCTATTCAGTGTAAATCAGTTGAGATAGCCTTCTTCCTGTATCAGAGGTGATCCTTTCGGTATCTCGTACGTAGGAAGAACAGTTAAGAACTGATAGAGTTATCCTGTAATAAAAGTATGAAGTTATTTTAGTCTTGGTGACCCCTTGCATTCTGTAGTCACACTGGATTATAGAGGTCCCTAGTGGACCTTTAGAAGAATTAGTTCGGAACTGATTGAGCAATTAATGCAATACCAGTTCCTCTTTACCAGAGATCATGGCTATGACTATGCTATGACGCAGAGGAACTCGTGAGAGGACCTCAAAGTATAACTGGAATGACAACGAGCTGCAGACTTTTAATCCCTCGTAGTTTTCGGGTCGTTTTCCGTCATTAACCTGCAATTACTGTTTGGGCAAATATAAAGCGTCACATACACAGGACTAAAGTAGTAGATTGCAGATAATCTTTGACAATCAAAATATGGTTAACACCAGCATGCACAGTATTAATTATTCGATAAACAAATGAATAACATTCCAAATGTTAATTAATGTTAGTTCTATATATATCCTCCCACTTACTGCATGTGCACCCAGGCGCATTTCCCTAGAAGCGAAGTGCCTCTATTAGGGCAGAGATATTGATTTAGTGTTCATTCATATAATTAAATGGAAATATTTTTTTATTGTTTAGCTTTGTGTCTTCGATTATAATCGATATTTAGGATTTTTTGGCATTTTTATACTTGGAAAGTCGCCCTTCAACGAGTAAACGTAAGTAAACTTAATATCTCTCGAAATCGATATTGTAAAGTTAGAAATCTTTTATTGTTTTCCACGTACGATTGTATGAAAGAATTTGTGTGGGTTATTATTGTGAATCAAAGTTAATCCGGCTTCGTATTTAACTGAAGTTTTCTTCTGTAATTTGTTATTTAAAAGGAGATTCGTGCCAAGTCTTCATCTGATTTGTCAAATGCTCTCTTAGGCTTGACCTGTTTTCATTTCGAGTGGTTGTTTTTTTTGAGTTAAAAAACACGCGCATTGTGATAGTTCATATTAGTTTTCTAATGGCTTGACATTGTTCAAAAGTATAAATCAGGTTTTAATAATAATAAGAGACTGGGCCGGGTATGAATCATCTCAAAGTTAGTTACAACCGAGTGTCTTTAAACAACGTTAAGAAATTATAAGTTTTAAAAATTTGACGTTATTGTCCTGCATTACAGTTGCTGCTCAGCGAAAAAGCACTGAACGAATATATATTTTTGACTTGGTATAGTGCCGCCGAATAAACTGAGAGACGGACAGGTTCGATTTGTTTATGATCTTCTTTTTTTTACCGAAAAAAAATAGCAAATTTTACAGTGGAACTATTCAGCGACAATCAGTATAACAGCAGTTACACCGCAAGCACACCAAATGCATGGCAAATATTGACGTGAAATATCCGTCGTTTGAGTATAAACCTCAGCTAGTATTACGTATAATCAATCCTTATCCCAAATCTGCCCTGGGTTCATAATATTTTCATTGCGTGACTACATCTGTAGCAATTACTAAATGCTTTCTTTCTTAAGTCAACTCTCGTTCTTAATGGCTGCAATTATTTACATTAATGTTGCAATTAAAATGTTTTCAACAAAAGACATCTTTGCTTCCTGGTTTTTGTCTTTGAAAATGCTACTTTCAGAGTGTGTGAAGACGTTTTGCGCGAGAGATGTGTTTATTGCGCGCAAAAATGCCCATAATTACGACAATATAATTAGACTAAATATAAAGACAGAAAAATGCTGCATGCATATACAACAGGCATTTTTTATATAAAAGAATCAGTTATTCGCAATGTGTTTCGCCTGCTCAATTTTGCGCCTGAAGCTATGTGGAAAGCATGCATCAAGTGTGGTAGAACCATACTACCTAAAATAGACAAACTTTAAAGCACTTCTCGACGTTTCGAGATAAGAGCCTTTGTCAGAACTAGAAGAGTTAGTATGTGTCAACCCACACACACAAGTTGTGAAGATGTGGCATTTGTTTACCTGCTCATAACGTTACCCAAGTAACGTTTTTTATAAATCAGAATTATTGCAGTTTTATCCGTTATATGAACGTCTTCAGTCCATAATCTACCTCTAAAGAAGAAGAAAAGCCAATTAAGTTACTGTCAGCTTATTTTTTCCTCGTTAACGACTGTATTAAGAATGAGACATTGTCACACTATCCAGACATTGATATAAAACATACAAGTAAAGTCTTTTGGAAGCACTCTTAATTCTCTTGCATGTGTGTGGTGAAATCTGGCTGGAAGCATGTTTAGGTTTCGGCTCGGTTTTATTGTCATTTTCTTATATAATCCTCTTTAAATGCAGACGTCTCACAGTCGAACGTCATATGTAAGCCAATAGAAAAACATAATAACTCAAATTTCCTGAATTTATTTTTTTAAATGCACTCTAAAAGTAAATCTCGGCTTGCGTTTTAAGTCAATTGTCGCGTCACGAGCCTTGAAGGCATTGAAGATCAAACATGGAGGATAACGGTGACGTCTCCTGCACACTATGGATGAGGGAGATCTTAATATGAGGGTGATTGGGGTATATATATGGCTATTCTTCATAGGACACTAGGGGCTCCCCGCTACTTCTTATCCCCAGTTTACTCGCCAATAATACAAATTAAAATTCAGCAAACTGGTCGCGCAATTACGGACGATGGAATTATTAATAGCCACTTACAGACAGAAATTTAATTGTTAGATTATCGTTCCCAGCTGCATGTTAATTCTTACAAGAACTTAAGTGCATGTCAGCTAGATATAATATTCATTCATTCTGAGGTCCCAAATCCTTTGGATTTTATATTGCGGACTGTACACTCACAGAGAAAGAAAATGGGAGGAATACAGGATACATTAATACTGTTTAAGGTAAATTTTTGATCCAGAATTCTTCTTCGATGTGCATACATTGAGCATTGCGTTGTCTATAGTCATTTTATTTGTTTCCGACGCAGTTTGTAAGTTTTATTGGAGAGCTTTTACAACGTTCATTCAGCGTAAAAATATTTCAAATTTTCCAGGTAAGTAAATATCTTAAAACCACTGACGTGATTCTTCCAGCCAATTATTGATTGGTGTTTTGAAACGTACGTCAAATTACCAAACGTTTGCTGTCGATATTTTCGTTGAACGATTGCAGTAGTGCTTAAAATTTTGTTCAAATTACTTGTCTCACCTTCTCGGCATAAAGCCATCAATGGTTTGCTTAAAAGGTGTAACTCTTTCCTGTGCGTGGTTGGTTCAGATTCGAACTAAAACAATCTAAAAAAATTCTTATCAGTTCTATTAAAACGTTCAAGATATAAATACTGATATACATACAAAAACCGGCTTTTCTGTGATTGCTATCAACTGCATGACGCGTGAATGTAAGACATATAGAATAAAGAAGAAATGGAAGAAGTGATGAAATTGGGATAGTATGGGAAACTCTTCCATTAATCTTTCAACATGCATGTGGGTGCCGTCAAAAACATAACCAAGACGTCTTGTCACTTTAAGAAAGTCAGGCGATTTTATCTTTTTATCGTTCGCTCAGATATCGCTTCGCCCCACAGTTTTATACGCTACAAGATTATCTTTCGCGGATTAAATATTTGTGCTGATTGTTGCGTTTACACAAACCCCATGCATGCCGTGCCAGCGGCGGTGAGCTCTGGCACAAACCTGCACAAAAAACTAGACGTTTAATGTTATGCATGACGCTAGAACGTTACATTGGGAATGCTATTATTGGCTGAATGAAAATAGAAAAAATAAGATGCTAAATATATTCTTATTTGAAATTATTGAGCAGGTCCTGGTGCGGATGACCAGGTTACCAGTTTCTATATATAGGAAAGTCCGCTTATGCATGTTGTTTGCTTAAAATAGATGAAACTTAATGTCTTAATGCTCATCTAGACATTCTATATATGCATGCAAATAAGATAAAATATTTGAATTCTAGAAACTATAAAGTAAAAACATTCTGGATTAGACTCAAGTCATGAGGGAGGAAATGTGTTGATTAAAACATCTTTTTTAAAAATTTCAATTTCCTCACGAGGATTAGCTTCCATATCTTGACAGACGCAAAGAAGGCGTACATTATTTAAAATCAAAAGTCTTTGACATACAGCTGAGATAAATAAATTGCCTAAAGCTATATCGGGGCTAATGCTCGTATAACTTTGGCCATGCATATGTAATGTACCACAACAACGTCACGACAGCTGCTTTGGGCCAGCTCTGTGTTCAAAAAATATTAAATTTAGAACGTGATTAATTTTGGCTACAAATTAAACTTTGATTCAAAAATAAATCATGGTTTGGGCTGGTTCATGCAACAGTTAAAGTATCGCACGAGAACTCGATTTTTAATTAAAAAATTACAATTGGGTATAGAAAGTGTAAATGAAAAATATATTGGCGTCTAAAATTGAGCATTATTAAGGTAAGATTATTAATGGCGTACACGGAAAATGATTTATCTTTATGCCAAAGAAAATTAAATTGCTCTAAATCAGCTTATACTAGATTCATAATTTTCTTGGAATTTATTTACCAGAAATAAAATAAGAACATATAACAACGGGAATCTGTTTTAGTCGACCTTTAAAAAGAATAAAAAAGTGTCCTGTTAACGTAAGGTATGCTTTTAAGAGCAGGCTTTTCAATAATGCATGGCTTTAGTGTTTAGGATCAATTCATACCGGACACGAAGCGAGGTAATGCCCATAAAACTGAATAATCTTCGGTAATTTATACGTAAAGCTGTGTGCTTGTAATATTAAGTTCTACCAACCACGATATATCAATTTTCAATACGGGCAGTGCATGAGACTGGAGAGAACCTGAATTGCCCGCGAGCCTAAATTTTATATGACTCGATTAATTCATCACTTTAAATGCATACGCAGTTTGATTGACAAGTATTGACAAGTGCTTTAGCTGAATTTTATCAATCAGTGAATCCTCTTGGATGAATTATACAATACATAACGGAAACAAAACACTTTCAAAATAGTTGCTATAGAAGTTGCACCTTTAGCGGTTCGGCAAAGGGCATATCTAAGAGTAATCGTAGTTTATAATCGAACCACATCATGTTTAGTTATATAGCGATTATTTTTTAGATAAATAATTGTTTGTCCAATAATACGAAAAGTTCGTTTGTTTAACACTCGGGGAAAACATTAAAACATGTTTATATATTTTGGTGTCAAATTGTCTCGCTATAATTAGGTATTCATCCGTAAATAAAAAATGAAATAAAGAAGTGATCTTTCGTATCATGTTGGGGTAGGTTTTTAAAAATAGCATTGGAGCACCATTGGCGTTGTTTTATTCTATTCAACTTTCATATTCTAATATATAAACGCATAAAATATTTTTGGCTAACACTTCGAAACACCTGTTTCATCCTCTGTGCATGTTAGTGTACATTCCTAGCATAATATTATTGAATGCGTGCAATACCTGTCGAAAATAAAATCTTAATGAAAACATATTTATGCAGCCTATACCTCACTTGTTGTGTTATTGTCAGTTGTCAAAATATATTTTGGCTGAAGAAAGCGAGGGTTTTATTGAAATCTTAATGTTTCCTGGGACGAACTACATATTAACGGTGTTGAGTGGTCAGCAAGGAAAGAAGGTTTTTTCTTTGAAGTAAGATTTGTGATATGCATGTTTATATTTGAATACAATACAGTGGTTTAACTGAGTAATTTTTGTTAAGAGCGATATATTGCCTGCATGTAATACTATCTTGGTTAGTGCATAAAAACCTAGTTTAAAAATAATGTAGCTATATACTATCATAGACAGTAGATATAACTTATGTAATGCATCATGATTATAAGTATATGTAAAGGTATAGCTGTATATTCATGTAGCACAATTTGTTCAAACACTTTATAGCTAAAGTTATAGCCTTATATCGCCTATATGTCAGTTTGTATATGGGTCAGTTGGTAGGCAAGTTTGATGGGTTAGTTTAATATAGTCAACGGAGTAAAGATTAGTGATAAATGATTTTTTATTCTTAAAAATCATTACAGCATCTGTATCGACTATTCTCCACCAAACCGCAAGGTTGAAGTGATTTACGATTATCATGTATCTGTGGTTTTAAATAAGAAGTTTTTTGTTTGTTTTTTTCGTCTTTGGAATGAGAATTCCCATCTTACTCGGGTTGACATGCTTTCTCGAAAGAAATAAAAGAAATATAATATCAACTACATGTGAATATTTCTCTATAGGATGGAACAAGCCTTCATTTCATGTTATTCTGTTTATTATAGATGACGCGACGTAAAAGCTTTTACCTGGCGTTCGGTCTGTTTTTACTGACATTCCTAGCTCGTTCATCGCTCTGTGTCAAGAAAAATGTTACTATACCAGTCCTTGCTCCTTTGATGAACTTTAATTCGGATCGTTATGCGTACGGAGTGGCTGCTAGATATGCGTTTGAATTGATAAATAAACGAACTGACATCTTGAAAGATTATCACCTTGTGCCAGAAATACACGACACGATTGTGAGTTTTTACTGAATACCCTCATCCAGCATATCTAGTGCAAAAGAATGTAACAATGTCCTAAATTTTCTTTTCTTAGGGAAATATAGCGAAAGCTCTCCACGTTATGCATAAGATTATAGACGCTAGCAAATGTGAAGGTGGACATTCACTTCCCCCTGCAATTATCGGACCAAGTTTTTCAAAAACGTCAATAGCAACTGCACGTTCTATAACCTTCTTTTACATCTTACAAGTATGTATGTTTTAAATCAAATTAGTCAAGAACCTAACGGCATTCTATACCATTCAAAACTATACAGTTCCACCATATGCCATACTAAACTATTTAACGGCATACCAACTTCTCAATCACGACAATATAAAAATCAAATAATTTATCATTTTTAGTATACTTATGGAGCAACTTCACCTATTTTGGACAGCCATCATGATTTTCCATTTCTGGTTCGAACTTTTCCTGGTACGTCAATGTTCAGTGAAGGCCATGCAGCGTTAATGAAAAGATTTGGATGGAAAAGAGCTGGAATTCTTTATGACCATCATGAAGAAGATGGTATATTTAATAAGGTAGCGGATATTTCCTTTAAATCTATGCATAGTGACAATTGCCACGAAAATCTCTAAATTCGTATTGTAGCATGCAGATCTAAGATTATGTAGAAAAATTTATAAGTCATACCAGCCACCAGGCCATCGTCATTCATTTCCAAAACAGAGTATACTGGATAACACAGTACTATTTTTGGTATTTTCGTTCAGCTGCGATAATATTCTCTGCATTATTTTAGATCACAGAGAATTTGATGGAGAAGTTACGAGCTCACAATATTACAGTGGCTGGGGTTGAAAGTGTTGACGCAGGAGCATCTGAACATAAAACATCAGATGCGGAAATCAGAGAACGTTTAGAAAGATTGAAGGTCAGAAATTTTGAATCAAATGAAATCTCTGACTCTTGTGAATGCATAGAAAATGAAGGATTTGTGGACATTGACGCATCTTTGTTCATCTGATCACACACTATAGATGATTCCAAATACATCTTATTCCTTTTACAGGCAGCAGATATAAAGATATACTTTGCTCAGTTCACCCATGTTCGTGCCTACCGCATTTTTTGCCAGGTAATAGTTCCTTCAGAAAAATGATCATTTCCTGAGCCGAACTCTAGAGAGGGTGATTACGCCGGAGGATTTCCTCCTGTGATAACTGAGGAAGTTGTAAATGAATCTATATGTTTCAATGTATTTACTTTTTTGTCTTTTCAGGCGTTCAAATTGGGTATGTTTGGCAAGAACTATGTGTGGATTGTCCATCCTCAAGTAGAATCAGTAGATAAATGGATTCGGTCTGAAATAACTACCACAGGACTGAATAGAGAATGCTCGGAAAGTGATTTTAAGTTGGTCAGTGAGAGAATGTTCCATTTCTACCAGCAAGAGTTTCGAAACGATGACAAGAAAACGGAATCTGGCTTGGTAAGCGATTGTATAATGATTGTAGTAGTCAACGGGGGAATAAAGTAGTTTTTTGAGGGTGGGCATGATGATTAATTTACAAGCAGTTGATTTTCGCCTTTTCTTTACGTGCATTTGTTTCTAGACTGCCGAAGAGTACATAGACTACATTGAGAAGCATCGCTTGAGAAACGAAAAGACTTTTATATCATCGTTTGAAGGCCATGGTTATATTTTTGATACAATATGGAACATGGCTCTGACTCTAAACAAATCTATACCTGAACTGAAAAAACTTAATATCTCGTTGGAAAAGATGCCTGCTTCAGGTTTGGGATCGATTGGGATTTTGACGAAAACTGCTCATAATATAGAATTTGAAGGAATCACGGTAATTTTACTAAGTTCAGTTCTCTGAACGAAATCCAACTTTGTTTTGATTTGAGTCCTCAATCGCTTTCTCCACTTCTTTACAGGGTAAAGTAAAACTCAATCAGCCAAGAGGAAGGATTGGCGTGCTAACTTTGTTTCAAATAAGAGGTAATGGATTTTGTGTTATTTTTTAAGTATTTTCATTGTCAATGCATAAGACTGAAAAAGGTTCCTTTTTTAACCTTCGGATCCAATATTATCTTCATCTAATTCAGATAAAAAGAGTCACAAAGTTGGTAGTTATCAAGGTACTACAGGAAAACTGGATGTGATCAAGGACGATGAATATTTGTGGATAGGTATGATTTATATTTAGTTCTTCCAGGAAATCTTTCGCAAGAACAACAAGAATGCTAACGGTCGGGTATTGTAAAAACGGAGATATCAATGTTGATAAAATGAATATATTTCTATCATGTTTGTTTTTTTGTCAGATGGCCATGTACCAAGTGATAGATCACTAGAAAGAACTGCTATTCTTAACATTCCGATTCCACTTTACCTTCCGTTGTGTCTGGTAGCTGGTCTTGGAATTATCTTGGCAATTGGTGTTCTGATTTTCAACATTTATCATAGAAATGAGAGGTAAATAACGCCTACAAAATACGCCTTGAAGAATGGCAGATAATTTGACACTAATAAGAATAGGAATTGCCAGATGATATAGCTTATTTATTCATCCCCATATTTCTTCAAACTACTGGTGGCTGTGTAAATTAAACGATTAAATTCCTTGAGTACCGTAATGTTAGCTGTACCAACCACACTTCAACTGAAACCAGGCGTTTCAATTACTCGTATTCATTATTTTCAGATATATCAGAAAATCTGCTCCGTTGTTTAACAATATTATAATCGTTGGTATAATGATGTGTCTATCAACTGTTGCATTCTTTGGGTTTCCTGTCGAACTGGGGGATAAAGATAAATTCTTGTTGATGTGCAAGGTAAACCCTATACATCCTTTTACACAGTCGCCACTCTGCATGGTATGAAAATCATGGGGTGGTTGGCAATTGTGAGGAAGTGGTTTACGTGGTGGGTGCATGGAAAATATCATGATTATTTCACGGGAGGTGAGCTTTTATGGTGAAGAAAAACTATAAAGTAATTTCTAAATCATTTTCAGCTGCGCACCTGGATTCTTTGTATTGGCTTTTCTCTGTCATTTGGTTCAATGTTTGTGAAAACCTGGAGAGTATACAAAATATTCACAAACAGAAAGCTTAAATATTCGGTATGTTTGAATTTGGGTTTAATACATTGGCACAAATATATATTTTTACTTAGCGTAACGAGCGAACTGAATTGAATTGATCGATGAAATAAATTAGTTGAACAGGTTGCTTTAACTCTCCTGTGAAAAGCCAAGAGAGTATGGTTCTTATGCCGCTGTAAAAGAGTAGTTTACAGTTCCTAAGTTATCATGAATAAATAGACTGTGGAAAGTTGTATGACTGTCTCTCATCATGCTGATACATCTCACTTATTTTAAGATTCATTTTTTGTGTTTCTAGATCGAGAGACTCAGCAACATTAGTCTTATTGGTATGGTTGTGCTAATTGTTGCACTTGATATCTTCATCATATTACTTTGGCAATTTATTGATCCTATGGTGGTCAAAATGCACAGCATGCCGAAAGAGGTTGGAACAAATTACCAAACAAATTTCTTTTGTTCATTTTGACACCATGCATTTTCAATTAATCGGGATTTTCTGAAATGAAAGTTTGAATACATATAATAATGATCATATTTAGGTTGATCCAGATGATCCTAATTCTGTCCTTCTACCAGTATTGTACACGTGTCATTCTCCCAATCAAGACAAATGGGTGACTACAATCTATGTTATAAAGGGTATCTTATTACTCTATGGTTTGTTTCTTGCCTACGAGACAAGAAATGTTCAATTTGAACATCTCAACGATTCCCGAATGATTGGAGTATGTGTGTACAATTGTGGTGTGATGAGTGTGCTTGGTGGATTGCTGGGTGTAATATTGAATGAAAGTTATTATAAGGAGAGCTATGGAATTACCGCAATCTGCATTATATTCCCGTCGCTTGGTACACTTTTCTTGATATTTCTCCCGAAGGTAAAAATGAATATTTTTAAATTCCTATGCATAAAGAAATGAGATAAACCTTCCAATTCATCACTGAAGCTGAAATTTAAAATATAAATTTTATATTATTTAATAAAGGGTAAGAGATTGATACTTGGCATTGATTTGACGCCAAATGGATACGCAAGGGTATTTAAACAATAAATATTTTAAATATACCGTGTTAAACTTTTATCATTTTCTGTAATCTTAACTTTTAATCTTATGAGTTCTAACTTCTTCAACATAAAGATCGATCTAAACGTACTGTTAGTTTCTGTTTTAAAGCAATGTTTATGAAGCGCGAGCATTTATGTTTAAAAAACTGACCTAATTTATTGACAATGGTAAAACCGTAAAGTTATAAGCTTTGGTGTACTTCGTAACGAGTAGATGCTGCACTTAAACTTATTTTTGAACCAGGTATAAAAATTTTCATGTTTGCAGTCCTAACTAAAAAGAGAACTATCCAGAGTTTCTCGTTGTGATAGACGTTGGACTGATTTCTTTTTTCTAATCCATGCTTCAGGTGGTGAGGTTTGTTAAACGAGACACACACGGCTCTGAGACGGAAACAACGGACGGAGTGGTTATAGAGGGACCCGGAGCGAGGAATAACTTTCATTTAAGAAAAGACAGTGTCTGTAGTGAGGGTGTGACGTCAGTCTCGAGCAGTATTCCTTGCACGAATAAAATGCCCATCTATGAAGAAAATGGCCAGGCCGCTGTGTCGCCAACGAGCGGGAGTTACGCAAGTGAGTCCTCGGCCTAGCCTCGGGACATCATCGTAAAACATTTCTGGAATTGGAGTCTTTGGCGTAGCTCAGTTAGCTAGTTTCAGTAAATCCCGCGAAGCTGTGAACGATCAGTCCCAGTCAATATACGAGTTTTTTGACTTTTGACATAGCCATCGGTTCGTATGGGACGGTAGTGTTTATCGTCGGAAAAGAAAAGATGCTCAAATTCACATTTTTCGAGTGTTCTCATTTCTTTTCTCATGCAAAAATGTTTGCAAAACGATAAATCAAGAGATACTCAAGTATTTCTCTTTGAGAGATCTGAACGGTAAATACGACAAATGATACAAAGGCTCGTAAACAAATGCTCAGTGCATTTTAATTGTGCAGAGGGCGAGTGAGAGGACAGTTATTTCTTAGTTGTTAATAGTGCAGATACTTGACATGGGGTCGATCAAGTGTCAAGGGGACCTGAGAGCTCTTCATTTGGGTGTGGTCCAGCTGATCGAATGGTCAGTAAATTACATGTAAAAACCCCGAAGAAATTGTACAAAGGATAAATCGCTTGTAATAATATAACATGAAAATTTTGAATTTTTCATTGTGCGGTGTTTCTCATAGAATGACGACATAATTTATATAACTAGCGAATAGACGAATCAGCTAAAATGGCAAGCCTTGAAGGGGGAAGATAAATTAAACTATTTAAGCTTTTCCTCGTCTCGGGGGGCGGTCTCTAACAAGTATATGCATAGAAAATGCCTAAAAAGAAACACGCTTGGAAATTACAAGATTAAACGCCTAAACGTTTTATTTATCTAGTTTTATCTTTGTTCATCTTCACCCGTAGTCTTTTGCTCGCCCCCGCGTCCCCCCCCCGGAGCTCTCCCCGCTCCACGCGTGCACAAAAAATGCAGGCGCGATTATGGTGATAAACAAAACAGATTTTGAGAATATCAGATATTGCAAGTGTGTGTTCGTGATCATTCTGTTCTTACGCTCTGGTCTTTGAAGAACTTGCTTTCTATTGAAACATTTGATCATAAGAAAGACGTTTATTCTCCAACAATGGCCCGGAATGAATTCACCGTACAGTTTTTCGTCGTATTATCAGGTAAATATTTTTTGTAATGTGGTGTTATAGAATTTTACGCCCTATTAATAGTGACTAGCTATTTGCCTATAAACTATAAACTGTCGAACATTTCTTTTCTTTTACTGTAATCTATACTTCTTAATTATATAAGGGATCTTATTTCTAGCCTTATAAATCTAAATTTGCCCTATATCTCGGGAAAACATTTCAAATTAATTCATTATTAGCCGGCAGACTATGTTGAATCTTTCATGCGTGTTAAAACATTCCTCGGTACTATCAACTTGACATCTAACCCATTTAATTTTATTCACTACCCAAATATTTGTACGAACTATTTTTCTCACGCTGAACGTTCCATTCAACTTTATTCTGCAAGAAAGGTTCTATTTCCCACAAAAAGATTCTTTACTCATGCAAAAGATTCTAATTACTTAGTTCCCACACTTGCTACATTTTGGAATAGTTTTGATACATTTTGACATACTTTAGAATACTTTAATGTGACATATTACAGTTCTAAATAAAAAATTGGATTTTAGTACTAAAACTGGCTTTTCTTGATGTATTTAAGCATATTTTTAAGAGGTATGAATATTTCTTTTAGGTATTTATATTGTGTTTTCCTGTTTAAGAATCAGATAATAGGATATACAGTAATTTTGTTACTGGCTTCCATTGCTAATGTGCTTCCAATATGATATCACTGTTTTAATACAATATCACAATATTGTTTTTATCCTGTTTTAATATTCAATCATTCTTAATGGCGGTAACTAAGTGAAATATACCACCTATGATAAATAAGGATTATACAATAGTGTAAAATGAACATTGTTTGATACAGCAAGATAATCTTAATCATACCCCATAGGTTGTATCAAGAAAAATAAGACATGATGTGTTCATTTTAGTTTTAGTTACCTTCGCAAGTGCAGATATTTTTATGAGTAATTTCCTGCCAGTGCTTCAGAGAGGTTACTTTATGAAATATGCACTTGACAAAAAGAAGTTTTCTCCATACAGTGATTTACCAGGTATGTAAATTTCTATCAATCTAATTACTGCGGTATCCTTCTGCTGACAATATTTATATTTTGAAAATATGTTTATCTAGAACGTGAGGTTTCATTTAACTTCACAACTGAGCTAGATTACCCTGAACTACCCTCCTGGCTTTTGCTGGAACAAAGGAGAGCAAGTTCGAAGCCATTTCTTTATGGTGCCCCGGGAAAGTGGGATGAAAGTACTAAACTTGAAGTAAGTGTTTCTTTTCTTTTCTTACCCGTTGCAATTGGTCTGAGCAGTAACTTTACCCTTAATTTGAAGAGGCTTGCTTTTGAAAACCTTTATTTAATAGTTTGCTCATAATAATTTCCACACTTTCCAGTAGCATACTGAAACTTGCGATTCTAGTTGATGCAGATGCACTAAATATTAGTTCATTATTATTAAAACAGATTATAGGCTGGGATAAGGATAATTATACAGTTATCAGGACTGTACAAGATGTAAACATCAATGCTGATAATGGTGAGCACAACACATATGTATATATATAAAATATGAAAGGTCAACCTATTTCCTATGTACATAGTTAAAAATCAACATATATCTACTTCTTCTCTCCAGAAATTGCAACTGCATATGGCCCTGATCTTTAAAATTCATTAACAAAATATTATTTTTAAAATATTAAGATTTTCCAGTGTTCCAAGCTGAATTCTTTATAAAAAACAAGAATTTGGATGAATTTTTGGATAAAGATGAGTACAAAAATATTACTGATATTGTAAAGAAATATTGGTCACCGGATGACCTCGGATCAACAATGGTTATCTCGGCAATTGGTCATGGTGGACGATTTCCTTTACCTGATTCTAACGACCATGAAGGGTATGTACCTATGGGTGTACGTATTAAGATTCTAAATCCAGATTTTTTTGCAATACTTCATAATCATTAATCATTGCAATTTATTCTGTTGTCATCACAGGGTAATTGTGCGTGTTGGTAGTTCTAAGATGTGGCCTGAAGCTAACAGTAGTGTGCTACAACCTGGAAAAGAACCAAGTCATGACTACTTCAAGGACATGGGCTATGAAATCAATTGGTCTCGCTTTAAATGGGTCAGTAAACTTTTATCTTTTAGTTTTGAAATTGGCGCAAAAAAGAGCAAAGTAACAATGAATGAGAGACGATCCTTTCCTGTGGAACGAAAAGCTTTGTCTTAGTGCTGGTTAAAACAGTTAGGTTATTCTGGGTACACCCATAAATAAAGAGGTTGTTAAATTTTTCTAATCGCTATCTTTTTTGTAGGTTGATTTACGTCAAATGAAATCACCGAAAGCTGAACAACAAGCACTCTTGCCTCCTGATAGAATAATCAAAGCAGTCAGTTATTCTCCGCCAGTTTTCGATGAAGATGCGAGAGACTTCGATATTGATTTTATCCTGATAGTGATCATCCCGATAATCATAATTATTATTTTTGTCCTTATTCTCAGTCTCGTCATGTGCTTTGGCCGTGAAGGAAGGTACATTCAATTTTAATGCGATTGCAATGAAAACTATCTGTCATTGAACAATCAAGATCTGAGAGTCTAAGAGTAATTCTAAGCTTAATGTTTTCTTTCATACAGGAAAAAACGAGATGAGCAAACGCCAAAGTAAGTTGCTACCATTACGTAGAGCGGTTGTTTTCAAAGTCGGAGTCAATAATAAATGGAAACCTAATCTTTCCAGAAGAACAACAGTAAATGATTCGCAACAGTTTGAATGATTCGCAAAGTAATAGCCACGCAGTGACTATCTTTGTCTTTTATTGTTCCTAGTTTGAAACTGACGCACCATCACAATATACAAAGATCAACCTTGCGTCTGCGTGAACTGTCAAAACCAAGAGAAAAAGATAGCCCTCCCCACCCTGGTTCTGAAGACCCTTCACGGCCACCGCATGCCCATGGTGAATATGTCAGGTTAGCAATACTGGACTATAATTTGCAATGCTGTTTCAATAGTTTTTATACCTCCTGTTACCTAGTTTTTCATTTCAAAGAAGAACTGTTTAGGTCTAGATGTAATGGAACAGTTTCCATGCTTAGTAAAGTTAATAACGCTAATTTAGACTTGCTGATGATGATGATGATCGCACTGATGGTCGAAATGCTCCACCACCATATCGAATGCCACCTGGAGGTAAGTAGTCCAATAGTGACTGGTGGTTACCAATAATTCCAAAGTCTTCACTCACAACATAATAAAATTTATTTCTCCAGCTGCTGGGCCAGGACAAGCTCAGCAAGTCTGACAGCTGCTAATGGTTAGTTATTCTTTCAATATTAACCTCAAATTTCAAAATAAAATAACATTTAAAAATATCTTTCTTTTAGAACCAAGTGTTGATGCAAGTCGATTATATTTAAAGTTTTTTTTTATATTGAACATCACGTATCTGCTTATAGCTTTAGTTTTAATATAATTTTTTAGTCTCCAATTTGTCTGTTCAGTTTTGTTCTGTCCATATCTTTCACTTTGTCTTCACAAGAAAACCTGATGCCAAAAACCTACATAAATCATAATAATTTTTCTGACAATTCTCATTCATATCAATCAAAAGCATTTTGCTGTATCCAATCGCTACTCTTCAAGAGTAAACCATAAACCAGTATATTCAACCCTGATTACTCTGGTCAAGTACCATGACTATCATGGTACCCTGATGGTACCATAATCAGATCTTTTGAATGATTGAAATTTGGGAAGTTAACGGAAATACGTCATAATTATTTATCGCATGTGAAGTTTAATTTTGATGGTCGATTAAAAAACAGAAATTCACGATTTGAACAACGTTTTCTTTGTTTATGTATATATTTTGGTTAAAATATCGCTACAGAATAATCGCGGAGTCCTCCAAACATTATAAATGCATAAAGTAGCCAAATATAAAAGGCAAAAAAAATCATCAGAAGTCTTGCCCGAAATTCTGCGTTCAGATGAGTCGGAAGACGACCTTGTCGAGTTCATCAATAATTCTTTCCCTATAAATGGCCCAGCTGGGGCGAACAACAGCAAGAAAAGAAACAAAGGCAATGTAAGATCCAATGACGAAGAATCCAGTCTGCAAGAAATAGATTTAAGTGGAGGAAATGCGCAGACAAGCTCAACAGGATCTAATGTGTACGACTTGTCAAGTAATGGGGACTCTATTATCTTGGGTGACAAACCCAGAAGTGCGAGATCACGATTATGCATTGCATTTGGACTGTTTGTTTCGTTTTTCGCCTTGGTACGTTTCATACATGTTGTAAAATGTTTTTGTTTAATAATGGGAGTTCTATTGTAAAAGTATTTAAAAATTATCCTCGCAATCATGTGACTTCTCCGGAATGACAGCCAGGCAATCAAACAACTTCAGTGATGATTTTTGGCACAAACAACTTTTCAAAAAGTAATCTTTATTGGTGAAATGTCACTTCTGAGTGTGGCCCCTGTTTCTTTCCAACCACAATATAATTTCAAAGATTTCATTCCTTTTTGAAAACATTTCTTTTCTATGCTGTCAGGGGAAGAATAGTGTGAAAGATTTTTAAGCACTGTTTACACTATACACAATTTATTGGCACAGCACAGCTGAAAGTGATACCTCTATGCAATATTACCGATAAAATTGGTATATGGCACCAACTTTAGACATCCTAGCTGTGCCCAAAAGCAGATGCTTTAGCCTACAATAATGACATTTATAAATGTTTTATTTTATAGGGTATAGCTGTAGCAATGCTTGGTCCAAGTTTATTGGATCTAAAAGATCAAGTAGATACCTCATTTCAGAGCATGTCATGGATTTTCACATTTCGTTCAATTGGATATCTTCTAGGATCAGTCATAGCTGGATGGCTTATTGATAAATGGAATTGTTACCTAGTGTTGGCAGGATCATGTTTTATTGCATCAATTTGTTTGGTCATTATACCACTGACTAGGTCATTTTTTGTTCTAATCATAACAGTTGTATGCCAAGGATTAGCTCTTGGATCTCTTGACACAGGTAAGGTTGGGTATACCAGATATTTCTGGTCTATTAGTATATTTTTTTAGACACCAGTACTGATGAGATTGTATTTAAATGCATTTAAGAGATGGAGAATATTTTACAGTTATTTACTACAGTTATTTATCTTACCAGTATGGATTCTTCTTTACCTTCCTCATAATGTGTTTCAGGTGGAAATGTATTAATACTCAATCTATATGGCAAGAATTCTGATGCTCAAATGCAGGGACTACATGCAATGTTTGGCCTTGGCGCATTCATCTCTCCATTACTTGTTGGACCCTTCCTAACGACGGCAGCATCAGCTGTAAGCCCTCAGCAGAACATGACCAATCTCACATCCCCTAACATCACATTATATCCCAACTTCACCCAGGGAAAAAATGATAGTGACTACTTGAAAAGCAACAGCCAAGACATCAATGGCTCACTACAATATCCTTATATCATATCAATGTTGTTTTTTGTCATGCCTATAATAACTTTTGTTGGAGCAGCCTTCCGAGACAATGGCCGTAGTCAACAGGGGCGAGCTCAGGCAAGAGAACAAGCGCCCACTAGCGACCTACGTGCATACCGAGGTTTTACACTTGTCTTGCTCTTTCTATTTCTATTGTTGTATGTTGGACTTGAAGTTGCTATTGGTGGTCTCATTTTCAGCTATTCCTATGCACATGGTATTTTGAAGTCAAAAAGACTCGCTGCTTATCTGACTTCAACTTTTTGGGGTAGTTTTTGTGCTGGAAGGTTTTTAAGCATACCATTGTCATTGTATGTTAGAGCTTATCGTATTTTAATCATGGATTTGGTAGGATGTACAATCGGTGCGTCTATCTTAGTATTTTTGGCCAGGTTTGTTCATGTTTGGTTATGGGTTGGTGCTAGTCTACTGGGCCTTAGTATGGCTGCAGTTTTTCCCTCAACAATGACCTGGGCAGAAAGTTTCATGCATATTTCTGGAAGAACTGCGTCAGTCTTAGTCGTGGGTGCCTCGTTCGGTGAAATGACAATACCATTGGTTGTTGGAACTTTGATGAATCACAAGGGCGCTGACGTGTTTGTAGAAGCCATTTTCGTGATCATAGTTTTGACGATAATTGTATTTATCGTGACTTCGGTACTGGCAAGAAGACAAAAACAAGAACAGGTCAATGATTTTGGCATTCATTACCGGAGAAGCACAGAACAGTCGAATCATAATATATTCTCGAAGGGAGATGAAATAGTCCAGCTTTTGGAAGATAGTTCCGAGATATTTTCAGTTGAGAATTAAAGATTGTAATAAGAGACATGAAGTTCGTTGTTGGATAAACTTGATCCTAAAAATTACTATTAGTTAATTACTATGAGTTGATCTTAGTTGCGATTGTTACACTATACCTGACCACAGAACAAGAGCTGTTTCTGAGGTGACTTGTTTTTACCACTTGTTGCCTCCAAAACTCTCGAGACGTCATTCAAAGTTAGATCAATGATATTTGATTATCATAGGACAGTCCCACCATCATTTGACTGGCAAGAGGATTTTCTTCAAAAAAACTTTGCTATTTTTTACGCTTGACAACACGACAGACCACAATACTTCTTGGTAATTCTGGGAAATGTATTTAGATCTCTAAAATCAAATTGTTAAATAATATATATTGTGATATAGAATAAAGAAAACCATATTTTTTTACTTACTTCAGTATCTTTCGTGATATATCAACGACAACGATGTTATAATATTCTTGTATGTTTGCATTGTGACAGTCGATAAGTAATTTAGCTTGTAGGTACACCACGTAAGTATTTAATACTGCAAAAATTTATTGCAGAAATTTATTCCAGTATTAAATACTTATGTAGTGTACCTACAAGTAAATTACTTATAGACAACGATGTTGTTCTTATGGTATTTCACCGAAGAGCGTTTTATGGGTCGACCTTTTTCAATCTCTTTGTGTCATCCGACCAATATGCAAAGCAGAAACTTTCACATGTTGTTTTAGTTAACGAAAGCGTTCAGGCAGGTACGCTTTAGGAAAACCTGCTGGTGTTGAAAACATTAGCGGCCGTGAACAAACGAAATTCTAGAATGCTATCACAGCATGTAGCTATATTATTGAGCAAATCTCGATGTTTTTGCGAACAATATGCCTCGTCCCTTGTTATTATTCATAAACTATGTATTTCTGTTGTTTTCCAGCAAAACTACGTTTTGTTTCTGCAGGACGGAGAGAACAAGTAAGTCTTCTTTACGTATGTCGAATTTTATTCTGTTTACCCACTAATTTGGTTCGACATTTCAATTTACAATTTCAAAGTCTTCCGCAATCATCATCCAGTTGCGTCGGGCTCATGCAATAAAATAACAAAAAAAGTCTGCGTTGTACTAGAATTTATATGCGTTAATTGTCGGAAACCAGTGTATCTTTTCTTTGTCCATCCGTAAACCAAACTAAAATAGCACTTTATGTGAACAAAAATGTGTTTTTTGCAATTATTTTGTTCATTGTCAATCAGAACTTGAATAAGTCTTATACGTTCGATAGTTATTCGCTTGAAAACGGCGGACGGGAACAGCCTATTTGTTTTGTTTTGAAAACGTTCATCGTAAATATAAACAGTAAATAATGTTCAAAATAAGAAATAATCCTTGAATTTGGAAAGATTTTAGGCGATGCCGGAAGATTGATGACCGCATGCGGAATATGTACGCGCGCATTTAATGGTAATTAGAGATACGATATGAGTTTAGCATCCAAACTATGATCCTTAAGGCAACAACCGTAAGCTAAATAATTATATTCCTGCACCAAAGTTTCCGTGTGATAGCCATAGGGGAATTTTTTACTGATATTGATAGAGACCCAGCATGTGATTTAGACCCATCTCGCCTGGCCTGGCCTGCAATGCTTCGGCTGCTCGGCTGATCACCATGAGGTTTGAAGCTATGACGCAGTTCACCGCATGTATTGTTTGTCACAGCACAAAGTCTTGTGTATAATATTACGATACCACTTCTCTTTCTTCAAGCTTATTCTTGTGATGGTAAAAACTGCAGCTCCTGCAAGATCACGGATATAGTAACGAATAACATGAACACAACAATCTACTGGTCATCAAAATATTCGCATAATGATACAACAGTAAAGTATTCTCTGCAGTATAATTATGATTACAGCGAAAATTGGACTTCTGTGCCTTGCCCAAGCCCGCAATGGCATAACGACAGCGGCAAGATGAGCTGTGGATTATTGACATGCGCGACAGCAAGAGAAGAGTATTACGACGTACGCGTAAAGGCTGATACGAATTCAGCAGAGGGCTTTGTTACGCAATGTTCTGTGTTCAACCCAGTTGAGACAAGTAAGTGTGTACAGTTTGTTTTGGAAAAGCTCAGTAGCCTAAAAACAGAGATCAGCACTTCTCCTGCACAAGATCATCCTTACTGGACCTCAATGACTAGGAGGAACAGTTTAGAACTGATAGAGCTATCCATTATAAATAAAGGTAGCTTAGTTTAGATTTCCTCCTGTAGTAACACTGGACCAATAAGAAATGATCCATACTGGACCTCTCGAAGGAGACCTCTATGTCGAACAGTAAGATATACTAACGATTTCATATTTCCTCTAGATATCCCGTCTCCAATTAATGATGTGAATGTCACAAGGAATTCTTCAAAGTTAACAAAAATTAGTTGGAGACTTCCGAAAAATTTTTGCGCCAAATCAAAATACTGCATGAAATTTCTATATCACAAAGAAAGAGCGGCAAAAAATGAGGTAAATTCGGACGAAAATGACCGAAACACGGAATTTTTGGTGGAATATTTTGTCAACCTGAAGCATCTTTTTTATTTGGTTTTCTCTAGTCTCTTATTGTTTCGTCACAAAAAATGAATTCAACGTTTTTGTCTGGTCTGGATTCTTGTGCGATTTATTTCTTTTATCTTGCTGTCCATAAAGAACATCTTTGCTTCAGCACGATCGCCATTCTTTGGACAACCGGACCTTTTATTTTGCGCCCCCTGGCTTCCCAAAGTAAGTAAATGTAAATTGTCTTTCCTAAAACCGTGGTATAAGATAGTATCTTACTACTTTATAATACTTTAATGCATCTAATATCATTAAACTAAACCTAAAACCTAAGTCTTATACCATTAAATAAGTACTGGTAGTAACAAACCCAAACTCTTTATTATTAGATCCTGTTGTATACAACACTTCAAATGCTTTACGTGTTTTAAACTTCAACACAACTGTACATTGGAGGCAACCACAAACCTGCTCATTGGAATCATCGCAATTCAGCGTATTTTACAGATTAGATGGATCACAGCCAAACTGGACGAGATCAACATGCACGATTAAGAAAGACATAAACAATTTGTTTAGTTGCGAGTTTCTGACATGCGCAATTGCAAAGGATCAAAGCTATAACGTTCAAGTGAGGGTGAGAGGATCAAGTGGAAGACCTGAAAATATTATTTATTTTCAACCATCACTTGAAAGTATGTCTTTGTTTATAAAAACTTTGTAGTTGGGGGGAGGGGAGGGAGGGGTGTGTTGTCCTACATGCAGTTATTTCATTGCAATTATCTTAGTAGCTAAAGAATTGCCGATTGAGACCTATGCTCTCAACGGAACTTGTAAAATACTGACTTAAAGAACGCCGTTACGTTTCCCCGTAAAATGATAATAGAGGATTTTGACAATCGAATGAATCTTATTCTTCTTAGATATTCCAAATAAAATATCAGATATCGATGTCGCTGCGTTATCATCAACGTCTTTGCGTGTGACCTGGAAACTAGAACCACACTTTTGCAGAAAATTTTCTTACTGTTTGTTTTTTCTCTATCATGGCGACTCAAATCCAAAAAACAAGGTATCCTTTTTTAAAATTTATCATTTGAGCTTCAACAAAAAAAGAATGTCGTTGAAAGCTCTGAAGGCCAGGCACCGCAATAAAATATCTTATCCTTTTTAGTCCATAGAGGTTTCATATCCAGAACAAAGTCCACAATCAATTGTTGTTCGCAATCTTCTCCCCTACTCGAAGCAATACTTCTTTGCCGTCACATTTCGTCCTCGCCTGGGTTGTCGCTATGAAGCTGACCTTTCCCACGGTCCAACTGGACCGTTCACCGGGAGGACTCTTGAAGACGGTTGGTTATTTCTGACACTTGCGCAGTGATTACTGCATGGATGTCAGCTCAGCAATTGAATGATATCATTTTTTGTTCTAGTGCCATCCAGTCCTCCTATATTAATATGCAGTTTGTGTGACGTCATCGTACGTGGCAGGACCCGGGCTGGAGCAGTACGGTGGAAGGTAAGACGTTTTTTTTACACAGGAACTTCGACCATAGGTCATTTTCAGGTAGATTAAGCACATTTAAACCATGCACGAGACAGTTTATTGCCTTACCAACCGTCTGGTGGTCAGAATTCTGTAAAGAACTCGATCAATTTTGTGATTTCAGCTTTCTTTGTCTATTTTTAGTTGCCTCCAAAGAACAAATGGAATGGTCTTCCTCGGGTATTCGTCATCCAATGGCAGCAAAAAACAAACGGAAATTTCTCTGTACAAAAATGGAACAACAAGACGATTTTTGGGAGTCTTGCTGAAGAGGGAAACCTCACCGAGATTTTCGTTGATAAAGAATATGTCGTTCGGGTGAGAATGTGCAATGGCAGGGAATTATGTAGCAGGTTTAGCAAAGAAATGGCTATAGAAATTTTAAAGACAGAAGGCAAGTGCGAAATCAACGTATAACAAACTCTTTGATTTCCGCAGTCTGATCGGCATTCGTTTTTTGAAAATTTTTGAGCCAAACATTGATGGTATCAACAAAACTGCTCTTGTTTAGGACAATTAAAATGAAGACGTTTATTCTTATAGGTTCCGAATCAAAAACCTCGCACTCTAAAACTCTTGCAATTTCACTGGGTGTTTTATTCTCCGTAGTTATTGTAATTTGTCTTTGTGGGATAATTTATCTCAAACAGAAAAAAATCAGGTGAGTTACAGCAGCAGGATGGCAAATGTCTTAGAATGATGAAATTCGGATGAAATGTTAGTCTGCATGTTATCCCGTATAATTTTAGGTTTCAACAAGTATCAAGTACACACGCTCCTGTGCAGGTAGTTAATGTTCTTATTATACAAACGCAGACTCTGACTCCAAGGAAAGAACATCTCTTCTTGATTCAGTAAACCGTGAAGGATGACAAACCCTAAACTAAATTTCTAGATTCACCGCGTGTTAAGCCTTTGCTAACTTCTTTTCTTTGTAACATTAGCTACCTAGTCTGGAGTGTCTATCATATGAAAACATCGCCGGTTCAATGTCAAAACCAACTTATTCGCAACTCAGTCCTACTGACGAATGTTATGGACTAGAGGAAACACCGGGTAAAAATATAAGTCATTTTCATTACTTACAGACGGTGCTTCTTTCCCATCCCTGCCTCAATGGGTTGAGATACAGAGCTACTTGCTATTGATTCACAGCCTCCCCCCCCTTTCCTCATCAAGAAAAAATGGCATTGCAGCAGCAATATACTAAATATGTGTTAGAGGTTGGAATTAAGCAACATGTTTATCAAAACGTCTAATTTAATATCCACAGATACAAAATCTGCTAACATGGACCATACAACGGAGGAAGATAAATGCTAGAAGTCTGGAAATGAACACAGACCTTTTTCTAAAGAAAGTTTATTTTGTAAGTTTTTATTGTTTGTAGAATAGAGTCTAGTTAGTTTATTATAGTTATAACTATACTATGTGTCAATCTGTAACGCTGCTGTTAAATTGCTAAAGAATGTAATTGACAAGTAGATTTAACTGAAGTTTATAAATATATAAATATAATAATGTTTGAAATACAGAAGGTATAATCCTGGTTTCAATCCCAGCCCAGACCCCCTGAAACCTTATAAAGGAATAGATTTACGAGGATTAAAATTGCAAGCTTGAAATCCTGTCTCCTCCACTTGACCTTACCCTTTGTAAAAAGTAATTGTTTTTTTCCCAATAAATAACGATATGAGTACATGACGACATCTTCGCATCAGCAATGTCACAATTATCCCTATTGGAAAACCAACTACAAAAGCTTGAATATTCTAAGCAGGAGAACAGGTATATCCATAGCTATTTGGTACAGAGAAACTGGAATATTCCATGATTCAAAGAAGGCTCTTTGATTTAGATACGTCCGGGAAAACATGCGGTCACTACAGTTAATCTGACAATTAAATAATACGCCAACTGTATTTAGATTCACGTCAATTATTGCCGATAAGAAAGAATTTCAAACTTTCGATTTTTATTTTTTTAAAAACCAATTGTCGTCTATAAAATTGTCGTCTATAAAATAAGCTGTTTACGTATTATGTTACTATGTTTTCTTCTTTTGTATTTCATATATGCCGAACCATATTTCTAAGAATGAAACGCTTGTTTTGATAAACTCGGACGAGCAGTTACGAAATTTCCTAATAGATTAATCAGCTATTTCCTGACGATCATCGCCTTAGAATTAAAAAGAATTGAAATTCCATCATATTGTTTTTCATTTAAGATGTTTATTTTACTAAAGCCGCTTGAGCTTCCGTGCTGAGAGAAACTTCTGCTAGAGTTATTATCATAATAATTGGCGCAAAACAATAATATTCGAACGAAACACAATATGTAATTCATGGTTTCAAAGAATTTTGTGCAATAAGTAACCTCCTATCACGAAAAGATACGTTGCGAACTTGCGATTGTGAATATCCCACAGTTTGAATGTCTTAAAATATCACGTTTCTTTAATTACTCCTTATTAAAAATCAGATTATACACCTTCCATTCCATGCTGTTGAATGATATTGTCTGGATATTGCATGAGTAAAATAAATAACACATCGTTGACCATCATCGCAGAGCAACAAATTACCGGTGAGCTTAAATTAATGTTTATTATACTCGTATTCTTCATTTATATTTACTAAATTCAACGTATGGCGTTGCTAGTGGCGCTGAACATTTATTGAAATTATTTTCTAGGACACCTCAAAGGCAGGACCACTATTGATATTTTCACTTTTCAGGTAATTCCGGCGCGGATACGTACAATACCACACATTACCATAGGTGTTTAATGATTACATCATGCTTTATACCATAGGTGTACAAATTGCATACTTCTTTGTTTTCTGACTCAGATATACCTAACCAGATATAACGTGATAAAGATGCATCGAGTTTTTCTGGTCGAAGTTTGGTTACTCTTCTCGTTGTTCACCCATTCTTCTCAGGCAAAGCCGATAAATTGCGCATACTTGCAGAGTAAAGGTGAATATATATCTAGTTTTGCCCCTAAAGATGTATATTCTTGTAATTGCTCAGTAAAGTTCTTTTACTTCAGATTTTATCCCGTACTAACACTTGAGTAAAAAAGGTTTCTAGAGGGAACAGTTTTGAACTGACAGAGGGATCTAGAAAAATAATGTCAGTAAAATTTTAGTCTCTTGTAACATTGGATCAATAAGAGATGATCCTTACTGAACCTTTATAGGAAGAACAGTTTAGAACTGATAGAGCTGTCCTGTGTAAATAAAGTTAGTTTAGTTTAGGTTTCCTCCTGTAGTAACACTGGATCAATAAGAGATGATCCTTGCTGGATCTCTTGAAAGAACAGTTTAGAACTGATAGAGCTATCCAGTATAAATAAAGTTAGTTTAGTTTAGGTTTCATCCTGTAGTAACACTGGATCATTAGGATCAATAAGAGACGACCCTTGCTAGTCTTCTATATAGGAAGAACTGATAGAGCTGTCCAGTATAAATAACGTTACTTTAGTTCAGTTTTCCTTCGTACAAGATCAATCATTTATTGAAAATACGCAGACAAAGTCAAGTGTTTTAATTATGTCATTCATGTGACAATTGTTCATCTATCGTCAGTTACGGAACATTCGTGTTGGAAATCGACCACAAAAATTCACGCTATGCACGAGGTCGTGATATCAAAAGTCGGCTTCTTTAAAGAATGTTGCCAGTTTGATATTTCCTTATGTTTCTAATGCTTTGGCTGTTCTGATGTACTATCAAAATAGACGAAGCAAAGAAGAAATAATTACCATCAAATTACATTCTGATATTCTAGTTCCCAATCCTGAATTGACGTACATGCTGACGGGACAAATGAACGTGACTTGGCAGCAAGAAAAGACCGCTGCCTACAACTACACGGCTCATATTTGTAGCACCTCACTGATGTCACTCTCAATTAGTGCCAACCCGAACTTCTGCCGACCGTTCCAACCGATAAACGGCTGCTTCCAGAGGAGCTCGTCATCACATTCCAATATTCGTCAATGTAACACACAAGTGTTCCAATATTCTGAGTATTCTGTGTATCTGAGCGCCAGCTACCAAGGATGTCAGTTGCGTGGAAAAATAGTGAAAATCAAACCCAGATTAAGCAGTGAGTAATGCGGGGGATGTGAATATAGGAGATGGGCTGGGACCGCTGGTATAACTTGATATACCTGGTCGTAACACATGAAGATCAAGAATTTGGTTCCACTCTAAACTGCATGCCATCAGTGGTTTGTGACAGGGCAAGCTGAACAAATTTGCATAGTTTTAAGTTTTTGTCTGAAAACACATGCATGGAAGGAAACAATTCCACCAAAGATTCTGTGATGAGCTACTTTCTAGAAAGAAAGAGTTTTTTTCATTTGTTTAAAAGGGGGCTCAGTTTAGGTATAGTTTACCACTTTATCATGGAGATATGAACTTTCTTTAGTTGCTCATCCTGATCCTGTATCGAAGTTGAATGTTTACAGCGACCAAAAGAATGTTTTGTTTATTGAATGGACGAAAGCAAAACCGCAAGAAGTTAATTTTATGTATTCACTTCGATGCCAACTGGTACGATATTTGTTCCAACTTGTATGATTAACGCCTGGTGCAGTTTTCCTCCAACATCCCACATGTTGACAGCATCTTTTAATCCATGCCTGCCAACGTGTTTAGATCAATGCAACAAGCAAGCATTTGTGCTGTATTCGAGTACGTCTGCCCTATGGTATTTCTCGATATTACTCTGAAGTCTGCAAAACAAGTCAGAATATTCAAGGTATCCAATATCCAATGTGAGGTCATTAATTAAACTTGTTTCCTATCGTTTTTCAAAATTTCAAAATTATTTTTTCCTCAGTGTTAGCCTGGACGATTCGATGTGGAGATACACACGAGTGTAAAAAAGCTGAAGTCAACAACCTGAATGATTTTGTGGGTCGATTAACGGTAATATGGCTTCTATATTTTGACAAAGTTCAATCTTTACAATTGAATTACCCAATTGCTGATCGAGAGAGTACCTTACTATAAGTACGCGCAAGATACACAAACGAGCATCATTACAGGTGCAACAACACAGAACCTGCTTTATTTTTCTGCTTATCCCCGCCGGAAACAACGTGGGTGATAATACACGTAATAATACGCTAATATCTTTTCCTACAAAATGGTATAATCAAATTACTCTTATCCGCTTTTTCACACTGCAGACTGACGGCAGTAACTGGCCGCATTCCCCACCTGGAGTGATCCTTCAAGTAGAAGAAAAACAGTGAAATATTAGATTTCAGAATATTACCAAGAAATTCCTCATTTGATTTTTAAGCAAATCAATCAAATTATAGGTATTCCAATACAACCAGTATATATTCATTTGCGAAAGATGATTGATAGATTAAACATGGTGATTGTGAAAAAAATTTTTGTATATTATCTGAGTAATGTTTAATCAGCAATTTTATTTTCCCCTACATAAGAACTATGTGATCAAAATAAAAAGTTCCCTAAAGTACCTGATCTGAGTTCGATCATTAATATTTATAAATCATAATTAGTATTAGTTTTTTGCCTCGTAAATATCAGGAAACAATTTTGACAAACGTTATTTCTACCAACATAGAACAAAAATTACCCCCTGCGTTTTTTTCCTTTACCCTCCGGCAAAAAAAACAATGAAAGGACCGGAAATACACTTGGGTCGGAACCTTTGAATGTAGTGATCGCACATGTGACATTACGCATGTGTTCCGTCATCGTCCTAGTCAGTCGATACATTATTTTTCTGGCCAATAAACATGCTGTACTGAGTCAGGGTGTCTGCTCTCTTGTCACTTCATTGCATATTTTTACATAAAGAAACGAGGACACTTCGCACTGCAGAGTGTCTCTTCGTTGCCTCACATTACATCCCCCCCCCATCACATTTCGGGGGCAATTGCTTAGGGGCGAGTTCATGCCTTCCCCCACGCCACGGCCCACCCCTTCAAACTACTGCATAGGATCATTCGAAGGATCATTTTTCTGAAACTATACTAAAGATTGGGAAGCGATACGAGGATTGAGAATATCGATATGATAAGAATAGGTTATGTCGTATTCAGTATTGTAATACGTAAAAGCTGAACTCCACCCGTAAAATTTGGTGAAACATCTGGTCACAACTCACAACACCGTGCTTTATTCACCATGAATGTATTTTATAGAAAAGCCTACCCATTGATAAAGATAGATTCCATATTCTGTTCATCACTTAATTCTATTCTCAAACTGCTACTGGCGGAGCAAGTCAGACAACTATGGTTAGACCAAGTGAAGTGACTATGCATGGGGTCAGGGGGGGGAGGGTGAGGAGGCGTACGATCAGATGATTCGAATGTTTTTCAGTGTTGCAAATAAACATTGTCAATCAATATACACCGTAAAATTACCTGATCGGAAATTGAAATACGCAGAAAACGACATTGAACAAAGAGAAATCGTTTCTGGCATCTATCCATTTTCCTCGTATAATTCAGCAAGAAAACGGAGAATTACTCAGCCCTTGAATTGGGGAAGATAGTGCGATTTGTAAGTCGCAGCAAGAAGGATTTGTGTCGTGCTTTTGTGCTTGGCTTTGCGTATAAATAATTGGCTTTTATTCAAGAAAACTCACGCGATATAACGAACAATAGAGAAACCTTGGTAGAAGAAAGATTTAGTCCTGAAGTAGTCTGATTTGCCAAGCGATATCTACCTATTTCTAGTTCAATTCTACGGTTTAACTACATGAAATATGTGTATGCCCTGGGTCAGATGCTTGCTGTTTGTGATATTAATGTGTTTTACCGCATCTAGCAGCGGTGTTGAACCTTCCACAAGCTGCAGCGCTAACACAGGTAAATTTGTGTATATTTGTCTTTACATTCTACCGTTCATCATTCAATTTTAATACACTCTAATATATAATTCTCTGCCGAGGCGCAAGGCTTAACAACCATGCTTCGCCTTTGATCACTGAGAGATGTCGGCTATATTTGATATAGAATAATGCAAACATTGTTCTGTACAAATATAGCGATAAATACTCTTATAATCATTCTCTTTATCGTAAACTTTTCTTTATCCGTTTATTATACCTCTAAACGGGTCAAATATCTGCTTGCAAATGGAGTGTTTTGTGGGATTTCCCATCAAATTTCAATTGTCGTCCATTTTGTAGTTTCGTTTCTTGCCGTGTTTGCGGTTTATGTTTGTCTAAAATCTACCGTGTATTTATAACGTTTCATTCCTTGTCTTTATATCTAAAGGGGGACCCATTAATGCTGCTAAGAAAGACCTATTCTTTTTTTACAACTTGCAAAATCTGTGCATCTTTGAAATAAAACGTTTTAAAAAACGCCATCGGTCAGGGCACTTCTTGCCCGAGGTCAAGGTCTCTTCCTCTCTTAATTTATTCACATTGGCTGCAAGCTATTAAATGTTTGTTTGCTAAATTTTTTTTATGTTTGGTATATGATGTAGATGTCACGTAAAAAAAGTCATTAACTATGTCCTATATTGTCTATTTTAGTTTTTGACATCATTTATGATTATAAGGATGACGTACAAGCAGTTTGGTCACCATCAGTTCCAAATGCAAACTACTCTGTAACAGTTTGCTGTAACTATACGAATCCGGAAAAATCCGAAGATATTAATGAAAAATGTCCCAAATGCCCAAATTATTCAACTCTTAAAGATTCAGAATGCATTAATCGCCCAAAGAAGAAAACTGAATGTCCTTTTCTAAAAAATTTAAAAATGGATACTATAGACATTATATATGGCAAGTTGATTATCCAAATTCCTGGATGTTCAAAGAAACATATGGAAACATCTATAGAACCTATTGCGGATTGTAAGTTGTCAAAAAGTTTAATTATATAAAAATTGTTTGGGACACATTTTTCCTAGGAAGCAGAAATTGTTTGCGGACACATTTTCCCTAGGTTTTCAAAAACTTTCTTGTTCCGTGCAACTATGATGGCCCCCCAATCTCGAACCTACCCCCCTGCCTCTGCCTCTTCATGCAACATAGCAACAGAAGTATAAATGATGACTCCTGGTGAGTGAAGAAAGTCTGGTACGTATATGATGATAAGTAGGATTTAATTTGTATAGACATGAAGCTCAGGCCAGTCGAGAAGCTAACACTTCACAGAAAACATGGTGGATTCGTAGCAACTTGGGATCATTTAGATGATATGGAATTATGTTATTTCTATAATACAACAGAACTTTTAGACAATGGGAAGAAACGAGAGGTAAAACTACATTAATTTTATTGCTAGCATGCCACATGCATTGTTCACAATATAAAAAAAATTGAATGTCAATATAAAAAAAATTGAATGTCTATTAATTAAATAGCATTTTCAACATTTTTTCAGCTTCCAGGAGGGAAAACTGAACTGAAAACATTTTCTTCTTTGAACAAATACGGCCGCTTTAATTCCAACACACATTATGAATTTTGTGTCAGGTTACGTTATTGTAAATTTGTGAAAAGTCCGCTGTCTGAGATGAACTGTAAGAAAATTAAGTTACCACCTTCTGGTATGTTCATATCACTACTTTACAATTTTTAATCAGCTATGACATAGTTGAACTGTTTCTTCATCAGTCGATCAAAAAATGTACACTGTCAGCTGTTATATATACTATTTTTTTAACAGCACCATCGAAGTCCATCAAGCTGTTGTGTGGTGTCAAAGGCTTCCCTGATTGTCTTATTGTTAAGAATGAAATGAAGCAAAATGTCACTCTAATTTGGAAGGTAGGTATCATTTAATAATTTCTAGTCAATCAATTAACTAGGGGAAAAAAAGAGAGCCAAATTTTGTCTATATTAAAACTTACTGAACACATTTATTTTTGTTCAGCTACCAGAGAAAAGTTCATGGAATGGGCAGCCAACAGTGATAATTATTAAGATTATAGGTGAAGGCGAGAATGAAAATGACACCTATTCTAAAACAATTAATGCAACAAGAACAAATTACACATTAACAAATTTGAAACGAGAAGTCATGTACACTATAGAACTGACATTTTGTAGCAATGGTGGAAACGGGCCAAGTACATCACTTACACTTCATAAAGATGTTGTCAATGAAAATGGTATGAAGTAAATATATACTTATCAAGGCATATGTGCAGTTTGATGAAAAAGGCTTCACTTTATATTTAATTGGGATTGTAAATTCTTTTTAAAAATCTAGGCTCACTGAAAAATGGAAATGGTGTGGATCCTGTGATGTTGATCATAATTTGTGTTGCCTCTGGTCTTTTGCTAATAATTGTTTCTGGCATTATAGGGCTCATATGTTGGAGATCCAGGTAATTTAGCATTCTTAGCTATAATTTGTAATTATTTGTTATGGTAGTTACTTAAAATATGCAATGTATATTATATAAAGTTCCCACAATTAATCTAAGGAAGTTTCGTTAGAAAATCATGCAAGGGGTTAATATAAATTGCCAAAGTCTTGCATTTTTTTCAAATGTTCATTGCCCTTTTTCTGATATCACATCGCCCCATCTTAGGATAGACATATGCAAATAGATTTTGGAAACTTTTGTATATCCTCGTCTATGATATGAAGTGTATATATAACAATACTTCTCTTAAAATTCAATTGCTGTGTTGGTGCATTTCATTTCCTCCATCTGTGATAAAAAGTGTGATTATTATGGATATATATTATGACATTTTTAACAAGAACTGAAGCAAGGAAAAGGTTTAGCGTGACCCTACAATAGATTGCAGCATTTTATTAGTTCTGAAGTAACTCTTTTGTATTTGTTTTAGAAAGCATAGATTGGATTCAATACCTGACCTACATGTGGTAAGTTATGGTATTTTTCATTGTCATATTTTAAAGAAGTCATGAAGTAGTTTCTTTATTGAAAGTGTGACTGACTGACCAGGGGGGGTTTGATGGTTTGTATAGTCAGTCAGCGGGCCAAGGGGGTTTGTGTCATACTTAGCTAAATTTTAATCCTGTTATGAAAAAATTTTAGCCAAGAGAAGGAGAAAGAAACCACACTGGTACTGATCCTGGTTTAAAAACCAATCCTTCAGAATACAACTACATCACAGAAGAAGATCAATTGGATTTGTCAGGTAAGCTGAGCAGATTATAGATGAAATTTACAAGCCCTGGTCCCTACTAGTGCATGGACATCAAAAGTGTTTGCTTTGTTTCTGCTAGAAGATAAGAAACACAAAATACTCAAAATATTTTTGTAATTGTCTTGTTAGACAAAACATCTTACGAAAAACTGTCATGTGACGGATCCAGCTCAGGTAAGAGCAGTAATGACAGTGTAACCTGCCCTCTCGTCCCACCCTCCCGTGATACTGGCCGAGATGACGTCACATACTATGCTGAGAGGTCTGGTGACAAAAATGGTTACATACGATCATCAAGTGAAGAAGGTACAAATGTTTAAATGTGCTTTATATCATGCATGCTTGTACATCAGTACGCGGAGATTGGTTGTACCAAAACCTGCTTAGGTAGTATCTTTTTTTTTGAGCAATCAGAAATGGATTCACAACTCTTTTTTTGCATGACCTGATGACCATATTTCCACTCGCATAAGAGCTTGATTTTCGGTGTTCCCTTTGAATCTTTCCAATAAGAAAGAACTTTCACATTTGATCAGATCAGGAAAAATTACATTTGATATTTAAAATATACGCGTAACTGTATAAAACCTACCAGGGGTGTAGGCTAGCTCCAGGCTATGAGATCGGAAGGACGCATTACCAGTTTGTTCAAAAAATTATTTATTATGGAGGATGTATTAAGAAACAAACACTTAATATATTCTCACCCTATTATATATTACCTAAAGAAGGTTTTGAGCAACCAAACACTTTAGTCTATGATAACTGACCAGCGGGATAACACTGTGCGCTTTCCAACTACGGCCTATCAGCACAACTGGTCTCTCTCTCAAATGCGTAGATAAAATGTTCAATTAAGTAGGATGATCCCATATTACTTCTAAAAATGCCGATTGTTTCTAAGTGCAGCATTGACTGGACTGGTCATCTACAAAAGCGGAAAGCTTGCAGTGTTTTCTAGCTATGTGTTTAACGTTAGCAACAAAAACATTGCTGCAGAAACATTTTCTTTCTGTTTCCAACGAGAAACAGGTTTGAAATTGTTTTGCAACAATGCTTTTTAGTTACCATGACAAGAAGTGGATCTGAGTCATTGTTTTTAATGATATAAACATCAATTTATTTCACTAAATATTTAAAGTCTTCTCATTTAGCATGAATAATATTCGAGGTACTGTATTCAACAATTAATGTGCAGTCTTTAGATATTTAAAGCCATGTTACACGGTGCAATTTTCCTTGCAATTTGCCATGCAATTCTACTTTAAAGAGATGTAAATTAGTGAAGAGTCTTTAAAATATAAGCGCAAGATTAAGCGCCATGGAACGTAATAAAGACAGAAGTTCGCTACTTGCCAAATTTACATCTGTCAAAAAAAGAATTGCATTGCAAGTTGCAAGAAAAATTGCACCGTGTAACATGCCCTTTAGTGTGAAAATCATTATGTAACATCGTAGAATAATTCATTACAGCATGTCACATGATACCTGAAGCCTACTGGTTTTCCACTAGCGTTAATTTTCGGGGACATTCTACTTTTGTTTCAGAGCTCTCGAACGCGACCATTTGGAACAAATTGCTCAAATACAAAAGAATAAATTCGCTTCGCGCGAAAAATATTGCTAGTGGAAAGCCGGCCTTAGTTGATGTTCGCGGGCATAAATATGTTTTTGGTAATTGCCAAAATTTGTGCATGATGTATTCTGGGTCGAGCCGAAAACATTTTTATTCCTAAGAACATCAACTGTATTGCAATCAATTTAGTAATGTCTCGAAGCAAATTTATTTTAGATTGAAATTGTTTCTGCCTAAAGCGCTAGGTTGTATTTTTATTTCAAAATACACGTAATGCCGAATAAAGTGATTTCTCCAGAGGTTTCCTCTCATCTAAACCAGGACAGGTATCGACTGGGTATGAATTATTCTACAATTTTTAGAACTGAAATCTTTACTCTTCCGGTAGTTATGAAAGAAGAAAGTAGCAATTTTAATATCGATTTAATTTTTGTTTTCACGAAAGATGCGTTCTATGCACAAGTTTCTTCAATTTGCATCATCAGCGTTGTATATTAAGTACCACAATTCAATGCTACAGACGTATTCGAAAGATAGCATAAGGCCTGTTCCAAGTTACCAAATGCTTCAAAATTTCAATATTATTTGTTAATTTTACTTTTCGCCTGGTGAAGAAACACGAAAACGCGACCATTTGTTGTTTTCTAGTCAAAATAAAAACAAATGATCCTGCATGAATTTTCGGCAGAAAAAACTGACTTGCTTCAGCGTAACTTGCAGTAGACCTCTTGCTAAGTTTCAAATAGGTCTATACCCTTTATAATGAAGTTGCAATCTTTGACAGGTGGTAAATTGTCCTATGTTCGATATTTGACCAAATTGGAGATACTTTCATTACACTTCAAATCTGAAAACACGTACTTTCTTTTTGGTCCATTTTCTTATAACGGCATGCATGGTGTTCATACCTTGAGTAATTCACGGCCTAGTTCATATTGCAGTTCACTTTACTAGTTTGATCAGGTTATACTCTTATATAATCCATTTATGACCGTTCCTCAAACACAAATAATCCAAGAAAATTACTAAACAAATTTTCTACCAGTTAATTGGTTTCTGTAGCAATTGGCTTTGGCTAAATTAGGCAGATTTTAATGGTAACATGCAATTGTTGATTTCGCGTTTCCACTATGAATCTACGGTGCTTTGCCAATTCATTAAATTTTATACATTGTATATTTTTAGAGTTTTCCTTATCGAATTTTCCTTGACCAATTTTATGTAAAAGCTAGTTCTGTTTCTGTCGTTGTGCATAATTTGTACACATTAGCAAATAAAATTATCAAGGAAAGTAGTTAAGGGAACTTTAGTGTGGTTTATTGTATAATCGTTAAATTTTTAGTCAAATAATCAGTTATAGTAAGTTTTGTTGTAGATTAGATTTTATCATATCGTTTAGAGTTGTAGTGCTTAATCAAGTATCACCAAGGCTTTACAAAGGCCGTGTTGCAGAGTGCAATTTCATGCAACTTGCAATGCAATTGTATTTTTGTACAATATCCGTTTGGTGCAATATTGAGACGCGCAAGTTTCGCAGTTGTCAAATTTACATATTTCAAAAGTAGAAGTGCGTTGCAAGTTGCAAAAAAATTTGTCCTGTGTAACTTGGCATGAAACCTTGGCTAGTGCTTTATCTTGCATTATACCCATGCAAGTGTATAATGGGGGTGCAAACTCTTAGTATCAGGTTGGGACGACGGATGGTGGTCAAAATGAGAAATTTTAGTGCATGGTTGAATGGAGGGGAAACAAGCGTTTACAAATGTCCCTTTTTGCTTTACTAAATGCAGTTTGACCACCATTAGTTGTCGTTGATACTTCCTAGAGAATCCCATCTATTGTCCATATACACTCCTTATGTATAATATAAAATAGAATAGAATGGGGTTTATAATATACGTCGCATAGTGTATATACCCTTACGTACCTAAGTTTAAAATCATCATATGTTCATTCTACGGAATTGCTGGATCAGCTGGAATTATTATACACATAACATAATTGCAAACAGCGATGGTAGTTACAAGTATCAGTGGAGACACGAATTCGAATTTCTTCTAACCGAGGAGTCTCGTTTTCATAAAGCTGGTTGGGTTGAAGAGTGACCTTTCGAATTCATCTCATTCACGATAGCGAGGTCCTCAGGCCATTCGTGAGGTAAAGTTGGCAAGCATTATAAAACATTGGACAATTCAAAAAAGGTCAAACACAAACCGAGATAATCAACATAGCTATATGTCTTCACATAACTAAGTTTTGTTTCTTTATTTTCATTCTTTTGAAATACTGTACAAATTTGCTTGTGACGTTACCTCACGCTTGGCCACCGTCTCTTGTTCAGTAGGTAGCCCGTCACCATCTATGATCGTTAGGTAGTCTTATTGCTAATACAGTAAATAGTGCTACTGCATGGTAATATATTTTATCGATCGGTTTGGAATACTACGGTGTGTAATCAGTATAGAATATAGTATATAGGAGAAAAAGATTGTTAGTTGTTACCAATTTTATTGGTTATTTGTCTGTTTTATGATAACAACATATTGCTTATATATAATCAATACTATTGATCAATTAACAATATGATACTATATAGTACTACTTTTGTAATCAATTATGCTGATCAGCTTGCATATGACTATATTAATTATATGTTTTCTTGTTACACAGTGTTTTATTGTACTCTGGCCTCAGCAGGGTGAAACTTTATATTTTGTCTTCGAAGATTTGTCTAGGTCAGTGAGGGGACTGGTGTAATACTGATACTAAATATGTATATTACATTTTCTGATGCAAATTACTTCCGCATAAAGATTCCTGGGCAAATAAGTTAATTCCAACAATAATAAAAAAATATACTCACACAATTTACCGGCGAAAACAAGCGAGGATCGTTTAAAATGATGATAGGTGATGCCGAGAAATAAATATTAGAATTTAGGTCAGTGTTGGAACAACCAAGAATAACATCAAGTGTGATTTGGGCATAATTTTGTATCTTGAAATAATGCCACATTGCAAATTATACAAATTAAAATCACTCTTGCAAACGGCAGATTTTTGTAGATACATGCTTTTAGATGCGTTTGATTACACGAAGCTACGGTTTTGTAACAGCTACAGAAATGAACCATTTGACTGGAAATACATGCTGTGAAACGAAACTAATCATGTGATGTGTATCTTGTGTGTTTTCCAAGTAAAGATATATTGACCGTTTCCTGTTTGTTATCTGAGGGTTTGGGGTATTCCCACATGTGCCCAAGAAGAAAGGAAGACAAAGTATTATTCTGCAAAATATAACGCAACCAAAAGGTGTGTTTGCAAACTGCTTTCAATATGTTTCAACTTTAGACAGTTTGTGTTTGACACTTTTCTTACTGAAAGTTTGTAGATACCTTGAAATACCTTCGACCACTAACAATTCTTGGAAGACAGCATGGGAGCCAACTACCATTGTAGTCGACCACGTTTTCTTAGGATGACTTTACCATTAATTCTGTTTCCTGTAATGTTGTTTCTGCTTGCAAGTGCTGAGAAATGTAAGTTTTCCTTATCTACTTTTGATTTCCTTATCTACTTTTTAGTTTGTCCTTGAACTATGGCTAACTTTGATCGAATATACCTATTACCTAAAATGAAGAAATTTATAGACGTATGCTGGTCATAAAATGAAAGTACATCATAAAATACTAATAAATGTTGAATTGTTTTGCGAAATTACAATCATAGCTATGCCCAGTCTAAAAAGAATGACGGGTGTTCAAGCTTTTAAAAATGTCAAAGTTGGGATATAAAATTGCAATAATAATCTTTGTACTTTGACTTCCGTTCTCGTACGTATCAACTTAGTAAGCCCCGCATTACTATCCGAAATTTGTAGATGTTTCTATGAAGACATTGATACCTTGAATGTTTATAGTATACTGCAGAAAAATACGCTTATACAAACATATTGTTGGTGTAGAAATAATAGTGCAGTCTATTCACAAACTGATTTCATTTTGCAAGCACAGATGACACAGCACCCCCTTTGGTCCCTTCTTAGAATACAGTCTTGTGCATGACTCGTATGTTTTGGGAAGAAACTATTGCCTGTGCGAGATTTTTGTCACTTCCAGATTATCTAATAGCAATATAATTCTTTTTTCTAGACATTGGGGTGCCAAAATTCAGATATTTGGAACCATATTTAATGGAAATTACTTATAAAAAGGGTGTTAACCACACCCTTTATGTATGTTGTAAATCATTAGTTTCATATCCATCCTTTTTCCCGTTTGTGTGTCCTGGTATACAAAAATGCCCTAAATATTACCCATTGTCGTCATGTGAAACAAGAGGACAAAAAGTTCGTTGTGAGATTGGACATGTTGAAGACAAAACAGAAGTTAAAGCTTATGTTGTTTATAAAAAAGGAAATATAAGTTTATCGTCAAGTAAAATTGCATCACACATTACAAATAAATCAGGTTTGTTATTGAAAACTAGTTATTCAAAAAATGCATTAATACTTTTAACAGCTTGGTATGAATTTTATGCATGCAAAATTGTATGTATTTTGGTTTCTTCATTGACATATTGCCCATGCAAATCCTAGAAAGTTTACAATTATAACTGAACTGTTAATTAATTTCTCTAGCTGTAAAAGGCCTTGTAAATGACCATTAATCAAGGAGTTTTTTTCAGAGCGTGTTCCGAATTCAGTGGCTAACTTGTCAGTGACAACGAATAAAGATCAAGGCCTAAATCTTAAATGGTCTCCTCTTAGCATATGGAAGATAACTTTTCTTCAAGAACATACTTATATTGCGGAATGCCAACCTCTTAACAATAACAGAGCTAAGGTATCCAGCATAAGTTTGAATTGCTAATATGATATGTCGGTGTAATCAATACATGACCAGATTAACATGCATTGTTCATTTCTCAAATCAGGCTGTTCGTGAAAGTGTTATGAAAGTCTCTAAACTCACCATCAGTTCAAGAAACGTAACAGCAATAACAAAGTATAGATGTTGTGTTCTGGTTGAAAATGTGGTCACCAGTTTGGTGTCAGAGCCTTTGTGCCAAAATATTACCACAACAGAGAGAGGTTGGTGTTTACGCTCTTTTTCATATATTAGTATATAGTTGAAATATATATTAACTAGCTGTATTAAATATTAACAAGCTATTCCATAAAACATATAGCAAAATCAACAGTGTTTATACGTTGTTTTTTGCCTTTTGTAGCCCCAAGTTCCAGCCCTGTAATTCTTTGCAGTGGTCATGGTAGCAAACAATGCCCTTCCAAAGTTCAAGGAGGAAAACGAAACATAACAGTGCTATTTAAGGTAGGTAATTTATACTAGGTGCATGTTATTTGTAGGAAGTTTTAAATTAAAACAGTTTGATTTGTCATTGCATATAGCTTCCAAGCCCTGAAGATCAGAATGGAAAAATAGTTCGAAGTGAAGTTTATTACAGGAAAACAACATCTGCTAATTTTACCAAACTCATCATCAATGGTTCAATGACAGAAGCTGTGATTAGAAAGGCAGATACTAATGCAAGCTATGAAGTATTCATAAAGTCCTGTACAAATATTGGCTGCAGTCCAATCAGCAATACTACCTTCATTCCTTCAATTAACATGTTAATTGAAGAGAGTAAGTTAAAACTAAATAAACATCGTGAAACTAAACAATTCTATGTAATTGAATTATTCTTAACCTTTTTAGGAAGTCATCAATTTCCTGTTCCGATTATTGCTGTTTCAACTGCCGCAATCATATTGCTTCTCCTTGCATTAATATATTGTTCCATAAGGTAATATTTCACCTGTTATCTGTGTATATGGTACTTCAGCGAGTATCCTTATATAATTCTTTGAAGCGCAGACCTACGGTAGATCCAGAATAAATGTTGCTAAAGTTTTTTTCTTATTTTAGACACCAAAACCAGCTAAGATTGAAAACTCTTCCTAATCTAAAACCGGTATGTGTGATATTTTTTAACTAATATTACAAAAAGTAGAATTATCATCTATAGTACATCTATAGTTCATCCCCAGTAAAATTCCCATATTGCCATACAATGCACCTTATTATATGATGCACTATCTTATCTTATTATACTTCATGAAATTATCCACATGCCTCGTACTCCTTCATAACTTACTATATACCACATCATATACCATATGATATACCATACCATATACCATATCATATACCATATCATATACCATACCATATATCATATACCATACGTACCATATACCACACCATATACCATACTATATACCATGCTATATGCCATATACTATATACCATATCATATACCATATGATATACCATACCATATACCATACTATATACCATGCTATATACCATACTATATACCATATCATATACCATACCATATACCACACCATATACCATACTATATACCATGCTATATACCATACTATATACCATATCATATACCATATGATATACCATACCATATACCATACTATATACCATGCTATATACCATACTATATACCATATCATATACCATATGATATACCATACCATATACCATACCATATACCATACCATATACCATACCATATATATACCATATCATACCATATGAAATACCATGTCATACCACACATACATACATTAATATTAACCTTACATGCTGTGTACCTGACAAGCCTGGCTTGGGAGCTAGGTTGTGTGCTTGAATACCATACCACCTTACTAATCTATAACGTTACTTTGCCCTGATCTAGCAAACCGATCTGGAATATGAATACCCTAAAAGTAAAGATGGGGACATCCAAGAATACCATGAACTGGCCACTTTCAAAGTTACTATAGATGGCAAACAAGTTGACGCTATTATCCTTGCGAATAGTGCTGCACTTGCCGCTGACAATAACAATGTGTAATTCCTCGAGTTTACTGTGACATTCTCCAAAAAACACAGTTTCCCAAGCGGTGATAAACATGGCGTCTAACCCGTACAATGAAACAGCAACCACGGTTTGTTCACCTTCCAACAGTGAACAATGTCAGCATTCGGTTGTAAAAAAAAAATAAACCTTATTATTCCAGAGAATCAAAACCTGTCAACGTTGAGAAACGGGAGTGGCTTTTGCCTCAAAAATGATTGATATTTATAATATTGATGTACAAATTGCAATAAACTGTTTTTCCTCGTCTAGCAAGTATAATTTCTTTTTTGATCCGGCAGTGTTATTACAGGAGAAAGCCCGAACTTAAACTAACTTTATTTATACTGGATAGCACTCTATCAGTTCTAAACTGTTCTTCCTAGAGGTTCAGTAAGGATCATCTCTTATTGATCCAGTGTTACTACAGGAGGAAACCTAAATTAAACTAACTTTATTTTTGCTGTTCCAAACTTTTCTTTCTAGAGGTCCAATGAGTATCATTGTTACTGTACTGCCGCAGATACCCGAAAACTAAGTCTCTTGTGCTACTATATGGTGTTTGTGTTGACTACACTAGCAGTGTTATTAATCATTACAGCAGCAGTACGAGAGCTATGTACGTTCTGTGGGTCTTCAGTCTTGCTCTTGTTTCATTGCTTTGTTTTTGAGAATTCGACACATCACGTAAAACAGCGTCATCAATTTAGAGATCCACCTCCTCATTCCTAACAACCATTGCCTACTCATTTTGATCACAGCTCAGATTTAATTAATTTCTACCAGGACTTAGTTAACAAACAAAAACATAAAGGCTGACAATGGTTTTCAGCTAAACGATGAAATATAATAAAGTTGGCGCGCTTTTAAAACAAGTGTATTAGTCTAGAATATACAAAGTTTAAAATGAACAAATTTTCGTTTCATTGTTTTTATTAATTCGCCATGGGAACAAAGCCGTTTTTAGTAAAAACGGCTTTACTAGGATTAGGGTCGAACGTAATTACCGAAAATTAAATATATCTATAAGTAGTGGGTTTGAATACATGTTAACTGCTTAATTGGCGGCTTTTGTATATGCGTAGGCGATTTTACTAATGACGAATGCAAATGAGCTCTTCGTTAGTATATGGGACAGAATTTAATGGAGAGCCATTTAGTGAAGTATGTCGGCAATCTATTGGCAGCCAAATAAATAAACAGTCACTAAAGTAGTTTAAATACGGGCAGTTATGAAAGAATAAGGCATCAATTTTATTCACACACAGCAAATTTTACATTGGACGAATTTCCTTGCAATCAAGGTTTACCACACCAAAATCTATCATGTTCAACACTTTATAGGAACATCTTATATAGATTTACAACAAATTTCACGAGTGCTTGACTGATTCAAGTGGTTCAGAACGAATAGATGGTGATCTAACAGTTATGAACTGAGATTTAACCTTTCGTGGACTACAATTTTTGACGAATTGAGTTTCTTGGATATGCCTAATACGAGATCAAAGAACCGTAACTTTGTTTGTACGAAGTCCAAGTATATGCGCTCTGAAAAAAACGACGATACTGAAGAAGACGACGTAAAATTGTCAGGAAGTGCTATAAATGGATTGAGAAATTCTCTTGGAACTACAACGGGACATTCACGACAGGGGGGCAGAGGTAAGTAACACTTGTGTAGTCCGCAACTGTACATTAGTATTATGAAGCATTGTTTGGTAATGATTTTAGTTGATCCATTTATAAACCATGCACTTTCGTACGAGTCGGGATAAGCGATCGTGCATGCAAGTTCAACGGTAGCATGGATCGGTCTATCAGAGTTCTTGCTGGTAACATAGAAATATAAATCATTAAAAATATATATCATCTGAGCTACTTACTCCGGATTATGTCATTAAGATACGTCTTATAGTCTTATAAGATATGCATTAAGATAGAGTTTTGAGTGCAAAGGATCATAAAGACTTGACTGAAAAATGCGCTAAAAGTTGCATTTCAAAATATTGTACAACAAGCGAGCAACTTATTACACCGAATTACTTATAATCATTGAAATAATATGAGATTGTTATCAGTGCAGTCGTAAAATTAAGAACGATTATTTCAGTCTTCCAAGAGAAAGAATATACGTATATGTTTGACGCATAAATAAAAAATAATTATTTTTTATATTGAGCTTTAGGAAGTCAGCCGTAAAAATACAGCCAATAATTCATTACGAAGTATTATTTATATTGGCTTCAGAACTGCACCTTTTGTAATTTTGGGTTTTGTAAACAGAATTTCCATAGAGCCTTAACTTTTCAGTAAAGTCAGTTTAATATTTAAGCACCGAGTCTGAACCTTAATTTTAAAAACGACACAGTTTGGTGATGACTGATGACTCTGAGAACGTTTGGATTAGTGTATGAAGGAACTGAATAAGTATAATGCTCTAATTCCTGGTACTATATACAAATAATGCAAAAAAACCTTACTCATCTGAGAGTATATATTCCAAATTTTCCTGTACTTGAGAAGTAATCAATTTTTAATTTGCATTTAAAATATTGTTTAATTAATACTCTGTCAACCGGTACGAAATCATAAATAACGTCTACATTCAAGGCTTCATTTTAAAAGCACATACTTTTAATTAAAGATACAAAAGATTTGGACGACTCTCTTGAATACAAAGTAAATACATGTGAACGGAATTTTGCAACAAAAAGTCGAAAGGCTCAAACTGAAGAGACATTACGTTGGTACGGTAACTTGCAGGTTAACTATATCGTATAAACCTCGTAGGTAACATGCAGGCCTCAGTATATGCAGGTCAACTGGTATAAACCTCGTAGGTAACATGCAGGCCTCAGTATATGCAGGTCAACTGGTATAAACCTCGTAGGGAACATGCAGGCCTCAGTATATGCAGGTCAACTGGTATGAACCTCGTAGGTAACATACAGGCCTTAACTATATCGTATAAACCTCGTAGGTAACATGCAGGTTAACTATATTCTATGCAGGTCAACTGGTATAAACTTCGTAGGTGTGACATTGGAATATAATCCTTCATCTCGACCGCACTCCTAGCCGTACATTCCTGACAATACCTCCAACTCAATTGTCTTAGCTGAAAAATATACTCTTCTACATAACTTCTCTCACCCCAAGATAAATTCCCTAAATCCAACTCTAAACCTCACCCCCATGGTGTCAAACTTTGAGCAAAGATTTAGATCCTAGGAAGGTTCTCATGTATTAACCTCGTACCCAGGGTCTTTTCTACTCAAGAATGTCGTTAATCTTTTCATAGGCTTGAAGAGAATTACGTCATGTGCGATGGGGTGTGTCTGCCAAGATGTATACTTTACGCCCACTATCTGGACTTCTGTCGTTTACACAAACTGGAAGCAGCCTGCGCAGCCACATTTGGAAAGGTAATACGAGGAGTCGCAAGGAAAACAAATCTCTCAGAAATACTTTTTGTACAACGGAAATATTCATTGGCCTATGAAAGCCGAGATATCCAAAAAAGTCAATGTTAACTTTGCATGCAAATCAAACCTATCATGAGCTTCAATACTCGTTTCTTATCTTCCAAAGACGCATGTAAGTCAGTTATTTAAAACCCAGCCTTAGTTCTGACGGTATTTTTCTCCAAAGACAATCAGGCAAAAATTTCCAGAGCTTACAACTAGAAGATTGGGAACGAGGGGACATTCCAAGTGAGTAAATGTAGATATACATAAAAACATAAAAAAATCTTTATCGTTGGTGATTCAGAGTTCAGGTGAATTATTTGAGCGATGTTATAGTCACTTGAAAAGAAACCAATGAAAATTGTCTATGTCCATATCTATCTATAGATATCATTATTATGGCATTGGTATTAAGGAGACTTCTACTTATTACCATTCTGTGTATTCTGGTAAAGGCCTGACCAGGTTTGTTATCAAGCATGCCAATTCATTCACAATAATAATGTGTAGCAAGAGCCATCTGACCTCTTTAGAATTTTCACCAGATTTTCAGGCACAAAGATGAAGAACAAGGGTTCGTTTCTAAGGAAATACTCTCCAAGTTCTCGGACAGGAACTTTGTTGCCAGATTTTCCCAACCCTAAAATTCTTCAATTACCGGAAATGACGCCGATGGAAAAGGTACTACCATTCATGAGTGCTTGTTTCGGAGGATGAGATAGTCAAATAGACTAATATTTGGCGAAATATTTAACGTGTGGTAATTCACATTTGCTTGTTATCTCTGTTCTGTTACTAGGTGGAAACATTGATCATTATGTACAAGACTCATTGTCAGTGTATACTCGACACTGCCATCAACTCAAATTTCAACGAAGTAAGATAAGTGAGATCTAGTTCTAGGAAACGACCGAACTTTGCCATCGATTCCGTCTCTCAAATTTATTTATCAGTTTATGGTTACTAAGTCGCATCACATGCAGAGAAAAGCTGTAGCGAAATCTCAAACAAGAATTAAGACACCATGCAGTTTCGTAGTCTATCAACTGTATGTTATTTCTTTTTCTCTCCAGATCAACAGTTTTTTACTACATTTTTGGCAAGGAATGCCGAATCATCTGCTTCCAATATTACAAGTTGAAGTTGTCGCTAATCTAATTTGTTTATGTGATTCAATTTTATATAAAGTAAGTCTTTCTCCAATAGATGTATTCTTCACAATTATTTAAACCTTGGCGGACGCCAATAAACCAGATCTCTATACTACACAGTCATATTCCAGTCGCTGTTATCGTCTTCCATTTATTTAATATAAAGACTAACAGCCTTTTGTAAATATTCATCCGTTCTTATAGGTCCTTATTGATGTTCTAATTCCTAGCACGATGCAGGACATGCCGGAAGAGTAAGTTGATCAAGCCCACACTGCATGCTCATCGCTCTTTTTCAGTCTGTATGATCTTCTCTGTGGTACAAGAATGTGACGCTATATTGTATCAAATCCCAATTACATTTAGTGCGAATTAGTTTCCAAGCATTTCAAGATCTGTTTCTAAGATCTGTACGGTCTAAATGTCCTGCAATCTATATCAATAACAAACGTCTCGTTGTAGTTTGTTATCATCAGTCAGATGTTTTGCTCGTCATATTGAGAAATGGGTTAAAACCTCTCTTGATAATTTTCCAGAATACTTGGTTGGATGCAAACTACAAGGTACAAATGGTTGTAATTCAATTGCATCGTTTTTTTTCAAGTTTCACTCAGTGAGCAACTTTATCTGTCTTTTCCAGTTGCTCGCCAGTTCTCACTCTCCGTACGACGTCAAACGTCTTTCCTTCATCTTGCTCAGGTAAATAAAATTTCTTTGGTATTTTTCCGAGACTAGATTCAAAGTCACTGATGTCGAACAATATTAAGGCAAGATCTTGCTCTTTTTAGACTGCTAGGCCTGTAATTCAGGACAACGAAACGGCAGATCAAATGGCCAGTGACTTAGAACAAGTTGATTTAAACTGTCTTGGAGCTGAGGCGATGTTCACTTCGTACAATGAACTCAATAAAAGCAACGATATTGATAAGGAAGGTTCGTATAATTCTACTGATGCTAATATCTTACTATCGAAACCGATATGCTTCCTAGAATATCTCCCGATAAAACAGTCCTGGTGTGAATGATATTGCACAATTATGATATTAATTCTGTTTTCCTGTGTAACTCCAGTGCTGGATATGTTGAAAACGTTATTAGAGAGGGCAGCGCCTGTTGAAGATTATGTTGAATGGATGGACAAGATTGTTGAAAGACGACTTATAAAGGTAACCATTGTTTTCAACCCCAAATATCAAATATAGAATGCAGTAGAAAAAGGCGACGGTCTGCCATATTGATTAACTTTTCTTACACAATTTCACACTTTAGCCTGAGCTAGAGTTTGAAGGAGATTTCAAGAGCAAAGCTCAGGAGTTTCTACTCCAGTGGTCTTTTACTGGTGGAAGACTGATGCATAATCTCACGTTGAATAATTGCACAAGCTTTGGTGAGCAAGAAATCTCTACATTTTATTAGTTTAGTTGAAACAATAAGAAACTTTCTGATCTTGGAGCTTTCTTTAAGGACGTCCATAACTGAGAAAGGCTTTTCCTTTGTCTTAAGGTTCGTTTCATCTCTTGCGCATGCTCATGGATGAATACATGTTACTTGCAATTGAAGCAAAATTAAATGACGATTACGAGGAAACCATTCAAGAAAGTCTCGATAAACATCTTAAAGAAGGTTCGTATAATGTTTATCAGAGTCTAACGGTCTATTTATAAACCCGTGTGGTTATTCGCAGTTTTTTTTCTTTTCCAGATAGTAGCGTCAACAAGTCAATTCGTATGACATCATTTAGTACAAAAACAAAGTTTACTGTGCCAGCGACTAAGTCGAAAGGGAAAGATCTAAACAACAACAACAGCAACACGAAGCCAAGAGGTGTCACCAAACCGCTACAAACAAGGAAAAAATCCTCCAGTCAAAGGCTTTCATCTCTTAATTGGTTCCAAAATGGTCGGAGGCGCAGAAGAAAGGTAAGAGAGCTGACTTTCTCAAAAACATCGATACACGCGTGACAAAACGTTTTCGTGCGCTTTGAGAGTAATATCTGAGGTATCGTATACATTTCCCTCCACAAGTATATCTTTCTTGTCTTCTCATTAGTTAAATGATGGAAACGAGTACAAAAACCATTCTCCGGGGACAACTGCTTTGACACCTCCAGTGTCACCGTTGTACAACCTGCAAAATGGTCAGCCCTCAAATTCTGTTGCCTGGTATTATTCTGACGCGCAACCCGAAGTTGTGGATTATGAGGCATTTGAAGGGATAACTACGCCTCAGGCTGTTCAACCGAGCCACGAAGCGATAGACGACCTTGTCAGCGAACATTTTCGTAATTGTGGTGTGAACCCTGATTCTGTCACAGCATCAGAGGATTACAATGATGTGTTTCGCGATCAGGAAAATTACGCGCTTGATCATGTCACAAATAGACAATCCCTCATGCAACAGGTAATCCAAACAGCCTCAAATACAAAGTACATTAATTCTCTAAACTCATAGCCTCGCTCTTATCCCTTCTACTTGAAACATTTTTAATATGCACGACTGACGACTTTTCTCTTTAGGTCTCCGTCTCAAATGGCGCTTATCCAATCTACAACCAAAATATTATACACAAGTCACCCCAGCCATCAGCACAGATCCCTCCCTACCCTCTGATAGCTTCCCAAAATAGTTATCAAAACAACAGACTGCACCCACACCAGTCAATGATCTTTTACCCAGACGGAAACACATCTGAGAGTATAAATCAGGAACATTATACACCATTTCCCTACGATGATGACGCGGAAATGGGAGGCTCGGTAGACAACCTGTTTGGAGGAGCATGCGCGTTTGATAATGAAGATGATGTTGGAGACACAAGTTCTCTACCATCAATAAACTCTCTTCTTAGTACCGCAGTTCAAATGTTCTGAAGTTAAAGGATAGATTTTATCTTGCAAAATAACCAGAGAACTCGCGACACAACGTCTTAAAAGTACATAGTCGACATCATCAGTACATAGTTGGCCGAAATAATTAAACGAAATTCAGCAGCAGCAAGACAAGCATTATAGCTATCAGAATATATATAATTCTTGTGAATATAAAATTTATATGACAATGATTTTAGGGAATAAATATATTTGGTTCAATTGTTGGACGGTCGTCTCACACAGATGAAATCAATGGAAGCTCAACTAACGTAGAACTAGAATAAATGAAGCCGAACACAGTTCTCGACCAATGACAACACAGCAAAAACAGAAGGAAACAACCAATGAAAGAACATTAGCCCAACCAATAATTGGTCTAGCCTCCTCCGCAGGCATTCTTATGTATTAAAAATATGCATATTTGGCTTGGGCTAGCTGTGTCGCGGGAGCGATCCTCGCTTTCCAGGACACAGCTAACCCATGCCTAATAACCTAATATGATTTAATAGCTCCATTTTCTCCATTTTTTATATAGATCAATGGCAGTTGGACTCAGTCTTCTGGCCAGAAAAAATACGAGCGGTCAAAATCGCCATATTGAATTTTAGTTTTTAAAAATCGAGAATATTTATATCAAATTTAGTCATTTTATAATAAATCGTCTCATGTGAGAACATTTTAAACTATCAGACAATGTCTGCTGCATCAAAATTTCCCATCCAATCGACAGCAGGAGCTGTTCCTGTCAAAAATGAAAAAGGTTTGTGTAGATTATTGTTAATCTGAATCATCTGATCATTAGATTTGGTTTATTTTTGTTTATTTATTTGTCTGTTTTGGTGTTTTTAGGTGAACTGTCAATGCAGAAAGTTAAAGTCACAAGATATGTGGCAGGAAAGAGGTATCTTGCAGCTTGCAATAAGATCTGTAGTGTAGGTTTTACTCATGGAATATTATGATTATATTCTATTATTTTCACTTTAGGCCAGGTTATGCACCTTCATCCAGCGATGAGGATGATGAAGAAGAAGATGAATTTGTTCAGGAGCAACGTGAACCAGTTGACATCCTTATGGACAGGCGGTTGAAAGAGGTAAATAAAATTCTCCCCCATAAAGTCCTTGTCATTCATAACTGGCTGGTCTGGTCTGGTCTGGTTTGGCCAGTGGTGTACCTACCAAATACCAAACTGACCCATAATTATGAATAGACTGATGCCTTATCATATCAAACTGACCTTCCTTTATCATATAAAACTCGCATCATACAAACTAGTCCCTCATCATAGCAAACTAACTCCAATTGATGAACATTTAGGAATATGATAAAGCTGAGGAAACTGACAGACGTTTAAAGCGATTACAAGGTCGAGAACGGACAGATATGTAAGATCTTATCATGGCTTAAATTTCTTCTCCTTCATCATCACTTATAACCAAAACAAGAGTTGTATTGATCCACCCCCATCATTTCTAGATGTTTGTTGTTTTCCAAATGAACATTTGCATGCATTCACACAGTATTCATGTTCAAATAATAAATAGATCAGAGGTTGTAAGAGAACGACATCTTGAAGAACCAGAAGTTCTTGCAACTGGTGAAGATCAACAATCTGAAGATGAGGTAATCTTACAGATATCTAATTGTTATATCCTCAGCATACAGTATGATTTGAGTGCTTGTTATCACTTTGACTAGATGAGTTGTTGATTGTGACCACCTAAGTATTTATTCATGCAAGATGACACTACATCTGTCTTAAAAAATGATAAAATATTGTATTTGATTCAGGAAACAGTGCACATGCAAAGGCAACATTACATGGAGGAGAGCAGGTAATATTAGTTAAAGTTCATTGTATACAATTCAACAAATGATCCATTTCTTAAGCAATATTCTATTATATCATATTTCTTCTCTAGTGGTGATGAAGATGAAGAAGAAGTTGATGATGCTGTGAGTGCCAGATTTCTCAATGATTTTAAGAGTTTCTCTTCTACAGTGAGAAAAAGCAGTTTAGATTAAATGGTTTAGTTATATCTACATTATAGGAGTTTGACAGGAGAAGAGCTATACTAAGGCAAAGAATTGCACAGAAAGAAGCACAAACTGTAAGGATAACCTATTTAACGTTAGGAATGTTTTGTTCATTCATCTTTCTAGTTTTTTTATGACCTTTTTCCATGTGAAATGTTGCAATCTGTTAAGTTTATCCTTGTAGGATTTGTTAGATGTTGAGGAGGAACCAAAGTCTGACCATGACCAAGAGGAGGAAGATGAGGTATATATGAACTTTGTGAAATGATTTATGGACTTTGTGAAATGATTTATGATTTATGCTTTTTATCAATTTTCAGTCATCAGAGTATGAAGAGTATTCAGATTCAGATGAAGAATTTGGGGCCCGACTTAAACCTGTCTTTGTTAGAAAGTATGTAAAATGTTCAGCCATTTATTATTCAAACAATCATAATGAAAATAAGAGTGTTTGTTTCATTGTCATTGTTGTCTTGAAACAGATCAGACAGAGTGACAATCCAAGAAAGAGACAAGATGACTCTGGATGAGGTGAAAGAGGAAGAAAAAAAGAAAAAAATTATGGAAGAAAGACGAAGAACTTCCAGAAAGGTAAAACGTGTAATGCAGTTTGGAAATATTTAACTGAAGATTAATAAAACTGAACATTAATCTTTTAGTTGGTTGAAGAGATTATTCACAAGGAAATACAAGCAGAACAAGGAGGTGAAGCATTTTATATTTGCTATACCACTGCATGGTGCAAATGAATTATTTTAATAATCATTGAATAAATTCTGGTCGTGTTTTAGTTGAAAAAGAAGAAGATGTTGTGATCACTGATGATGAAAATGACGAAGAAGAGGTTAGCTATTTAAGAAAAACGTTTTTCTTTGATTTTTCATTTTGTAATTATGGGGAAGAAAGCTGGACTGCCTGAAACTCAACACAATCCTTGGCTTCTACAACACAATGATGTCTAGATGTGAAATAATATAATGTATTGTTTTACAGTATGAGGCATGGAAGGTCCGAGAGTTGAAAAGAATTAAAAGAGATCGAGAAGAAAGAGAATTGTAAGTGATGTCATGACTTCACTGGCTTTCTACTTGAGTCTCTAAGAATTTCTTTAAACTTTTCATGATCTTTTTAGGATGGAGAAAGAAAAGATTGAGGCAGAACGTCTCCACAATATGACAGAGGAAGAAAGATTGATTGAATTGAAGAATAATCCAAAAATTGTTGTCAACAAAATGCCTAAAGGAAAGTACAAGTTCTTACAGAAATATTATCATCGTGGAGCATTCTTTCTTGTAAGTTTTCAACTGTTAAACAATATCTGCATTAAAAAATTGTCTTTACTTGTACTCTAAAATATGTAATTATTAAATTTTTTAAAGAATGAAGAAGATCAAGTGTACAGACGAGATATTACTAATCCAACTTTGGAAGATCATTTTGATAAAACAGTTCTCCCTAAAGTCATGCAAGTTAAGAATTTTGGAAGATCTGGTCGAACAAAATATACACATCTTGTGGATCAAGATACAACTTCGGTATGTTACATTCTCAGTGTTTACATTCGGTGTCTCTTTAATAATGAATCAAGTATACAGAGTTACAATGTACACGTGCAAAAACTTGTATTGAAATACTTTTATCGTTTGTGACTGCAGTTAGGTAACTTCATATTGCTAACATAGTTATTTCCCTTTCTTGCAGTTTGAGTCTCCCTGGGCGCAGGAGAACACCTTAAATCTTAAATTTCAAGCCACTCATTCAGCAGCAGGGAAACAAGTTTTCGAGAAACCATCGAAGCGGAGAAAATGATAAGAAGAAAACAACCAGGTTTGACATTTACCACCGAATATTCTGGCTGAACCTATGCGGGATGTCCTTCAGAGTATATTTATATGAATCTCACAGTCGAGTTCACTCGCGAACCTTTCATAAACTACTGTAGCTTTATTTCACCTAAAAACTACAGACGCATTGCCCACATTCCGTCGATCTCATGTTAACGGGTCGTTTTTGTAAAAAGATCGTTTTTTTGGCTAACAATAACAGTACATCAATTACTGTTGATTCAAAGTCAATTGTCTTGTCAATGTTAGAAATTAAAAATCGTTTAAATTACTATCAGCGAATGTAAAAATGTGTTCGTTCTTATGAAGCTACATGCATTCTCTCGAAATGTATCTTCAGAGATTTCATGTTGAATTCTTGTGCCAAAATTCCACATATAGAATTCAATTATAGAAGAATTTGTTTCTTGCATGTGTGTTTAGCCGAAGTTTAGAATGAAAGAATAAGACAATGAAGAAACATGACGAATACGATGCCGACTACATTATCATTGAAATGTGTTCGTGTATAAACAAAGACTTCCTTGTCTCTCCGTGTATAGTAAATCTAATTTTGTTAGCTGTGTAGGGATTAAAATATTTATGACCAAAAAAGGATGCCGTTTGATTTAAAATCCCTTTCAATGCGAAGTAACATACTGTATATGTGTTTAGTAATCTGTGACTTGTTTAACCCGTGTTTTTTCTGAAGTCATGGAATGTGTGAAATCAAGTTCATACCATAAACCACCACTTTATAAACAAATAGAGCAATTTCATTTATTTAAAATACAAGAAGAGTTGTACAAGGTTGAACCTCTGGTTAAAATTAGGATCGAATTATTGCATACGCGGGGATGAATTACCTCACGTGGATGAGGATGCTATCACGCTTTCTATTATGCAATGTGCATGGTATAATTTCCCAGTTGTAAACATCGATGTTTTGATAATAACGCAAACTAGAGCATATAAGATGATGGATAGTGTTTGTCAAAAGTGATGTGTTTCTAAATTTACTCATCCATAAAATACTACGTATGTAACAGTGCCTATTTTTTAAATTAACCTTTGTATTGGTCGAAATTTACTGGCTAATTACTCTATTGGGGATTAATTATTTGAGTGCCAACAAAATTGTTTCTGTTGGAGTGAAAAATAATTGTTTATATTTGATATAATTAATTAATTTCTTATCAGTTGAGATATTTGTTTGGTTGTTTTAGGACTTGTTAGGTTTTTTTGGACTGAATCAGTTGATAAGAATGTTGTAACGAAAGATTTCTGATGTTTTCAGAAACGCAAAGATGATAGAATTTCCCTAAGTGAAGCAGTAGAGGGTAATTATTCCATTTCTGATGAGAGCTTTCAAGAATTTATATCCTATAATGGACAAATATCGTTTTAAATGAAAGTGATTTCACTAACTTTCTCTATAGTTATTATTAATTCCAAGTTTGGCAGCGCTTTTTGTTTGGAAGGTGGGCGAAATGTCGTTTCCCAAAATGGCAAAATATTGTGCAGACAGGTTTTGGTAGAAGTTATTAATCATCTTTGCTGCACAACAGAAATTTCAAGTACTGTCTTGCTTTTTGCCTTCAATTTCCTCATTTCCATGACAGTTTGGCAGAATCGCTTTCATTGCAAGCTGAGGCCTACTGTGCTGTTTGAAAACCATTCAAAACTTTCACAGCATAACTGTGAACCACCAGCAGCGTCATTGTGAGGAAGGAACAACACCAAGCAAAGACGTAATAAATTCTGTCTCGCTTGCCGTTCTAAAGTGGGTCTTGGTATTTAGGTTCGTCTTTGCATACCGCAGAGCTATCAATATAAATACGACGCTTGATGCAGAGACTAACTCAGACAACCCAACACTCTGAACGGTAGAGATCAAAGGTGAAGAGATGAACTATATTACAATCTTACTAAGTATCTTATGTATATCGGCTCTCGTACAGATTACCACTGAAGAAAAGAACCGATGGAGAACACTGTCTAAGGTATATATAAAAAATTTATCATTGAACTGTAGAATATTTCGTTAAAGAATTGCTTTGCTATAAACGTTAAGGGGCACTTGCATGTCGTTCAGGTATACTGTCAGACACTTTTGGGGTTACGACTACATTTTCTCATTCTGTATGTTGGCTTGACCAGCGCCTTGTTCATCCAGCTTCATATGAATATGTTTATTGTTTAACACAAACAAAACCGAACATAACTTCTGTTATATAAACTGTAGTTCAAAACTCAAAAATATGACAAACAGCATTTTTATGAACGCATTTAAGAGTTCAGTATTATTCCTCCAGTATTTCACCGGTATCGCCTGCTATTGTTGCATTAACGTAATCTGGTACAAAAGACATTAAAGTTGCTGCCAGTTGCCAAAGCGGTGTTTTTGAAGTTTATTTATACATCATGTGTTGGTATTGCTAAACGATCACAAATATTTATTGCTTTAAAGCGTTTCTAATTTTACTTTTAGGGCCTGTTTACTTGGAGCGAGTTACCCCGGCTAGGCGAGGTAAAAACCGCATCACATCAAAGGCTTAACCTGAGTAGTCTTTCATTCTATACAATTTTAACCTCGCCTAGCCTAGACGGGATAACTCGCTCCATATAAACAGGCCCTTAGTGTGTTCATTTTTATTGCCATTTTTAACACTGTTTTTACCTTATAATGATTTCCATACATTTTTATGAATCCATAAGAACATTTCGCGTCAGTTTAATTAAAGAAGTTATTTAACTTAGGTTTTTGAGCAATTCATCTCTCAAACATCTTAAGTAATTATTGAAATGTTATAGGTTTTTGTAGGAATATTTCTCCTTCAATAATTACCCATGTCCTTGCGACTATGAGAGACTTTCTTTCCATTAAACTGTCATCAGATAATTATCATTAGATAATATTACATGATTTATGAAGATATGATCTGGTTCCTTAATTGCAATAACGAAATATGAGTGGTGCATGGTGATCGTTTATAACCATTAAAACTATAAAACGTCTCACTTTAAACATCGTGATAGATACTGTCTTGTAACATTTACAAATTATCAGTAAATTGCTGTAATACCGTAATCTAATTCATTCAAGTCAGATCAGTAAATAGAGTACCAATAGAATACTAATAGAGTTTCAAACTATATAAGTACATTATCGTTTATATACGGGTAGGTAATTAACATGAATGGCGCAGATTATTTTCATTTTGTGAGCTTTTATCTTTCCTATATGCATAATCATATATGTACATCGATTCATCACTAGCTCCTTACAAGGCTTGCATGTGTATAGGGGATTGTTAATTATGCTTATTCTTGATTGTCTTTCTATTCTCTTGAGATCATGGAACATTAAATTATAACTGAAATTCTTATTCTAAAAGTTGGGCGTTTTGCAGATTCGCCAGTTAGCTTTAGTAGAACGAAAAATGGTTCAACCTGAACCATACGTTATCTGGTTCATGTCAGCCGAATACAAATGATTGACGTGTTGTTATCATGTTGGTGAATCAGGGTAGTTCTTCATGTATAATAGTGTTCTAATAGTGTTCGCACAGCAGGGAGATAACTACCGATATTACCCTGCATTATAACCCGCCGGGTTTTTAACAAGGGTATAAAAAAACAGTTGTATACATATCGTTCATTTATAAAATAATCGCATTGAAAAATTAGCAAAATCCTTGGATTAACTTAGGGCAAGCACAGATGATCATTAGTATAAAATAATCCTACCACAAATTGACAGGTCTTTTATATAAAATATAAAGCCTTAAATGCTATTATCTCATAGTTGAAATTCTGGAAAGGACGATCTTTGGTTGCGGAATTTTGGTAGATTTTCACTAGCTTTGCAAGGCTGCAAGCTGTAAATTCGTCATCGAACGGTTGTTAGCGGACTTTCCTGATAGCCTTGCTGGATAAAATTGTTAATTTGATTTCACTTTTGAAATGCTCGCACGAAATCAGTCACTATACTGTGGTTCCACTTTCTATCGGACAAGTTCGGCATGATTATTAATCGGGTGGCTGTTAATGGTCATATTACTCTGCGATGGTATGTGGTGAATTTTGTTTCACATTGGAAATTCAACCAGCCTCTAGCAACCTCTACAAGTAGGAAGCCTAAGTATTTATAGATCTCAAGATCTAAATCTGGGCAATCCTAATTAAGCTTTTGTGTTTCTTAGTCCTTTAAAGATGCCGAATGGTTATTTTCATATATTCTTGTTAATTCCCCGAGATGAATCTCAAACTGGTCATATTGTCTTGTCATTGTTTCATATCCTTATAACGATGGGAGTATATTGATGACTATTTAGTAATACATATTGATGTGAACTTCGATTGTGACAGACACCTACGTATTCTGCTCGCAACAATGACCATATTATTTTGAGTAGATTTTGAACACTTAATTTCACAAGGATTATTAAGGCGCTGAACATTTATTGATAATTAATTAGTTTTAATTATCAATTAGCATGATTGATGCCTGATAGTAAGAGTGTGTTGATTAAGAAAATAAACTGGTGGTAATTAAAATTCTACTGTACTAATTTTAAAGTTGCATATAATACAGACTTCAGTGTCATCCATGCCGTTTTTATCTGACGAAACAAAACTTAATTAGTTCAATCATTTTCCTGCAGAGAGAATGTTTCAAAATGTAACTCTAAACGTAGTCTGCACAGTTGGAAACAGTAGCAGCATTCTGTGTGATGCCGCTTCATAACTTCCAAACGATAAAATATTTAGATATTTGGTCACTTTTCTTCTGATGATAAACAATCCAAAATCATTGCGATTCTTTAACAAACAATTATTCCAACTAACCCAAAGACTCGTAAGCAAGAACTAAAGATTTCTACTTGTCAATATTGCTAGCTTATTGTCTATTTTTAGCTCAAAGAATCCCGCCGAAGCAGACGGGGGAGGAGGGAAAAAAAAGGACGCCCTGGACCTGTGGGACCTCCAGGAAATCCCGGACCACCAGTAAGTTTTACTTTGACCTCAAGCACAAGAAAATTGCAGTTTTTTCAGGAGGAAGGAGCTAATTGAAATGTATAACTGAAACTTTCCTTAGTGGATCAAGTTTTAGTTGTAGCTGTCGTTGTTCAGCTAAGAGAGTTTTGTGGTTCCTCTCTCTCTCTTATCCTGCATCAAATTACTTTGTCTATTTTCTGTGATGAACAACGGACCAAACCATTACCAAGAGAGGCTTTCTTTTCAACACGATCGCTTTTCACTTCTTTCACCCTCAGTTGCAAACTCTTGACTGAATTGAAGAGTGTTTTCTCGATTACCTGTCTTTTAATGGTCATTTAATAAGCCAAACCAAAGGTAAAATTCGTTAAAATATTCCTTATGAAAAGTATGTTAAAAATTTCGTGTTGTATAGGGAGTCCCTGGTCGTGATGGTCAACAAGGAGAGGCTGGCATCCCTGGACAGGTAAGTTGACTAATGTTGAAATATTTATTCACGTGTCTTTTTCTTAAAATGATTTTCAAATAAACTGTGCTTCAGACAGGCCTTCCAGGGGATGTTGGCTTACCGGGTAACCGTGGATTGAAGGGACAGAAAGGAGGAAAAGGGGATAGGGTATGAAGCATGATAAAGTAATATATTTCAGTTTAAACTAATGTGAGATACCCTTGAATATTAGTCCCATTTCCAGCTTTAGATTGAGATATAGCATGAACCTAGGAAATATATAATATATATTTATAATAATAATTTCAGGACTTTTATATCTGTGATACTCCCTCTATTTAGGGTGACAGGGGTACACCAGGGTCACCAGGACAGGCATGTTTCATTGAGAAGACAGATGTTCAAATATGTATGACCCCGCCTACCGGGCCTGAGGGACCTCAGGGTCCAAAAGGTGACCAAGGTGTGATGGGTGAAAAAGGTGATACTGGTTTGCCAGGCAAAGACGGTGCTTCTGGGGAGAGGGGTCCACGTGGACCACCAGGGAGAGCTGTGGATGCTATTAGTTAGTATCTTGGTTATCCACGATTAACCATTACGTTTTACTACTGTATTAGACACAACGTATTTATCGCAAAATCAACAACGCTCTCTCTATTTCTCTCTAGACATTCGTTGTCATACTCGACAAAACAAAGTGATGGTAACGGACGAGCAGATTGCAGAAAACCTTGAAGATCTTATATACGCTCATTGTGACCCATTGCAGTTTCTTCAAGGAATGAAGGTACAAAAGGATGAAAATTCTATCAAACTGATCTACACTTGTTGTTCGTTTTACTGAACCACATTTTAAATGGGGTTATACATGTTGCAGCTAATTATAACCAAATAACTTGCTTAATCTTGTATGGCTGGCTGTCTACTGTGATATGCGAACTCAACATGTGTTATCAAGATATATTCTCCTCAGGTTTGACTAGTCACACTGGTTTAACAGACTAGCTTAAACATGTTTTGTATAGCTTGGAACAGACACTTAGCTTTGCTAATTTAAGTGCATACAAAACAACAATTTGAAAACATTGTAATCTACTGTTATTAAGGATAGTTTTCGTTGCAAGAATTTGGATCCAATGATACAAATTTTTGAGCAGACTAAAGTACGTATAAAATGTAACACATTGCACATTTTGGCGGTAAATATTTATTTCAAATTTGACACAGAAGTGTTCAGAAATTGTTCATATTATACTATAGCAAAAGGGTGCGTGTGTCCTCGTTATTTCTTGCCAGGTCAGGCTTCTATCATTCACATTGATATAACCATATGTACGTCATACGATCATTGGGTTGCGCGTGTCTGATCTCGTGAGGCATCACGGTATTCGTCATTTATACTCCGTCCAATCACAAGACGCCGTATCTCACTCGTCCCAGCTCCAATCTCATATAACTTGGCGTCTCTTAACAATCTGCCTGTGGGATAATCTGATATATAACCATTGCCTCCTATGATAGAAAGATTGAATATTTTAGTAGGTCATTCGGCAGAGACGGCTTCGACAATAAGAATACCATACCAAGACATTGAATAGCGTCCAATGCCACTTGGGTTGCGTTCTCAGCAGCGAAAAGAATAATAGCTGCACAATCCTGGATAAAAAACCAAATCAAATTTAAATCTAAATCTCTGAGCATGCGTTAACTGATAGGTTTTAATACAACTAACTTTGTTATTGAAATGTCCTGCATCACAAGCTCTCGCCACTGTATATAAATACGACCTGCAAGCCATCAGCCTCGTGTACATATCTGCCATTTTCGCTTGCATTAACTAAAGGAAACCAAAGACAAGGCTTGGTTTATCTCATTGCAATACAAAGATCGCAGTGGTAATGTTCCGTTACTAAAGCCCGATATTCTTTCACCTAATATTTGGTGCGGGGCCATCCAAAGACTGGACTGGATGAACTCCTGATGAAAATTATGTACCTGAAAATTTCCAATTTTCTTGTCAAAAGCTTCTCTTGTGTGAAGGTAAGGAAAAGTTATATCTACAGCAGCTTGCATTATTCTAGAGAATGACAAAATTAAATGATGAGTACTTAGTATTCTGCCTCAAGCTTTTTTCATAATCTTAGTTTGATCATAGAAATGTTCAATTATTGCCGTTGTTAACCCACCCAACAGGTCCAGCTGCCAAAAGCATTCGTTCAAGATCCAGCCCACTCATTAAAACATACACTCCTTTATTATAACCTCCGAGAAGATTTTCAGCTAAAAAGAAATGGCAGTTATTTCAATTGAATCCTAGATCATGTCTAATAAAAGAACAATTGTGACAGTAAAATATCTTAAGTAGCACACCTGGTACAACACAGTCTTCAAAAATGAGCTCAGCTGTGTTGGAACCACGCATTCCTAGTTTGTCCAATTTTAATCCGGTTGAAAATCCCGGAAAATCCTTTTCAACGATAAAGCAGGAAATGCCATGCTGAGGTTTGAGAGTGTTTTCAGTTTTTGCATATACCAACAACACATCAGCATCTGGGCCATTAGTAATCCACATTTTTGTGCCATTTAAAATGTAATGATCACCTAAAAATACAAGAAATTAACAAACAAAGGTTTCTCTAACAAACTGATGAAATCTCAGGGTAAAGTTTCCATCAATTTTTATTAGTATTTGACCTGTGCCGATTCATTTTAAAAGATTAATTTATAAAACCTCTCTTTTCAGCTTTTAACTTCATTGACACAACATCAGACCCTGCATTAGCTTCACTCATTGCCAATGCTCCAACATGCTCTCCAGAACACAACTTAAAAATAAGAAAAAAACAATCGTAACAGATTGAATTTTCAAAGTTTCTTTTAATCAGCTAAAAACCATCATATTATAGACCTTCGGCAAATAAACTTCTTTTTGTTTCTCATTGCCATTTCTTTGGATTTGGTTGATACACAAGTTTGAATGTGCTCCATAACTAAGAGCCACTGCTGCTGAAATGCGACTCATTTCTTCCATAACAAGGCAGTGATCCAAATAACCCATTCCTGAGCCACCATATTCCACTAGAAGAAAATTAATATTGTGAAAAACTAATTAGCAACAAGCAATTGCATTTGAAAGATAATGTAGATACCTGGTGCTGTTATACCAAGCAGACCAAGCTCTCCAAGTTTTTTCCAAAATTCCTAAAAGGTACACATAACCATTTTTTTAAAATTTTGGTACCATACAGCCCCAGAGTTAGTAACTGGATTAGATTCTTTACCCTCATCTGCGGAAAGCCATTTTTCTTGTCAATTTCATCAGCATATGGAGACAGTTCTTTCCCAAAAAAATTTTGAACAGTGTCTCGTAACTGGAAGACAATGTTGCACATTGAGAATTTTAGTGATTATTAGGGCGGGTTTTCCACTGACGATAATCTTCAGAGCTTTCAAATGCAACCATCTGTAACAAATTGCTTGAATGCAAAAGAATATAAAATTTGCTTCGCACGAAAAATATTTGCTAGTGGAAAACTAGAAATTGCTAGCAATAATTGCGGTTATCAGCGCAGAAATTTTATATCTGGATGATTTAAATGGCATACACTATGTAACAGTTTGTATTCAACAGTTTTGTAAACATGCAAAATATGTAATTTAAGCAACAACAGTATAAAACGTGTCTCAGTGGTGTGATTAGAGAATAATATGCCTTTTGTATAATCAAACCTGCCGTTGTTCGTCAGAAATCCCTGTCAATGAATCATCTATATGGTAACAACGCTTAAATATAGTTTGATTGCCAATACACTGTAATATAGTCTGGTTAATCGGTCGGAAAAAGCGTAAAGAACGATTTAATAGTTGCAGTTTGGTCGCCATTTGTTATTGTTTACCGGCACGTCTACATCGCTCAGAATGACATATGTGTCTCCGTCATACAGTTACGAGTTGTTACAAGTTGTTACAAGTTGTTACAAGTAGGCCTGTTCCCGCCTGCCCTTTTGGTGATTTTTTACTCTTTACTTTTGCAATTGTTTATGTATTTAGTTTGAAAACCTTTGAAAATATACTTCTTTTATACCAGGAACGGTTTCTGAAGAAATATTTCAATCCGATTATAAATTGTTGGCAAAATCGATGCGTTGCATTGTTAGCGATTACCTAGGATCCAGTTAACCAGTCTTCATATCCAAAAGAAAAGAAAAGAAAATGGTTTTAGTTAGAGAAACAATGTTCTAAATTTTTTCATATGACCAAAACAGAAATACTCGGCATAGAAATACTAAAGGCAAAATAAATAAGCAGCTGTTTGTTGTCTGCTAATATATATTGTGTTTAAAATCGTAGACGATATTAAATGGCAGGTGCAATTCAGACTAAACTCACTAAAGTATTTTGCAAATTATACAGCAACAGTTATACCGAGTTCAGTCTCTTGTAATAGTGATATGTTCTCCGGCTCTTTATTGAATTTCTTTTTCCTCGGAATGCTGTCAATGGAATGTCTTCGCCCAAGTACAGCTCGCAGAAAACTAATCATTATAACTGGTCGTTCAAACTCAACATTTACAGCGATAACTCAAGCTGATCCTGAAGAATATCGTATACAAGAGCACAATGAAACCGAACAATGGATAAATATGACGAAAGAAAGCACGAAGAAAATACAGAGACGTGAAAGAGGGGCCGAATTGTAGCCTTGTTTCATCACTTTCGTGAGTTCATTCTGTGGTTATAGCAGCCGGTACTCAGGATCGAGTCATTCTTCTTCAATATGTGTGCCATAGTTTATGTATAAAAACAGGATAAAGGTTCAGCCGGTCAAGCTCAAATTAAATGTCAATGTTAAGTATTTAAATACAAATAATACATGTCGGAATTTCATAGATGAAGTTGTCGAGAAATGGCAAATGGCACCAGACTGTCAGACTAGGTACCTGTAACCACGGTACACATTGTTGTTGATACTTCGGATTCTGTTCATTTTTATAATACGACTACCATGACAAATAATATATTATTTGTCGATGTCTGCCTGATGTGACGGTTTCAAAGAACGTATGATCAAGAAATTGTTGATTATGGCATTGCATGTCATTGATGATTTTCAGTTAGATTAAGTTTTAAAAATAGTATTTTGTAAAACTGATGGTATATTCAACTATGTTTTCAAATTGTGATTTATTTCAAAGTGGGCTTCGCATGTTCCTTGGGTTTTTAGGATATTCTTGTTCTTAGGATTTTGTTGTGACCAGCACCCGTAAACCGAGCGAGCGAAGAGCACATGATAAATTTTTAATGAAAACAATACAAATGCTTTGGATTCATTGCTGCATGGTTGGTGAGCTTAATTTATGGTGGATGGTGTAACTTGATTGGGTCTGCCAACTAAGGAAGAACACAGGAGAAAGACTCCCATCAAGCACTCCACTTAAACGAGTTCTGTACAACATCAGATCTTTAAATTGCCTCATATTCAAGAACATGTACTACCTGCACTTGTCAACTTTGAGAGAATACAGGAGAAACTTATCATCATAATTTTACAAGGGCTCTTCATGGAAAGATGCGCGCTGGTGCACTGGAAATGATCTAATCATAATTTTTTTAATCAGTTCATCAACGTAGAACGATCAGGCCTAAGATAATTAATGATATAATTGTGGCATTCCGCTAGCCTCATTAGAAGTTAATAGAAAGAAATACAAAACAAATAGCGGTATGGAAATAACCTAGCCTCGCGTTGCCCTGGCCTTGTGTTATAAATTTCATTCATTTTAAAAGTTGCCACAGTGCAAAGGTGAGTAGTTGTTGAGAAGTCTTCAAGAAAGACCTTACTATGCTAAATTATCATTTCGCGGTCAGTATCACATCTCTTTGATTGGGTCATTTTGAAGGATGGAAAAAAATAAACAATAACAACAAGTGCTATATGCGAAGAGCCATGTGATCGTGACAGCTATAGTGAATATAAATCTTTCGTTTTCATCGATGCTAGAAAGCAGATCAAGTGTGTCTTCTCTCAACCTCGTAGTTTTAACTCGCTTTTATGGTTTTTACACCGAGAAGAAGGCGACTATTTCGTGCGATTTTCGCTGCATTCGTCTTCACTGGATTCGTACTCATTTTGAAACAGTGGAATTTGGATTTATACGACAACTTTGATGAATCAACATTTCTCCCAGATATTGCAAAGCATAGTCGCAATTCCTTAGGTAATATATCTATCTTATGTTTGCTAAACTGGATTACTTGTATTGTTTCATAGTACCGCTACTGATCTTATTGTTTTGCTTATATTGGCCGTGAAACGATTATTGTTAAATTTTTAAACGAGAGACACTGTTGTATAATTAGTATAAATATTTGATTATGTTTTCATTTGTATTTTAGTCTATTATTCAGTTAATTTATCATTTTTCAACCCCAAAGTTTTGTCTTATAATATACTACAGAAAATGGTTTCATGCACGTTGTTATAGAGAATTTTCTCGCTTGTATTGCTGTGCAAAGTAAAAAGTTCCATTTGGTTTCATGTACACAGGTCTCATTTGTTGGCGTACCAACCGCGACTCGTATGAGGTTTTTAATATTTAAAGCAAATAAAACTTCAGTGAGAATTTTGCATGTGGTTTTGCAGTTTATGTCCGCAATAAAATTACTCAAGTTAAAGGAGATTAAGTTAACCCAACTGGTATTCTGGAATGAAAATAATTCAACTAATCTTAGTTATCTATCGCAGGTACATGGCAGCCTACATGTCTGCCATTCATCATGATCATTTTTTACATGATAATCGTGTTGTTTTAATGGCCTAAAATTAAAAATTACTGTAGACAGCTGTCCAATTCAATTCCTTGCATAACAAAGTGCTTGTAATCAATTTTTCTGTTGTAACATCTCAGTAGGCAACTAAGATCTTTTGAACTTTGTAAGCATAGTGATGAATGATGTATACTCCTTTAATGGATGCTAGTCAATTTCCATGGAAACATCTGTGCTTTGATTTAAACAATTATTCACCCAAGGCAAGGTGATTATCAGGGAGGTGAATATTCCCCAATAATCACCAAGCCTAAAGAGAATAATTGTTTTAGTATTTTTGTACAAGTGAATTGATGTAAGAACTGCATTTGTTCGCTTATCTCTTTGAAGAAACATCAACAAAACGGCTAGCTGCCATTTTGAAATTTAGCATAATATGTCAAATTTGACCAATCAGATTGTAGGATTTGTTATATTCACAAGTTTGTACAGAAATACTAAATATAATTATTGTTTTCTAATCTTGAACTATATTAATTTTTTTATAAGTGAACTTGATTGCTAACAATGTTCATGCCAATTAGCCTAGGGCTAGTAATTTTTGATATCTCTGCCAACGTCTAAGTATTTCTGCATAGATCTTCATTTAAAATAATTGCTTGGTGAAATTTGTGTTGATTTTGGATCTTAAAGCTTGGTTCACACAAACCTACGTTTCAAACATTTCTCAAACAGCATGGGTCATGTACAGTTGTTATATGGAACATATTATGCACCTGTCTTTGGGGAACTAAATTGCAGCTATTTGCTTGGCAGCCTCCAAACTAAAACAAAACCTTGTGAAAGTAATGAGAAAGCTTATGGACAAGGTTTTCATCCTAGCAGGCACCAGCCATATGTAATAAATTCATTTTTTACTAGATGATGGTTACACAGAAAGAAGCAGAAGAGAGGATATAAATATCTCTAAGGTTAGAAATAATTGTATTTCATTGCCTTTTAAAATAAATTTATAAAATACTAAAGTAGAATTTGTCTTTTCTTAAAAAAGGTGCTAGTTATTAATGGAAAGACACAAACTCCTGTTTTGAACCTAAATGTTGTGAAACAGTCAAACATAACATGGATTCAACATCCTTGGGTGCCATCTGTGAGTAAATTCATTTTGATATTTAGACTTAGTGTAAAATTGATTGGATAAACAATTCTAATTCGTAAACAGACCTATTGACATGCCACAATCAATGATTGTTTTATCACATTCTAGTTACGTGGCTTTCTTAATGTACATGTGTGGCTGGACTGGTGTGGTAGTACCATTAATGATCTCAGACGGAATATTCATTTTCCTAAGTACCCTGATGTAAGACTGAAAACAAATCTATTTTATCTCAGTCATGATGCTCATAATTTTGGTCAGAGAGTGTTTGGGTTTCTTCATCCGCCCAAAACAGGTTAGATTATTAATTTTCATTCATTCTGAACATCTTATTTTTCTTTTTCATTCTCTTACTTTTACTTTCCAGGGCACTACAGGTTTGGGATATCTTCGGACGATTCATCAGAGCTGTGGTTAAGTTCCGACGACGACCCGAGGAACTCCCGACTGATAGCTTGGGTTGGCAATCTCAGCGACCCATTTTGGCAAGAGATTGTTGGAGATGGAGAATTCACTAAATATGAATCTCAGATCTCAGCTGAGATATTCTTACGACGAAATCGGCGATACTTTGTGGAAGCCTTGCATAAACAGTCAACGTCCAGTGACCATTTGCTAGTCGCCTGGAAAATTCCACATTTCATGAACTTCAGCTACATCACGCGTGGACGAGTCTCGCAGTATATTCATCCGCACGAACTACATAACCTGGACGTCACTCGTTATGCACGGCACATACCTATCACTCCAGCCGTACTTCAGAAACCTTTGACTCTCGAAAAACTTAGAAAGCATATTTTGCGAGGTTCGTCTAACGTACATGAGAACTCCGAGACACAAGTCGACCCGATTGGGAAAATTGGTCGATTTGAGAGTTCCAGAAAAAAGGATATTCATGGTACAGATATTTTCGAAACAGACAAAAATACCAGTCACTTCAGAACAAAACAAGCAAATAAAAGTATCCATATTTATAAAGAACATGTAAGGAATGATATTAGTCTGAATGTCAGTGATTTAACTCAGTCATTTGCTAATGTAATGTATCCTAGCTGTGACTATAAGCCAAGCTATCAAGTTGACTTCAAAGTAGCAAGATATGAAGGTGTTTATCTTATTCATGAAACATCAGTTTATCCAGACGATATGACGCACTTGAAGCATGTTGAGTATTTTAAACCATGTTTTGAAATGAGGCAAATGGATTCTCATGGAGTACTTTTGCCTGGCGTTGAGGAGTTGAACCAGAATAATGAGAATGATGATGACTTAACACGACAGACTCAAATCACTGGTAGGACGGCTGGTAATATCGCTTCAGTTAATTACACTGATCTACATCGTACTCATTTTGGGCTTGAATCAAATTTTTCTCAAAGAAAAAAAATTTATAAAAGAAAGATATTAGAATATACGGGAGAAAATGATCGCATAGTTCATAAATATGAACGTATACAAGATGAACGGAAAAATACGTCACGTTACCGATCACAAGGAGCAGTGATTGGTTACAGGAATAACTTTAAAAATTATTCAGATCAAGATTTAATGAAAACGTCAACAAAACCTGAAAGAATAAGCCGCATAAAAGATCCCGTCAAAACGGCGGATGGATTTTCTTACGACAGGAAAAGAAAAGTAGCTAAACGTGAGATAAAAATGGTTGGAAACAAATCTGTTAAAAACATGACGAGGAACGACGTACACAGCTCAGAGGATAGAGTGATGAAGTTTGTAAAAGATGCCGTCAAAACTGGTAAAAGTTTTGTTTTGGAAAACAAAAATTTTGAAGCGAAAAATATAAACAAAATTAAATCTGTGAATACAAAGACAGTTATTCCAGTTAATTCAGAAAGCAAAACAGTTAACAAATCTGCAGGAAATGAAGACACCTTGAATCCCAGTGAAAGCTGGGAGACTTTGAAAAAAAGATTACAAAAACGTAAAGTTATGAGAGAAGCTGACAAAAATGCAGATTCAGTTAAAAGAAATGCTCTGGGTCAGGAGGATATAAATAATAAGGTTCTAAAAAAGACAGGGGTTTACTTAAAAAAGACAGTACAAAACAAAAAAAGACATTATAATTCTTCAATTTCTAACAAAAAACCTAAATTTTGGCATCGAAAACACCAAAAAACAAGAGCAACGAACAATGTTTTTGTCGAAGACTCGTCGCCATTTTTCCCGACTTTTAAGAGACTTAAAGAGACCGGTCAATGGTCCGAGATTCAGAAATATGCTCAACGGAAAGGCTTGTTACTTACAAAAAAAACTTGGATGTATGTGACTTGGAAATTTCTACGATACGAAAAGCCGAAAAAACCACACGATAAGCTTACCGAGTTTATTTATAAACAGAATCCAACCAAGTGTCGTACTGATGGAAATATATTACTGAATCAACAAGTTAGTAATGAAACTGAATGTATTATATTTACCAAATTTTGTATTATATATATCTTTATAATTTTATTTTTCTAGGTCGCAGAAAGTGTTATCAACAAATATATGAAAGATTTGCGCAACAAATTTGGAAGGTTTGTTTGATAATTGCCCAGACTCAGTGACTGGTTTTCTCCTCATTGCATTTTTTGCATTTTTTTCAGTGAGTTGTTTCTAAAACGTATCATTAATGTTGAAGAAAACCATGACGTCATTCAAGGAGATAGATATCTTATCGAACTAGTAAGTAATTAGTTTATATCAAATGCAGTGACTGCAGAATTATCCCCCGTGCAGTGAAGGTATATAATAATATTGTTTTTCTTTTGTAGGAACTGGGACTCAATGCTAAAGGTAAATCTTAAAGTCTTTAGTTTAAATATTGAAATATAAATTTCAAAACATAAGGCGTAGTTGACAAACCTAAAATATTCTAGGTAAAACGATTCGTGTGTCTGACTATGTATATCTACCACTTGGTGCCAATTCCTTCTGTTCACCTCGGGAGTTTGTCTGGAGAAGAAATGTCACTGTACATGTTATTGTTCCTGGTAATTATACTTGATGTTTACAAAATATTTAATATATAAAAAACTATAGTTTCAGAGAGCTCAAAAATGGGTAGTTGTGATCGTCCTGCTTATGTATTTATTCTGTAGTGAAAAACCAAGGAAAGTGGGTGCAACATTTAATTGATGATATGACGGAGGTAAAGCTAACCTTAACGTCCATCTTCACCTGAGGAATCATCTCTTCCAATGGTCCTTTGACGCTGATCACTATATATCTAGTGTATGCATTGTTTCTTTATAGCTTTACGAAAGAACACATGATGCCAATATCAACTTGATAATTGTTGATTTTAACAGCAGTGATATAAATATAAAACAGGCATTAAAACAAAGTTCCCTGAAGAGGTAAATTACACTTTGGAGTAAATACACAATTCTCACAGTATGTAAGTGACAAAAAGCTTTCGTAAAAATGTCGTTTAAGTTTTTTAATCGATTTCCTCTTAGTAATATAATGTTTTCTTTACCCAGCAAAAGATCGGTAAAACAAAGTTGTGTTATACACATAACATATTATAACATATTGTTTCTTGTCTTTATTTAGATATAGGTTTTTACAGGTCCAAGGTTCATTTCAACGAGCATTAGGAATTCAAATAGGAGCTGACGCAGTTATGGTAAACAACTCAAATCAGTTATATTGTTTTGACACAAGTTAAATAATGGCATCAATATTAACATACAAATATTTTCCTTCAGAATTCAGATGATATCATCTTTACTTGTGACCTACATTTGGACTTTCCTAATAATATTATTGAAATTATACGTAAGGTAAAGTCTCTCTGTTTCAGATCTTCCTAGCAAACGCTTGCATCGTCTCCATTGTATAATTGTGCAATTGCTTAGTGAAGTTTTATTTATGTTTTTAGCATTGTATTCAGGGTAGAATGGCGTTTTCACCTGTAGTATTGAGACTTGAATGTGGTTTCACACCATTTTTGCCTTATGGTAGGAATCTCTCATCTTTCCTACAGTATACAGTGCATGTGTTGACGGGAGTGTTGAATGCGCGAGATTATGCACATGCAGTGTATTTTGTGAGACGGCAGCACTCAGGATCATATCTCTGCATATATGGAGAATTGTTTTGTGAAGAGTCAATTTTCCTACTCTAGGCGAATGGGAAACAATGGGATATGGTTTGTTTGCAATGTACAAGTCCGACTTTGATCGAATTGGCGGAATGAATATCAACGAGTTTAAAACAAAGTGGGGAGGAGAGGATTGGGAGATGGTTGACAGGTGAGTTTGTATATTTTTGACGCTGTAATATTTTATAAGGCACACAAACAATGCAAAACATTTCATTCTAGATGTCTTCAGAATGGGATCGAAATCGAGAGGTTTCGTGTACCGCATTTCTTCCACTATTTTCACAGCAAGCAGGGTATGTGGGGTAGCTATGGATTCGAGGACAATGTTTCAGGAAGTAGAGGGGATAGCATCGCGGAAGATGGATTGGTTCAGGTCTACGATCTTAACAGGGACAATGTTTTGAAATATAGGTATAATCAGCCCCTAATGCCGGAGTATTGATCCATCCAGCTTAGAGGTGAGTTAAGAATGTCACGTTTTTTAAACTGTTGTACGAATGGAAAAAAGGCCACTGACTTGAAAAAACTGGATCTGAAACATTCACCGCGCAAATCCGTTGACCTAAATATTTTCGAATTGGCACAACTCGTTACTGAATAATAGCATTCTTTGGATAAAATGATATTCATTAGGTATGTAGATAAATATGCAAAGTTTATAGCTATATATATTATTTAAAAAAGGAAAATGAATAATTAGCCATGCAATTTAAACATTAAAAATGTTTTCTACCAAAACTATTGCATGCAACAATTTTTTATCATTTTACACATAGTATGTTCACAAGCGTCAGCATTGAAAATTAAATTACAATATTGTTGTAGACATTTTAAAATACTTAATCATTCATGATTATTCATGTTAAAACTAAACTATACTAAAACCATGCAAATACCGAGAAATAATCGCCTGTTTTATGGCTGTAATAAATTAAATTAAAGAGATGCATTAAAGTAATGTCTAACTGACTTTTGTTATTTAGTCCATACGTTATTAAGGTTGCTCCAAATACTTGGCCATTTTGTCAACCGAAGCATTTATTTCAGTAGGCATGTTATCTTCCTCAATACCGTCCAATAAATTCCTTATTTCACTCAAGCAACTTTTCTTCTTTTCGATTAAACTTACCGACTCCATTCCCTTCTTGTTTAACCTCTCAACCTCTTCCCATTGATTTCGTCGTCTCACAAAGAACAACTTTGCACCAAAATACAGCACTAAGGCAACCACAGCAAACAAGATAAATCCAACTACCCCACCTACGACAATAGCGGCAACTTGTCCCCACCCTGGTGCTTTTGCTCCTAAAGCCGCCCCGATCACCGCACCCAGTACAGGAAAGGCCAATGCTGAAGGCTTACCAAATTTAATCAATTTTTGAACGCGGTTAGCACTTGAATTCACTTGAGTTTTCAATTCTCGTTGGGCGTTTAACCCACGACTAGCAAGGTCTCTGTGCCTGTACAGAAAAGAGAAGTAATATCGCTTTAGTGTAATTATTTTTAACTCTAAATCCTACCTGATATTCTCGTATACCAACCTATCGAGATCATCTTTAAGATCTTTGTAATCACGATCTGTTTTCTCCGCAACTTCAGTCGCAGGATTTCTGGCGCTGTAGTAGTCTTTCATCGTCGAAATTTTTGATTTGGTTTGGTCGCGTACGTTTGGCCATTCTTGTTCGATTGCGTTAAATTCAGCATTGATACTCTCAGTGAGTTCCGCCATCTTCACGTCTGAAATCTGAAGATCATTATGTATATGATTTTCTTCGTATGAAATATGATGGTTCCGTGTGGACCCATTTTGTCATTGCAAAACTTTATATGTTGTTTAATTTTGTTTGATAAAACAAAACCACGGATTATATCATCTTTAAAAATTATAGACTTTAAGAAAGATGAAGATTGCATGCAAGGTGGCATAATTCATTCGTTTTTTATGCTTGAAAAGTTCAGCGATTCACTGCGCAATCTCCGACACCACGACAACTTCCGATTCCGTTCACGAGGGCGATATTAAGGTCAAACAGTGTTGCGTATTTTCAAAGACTTGGAAAACTGAAAAATTTCTCATTGGAAATTCCAATTTATATTGATCTTATTTTATGAAATATTATTTAACTGAACTACTACTTTGATTTTTAAATTTAAAGTTTGTAAGTTATTTGCATAAAGACACGATACTAGGAATCAAAACAAAAATACAAAAGCCCAGACAGTAAACAGTAACATGAAAATTATATTAATTATGTTGATTGCCAAAGTTGTAATATTGTTTCAACGTGAATTTGATACTTCTTTTAGAAATAATAAATAAACCTGGGACACTGTCTTGTATAGTTTTAACGGTTTTGTTAGATTTTTTATCAAAAATATTTATCCCCTTTTGCGACAGATGGTCGCTGGAAACAATAAAAGTTTTATACGAAGTAATAACTTGAGTGGGTGAAAATATAGTTAGTTACTTTAAATTTTTGCTACTTTTAAAAAATGTGGATAGTTTTGTAGCTTACCTTCAATGTATCTAAGGACTTTTCTAGTAAATTGAAATTCCAATCTTTAAAATTACCCCTAAACACTTAACTACATGTTATCTAAAAATATTCGTATGCATAAATAATGTCCTTCCTATCTGGTTTATCTAAGTTAGTATAATGCAGAAATTCAAAGCATTGTGATTGGCTAATAACTATATAAAATTTATAGGTCGGAAGTAATAACGTAGAGAAAATGTAAAAATTTAAAAATGACGTCATATCGTAGCTGCCTTTTCTTAGTTTTACTCCGAGTTTACATCATACTTTATAATGCTAACATAATGATATTACGATTAGTTTGGAACAAGCCAAATATTTTAAGAACATCATTCATCAGGTGCAGCACACGCCGCATGCGATGATGCCGTAAGAATATTGCTATCTTTACTTGCTTTCATGAGTCTCACACTTCATGATAGGATATATGAAATATAAAATTTATAGTCTATATTTGATATGATAGGGTAATCCAATTTAGAATAGTCCGCCAGTTTAAATGTTCAAGGTCATGGATCAAAAGTCTCGGTCAAGCGCTGAACGCATAAAAGCACAGATAATCAGTTGGGTTCCGCATTATCGATTGTTAATTGTTAATTGTTAATTCGTAGTTCCGCGCATAAGATAAGTGACGCTCGATCCAGGCTTAATAGTTATCGTTTTCAACGCTGATCCAACTGTGGGAATGTTTGACTCGCTAAACAACGTAGTTGCCAAAGCTACATGAATTAATTTCTTGGAAAAGATTTACTTTCCACTTTCCAGGTAAACGAAAGTAGACAAGTTCGGGCATATATATATTATAAATTATACACATTAATCAACCCTTGACAAAGGTGCTTCAACATCATTCCAAAATCTTTAAAATAAAGCTGCGTAATTTTGAACATGTATACACTCGATTCTTTGTTGACGTACATCACAACATCCAAGTCTCTAATCTCAAATTGATTATTTACTGATTTTACTTATTTCACCCAACTTTTTTTCTGTTTTGTCAATTTATCTACGATGAAAATGGTCCATGATTTATATACCAAGTGATGCTTGCACAACACCAGGAAATGTTGGTTGTTCACTGATTTAAGAAACATATTGTTATACCATAACTACATAAACGATATTAAGTTGACTTCATGCTGTCAACCTTGGGGAATAGGCACGAAATATCAGCATCGTAATTTTCACAGCGATCAGCGATATTTGACCGTAATAAATAGCGCAACTTGCCAGCAAATTTTTAACATTTCTGTAAAGTTGTTTCGAATTGTCACGAAATATAATAAAGATTTAGTATTCAAGATGAAACCTTTAAGGAATTAGTACACTATATTTGCGCTTACAAAACATGATTCACTTTCAGGCAACGTTCATTCCCCTTGTGATCTCTAATCTACCACGATGAAGCAACGATGTTTGAAACCGCAAAATCTGTCAAAAAAAATCTATGGCTCTGTAAGCACGCTTTATACATTCTCCAACTATAAACTCTTTTATCAAATAATTGAAAATCGAGCATTACCAATGCGTCTGTGAAATGAAACTTTAACAACTCTGCCCGTATATTTATCGAACAGTACTATAAGCACTTCAAATGGACGAAACAGCTGAACTAGTGTCACAATTTATGTGGATATAACCTTAATGGTAATTGTTCTCACACCATTGGTCTTCACCGGTAGAGAATCATAAATACAGAATGTAGATTATATAAAACTTACCAGTAATGATAAACTACGAATCGAAGCAAACAGCTTTCGTGTTTTCAATATTTGCAAGCTTTGATTAGAATTATGACAAACCAAGACTTATATGGTTGTCAGATCTTTTTACTGCGCATGCGCTTATTACAATACATGGTGACGCAATTGGATAAATTTTCAATACAATTTGGGCATTACCTGCTAAAAACTCCTCCTGTCAGCATTTTTCCGTAATAATGCTGTCAGCATTTTTCCGTAATAATGCTGTCAGCATTTTTCCGTAATAATGCTGAAGTTGTAAGATTCGTCTATTATTCCCACAATTCATGTCTTCCGTTTTGTGTATCAATCAACAACTGCTTTTATTGAAGTCAAGTTATGGTATCAGGTTTTTATGATTTGGGAAAATGCTTGGGGAACAACATTTCAGACTCTTCCTTGTAAATTAAGGTAATCTACCAAAATAAATGAAAAGAAAACTATCGTGTTTGGTACAGTGGGGTTTCCCCGTTAATTAGAACACCCAATAATAGCATCTTTCCAAATTGGTGTAGTAAATATAGTCTGTGTGGTTTTTCATAGCGCTCATATTTTATATGGCCCAATTGTTTGTTGAATATGAAAAGTCAAACTTTTTGTAAGGAAACAAATTCTCGTACGTATATTTGTTAAATGAAAGGTTCTTCGAAAGTTAAGCCCGTTTTCCACCAGGCGAATTAATTCGCGCGAACAGATAAAAAGTAGGAAGCCTTTCGCGTCGCGCTAATAAATGTCGGATCGGTTTTTTTTTTCATTATTTTCGCTAACTTTCTGAACAGCCACAAAGGTGCAAAATGTCTGTTTTACCAACCGAATTAAACTTAATCCACAAAATTATGAATACCAAGCCTAACTCTAACCTAATAATAAAGTCCTAAAATTGCTGGGCGTCTTGAAAATCCTTCTTCCAACTGATCCAAAGGATAACCCTGTCGATCTTTATGATTTGCATGAAGCACAGTTACCCAATAATTGCTGCAAGTTTGCCGAACCATCTTATCGGATTGGTAATTGTTATGTGTTCCGTATTTTACATGTGGAAATCGGTTCGCAGATCATCCGTGTGTGCCCTGGCTTTGAACAAAGTTGTTATTGAAAATTGCACCATTGAAAAAACAGAAACATGTTGGTAGTAGACTCGTTTCCATAAATTGCGATGCATTTGCAAGCGGAGACTCCCAGAGGGAAGAAATTTTGCGACTTCGCCTGTTCTATGTGAACATTTTTGTTAACGGGATTATCAGGTTTTCAAAAATGGAGAAGGAAAGACACCCTGGTTTCTGTGTATGTACGGTAAGTTTCTCTTTAAAAAATCATAAAATAATCCAGCTTTTGACGTTTGTATCAAACTGTCCCTGGTTATAATTTGCCACAATTCATCTCCCAAATAGAATATTACAGAAAATAATTGGAGAACAGGCTGTTTAGCACCCCCCTGGTCGCTATTATACACTAATTATTCCGAAATGAATTGATACTCCAATTAGAATATAAATTATTATATAATATGGTAATTGCTACAGATACAGACGCTTCTTATACAAGCACATTCTGGTTCACTGGATTGACATGGCAAATGTTAAATTTCTTCTCTGTATTATTTTCTCAATGCTTTTATTAGTTTCTGCTCAATTAAGATGGCGACTAAAGAGCAAATCTGGCGGACCGTCACCACGAAGAGATGTAGCTATCGGTTATGACCCTGAAAACAAACAAATATTAATTTTTGGTGGGAGAGATGAATCAGGACCACGAGCTGATACATGGGCATTTAACTTATCTTCTCTGGCATGGAAGGAACTAAAAACGAAAAATGATATTAGTGGACGATTTTCAGTAGTTTCGGGTGTATGGAATAATGGTTTTTATGTTTCTACTGGTCAGGCAGGAGCTTCCTTCTTTGATGACATTTGGCGTTTAGATTTGTCAACATTGGTTTGGAAGAAACTTTTATCAAGAAACTCACCAGAAGAACGATATGGCTCTGCTGGGGGATTCTTTCAACATGGAAATTCTAGTTTCTTCTATTTAACTCATGGCTTTGCAGACATGCGATACTCAAATACGTTTATGTATGATGTGTCAAAAGAGAAGGGATGGACAGAAGTCTTTACAGGAACAAGCAGTTATAACCCTAACTATCCCCATGCACGATGTCTTCATTCAGCTACAATGTTGTCTGCACACAAGTTTATCATGTATGGTGGATGTCTAGGGTAAGCTACGCTTTCATATATATCAATACTGGCAAAGTTATCCAACTTCAACAATATGAAGGTGCAAATAGTTGTAGTACCTAAAAGAGCCTGATTAACAATGCTAAATGTCATTAAATGCTGGTGCTTAGGACAGTTTGTAGATGTGTGGTGTAGGTTTTAGTATTACCACTACTATTACTATTATGCTGAAGGTTAAACAAATTAGTTTTCTCATTAATTTGTCAAAATTGAAACTGTCTTTTTTCTCAACCTTTCAAAGTGGTGGTGGCACAGGAGGTCCATGTCCATCAGATGATGCCTGGATGTTTGATGGTGAACAAGATGAATGGAAACGGTTGCCACATTGTGCTTCACCTCGCAAATATTCAGCAATGGCTTTATTGCCTATTGTTAAAGATGCTAATGGAAATAATATTGTGAGAGCTGTTTTATATGGTGGTGGAGAGACTAGTAGTTCTGTTATAACTGTAAGTCTGGTAGTAACTGTATGCAGTTTATATATTGATGCATAGCATTTAATTCATAACATTATGCTAGTAATTACTCTGCATTTTGCAATAATTCTAAGTAATAACTTATTAACAATTATTTACTCTGAATCTGATTTGTAATTAGTATATATGTGACAATTCAAGTCATCAACTATTGTTGCAGGTAACAAAAGCCCCACCTAATGAAATTGTCATTTATAATCCTGAGGCAGACAAATGGACTAAAAAGACAATTAATGTAAGTATCAGGACTTGGTTGATTTTTCTCATATTCTGGTATATTTGTAAAAGCAAGTCTGTTCTTTATTCTTTTAGGGAACTTCTCCTGGAAAAAGAGATGGGCATGCAATGGTTACAATTGATAGTGGTATCATTATGTTTGGTGGAAAAACAAGGTGGGTGGAGAGAGATGTATTGTTTCAATGAAAAAAGTAATTTCTCCGTTTGAAACTATTTTGAAACAAATTCTAAAGTTTTTTTTAACATCACTTCAAATGTATTGTTTTGTAATTAGCTGAGTTTTAAACTATTTTTCTCTTAAAGATTTCTCAACAGTTAATTTTTCAGAGCTGTTTTACCTCTTTCTGTTCACAACAATAAAAAAATTTCTTCCTATTTATTTATTAATCAGCAATGGTCTTGAGAATGATATCTGGTTACTGGAGGGGAATGTAAATGATGTGAAGGAAACTGCTGATGGTGAAGAATGCAACCTGTTATACTTCAGTTACATTCAACTACATGGCATATTTATGTTCATTGGATGGGGTTTACTTCTTCAATTAGGCATGTTCTTTGCAAGATATTTTAGACAGAGAGATCCGTGGTGGTTCAAGATGCATCGAGCTTTACAGGTACTGCTTCGTAGGAAACAAATGCAGTTAGTCATGTCCTTCAGTGGTAGCTGCATTTGAGGATAGAGTTATGTGGATGTGAGGTATATAGGCTAGAAGACTAAAGAATCACGGCTGCTGTCACTGTACGTGTCACATGAGATCAACTTCAAGAAATTATTAGAACGCAAAAGCATTATTGATTAAGCAGTATTTAATTATTTCTTCATTATTTCTTTATTTAGGTATCTGGTTTGATTGTTTCAATCTTTGGGTTTGCATTTGCTGTCGTGTCTGTTCCGTTTTCCCATTTCATGTTTGCCCATGGTGGAATAGGGCTACTCATCATGATAATTGGTCTACTTCAGCCTCTCAATGCGTTTTTGTGAGTATTACTCCACTCTGATTTTTTAGCGATTTGATAGCTGTTTGTAGATGGAAGGTGAGATTCATTGACGATCCTATTTTTATTCCAGCCGGCCTCATAAGACTGATCCTAAAACCTTGAAAAGAATGATTTGGGAGATCTATCACATCAATGCTGGACGAGTTGCCTTGATTCTTGCTCTAATCAATATATCGCTTGGTGTGTTTCTTGCTGTGGTTCCTTACACTGCCTGGGTCGTTTGGTTTATCATGTTTGCTGTGTGGGTAGCAATCCTTATTGTCATGGAAGTTCGTCTACAATATTCAAGGTACTCGTCAGGACAGGGAAATATGATGGAAATGACGAATCAATGAAGTCGTTTGCGAGGTCGTTTGGTGTGTCATGGTTGTCGTCAGTGGTCAATATTAAACCTTTCTTATAATGTCTTTTCTAATGACGTCAAACAAAGCGTTCACGAAGTTTGATTAGCATCTTTTGATTAGCAGGAGCCGATCAAACGTTGTTTAACATCAGGCTTTCCGCGTCAATTGGAGCAGGTCTATAGTCAATGGTCTATACTCTATACTTTGCATGTTTAACCCTCATTATTTATGTTCATATCATATATACACACCACACGTAAAGCCCTGCATATAATGCAATGCCAAGGCTTTGCTAATACAAGCCAGGCTTTTCTATACGGTCTAGCCATGCAAATAATTATTTCTATTGCACGGTTTCTTTCATTAAATTATAAATTATTATTAATTATTGTTTCAAATAATGAATGTTTTCATTCCTGCAATGGTAAAAATATTTTCATTTGGTGAAAGATGGAATGTTCCATTTCACCTCATGAAAATATTCTTACCATTCCACGAATGAAAATATTTATCATTATCTTAGTATAATATTCATTGCATATAGAAAATTTCAGTCTCATTCGTAGCTACTGCATATGACGTACTTTATAATATACTTTATTATACGTTGTAGTTATAAAGTCCAATTTGATTTTTAATTACAGTATGTGTGATGCATAGTTAATATATAGTTTGAGGTTATTTGCCTTGCAAGCATTAGTTCGTCTGAACATTTGAAATTTACAGAATGTTCATCAAACTCTCTGATGCATATTTAACGTAACTCTCAAATGTTGCTCTCAGTTTTAGTCTTAGATATAATTGCCTTCTTATAAAAAATACGTCTCAAAGAGTTGAGAGTATAGTAAATGTTGCCGAGACATTTTCATTGTCATTGATAATTTAAAACGTCTCTGTATACGAATCGAATAACCAATTTAATGTCTCTTTGGTCTTGAATGAACCAAATAGCTTAACTACAGATGTTTCATCTGTGGTTTGCATGAAAAGACTTGCAATGTTGAAATGTCATTCAAAGTCACGTTGTAACTATGGTAACAAAATAACAATATAGAACAGTCACTCCGGTCAGTCAGTGTCAAACACGAGAACTCTCTCCCTGAGTTTCAGAATAAGTTCTCTGTATTTCGTTATAGCTCAGGAAAAGATTCCTGGTACTACCAATTTCCTCCCACATGAATAGACTAAGTGTACTCACTTTTAAAGTATATTATAAGACAAAATTTTATCTATATATTTCCGTGACTCTATAGTACATCTATTATAGTATTACGTATACATTATACGTATACATAGTGATTATCATTTCCGGATATTAATGAGTTCAATTAAGACAGTTATAAAAGCGTCGCGTTTGTTGAGGCATTGAAATTTCGGTGGTTTAGGTCAAGCCATAAGCAGCTATCATATAAGGAATAAAACACAGTCCTTGAGTGTTGCCATCGGCATCGAGGATGAATGCAGCCACCGCTGTTTTGCTGCTCTGTTGTTTCTTTCAAGCTACTCAACAGTTGCAGTGGCAACGATTAGCAGAGGATAATAAAAGTAAGTTTTTCTTGTCACTAAAATTGCATATTAGCTGAATTTCATCATTATGAAGTCTTGATAGAGCTGGTATTACGATCGTATTTAAACTTATTCACCGGGAAACGATTGTAACAAGACATGTATTTTGTAATTAGCCTAGGGAGTAATGGGAAAGTATATATTCCTTCTTGACCCCTCGCCCTAGTTCATGCAACCTCCAGGAAATTCACGATTCTCCTGGATGATAAATTTAGTAACGTGACTTAAATTGATATAACTCTTTTAACTTTCGAGACACATGAGAGACAGAGAAGTCAGCCATTACAACATTATCCATGTCATAATTTGCTGGAATGTTTGCGAAAAGATTAGTTCTTTTTTCCGTTTTAAGACAAGCGTCGTAGTTCATAAACCTTTACTAATAATTAATTTTACCAACAGAGCGACATTCCGTCATCTGACATATTACATACCTAAAAGAAGGTGTGTCGTATAGGCTTTTAATCTCCTTGCTGGGGTATCAACTCTCTTGTCCCTACGATACAAGATCGTAAACGTGTGCGTGGGCATTGCACGCACGATTAATCTTCAGGCATTTAATATGTTGTTGGTTTGAGAATAAAACAAATATGATTTCAAGAACACATACACTAGTAAGACTTTAGGTAAGACTTTAGGTTAAAAATTCATTAAACTTTTGTTGGTAAATTCATCATTGGTAAATTCATAACAAAATGAACAATTGCATGTGGCAATTATCCTTATTAATACATATTTGCATCTTTTTCAAAGAGTGTGCATTTCTAATTAACTGGAAACTCGATCGATACTCACGTTATTTCAATCATTCTGCTTACAGTTTAATTAACAATGTTCATGTTTTTAAACCCCCTTCGTTTGAACCATGTTTTTTAGATAAAAGTCCAGGAGGAAGACGTGACTGTGCTCTTGGCTACGATGGTAAAGAGGATATAATGTTTGTCTTTGGTGGAAGACATGAAAAGACGATTTACGATGACACCTGGTACTATGATTTCAAAAGCAATAAATGGGACATGGTGAATACTACTATAAGACCTCAAAAACGCTTCACAATGGCATTTGGTGTTTGGAACAGAACAATGTTAATTTCAACAGGTGAAGGACCAGGAAAGGTGTTTTATAATGATGTATGGAGGTTAGTATGCTGCGTCAACCAAACGTGAACTAAACTAAATGCGAATTTCGTACAGGCGAAGATCTTGCTTCATCAAAAAGCTGTCAAGAAGCACCCAAGTATCTGGGCATAATAATTACCTCTTTGAAAAAAGTCTTTGTTCAGTTATTTCTATCATGAGAGAAGAGCATAATATTAATATCTTAAGAAAGCTTGATATGAAACAAGAAATAACTTATTTGGAATAAGTGTTGAGTGCATACTTGTTAACAAATAGTTAATAAAACGCAGTCATTGTCCAGGCCATTATATGCATTTAACAATTATTTAATTTCTTTTTGCTAATTTAACTTAATAAGCGGCTCAAGTGACAAATGTAATAGCCACTTGCTGCATGTGCGTGTTACAGGCATGTAAACTTCGGTAGTCCTAAATATCTTATGATTTGCCTTTTTTAATAGTTTTGACTTCAGGACGTGGTTATGGAAAAAGTTACCCCAAGGATCCAATCCACCAGAGAAAAGATATGGGGTTGCTGGTGGTATATATCCCGGCGAAAGTCTCCTGTGGATGACCCATGGCTTTGCAGATATACGATACTCCAATTCTTTTACCTACGACCTCTTGTATCAAAGAACCAAATGGATTGAAGAGTTTACTGGAACAAACTCGTATAATCCAAAGTACCCACATGCTCGTTGTGTTCATGGGGCGACCCCTGTTACCCCTGATCATCTTGTCATTTACGGTGGATGTCTCGGGTGAGTTGTGTACATATTACTGATGTTTAAATATATCACGAAAACTCTTTTATGTTTACAAAACAATATTCTTTAGTGGCGGTGATACTGGGGGACCATGTCCTTCTTCAGATAGTTGGTTGTTCAATCGAGTCGATAAAAAATGGAAGAGATTGGAGGAATGTTTCTCCCCTCGCATGTTTCCCGCCATGGCCCCACTGCCCATGGGAAGCAAAACTAGTCTGAGACATCGTGCGGTGTTGTATGGAGGGGGACAAAAAAGAGCTGTCAAAGATACAGACGCATATAGCGTTGTCTGGGTATGTCATTTTGCATTTAGTACTCCTACAGAAACGTGGACAAAGTCTTTTAATTTTATTTATTTTCATAGAACATACCAGACACTATTATTTTTCTGAATGTATATTTTAATAAGTAAAGATATTTGAGTAGATTGAGTTGTTTTTTTATTGATTTTCAATATTTGCAGGTGGACGAAGCTCCAATGGATGAGATCGGAGTGTTTACTCTGCACATGGAGAATAATCAAGACAACGACCCCAGCACAAAATGGGAACGAAGACGAGCGGTAAGAATGAAACATTTTGATTATTCAACTGTTGAATATGAATATTAAATAAACAATGTTTCTCGTATTGTAGAGAGCGGTGAATGGGAGCTACCCTACATGGAGGGTAGGTCATAGTTTTTTGACAGCGAAGGAAAAAGGAGGAGTACTTATGTTTGGGTAAAAAAATATTTGTTATTAATAAATAATCTTGCAGTAATATATTTCTCAAAATATCTTAAACTTGCAGGAGGTTTGATCCTTCACTAAAATTACAACATTCATATTTAGCGGTGGTGATAGTGATGAGATTTGGTTATTACGGGGAGATGTCGATAGTGTCGACGAATCAGAGATAATTGGAGATGGTTGTTCGTCTAAATATTGGAGTCTTATTCATTTCCACGGTCTGTTTATGTTTTTGGGCTGGGGCTTGTTCCTGGTTGCCGGTGTGTTTGTCGCAAAATATTTCAGGCACAAAGATCCACTGTGGTTTCATCTTCATCGGATATTTCAGGTATATTTTCATTTCTCTGTTTCCTAATAACGTCAAGCATCTTAAAACCATAATTATCTAGGCTTCTAATCTGGCTGTGTGTTTTCCATTAAGGTGGTTGGTCTCCTATTTACCATAGGAGGTTTTATATGTGGTGTGATGTCCGTACCATCTGAACATTTCCAATTTGCACATGGTGCTATTGGTCTGCTTGTCTTTTTGATTGGCTTACTGCAAGCACTCAATGGAGCTTTGTAAGTTTTTCTACATTTCTTCGTTAATATCCTGTAATTTGAATACTGAAATTTTCAGTGGAAACTGGCCGGATTGAACGAGTGTAGTGTGTAAAGGGTTAAAGCAATCGACTGGAAAATCATTTTCTTGCATTTTTATTGCCGTTGATCGAAATGGACAGTACTGAAATCCAAGTATAATTATGGTGCTTTTTATAGACGTCCTCACAAACAGGAAGGCGATGATCAAACAATCAGGCGCAGAATCTGGGAATTCTGTCATAAGTTTCTTGGTCGTTCATCCTTAATTCTTGCACAGGTTAACATTTCTCTTGGAATGTTCTTAGCTGTGGTTCCCACGGTCGTTTTTGCAGTATGGTTTGCTTACCTTGGTTTCTGGGTGCTGCTGTTTGTATTAATGGGCATCTGGAAGTCCAGAAGAGAATGTGGGAAAGGCATTAAACCTGTTGTATCGAGTGGAAACTATGAGATGAATCCGAAATAATAGGTTGTTTTTTTACGTGGGTTAATTATGGTTAAACTCTGCAAGAAATGCCATAATAGTATTTTTAGTCTTCTATATTTAGCAGTATTATTTGACAATCTAGTTTGATAAAACAAATTCAACCATTTTATATATATATTGCAAGCCATGCTGTCTCATACAGTAATAAATTGTCATTTCCAGTTGAAATGTATCCAAACAGTTCAGAATATACATGCATTCTAGCATTTTCTAAAGTTTTCTTTATATCACATTTAGTAAAACCATGCATGCACGACTGTACTGTGAGGAAGAATTGCGAAATAAACATTTCTATATCTTCCTATAATTTATTTAATTATTTTTTCATGTATGTTGTGGTCACATTCCGTTGGAAAAGTGTGCTATTTAAATATGCACATGATTTTCATTTGTTTTGAACTAAACGAAATTTTTTGTTCTGCTCCAGTGAATTGTTTTGTTTGAATATCCCAGGAGTTTATAGTTCAGCCTTTCTAGTTAATATATCGCGTGGGAATTTTCAGTTTATTTGTCAACTTATCAAATATATTTCCTACACATATACAAGAAATATCCGTAGAGAAAAGGTCTACGGGACGATATCAGCAGTTCAGTCAAGAGCTGTATGTTAACATTTGTTTTCTATGCGAATCGAAGGCACCAGACATCTCAGCCAAAGATGATATTTTATTATTTAATTGCTCTCTCGCTGTTTATTGATCTTACGAGTCAAAATCTTGTATGGCAAGAAATTCGAAGTAAAAGAGTTGGCTCGTCAACCCGACCACCTAGTCCTAGACGAGACTCAGCTATCGCCTATCACGACAAAAACAATGATATTTATATCTTTGGAGGGAAATCCGACAAAACAGCTCTCAATGATATGTATAAATTTAATTTACAAGCGAGGGAATGGGAACCTATTCCTCATAGGACGAGCATAAAGAAAAGATTTGGTATGGTATATGGCACCAGAGGGGATTATTGGTACATTGCAACAGGTGAAGGTAGGAAAACAACGTGATTACAAAACGTGTATTGCAGGGAATAAGTTCCTCTGCGATGCCCCTTCGAGAGGAAATCGACATACTTTAATTTCCGTTTGTAATTTCAGCATATTGAATATATATACGAGAAGTTTTTTGACAATGTGTGTGTAGAAATCCTAGGTATTTGTGTATAGCTGTCGTTGTAAATTATATTCAACGAAACAAACGTTCACGTACAAGCTATGTATAGTCTCGTATTCAACTAGAAGCTGCATGTATGAAAATATATTCGAATTAAAATAAACAAGCTATATTTGGAGCTCATCGTCTCCTGTGCCGAGGTGAGATCGTTTCAATTTTGTTATCTCTTGTGACTGATAATATCAATTTTCATACATTTTAAACAACGACAGGTCTCCATCTTTTCATATAGGTGTCGATGACAGTGGAAAGTCAATATATTATGATGATATCTGGAGATTTCATTTTCCAACCAAAAAATGGGAGGAATTAAAATCAAATACAAGCAAACCAAAAAACAGATATTCTGCGTCGGGAGGAATTTCTGAAGAAGATCCATCATTTATTTTATCACATGGTGCTAATGAAAACGAGCAGTTTTCAAACACGTTTTCTTATGATACAGAATCCCGCCAAGGTTGGAAAGAGATCAACTCCGGCACTAATAATTATAATCCTATGTATCCACACGCTCGATACAAGCAAGCTGGGAAACTGGTGTCTAAGGATAAATTATTGCTTTTTGGTGGTTGTTTAAGGTAAGTAGGGACGAGAGAGAATTCTTAATGCATTGAATCAGTGAGAAGTTATAGACCAAAGGTCCCAATACTATTGGAAGAGGAAAAAAAGGTGTTGCACTAAAGGCGTTCAAAAAGACAAGACGTTTGCACTATCCTTAGTGTTAATGCAAACCGATATATAATAGTCATTTCTGCTGCAAGATAAAAAGCGTTGTTTCCTCAAATTTAGATAAGGTATATATAGCTATAAAGCCGTCTTTCCATGTTTCTGATTCGTTGTTATTCACTCCCAATCAATGTTGATGCGCTAAATGCGTTACGCCGAATTACGATCTAAAACCATAAACCGTTTCTGGTTAAACGTTCTGCAATTTCTATTTAATAAGTGGCCAAGGCACAGGTGGTCCATGTCCTTCAGATGATTCTTGGATATACGACAAAGGCTCAGATAAATGGACAGAATTGAACAGATGTTCTTCTCCCAAAATCTCTTCAGCATTGGCGCGGCTACCAACTAATACGGCGGAAAGAGTTGTATTGTGGGGCGGAAATTCTGACAGCCGAACTACTCTAGTGGTGAGAGACGTTGTTAGAGAGTTGTTGACATTATTTTAACTACTGCGAATGTCAGCATCTTTTTTAATAGAACGAATATTAAAACATGTTCGAACTTGAACGTTATTTTAACAATCTAATTGTAGAATTTGTTTTTCAAATATATTTAATCCCAGTCAGATGATGATATGGAGAATGAAGTAGCTGTTTTTGATCTGGACAAAAATGAATGGAAAATGAAAAAAACTGAGGTAAAAAAATAATAAACTCTATAAAAACGTAAGTAATTTTACTCTTTTCGTGAAAAGACCGAAAAACAAAAATTTCGAAATGCCATTTTCAGGCAGCGAATATGACATTTCCTTCCAAACGTGAGGGTCATGTGATGGTTACGACAAAAGATGGCATTGTTATGTTTGGCGGTGAGAATCTTAGGTTAGTATAATGATTGTTGTAACGTGTATAAATGCCTTTACAGCAGATACGCGATCAGGGAAATATATATTTTCTTGTTTTAGTGACGGTCAAATGTTATCAGACATGTGGTTACTTCGTGGAAATGGTAATGATGCTGATCAAAGCGACGATGGACGCGATTGTGGTCGTCAATATTTCAACCTGATTCTTTTACATGGAATCTTTATGTTCATTGGCTGGTCGGTATTTTTAATCATGGGGATATTTGCTGCGAGATATTTTAGGTTCCTGCAGCCATTATGGTTCAAGCTTCACATGGTTTTCCAGGTATATTTTAATAAGAACAGTTCTTGATATCACCCATGTGACAATTCTAAAATATCCTCTATGATTTGTGTACATTTAAGGTTCTTGGAACAGTTTTTATTCTCGCTGGAACAATCTGTGGCATTATTTCTGTTCCTTCGCATGAACATTTCAAGTTTGCGCATAGTATCTTTGGATATCTTCTCTTTATCATGGTCGTTCAACAGCCCTTCAACGCAATGCTGTAAGTCAATCAATTCAAAATTTTCTATCGCAAAGGTAGCTCAAAATACATAGGGATATTATAGTGAAAAACTGTGCAGCTAGAATTGTACTCAACTGAATATATAAGCTATAAAAGGTGCAATCGCTAGCCTGAATGTATACATCGTCCTATTTATATATGAGAGTTCTTTGTGGGAAAGGGACACTTCGTAGATACTCAAATAGGTGCTGTTTCAATTTTATTTTAAGACGACCTCAGCCAACCGAACAAGGGTTCAATTGTGGCAGATCGTTTTGGGAAGTTTGGCACAAGTGGGCAGGACGGACTGTTGTATTTGGCGGAATTATTAACATTACCCTTGGACTCTTTCTAGCTGTCTCTCCATCCATGGTCTGGATATTATGGTTAGCATATGTCGGACTGTGGATTGTAATATTTTTCGTTGCGGAAATAGTCAAAAGACCATTTGAAAAAGCGTTGCGAAGGCGTGTGAGGAAACCTGTGGTCTATGATACAACGAATCCCTATAGAATTTCTAGAGGGCAAGTAAACACTGCATTTTGATAGTCTCGGGACAAACAATATGAATCACTGGCAACTATTGAAACACTTTACCGTTAGTAAATGAGTCTTCAGTAATAAATGACTTATTAGAATACACCAGTTTCAACTTAATACTTGTGTTCAGTCGTGGGTGTACTTCTGAATTCATTCTTTAAGCGCTCGCACTAAAATTAAAACAAGTGATAGCTAAGAGCCTAAGAAAATAATGATACTGCTCATTGCTTTATTGTCACCCTCGTACTTAGGCTAGGGTCTCTCTGCATGGATTGTAATTTAAGCCAGGGTCTCTCCGCATAAAATGCAATTTAAGCCAGGGTCTCTCTGCATGGATTGTAATTTAAGCCAGGGTTTCTCTGCATGGATTGTAATTTAAGCCAGGGTCTCTCTGCATGGAGTGTAATTCAAGCCAGGTCTGCATGGATTGTAATTTAAGGCAGCGTTTTTGTGCATGGATTGTAATTTATAGGCACTCCTGGAATGTAATGGCCCGTAGATATAGAAAGCTAAACTATTAAAGCAGCGCCTTTGTTTAGACTGTGATCCTCCTATGCGAGCCACGTAATCTGCTCTGACATGCGGTAAGCTGATAGCTTATAATATAACTTGATTTTGAGCCACCGAAAAACTTTGACGAACTAGCTGGTGAAGTCGAAGTGAGAAGAAACTCGAGGTAAGAAGAAGCAAAGAGGCGAAGAATTTTTCCTGGGGTCTAAAAGGTAGAGCACGCGATACAGCAAGGTTGGGTGGGGGCCTTGACTCTTGAGGAGGAGTCACCTTGCGCTCGTTCTACTGTTGTGAAGTATTATAATTGTAGGGCCTTGCTAATCGTTTGGTCAGAAATAACAAAAAACCATAAACAATATGAAATACTCCGCGTACAAGGTTATAAAAAGTTTCGAGCTCTGATTCTGCCTGCAATGACCAATGATGATCATTTTTCACGTTAAAATAGCGTTAAAGAAGTTTTTACGTTAAAGGGCGTTAAAGAAGCGTTTTACAATGGCAGGTTTATTGCTTTTCATATCTTAGTTTTAGTACATTTGTATGTTTACCAGTCTATTTTAGACACATGGTTTAAACCATAAAAGATAAAACCTAATACCCCCCCTGCTTTGATATAACCTTGGATATGAAAACAGTTTGAATGGATATTTTTGTGGTTACAAGAAAGTTGTTATTTAATTAATTTTTTCATGATATTTAGAAAATCCAGCATTGAAGAAATCAAAGGAAAATATTTTATATCTTCAGGTAAACATTGTTGGTAACCAAGGATGCATGTGACAAGACTTCCCTTATTGATACATTCAATGCTGATAAATTTTCATCAATTTCCTCTGTGTGCTTACTCTCGATACAAGCTAATGGCTGTGAATGATATTCCTGTGGAGTTAGTAATTTATGATATAATTGCGGTAGAAGATTATGAAGATGTTAAGACAAGATCTTTAATGTTATGTTATTCGGTTGAGTCAAGAGAAAGTTTTGAAAATCTAACCTGTTTATGGTTGCCAGAGATCAATGCTGCTTGCATAAGGAAACCATTTTTATTAGTTGGACTAAAAAAAGGATCTTCGTTCTGGCAAACAAACGCATGAACTGAGTAGGTGAAAGCTAATGAAGGTAGAGCGCTTGCAAAATATATTGGTGCTGTAGGTTTTTAAGAGTGCTCATCAGTTACTAATGAAGGAAACAATGCGATTTTCTAAATGGCAGAAAACAAGTGCGAGATTGTAGTAAAAAAGAAAGGGGAGCTCAAAAATCAAGCTTGGGTGTATATCTGTTGTTGCAAGACAGACTAATGAAGTACTTGGAATTTAAATCATTTTATATTTCAAGTTTGCCCTGAATACCTGAGATGTTTGGAATGACACTGGAAAAGGATGGTAAAAGAAAATTGCTGCCAGGAACCGAGAAAAAAAGTTGTATTTTCAGTTTGAAAAGATTAACGCAAAAAGAGAAGGCTTTTATATCAAGCTAAGAGTATTTTCGAATAATCGCTTCACGGAGAGGAATTTTGCTAATCACTTACAACGGACAATAGAAATATGCAAAACATATTTATTTGGCTAATTTATATCCATTCCGGGCAAGTCTGGCATGAGTTATTTGATTATCTGTTGTTGTCAATGCGTTAATTGTCCGTTGGAATTTTCTTTGTTTGTTGAAGTAATAAAAGGCGGTTGAATCTAGACGAAACTCAGTCTTTGCAGTCTCGAAAAGGAAGCATCAGTCAACGAAGTTCAGGAAAAATTGGAAGATTATTGTAGGTACATAGTGATTGTTAGTTTGAACAGCTTTTGGCTTGATCTTTGGCTTTGTAAACAAATTTACTGATCGCTGTGTTGATTTGAATAGCCTGGGAAGACGTTAGTGAGTGGAGCCATATTCTTGCCGATTATTACTGCTTTATCTTGTATATTTCGATTGAAAATGTCCAATGCAAGTGAGCTGTTACTTTAAGTTAGTTTTTCCTTGCTTATTTGATTTAAGAACGAACTACGGCGCCGAAAGATGGGGAAGGAGAAACGTAAAGGCTTGCTTGCAGCGAATAATAGGTATTGTTCTATTAATATATGTGTATTTTGCATTTGTGACTTGAAAAATCACGTTCGCCCTTTGTTTACGAACAATCAGGGTGGACAAAACTAGAATAGTTTTGATATATAGAAAGGAATTCGAACTTTATGACTGTAACTAACTTTCCCGGCTGGCCTACTCGTTTTTCGGACAAGGTTGCCCAAAGGGAATGCTCGTTTTGAAAAAGAAAGACGGATTGAAACTCAATGCCTATATAATTATTTGTATTGGTATATGATTGTACTATGTTAGACTTCCCTGTCCTTTTGTTTTACAGAAGTTCTGTTTTTGTAGAACGAAAGAATATTAAAGAGATGTCGGACATGCCTTGGGACATTTATGCACGCAAATACAAAACTCGATTTCGACAATATGCATGACTAAAAATTGTATGGAATTTAGCTTTATTGACTGAGATATAAACTGAACACTCTTCTGTTTACCTCCTTCATTTTCAAGTTTTCCGCCTGTGCATGATTTTTTTGCATGAAGTCTGGTCGTATCAAGCGCATGCGGAGTGAATACTAGTGATTCTGGGGCCCCAATCACTTGTGTTTTCTCTATCTTAACGACTATATAGTCCGGACAAAAATATTGTTCGGAGAGCGCCTAAATATGAAATATGTATTTCTAGAAGGAGATGATAGTCCAGTGTTCTTGCTTTCTTGTACAAAAACGTGCATGACATCTTTTATTGAAACGCGCATGATATTTTGTATTAAAACGTGCATGACATTTTGTATTAAAACGTGCATGACATTTTATATTAAAACGTGCATGACATTTTGTTTTAAAACGTGCATGACATTTTGTATTAAAACGTGCATGACATTTTGTATTAAAACGTGCATGACATTTTGTATTAAAACGTGCATGACATTTTGTATTCGCGTGCGCAATGCGAAGGCCACGAGTGACTGACGTTGGAGTGTTGGAGGTTCGATATAATTTATCCTGAGTGCTTTGTACATAAGTGACATTTCTCTCTTGGAAATTATTCATATCATACTTTTGTTGTCAGATGATGAAGGATCGTCGCAGGATCAGGAGGATCATCGCAGCATCATGGTATGGTATGGTATGGTATGGTATGGTATGGTATGGTATGGTATGGTATGGTATGGTATGGTATGGTATGGTATGGTATGGTATGGTATGGTATGGTATGGTATGGTATGGTATGGTATGGTATGGTATGGTATGGTATGGTATGGTATGGTATGGTATGGTATGGTATGGTATGGTATGGTATGGTATGGTATGGTATGGTATGGTATGGTATGGTATGGTATGGTATGGTATGGTATAATATTGCTACCTAAGTGATATTTGTGACTTGAAAATTAATGTCATATCATTGTGATAAAGTATCGTTGCAGGATCAGATGTTGAAGGATCGTCGCAGGATCAGACAGATCGTCGCAGGATCAGATGTTGAAGAATCAGATGTTGAAGGAGCGTCGCAGGATCAGTGATGAATTAGATGTTGAAGGAGCGTCGCAGGATCAGTGGTGAATTAGATGTTGAAGGAGCGTCGCAGGATCAGTGATGAATTAGATATTGAAGGAGCGTCGCAGGATCAGTGATGAATTAGATGTTGGAGGATCGTCGCAGGATCAGTGATGAATTAGATGTTGGAGGATCGTCGCAGGATCAGTGATGAATTAGATGTTGGAGGAGCGTCGCAGGATCAGTGATGAATTAGATGTTGGAGGAGCGTCGCAGGATCAGTGATGAATTATATGTTGGAGGATCGTCGCAGGATCAGTGATGAATTAGATGTTGGAGGATCGTCGCAGGATCAGTGATGAATTAGATGTTGGAGGATCGTCGCAGGATCAGACGGTTCGTCGCAGGATCAAGTGGAAGCTGGTTGAGGTATATACTATAGGTATGCATGATTAGTGCATGCTGCATGGCATTGGATCCTCCTGGTGGTCTAACTAGTATATTCACACATCAAGTGACATTTCAATCTTTTCGACTATGCATGATAACAGGAAATTTCTCACAGCTCTTATGAGGGCATTTTTCGAGTTTTCTCAATAAAAAAATCCTAATTTTGTCACTTGTGTGAATACGTGTGAAATCCAACGACGTAGCATCTGCGTATGCATGATGGCTTTAAAGCGTTCAAAAGAAACTAACAAAATGCAATTTGTTAGAGAAATTATTGAATTCGTATTAGCCTAATTTTAGATTAATACGAAGCCGGGTAATCGCGAGTACTTATATGATTATATAAGTTCTCTGTTCAGCCTGTTATAATGCGTTTCGAAGGACCGTCCGTCAGTGGCAACAATGATTATACCTTAGCATGGAATTTTGAAGTTTGAAATGAAAAAAAAAATGAGTGCTTTGCTGTTTAGACACTAGTACTCTTTTTTTTCCCTTGTTCGTATTAATTTTTTGGTTTGCAGTTGTAAGCTTTGAAAAATCCGATTAATCCCGAACATGAAGGAAATAAACGTAATCTAATCACTTTGACTAACTTGATGACATTTGTATAAGAGGAAAAAATATACCTCCCATATTGCATTGCATGATAACTGGACTTATAGTTGGGGGTATCTCGAGGTATAATGTTTAAACTGTAGGTTTAATATTGTATAGTACTCTCTTCCCTGAAAAGCCAACCCTTTAAAGAAAACCCTTTGCATTTTGACACACTTACTATGTTGTTTAATTTCTTACACGCCCAACCGTCGAGATGCTGTTAAAGAAGAAGATAACTGTTTGGAGCAACGAAGCAAGTGAAATTTGATACATTGTTTACCAAAGGTAATTATACGTTACGAAAATTTAAAGGTAAGGGGACATTATTGATTAGCTATATTGAGTAAGTTGCATGTTCAGCCCGATTACGTTTATTTCCTTCATATTCGGTAAACCGTAATCCAGAACGTATAAAATAAAAATAAAAACAGTGCATGAGGCATGTCTTAAAAAAGGGGTAGAAGAAAAGTGTTATTGTCTACATCAGTTTGATATGAAAAAGCATGCAAGTCGTGAATACGAAGTATTTTTTTATCACAAAATTAACATTTGAATAATTCGGAAATAATTTTCGTTGCCATTGTCGGACAAAGCGCAGTTGAATGTCTAAGAGCATGATGTTTTGCGCGCTCTAAATATGCACGCGCTCCGCAGGTTAGACCACCAGAAGAATCGAATTAACGAGGATCAAGAATTGCGTGGCAATTCCTGGGACTCGGTTTGAATGAGCGGAACTGAAACGATGAATTATAGATAAAAACTGAAGTGCATGTCATTGCGAACGATTTCTAATAAAAATACCAAATTCGGACCGCCGGTCAGGTAACCTGAAATTCAGGTTACCTTTGGAGGGTTTTTCACCGGGCACTCCGGTTTCCCTCCTTTTCGTTTGGCTTTAAAAAAGAGTGTCCAGGCCTGGGGCCAAACCAAAACGTGTTGTTTGATAGTGATAAAAACGCGTTTGTGGCTTCTGGGTTCGATTCCCAGAACACTGTCGTAAAAGAATTTTAAAAAGATGGCTGTGGAATCATTACGTAATTTACGTAATAAATAGGAAATATCTGGCATTGGGATTAGCACGTAATAGGTCCTCATGGTCAGGGCCGCGGGGATAGACCACTGTCAAGGGGGAGGGCACCTCCTGCACTCCAAAAACCTGGGAACGAAGATGTGGGGGGGGGGGCATCTCCTCCTTCAAGAAAATTTTGAAATTTACCAGGCCTCCTGTTTGAAAACCACGGTTTAAAACATTGTCTTCGAAGTAATAAAAGGCAGTTGAACCTACAATCTAGACGAAACTCAGTCTTTGCACTTGCAGTCTCGGAAGTTGGAAGTCTTGCTTAGGTACGTGGTGATATTCCTGCCGATTTTTACTGCTTCATCTTGTATATTCCGGTTGAAAATGTCAAATGCAAGAGAGCGGTTACTTTAATTTAGTTTTTCCTTGCTTATTTGATTTCAGAACGAACTATGGCGCCGAAAGATGGGGAAGGAGAAACGTAAAGGCTTGCTCGCAGCGAATGTGTGTTCGTGGTAGTCCTTGGAGATAAAGATATAAGATAAAGTAGTTTTCTCTAGTTTATATCTAAGTTTATATGCGTAATTTTTTTTTCTTTTGTATTGTGCATGCTAAGCCATGCTTTATAAAAAGTATAAAGACAGGTTACAGCGGCTTCTGCGCATGTGCGAGCTTTGTTTACATTTTTTGTTTTGATCCGCAATGATTCTACAACATGAAGTATAACATATATTCGCAATGATTTATTAACAAAAAAAGAGAGGAGCGACGCTTCTTTCAAAAATATATTTGCGGAAAAAAACTATAGAAAAAACCAAAAATAAGCAAATACAACATTTTACGGAAACACTTTACAACAGTGGATGAAAAGCCGCTTTGAAATCGTAGATTAACAGCTGGAGCGGCGGCCGAAGTTGTCATACAAAGGCGCGAGTTCTAATCGGTTCGCTTTTGGTTTGTTTATATTTGGGACTTGATAGCCTTGGAAGTGTTAGTAATGTCTTTAATAATGAAATATACTGTGCGGTATCTTTCCGCCGTCGAAAACTCATTCATACCAGGGTGGTCACAATCATGGCAGGAGCAATTGAAGGAAGCTTTTCGCTTGAAGATTTCGAAGCTAATGTTTTGGAAAACGCAGCGGCTATGCCTAACCGTGACAAAATCACAGTGTGCAAATGTAGAGGGCACTGTCTTCGTGAAAAAGGACGGAATTTCTGTTCGTGCAGAAGCATCAATAGCTTGTGTTCGAGCGCGTGTCATGGCGAAGACTTTGGCTGTTGCATGAACAACCGACTTGTTCAAGAAAGCGATAGTGATGAGAGTGTAAGTAAGATTATGTCATTCTTTAAATATATGGGTGGGAGAGAGCCAAGAGGGCTGGTTTCATTGTGGAAATATTTTTCCACTTTGTTTACTTTGTGATTTGCAATTATCTAGGACTCTGAGTTCACTATAGAGGAAAGTGAGAATGAGGGCGAGCAGCAGCTGCAGATTGAAAAGAGAGGACGTGGTAGGGGAAGAGGTCGTCCAAGGGGGAGAGCAAGAGGTCAGGGAAGAGGGCAAGGTACTGCTTCACAGAGACGTGGAACGGGAGGTAGTGGAAGAGGTCGTGGTAGAGGTAGCGGGAGAGGGCGTTTGTTAGAAGAGCCAAATATTGCTGAAAATCAAGCAGATCATGAGCAGCATTTAGTGGTAAGATGAGCCTTTGTCAACACTTGATTTCATACAATTATTCTTAAAAGCCTTTGTGTAAAAACAATAAAATAATACATGCAGCACATCTTATATTTTACTCTTATGCTGATTTCAGGATCTAGTTGAGGCAATGAATATAGACAACCTGAGAAGGCTTGCTCTTGAATTGCTAAGAAGACAGCCAGCAGCATTTGCTGACATTGTTAATGGTGAGCTTGTGAGCGGAAATGAACCCCAACCACCAAACCCAGAACCTGATAATGATGCTCCAGATTGGTGCAAGTGTGGGTGCTGCATTATTATGCCCACTCAAGAAGAGAACAAATGCTGCACCCGATCAAGACGTCCTTGTATCTCAAGAACAAATCTTTTCAGTCAACTAATCCTTGATGGGAATGTTTTGGAGATCTCAATGCGATACAGAGAAGATGTTTTGGTGTTGAACAATGTCAGGAACAATGAAAACTTTCGCCATGCTGCATATAGACAGTATGTTCTATGGCAACATGGTAGATTAGGAAGAGGAAATAGGAGAGTAGTACCAAGCTGTTGTGTGGTTGCTATTCGTAACTGTTATCCTTCACCTAATGGACAGTACAGGGGATATTTGCCTGCATGTGTTTAGATAATTTAGCACTTAAAGTATAAATGGTGCCCCCAAAAAGTAGACCAAAATAAACCACAATCGATGTTTGTGGGCATAAATATGTTTTTGGTCTGATGTTATAGCAGGCCCAAAAAATATTAATGCTCAAAAACATAAAGTATATTATTATATATTATATTATATTTATACAATGCAAGTGAACATTTTTAGAATTGGGCTGAGCCAGCAAGGTAATAAAATATATAGCTGGGTAAATTTTTCATTTTAGTCTTCATACATTCACTGCTGATTTAGTTGTTGTAATTGTCCATGTGCATGATTAGCATCAACCTAAATGCTAATTTTCCAATTTCAAAGTGTTTAGTTTTTTGGGACACCCTATACATATATCATAATTTAATAAAACATTCCATTTAAGATATTATGTGTCATATTTCATTGATAATGGGCTCTTAAATTTATGGCTGTTTCGCTCTATATCAGAGCTCGTCAGCATGCCTAGGAAACACAAATGAAATAATGATAACATCAATGATTCCGACATGGACAGCCTGACCTAGGGTCTGGGGGTTTGAAATTAGAGTTTTCCTTCTCTTAGGTGAACTGCCTACCATGGCTAATGAGCTCCACCTACCCAAAGTAACTTGATTTTACACACAACCATTAAAATCTTGTTTTATGTGTGTCGACAAGTGTCTGTACTGATGGAGGAGGAACAGGGGCAATATTGGGACCAATTTGTCTAGGATCATCACTTGGAATACCAAGTCTTTTGTTTACATTCCCTTCTGATGTGATCCTCTTTATAAAAACCTTCTGCATCAGTTCAGGAATGTAACTAAATTGTTTTGGTACAAGAACACGGCACCACTGTTGTGTACGCTTACTGAACTTCCGACCGTACCTAATAAAAAAAAAACTTTACAATTCCATACAATATGAGTACCATTACACTATAAGAATGCACAGGACCTGAAAAGTTGTTCACACTTAGGATGGGAACACTAAGGCAAAAATTTCAATACCAGTACCTGTCTTTCCCATCAGCTGTAGTTGCCTCTGTGGTGGTTAAAGTCCAAGGCAGCAAGCTGGTTTCTATAAGAGTTTTATCATGATAGGAGTTTTATTAGCTGTTACCTTTGTAATAATATGTCATATACTTATGAATAGGCATGGCGCTTTGGAGCATACATCAAAATTACATTATGAAAGGACTCTAAAAATCCTGTGTGCCTAAAAAATATTTCAAACTTTGAGATGATATAACTTATCTGAAATTTTCAAATATCCAATCTCATTTGTTACCTGAAGTTAACATAATACACCAAAGTGTTTAAAAAGCGAGTGTCCAGAATGATCTTTGCCAGTGCTTTATGGGCAGAAGACTCTTTCTTAAGCCATGACTTCTTTCTCTCACTTTCATTAAGAGGATCATGTTCACATTTTCCACCATTTACACCTTCCTCCAACACCCACTCATGCTCATCAACAACATGGTGTAAAATACCAATCCACTTATCCTATTAAAAAATATAAAAAATACAACATAAAGTGACTACATATTAACACATGTATGTACAGTTTGCACGAACTAGATAAGTATTGCTGCAAAAACCAGTAGTACTTCAATGTGAATCTTACTTTGAGATTTTTTGAGTCATTAGCACATGTTTTTGAACAATACCAAAAATGGTTCCTTATTGATGGTGCCCACAAGGTCAAATCTGCATTGTCTTTAGATTTAGCAGCCTAAAGAATAAAATCAATTCTAAATAAAGAAAGTTTTTTTACTAATTGCTGGTTGATATCTTCAACACTTACAGTAGTGATTTTCTTTGCAATGCTCTTTGCTCCATGCCACACATCATTCTGATGTGTGACCTCCTTATATTTCTCTTCCCTTTCTAAAATATGCAATAATGCTTAATTAATAAACAAATGCATGTTATAAATATTCCCTTACTGTCTTTTAAAGGGTAAACACAATTAATTATATAACATTGTAATCAATCTGCAAATGAAGTTGTTAAATTATTGAAAGTCTGACAATATTGATTATAACAGGTTGAACTATTAGAGTTTCAGGAATTGCCATATTGTTATAATGTAGATACTTACGGTACTCATCAATGCAGCAATTTCAATATGACCATCAGTTACCACCTCCTTCATAACTATTGGTGATGCAAGCAGTGTGTCCATCCCTCTTTCAAACCCAATCCTTTTCATATTATTGCTCTTACCAGCAGCTTCTCTCACATCAACCACATTCATTTGCAGTATGGCACGATCATTGGTATCAGCCAAGCTGTAAGTACAATATTGTGCACTATGGCCAGGCGAGTCATTCCTTCCATCACCACTCAATATAACCTCTTTGTTCTCTCTTTCTTTCCAGCATTTCTGTCTGTGTTCTTCCCAGTAGTCATTAATGGCAGGGATGATGTACAACTTCTGATACTGATTGAATAATATTGATGAGAAATACTGCAGATTACAGAAGTTGAACATCAACCCCACCTTCGCGTAGGAATTGCCAGACAACAACAAAGCAGAAGCAAGCACGAGGTTGCCTGCTTTAATCTTGTTGCAAGAGGGTTGAGCTGCCCATCTGCCTCCAACATGACCAGACCTACACCCCCAGGATACGACCAGGCATGTTCCAACATATGTTTTCTTATAGCTCAACACACGGCCACATCCTTGTCGTTTACAAACACTCCCATGTAATGATGTTATCAAAGCTATAAGAGTGTCTGTAAACACAATACACTTTTCTTTCTTGATTGCATCTTCAGGACTGACTTCTTCCACAGTAGAGATATATCTGGTTGAGTCGTCTTATGTTGCTGCTGTTGTTGTTGTTGGGTTCCAACATCTTCTGTGGGCTCATCTCCATCATGTCCACGGATTGTCACATTGAGCAAGTCATCCAGTAATGGCACGTCAAAACCCGGGGGACATACACTACAGTAAAATGGCAGTAAGAGATATTATTGGACGAAATATTTTATGCCATATTCAGTGATAAAATGAGAGAGGGAGAGGGTGTCGAACTAATTGTTATACAACTTACTAAAGCGAACAACAAACCAGTTCTCTTCTATGTATATTATCGTCCTCCCGGTACTTGTTGCGATAGTTTAAAGATTCTGAACAACTCACTGCTGAGTAATACCGAGTCAAGTTGCATCGTACTAGTTGGTGATTTTAATCTTCCATCAATAACTTGGTCAGACAACCATTCGACTCCTGTTAACAGTGGGTGTGCGGATGGCGAGATCCTTTGTAATCTGATAGGTGATAATTTCCTGGAACAATATGTGAAAGGACCGACCCATTTCGGTGGTAATAAACTTGACCTATTGTTTTGCAACGCTACTGAAACTTTATCGGATGTATTATCTTTGTCTCCTGATGAACATAACTTTCCTACCGATCATTATACAATCGAATTTTATATTCGCATGAAGTTCAGAAGAGCCAAACCTGTACGACGTATAGTCTATGACTACGACCGAGCTAATTTTCACGAACTTCGCGATGCGTTGTCAAAGGCAGATTTAAATTTACCTTTCACGGAAAATATCGATACCTGTTGGAAGCAGTGGAAAGACTTATTTATGTCAATTATCGCAAAGTATGTACCAACGAAATATGTTAAAGATATTAACTCTCCTCCTTGGATTGACGCGGAAGTTCGCCACCTCATGCGCAAGAAATACACCGCCTTGCGTAATTACAGAAAGAACAAAACGGCGGAACGTAAGCTCAAATTACGTAGTTTATGTCAGCAAATTAAATACGCAATAAGGAGCAAACATAAAATTTATCTAAGAAAAGTCGAAGCTTCATTCAAAGAAAACCCTAAATTATTTTGGAGCTACCATAAAGCGATCCTTCATCATCACTCGGCGTTAAGTCCAATAATATCCTACAACAATCGTACAGCCAAGACGCCAAGGGAGAAAGCTGAACTTTTCAATTCGTATTTTTGCTCTGTTTTCCAACCTGCCAAAACCATTTCCCCTCTACCATCTACTTTCCCGTCGTCATCTGCCGGTCTGTTATGTGAGATAACAATCTTGGAAGAAGAAGTTACCCACCACCTTTCAAAATTAGATCCTACGAAAGCCAGTGGACCTGATGGCATTCCAGGCAGAATCTTAAAGGAATGTGCTTCTATCATCGCTCCGAGTCTGTGCACTTTTTAATCATTCTCTACAATCCGGAATTATTCCTTCTGAGTGGAAATCTGCTGATATCACCCCAATTCACAAGAAAGGTAATAAAGAACCTGTTACCAATTACCGACCCATATCTCTCCTACCTATCATTAGCAAACTCTTGGAGCGATGTGTCTGCAACCAATTTTATGAACATGTTCGTCATATGATCCACCAAGCTCAACACGGTTTTCTACATGGTCGTTCTTGTGTAACACAACTCCTTTCCACCCTACATGATATTGGAAAACTACTCGACCATAACATCCAAACGGACGTTCTCTTCCTCGACTTTGCGAAAGCCTTTGACTCTGTGGATCATGCTATTCTCCTGCAGAAACTTCAAAATTATGGAGTATCTGGAAACCTGTACAACTGGTTCACTGATTATTTACATGATCGTGCTCAACGTGTCGTTGTGGAGGGTGCTGCCTCAGAGTGGTCACCCGTTACCTCTGGTGTTCCTCAGGGAAGCATCTTAGGTCTATGCTTTTCTTGCTATTCATAAATGACTTTCCTGATGCTATACCTAAAGCTACATCAACAGGATTGTACGCTGATGATACGAAGTTATACCAAGCAATTAGAACTTGCGAGGACGGCGTGCAGTTGCAACATGCCTTGTCGCGTGCTGAGGATTGGAGTAAAGATTGTAACATGAAATTTAACACATCCAAATGTAAAGTTTTAACGATATCCCGCCGCAAAACCCCGTGTCAAATAAATTACCATCTTGGACCTGAACTAAAACACGTGGACAGTGAACTTGATCTGGGAATCACTGTAACCAGTAACCTTTTGTGGAATACTCACGTCAATAATCTTGTTAACAAGGCAAACAAAATGCTTGGACTACTAAGAAGAACATGTCCCTTGCTAACCAATCATGATATTCGACGTGCCCTATACCTATCTCTTGTCAAATCCCAACTATCATATGCTACGCAAGTCTGGGCACCAACCCTCCAAACAAGTAAATCAAATCTGGAGAAACTTGAGAGAGTTCAGAGGAGAGCTACAAGATGGATCCTGGGAACGAAGATAGGTGATATCCCCTACAAAGAACGGATGCTCTCCCTTCACCTTATACCCTTGGCGTACGATAGAGAAATAAAAGATTTGATTTTCTTCTACAAGGCGTTGTATGGATTTTATGATTTGGATGTCTCAAGTTATGTGTCATTCGTTGGTCATAGTAGAACTCGTAACTGTAATAACCCTTCGCTTCTACTAAAAGTTCCGTCATGCAGAACCAACACCTTCAAGTCCTCCTATTTCAACCGAATTGTCCCCCTTTGGAATCGTGTTTGTAAAGTAGGCTTGCCTAGTGATCTTCACAGTCTGTCTTCGTTCAAAAAATTTTTGTCGAAAACTTACTTAAATTTGCTAATCTCTAGTTTTGAGGTTGACATGACTTGCACTTGGTCATTACATCGTAGTTGTTTCTGTCACCAGGACTTGTCTGTTACGTAATTTAACAATTGCAACGTGCTTATGTGTCTAGATGTGTGTGTTTTGTGTAATACTGTAGCTGCATGCTAAATACGGGAGAGTTGCCTCGCATGGGTCTAAAGGTCCCGTTCGCACTCTTGCCGCTTGGGTATTGTTATCCAATAAAGTTGTAAAATTAAAATTAAAAATTAAATTAAATTAAATTGATATATAATGTGTATATTTATGTTTTAAATCTATAAGCATTACAGTAGGAATGTCACAAAGATTATTATTGAGGTTTTGCATCATCACTTACTCAAGAGAATCGTCCGACAAAACCTGGTCTGCCTGGATAGTGTGTTCACCAAAATTGTCATTATCATCATCACTTTCATCATCAGAACTATCATCTTTGGCTGTCAATGTTCGACTGTCAGAAATCACACTCTGACCCGACCTGAGATATAAACACATATTGCGTATTTAAAAAGTAATACTCTCTGCGCGAAACTTTGCATGTATGGGTTTCAAATTATAAACTCAGTAATCACAATAAGTTTCCAATTACCTGATAGAATATGATGTTCTAACATCCGACAAAGCAGACAATGGACGCGGATTTGAGCGCGCGCTTGGCGTTGAGGTTTTAACTATAAAATATTTCATACGAATGTTTTATGCGAATATTTTAAAAAATAATAAATGTTTACGTTTTTGGAGCAGCACTTTAAAACATATGTTCTTACTGGGAGAAGAAAAATATTTGGAAGGTGTACTTGGCGGCATATCCCTTGATTCCATTACCGTTTCGGTTTGCGTCTCTGCATTGCTAAAGTGAGTTCAACACATACATAAAAAGCATTATGAAGTAAAGAAATAACACACAGAAGAGGTCAGAGGTTTTATTATTTTATACTTACCAAACTATACGATTCATCGCAAGATAGCTGTCAAGAAGCATATCCGCCACATCCTTGTCTGTTCTCAATTTATGCTGCTCCTTAAACGCTCTCCATCGAGGGAAAGAACCCAACAAATACACTTTAGAGGCGTCTCTACTAGCATAATATTCTTTTCTACTCGACGACATGACTCAGTGCTCTTGAAAGATTGAGAATTTCTTTCTTAAATTGTCGGCTGGTCATGGTTTTTAGACTGAACAATCCGGGGGATTATCAACTTCACGTGGAGTCCCCAGGCTGGCGCACGCGCAGAAGCCGTGTCTTTAAAACAGGCAAAAAAATAAGAAATTTCAACCGCTCTTCACCGCAATTTCGGCTCTCTTCACCGCAATTTCCACCGCTCTTCACCGCAATTTCCACCGCTCTTCACCGCAATTTCCACCGCTCTTCACCGCAATTTCCACGGCTCTTCACCGCAATTTCCACCGCTCTTCACCGCAATTTCCTTTCGCTTCTACGCATGTGCGAGCTTTGTTTATATTTTTCGTTTTAGTGTGAATCCATTTCATTTGCGCAACATGAAGTATTCAAAAAATAAATTAAAATGGCGGACGCATCAAGAGTGAAGAGTGGAGCTTTATAAAACCATTCAACAATTGTCTTTTAAAAGAAAACCAAATAAATATTTTGAAAAACAACTACTGGAAGATATCTCCTGTAAGTTTGTCGATTTTATCTAAGTTTGAGATACTGTGTATAATTATTTTTACAGTGATCGGTTGGATGATTATTAAATTTGGATAAAAGATTATACTCAGATAATGATTTTGTTTATAAAATACCTTCGTACTCTGTTCTAATATTGCAGGATTCAGATTTATGAGCAAGATAATCATGCTTCCATGGTCAAAGTAGCTCTTCTGAGTGTGTTTCATCATCGACATCAATGCCATGTGGGTCAACATCACTGAATGAAACTGCTTCAATACGAAAGCTTACAAGTGAAGATATAGATAGGAGAGTATAACATCCCAACCTATACATTGTAGTTAAAATATAATAACAATATCAACCTCAAATTCAACTAATATTTTGTATGCAATCAAGCAAACTTTGGAAATGCTGGTTGTTAATTTTACTGCAATTATTACACAAGATATGATTACACTCCTTTATCATTACCCAATGCTGTCAGAATTGTTATCACATGTGAATGCAATATAATTTTTGTACACAATCATTATTTAATTATTGTTTTCAGCATAAATTATGCCTTATAAGGCCTTCTCCAGACAATATTTATTGCAAGCTATATGATATTTGCTCCAATATTTGGCTATATTTGTGAAAGATACAGTTGCAAGCTCATTATGATCTATTGCCTCGTTATCTGGTCCTTAACAACATTTCTTAGCACACTACTTAATAAACACCTATGTAAGCTTTTACTGATTTCATACAGTGAGTTAGAAGTCAGATATGTTAAAAACAGAAGGAAAATGGTAGGTTAATGAATAGTTTGGTATGTTCTTGGTTCAAAAGTATCTTCTGCATTTAGTGGTGGCAATAATTTTATAATAGAGAAAACACAGGGTATGAAAACATGTGAAATAAACATGTTATTATTTGATGTGTTTCAGGTAACTCCAATCTTGGGTGTGCTTCTTATCATCTTGGGCTTTATATCTGTTGTTTGAACCTGTCTAGGGGCAAATTGAAAAGAGTCAGGGTGATATTGTTGCAGACAAGGATGTTATCATTCGTCGTTCATGGTTGAATGATGCGAAACATATGTTACGCTGGTAGGTGATTTTTAACAACAGATGTTGCTTACTGCAGGATGAACTGTTTAGAACTGACAGAATTATCCAGTGTAAATATAGTTAGTTTGTGTAGGTTTCCTGCTGCAGTAACACTGAATCAATAAGAGATGATCCAGTATGCCATTCCTTGTTATGCCCTTGATCCTAGCTTCAAAATATATTGTTCTTTCTTATGTAAGTTAAACATGTATACTGAAATTAAAAATCTATTTAATATTTCTGTAAAGACATTTCTATCATATAAGTGTTAGCAATTGTCTTGTTTCTTTGTAGATACAGACAGAGCCACAGCATCCGCAGTCCTTATATTGTGGGTTTGGTATGTAATATACAATTTCTTTTACCTTAAGCTATGAATCACCGACACGCCCACTTAATCTAATTATGATTTCACTTCCGGTGGGCGGGGCTTATTTCGCTACTTCCTTACGCTTTGACTTTTGACTCCCAGTTTCTCAATGGGCGTGGTCAGACACGCTCCCTTAATCAAATTATGATTTCACTTCCGGTGGGCGGGGCTTATTTCGCTACTTCCTTACACTTTGACTTTTGACTTCCGGTTTTTCGATGGGCGTGGTCAGACACGCCAACTTATTCTAATTATGACGTCACTTCCGGTCTGAGGGGCTTATTTCGCTACTTCCTTACGCTTTGACTTTTGACTTCCGGTTTTTCGATGGGCGTGGTCATACACGCCCACTTAATCTAATTATGATGTCACTTTTGGTGGGCGGGGCTTATTTTGCTACTTCCTTACGCTTTAACTTTTGACTCCCGGTTTTTCGATGGGCGTGGTCAGACACGCATACTTAATCTAATTATGACGTCACTTTCGGTCAGTGAAGCTTATTTCGGTACTTCCTTACGCTTTGACTTTTGACTTCCGGTTTTTCGATGGGCGTGGTCAGACACGCCCACTTAATCCAATTATGACGTCACTTCCAATTGACGGGGCTTATTTCGCTACTTCCTTACGCTTTGACTTTTGACTTCCGGTTTTTCTATGGGCGTGGTCTGACACGCCCACTTAATCTAATTATGAGGTCACTTCTGGTGGGCGTGGCTTATTTCGCTACTTCCTTACGCTTTGACTTTTGACTTCCGGTTTTTCGATGAGCGTGGTCAGACACGCCCATTTATTCTAATTATGACGTCACTTCCGGTAGGCGGGGCTTATTTTGCTACCTACTTGTGCTTTGACTTTTGACTTCCGGTTTTTATATGGGCGTGGTCGGCAGTAAGGTCACAGTCCTCAGAATGTGCATTCTAATTGGTTGACCCGTAGCCAATAAAAATCGTTCCCATGTAAACGTCATAGGTGCTCTCTGTATCAATTTATTATTATTCTACACTCGCTTGCTGGGCTGGCTACATCGAATCATTTGTTATTTCCTATAATAGTGTTTTTCGCTTCTACGTTTGCTCGCTGGCTTCATCGGTTCTTTCTTATAAAAAGTTCTTTGAGGGACAACTTCGGGTTATATATTATTTATGGCATCTTCCGGCCTTTCTGATGTCGCGGCGGAAGAAGGGGGAGCAGATACGACAAAAGCCAAGGTGAAATATTAATTTTTCTGCTTGTATTAATATTCTGCTTGTAGTAAGTTTTATAATATTTCAAATTATCTTTATTTTTCAATGTTATGAACTCAACTACATTAGAATTGACAGATATAGTTGGATGAACACAAAAAAATTTAAAAATACGACAATTCAGACGCTTTTCACGTGCCATTTATTTTGCGTTGATTTGCATCGGGCAGGAGTATTTTGTCAATGCCTATCTAATATATCAGGCCAAACTCTGCCTGTTGGGACAAGGCATTGGTAGGTGCCTAAATGTGCATTTTTTTACAATTAGCTAACCTCAGGATGGTCCAAGCATGGCAAAGGTTCCTGTCCAAATTGTGGTTTGCAATATAGTTGCCGTTACAAGCCACCAAGTTGTTCAGGATGCAAATTTTGAGCTTGGAGGATCATATGTCCCTAAAAAAAGCCTCGTCCATTGGTGCCTAAGTGTACCTTGGTGGTGCAGCCATCAGACGGGTTATCAATCTACTCGGTTAATACCAGTACCTATGATGATCGATGTATTGTGGTTCGTGAAGAGGCTTCATCTATGTGTCAGCATCACCTGTGTAAACAGAATAGAGCCATTCATATTAACAGCCAAAAAGTGGCAAGCTTTAGTTGTCAGCATTTGGAATCCACCAGAGATTGTACAACTCCTCTTCAGACATTCAATGGGATATCAGATGAGGTCATTTCCAGTTATCTCTGTGATGATGAAACAAAAAAAACCCTGGCAGAAGTGGCAAATGCATCAAAGGCACAGTCATTTCCAGTTGTGGTGCATGTTTCTCCAACTATGTGTTGCATCTTTGGAATGGCAACCACAAACAACACTGTTGGATATTGCCATGTCAAGGTAACGGAAAAGGAAATTAAATGCTGTTCCAAAGACTGCAAAGGTATGTTGAAGAGCAAGCAGCAAAAGTCCCGAAAAGTTTGCACCCACATTCATCTTTTATTGGCTGTTGGCATTTTTACACACAACGAATGTGTGTCAGCAGATCTTCGCCCACCAATAGTGACAGACAATTCCTTGACAACAATTGACAGAAGTGGGAGCAAGTCTCGCAAGGCAACCATGGGACTTTAAATGAAGTTAAAGTTGCCATATGTCATTCCAAAACCCATTATTCAGGCAGCAGGTAAAATGGATTTTTCCGTGTGGCCAGAGCAGTTTGAACCAGACCAAACTTTGTGTGATTTGTGTAAAAGTCCTCTTGGTCAGTCCAAGCCACACCCAAATCAACGTGGGCGATCAATCATAATGACCAATGGATGTCCATTCAAAACAGTCAAAATGCTAGTCAAAGATTGCTCATGTTGCTTTGCTATGCACCAAGTGTTTCTCTACACATTAGGTAAGTATATACAGTTCAATATTTTTTGTAGTATAGTAATTCTATGTTGACAGGTGAGTTTCTATTTCACAGTGTACATGTTGGCTCAGGGACAAAGGTTAATTTGATTCAATTTTATTGCCTTTTAGGTCTGTTTAATATTAGTGACAAGGTTCTGGTGGCACTTGAAATTCTATTAGAGTTCCGAGAATTGTTCAAAAGAGGAGTGCCAATTTCTGTAGCCATGAAAAGTAAATTAGCCTTGATGGTCCAGAAAGTTGAGGTAATTTCAAGATGATTGTGTATGTACTATGCAATAGTATGCTGTACAACTGCCTAGAATCTGTCAGTGTCAGATTAGTCTTAGTATTTACAATAGGACTAGTCTAATAAAATTGGCAAATCGTCTGGTATAAGAATTTGTTAAGGCCCTGTTAAACGATGCAATTTTTCTTGAAACTTGCAACTCCACTCTTGACTGATGTAACATTGGCAAAGTGTGACTTCACAAATTAAAATCTCTCAAGAGTAGCATTGCATTGCAAGTTGCAAAAAAATTGCACTGTGTAACAGGACCTTTAGTCTTGCTCTAAATATTAACAAAGTATCCTGTTGTATTTGTTAAGGAATCGCCAACAGAAAATGAGTTGGAAAGTATTGCTACACATTTATACAATGGGTTTTATTGCTTTGAGGCAATAACTGAATGCAATATGGATTCAGGTGTTTGTGGAATTTGTAGTACTGTTGGTGAAGTGTATTTTGGGGATGGGAATGAAAAAAATTGCTGCAGCATTAGCGAGGTAAAGCATTCATGGACCAGAATGGCCACATGAGAATTTTAGTAACATTTTGGTCTTTAGTAGTGTTCAATTATTAAAATGTCCTTGCTGGTCTTTAGCCTGTTCTCAGATCCCTTTGATTTGCCAGAGCTTCTTACACAAAATATTTGCATTTTCATTGTAGATTGATTACTCACCACTACAAGATATAGATTGTGAGGAAGATGATCCTATTTCCCTTGAGATGTTCTTGGAGAAATTAAAATACAATTTGGTGGAAAAAACAACCTACACACGATCGGAAAAGGCCACTATCCACTTTTCCACCATTCCACCAGTCATAGCCCCATCATTGAGAGGTACAAAATTGTTCAACACTGAAGGGGAAAAAAAAGTGCTTTTCTCAAGCAATATGGCAAACCTAATGAAGGTTTGTAGCATTACTCATAGTACAATTTAGCCATTCAATTAAAATAATATATGCTATATAATACAGCTTGATTGTGACCATGAATGGTTATTTGGACCAGAATTGATTTTTTAAGTGAATTTAATTATGCATCTGTTGCACAGGTGATCCAGCTCTTTTGCATCATTGGATATCCACTCAAGTAATTGACATGAACACAATTGAGCAATGCAGTGTCGAGAAGCTGAAAGAACTTTGTCATTTGTGTAATATAGCAATTTCAGGCAAATCAAAGATATTTACTGTAATTTACGATTGTGACTTGGTATTAATTTGACTGCAACTTGCTCTTAATTCAGAACTGCATGACACAAAGTTCAGAAGTTCTAGCCGGTAAGAGAACTTAGGGGGAAAACAAATGTAAATAAACTGATCAATGATGATAATGTATTTTCCTTTAATGCTGGTATCATGCATGAATAAAAAGGACTTAGACTGGAATTACACTGGTCCAATATGAATTCGGGGACACGCAAGTTTCCCGTCCGAAAGTTGAACGACCTCTTGTATAATTAAATTTTTCATAATTAGCATCTATTAATTATTAACAAGTGTTAGACCAATCACAAAAGACTTTCTGAGCACTGCGAGCTGACTCGTGGTCGGACACGCCCACTTAATCTAATCATGACGTCACATCCGGTTGGCGGGGCTTATTTCACTACCTCCTTACGCTTTGACTTTCAACTTCTGATTTTTTGTGGGCGTGGTCGGAAACGCCCACTGAATCTAACTATGACGTCACTTCTGGTAGGCAGGGCTTATTTCGCTACTTCCTTACGCTTTAACTTTCAACTTCCGATTTTTTTTGGGCATAGTCAGACACGCCCACTTGATCTAATTATGACTTCACTTTTGGTGGGCGGAGCTTATTTCTCTACTTCCTTACGCTTTGACTTTCACCTTCCGATTTTTTGTTGGCTTGGTTAGACACGCCCACTGAATCTAATTATGACATCACTTCTGGTAGTCAGGTTTATTTCGCTGCTTCCTTACGCTTTGACTTTCAACTTCCGATTGTTGTGGCCGTGATCAGACACGCCCACTGAATCTAATTATGACGTCACTTCCAGTAGGCGGGGCTTATTTCACTACTTTTTACGCTTTTCAGTTTTTTTCTCCACATTCAGATTCATAATCACTTTTTTCCTGAGATTCATTCTTGGAAGGATTGACTTTTTTCTCGAGATTCATTTTGGATTCAGTTTTTTTCTCCACATTCAGATTCAGAATCACTTTTTTCTCGAGATTCATTCTCGGAAGGATTCAATTTTTTCTCGAGATTCATTTTTGGTTTCACTTTTTTCTCCAGATTCATTTTCAAATTCAAATTTTTTCTCGAGATTCATTCTCGGAAGGATTCACTTTTTTCTCGAGATTCATTTTTGGATTCACTTTTTTTCTCCACATTCGGATTCGGAATCACTTTTTTCTCAAGATTCATTCTCGGAAGGATTCACTTTTTTCTCGAGATTCATTTTTGGATTCAGTTATTTTCTCCACATTCGGATTCGAAATCACTTTTTTCTCCAGATTCATTCTCAGAAGGATTCACTTTTTTCTCGAGATTTATTTTGGATTCAGTTATTTTCTCCACATTCGGATTCGAAATCACTTTTTTCTCAAGATTCATTCTCGGAAGGATTCACTTTTTTCTCGAGATTCATTTTGGATTCAGTTATTTTCTCCACATTCGGATTCGAAATCACTTTTTTCTCAAGATTCATTCTCGGAAGGATTCACTTTTTTCTCGAGATTCATTTTGGATTCAGTTATTTTCTCCACATTCGGATTCGAAATCACTTTTTTCTCGAGATTCATTCTCGGAAGGATTCACTTTTTTCTCGAGATTCATTTTCGGTTTCACTTTTTTCTCCACATTCGGATTCGAAATAACTTTTTTCTCAAGATTCATTCTCGGAAGGATTCACTTTTTTCTCGAGATTCATTTTGGATTCAGTTATTTTCTCCACATTCGGATTCGAAATCACTTTTTTCTCAAGATTCATTCTCGGAAGGATTCACTTTTTTCTCGAGATTCATTTGGATTCAGTTATTTTCTCCACATTCGGATTCGAAATAACTTTTTTCTCAAGATTCATTCTCGGAAGGATTCACTTTTTTCTCGAGATTCATTCTCGGAAGGATTCACTTTTTTCTCGAGATTCATTTTTGGATTCAGTTTTTTTCTCCACATTTGGATTCGGAATCACTTTTTTCCCGAGATTCATTCTCGGAACGATTCAATTTTTTCTCGAGATTCATTTTTGGTTTCACTTTTTTCTCTAGATTCATTTTCAAATTCAAATTTTTTCTCGAGATTCATTCTCGAAAGGATTCACTTTTTTCTCGAGATTCATTTTGGATTCAGTTATTTTCTCCACATTCGGATTCGAAATCACTTTTTTCTTGAGATTCATTCTCGGAAGGATTCACTTTTTTCTCGAGATTCATTTTGGATTCAGTTTTTTTCTCCACATTCGGATTCGGAATCACTTTTTTCTCGAGATTCATTCTCGGAAGGATTCACTTTTTTCTCGAGATTCATTTTGGATTCACTTTTTTCTGCACATTCGGATTCGGAATCACTTTTTCCCGAGATTCATTCTCATAAGGATTCATTTTTTCTCAAGATTCATTTTCGGATTCTTTTTTCTGCAGACTTCATTTTCGGAATCACTTTTTCCGAGTTTCATTCTCGGAAGGATTCACTTTTTTCTCAAGATTCATTTTGGATTCAGTTTTTTTCTCCACATTCGGATTCGGAATCACTTTTTTCTCGAGATTCATTCTCGGAAGGATTCACTTTTTTCTCGAGATTCATTTTTGGATTCAGTTTTTTCTCCACATTCGGATTCGGAATCACTTTTTCCCGAGATTCCTCGGAGGATTCACTTTTTCTCGAGACAGGATTCACTTTTTTTCTCCACATTCGGATTCGGAATCACTTTTATCCCGAGATTCATTCTCGAAGGATTCACTTTTTTCTCAAGATTCATTTTGGATTCAGTTATTTTCTCCACATTGGGATTTGGAATCACTCGGAAGGATTCACTTTTTTCTCGAGATTCATTTTTGGATTCAGTTTTTTCTCCACATTCGGATTCGGAATCACTTTTTTCCCGAGATTCATTCTCGGAAGGATTCACTTTTTTCTCGAGATTCATTTTTGGATTCACTTTTTTTCTCAACATTCGGATTCGGAATCACTTTTATCTCGAGATTCATTCTCGGAAGGATTCAATTTTTTCTCGAGATTCATTTTCGGTTTCACTTTTTTCTCCAGATTCATTTTCAAATTCAAATTTTTTCTCAAGATTCGTTCTCGGAAGGATTCACTTTTTTCTCGAGATTCATTTTTGGATTCACTTTTTTTCTCCACATTCGGATTCGGAATCACTTTTATCCCGAGATTCATTCTCGGAAGGATTCACTTTTTTCTCGAGATTCATTTTGGATTCAGTTATTTTCTCCACATTCAGATTCGGAATCACTTTTTTCTTGAGATTCATTTTTGGATTAACTTTTTTTCTCCACATTCGGATTCGGAATCACTTTTTTCCCAAGATTCATTCTCGGAAGGATTCAATTTTCTCTCGAGATTCATTTTCGGTTTCACTTTTTTCTTCAGATTCATTTTCGGAATCACTTTTATCCCGAGATTCATTCTCGGAAGGATTCACTTTTTTCTCGAGATTCATTTTGGATTCAGTTATTTTCTCCACATTCGGATTCGGAATCACTTTTTTCTCGAGATTCATTCTCGGAAGGATTCACTTTTTTCTCGAGATTCATTTTTGGATTCAGTTTTTTCTCCACATTCGGATTCGGAATCACTTTTATCCCGAGATTCATTCTCGGAAGGATTCACTTTTTTCTCGAGATTCATTTTGGATTGAGTTATTTTCTCCACATTCGGATTCGGAATCACTTTTTTCTCGAGATTCATTCTCGGAAGGATTCAATTTTTTCTCGAGATTCATTTTCGGTTTCACTTTTTTCTCCAGATTCATTTTCAAATTCAAATTTTTTCTCAAGATTCATTCTCAGAAGGATTCACTTTTTTCTCGAGATTCATTTTGGATTCAGTTATTTTCTCCACATTCAGATTAAGAATCACTTTTTTCTCGAGATTCATTTTTGGATTCACTTTTTTTCTCCAATTCGGATTCGGAATCACTTTTTTTCCCGAGATTCATTCTCAGAAGGATTCAATTTTTCTCGAGATTCATTTTCGGTTTCACTTTTTTCTCCAGATTCATTTTCAAATTCAAATTTTTTCTCGAGATTCATTCTCGGAAGGATTCACTTTTTTCTCGAGATTCATTTTTGGATTCACTTTTTTTCCCATTCGGATTCGGAATCACTTTTATCCCGAGATTCATTCTCGGAAGGATTCACTTTTTTCTCGAGATTCATTTTGGATTCAGTTATTTTCTCCACATTGGGATTTGGAATCACTCGGAAGGATTCACTTTTTTCTCGAGATTCATTTTTGGATTCAGTTTTTTCTCCACATTCGGATTCGGAATCACTTTTTTCCCGAGATTCATTCTCGGAAGGATTCACTTTTTTCTCGAGATTCATTTTTGGATTCACTTTTTTTCTAAACATTCGGATTCGGAATCACTTTTATCGCGAGATTCATTCTCGGAAGGATTCAATTTTTTCTCGAGATTCATTTTCGGTTTCACTTTTTTCTCCAGATTCATTTTCAAATTCAAATTTTTTCTCAAGATTCGTTCTCGGAAGGATTCACTTTTTTCTCGAGATTCATTTTTGGATTCACTTTTTTTCTCCACATTCGGATTCGGAATCACTTTTATCCCGAGATTCATTCTCGGAAGGATTCACTTTTTTCTCGAGATTCATTTTGGATTCAGTTATTTTCTCCACATTCAGATCCGGAATCACTTTTTTCTTGAGATTCATTTTTGGATTAACTTTTTTTCTCCACATTCGGATTCGGAATCACTTTTTTCCCAAGATTCATTCTTGGAAGGATTCAATTTTCTCTCGAGATTCATTTTCGGTTTCACTTTTTTCTTCAGATTCATTTTCGGAATCACTTTTATCCCGAGATTCATTCTCGGAAGGATTCACTTTTTTCTCGAGATTCATTTTGGATTCAGTTATTTTCTCCACATTCGGATTCAGAATCACTTTTTTCTCGAGATTCATTCTCGGAAGGATTCACTTTTTTCTCGAGATTCATTTTTGGATTCAGTTTTTTCTCCACATTCGGATTCGGAATCACTTTTATCCCGAGATTCATTCTCGGAAGGATTCACTTTTTTCTCGAGATTCATTTTGGATTGAGTTATTTTCTCCACATTCGGATTCGGAATCACTTTTTTCTCGAGATTCATTCTCGGAAGGATTCAATTTTTTCTCGAGATTA